CGAAGCGCGTATCGATTTGAATGAAAGCTGTCCACTCGATCTTAGGTACCATACGCTCAGTGTTGACGGCCTCGATGAATGCTTCCCAGTCGAGGGGGTGCCGTAGTCGACACCATGGTGCATCCTTGGAACGACCGCGTACAACTTTCCATTGAATGTAGGGAGTAAGGGAGTGAATGTTGATGCCCTCTTTGACCACAGGGTCCTGACGCAACTCCTCGAGGGCGAGATCGAGCAATAGTGGTTGAACAAAGTCCCATTCTTTCAGGGGGTTGACCATGAAGGGTCCTTGGGCATACCTAAATTTCGGCTCCCTAGTAACGATAACCTGAACCATGAAATCATCGTATTGACTCACAAGTTCAGGAGCTGGGTCTTCGATTTCGAGATCAATGACTGTTTTGGTACGTTTAACCCTGGCGGGTGGTTTTGATGGGGGGCTTGACCGCAAATCATCCTCGAGCCTAGGCGGGGGTTTGGGGGTGCGGCTTGAAGCCCTGAGCTGAAGTGATTGTTTGGCTGCTCCTCTCAGCTTCATAGGAGGCATATTGATGGAGTTATGACGCGTTTTGTTGGAGTGTCGATGTCAGACGCGCAGGGGTGATTTTAGGCCCTGCGACAAGCATTTTGCAACCAGCAGTACTACGTAGTCCGCGCGATACACGTCGATGATGTATTGAAGCAGCGGATGGTAAGAGAGGGTATGGGCTGTTGGGCTGGGTAGGGATACGACTTGAGCTATTAGCAATACCCTGTAAATCTACAATCTACAGGCAGAGACGTATGCGACGCCTCTCATCCTCTCCTCCTCCTCGTCCTCCTCCTGCGCACCAATATCCATATTACTCCGCGATCCGCATTTCCGTCCACTTTGGCCTCCTTCTTAAGCCGACGGCGGAGTCATAGCTTTCGTCAGCTGCCTCATCCCCTCTCCCTCCCCGATCGGCATAACCTGCAACGTTTCCATTTGGTGACAACCCGTACACTCATTCAACCCCTCCTCATTCTTCGGTAAACAATGCACATGGTAAACCTTATCACAACCCGTACTCATACACTTGTACATATCTACATCAATACAATCTGGTTCGGCACAAACGCATTTGCTCTTCGGAAGCCCGGCTGTGGGCGGTTCGAGATGTCCATCGGGGTGGAGGAGTTGGCGAGCGTAGTAATGTTGACTGACGGGATCAAAATCTTCGTCGTCGGGGCCATGCGGCACCCACAGACCCGTTCTCACATCTTGGATAAAGAACGGGCGGACCTCGTCATTATCGAGACGCGAACAGTGAAAGAAATATTCATCCTTCGTCAAAAGATGCTCCCCACTTCCCCGCCACCACTCCTTCTCCTCATCGACCTCACGCCGCTCAGACACCTGGGCACAGATATTCACCCGCAATTGATAAACCTTCCCACTCTTATGCCTGATCCCTTTGATCTCGCAGACCTCCAACGTCTTGTTGGTTGCCGGACCATAAGTGTGAATGAGCACGAAATCTCCGACGGTGTAAGTTCCGACAACCTGATCGCCGTCCTCGGTCTTGAAGATCTGGGAGAAGTGGTCCACGTCTTTTCCGGCGAATGCGTCCCATTGCTCTTGGGCTTGTTGGGCACGGTAGCCTGGACGTTTTTGGTAGACGGGTTCGCCGTCTGAATCGGATTCGTAGCCGAGGAAGGGTCGAGTCTTCCTCACTGGTTTCTTGTCTTCTGAGGTGTCGCCTGCGGCTGAAGTCAAGCAGATTTGGAAGGAAGCGGAAGCTTTTGGAGAGCCGCCTTCACGACCCTCTCCTCCAACCTCCTCTTCCTCATCATGACTTTCTTCAACGGATTCATCGTCATCCCCGTGCTTCTCCGCAACCTTCGCTAACTGAGCATAATCCCCACCAACAGGCTCAGGGCTAATTGCGACAGTCACTGACCTCCTGCCAATTGTCTCCGTCCTCTCCCTCTGCTCCGGAACAGTAGAGGATGCCTTCTGCTTGTCGAGCCGTTCTTGCTGAAACGCCATAACCTTGGCTTCAACTTGCTCCATTGAGGACGTCAAGTTGAAGGGGCCGCCGTTGGAGGGTTTGGTGACGGGCTTCTCAACAGGTTTCTTAGCCGGCGCAGTCTTCCCCGCTGACGTCGGTGTTTTGACCTGCTTGCCTTTCGGTTCACCACTTGCTAACAAAGGCTTGGCTGCGGGTCCTTTAGGCTTCTTTGGTTGCGGCTTGGCTCCGACGCTGTCGTCCGAGTAACTGTCCTCATCCGTATAATGCTCCTTGCTCCTCTTCTTGGTGGCCAAAGGAGTTTTGGCGGATGTCTTCGCCGGCGCTTTCGCGATAGACTTGGTCATATCGGACTGAGCAGACTTGGCCGTTGGCTTCGTCGTGGTTGGTTTCGGTTTCGTCACCACCTGCTTCACGACTGTACTTTTCTTCGCGGCCTCATCTTCCTCCTCTGACTCTTTGGTGTGGGTGACAGAGTTCTCATCACTTTCATCGCGTATAGTCGGGGCATTCTTCTTTGCAGTCGCCGTTGAAGGCCTTTGAATAGACACAGCGGGCTTTTTGCGCGTTGTTCCGGGCGCGGCCTTGCCACGCTTCGCCGAAGGCGGGGAGACCGGAGGAGTTGGGGTTGCGTGGCCGGCATTAGTGATAGCACTGAAGGACATGTAAGCAATTATGTACAGAGCCAGCAACCTCTCCAGAACTTGACGTACCCTTTCTTGGCTTTCTTCACAGCTGCTGCAGACTCCATATCTTTTCCTCCATTGCTGCGTTTCCCGCCCTTCGCTTGGCCAGCACCATGCTCCTCTTTGACATTATCTTCATTCTTAACCTTATGTTCGTCTTGCTGACCGGTCTCAGCCAACCTCTTGAACTCGGTAGCTATCTCCGTAGCTGTCTTTCCCTGGATCGCCGACTGAGCCGTCTTCAAGAAGTTCCTCAAGATTTCCTGCTGACCAGTGGTAAACGTCGAGTGCGAAGACGTCCACAAGTGATTGTCATAACGATCCCTGCAGTCCTTCTCCGTGAGTTCCAGGTCCGGATTTCCAGCGTTCAGAACATCGGCGATGTCTTTGTACGCCTGCTTCATCCTCACCATTGCGGTGAGCTGCTTGTCCAGACGTTCGTTCCAGCTGACATTGACCATATTGGCAGGGTTACTGACAGTGTCTCCTCAATGCGAGGAGGTCATTATATAGGAGCGAGCTCTCGTAGTCCCATCTGTAAACTGTGTATGGGGTCGTGTGATCTCGGACCGTGTTATCTGGACCCTTGTTCGGTTCTCCGCCGCACTCGTCGGCTCCGTCATTGTTCTCACGCATGATGTGACCAGAGAGGGGGCTGGTAAAGTTTACCATTAACAAACCGCTTGTTCGAGTAGAATAATTTACGAACCTGCGTTTGACAACTGTAAGATGCTGCGCTACCAGTGCAGAAGTATTTCGGTGTGGACTAATTTCTCACACTACGGGCCTACGACCTTTAGACTTGATATTCTTGTCAATTATACACGGAATATACTCATGTCATTGACAAACAGGTGATCAGTTTAAAAAAGCTTCTATAGATAAGGACGTGGAAAACTGGGTACCGTAAGTGAGGGGGGTGGTGGGTTTAAGGGTGTGTACAAGGTATCGAGAGACTGCAGTAATACACTTCTTCTGCTTATGTACTTCTCAAGCTTGTCTTCCTTGTCTTGGGCCGTAAGGAATGCTCACCATCGCCGCAGCCCTAGCTCCGCGCATCATGATAATTGAATTCCCACAACGTAGACGTCGATAAGTAGTCGTGGCAAGTCACCACATCTGACAGAGCTCTTACAGTTCATTGAGTCGATCAAGGTTATCAATCAAGGTCGAGCATAACGATGCATTACAGCTATATCTGTGGGTGTTAAACAAACTGACTGCCCAACCCTTTGGCGTCGAATGTTGTGGTGGAGTTCTGGATGCGTGGGACTTACGGCTCACGATTGACGACGTTCGTTGTATGTTCTCCATTGAACTCATACTTGAAATACGCCTCAGGCTCCCTTCTACTGTGCCCTCGCTATCTCGTCATCTCCTCCTTCACAACCCTCCCCAATAACTCCGCCATCTTCTTCCCACCTTCCACGCTCGGCTCAACCCTCTGCACATAGTCCCTCTCGTCCGTCCCATCCAACGCATCCGCAAGTAAACACGGAACGACCTTCACGCCCTCAATCTTGATCTCCTTCGTACCTAACTCATAAACTTTCCCGATCGCAGCTTGGAGCTTTGCGGGAGTGCTGTCGTATCCGAGTTTTTGGAGGGAATGATCTGCCCAGCCGCCCGATGATATTGGTGGGCCGGGGTTGTAGATCATGCAGACTACCACTGCTTTGGGTTTGGTTTTGCTCACGAGCTTGTTCACGTACGCGGCAACTTCGTCTCGGAACATATGGACGAAGTAACCCATACCAGGAGCATGACCAGTGTTGATCAGAGCTGTAGGCGAGAGCAGCATCGTCGCCATATGCGTGATCGTACTCATTGACGGAGCGAGTACGATATCGTTTGCGCCGACGGAGACGACGAGATAGTCGTTCGGTGTGATGTTATCTCGGATGAACTCGTCTTGTGCCAGCAAAAATTTGGAGCGCGCTGACAGTGTCGTGGCTTCAATTGCGGCATTCAGTACCACAGCATCAGGGTTGATTTCGTTATTCAAATGCCATGCAACGTCTTTGATACACCGTGCCGGCTCCAACACGCCCTCATACGCCTCCGGTGCTCGCCCCGCACACCTCTCATCTTGATAAGCCGCCGGATCTGACTTTCCCTTTGTAAACAGCCAGTGCTTATTGTCGAGGGATGAATCACCCGCGAAGAAAACGATTGGTCTCGTGGGATTCTGGGAGCGGAGGTGGGTGTGGAGGGTGGAGAGGTGGGAGAGGAGGTGGCCGTTGTAATTTGCGAAGAAGTCGACCGTAGAGAGTTTGGACATTTTGGAGGTGAGGTAGCCGAGGGACATGCAATGTGGAAACACAGACTTGAGGACAGTGAAGTGGGTGAAGTAATTGCTTGAGCTGAAGTGGATTGATCCCTCGACGCTGGTGATGTAGATAGCTGCGATGAGCAACGAAAGGATTGCCAGCAAAGAGATCCAAATAACCTTAACGTTTAAGCTCTCATTCGCCACCGCTATTCCTGCCAAATTCCGTCATCATGGCATTCTTGTCGGGAAAGCGCAACCGGGAGCCCCACACTCCGGGGGATCTTGCAGCGAGTTGCAGTGACGGCTGTCCTCGAGCACTTCGCCGCGTGATCCGTTATTCTTGCAATGCCAAACGACGATGCCCTTGCCCTTGTACCGGAGAATGTCTGGGCAGCGTACGACCGAATCAAACCCCTCATCCACCAAACACCCCTCTTCGCCTCCCGCACCCTCTCCGCCCTCGTCTCCTCCCCTTCCTCAACCACCACTACCTTCTCCGACAACACTCCAACAACCCTAGTCTTCAAAGCCGAATCCCTCCAACGTGGCGGTGCCTTCAAAATTCGAGGCGCAATGCACGCCGTAGCCCGGTTATCTGAGGAAGAACGTAAGCGTGGTGTCTGTACGCATTCGTCGGGGAACCATGCACAGGCACTCGCGATTGCTGCGAGAGAGAGTGGTGCGAAGTGTTGGGTCGTGATGCCGGATACTTCACCTGTACCAAAACGTGAGGCAACTGCGGCGTATGGGGCTACGATCACGTTTTGTCCGCCGTTGGAGAGGGAGGAGACATTAGCGAGGGTGCAAGAGGAGACGGGAGCGGTATATGTTCCTCCGTACGATGATCCACGGATTATCTTGGGGCAGGGCACCATATTTGTGGAGTTTGTGGGGCAGGAGGAGGAGTTGGACGCGATTATTGTTCCAGTTGGCGGTGGGGGGATGTTGGCTGGCTGTGCGCTCGCTGCCTCTGATCCGGAACTCTACGGACGCGTAGGCGGGAAGAAGGTCAGGGTTTTTGGAGCGGAGCCGTACGAGGTCAATGACTGCGCCCAAGGCCTCGCCTGCGGAACTCGCGTCCCATCCCAGCCAAACGGGCTAAAGACAGTCTGTGACGGCCTCCGCACCCCCGTTGGCAAAACCAACTTTCCCATCATCCAGAAGCACGCCGAAAAGGTCTTTACGGTCACAGAAGAGGAGGTCAAACGCGCGATGAGGCTCGTATGGGAGAGACTTAAGCTAGTCGTGGAGCCGAGTGGGTGTGTCGGGTTGGCTGTGGTGTTGAGTGAGGCGTGGAGGGAGTATGGCGTCAACGGGAAGGTTGGGATCGTGTTTAGTGGCGGTAATGTGGATCTAAGCGAGGTTTTGGCGTTTAACAAGTGAAGGACGGTGCCGGGGCTTCGGTTGGGGGAGCTCCAGCGAGAGCTCCAGCGATACCTTGAATACCCATACCCCGACGGAGGCCCAACGGCAGACAATCATCAAGCAGAACTTCTCAACGAATTGTCTGAATACAACCTGACAAGTTTCATGTACATCGTCGGCCTATGACAGTCGTGTGACATCACCCCCGATTGGCATGATTGACCTCCGCTTACGCGCATCGCTCCACACCTTAAATCCGGAGACGAAATCATCGAGAATCTAAGAATCTCAATACCCAACCACAAAAATATTAAGGTCAAGAACAATGTCGTTCGCTATGAGCCCTGATCAGCCGTCAACTGCAGAAACACTCGGCCTCCTCGACTCCGCAGCCCAGAAAGTCGCCACAGCTGCCTCTTCCGCCGCCTCCGCTATGCGGAAAGCCAGCTTCGGCATGAGCCCCAACCCGGATGAAGTGGCAAAGACAATGAACGAGAAGTTGTCCATGACGACAGAGAAGGTGCACGAGTCTGCCTCGAGGTTCTTGGGAACCGCTGCCACCACGCTGCGGACCGCCGCTTCGTCAATCATCCCTCAACCCGAGCCCTCAACTTCCCTCGACATCTTCGCCGCCGCCCTATCCCTCAACCTTGCCACAACATCTTTCAGCGGTCATCTCATTCTCCGTCCCCTCCCCAACACCCCCTCCCTCCTCCCAAACCCCCGCGACATCCTCAACACCACCAACACCCACATGCCGCCCGCCGGCCTAACCTACCACCGCGCCCGGATTCTGCCCGGTAAGCGCGTAAGCAACCATGAACCACTTGCTGTCGCATATTGTATGAACACGGACGATGTACAAGCCGTCATGAAGGCTTATAGGGATGCGAGGGATGCGGTTGGGGGGAAGCCGAGGGTTAATGTTAGGAGTGGAGGGCATTCGTATGAGGGGTTGAGTTGTGAGACAGATGCGGTTGTTGTGGATGTTTCGGCTATCAACCACATCGAGCCTGTTGCTGTTGGAGAGGGAGTGGGTAATGAGGAGCACGGGGCAGTCGTTAAGGTGGGGGCGGGGATCAAGACTGGCAAACTCTACCACCGGATCGGTCAGTTGAACAAGGAGTATCCTGATAAGGGCTACGGCTTAGACTTCCCGGCTGGTGTGTGTCCCACTGTTGGAGCTGCTGGTCTTGTGTTGGGTGGAGGTTACGGGTTCTTGGCGAGGAAGTTCGGTCTTGCATCAGATCACCTCCTTGCTGCTACCCTTGTCACGGCCGACGGGAAAGTGATTCGCGTCAGCCAAGACTCCACCGGCGACGAGAAAGAGCTTTTCTGGGCTTTGAGAGGAGCAGGCGGTGGAATGGTCGGAGCCGTGACCGAGTTGGAGTTGGGTCTCGTCAAGGTTCCGGAGATGTTGACCGTGATTCGAGTTGAGTATCCCTTCGAACAGTCGCTGAAGATCATGGAGGCGTACGAGAACAACTTGCCGGACATGGACGAGCGGTTGACAACGCAGTTGACCTTCGTCGGCAACTCCCCCGCCGTATTCCAAGGAAAGTTCCTTGGTACCCCCACTGAGGCAGTCAAACTTCTCCGCGAGTGTCCTTTCCTCGATGGCACCCTCGAACCATTCCACATGGACTTCGTTCACTGTCCTCCAGCCGAGGCAAACACAAAGTTATCCCTCGAAGACCCCCACATCACCAACACCGCGAAATACGAAGAAGAAGCCGAGCCCGCTACAAAGATGTGGGAACTCCAAGAACCTGCTTACTCCAAGAAGAAATCTGACTTCATCTACGCACCGCATCAACTCGGGCCTGAGGGTCGCCAAGCCATCTATGACAGACTTTGTAAGGATAAAGAAGCCGTGATGCAGTTTGAGGCGTATGGAGCGAGTTTCAAGACGCGTGGGACAGAGAAGGGGCCGTATCCTCATACCGAATCCGCACGTATCTCGCTCCAGTATTGGACGAATTGGACTGATGCTTTGGAAACCGCTGCGAAGGAGCAGTCGATGAACGAGTGGGAAGATGCGCTCTCGCCATTTAGCTCCGGCGCGAAGTACAGGAATTACGAGTGCACTCGTAACGCCAAGAAAGTTGGAAAGACGTATTTCGGAGGCGGGGAGGGATGGAAGAGGGTTCGTGCAGTGAAGAAGAGATGGGATGCACAGAGCGTGTTTGGGCATAGTGTTGATGGGAGTTTGGAGGAGGGGGAGGCGAGTGAGGGGGAGGGTGGGGAGGTTGTTGCTGATGCCGCCGTTGTTGAGAAGGCTGGTGCTGGGCAGACGAAGAACGATGAGCAGGAGGAATTGAAGAGTGAGAGGAATGGGGAGGTGCATGAGCCGTGTACGGAGAGGCCTACAGATCGGGTTGATGAGGAGGAGTTTACGGTTAAGGGGGCGAAGGAGAAGTACGGACCTGGTGCCTTTACAGTGTAAAAGACAATGAGCATTAGAGAAGGCTGAGAGTACATTATATATTGCTATACCCCATGTCCTTCATTTTACTGCCAGTCTACTTCTGTCTGGTCAATGAAATGAGCTCTTGAGCGTGCGATAGTTGTGTGCCTGGTGTGGAGAAATCAGATGGAGTATGTGAGAATAATGGATGTAGGACTTTGCAGTAAAGAAATTTAAAAGCGACAGATAACGTCCCTTTTATCTCTCCTCCGCGTATTTCCGCATCTCTTATGGTATGCAAAACTCCACTACGTACATCTCAGCTTACATTCTTACCTAGCAATGCCATCGCGTTCGATTCCGAGGAGTGCTGACCTCAGTCAGTAATCAGCTCAGTGCAGGGGGAGTGGGGGTGTATACAATGGTCTTTGACGCCTGTTTAGCTGCCGCTGCAGCGTGGGAATTTGAAGGCAAAGAGTCCGGATCCGCGCAACGATGGCGAAGGTCTGGTCACGCTATAAACAAGGCAGATAAAGACATAGGAGGTCGAGTAAGGGCTCAAAATGATCATATGGATCCTTAACAATCACGTAGTGGCTCTGCTTCCGGTCTCAACGCCTCGATCTATCAGATCATACTGGGAGTCGGCTTGAGGTCATAGCAGCATAACTCCTTCTAGAAACCACTAAGGAAGCGCCGTAGGGGGTCATTTGATAGGGGGAGCTTCAGGGCACCTGTTTTGCGGCAGAGGTTCGTCAATTTCGGCTTCTCTGATCTTCTTGAACTGAAAGAATTGTTCTCGGTGTTTTTATGCACGTCGATGCGAATATATGCATTACCATGCGCCAGCATCGAAGACACTTTGAGCTGCCGCAGCTTCAAGGGGAAACATGCTACACAAGATCCAAGAGTACCAATCGATTGCTCGAGGCTTCGTCATTCCATGGCCGTCTTTACTTTGTACTCTCAGCCTCCAGCTATACTGGTCTATCCAGTTACGTGCTCGGCAGGTTATTCGTGCATGCGCAAAGCGGTCGGAGCGTGGGAAGCCTACCTACCCAGTAGGCACGGAGGCACGCAACTCTGGCTGGCAATCTCACACTTTCATTCTGGTTCGTAATGTTTAAGCACCTCATTAGCTACCCAAACTTAACCCCTAATGTTCTCATATCATCTACTTCTTCTTACTACTCTGCTTAATCTTCGCCTTCTTCACCTTCTTCGGCAACTTCGTCTTCCTCTTCTCCGCTCTCTCGTCCTTCGCGGCTTTCTTACGTTCCTTCTTTTCGTCTTTGTCTTGGAAGCGTTTGCCTTTCGGTTCGGCGGCGGGGCGCTCCACCCAGGAGTCTGAGTCTGAGTCGGAGGAAGTGTCGTCGATTGAGACGGCGTCGTATTCGTCTTCGGCTTCGGAATCATCCTCGGCGTCGGCTTCGGAGGAGGCGTCGTCTGTGACTGATTCCTTCTTGGTATCGGGGGTGAATTTGACGGCGGGTTTGGAAGCAGGGTCCGTGTCCTTGTTCTTGATGATGGCAGGTGCTCGGGGAGCCAGAACCACAACCTCCTCCCCATCCGTCACCTCCTCCTCCTTCGGCAACGCGTCCTTGGCAACCTCCTTCTTCGCCTCCTTCTTAGCAGTTTTCTTCGCATCCTCCTTCGTTACCACAGCTGCAGACGACTGAGCCTGCTCAGGCAGTTTAACGAGATCTTTGTAGATAAGACCTCCACCCTCACCCGCCGCAACCATATCCGCATCCCTTTCGTAATCATAAACCTCCTCCAACGTCTGCGGAATATAACTCTGTTCCCAAACAACCTCATCCCGTTCCCTCTTCACCCTCGCACCCTCTTCCTCATGTTCAAGCGTCTGATGTAAATCATCGAGGATGGCTTGCATTTCGGGGTGGGTTGTAGGGTGGTTCGGGTCCGTGATGAAGTCGTAGAGGACCTTGGTGGGAAGGGTAGAGGCGCCACGGCGGCGGAAGTAGTCTGTGATGTTGGTTATGTCCATGCGGAGGAATTCGGAGGAGCGGGGGTGGTCGTGTTCGACCGATTGAGAGACGTCGATGATATAGAGCCCCGTTCCCTTTTTGTACAGGATGTTGTATTCTGATAAATCTGCGTGAACCAGGTGACAGACTTGGTACATGATGCGGTAGAGGCGACAGAGCTGGTCGTAGAGGTCTTGGTATTCCTCGTCGGGAACGACGGCATCTTTGAGGCGGGGGTATGCCCAGCCGGCTTTGTTCCCGAGGAATGCCATCACCAATACATGCAACTTCAACAAGATCGGCTCAGGAGACGGGATACCGGCACTGTATAGACGCTTCAAGTTCCTCATCTCCTTCTCTGCCCAGACCTTGACCATCTTTCTCGGGTTCCGCTTTGAGTAACCGTGTCGGAACCGGTACTCACCACTCACGTATCGATCACGATCCTTGAAAACCAAGATGGAGGTTTTGTAGATCTTGATTGCGCGGTGTTCCCCGGATTCGGTGGTGGCGTGGTAGACGTTCGCTTCCTTTCCCGTCGAGATACATCCGTTGATTTCGTATACGATGCCGCGGTTGATCATCTTCAACAGAATCATGCGGGTACGTGGGTCCAACACCTGTTCCGACGTCGCACGGTCGGCTTTGTCAGTTGCGTTTTGGCGGTCTCCACCGCCAGAGGCTTTACCGCCCCATGATTCGTTGAGGTTGATACGGGATGCGAGTTTGGAGAGTGCGACTTCTTCATTTTGCGTGGCAGCCTTGGGGGCGGTTGCTGTTGGAGCTGCAGCGGCTTGTGGGACTTGGGTGTTTGTTCGGGGAGCTGTGTAGCCTGGTGCTTGCTGGTTTGCCACAGCTACCAGTTGTCGTTGACGGTTGTAGGCTTTTGTGAAGTCTTTGCCTCCCTCTCCCCAGTCCGCGTCGTTAAGATCATCCTCGTAGAAGTCATCTTCCTCCTCGTCCTCGTCATAGTCGTCATCGTCCGAGAGCTCAGCGACTTCCTCGGGCTGGTAGCCAATTTGGTCGACGTAGGTGAATTGCGGATCACGGGCAGCTGCGTACTCTGTGGAAGGAGCGGGAGCGTCGTCGATTCGTGCAGCCTCGGACATTGTCGTTCGTCGCTTGCTGAATGGTATGGTGAACGGATCCGAGAGAAAATAGAGGTGGCAAGAATCAATCGAGGACTGTTCACGTTGAATTGACGTAACCCAACTTTTTCGCACACCCTAAGGCGAGAACCGACAGCATTTTGTTAGTCGGGGAGGAGGCGATACACAGATTATCTCCTCGAGGTAGTAGGCAATTCCAATCCATTTTCGACTCATATTACGCTGCTTCACATTGTCTATACACGTCTCTTTTCAAAGGACTGTGTGCACGGTAATTTAGGGACGGACGCGACGCCGGCAGCAACGCGCATCGAGGAGGCTCCCCACAAGCCAGAGTACGTTGACCGCCTTCGTCCCATCATATACCCCGTCCGTTTCGTCCGTCGTCGTCGCGTTCGACAGTTCATCTTCTTTACTCGTGTCGTTGACGTCCCTCAAGGGCCTCGGTCGCAATGCACATCAAACAGGTTGGTATCCCCGCCCCAACACGCGTCAATGTCGCCGTCGCATCCCCTAACACTTCACATAGATCATCATTCAAGGGTTCAAATCCTACAAAGAACAGACCGTCATTGAACCCTTCAGCGCGCGCCACAATGTCGTCGTCGGCCGCAACGGCTCCGGAAAATCCAACTTCTTCGCCGCAATCCGGTTTGTCTTGTCCGATGCCTACACCCACATGTCCCGCGAAGAACGGCAATCCCTCCTCCACGAGGGCTCAGGGACAGCGGTGATGTCAGCATATGTAGAGATTATCTTTGACAACTCGGATAATCGCTTTCCGACGGGGAGGGATGAGGTTGTGTTGAGGCGAACGATTGGGTTGAAGAAGGATGAGTATTCGTTGGATAGGAAGACGGCGAGTAAGAGTGACGTGATGAATTTATTGGAGTCCGCCGGTTTCTCGAGGTCGAATCCGTATTATATCGTCCCGCAGGGTCGGATTACGAGTTTGACGAACGCGAAGGATCATGAGCGTCTCCAACTCCTAAAAGAAGTCGCTGGTACGCAGGTCTACGAACAGCGCAGGTCGGAGTCGCTGAAAATTATGGAGGAGACGGAGTCGAAACGGCAGAAGATTGATGAGTTGTTGAAGTATATTGAGGAACGCCTGTCTGAACTCGAAGAAGAGAAGGAGGAGTTACGTGGGTTCCAGGAAAAGGACCGTGAGCGGCGGTGTCTCGAATACACCATCTACGTACGCGAACAACAAGAAGTAAACCTAGCCCTCGAAGAACTCGAAGAAGACCGCGCAAACAATGTCAACGCGAACGAAGACCGAAGAGAAATCTTCATCGAACGCGAACAGAGGATCCAGGAATTGGAAGGGGAGATTGCCGGGGTTAGGCAGAGGCTGAATGCCCTGAGTGTGGAGAAGGAGCAGTTGGATGAGGAGAAGAGGGAGGCGGTGAGGAAGAGAGCGCAGCTTGAGATTGCGGTAAACGAGCTACAGGAAGGACGAGAAGGCGCAGACGAACGTCGTGAACAACACGCGCAGGAGCTCAGCGAAATCGAGGCGGAAATCGAGACTGCGGAAGCTGAGCTCAGTGATTTGTTGCCGCAGTACTCCGAGGCAAAGGGCGCTGAAACCGAGGCCAAGTCACGATTGGATGAGGTCGATGGCGAGTTGCAGCGTTTGTACGCCAAACAAGGCCGCAACGCACAATTCAGCAATAAACGCGAACGCGACCAGTGGCTCAACACCGAAATCCAAGAAGTCCAATCAACCCTCGCTCGCCGTACTGAACAAGAACAAACTCTTGCATCCGACGTCGATGATCTGCGGAGACAGTGCGACGAAGTCGCTGCCTCCATCAAATCTCTCCGCCAACAACTTGATGGACGGAAAGATAATATGGCGAAGTTGAGGAAGGATGTCGAGGAGGCGAAGAATGTGCGTGCTGAGCTTGATGATCGGAGGAAGGAGTTGTGGCGTGAGGATGCGAGGTTGGGGGATGTTGTGTCGAACGCGCGGTCGGAGATGGAAAAGGCGGAGCGAAATTTGAATCATGCTATGGATCGGAATACTTCGTTGGGTTTGGCAAGTGTGAGGAGGATCATTGCCAACAACTCTATTCCGGGGGTGTATGGACCGTTGTGCGATTTGTTTGAGGTTGAGGATCGGTACAAGACTTCGGTTGAGGTGGCGGCCGGTGCCTCATTGTTCCATGTCGTTGTTGATACCGACACCACGGCTTCTCGTGTCCTCGAGGTCTTGAACAGGGAGAAGGCTGGACGATTGACCTTCATGCCCCTTAACAGGCTGAGGAATAAACCTGCGAATTACCCCGAAGGCGCGAACGATGCGATCCCCATGATCAAGAAATTGAAGTTTGACGAAAAATATTCGCAGGCGTTTAGGCAGGTTTTTGGAAAGACAATTATCTGCCCGAACTTGGATGTGGCGAGTCAGTATGCGAGGTCGCATCAGTTGAATGCGATCACGCTTGGTGGTGACCGGTCTGATAAGAAGGGTGCGCTGACGGGTGGATACCACGATACCCGCCGTTCGAGGTTGGAGAGCGTGAAGAACATTAGGAAGTGGCGTGCGGTGTTGGATGCGGAGAGTGTTCGTGCGAATGAGGTCAGGAAGGAGTTGGAGAGGTTGGAGCAGGAGATCACGCAGGCACTGTCGAATATCCAGATCACGGATGCGAAGTTGAGGGCCGCGGAGGATTCGTATGGGCCTATGAGGAATGAGTTGTCAACCAAGACGAGGAATGGGTCTGCGTTGAACGAGGCTCTGGTGAAGAAGGAGCAGAGCCATGCGAATGCGAAGTCTGATCTTGCGCACTTGAATTCTAGGTTGGAGAGTTTGCAGGCGGAGTTGAGGACGGCGTTTACGTCTACCCTGACCGCTGCCGAACAACGCAAGCTTGCGGAGTTGACGGGACAAGTGGATGAGGCGAAGAGTGCTTATACCGAAGCTGCAGGTCGGAGAACTGAGTTAGAGACCAAGAAGAATATCGTGGATGATAAGCTGCGAACGAACTTGTATTTAAGACGGGATGAGTTGAATGAGTTGGTGAGCGAGGATGTTGATCCTGCGGGTCAGGGAGGATTGGATGCTCAGCAGGCCGAATTGAAGAAAGCTGATGCTGTCGTGTCGGAGCTTGCGGATAAGTCTGATGAGCTCGAGGCTCAGATTGAGGAGGCGAAGACAGAGTTGAATGATCGTGAGGCTGAGAAGGGTCAGCTCCAGCAGCAACAGACCGAAGATGCTCGTGCCATTGAGAAGCAGCTCAAGGGTATGGAGAAGAACATGAGCAAGCGGACAATGCTGTTACAGAAGAAGGGGGAGTGCAACCGGAACATCCGCGATCTGGGTGTCTTGCCTGATGAAGCCTTCGAGAAGTATACCAAGATCAAGTCTGAAGTGATCGTGAAGCGCCTGCACAAGGTCAACGAGGCTTTGAAGAAGTACGGCCACGTCAACAAGAAGGCGTTTGAGCAGTACAACAACTTCACTAAGCAACGTGATCAACTCATGAAGCGTCGTGAGGAACTCGATGGGTCGCAGGAGTCTATTGAGGAGCTTATTGCGCATCTTGACCAGAGGAAGGATGAGGCGATTGAGCGTACGTTCAGGCAAGTTTCCAAGGCTTTCTCAGAGGTGTTTGAGAAGCTGGTGCCGGCTGGTAGGGGTCGCTTAATTATGCAGCGCAAGGTGGATAGGCCTCAGGATGACGACGACGAGAGTGACGACGAGGAAACTCAGCGGGCAAAGAGCTCTGTGGAGAACTACATCGGTGTGGCAATCGCCGTATCCTTCAACTCCAAGGGCGACGAACAGCTCCGCATCCAGCAGCTCTCAGGTGGACAAAAATCTCTCTGCGCCCTGGCCCTCATCTTCGCCATCCAACAGTGTGATCCCGCACCCTTCTACCTCTTCGACGAGATCGATGCAAACTTGGACGCGCAGTACCGTACTGCTGTTGCGGCTATGCTGCACGAAATGTCCGAGCACGGACAATTTATTTGCACGACTTTCAGGCCGGAGATGATTGAGGTTGGAGATAAATTCTATGGTGTTACGTTTAACAATAAGGTTTCTGGAGTGTCGGTGATTACGAGAGATGATGCGAGGTCATTCATTGAGGGTGCGAGTTCATAAACGAGGCGATCATGGAGGAACCAGCCTACAGGACGATATTGCAGCAGTTAGCCATGGATTGGCAGCGTTATAGGATACATCTCAGGACAGCTACTGGCTAAATTTAAATCGACAATTCTTAATCTGCTTATCGTGGGCGGCACATTATCATAAGGTTTTTTAGTTGCAGCTACGGGTGCTCCCCGGCGCAGGCTGTCTGTGCACAATGCGTGGGTACGTCAACCCATCCATCGACAATACAGATCGCCTGAAGGTTCGAAAGAATGTCCTGAGGTGCAAAGATGCCGTCCGAGTATGCCCTTTTATCGCATGCTATTGCGCTGTGCTGACAAAGAGCAGATCAACCGGCCTAAAGATCAGAATCAAGAAGCCCCGTGCGCAGCCAGGGATCGAGATCGTACCGCAAACGATATGTCCAGTCTGTGATCTCTCCATCTCGACTTCCGAGATTGATGCGCACTACGATGAGGAGCTCGCGAAGTTCGATACTGCGCCCGTGATGGGTACTAACCGTCGAGGTGCCGCTGCTGTGGCGAGGAAGAAGGTCAAGGACGTTACGACAACGCTGGCTGGGACGAGACGGTGCGCTAAAGCGGATGCGAAAGCGGAGGGGCTGTTAACCACCGTACGCCGCAACCGGAAAAGACGGAAAACGGAAGCGTTGACGCGAGCGAGGAATGCTGCGAAGGAATACGATGAACCCGATACCGCGGCAAGCACGTGTCCAATCTGCTCCATACCGGTCTTTGGATCTCTCGAAGATGTCTCCGCACACGTCGAGATCTGCCTCGAAACCCGACGGGAAGCGGAACGAAGGGAGAGGGATCGGAATGGATGGGGGGAGGAGTACTCGTGGGCTGGACAGAGTCGGGTGCGTGCGACTGCGTTGATGGAGGGGAGTGGACATGTGCAGTTGGCTTCGACTGGGAGTGCTTCCAAAGCAAGTGGAGACGGAGATGGGGAGGATGATGTTGAGGTTGATATTGATGGGGATGACGAGGTTGTTTATGGGGAGGCGCAGTATGGGGAGGAGAGTTTGAAGGTGGTCAATGCTGTGGTGGAGACAGACGCGCTGGGCGTGTCGGAGGGTCAAGAGCCAGAGGTTGATGTGGACGTAATGGAAACAGCCTGGATCGAACCCCCAGGCTGGAAAGATCACTCAACCTCCACTACAACACCCACAAACCCAACCAACCTAGCCGCCACCGACCTCCTCCTCCACTCCCTCCGCACCCGCATCCACGAACTCGAATCCCAATCCCAACACGCCTATCGCTGCAACATCTGCCTAGGCCCCTACAAAACCCCAGTCATCAGCGTCGTGTGCTATCATTGTTTCTGCGAGGAGTGTTGGTTGCAGTGTTTGGGGAGTTTCCAGAAGTTGTGTCCGCAGTGTAAGAGTATCACTACGCCGAAGGATCTGAGGAGGATCTATTTGTGAGGGGGTAGATGGTATATTGGTATGGTGTGAGGGTATAGGTAGTGGTGCTCCTTGAATACATGATGCAGCTCATTCCTCCTCCGGTTCTGCACCTGTCAGCTAGACTGTTTATAGAAACACCACCCAAAGAAACGCTTAAACCACGACGGTTTCTCGTGCTGCGCTTGCGACGACGACCCTACCGCGTGAGAGCGGTAGTGCTCATTCGCCATCGTCGCGTCCTGAATAAGCCTCTGTCGACGTTCTTCATGATGCTCCCGGGCTACAATGCATCATCGTCAGAAACACATCACACAATTCCGATCGAGCAATACCTAACCTTGCTCCATCTCGTGCCTCCCCTCCTCCGTTAAGACTGGTCGTTCATGATCAAACGAAGCATGCGACGGTTTCGCGACGTGATCCGGTGCAGCCAGTGCCGCCTCTGGATTGCTGAAGCTGAAGGTGCGGTGCTTTCTCGGAGGAGTCATGGTCGTTTGGTGCTTGGAGCTTGGTCTACGATCGCAATTGGAGGTTAAGGAGGCCAAGGAATATTAATGCCAAGGGATTCCAGGGTGGCTAGCTGGAGGCGTATGAGGTGCGCGGAGACATCCATGTTGTCAATTGATCTGCTGCAACGCGCCGTCGATGATTTGCAAACGGCGGTCGTGGGGAATGAAGGAGTTGCGCGCCGAGGGTAAATTGAGCCGACCGGCCTCTTTTCTCGGAAAATTCAAAAGAGACATTTCAGGGCTGGTAGTTCTTGAACAGTCTGCATCTGCTTTCAATTTCACGATCGTTGCGAGGAACCCTGATACATTCCGACGGATCGTCTGCAGCTTCCGTGAATTCCTTTAATGTAAATGTCATCTATCCAATCCCAAGATCCTCACCGCATTTCCACCCATAACCCCCTCACCTCCCTCTTCTCCAAGCACAGCCTTCACAGCAGCAGAATTCGTCGTAACACTCATCCACTCCTCCCCGTCTTTGCCCTTCAACGGCGGGAAAAACGGATGATCAGTCCCAAACATAACCCTCCCCTCGCCCACCAACTCCGTCGTCGCTTTGAGTCCAACCTCATGATACACTACAGCGTCATAACACATCTTCATCAGGTATTCTGACGGTTTGAGTTTGAGACGTGAAGCGACTTGTGGATCGTGCGCGACGCAACTATCCAGCCGTCCAGCGAGGAAAGGGAGTGTTCCACCGGAGTGGGCGAGGAGAATGCGGAGGTTTGGGAATCGGTCGAGGACGCCGGACAGGATTAGGCGGACGATCGAGGTTGTGGTTTCGAACGGGAATCCTAGGGCGAGGGGGAGTACGTGCCCGTTACTCCGGGGCCCGAATGATTCGTTTCCGGTGCCGTAGTGCGGGTGGAGGAAGATCATGAGCCCTGAGGCTTCGAGGGCGGAGTAGACTGGGTCGAGGGCGGGGTCGTCGAGACCGTGGCCGAGACCGCGGGAGCCGAGGATGATGCCCCGGATGTGGGGGAAAGTGGATGTGATGGTTTCGATCTCTTTCACGCAGGTAGAGGCGGCTAGGGAGTCTTCAACGAGCGGAAGAACTCCGAAGGCGAAGAGTCTCCCGTCTGATTCAGCACAGATCTTCTCGATATCGGTGTTCAACATTCTCGCCATCGGTGCCGCTTGTCCCAATCCCAGGAAATCCAGCCATGGGTTCGCGAGGGAAATAACCGAGATATCAATTCCGTGCTGATCCATAAACTCCATCTTCTTTGCAATGTCATAATACTCTGACCCAATTGGTCGGCCTTGTGAAGTATCGGATGCGTGTTTCGCTTCGTCGGCGAGGATTACGAGACGTTCGTCCCCGGAGGGGAGGGTGAGGACACGAGGGACTTCGGAGCGGGAGCGCAGCAGGTCCATGTAGCGGGGGAGGTACACATGGGTGTGGATGTCGACAACTGGGCTCTTCGAAGTCATGGTGGAGATCTGGCGGAGAGGAGAGGAGATCGGAGGAGGGTGGAGGTGCTGGGTTGTCATCAGTGTTCGTCGAAGGGCAGATCTGGTAAACATATTGGTTGTTTCTCGGGAAAAGAGCGCAGCGTCATTTGATCTGTGTTTTGGGGCTCGGCCAGTGCGGACGGGTTGGCCGACGGTATCCGAGGACACGTGTAGGCGTATCGAGGCGGGGGGATCCCAGCGCAAACGATGATAAGATGCAGTCGCAAATGTCGGATCCTTACCGAGCCTCTAGACATCTTGTCTTTTGCAATTCAGTGACTTGTCATCGACCTAATCACTTCAACGACGACAACGATGTTTCGAGTGACTCGTATCCTTCTGAAAGCTCACCCAGCTCCCACGGTGAACCCTGTCGCTACAGCCAAGGTAATCAACAGCGCAACTTCCGCCTCCCCCGACTCCTTCCACATCCCCATCATTAACTTCGAGCCCTTCTTCTCCGGCTCGCGTCTCTCCAAGGAAACAGTCGCCCAGGAAGTTCTCTCAGGCTTCGTCAATTCAGGGTTCATCTACCTCAAAGGCTGGGAAAAGGTCCTTTCGAAAGATGTGGTGAATACGACGTTCGAGGAGAGTGCAAGGTTTTTCGCACGTCCAACGGAGGAGAAAGCTGAGTTACAATGGATGACGCCGGAGTCGAATAGGGGATATGTCACTGCTGGACGCGAGCGTGTATCACGTCTTGCTTCCGTGGACGAGATTGAGAAGTTGAAGAAAGCCAATCCCGATATCAAGGAGTCCATGGAAATCGGAAAAGAAATGCCCGCAGACACACCCAAGGAATTCACCAACCGCTGGCCCAAAGACGATGAGCAGTTCAAATCCACCATGACAAACTTCTTCGAGAAATGCCACGCCCTCCACCTCGAAGTCCTCTCCTCCATCGCGCTTGGCCTGGGCTTAGAGCCCCGCTGGTTTGATCAGCATTGTGATGCGAAAGACCATAATCTCCGTCTTCTGCACTACCCTTCAGTCAAGAAGGATCAGATCAGCGCAAATAAATCGAATCGAGCGGGTGCGCATACGGATTACGGCACCATCACCCTCCTGTTCCAAGACTCAGCCGGCGGACTGGAAGTCCTCTCCCCTACCGGTCAGTATATCGCCGCTCCACCCATTCCCGGCACGATCGTCGTTAACGCGGGTGATTTGTTGGCACGCTGGTCCAATGACAAAATCATGTCAACGGAACACCGTGTCGTTGCTCCAGCCTCTTCACCGGATAATGATGTGTATCCTGCAAGGTATTCGATTGCGTTCTTCGCGAATCCGAACTACGAGACGGAGATTGAGGCGTTGGAGGGGACGTTTAGGAATGGCAAGGAGAAGAAGTATGAGAGGATTAACACACTCGATTATCTTGTGCAGAGGTTGACTGCTACGTATGGAAAGAAGTAGCCACAGTGTATATACCCTAACATACCGTAACTCGATGAATTTACCACTTTCTACCGGAAGCAATGGCATACCGTAGTTGCAGGTCTAGCCATACCTCGCCCCTTTATTGTCCTCAAACCAATCAACCCCCCCAGCCTCACCCCAATTCACAACTGTACTTTTACACTTCAAATACCCCTCAAAAGCCTCCACCCCGTTCTCCTTCCCCATCCCACTGTCCTTCCACCCACCCCACGGACTACTCGGATCATTGTTGTGGTGGGTGTTGACCCACACCAACCCTGCGTCGAGTTGTTGAGAGACAGAGTGGGCGAGGGAGAGGGATGAAGTCCAGAGTGCGGCGCCGAGGGCGAAGGGGGTAGAGTTTGCGGTGGCGAGCATGTGGGCAGGGGAAGGGGAACGGATAAGGGCAATGACAGGGCCGAAGACTTCCTCGTTTGCCAAAGCCATTTCGGGTGTGACTTCGATTACCGTTGGCTGGAAGAAGTGGCCTTTGCCGTTGACGGGAGCGGGGGAACCTCCGCAGAGGAGCTTCCCGCCTTCGGAAAGGGCTTGGTCGACGAAGCGTTGGCAGCGGTCGATGGAGGCGCGGTTGATGACTGTGCTAACTTGTGTCTTCGTGTCGAGTGGATCACCGATTCTGAGTGCGTTTGCTTTGGCGACGAAGGATGCAGCGAATTGGTCGTAGATATCTTCGTGTATGATGATACGGGAGCCGGTGACACATGTCTGCCCCGCCGCAATGAAAGAGGCAAACAACGCTCCCTTCACTGCGCGTTCTACCTCGATATCGGGGAATACCAGAACTGGCGTCTTTCCGCCAAGCTCGGCTGTGACAGGGATCAGGTTCTTTCCAGCAGCAGCACAGACCGCACGTCCAGTCTCTGTGCCACCTGTTAAATCGATCTTTGCAATCCGTGAGTCTTCGCAGAGTGCTTTTCCAGTCTCAGCGCCGAGACCACAGACAACGTTCAACACACCCTCCGGAATCCGCGCCTCGAGTGCCATCTCCGCAAAGAGCAGAACACTCACAGGTGCCAACTCACTCGGCTTCACCACCACACTATTCCCCGCCGCCAACGCCGGTGCAATCTTCTTGATCGCAATCAGGAGTGGATGGTTCCATGGGGTTATCTGCGCGACGACGCCGAGAGGGGAATATGTCAGCGTATTGAGCATCTTCCCTTTGAAAGGTGGGATACGTCCTGTATGGGTTCGAGCAAGTGAGGCGTGGTATGTTAGCCATTCCGGAAGCCGGGCGAGTTGAGCGTTCATCTCGCGGATTGGGCGGCCTGTTTGGAGGGATTCGTCTGTGCTACTTGTCAGCATGTCATTTTAAATTTCCATCAGAAACGGTTGCACATTTTGCAAATTCTGACATGCGTGATTTGAGCATGTCCGCGAGCTTTATTAAGACGTCGAAACGGTGGTTGACGTCCTTGTTGGCCCAAATACCCGATTGGAAAGCTTTCATTCCGGCGGTTACGGCAGCGTTGACGTCGGCTGGTGATGCTGCATCGACAGTACATATGATTTCCTCAGTCGCTGGATTCTCAATCTCGATCCGTTGGCGTGAAGACCCAATCTCGGCGCCGGGAAAGACGTTCGTGTAGTGAGGTCGGAACATTGAATGGAACGGCCGTCGCGCGGGAATTGCTATGTCCAATCTTCTAGAGGAAGACCAGCGGGTGCTTCCACGAATCAGTTGCCTAAGAAGTGACATTGCTCGGCGGCCGTCTTGCAGACAGCTGAGCGTCGCTGGTCATGGCGGTCGTAAAGGTCGGCAAGGTCATCTCGGCTGCTCATCAGCTGGGCGTATCGCTGGTTCACATGTCCTCGGGTGGCCGAAATTCCGACTTCAAACGACCCGAACATGTTGCTGTTTGGCTCGTCTCTGTGAAACGATGTTTCTGTGACAATCCGAATACTTCCAAGATATGTCCATCCAGCCTTCCGTGTCTTCGTTTTACCCATCTTCTCGCCGAATGCAGGAATTCTCGCCGAGCGCCGGCGCATCACGCACCCCGCATTCCGACCTCTCCAGGTTTGAACCTAGGCTCCGAAAGTATAATTAACCCCGTCGTCCGCCTCTGATCCTACCGGTATACCCTCCCGTCTCGTGTATCAATCGCACAGCAACTATGTTCAGACTGTCTTCGTTCCGCGCTTTGGCTCGTGCTGGTGTCAAGGGATCTCCGTGTGTAAGGAGTATGGCGACGCAGGGTGGTGGTGCTTTCACAAAGTACAACTGGGAAGGTCAGGAGGATCCGTTCATTGTTGGGATATGAATCACCAGACTGACCCTTCTGACAGATCCCCTCGACTTGGACCACTTCCTTACCGACGAAGAACGCGAAATCTCGAATTTGGCTCGTGATTACTGTCAAACTCGTTTACAGCCTCGCGTACTTGAACAGTCCCGTCAAGAAAGTATGTTGAAACGGAAGAGCGTCATAAAGGTGGTTTCTAACCGTTTCCTCCTACAGGCGGCGATCACAAGGAGATTCTTATGGAAATGGGTGAGCTCGGATTCTTGGGTCCTACGATCGAGGGGTACGGATGCGCTGGTGTGTCCTCCATTGCCTACGGGTTAATCAACCGCGAAATTGAAAGGTAGGTACGGGGTTTCGACAATTTGAATTCATTTATTGACTGATCTTTCGCTACAGAGTCGACTCTGGATACCGCTCCACATCCTCCGTCCAGTCCTCCCTCGTCATGCACCCCATCAACACCTTCGGAACTCAAGAACAAAAGGACAAGTTCCTTCCTAAACTCGCCAAGGGAGAAATCGTTGGAGCTTTCGGACTCACCGAGCCCAACCACGGCTCAGACCCTGCGTCAATGGAGACAACCGCGAAGGAGAATAGTGACGGGACCTACGAACTCAATGGCTCCAAGACCTGGATCACCAACTCACCGATCGCGGACGTGATCGTCGTTTGGGCCAAATGCCAATGGGACGGAAAGATCCGTGGCTTCTTGGTTGAGCGCGGGATGTCCGGTCTCGAGACGCCGCAGATCAAGAACAAGATTGCGTTGAGGGCTTCGGTGACGGGTATGGTCCTCATGGACGGCGTCAAGGTTCCGAAGGAGAACATGTTCCCTGACGTGACAGGGTTAAAGGGCCCCTTCTCCTGCCTCAACAATGCCCGTTTTGGGATTGCGTGGGGAACGATGGGCGCGCTCGAAGGTGCACTTGATATTGCGAGGACGTATGCGTTGGAGAGGAAGCAATTCAACAAGAGCCTCGCTGAGTTCCAGCTTGTGCAGAAGAAGCTCGCACAGGTCAACACCGAAATCGCACTTGGTCTTTCTGCTGCGTGGATGGTCGGCAAAGCCAAGCAGGACGGCCGCTTGGCGACGGAGATGGTCTCGTTGATTAAGAGGAATAACTGTGACAAGGCACTTCAGGGAGCGAGGTTGTTGATGGAGATCTTTGGGGGGAATGCGGCTGCGGATGAGTATCATATTGGAAGGATTGTGAACAACTTGTTCGTTGTGCAGACGTATGAGGGACAGAGTGATATCCATGCGTTGATCTTGGGAAGGGCGATTACTGGACACCAGGCTTTCTACTGAGCACATGTGCTAGGCAGACATAAACGTTGTACGATACCTGCGATTTTTGGAAGTAATCTGATATTCATTGCTATTCTTACACACCGTTCTCCCTCATGCTCTTAATCCTGAGAAACCTTGACAACCATCCTAGCAACCAAGTCTCCCTTGTGCATCTTCTTGAAGATATTCGTCAACTCGCTCAAATCCTCGACCTTGACGATCGGCTTCACCAACCCCCTCGCAGCCAATGCCAAAGCCTCGACGGAATCCTGGCGGGTACCGACGGCGCTACCCATGATGCGGATGTCCCTGATAACGAGCTCCGCGGGTTCGACGGTGACGGGGCCGGAGCCACCGGGGATACCGACAGCGACGAGGGTACCACCGATAGCAAGGAAGTCTGGTGCCTGTGCGTAGGAACGAGCGGAGGAGTTGACAACAACCACAGCATCGGCTCCCTCGCCGTCAGCGGCATCACGGACGGCCTTGACGATGTTGTCTCCCTCCTTCATGAAGTCAACGAAGACGTCCGCACCGAGACTCTCGCACAACTTCTTCTTATCATCACCACCGTCGATCGCGATGACACGGTATCCCATCGCCTTCGCATACTGAATTCCAAGATGTCCAAGACCTCCTCCAGCACCAGGAATAGCAACCCAGCTGCCCGCCTCCAACTTCAGAATTTTGAGGGCCTTGTACACCGTAACACCACCACACAAAAGCGGAGCAGCAAGTTCAGAGTCGAGGCCGTCAGGGATAGGGGTGACGTATTTCGCGTCCGAGAGGGTGTATTCTTGGAAGGTACCGGGTGTACCGACGGCGCCGCCTGCACCGGAGATCTTTGCGCCGGCGCACATACAGTCACGGTCGTGCCAGCATTGCTTGCAGCTCATACAGATCGTGGCGAGCCACTTGATCCCGACCCTCTTTCCGAGAAGACTAGGATCGACGCCAGCGCCGGCAGCGATGACGTTCCCGACACCCTCGTGTCCGCCAACTCCGCCATCATCACCACGGACAAACGACCAATCTCCAAGCATGACATGGAGATCAGAATGGCAAACACCCGAATGCGTGATCTTGACGAGCACCTGCCCAGGTCCGGGCTCGGGGACCGAGAGCTCGCGGACTTCGGTGGCGACTTCGCCTACTTTGGTGTAGACTGCTGCGCGGTTGGTTTTGGGAAGGGAGGAGATCCCTTTGGCGAGCTGGACGTCGGAGGCGTGAGCACCTGGCATTGTGTTTGTGTGATTGGTAGAAACTGGGGGTTGATGGGAACCTTGGAGGGTGGGGAGAGGACTATATAAAGGGCCGGGGATTCAGGGCTCTCGTTCTCGATTCGATGACAGAGATCCCATACCCCACTGCGGGGGGATGCTATCCGCAGGGAAACGTATATCCGAGGTGCGGTAAACAGCTCGTCTCGACGGCTAGACTTCCGTCGGTCGTATCTTTCCGCCGCACCTCGAAGCTCGAGCTCGAGGCCTGAGGATTACCAGTGTGCGGGGCAAGCGTATCACAGGGCGGATGTTTGCACCCTGATCAGATTAAACGGCGCAAGTTTCCGAAGTTTAGTATTGCGTTGTTGACAGCTTGTGAGAACTATTCATCTCATTACGGATGGATACATCCGCCGTCTTCTCCGCAGTATCGATCACGAGCACACTCCAGCGCGGGAGCGGCTGTGTACAACTGCCGTATATCGCATCCGTACGGAAATCCCATCTGCAGATCCATGCTCAAAGCTTAAGTCTTGAGCAATGTAGTTCATCAATATGATGTCGTGATTGGTTGTTGTCCCAATCGTCGGCGCGGGTGGGCGCATCCGCCCTTGCTTTCCGCGTGACGTACACTGACGGGAAGATACATGGTAGATAGAAGATGTCTTGGTGATTCGAATTGCAAGTGTGTCACAGCCCGGATCCGGGGTATCTTTTATTATCATGACTGCTACCTTCGTCGAGGATCCAAGTAATGAGCATGGCAGATCGCCTGTTCCTCCGCCCAGTCGACAGCTGATCATGACATGCCAGTGTACGGTACACCATCGAACGCAATTTCAAAACCGAAAGACCCGTCATATTCTGTCGAATAAGATTGTTTCTGATCCCATTGAATTGAATAATTGTATGGCTGGCTGGCTGGCTGGCAGATGCACACAGCAGCATTACAGTCAGTACCAGCCACTCACACCAAAGTCAGCTGGGAGCGCATTCCCAAATAGGAAACTGCCAACCCGCCCATAGTTTCAGCCCTCGAGAAGAGCAAAGGAAAACGATACAGCTGCTATGGCTATGATCTCAGCTATCGAAATTCGGCTCTTCCGAGGGAAAGAGAGGCGGAAGCCATGTGCGCCGTTAGAAAACTACGGTGACTCCCAGCTGCTGGGATCATAACTTTTGCCATTGACCAACTTTACCTTCACCGTGGTTACAGCAGGACTGGATCTTTGACGAAGAGGGATCATGACGACTGAATCAGCAGCTGGACTGCTGCTGGAAGCCGAAGCAAGCCTCAAGGCCGCGGGAGCCAGGACGACACTTTACTGCACGTACGTTTATCGCTGTGGGTCTTGGCGGATCAATTGCTGACCCCTCCGGTGTAGTACGATATACTGGTCAATCATCGGCGGCTTCTTTCTCTTACGCACCATATACCATCAACTTCATTCACTCATGCTATACTGCCGTCTTCTGCGATCACGACGAACACCCAAACCACGGATCGTAAGCCAACCTTGGCGAATCACAGCTTTTTTCAGAAAACACATCATCATCCCAGCACTCTTCGGCAATGCGCATATCAGACCGGTCACAATCTTCGCCATCAGCTTCGGTACCCTCCCAACTCGACTCGAATCCATCTTCATCTTCGCCTACGTCGCGATGAACGTGATCCTCTGCTGCGTGGGTATCACCACAGTCCCCGACAATGTCGTCCTCAAAGGCACCGTCGGCCAAGTCGCAAAATACGTCGGTGCCCGAACCGGAGTCTTCGCATTCGCCAATCTCCCCCTTCTCTTCGGACTTGCGGGAAGGAACAACGTCCTGATCTGGTTGACGGGATGGGAGTATAACACATTTAACATGCTGCATCGGTGGGTTGGGAGAGTTGTTGCTTTGCAAACCTTTGCGCATGTGGTTGCGTATGGGGTATTTACAACTTCGGATGCGGATATATATTCGGTGTCGCTGTTTCGGAATCCGTGGGCGATGGGGGCGACGATCGGGTTGGTTGTGATGATGTTGGGATCAATCAGCCATGTCAGGAAGATGGCTTATGAGGTATTCCTGGTCATCCATTTGATTATGGTAGCGCTGTTTATGGTGGGAAGCTACGTACACGTCCTGAAAGCGAATACGGCACAACTGGGCTACATCCAAGCAGGTCTCGGGATCTGGGGATTCGACCGTATCGTCAGGCTGCTACGCATGTTCGTCACCAACATCCCCTGGACCTGGCTCTTTGCAATCTTTCCCAGCTCACGCAAGATGAAGCGATGCAGCGAAGTCTACCTGGAGGTCGTTCCGAGTGATGCAGTGCGGTGCACCGTTCGTGTCCCTACCGGGTGGAACTTCATGCCGGGGCAGTACGTGTTCATGAGTATCCCGCAACTTGGGTGGAGTGAGTCGCATCCGTTCACGGTGATGGAATATGTGGAGGAGGAGGAGGAGGAGCAGGTTGAGCGTGTGAGGCAAGATTCGGCGTCGAGTATTGCGTCGGATGCGACGTTGGTTGGGGATTGTGATTCTGCGCAGATGTATGATGTTGATTTGAAGAATAGGGATGTTGAGAAGGCGATAGAGGTGTCATCCGTTACAGAACTCGATAGGCCAGGTGTGGGATCGACGTTTACGCTGCTCATTAGGCCTCAGACTGGGTTCACCAAGCGCTTGTTCGATCACGTTACGCGAAGCCCTAGCACTCGACACTGTCCCCTGAAGGCCGTCGTCGAAGGCCCATATGGTGTCACCCACCCTTACTGGTCCTACGAAAGCGTCCTCCTAATCGCCGGAGGAGTCGGGATCACCTACGTCATTCCCTATATCACCGAACTCATGCACCGCCGAACCCACGGCGAAACCCTCCTCACCCGCCAAATCCACCTCATCTGGGCCATCCGCTCCGAATCCCAACTCACCTGGATCGAACCCTACCTCCACAAATGGCGGGGACCCCTCAGCGAAGGCTCGATGCGAATCGATATTTATATCACGAGTGAAAATCATCCTGGGGCGACGTGGGAAAAGGGTGCGATGGTCAGGTGGGGGAGGCCGGTGATGCGAGATGTTGTGGAGGGGGCGGTCAGGGAGAGGGTTGGGGGGTTGGTTGTGGGTGTTTGTGGGAGTGCAGGGATGAGTGATGATACGAGGAAGGCCGTTGCGGAGGTTGGGAATGGGGAGGTGGAGTATGTCGAGGCTGCGTTTACGTGGTAGACACAACAGTGACAGACCGAGAAAGCTATTGTGTACATCTTCAGTGGTATTGTGGGTGGGCGTGACTACCGTGGGAATTCTGCAAGTTTTAACTCGCACAGCACCGCATACATCCAGCACCCGGAGTCTTTTGAGCGTAACGTCCTTCCTTCGCCGGTTCTAAAGCGGAATTTTAGTAATGTTACGGTTGATAGTGGGTTTGAGGCTATGTGTATGAGTGGGAGTAATGAGGGGAGTAGGGAGGAGGGGGTGAGGGGGTGAAGAGGGTGAGGTTTTCTGGTCAAGCTGGATAGTTTGGAGGTGTGACGTTATGCATACAGTAGCCGTATCAGTAACCAAAAGTGACTGCTTTTTGCCCTTCGCTCGGTCTGCCTTCGACGACCCATCCCATGCTGCCGTCCTTGTTGAACTCCATGATGATGTTAAAGACTGTTTCCAGATCTCCAGCTCGACAAATAGCTCCCGGCTGATTCTGCTCATCCGACAACATGCTCCTGATCCTTTCCTGCCCAACCTCGGCAGGCGCATTCTTAATAAGCTCTCTGATCCGAGTAAGGCGAACAGGTGAGTCGGTCAACCATTCCGGATCATCGTCGATCTCGTCTTTAAGCGTGTCAGGTATGGCGACGAGGTGGTTCGTGTGCGTTACCCAGCCATGCTCTGAGTCAACTGCGAAGACCCCCTTAGGACCGACTTCGCACCCTTTTGCGTCTGTGTGATCCGCAATGAGGAAGTGCCCGAATCCAGCTACTCCTCTCTCCTTCTCTAGCATCTTCACCGCGTTATTGAGAGATGTCGATTCGAGCACAAGTCGGAGAGCGAGGTGGATGGGCGGGAGTGTGGGGTCAAGGTTGGTCGCTCGGATCGCGTTGAGGCAGACACCGACGCCAGACGAATTCAGCCCGATCTTTCCGATGATTCCAGCTTCGGTGACCATACTAATCTTCGGTTTCCCATCCGCGTGGATATGAAGGAGGATCATATTCTCCTTTTGCTCATGTTTCCAATCCCAATTCTGCGCCAACCACGTACTCCCATCAGCTCCACTGGTTGTCGAAGGACATGCCAAACTCGTACACCCATCCGAAAACTTTGTCAACGCGATCTCTGATCGACAATTCAATGCGACGACATCCAGAACCTCCACGCCCGCACCATCCGCCACGCCCTTCATCTCCTCGTATAGCCAAGGCCATTTGGATTGGATGTTTGGAGTGAATGTGGAGGCCATTTGTTGGACTTGGGGCCAGGTTCGGCCGGCGAGGGATTGGAAGAGGGAGGCGTAGAAGGCTATGCAGCGTTTTATGGCGGGGGAGGCCTGTTTGCCGTGGGTGTGGCCGATCTCATAGGGTGTGCCGGCGCAAGTGATTTGAGGGAATGCCATGACGGAGGGAGTGTAAGGGAAGGGAAGGGAAGTAATGGGATGGGATGGGATGGTTGAGCTTTGCGGGCTTCTCGTCGAGTCGGGTGCGGGGTGAAAGTCGGGTCCTTCGGCTAAGTCGCGTGGGATACGAATATGAAGTCTTTCAAACAGTACACAGTTGTCGGAGAAAATGTTTTCTTTTAAAGTTTTATAGCAAGTATATCGCTTTTCGCTGGCTTCTTTGCAGCCCTCGTCAGCCGGAACCCTGACCATTTTGTATGCCCATGACGTCGTGCCCAACCTCCGGATCTTTGGCCTTATCGATGAACGACAACAAACTGAAAGCACTCAAAACAACACACCAACAACCAATTTGAACGGCCCTCCTGATCAATCGTTCGATATACCCGTTCTATCCCTAGATCATAAGACATTGTCTAGCTCAACATGGCTCTGCCGTTCGGCAGATCCTCCGCAATGAGCGTACGGGTTCTTCTGCGCCCAACAGTGCGACATAGTAGCTTAGTCGCCCGTTCTCAGCCATCAATGCCCCTCACCCGTCTCTTCTCATCGCAATCTCGACAGGCATTTCGGTCTTCATCCTTTGGGCGCTGGCGCACTCTTGGATTGGTCGCGTTCGCAGCAGTGCCGGTAGTGAGCGTGAACCGAAAGGAGGAGGAGAAAGTGCCTTTGACGCATGAGATGCAAATGCTGGAGGATTCTGAGAGAGAGTTGGCTGCGAGATTGGAGGTGTCGCGGGATGCGCCCATTTGGAAACGATTCTTCAAGCGTGTCGCTCTCTGGCTTAGGAAGTGGATCACGGAGCCGATCGCGACGGGGTTCAGATTTGTGCATCTCGTGATCCTTTTTGCGCCTTTGATTTTGGGTATTCCCTTTATTTTCCTTGGGTACAGAGTCAAGGAAAAGGATAATGAAAGATTGGGAGCGTTGTGGTGGTATGCATTCTTAGTGAAGCAGATGGAGAGGGCTGGACCAACATTCATCAAGGTGAGTTGCTAAGAATACTGCCTTGGGATGGTTGCTAACTTGCACACAGCTTGGACAATGGGCCGCTTCACGAACAGATATTTTCCCGACGCAGTTTTGTGAGCTTATGAGTAAGCTTCATTCTAATGCTGCTCCTCATTCCCTTCACGCCACGAAGCGCATCATCACAGAAGCGTTCCATGGAATGAGGTTTGAGGATATCTTCGAAGAGTTCCACGATAAGCCTCTTGGTGTGGGGGCTATTGCACAGGTACGTTGTCCTCCGCCTTCATATTCAGGACTGCTCGTTAACTAACATGGATGAATAGGTTTACAAGGCAAAAGTCAGGCCAGACCTGCGCCCCCCACAAGCAGATGAAACTGATTCATTCCGCGATCGTTTCACCCCACTAATCATCCAAAGCCCGCACAAGATCCCCTCCGATTACGTTGCCATCAAGGTCTTGCACCCAGGTGTCGAAAAGACCGTTGGACGAGACCTCCGCATCATGTCATTCTTCGCCCGTGTCATCAATGCAATTCCTACCATGGAGTGGCTCGACTTACCGAACGAAGTTGAGAAATTCGGGGAGATGATGCACTTGCAGCTCGATCTGCGTATCGAAGGGGTAAACCTCGCCACGTTCCAGGAGAACTTCAGGAAGAGGCAAACTGTTGCGTTTCCCAGTCCCTATCAGGCCTATGCTACAAGAGAGGTGTTGATTGAGGAGTTCAGCCAGGGTGTGCCGTTGGGGTTGATGTTGGATATTGGAGGTGGTGCGTATGAGGTTGAGATTGCGGATATGGGTCTGGATGCTTTCTTGGTAAGATTAGTGGTGCGAGGTGAAGGAACGCATGCTAACAGTGAATACAGCACATGCTTCTTCTTGACAACTTTATCCATTCTGATCTCCATCCTGGCAACATCATGGTCCGGTTCTTTAAGCCTACGACGGTTCACCTCACTCCGAAACTCTGGAACAAATTGTTCGGGCCAAGTCCAGACCCGAATGCAAAGCCACCAGCAATTGAGCCTATCGATGATGCGGTGCAACGCCTCATGCCTCTTAGGCATGACAAAGAAGCCTGGAACGCAGAGTTGGATCGAATGTATGCGGAAGGATATCGTCCACAGCTAGTGTTCATTGATACCGGGCTGGTCACCGAGCTCAACGACATAAACAGACGGAATTTCCTGGACTTGTTTAAAGCTATCGCTGAGTTTGATGGACATCGTGCTGGTGTCTTGATGGTCGAACGCTGTCGTCAACCAGACGCGGTATTAGACCCCGATGTCTTTGCACTACGAATGCAGAACCTCGTTCTTGCGGTCAAAAAACGCACATTTGCGCTCGGAAACATCAAGATCGGCGATATCCTGAACGAAGTTCTGTCTATGGTACGAACCCATCATGTGCGTATGGAGGGTGATTTCGTCAATGTGGTCATATCTATCTTGCTGCTAGAGGGTATCGGAAGACAGCTCAACCCCCAACTTGATCTGTTCAAGAGCGCTTTACCTATGTTAAGAGAAGTTGGCACACAGAAAGGCACCATGGGAGGAATGATGTCGGATGAGACGAGTGGTATGCTTACGTGGTTGAAGGTTTGGGTCGGTCTGGAGTTCCGATCTTTCTTGTCGACGTCAGTTTCCGAGGTTGAACATCTGGTAGCTCATGACCTCATTGCACCCAACATCTAATGTATGGAGGAACGTGATAGGAGATATTTTAATGCAGGTAGATCGTAAGGTATAAATATGCTATAGAAATATCTTGCCCGATGCAAAAAACGCCAGATCTATTTATTATGAGATCATATCAGTGTGGCTCCGCACACCTTTTCATCCTTACAACTTGTGCCCAGGATCTGAGCCTTCCTTCTCCATTCACAAGCCCCACCTGCTACTCCGGCCAGCATATGACAGGTCATCGTAGGACCAGTCAGCCTTCTCCAGAGCATTAACCAGGCCGTCAACCCAAACATCACGACTGGGGTCAGCATTCAACATGCCAGTCACATCGGTGGGTTCGAATTGCTTCCTGCTGGGCGAATCCGACTCTCCGAGGACATTTCCGTTGGGCTTGATTCGGTCGAAAGTTCGCATCAAGAACGCATCAAGACCGGATGAGAAGTCGGCTAACAAGTGTCTGGCCTCCCGGCTGCCGAGATAGAAAGGTAACCAATCATCAATTTTGATGACTGCCCTGCTGACTGAGATGTTGCCTCCGAAGAGAATGGCTGCCAAAGGTGATATTCTCGTTGTGTCTGATAGGACAGGCCCCTGTTTCTTGTCGCCTCCCTCAGGCCTGTTCTTTCCCGAGAAGCAGTACACGGACCCTGGAGTTAGATTCTCACGCTTGTAAAAGGAATTCGTAGAACTCATAGCGATGATAGCCTTATTCTCGTGCTGCGTACGGAGTAACTTGTCAGTAACTGCCATGGCAACGTTGGGATATAACCCTGCATATATGAGTGCGCGAATGAGGCTATTGTTCCGCGAATTCTTGTTCAATTCCTCGGGTCCAAAGACGATGGATTTCTTCTTCTCTACCCATGTTTGGCGGGGGACAAGACCAGCTGAGACCAGAACGTCGTTAATCTGGTCGGCAGCACGCAAGACCGTCATGACAGTGCCGAAACGGATATTGTTAGCTGTGGCCCAGCCCCTGGCTGCTGCGGGCCCGTTTTCCAGTATGATCTGACGCACTCGACGGAAAGCCTCAACAAGAACGAGATGATCCGAAGCTAGCCCGGGGCATATATTCTCTTTACCCGCGCGGGCCTGTAGTGAAGTGGTCCCAACAGGCTTGAAGAAGATGTTCCGATTGCCCTCAGAGGCTGCCAGAACGATCATAGGGTCCAGACATCGGAAAATGGTGCCGAGCAAGACCATTTTTCCGATTTGTGGCGTGACCGGAAGCTTCGATAGCATGACACCCAGAGGCGTCATATTCTCATCCTCGTCAAGGGCCTGCAAAAAGGTAAGGCGCTCCAAAGCAGCTTTGACTGCATACGACGGTGGTGACTCAATACATTCATCGAGCACAGATTTGACATCGCCAAGACCAAGCGACTTGATATCCAGAGCAAGTTCCTGTAAATCCACTCGTAGAAGTTCAGGTGTCGGGTGCGTTGGCATATTCTCGTAACGACCAGAAGACATGAGTGTATAATAGTGACCGTTCTGCACACGACCAGCACGTCCAGCACGCTGACGGGCATTGGACTTACTCACCCAGTTGCAAGCCAACGAAGTGAGACGCGACATTTGATCAAATTGCTTCTCACGCTGTTTACCAGAGTCCAGAACGTACACAACGTCTGGAATAGTTATCGAGGTCTCTGCGACGTTAGTAGACAGGATAATCTTCCTCACGTCAGGAGGCACCTCCTCGAAGACCTTCTCCTGCGCATCAGGAATTTCGGAGTGAAGCAGATATACGCGATACTTACTCTCATCCTTGAAATCGATTCTCATGACACGTGGGTTGTCGGTCAGAAATTTTTGGACCTGAACGATTTCAGCCAGACCTGGCAGGAAACACAGAATAGATCCCGTGGGAGTGGTGTTGCACAAATGACCCACCATACCGGCGATTAAGCCTGTGGGTACATACGCATCCAGACCAGTCCTTTCGATCACCGTCTCACCATACACATTGGTCGAAATCCTTCTGTTCCAGTCGACGCTGGTCGTCAGCGTATCTTTCGCCACAGGAAGGAAAGAGTCCTGGCCATTGTCCACAGCACTGGCATTCGCATTCAAAGCCTGAGCATTCGAAAGCTCCCCCTGGACCCAATCGTCGAGTTTCTTGTCATACAGGAATGGTGCAGCCTGCTGCGAGTAATTCTTCCGCAACACAGGAACAAGCTCTTCGAGGTAATGGTGAGTGACAGGGAACGTACGTCCCGGAATCGAGATAGACGGACATTCACCCGACTCGAAATCCTCGCCAAAGTATTTGCAGAAGAGCTTTGGATCAATCGTCGCAGACATAAGCACGATCTTGATCGGGTCTTTCCCGGCAGCTTTGCGTGCTCTGGTAATACGCTTGAGCACAACAAGTAAGAAATCGATCTGGATGTCACGTTCGTGGACCTCGTCAATCATGATATGCGAGATACCCTGAAGGGTTTCGTCGGCGCTGAATTGAAGCTGAGTCAACAAGGTACCGGTGGTACAGTAGGTGATGCTACCGCCGTGCGTCGCGGGAACATTCTTGAAACGCACACGGTAACCGACGGATTGTCCCAGAGTTTCGCCACGTTCAACTGCAACACGTTCGGCGACACTGGTGGCGGCGATACGCCGAGGTTGCGTACAGATGATGTTACATTCAGCTCCCCTTCCCTTGAGAATATACTCGTCAAGCACGAGCTGAGGCAACTGCGTCGTCTTTCCCGAACCTGTAGCACCGATCACGACAGAGGCAGAGTTCTCGCGGACGATCTTGGTGACGTCCTCCTTGTTCTGGCACATCGGCAGCTCGGCCTTCTTGCGACGGAGTTCCTCGTATTTGGGATCCTTCTCGAATTCCTGCAGACGGTTAAGAAGGAACTTGGACTTTGAAGCATATTGCTCACGAGGAAGAAGCTTAGTTCGTCTCCTTCTGGTACCGTCTAGGCCTATATCAGGATCCTGACTGGACGAGTCAAGCAAAGATTGCACACGTGCCTCAAGAGATCTCGCATGCTGAAGAGTTCTCTGCATGGCATGCCAGGCTTCGTCGGTGATCGACATATCCGCTGGGGTAATGGGCAACAACACTTCACCATTTCCTTCAGCGAGCTTGACGATAAACTCAGACCAATATTGCGGGTGCTTCTGTTTCAAGTACACTGCTGCATATAGCTGCGCAAGATCAGTTGCTATTTGCTTTTTGTTATGAAAAGCAGATCCGAGGACTTCGCCAGATGAGTCTTTCACAGTTGCAGTAACACCAACTTTTGAGGGTTGGAGATCAAAACTTGGCGCGCCACCGCTCTGGCGATAGGCAAAACGAAGGAAATCACCTGCGGTGTCTGCAGAGGGATGTGACATGTCTTTGACGACAAACGTTTCATCACCGTCATTTCGAGCATGCCACAGTTCAGCTGCACGCTTGAACTTAATACAAGCATCGTTTTGAGCCTTGCTTGCTTTCTCAGCAACAGCTCTAACCCAGATATTTTGCTCAGGTAGCTCGAGCGTGCAACTCCACGGCTTTCCTTCCCTAGTATCAACCTTCACGGTTTCCAGTTTAGGCACTCTGTCGAAACGAGCGAAGAAGTTTGCGACATCCAGCAAAGCATCGTTATTCTGGTCCCGATTCTTAGGATCCACAACATTTACGCCGCCCTGAAGGTAGTCCTTCAGGATATCAAGCTCTTGCATCTGGTAAATGAAGTGAAGGTAGGCGTTAGCCGCTGCCTCACGTTTGCTTTGGCCGTGACCAAGACCACGTATGCGTGGCTCGTCTTTGCTGCAGGGTAATACCTCGTCCAGAGTTGCCATATGTTGCCATTCACTCCCCGCAGGACCGGATAACTCTATCGTAGCCCGAGACTTACCAGGAACAATAGAACTAACAAATTCTGGCGCAGTCTTTTTGCATAGGGTTACTGCCTGAAATGCGTTCTCTTTGGTGTTGGCCATCCACCGAAGATCATTATGAAGGGCCCCGTAGTTCTCCTCCAAGTACCTCGCAGAGTAAACGATGTCTGGGAGGGGGACCTTGGTGGCCTTGGTGACCTTAGGCTTCGGTGGAGGCGGCTTTTTGTTGTTGGCAGCAAGGCCCTTGGGCTTCCTCCACGCCGGCCTCGGCGTAGACGTGAACGCAGCGGTCTGAATGATCAAAACACCACCTGCCGTCAGCGGCGCTGGTACGTGCGACGCCCTTTTGATTGCATGTCGTGTGCTTTGAAGAAAACTCCTCATGTGTAGATAACTATTCGGCGTAAATGACACAGATGCTTGTATCTAGCGGGTATATATGCTGATGCTTGCGAATTCGTGTATGCTGGTGTTTCGCAATGCTGAACTGTTCAGAATGCTTTGCAAGTGTTCTCAAATTCGAATTCGTACTGCGCTGCAGGTTTGAAAGGAAAGGAAAGAATGTCGATGTCAAGGAGGCGAATACTCCGGTTCTGACAGTTGGCCTGCGTATATAGCTGAAGCTCTAGCGATTGCGAGGTGTAAAGTCTATAAGCCGACGGAATGAATGCTGACAACGTCTGCTCTGGGTATATGCTGTCGCTCGTAGAAATTGGTGGAACTGCTATCTCAACTTTTTCCCAATATGAACCGAGGCTACTGCATGCTTCCCGTATCTTCACGTGACGATGCAAAAATCTAGACGATAAGCGCGACCACCATTGAACGCCAGCAGAAAAAACACAAGTCCCGTTCTCGATCCCGCAATATGTCCGACAGTCCTGATCCCTCCCTCGTCGACCAGGATGTTACTTTCACCTCCTTCAACCTCGACCCTCGTCTCCAGCGTGCAATTGCCCGTCTGGATTACAGCAACCCTACCCTCGTACAAGCCAAAGCAATCCCATTAGCACTCGAAGGAAAAGATATCCTCGCACGAGCCAAGACCGGAAGTGGAAAGACTGTGGCGTACCTGATTCCGATTATCCAGGGTGTTCTTGCCCGTAAGACGGCGAATCCGACAGAGAAGGGCACGCAGGCTCTGATCCTTGTTCCTACGAGGGAGTTGGCGGAGCAGGTTACGAAATCGATTGAGCAGTTGACGTTGTACTCTGCGAAAGTGTGTCGATGCGTGAATGTCGCTACGCCGCTTTCTGAGGCGGTACAGAAGCCGCTTTTGGCGTCTTTGCCTGAGATTGTGGTGTCTACGCCGTCGAGAGCGTTGGCGCATATTAACTCTGGATCTTTGTCGCTAAGACCGAGTTTGACATACCTTGTCATTGATGAGGCGGATCTATTGATGGAGTACGGACACGAGGAGGATTTGAAGGCGGTGGTGAAGGGGTGCCCGAAGGGTGTGCAGACGTTCCTCATGTCAGCAACCCTCACCAAGGAAGTCGAGTCGATCAAGAACTGGGGTATGCGCAAACCCGCCATCCTCCGTCTCGAAGAAGGCGACGCAGACAGTGAGAGTCAGTTATTGCAGTACCAAGTCAAGTGCGGCGAGGAAGAGAAGTTCTTGTTGGTCTACGTAATTTTCAAGCTACGTCTCGTCAAAGGCAAAACGATCGTCTTTGTCAACGACATTGATCGCGGCTACAGAGTCAAGCTCTTCCTGGAGCAGTTTGGCATCAGGTCGTGTGTCTTGAACGCAGAGCTCCCCGTCAACTCCCGTCTCCACATCGTGGAGGAATTCAACAAGGACGTCTACGACATCATCATCGCAACCGACGAAGCCGATCTCAACGTCCACGCCGGCGACTCATCCGACGACGAAGCCGCCGTTAAACACGAAGACAACAGCGAACGACCAAGTAAGAAGCGCAAGCGCTCCGGCGCAAAGCAAGATAAAGAATATGGCGTCTCCCGCGGTGTTGACTTCCAAAACGTCTCCTGCGTCCTCAACTTTGACCTCCCCACCACCGTCTCCTCCTACATCCACCGTATCGGCCGTACAGCCCGTGCCGGAAAGAGCGGAATGGCACTCTCCTTCGTCGTCCCCCTCGACCAATACGGCAAACACAAAGCAACAACTTGCCTCACCGCCAAACGCGACGAGAAAGTCTTGACACGTATCGAGAAAGAGCAGGAGAAGCGCGGGACATCGATTAAACCCTACGCGTTCGACATGTCCCAAGTCGATGCCTTCCGGTACCGCATGGAAGACGCCCTCCGTGCCGTAACCCGCGCAGCGATCCACACCGCCCGCGCAAAAGAACTCCGACAAGAAATCCTCACCTCCGAAAAACTCAAACGCCATTTCGAAGAAAACCCCCAAGATCTCCAACACCTCCGTCATGACCTCGAGTTACATCCCAATCGGGTACAGCCGCATCTCAAGCACGTGCCGGAGTATTTGATGCCGAAGGCGGGAGGGGAGGGGGTTATGGAGAAGAGGAATGTGGGATTTGTTGGGTTTGGGAAGGTTGGGGAGAATAGGATTAGGAAGAACAGGGCGATTAATAGGGCGAAGGGGAAGGGGAAGAAGGCGGATCCGTTGAAGACGTTCAAGGGGAAGGGAAAGCGTTAATCGAGCGCCGTACGACGTTGATAATCTAGGAGCGGACACAGTTCATGGGAATGACGGGCGTGATAGGCTTAGGCGAATTACAAGCGAGTGCAACTCTCCGATGCAGCGATCACCCGTTACCCTTGGAAATCTACGTACGATGCGTAACTGTTTTCCCGACCGCCGTCATATCCCGTCCCAGCTGGGGAAGGGTACCCGCAGCAGCGCCCCGATTGGTATCCCCCCCTCCCATTTCATAGCTCTCCCTTCCCTAGCTTCACCAAGCGTCAAGCTCACACAGCAAGCAGCTGGCAGCCGTCAAAAAGAAGAAAAAAGTAAAAAAAAAACTAGATCCGAGTGATCCGAACGTCATAACCAAATTGCATCCGCATCGACATTCCGTTTCAATACGAATTTCTTGAGGCCACGTCGACGAGTTTGATGATCTCTATGTCCAATTTGTCTCGGACACGCACGCGTTCCATGTTGCCAGCGCCAAGTCCCTCCCTTCAACGTACCACGTTCTCAATTTGCCAGGGTCTAGACTTTTGACATCTCGGAGATATTTCACTTTGACAATTGACGTGCGTTGTGAAAGTGAAAGAAACGATGATCATGATCATGATGGAATCGTAACTTGCTTGTCAATTCGTGGACTACGGAAGACCGTCATTTGTGTCACAGTCGAGACGTCGGCAGGATTACCGAGGAAGATCAGTTCTGGTCGATTGGCGCGGGAGAGAGTGGGTGAAGCAGCGAGGTTTAAGGTTGCCGGGGATCGCATAATACCGGGAATCCTCTTTCGCGATCCAGAGCAGTCGATTCGCCCGAACGGTCCACGTGGCCACGTCAGGCTGCCTGAGCGCGCCGCGAGCAAAAAGTCATGATCACCGTGTGCGACCGTGTCGACCGTGTCGACCGTGTCGACCGTGTCGACCGTGTACGAGGCATGAGTCAGCCAATGACGTATGTAGACAAAGCAAAAGCGGTCATGGTTGTGGCGTACGCTTCTAGAACCTCCGCTGCAAACAGGGTCCTGACGTCGTACGTGAGTGAACCCAGCTGCAGGCCATCATCGTGTGCCATGCCGTTTTCGCCACCGAAACCAACGGCCGCCCCGCAGGCCTGCAGCGAACGGGGTACGTTGGGTGATGGAAGTTCGTGTCCGTCGCTGTACTTAAGCTACCCGTGGCCGTGATCGTACTCGTGTCAGCCCACCAGTGCTCGCTCTTAAGACTACACCGAAAGAAACGGAAGCAACTGCGGCGAGCTACACGACGTCATACAGAACGGCAGAGCCCGATTCACGCCTGGACTCAGCCCCGCCTTCTGGCCGTTTCACCCTCGGCATCGCTCGCCTTAATAAACGTGGCGTAAGGATACCGCTGTTAGTCTTGTCAATTGCACGTCAAAAGGCGGAAGGGTCCTGTTAGAGGCCTCGGGGTCGTTTTATAACAACTGTTGTTGCAGTAGCATACACCCCAGATCACGTTGAGCATCCTCGTCAGCTCGCAACGTCGGAGGTTTTCCTTCCTACAGTTTGGGAGACAGTCCATCGCCTCTTTCGGTCGCAACCACTCGGGGTTCGCCTTTCGTATGCCTTGTTGACGGCGCGAACCCACGGTCACACACTTCTTCGCCAAATGTCCGATAGCAGATCAGGGTCGCGCGACTCTACGTCGTCCAGCGCAATAGAAACGGAGCGGCGCCGGCTACCCTCTTTCGCCGAGGTGAGATCTTCTTCATCCGTTTTTCTCGGGATACATGCTGATGATTTGGGGCAGACCTTTCCCGAGTTTCGCATGCTTCCACCGCAAGGACAACCCACCCAAACACCAAATACCAACGCAAATCCATTACCATTACCAATACCACGGCATCATTCCATCAGCGGACCCGTTGGCGGAAGTCGCCCATCATCATTCGAACCAGCATATAGCGTTGAATCAGCAAGGAGCTATGGGAGTGACGAAGGATCATACCTCGCTATTCCCCCACGCCAAATCAGTCCCGAATCACCGGGACAGGAGTCTGCCATATCAGTCTCCTCGGCCACATCGCTGAGAACGAGTCCCCGTGGAACGACAATGCAAATACCAATGCCATCGACGAATTTGCCGCCAATAGGGAGGATAATAGAGCCTCATCCTGCGGCCCCGGCGGCTGCCATGGACACTCCTCCTCATCGGCAAGAAACACCTCGGCAGAGTTCGATGGACTTGGGACAGAGACCGGGGTCGTATGGGCAGAGGACGGAATGGCATTCCTCGACGACGCCGTCATCGACGTCGGAGTACCTCACCTCGTCCTCGGGCTATCAAACCGGGCAGCCGCCCACACCCTTGGGGTATGAGCAATTCCCACCACCGTCGGCGCCGGCTCCAGGCCCGGCTCCACAGTACTACCCGTCTCGACAACAATCGATCTCTGGGCAGTCGACCATGAGATATCCTTCCGAGTCAATGCGGTCGGATACGCTTCCTTCGTTGCTACCTCGTGGATCAGTGTCAGGTGCCTCAAACGCATATGCACCCTACCCGTCCCAATCAGTCCAAATGAGCTCAAGCTATGAACAACCGTCCTATCTCTCATCATACCCTCGCACACATTCCGGATCTCGGTCAAGCCCAAATATGGCATACCAATACCCTCAACACCAACAACCACCCTACACGACCACCGCACCCGCACCGAACCCGGGTCTGCACTACTCGGTTGCTGACCCCTTCAGTCAACCCACGCCATACGATACGCACGGACACCCATCAACCTCCAAGCGCCGTCGCGGAAATCTCCCAAAACACGTCACCCACATTCTCAAAACTTGGCTCAACGACCACACCCGACACCCCTACCCTACCGAAGAAGAGAAAGTGATGTTGGCGGAACGAACGGGGTTGAGTTTGAATCAGATTAGTAATTGGTTTATCAATGCGCGCAGGAGGATCTTGCAGCCGGCTACGGCGTCGTCTGCGCAGGGTGGGGGTGGGGGCGGGGCTGGACAGGGTGGGGAGAGTACCGGGGGGGGTGCGGCTGGTGGTGGGGTGTTGGATACGGGTGGACAGCGGGTTTTTGAGATGAGAAAGCCGAAGGGGGATGAGCCGCCTTTGCATCATTGATGAAGATGAATGAACGAGATGAGATGACATGATAGTAGGGAATGGCATCATGGAGGCAGTCGGGTCATGCTATGGGCTTTATACGGTTTTTCGCATGGTACCACGGTTTTTCTGGTCATGGTCATCGGGATTGCACTTATTTGAGAAGCACAGAGCACGGCAAACTAACGGCACGGCAAAGGGTGCACTTTTTGGTGATTTGGCAAACTTGGTGCATTGCATTCAAATGGTTTTCTTGGGATTGGAATGGGGTGTATTATGGATTATTCAATTCGAGCGGGAGTTTCTTTTGCGCTCTATTGCGTTTTATCACATGTCATTTAGCTATGGGATGTGTTTGTCAATGGACTTAACTTTCATCTTTTGGTATTAGAAGTATTGTAGGGTTCTTGATGGTACGGTATGGTGGTGTTTTCGGTTGAGTATTGCAACTGCAACTGATGGTGTTGTCTGCGACTTCTCGTGTCGTACAATGATCTTCGCTCTTGCCGTAATCCGTCCCCATCATGTCTTTTGATCCGCACGCGGCCCGGACATCCGTGCATCTCCATCCATGACTCTTCTGTGCTTCAAGGCAACTCTCGCATTTTCCTCAGCTCTGCAATTCTATTAGCCAGCCAGCTTTACAACGCAGACGAAGAACGTTACATACGTAATACAGCTCCAACGACTGGCCATTATGAATCTCGTAATCTGCCAGGGTGATATGATCCTTAAACACGGTATACCACTTCTTCAAAACAATCTTTTGGTAGTTGGTACCAGTCTGAGCAGCGATCAACTTCTTGAGGTCGCCGATTGTGTCGTCTGGCATGCACTTGACTCTGATCTTCTTTCCAAGTCGGTCATTGCTGGTGAATCGTTAATGGAAGTTGCACGTTGTTTGAAGGGATAGGCATACCAAAGCACTTCAATCATGGACATGTTGGATTGATTGAGGGATCGTCGTTCGGCTGGGGTAAGCGAAGTTCGTACGTGTACGGTAACGTAGTCGTGCTCCTGCAAGAGGACGTCACCCGACAAAGACATAACTGAAAGCAGTTCAAAGGACCATCATTCTTCTATTAAACTTATCTTGATTAAAGGCCGTGTTTCCTCCTCAGTTACCTGCAAATCGGTACAACATCCGTGCATAAGGTGCCCTCATCTCCTGCCACCAATCCCAACCGCCAGCATTTTCGAGAGCACCGAACACAATTGCTCCTTACGGACCTTTGCTCCTGATCAATTGTCCTTTCTTGTTCCTTTTCGATCTACTTTATGAACGGCAGCACTCCAATGGCTAACGGCACCGCTTCGGGTACGCACTCGCCGTCTGCTCCGACTTCCTCGACTTCGGCGCAGGAAGATGTAATTACACCTGTGACGCAAATGTCCACGGGTGAGGGTGCTCAAGTGCCTTCTCCTGGTATACAGCCTAATGTTCGCTCTCTTCCCTTATTGGCGCCTGATCGCATGGCTAACGGAAGCATCAAATAGGCAACCGACCACTTCCTTTCCTTCATCTACCATTCCTTCCTTACCGCATCATTCACTGATGCGACACTCTACCTCTCCTCCCTCCCCAAACCATACCATCTCCACTCCCTCTTCGCATCCCGCTCTCCCCTCCTCCTCCACCTCCTCTCCCAACAACCCGCACCACCGTACCACATCCACCTCCCCGTCGCCGACCGAAACCTCACACAAGAAACGGTAGGGTTCGCATTGTCGACACTCTACACCCCGACCGCAGAAGCACGAGGTATCCCTGACGGCTTGGATCCTCGAGGAGTATTGGCTGCTGCGGCACTGCTCGGGTTACCTGGGTTGGCGGCAGAGGCGTACAAGGCGTTGACGGCGACGGTGAATGCGGAGTCTTTGTCGGAGTTGCTGAGGTTTGCGTTGGATGGGTCGCAGCCTGCGCCGGGGACGCCGTCGAGTACGAGTTCTGGACCTTCTTCCGGGGCGGAGACGGATGTGTTGGCATATGCGGGTCCGTACCCGCCGTATACCACGCCTCTTCTTCCATTGCTGTTGGAGACCATGACGACGTTGCCTACGACCACGCTACAGACGCTTCTTCCTGCCCTACCATTCGCGATTGTGAAGAAGGTTTTGGAGAGTCCGGCGCTTTCTGTTGGTGGTGAGATGGCACGGTACAATTTCGCTAAGGACGTCGTCGCGCGACGAAAGCCGGTTGTTGCGCAGGAAGGTGGTGCATGGGAGGAGAGTGTTGTCTTGGCATTTGGTGGAGGATCTGGTGGTGTTGAAGTTGTGAGGAGGCAGAAGGGCCGTGGAAAGGCGTTCACGAGGTACGGACCGAGGTGATCGGATAAAGATCTTGGAAGAAGGGTTTGCACGTCGTTGATCGATGTCAAAAGAGCATAAGATAACATTACGCCAGATTGGGATGAGCATGTATTTCTACTATACTGTGTACACTAGCAATCCTTTTGACACTTTACAACGAATCCAGGATAATTGAAGCACGAAGTGAGAACAGAAGCCAAGGCGACAATGCAGTCGTATTAATATGGTAGCAATGACCGATCCACGGCCCTAAGCTTTTGAGTTAGAGCAAAAGCAAACAAAACTCCGTTGCGAAATTCCGGTAAATTCCCTTCCGTAATATATCGTATCCTTTCATCTTCGTATCCTCACACACCCCGTTTCATCTCGATTCGCTGCTTACTTGGCGGTGTTGGCACCGGGCTGCTTGCCGGAAGTCTTCTCGTGAGGGTTGGACTCGAGACCCTCAAGGCCGGACTGGGACTGCTTTCCAGTGGGCTGCTCTTTGGTCTCGCCGGAGGCGGGGGCTTGGGTACCCTGCTTAGGGTCCTGCTCCTCGGGAGGGGGGGATTGACGGCCAGACATGATTCTGATTTGCTGTTAGCATGAACTTTAGGGAAGAAGACGGTATGTATGCACCTTATTTGTTTATGGTTTGTGTTTTGATGGGGTGTATGCTCTTTGGTGGGTTGTTGGGTTCTTCTTATAATCGTCGAATCTCGGATCTCCTAGGCTAAAAGCGCATATGACAGCTGCCGTCAGCGAGAGGGTGCCATGACGTCATATCACAACCTTGGCTTGAAGTTCGGCAGGTTTGTCAATTGTGTGAAATTGATGGAGAAAAGCTTCGTCATACTGTCGTTACCTCTTGATGGTAGGCATTATCAGATTTGTTGGGGCATGACGGTCATGGGCCCGGGACGACTTCAGGATGAACAACGGAGTGTAAACAATAGCAGGGGTATCATATAGCTCAATTGACTCAATAACAAAACTCCTACTCATACAGTTGCTTTCACCATCGTCCATAGACTGCTACCAGATCAGAAGACGGCAATGGCATTGGGGGTAGACCCAACACCTCCCTTGACATTGAGCGGAGCAGAAGTCAAGAAGAACGTGTACCTCCCCTCCTTCTTACACTTCTGCGACAACTCCTCCAAATTCCACATCTCACCAATCGGCGTTCCCCACAACGACAACAACCACTCATGCAAAATCGGATCACGAGGAGGCCAAGCCTCGAATGCGACCGTATCACCGGCGACGGCGGCGAAGTGATGGTTCCACAACCAACGCTTGGAGTCCTCGTCGGCGCGGACACCGATGAAGTTTGCGGCGTCGCGGGTTCCGGCTTTGCGTTCGTCCGTCGAGGCGTTGTCGTGCCACCTGACGAAACCAGTTCGGACGATCAAGATGTCACCGTGCTTAAACTCGGTTCCTTGGGCTTTGGCGACCTCATCCAACTGGGCAATCGGGATCTCGTGGCGGCTGACGGGGTTGTACTCAATGCCCTTCGCATCAGCCCAAGCAGCCCAGTCAATCAAGACTCCACGTCCGACAATCCCACCACGCTCGACCCAGTTGTGAATTCCATTGCGAGTAGTCTTGGCTCCACCAAGGACATCGTCATGGTGAAGACCGTTGTAGTACGTACGCGTAGCCTGATGCGCAACGTGCCGAAGCGAATCCCACTGCGACCCAGACTGCGTATTGATATGAAGCTCGTCATCATGAGCCGTCAACCCACTCGGCGAAAGGTCAATGATCTTCTGCGAGAACTCCTTACGGCCGAAACCGGGAAATTGGACATTCTCAAGCCCCCAGTCGAGTTGGACGGATTCACCAGTCTGGATCTCCTGGCGGGCTTCCATGACAACGTCGGGGGTGAGGAGGTTGAGGGTGCCGACTTCATCGGCTTCGCCGAAGATTCCCCAGGCACAGCCTTTGGGCATGCCCTTGACTTCGGGGAGGTCATCGAAGTCGGGGAGGTTCTTTGTGTTTACGTTTGGCATTGCGAGGATTGTTTTCAATCGATCTGCTGGTGTAGAGGGTATGTTGAGTTGATCTGATCCGTAGCGAGTGATCCGGTAAACACCAAGGTTGGTCCCGTGCTTTTATACCTCATATTTGATCAGAGGCCTTCGCAGCTCGAGTGGGGTATACAGCTGTCCAAGCACCTCATCTCGGTGTTGTTTCCTCCGCTTCGACATGGAATGCGGGGTCCCGTCAAGTGGGGGTCCAGCTGCTGCTGTCGGTCTCGCGCGCGCGTGAACCAGCTGGTCTGAGAAAGCGCTAGGGCCATGAGTAAACTGGATCATTTGACAGCACAGCTGGATCTTGTGATGGACGGGAAGTCTGTTGCCGGTGCGGATACAAGAGCCAGCCTGTAGATGACAAATTGAGGCTCAGCTATCCGTTGCTTATAAACGGCCATGGGGTTCCCAGCTTTACCCATTGACCGTCCAATAGCAGTCATCGTGCACAATGCGAAACGCTCCAAGCAAACCCATTACAGACCGTGTCTACTCCAATGGCCTCTTCCACGGCCTTCCCGTCCTCGACGCAATTAAAGGCCAATCCGCCATCGTAGCCGGCGCGAACGGGATCAGCGGCGTCCACATGCTCCGCATCCTCTCCAAAGCCCCCGAACGCTGGTCGGAGATTCACTCTTTGTCGAGGAGGCCGTTGCAGGAGAATTTTGGTGAGAATGTGAAGCATACTGCTGTCGATTTTTTGGATACTAGCCCGGAGGAGATTGCGGAGAAGTTGAAGGAGGGGAATGTGAAAGGGTATTTCGTTCGGATACTCAAGTATATCGATGTGCTGACACGGGATACAGTGACTACGTGTTTTTCTTTGCCTATGTTCAACCGCGCGAGGAAGGACAAGGACTATGGTCCATGGCTGAGAAGATGTGTGAAGTCAACGGGAAGCTCCTCTCCAACTTCCTCGCGGCACTCACGATCGCCGATATTCACCCCAAACGTATCATCCTCCAAACCGGTGCAAAGCATTACGGATACCATTTGGGTCCCGCCAAATGTCCCAGCCACGAGACCGACTCTCGCGTTGATATCGAACCCAACTTCTACTACACTCAGGAAGACATCCTCGAGAAATGGTGCAACGAGAACAACTGCACCTGGTCCGTCGCTCGTCCCTCCTTCATCCTCGGCTCAGTTCAGGGAAACGCAATGAATGTGGCCATCCCCCTCGGAATCTACGCCGCTGTCCAAAAAGCCCTGGGTCGCAACCTTCATTTCCCGGGTGATATTAGAGCGTGGGATACTATCCAAGACCAAAGTTCCGCTTACCTTAACGCGTACTTCGAGGAATGGTGCGCCTTGAGTGAGAGTTGCGACAATGAGTCGTTCAACTTGACGGATGGCTCTCCGTTTTCCTATGGTAAGTTCTGGCCAAAGTTGGCGGAGAGGTATGGGTTAGAGTATACGAAGCCGAGTGAGAAGGGGGTCTACCAGAAGGTGGATATGCCCTATGATCCGCCGCCGAGAGGGTATGTACCTCTGATATTTATCCCCAATAACGTTTTTGCTGAGGCTCTTACAGATTCGGTCCCCCTGGTGTCGCGAAAATGTCATTCACGCTCGCTCAGTGGGCCCGCGCTCCGGAAGTCCAAGAAGCGTTCAACAAACTTGCCAAGGAACAAGGATTGGATACGTGGGCCATGAAAGAGGAGAACATTGATGCGGTCTTTTCGTTCACTGATTATGCTATTTGCTGGTCTTGGCCTTTGATGTTGAGTATGGATAAGGCGAGGAAGTATGGCTTCTTTGGGTTTGTTGACAGCTACGATTCGTATCTGGCGACATTCGAAGAGGCGGCGGAGATGAAGTTGATTCCGAAAGTTTAAAGGCTGACTGAGGATCCTCATGAGTTTTGTACGTTGCTTTTTAGTTTCCCCACGCTTGCACATTAATGGCATCTGTATACCCCCCACCCCCCACGCTTCAAAGTCCTCTGATTCTGGCATAGCAGGACTTCTTTTAATCTTTCAGAAAAGAAATCAATTGAGCTTTGCAAAGAAATCCCGAGTTTCCCCCTCTTCTTGCCCACTGCACGCCTGCGTACCGGACTGCTCCATGACAGCAGGCGGCGGGCGTCTATCAGCGATTGCGACGTCACAGCTGAAGTCCTGCACCCGCGCCTTGGCCTACAACTCCAAAAGGACGAAAATCCCACAAACCCATAACCGATTTACATCAAATACCATGTCTTCAATTACCGCCTCTAACCTCTCGCCCGATGTCACCGAGAAGCAGATCAGAGAGTTCTTCTCTTTCTGCGGCCGGATCAACTCCCTCGACATCCAAGAGTCAGAGGGAACCCAGACTGTCGTGATCACTTTCGCCAACCCCGCTGCTGCCCGTACCGCACTCTTGCTCCACGAGGCTCAATTGGGTACGAACAAGGTTTATATTAAGTCTTCCGATGGCGAGACCTCCACGATCACCCCCGAGAACCTTCCTGGACCTGATGTCGCCGCGACGGATGCGCACACCACCGATGTCGCACAGGAAGATAAGCCCAAGGCTACCATCCTCGCTGAATACTTGTCTCATGGCTATGTCATCTCTGACGTTGCCCTCCACAAGGGTCTCGAAATCGACCAAAAGCAAGGTATCTCTAACCGCTTTCAATCTTTCCTCAGCACCGCCTTGGACAACCTCAAATCCACCGCAACCCAAATCGACTCCAAGCTCCACGTCACTGACAAAGCCACCGAGCTCGACACCAAATACGCCATCTCCTCCACCGCAACGAACACCGCAACTCAAGCCCAAGGCCTCTTCTCTCGCTATTTCGAGAAAGCGAACAACCACCCCCTCGGCGCCAAAGTCCGCTCATTCTACGACACCACCTCAAAGCAAGTTCTCGACATCCACGCCGAGGCCCGTCGGTTGGCGGATTTGAGGAAGGAGCAGGGTGAGGGACGTGTGTATCAGGAGAAGCTTGATGCGGCTGAGAAGAGGGTTCAGGATGCTGTTGCGCAGGCTCATGCTGGGGTCGCGACTGTTGCTTCGACGATTAATGCCGGTGCGTCTAAGGTTTCTGCTGGACAGACTCCGACGACTGCTGGGGTTCCAAGTGCGCCTGCCGAGCCTTCTGCTGCTCTTGGAGCTCCTGCTCCCTCCGCTCCTGCTCAGCAGTTGTTGTAAGGAGAAATTGTAAGAAGGGAAGGACCAATCTGCTTTATACCGTTTATATCTGATATGCTCAGTTTTGGTGATGTAAGATAGCTAGTTAATGAACAGTTGGACATATTGGTTATCATCTGTTTTTACTGCTCCTGCAGTTTGTATTCATAGCATAAATAAGTGAAGAATATTCCCGTATCAGGACCCTGTCAACGCATCCTGGATCTCGATCCATACAGTAATAATCTCACCAAGTACCCATGACCTGGCAAATCCATCCATCTCATAACATTCACGAATCCGACAGCCCACTCTTCGAGCTACTATTGCTCACCCTCCTCTGAAAGAAAATCCTCTTCGAACCCCCGGGCGACGGACTATCTACCGCACTTCCCTCCCCAGTACTAATCCCACTCGAACTCCTCTCCCTCTGCATCGGCACATCCAAACTAATCGTCCGATCCTTCAACGGCACAACCTCCACCGGCTCCGCGAGGTCGCTCTGTCCGGACGTCAATAGCATAGGCCAAGCGACGTGCATCCCGGTCGAGTCATCCGGTACGTTCTCGCCGCATTTCTCGAGGAGGTCGATGTAGGCTCGACGGCCTGGGTCTGCTAGTCGCTTCTTCTTCTTCTTTGCTCGTTTGGGGTCGGGACGGACGACGACGACGGGGACGGGCGAGTATTGGAGGCAGTATTTCGAGATGGAGCCGGGCATCAGTGCTTGGATTCCCAACTGTCGACCACGAGATCCAACGATGAGGGAGTCGGGTTGGTACATATAGATCGTGTGTTGAATGTAGTCTTGGATTTTGCCCGTTGCGTACTCGACGATGACAGAGATGTGTTTTGAGCCGCTTCCTAAGGCGTTATTTTTTGCGATGACGGAGTCAAGGAGTTTGGTTGCTTCGACGCGGTAGTCGTCGACGGAGAAGCCAAACATGCTTTCAGGTTCGACAACCCGGAGTGCCACAATCTCGTCGCCGTCTTCGACGAGGGATTCTAGGAGCCAGTCGAGGGCGTAGTCCGAGTAGTCTGAGGTGTCTGATCCGATCAAGAATGTGCGGGAATGGCGGTTGTAGACGTATTCTGCATGCTTACTCTTGAGCGTCAAGGAATATCGCGTAGCATCCTTATTGGTGAACGTATCGAACCCAACTCGCTTCTTGTATCGAGACGGCGGGGGAGGTGAAATTTGTGATCTCCTGCGGATGTGTGCCGGCGGAGTGACCGCACTGCTCACTACCGTCGTCAACTGTGCAGGCACCACCGTAGAGCTATCTTCCGTCGTAGGCGAAGGCTGATTCGGCTCCTGAATCTTAAGGGAAGAAGGCTTCCTCGGCGAATCTATCGCAGGCGTAGTAGTAAACGACACAGATTCCGGACGTACGGGCTTCGGCGCCGCCGCAGACATGTTATAGTGGTCCGCAAAAGGTGTGTGACCAGGTTCCTCGGAGATGGAGTCTGTCTGTATTTCGCTCTTGGTCTGCCTGTTGATCAGCTGCTGGACTTGGTTGAGCTGGGTGTTTTCGCTTGACTGGGTGTAACGTATGGGTTTCGACGGCTGCACGTCACGCGATACCGGCGGCGGATCCGAACCCCGTCGCATACGCCGCAGAGACGTCGACGCCTTTCGTAACAATGACATGCTGGACGTCTATGAAAGAGAAGAATGGTTCTCCGAGAGTATAGGTAGAAGGATGGGAGACAGGGCGGGTTCAGGGGCTATGCTACTTTCTACTGCGGTGGTGCTAGTTGCGGTGTACGTGTTTCGTCATGATCAGTGACACATCGAGCACCAGCTGAGCCTCATCGTCGAGACTAAACGACCGAGGACCCTTTCGCCGCACAACCGCAGTACAGCCGTGTTCAAGTGAAAGGTTAGGCGACATGTTTTGCTTTTATGACCCTGAATGAACCCTGTCGTTTCATGTAGATCGCGGACATGTGTGATGATCATGACTGTAGGACACGAGCGTGACAATCAAAGAGCTTTCCATTCCAGACGAAACTCCTCGTCTAGTAGATTACTGAACAAGAAAAGAATAAGAAAACAGAAAACACCAAAAAGACAAAACCCCCGAATCAAATATAGAAATGCTTTTAGATGGCCACCGGTGACCCATTTCACTCGTTGGCAGATGCTATCGTCAATCACTCTTTTTTAGCAAACACAAATTCTACTCCTGGGCAGCAGGTGCGGGAGTCTCCGCAGCCTCCTCACCGAAGATCTCCTGCGCAGCCTCAGCAGGGGCCTCGGTGACAGGAGCAGCCTCCTCCATCTCCGCGACAACGTCCTCAACAGACTCTTCCCCGACGGGCTCCTCCTCCTCTTCCTCACCCTCCTCACCCTCAGCGGGGCTTGGGCTGGGCTGAGAAGGTTCAACAGGGAGTGTCCTGGGGAGAAGGTTCAACCGAGGCCTCGCGGAAGGAGCCTCCTCGGAAGCCTCCTCCTTGTGCTCATCCTCGTTACCATCGCCGAGAAGGTCGAAGGGGTTCAAGGTCTTGGTAGCCTGGGGAGGAGCAAGGGTAGGGGGAGTAGCAGCCCTGGAAGAAGCAGAAGGCTCCTTGGAGAGGGCGTTACCACCCTGAGAACCCTTCTTGGAGTTGGACCTCAAAGAGGTGAAACCAGCAGAGGAAGGACCGAAGGAACCGGCAACGCCAGAGCGGATAGATCCCATTTTGGTAAGGTCACCCGCGCGCTGGTTGGAGGCGGTCTTCTGGAGGGTCCAGCCGTCAGCATTAGCCTGAGTAGCGGGGGCACCACCAGCGAAGGTAGAACCTTGACGAGAAAGGCGAGCATCACCGCGACCGAACTCAGCACGGCTACCTCCGCGGGAGGGAGCAGGAGGACGAGCAGCGTCAGCGGCAGCCTTTGCAGCAGCAGCCTCCTCGTGAATCTCCTGGATGGTCTTGGGGCCCTTGTCGGCCTCCTTGCCCTTCCAGTTGGCTTTGCGCAAGTCAATGACGTCCATGATCATGAACTTCATGCGGCTAGCAATAGCATCGCTCTGGAGCATAGAGTGCATACGGTCGAAGTAAGCGTTCATCAACTGACGTCCCTTGTCGTTGTCAAGGGTACCACCGACGGTCGTCAAGAGCTTGCACAAAGACTCAATCTCCTCCTCCTCAGGGTCAACAATGTTAGCCAAAAGACGACGGATACACTCGTGCATAATCTTCTCGGTCAACATGCTAAGCTTGTAAAGCTCACCAATGAAACGGACCAAACCGAGACCACGACGCTTAGCAGCAGCAGCAATGTAGTACTCCTCGGACATGAGCTCGGCCTCCTTAGTGTCGGCGTCACCCTCAGGCTTGGGAGGCAGCTGAGACTTCCAACCACGCTCGAAGTCCTCCTGACATCTGTTAAGCAAGTACTTGCGGAACAAAGCACCACCAGTAACGGGGTTACCGGCCTTGTCGTGGACGTTGTTGTCGCTGATCGAGGGGTCGACAGTCTCCATGGTCTTGCGACAGAAACGAGCGTACATGTTAGAGAAAGTAGACTCATCAGTGGCCTTCTCGAAGGTCAACTGAATGACCTGTCTCAAAGTACGACCATCCTTCTCGAACTTGGACTGAGCAGCGATCTCAAGAATCTGGTCGGATATCTTGTCGAACTTCTCAAGCGTAAGCTTGTTAAGCGCCGACTTGACCTTCCTCTGGACCATCTCAGGAGCCATGAGCTCCTGACCCTCCTCGGCAGCGGGAGCAACGGGTTCCTCCTTCTTGTCAGCGGTTCTTGGTGCCCATCGGTTGCTGGACATCTCGAGAGGCTTAACTTGGTCGAGGGGAATGGTGGGTGCACCCTTCTGTTCGCGGTTAGTGTCCTGTCTGCCCTCGCCGCCACGCCTGGAACCTCTGGTGCTCCTGGAGTTGGTACGGGGAGATCCAGCCAAAGCAGTGGAGGATCCCTGTCTGCTGATAGGAGGCATCTGCTGGAACTTGCCACCGATACCGGCGAAGCTGCCGCTGGGGGCGTTAAGGGAAGGATCGCGACCAGCGCGCAATTGCTGGGTAGCAAAATTGAAGCGGTCCTGGGAGGTGGAACCGAAAGCCTTGCCAGTAGAGAATTGACCCATCTGGAAAGGAGTACCACCCTGAGCGGGAGCACCGCTAGCACGGGAGTTGCTGCGAGATCCCATCTTGGAGCGGGACTCGCTCAAGTCACCGATGCACTCCTTAATGCGAGCATCCCAGTCAATGTTGGGCTTCTCGGTGTACGCGTCCTGGAACTGCAACAGGAAGTCGCGGTCGTACTTGAACTTACCGTCCGTGGCATTGGCGTTAAGAGCAGGGTTCGGAGAGTCGACACCCTCGGGGTAAGAAACCTCCTTAAGATCCTCAAGAAGACGAGCAGAACGGAGAGCAGTCATGGCAGGGGAGGGAACGGAGGGGTCCGTAGCCTTGACAATGTCAATCGCAGCCGGGGCAGGCTTGCGGTCCTTCTTGTCGGTAGAGGCAGCCTCCTCATCACCAGTACCATCGGTAGGCTTCTCATCGATAGTAGGCAAGGAGTGAGCGGACTCGCTAACGGCAGCGGTAGCAGCAGCCAGCTTGGCCTCATCATCCTCCTTCTTCGCAGCTGCAGCGGCAGCCTCGGCGGCAGCGTCCTCTTCGGCCTTCTTGCGTTCTTCGGCCTCCTCAGCCTTCTTAACAGCGGCGGCTTCCTCCTCGGCCTTCTTGACAGCAACCTCCTCGTCGGCCTTCTTGCGTTCTTCGGCCTCCTCGGCCTTCTTAACAGCGGCGGCTTCCTCCTCAGCCTTCTTGGCAGCAACCTCCTCGTCGGCCTTCTTGCGTTCCTCGGCCTCCTCGGCGTCCTTCTTAGCCTTCTCCTCGGCCTCCTCGGCGTCCTTCTTAACCTTCTCCTCAGCAGCCTTCTTCTCCTCCTCCTCACGCTTAACCTTCTCGGCTTCCTCGGCCTTCTTCTTCTCGACTTCTTCCGCATCCTTCTTGACCTTCTCAGCAGCCTCCCTGGCTTCCCTCTCATCCTTCTCCTTGGCCTCCTGAACCTTCTTCAAGAAAGCAGCCTTGACAGCGGCCTTCTCGTCGTCAGTCTGAGACTTAGGAACGTCGGCCTTGACGGGGCTTCGGGGAGGGGTGCTGACAGCGGGGCTAATAGTCCGCTTCAACTCAGCGGCAGCGGGGGTAGGGGTCTTCTCAGCAGGAGTGGGGGTACCCTTGGGAACCTCGACCTCAGAAAGAGTGTTGGGGTTGATGATCTTGATGGCGGAGCTCTTCTTGGCGCTGGGGCGGACGAAGGAAGACAGAGGTGTCTTAGGCTCACCCTGGGAGGAAGCAGTAGCAGGACGGTCACTGGAAGCGCTACGGCTCAAAGGAGTAGCGGGAGCAGCACCGGGAACAGCGGCAGCGAAAGGTCGGGGGCTAGTGGGCTGAACAGCGGGTTGCGCGGGGACCTGGCCGTAATACATTTGCTGCTGCTGCTGGTAGTACATGTTCATGTCCATGCCGGGGTATTGTCCTGGAACAGGCATGTACTGCTGAGTCTGAGCGTAGGCGGTAGGAGTCCACTGAGGGATAGGCTGAGAGTTCATCATCTGAGGAGTGCGGGGACCCTGCTGAGCGTTAGGACGACCCTGGTACGGGGGCATAGCCTGGTTAGATCCGGGGCGAGGGCCACGAGTCTGGTTAGGGTTGAACTGGCCCTGAGGAGGGTAACCGTAAGCACCAGGAGCGGCGTACTGCTGAGGGTAAGCAGGGTACTGAGGAGTCTGGTACTGCCTGTGGGGAGACTGAGGACCCGCGTGCTGCGCGCGGAAGTCGGAAACGTTCGACTGGGTAGAGTGAGTGGATTCGCGACGGGCGTGCTGGGCGGGCGCCATATGAGGAAGAGTAGGAGAAGGACCAGACACCGAGGAAGTGGGACGGTGAGTGGGCGGTCTCAGAGCAGCATCGGCAGGAGCCGCGGTGGCAACAGCGGCAGCGGCAGGCTTGGAGTCCTCGTTGATGGTACCAAAGGTAGGCGCATTGACGACCTGTGCTGGTGGGGGAACACCACCGCTCTGGTTTTGCTGAGGCCCAGGCGAAGGAGAAGCAGGAACTGGCTTGCCCTCGTTGCCAATCGAGCCAAATTGGATACCAGCATTGGCGGTGGCGGCGACCGAGGCAGGAGCCTTGGGCATGTGAATAGGAGCACCTTTGTTCCAGACGTTCACAGGAGGGTTGGTCTTGTTCTCAGCAGCCGGTGCCGGAGCATCCGCAGCTGTAGAGCCATTCACCGCAGCATCTGCGGGAGCAGTAGGCTTAGCTATACAAAATGCACGTCAGTACTCGTCTTACAATTCATAAACATGAAAACATACCGGTCTGAGTGGTCTGAGTGGTCTTGGGGGGCGCAGGCGTCGAGCTAGTCGAGGCAGTGGGCGTGGTACTTGCGGTCGAGGAAGCGACACTTGCTTGACTTGCTTGACTGCTGGCAGCCTGCTGCACAGTCTTCTTTGCGGCCTGCGCGTAGTTGAATGCGGGCTTCGCTGGCTGTGTAGAGGTGTTCTTCGCAGGGGCGGAGGGCTGGCTGCTCATTCGTGCCGACGAAAAAGTTTCTGACGGTATTGGATGAAGAAAAGCCGAGACTGGTGGACGTTCCTCGTATTAAAGGAACAGATCACAGAGTCTCTGTCGTCGGGAACTATCTACTGAGTCCCGGAATGTATCAATCGAGCTGCCCGTTGCTTGTGCTTGGGCGTTGATGATTGGGGCCAGTTTCCCCTGCCAGCCGAAATTTACGTAGTGGTGGGTGCGCGCTACAAACGCTTGCGTAGGATGTACAGCTGTATGTGAAGACCGCATAAACTTAAAATACCTATGGATTAAGCTTTCAAAGATTTCTCTAGCAATCGCTCCAGTTTGCTCTTCGTCTTCGCAATCATCTCCTCCTCTTCATCCAACATCGCCTTCAATTCCCTCGCTTCGCCCTGTTTGATCGGCGTCCCCACACCACCATCTTCGCTTCCACCAATGATCCTGACTTGCTCCTTTTTCAATCGTAAACTCTCTTGCACCTCGTTCCATCGCTCCTTCGCGGCCTCCAGGCGCCCCGTATATCCCTTCATACCCTCCACCTTGTTATTCATCCTCTTCAACTCGACAAACCACTTCTTCTCAACATCACTCAATGCAGGCGAATGTGTCGCAATAAGATTCTGCAACAACGCATCCGCCCTCTTCTCCAAATCCTTCTGTCTGTCAAGAGCTCCCTGCAGGCGCTCACTAATAACCTCCGAACCACAACCCTCCTTCAATTTCCTCGCCAAATCATTCAACTTGGCCAATTGGCGGGAGTACTCTTTCTGTTGTGATTCGAGCCTCGACTGCATCAGTCTGCCGGCATCAAACACCCTCCGAATATCCTCCCTCATCTTCTGAATAACCGTAGCCAAGAACCTCAACGAAGTCTCATTAGGCACCAAAGGACCCTTCATACTCACTGGCACAACCAACTGTGACACAGCCTTAGGCGCACTCAACGCAGCCGGTTTAGTGTATGCAGGCCTCGACAACAAAGACATATACCTCGGTCCATTCATAATCGGATCTTCCATATCCACAGCTTCGGGGGTCATAGGCTCCTCATCATCCGACTCGTGTCCCAAGTTCGTAAACTCCAATTCATTTACTACGACTTGACCTGTGCTCAAGACAGCGATGGTACCGTATCCTAGGTACGAGTCGAATAAGACTGCGAGGCCGACGGCGGGGGTGGCTTCGCCGGTCTTTGCGGCGTCGGTGTTGAGAAGGATGCTGACTTCGCTGCTTTCGCCCTCTCTTACGACGTCCTCGACGTCTTCTTGTTGCAGTGCGGCGAGCCAGGTTGAGACGTTGATCTGATGTACACCGGCACAATGTTTGATGTAGAAGATCCCGGGGGCATGCTCGTCTTTCAACAAAACAGGAGCAAACTTGTTTGCATATTTCTCAAGTCCAAGGTTGATGGACTCGTACACGCTGACCACCGGACAGTTTTGTCCTGCATTGGCCCACATTGCCTCGACCGGTTCGACATCCAAACACACGTCAAGCTTTCCGTCACTGGATGCAATGACAAGCACTCCGATGAAACCTGAAGAAACATAGGTGATATCCGTTGCGTAGATCTCATCATCAGAGAAGTACAAAGGAGCAGGCTGGAACAAGAAAGGACCTTGAATCGCAGGTACCTTGTAAGTCCCGTTAGGTTTCCTGAATCCGACAAGAGTGGTATCGAGTCCCCCATTCACCAATGATGGCGAGCCCAAACCCATGTCGTCCGCCTTCGCCTGTCCAACAACATCATTAACCCAGCGCGTCCTCAGCTTCCCGTCCTCGCTATCATCATGACTAGCCTGTACCGAAACGACAAGCTGATCCAACCACTTACGCTCACACACCGAATGCTTCGGCACAACCGGCGACGCAGCATAAACATCGCCATTCTTCATAAGCGCATACACGGTTGTGAGCCCCCAGCCATTCGCATCACCAAAGCACATGGACGCAGCCTCAACCTCTTCCTCCTCTAACACGAATCCTCGGCGCTTGGGTTGGGGTGCCATGAATCGGAGTGTCTGTTCAGGCTCCTCGCACGACAACGACAAATCGTACATTCGGAGGAATGTATCAGAGCCGAGGACAAGCAACGTCTGACCCGACCTCGAGAGCGGATGCCAGAGCGTCTTCACGACTGTCGCACCGGAATTGCTGTTATGGTGCATGCGGCCGACGATCCGAGTCTTGCAAGCGGCGCCTTGCTTGAGGTACTCTGCCGGAAGAACAGTAATGGCCGCAACTTGTTCCTCGCCGATAACAGCTAATTGACGTCCATTGGGACTGATAGCTAGCTGCCTGATGCCAAAGTGAATTTCTGGTGTATCAAGAGTCTAGCGGATCACTGTCAGCTTGTCGCACACGAAGGTGTCGAACATCATTCCACCAACCTTGTAATCCAATGCACTGTTCTCCTTTAGCTTCACTGGCCTCAGATCCGCCCAGCGAACCTTGTCTCCCACAGCAACAAAGACCTCCGTTCCCCTCAAAGCGATCACCTCCGTCTTCTCAGATCCCGGCAAAGGCTCAACTCCAGCAAACACGGGATGATCGTGCAGACGGCCAGGCCATGAAGTATTTGCTCCAGGCATCGTTTCTCTGGGCGATCGGTGGTGAAATATTCGAGCTTTGACTGTACCACGTACGGGCTTCACGTGCACACCGGACGCAGGGGCAGCTGGGGCCCGGGGAACAGAGCCCGCAAACACAGCCCGGCGAAGGTGACCTCCAGTACTCCCAGAAATGACATCCATCGAGAGATTAGACGCTCCCAGCTCGTACGTGGACAGACAGCTCAGGGTGCGTCCAGCTACGCGTTCATTGCTGATGCAATACTGACAGATGATTCACAGCGAGGACCAGCAGACGAGGCAGAAGCATTAAGAACATCATCAACACTATACGTCGGAAACCTCTCCTTCTACACAACCGAAGAACAAATCCACGAGCTCTTCTCCAAATGTGGTGAGATTAAACGTATCATTATGGGCTTGGATCGGTTTGCGCACACCCCATGCGGATTCTGCTTCGTCGAGTTTTACTCTAGAGCGGCTGCGTTGGATTGTATGAAGTTTGTCAATGGGACTAAACTTGATGAAAGAGTGATTAGAACAGATTTGGACCCGGGGTATAAGGATGGACGGCAATATGGGCGAGGAAAGACGGGTGGACAGGTGCGGGATGAGTATCGTTGGGAGTATGATGCAGGGCGAGGAGGATATGGTGCTAGACGAGCGGCAGAGGAAGCAGCACGACAGGCTGCGCAGGAGAAGGACTACGTGGCGATCAAGGAGGTTCCTGCTGGTCCTTCTCTGGAGTATAGGGATGAGGAGCCAAGAGCACAAGAGGAGGATGGTGAGGTCATGGCAGATGCAGCACCAGCTGATGAACCATGAACAACAAAACCAAGTTGATTGCAAGGGTATCCATGCCAACCGAAAAAAAAACCCAACCTGGAAGTCGACTATCATCCAAAGTAGAAGACCATTTCCTGAAAGAAAAAAAGACACCAGAACCAAACCCTACCATTCCCAAACAAAAGTAAACCCAGCGTTCAACCGTAATCGTAATCGTACACTCATCATCCAAACATCGCCCACCCAATCATCAACACCAAAAACCCACAAAACCACCGCCCAAACTTATGTTCTTCCTCCCTCCTCGCAATCACCCTAACAGCAGGCATCGCATTAACTTCCTGCACGCCAACTAACCCAAAGAAATTAATGCCAGTCCCTGAGATGGGACTCCATGTGATATCTGGCTGTGCGGACCTCGACTTGATTGTCGGTCTTGACCGGGTGATGGGTGCCTGTGGTCGGGGAGGAACAACCTCAGGTTTTGTAGTCGTATTCATACTCTGTCTCCTGGCTGGCGGGTCAGGCGGCATCAGCAGAGTATCCGCCCAGTGCCTTTCTTGTTCAGTCATCTGAAGTCTCGGTGCCACGCCTGGGTCGGCGGCAACCAGAGAGGAACTTCCTCCTCTGCCGTATATCGGGACGACGTTGGTAGTTGAACATGGATTCTTGCAGACTGGACATGAAGCGTGAATTCCAAGCCAGTGGTATAGACATGGCCAACAGTATAGGTGACCGCACAGGGTCAGTACTGGTGATGCTGCCGTTTCGAAGCTACACAAGACATTAGCACCGCACGCGGACAATGTGAAGTGCGATATCCACCTACCATATATTGCACTCAAAATCCTTCGTCTTGTCTTCCTCCTCCTCATCCTTCTTCCGATTCGCTGTGAGAGCCTGTTCGGGCGGGTCCGCTTCAACTCCCATGCACCTTCTATTCCGTGCCGACCATGTATGCGCATGCGTATGACTCGATCTGCTGAGATAGAGCTGAGAGGTGCTATACGCATGCCTCAACTCTCGATCCTGCGATTCAACCTCCATGAGAGGCAAAATACTTTGCTACGTGTATGCTGGATATATGCTGGTTGCTTGATGGAGTGTATGCCAAGTCTTTCATACGAGTACGCACGGGACTGAATGCACCCGCAGCCGAACCGCGCCACTCGTTCATTATTGCACGCACGCTCTCGGCCCGCGCCCGCTGCAGCAGACAACGTATGGAGATGCACTCAACGAGTAATTCGAACCGACGTGAATTCCATTTTATATCGTACATAAACCTTCTACGAACTTTTTATTCTGTGATGCGCGATGTGCTTAGAGTTCGTCTTTGATCTTCTTCTCACCGTTCATGGCACCGGCCGGAGAGGCGGTTGGTGCTGGATGCATTTCCTTCAATACTGCGGCCATTTTGTCGCGGGTCTCCAAGACGAGCCTGTCGACGTCTGCGGCGGTCAGTCCTTCCGTCGGGATGGGGTCGAGCACTGTTATGAGAGTTAGTCTTGCCTGTAGAACATAGATACATTCGCATAGCATACCCTTCACTTGCACATCTCCACTCTCGAAAGTATGCGTCTTTCCATGGAAAACGTGTGCGTAGTTCTGAACAACGACAGGAACAATAGGAACCTGCGCCTGGATAGCCAAATGGAACGCTCCCTTCTTGAATGGCAACATCTCGGGTTTGTCGCTGTTACTCCTCGTTCCCTCAGGGAAGATCCATACGCTCTGCTTCTTCTCCTTCATGGTCTTGACAGCCGAGGCGAAAGACGCAAGGGCGTTGTTTCTGTTGGCACGGTCGATAAAGACGGTACGGGAGAGTGACATGAACCAGCCGAGGAAAGGGGCGTGCTTCAACTGCTTCTTGGCCGTGACAGAACAGTGCTTGGGGAATGTCTGTACGTTTAGTTAGTCATGAGCCCGTAAACGGTGGAGAATCTGGACGCACCCTCGCCAACATCAAGACATCCAAACTCGTCTGGTGGTTACTCAAGAACACAGCAGGCCTCGTCCCATCCAGAATCTTCCTGCTTTCGTCATCCACGATGAAGTCCACGCCAATAAGGGGACACAACACGTTGCAGTACGCCCGTCCGGTCGCCCACTGCGCGATAGAGGTCTTTCCGACAAGCCTCAACACGACAGAAGAGATAACTCCATAGGTCGCGCAAAGACAGAGTGCGGACAACGACGTGATGGCACGGGCGTAGTACCGAAGGATGCGGGGGAGGTAGGGCGCGAGCAGGGGAAGAGCAACGAAAGGCATGAGGAGCGTCGCTGCAGCGGGAAGGAGATAGGACATTATGAACCTTCTTAGGTGATGTTGAACAGCGGTAGGGCCGCTTGTGTATGGTTTCTGACCTAAGGAGGTGTCTCGCGTACTTTTAAGGTTATGTGACCTGCGACCTGGGGAACCGCCGAAACTCGGTGGTGTACTTTGGATTAAGCCGAAATGACGTCTTAACTCAACTTGATATAAATGATACACCTCAAAACATCAGATACAAGCTAGATACAGCTCTGGTGTTGCAAACTTCTTACTCGTGCTTGAACTGAGCCTTCCTCTTTTCTGCGAACGCAGCCATACCCTCCTTCTGATCAGCAGTGCTGAACAATCCGTGGAACAACCTCCTCTCAAACTTGACTCCTTCACCCAACCCCATCTCCTCACCCAAGTTGATTGCCTCCTTTGCGGCCTTAACAGCCAATCCACCCACCTTTCCAATCTGCTCTGCGGTAGAAACGGCCTCCTCAACAACGCGGGTGGAGGGGAAGAGGCGAGCAACCATACCCCAGCTGTAGGCTTCTTGAGCGGAGAAGTTGCGGCCGGTCAGGATGAGCTCCATAGCGCGGGAGCGGCCGATGAGACGAGGAAGACGCTGGGTTCCACCGGCGCCGGGGATGATACCCAGCTTGATCTCGGGCTGCCCGAAGGTTGCGGTGTCGGCGGCGTAAATGATATCGGCCATCATTGCAAGCTCACATCCTCCTCCCAACTATCAAATGAGTTAGCATATCTTCGACGGGAAGTTCAACTAACATACAGCGTAACCGCGAACGGCAGCGATAATTGGCTTCGTGACCTGGGTCATCTCACTCCATGAGCGGATGAAGTCGTGCTTGTAGACTTCAGCGAAGGTCTTGTCCTTCATCTCCTTGATATCGGCACCAGCTAGATGAAACTATCAGACGGCATCTAACAAAATATCTGGCAATTGGACGAACCTGCGAACGCCTTCTCATTGCCGGTCAATACAATAGCACCAACATTGTCATCCCGATCCAAAGCCTTGAAAGCGGTATTCAATTCAGCGATCAAGGCATTGCACAGGGCATTCAGTGCCTTTGGGCGGTTAAGAGTGACTAGAGCGACTCGAGGAGCTGGGTGTGTCACGATAATGTGCTCATAGGATTGCTCGGATGCGGTAGACATGAGGCGGACGGGAGATACTGAAGGAGTCTTGAGGTGAGCGGCGATCTGACGGGCACGAAGTGTTGGGCGTAGGAAGGTCATTGTTCGTTATGTCGAGGAATATGAACTGTCGAGGACGATGGTTTGTAAGCAGGAGGTAGCCGACGTTACCCCACAGTTTGTTGGTGGAAGGCCCGCCGGCGGTTCAGCGGCATGCGGGGCGGGTTGGGGCGTGCACAATGTACACCTGGCCATGACGAAATTGCTCACGAAGATGGGCTTGGATGAGATGTTTCAAAGTTGAACATGGTCAGTCGGATAATTAAGGGATCTTTCTGCATGCCTTGGGCCAGTTTCGGTAGTGAAGTTAGATTCAATGACTGTGGGGAATAAAGGAACAACGGCAAAAGGTTGCATGACGTCCGAAGCCCCTCCTGGGGACCACCGATGGAGTGCTATCCATTCGCCCTCCCCAGCAGAGATAGCGCCTTGCTCTGCGGAACAGCCTGGGGCAATCTTTCTCGGCTTCAACGGTAACACTAGTCCCACTTTCGAGAGAAGAGGTTCCCGACTGGGGAGTCGAACCTGGACACTTCCACGTTTGAATGGTGGGCCAAGCGGGTTTGGTACCGCGAGACGATTCACACTTCCTAACAGGGGAGCCATCACAGCTAGAAGTACGGGACGGCTGTGTTCGTTTATAGCCTCTGGGTCATCGTATCGATAAAGAAGCGCACGTAATGCCACCTGAAATCAATTGACAGACCAGATCACGAACATGCTGTCAGCAACCTTCACTCCGCTTAAGCAGCCTTCAAAGTCAGTCTCGCTTGAAAACTCAGTCCTCGTCCTCCCGGCCATCTCCATTGCCAATGTACCCCAACTCGCCGTCGACCTGCTCATCCATACCCTCGCATTGCCGTTGATCGGCCGCCTGGACGACCGTTATCTCACCCCATTTGTAGGCGCTCGTGAAGATCCGAAGGGAGAGCAGGGCGTTTGTACGGCATTGGAGGTGTATGGGAACGGGAAGATCACTGTCATCCAACAGAGAGCACCGACATTGCCTCATGCGAGGAAGCTCTTCATCGAGCAGGTTTTGTTGAGGTTCATCAAGGAGAATGGATTTTCAAGGGTCGTTTGCGTTACGAGTATGGATGCGACGATGAGGACGGATGCCGATATCAGAGGGTGATTCTCCGTGTCTGATTCAGTCATGCCTGTGCTAACGTATGATCCCGCAGCCCAAGATTCGTTCACTACCCAACAATTTCATCACTATCACTATCAGAAGAGCCGGCCCTCCCTTCACTCCCGTCATCCGGTATTACCAAATCTCTGGTCAAGATGTCCCGGGATCAAGGCATTAAAGTCGAGGTGGTTGGTATGTGGGTCATGGAAGGAGATAACACTGGTGATGCGGAAGAGCTTGCCGGTGCTATTCTAGATGCACATGAGAAGGGAGATGCAAGCGCTCCAGAGGCACCGCAAGGGGGAAGGACTTGGGTGAGGCCGGGGAGCTGGAAGGGGTTGTTTGGCGAAGAACTGGTGGTGGGGCACGAAGGCGGAATGTTCTGGTGATGCGAGCATGACTCGAAACGACATTTCTGCAAGGGAATGTCTACGTGGGTATGTGTCGCTAGGGATTTACTTGCGCAAGAGTTGCGGTGCGGTTTGAGGTGGAATATTCACGGGATTTACACGACGCAGGGATGCGACGCTACTTGATCTGCAGTACATGGCGATCTATTTTTACTTAGGCAGAAATGAGACTGTAGGTCCGGTCACTTTAAGCTTTATGAGACCTCTCGCTGCAATCGGTTCTGACCCGCGATGACCCCCACGTGCACAGACTTTCGGGCCGAGCCCTGATCAGAACACCTAAGTATGCCCAACAGATCACAGCAGACATGTAAATCCATTGTGATATCTACCTTAACATGTCTGTGCACAGCTCCGGCAAACCCTTATTGGGCGAGCGGCCATCGTATAGTCCACCGCCGCTCGATACAGACCGCACTTTCATGAGCCTCAGCCCTCCTCCTCTGGACGGTTATCGCTGGCGTGACAGACCGGCAACGCCTGCTCCGGCGCACTACCTGGACCCCCAGCATTCTCGGCCGCACTATCATCCTCGGCAACAGTCTCTTTCTCATCTCTTGCCCGATGAGGATTCGGGTACACCGCTGGAGTACCGTGAGAGTCGAGAGGCGGCCATAGCACGACATCGGGATAGCGCAGGGAAAGGGCTGACGCGTCTCAAGTTTTTTCTGAGGACTAATTTCGTAATTCGACATCTAGTCCTTATATTCAGGTATGTGTCGGTCTTGACATTATCCTTCCAGTTAGGCGTTTGACATGCAGTTGTCCGCAAGCTTCATCGCTCTCTACTACCAATGCCGCACCATGCATGTGTATCTATCGACGTCTTATTCGCCTGACTGGCCCGAAAACGTTACCACATGGCCAACGTGGATTGCTATCGCTTCAACATGTCTCGTAGTTCTTCTCTCCGGTCTCGGGCTGTGCTTGTACTGTTGCACGCCCTTAGAGTCGGTCTACAGCGGGTTTAGATATATCGAGAAGATTTTGAATGTCATAGTTGGGGCGATTTTAGTGATTTTGGCGTCTGCCCTCTCATACGCCAAGTATCGCAGTCCAAACAGGTGAGCTATGTGAGTGAAGCATGGGTCGGGTTCTGGTCCCACTAACCCTTAACTCAGCATTTTTCCATTTGCATGCAATGCAACTCAAGATGACAATCAAATCAACTTCAAGAACACGTGTACAATGGGGGTACGGTACAACGTTCGTTCCACGACGCCTTCCAATGTCAACTGACCCGATATTAGGATCACTCGCTCAACTGTGTCTACTTCGTAGCGTGCATCAGCATGTTGGCCATGGTAATCAATGCCATTGACGCATGCACAAATGTTGGTGAGCATGGTGGGAGCAACAGGAATACGCTGTACTTCTGTGGAATGGGAGACAGTGGCGGTGACGTGTGTTTTGCCTGTATAGCAGGGTGCTGTCAGATCGCAGGAAGCTGTCAGTGCTGTTGATCGACGCGTTATGGATTTAGAGTTAGGGATGGATCTCCCTTAAGATTCCCACGCCCGACCAGGCTTCATGCAGGCTCATCACGTGCGGGCCTCGATCAACAACCTCCAGCGTGCCCAAGTCCAAGTCCAACAAACAGCCTTCAAGACGCGGTTAACTGTAACTGTAAGCTGCTTGTTATCGAACCTGCTCTGTCACTAGTCGTTGACCCGCCTCACAGATTCACCATGTCTGCCAATCTTGACCGGTCGCTGGACGACATCATCAATGACAGTGAGTTTGCCCGCCCGCGCCATTGCGCGCCATTGAAGACATCGTTACTAACATATTCTTCTCAGACAGGACGGCTCAGAGGGCGGTGCAGCAGTCGCAACGTCAGCAGGTGATGCAACAGCAGCAACAGAGACAAGCTCAAGCCGCGGCTGCGCGACCTGTCGCTCCACGAGTCAATGGGCCTGTACGAGGAGTTCAGAGGGGTGTCGTACGAGGAGGAATCCGCAAACCCGTAGGACCTTATCAGGTATGCATTGTCTGCATGCGAAAGTTATGATCCGACTGACAACTGTACTTTAGCGCCCAGTGAACGCCCCGAATGGTCAGTGGAATCACGACCTGTTCCAGCAGCACGCAAGAAACGCACAGGCTGCAATCAACCCCCAGCTTCAGAAACGTCTCGAGACCAACCCACTACTCGCCCGCCTCCAAGGACCCACCGCCCCTAAGCAGCAACAACAGCCAGGCAATGCCGTATTCTTCAAGGGCGCAGCACAAGCACAGAACGTCATCAGTTTTAAGGGAGCGTCAGGACCCACGACGGTTGAGATCGCGAACCTCGCGCCTGGAACGAGCCCGGATGACATCCAGACTACAATGCAGGCATGCGGCAAGGTAACACAAGTCAAGATCACCGGCGTCTCGAAAATTGCACTGTTAGCAGAGGTCACGTTCGCTACGAGAAAAGAGGCGGATGTTGCTGTGTCTAAGTTTCACCAAATAAATGCGGACGGACGCATCATTCGCTGCCAAATAAAGCAGGCTGCGAAGACTGCGCAGGCGCCTACTCCATCAGGACCTAGGGCTCAGCAACAGACATTCGCGCAGAGGACACAGCAGCAGGTGCCAATGCAGGGCGCTCCGGGAAGGATGTACAACGCGAACGGGCGTGGAGGGTTTGGGCGACGTTAATGCGATGGGGCAACCTAGGGGAGTTACACCGAAGAAAAGGTCAAGTTAGTCCGGCAATATATCTGGGCGGATGGAAACAATCCCTCTTCGTAGACAACTACTCTACATCTTCATCTCGAGCTTCTGGATCCTACCAGCCTTTACTGCGTGCGCTGAGCTGTGGTTGTCGGAGCGGACCCATGGCGAGCCGTCCGCAGCCAGCCTGTAGCTTTTGGCGCGGACTTGTTTAACCCAGACTGATCGAGTCTCACCACCATAAGTAAATGCCCGACCAGGGAGACGTCACATTCAGAATTCGCCTTCTTGGCAGCTGAGCTTCTTCTGCCGTGCCCCTAGAACATCATAACGCCTCTGCTATTCCCCTTTCATCGTATCCTCCTCCTTTGACAGCCCCCCCCACAAGGTTCACGTGCATACATCCTGGTGTCTGCTCGTATCCCATCCCCGAAGTCACCTCATCTCAACCACTTGAAAATCAACCAGAAACATGTAAGCGTGAACACAACTCCTCCCCAAAAGATCCATTTGTCCTGCCTTGCCCTCCTCTCCACCTTTGAGATTGTTTCCCTCGATATGCCGAGTGTATGTGCTGCATCCAAAATCTTCGTCTTAGTTCCCTTCAACATGCTCTTCTGATCTTTCAAATCCCCAAGTACTGCACGTCCACGCTCCAAGAACTCATCAAGCGCGACATCTGTCCGTCCCAAGAAGTCTTGATCACGGAAGACAGCATCTTCGCGATTCTGTGCAACCTGTGTTGCATAAGGATTCTCCGGTGTACTTGTCTCTTCCCTCAACCCATCGCCCCTTCCCGGCCCTCGTCGCAGCAGCTCTCCTCGTCCCCGGTTTGTGTGTGCTGCCCCACCTTCCCTCGCGACATCTCCAAATTTCTTCCGTAACTCCCCTACATCCCGTCTCAACTCCCCAACTCTCATCCGTGCTTTCTCCTTCTTCGCCGATCCGTCAGCTTCGCGTTTTGACATATTGTCGTAATCATCAATTGTACGGGATAGAGAAGAGAAGGAAGCGGACATTTGGCCTTGGAGGGCGGTGATGTTTGGTTGTTGCTGGGTGGAGTCGTGGTAGGCATTTTGGAGGTTGTCGAGGTCCGTGCGGAGAGAAGTCAACTGCCGTAATGCTTGATTGTAAACGACGTTCATGATGCTCGACTGTGTAGGGATCAGGGATCAGAGGGTCGGCCGTTCCCGCTGTTGTCGGAGCGGACCCGTGGCGCGGCTGTGGCGCGTACGTACGACCCGGTACGTACGCACCCAGATTTCGTAAATCGACGACCGATGTTCAATTACAATGTCGCCAATACAATGGTCGAAAGAGTTGATTGTGCAGGATCATCCAGCTTCTGGTGACAAGATTGTTCTGCCGCCAAGTGCACTGGAGGAGATGCTGGGGGGATCAAGCGAAACAAACCGAGAGCTGCCGTCGCCACTCACCTTTGCGCTTTTGAATCCCCGGACACGAAAACTTACACATTCTGGGCTGCGAGAGTTCTCGGCTGAGGAGGGAGTGGTACTGCTACCGAAGCATGTCCGGGAGAGTCTGGACTTGAAGGAAGGCGAATTGGTGGCGGTTGCTGTCAGGGAGTTGTCCAAGGGAACCTTGGTGAAGCTGCGACCATTGGATGCCGGTTACGACGAACAGGATTGGAAGGCACTTCTGGAAGCGCGTCTAAATTCGCATTATACCACACTCACGAAGGGTGAAGTTCTACCGATCGTCGCAGGCAATCAGACGATGCAGTTCTTGATCGATGAGATTCAGCCGGCAGATGCTGTTCTTATCGTCGACACCGATCTTGAGGTCGTCCTGGAACCACTAGACGAGCAGCAGGCTGAGGAAACTGCGAAGAAGCGAAAATTGGCGGTGAAGGAGAACGTGGTCATTGAAGTGGGGAGCGCTGTGCAAGGCCAGGTTGAGCGCGGTCAATATGCGAACTATGAATTGAGCGAATGGAGCCGAGATAATGGTCTGGTGCTCGAGGTTAAGATTTCTAATGGGGATGCCGACTTGCTTGTATCGACTACACCTAAGCCGGTGGATGACCTTCACATGTGGTCGTCCTTTGATTCCGCTAAGAGGGTAGCATTATCCGCCTCCAATATTGAGTTGTCGACAGCAACGAAGCTGTACGTCTCGATACACGGTGATAGTGATGAACCTTGCTCTTTCACACTGACCGCATCCAATGGGGACTCATCACCTTCTGCCAATGGGCAGGTAACCGGTCCGCCCGATCCTGGAAATACGCAGTGCCCGAACTGCCAAACATGGGTTCCGGAAAGATCTATTGTTTTGCACGAGAATTTCTGTCGGCGCAACAACGTGAAGTGCAATGTATGCGGCATCATCATGAAACGCTCGGAAGAAAAGCTTCACTGGCATTGTGACGTGATTGATTGCGATGGATGGGGAACTCATCCAGATCAGATACCAAAGCATCGAGAGGTGTACCACATTCCAAAATCCTGCTCCTGTGGAGCGCAACTTTCCAGTCTTCCCGCGTTAGCTTTCCACCGAGCTACGAGTTGTCCGGAGAAGCTTATCATGTGTCGCTTCTGTCATACTTTGCAAGAACAAGGCGATATGACCACGCTTTCTGCTCAAGACATGTTGACGGGACTCACTGCCCATGAGTCAGTCTGTGGTAGCCGCAGTGCGGAATGTCAGATTTGCGGGAGAAGGACAACGCTTAAGGATGCGCCTGCACATGCAAGGTATCACGATATGGAAAGGTTGTCAAAACCCAAACCTGAGATTTGCCGTAATATCAACTGCGCCAGAATGAAGGCAGACAACAAGCTTGCACTGTGTGCGATTTGCTTTGGCCCGCTGTGGACGAACGCCTATGACCCAACAGGATCGAAGCTTAAGTCTCGAGTGGAAAGAAGGTATTATCAACAGTTAATGACCGGCTGCGGTCGGGATTTCTGCAGAAACAACAAGTGTGCTACCGCCACAGGGAAAGCGTTGACTATGGCGGAAGCAGCGGCCATCGTGAAGCCTATCAAAGAGGCCCTGATGGATATCAGCACGCCCCTCGAATTTTGCGTGGATGAGGGAACGACGAAGCGTCGAATTCTGGCAGAGATGGTTCTTGATGAGGATGCATCCTACGACATTGAATGGCGTATCAAAGCTATCGATGTCGAGGCTAGTAATGTTGCGAATGCACAGCTTTGGTTAGAGAGGAACGCCGTCAAGAAGGCCGAGGCATAGGTAGTTTACAGGCTGAGAGTTATAGGGTGTACCGGCGTTTTTCCAAAGGTTATAGAGCAATGAATCTCATTTTCCCAAAGTCAAATGCGACGTAGCTCAGTAAATGCGCACGCTCACCCCCTGCACCAAACTTGCTCCAAACAGCGTAAATATACGACCGCACGACCGCACGTCCGCTTGATCCCCAATCGCCACGCGTAGCATACACTCTTACAATGGCTGGAACAAGGAAGAGAAAGGCCGAAGACTCCCCCGTCGCTGCTCGCAAGGCGACCCGCACCGCTGCTACTGCTACCGCGCCTACCCGCTCTTCGTCGCGTCAAGCTCAGGCGAAGGTCGAGGCGGTGAAGCCCAAGCCTGTTGCGAAGCCCGCCTCTGAAAAGACTGCTTCCGCCAAGAAGGCCGCTGCTCCCAAGGCTCCTGCGAAGACGACTGAGCGCAAGATCGCTAAGCCCGTCTCCAAGAAGGCTGCTGTTGCGAAGAAGGCCAAGTCCGCGCCCGCGCCCAAGGAGATCGCGTCGCGTGCCAAGAAGGCCAAGGTTGAGGAAGAACCCGTGAAGCCCGCAAAGAAGCGTGCTGCGCCGGCCAAGAAGGCTGCTCCCGCGAAGAAAGGTGCTGAGCCTAAGTCCAAGGCCGCTACGAAGCCTGCCGCCTCCACGAAGAGGACCGCTGAAGATGCCGAAAAACCTGCTCCCGAGAAGAAGGTCCGCAAGCCCGTTACTGGTCCCAATGAGCTCCAGAAGCTTTCTACCGATCCACTGAATGTTTACGTCTTCGGTACCGGTGATATGTGCCAGCTTGGTCTTGGTCCTGCTGCGAAGGTCGTCAAGCGCCCCCGTCTCAACGCTAACCTTGGAATCGACCAGGTCGGTGTCGTACGTCTTTCTGTTGGAGGAATGCACTCTGCAGCTGTCACGAAGGATGGCAAGGTTCTTACTTGGGGTGTTGGTGATGCCGGAGCTCTTGGACGCGAAGTTGAGTGGGACGGTGGAGAACGTGATGCGGATGGAGATGACGAGAACGATGATGTTGGCGATATGAACCCCTGCGAGAGTACTCCCGCTCCTTTCGAGAACGTTCCGGAGGACATCAAGTTCGTTGATGTTTCTTGTGGTGATAACGTCACCGTGGCTATCACGAAGGACGGTGATCTCTGGAGTTGCGGCCAGTTCCGCGTAAGTTTCAAATCCCCCCCGAGTCGTCGTGATGTTTGCTAACCGATTCTAGTGTAATGAAGGTGAACTTGGTTTCTCTGCTACCGAGAAGAAGGCTCGCTTCCCGGTCCTTCTGCCAGGCATCACCGATGTTGTTCAGGTTGCTTGCGGCACTGATCACTTCATTGCTATCACTGTTCAAGGTCACGCCTACTCATGGGGTAACGGCCAGCAGATGCAGCTTGGTCGCAAGACTAATGAGCGTAACCGCATGAAGGGGTTGAGCCCTCGGCCCATGGGTAACCCTCTCAAGAAGGTCAAGTTCATCGGAGCCGGCTCTTACCACTCGTTCGCTGTCACGCATGATGGAAAGGTCTACGCTTGGGGGTTGAACCAATTTGGTCAGTGTGGTGTTGAGGATGCTGCGGGTGAGGACGAGTCTGTTCTCGCTACTCCTACCCGCGTACCCGAGCTTGAGAAATATGACTTGGTCCAGATTACTGGTGGTGAGCACCACTCTGCCGCTGTTACCAGGGAGGGTGATCTTTACACGTGGGGACGTATCAACAACCACGCTCTCGGTATTGAGATCGAGGATATTCCGGTCCCGCCTGCAGTTGTGATTGATGGCCAAACCATCCCCAAGTACCTTCCTATTCCTACTAAGGTCGAGGACATCCCACCAGTCGCCAAGATCTTCTGTGGTTCCCATCACAACGTCGCCATCTGCAAGGATGGCAGTGCCTGGTCTTGGGGGTACTCTGAGTCCTATGCTGTCGGCCAGGGTAACACCGAGGAAGATATTGTCGTTCCCACCAAGATCGAGAACACTGCCATTAAGGATGTGGAGCTTATCATGGCTGGTTGCGGTGCTGAGTTCAGTATCATGTGCGGTAAGCCCGCTGCTCTCGCGTCTGAGCCTGCCCAGACCAACGGAGAGGTCGTTGCCAACGGTACCACGGAGGAGGCTCCTGCTGCTACCACCGAGGAACCGACCAAGGTCGCCGTTGTCCTGAACGAGACCGTTGCGCAGAACGGCGAAGTTGTAGCAGTCGCTGAGGTCGAGACTACTGTCGTTGCTCCTCAGTCATTCATGGAGAAAGCATGATCAAGAAAGGAGGAGAGAGAAGAGCATGAGATGGGGCACGGCGGTACTTCGGAGGAAAGGCGTGTGAATTAACAAAGGTTATATCTATAGTGTTATGTTGTTAGTCTAATCATAAGGATCATGTACTTACTGTGTATTCCGCTACCTCTCCTGGTCGTGAACCCCCCGGTTGCCCTGAAGCCGAGATTAAGGTGGGGTGTGCCAGTTGTCGGAGGAGGCTAGGGGGACGCCCGAGGAGATGTGAGTCGTACAGCTGATCAACTTGAATATCTCCCACAAACAGCAAACAAACTGGCAATGGAAGAAGTACTTACGCTCGGTCTTGGTGGTGTCGGCGCTGTGTATTCGCTTGCTTTGGATCTCAGCAAACAAGCTCGAATCACCACTGTCTGCCGATCAAACTACCAGGTGGTGAAAGATAATGGATTGACAATCCACAGCGACAGCTTCGGCAAGTTCGAGCCATGGAGACCTCACAAAGTTGTCTCCTCGACCTCATCTCCCGAAGCAACTGAAACGGAGTACTCCTACATCCTCGTCACCACTAAAGCGCTACCAGAAGCCACGCCATCTACAGCGGACATCCTCAGACCAGTGGTATCGAAGAACACGACCATCGTTCTTCTTCAAAACGGTGTCGGTATCGAAGATCCTATCAGCGCGGCGTTCCCGGAGAACCCTATTATCAGTTGTTCGGTTTATCTCTCTAGCTCTCAGTTCTCCTCGGGGGTGATTACACAGACTGCTCTGGAGCGCGTGGTTATTGGTGGATTCGATAATGGTGTCGTCAATTCAATGCTATTGAAGAACCGGGTAGCGCGGTTCGCTGAGTTGCTTAGGGTGAGTGGAGCAAATGTCGCGGTCAACGATGACATCCAAATGGAGAGATGGAAGAAGTTGCTGTGGAATGCGAGTTACAACACGTACTGTACGGTGACTATGATGGATACACTTACGTTCTGCGAGACCGTACCAAACGCGACAGAGTTGATCCGTACCTGTATGAACGAGGTGCTGGCCGTCTCGAATGCCCTGGGTCACTCCATCCCACCCGAAACGGTGGAGAACTTGATCAAGTTCACCATGGGTAACGGAAAGTACAAGCCTTCCATGTTGCTCGACCGCGAGAGAGGATCACAAATGGAAGTAGAGGTTTTGCTCGGTAACCCGACGAGAATTGCGAAGGAGCATGGTGTGCCGACGCCTATCCTGAATAGTCTGTACGGTATCTTGAGTGCGGAGAACTGGAAATTGAGACAGGGTTAGACTATCTGTTCGAACGGTCGATGATATACCCTTGATGTGGTAGTGATATAATGAGGTATCATGCTATAAATGCCGTATTCCCAACCAATGCCTGAAAATGGAACGAAAGAACGCCAATAACCCATATGTAACCCAGACAACGACCCATTACTATATCTTCTGCTTCACTGTGCCGGGACGAGGTGACTGTAGTGACCCGGCTCTTTGTTTTTGCAACGCTCGCAATCTGTCCTATAACCCATGACGATGACCATACGTTGCTTTGAAGGCTGTTTTTGAGGCTCGGCTTCCATATTCACGTCCTCTTCTTCCGGATTGGTGATTGGAGTAGAGCCTCTGGATGTCGAGGTATCCATACTAATGTTCAACTTTGACAGCGAGGGCGGAGCAGGAGACTAGACTCTGTCAGCATACAGCGGCATAGGGCGCTTCGGAAGCGAATAAATACCATATCCATCTCTTCATCCATAGCATCAGTCCGATAGTGGTTATGCAGGATATAGTTGTAATCGCCTCCACCTGAATTCCTAGAGAAATACGACTGCTCCGCATGCTTGACCGTTGATTGAATGTTCCGACGTTTCTGCGTAGCGTTAGCAACGATCCGCCCAAAACAACCTTCAATCAACGTACCCTGGACGTAAAACCCGTCGGATCGTACGCATATTCCTCTACATTGGCCTTCCTCTTCGACCTTGTGTTTTGCGAGACGGACAGCATGGTTGATGAGTCCATGATTTGGTTTGGAGGTGAATGTTTTCGACCGTATACGACCCTGCAAGCCATGTGCAGGTCGCCGCTCCCGTGCTTCACCGCCAAATCGGGCTCACCGAGGTCGTTGAAAACGGACTACCAGGTTTATAGTCAATTCTTCTTGCTCATTGAATCCGATATCGTTTGGCTGTTTGGTTGGCATTGAAGCGTATTCCATTGGCCGGACGTGTGTAATCAGCAGGTGTGGCGCATTATCGGTACGGTTGGCGAACACCATACGAACTTTTTGGCAGCAGAAGCACCTACGAATAATCAAAGCAAACACAGACACGATGACCTGGTTCTGGGCTGATTCTACCGCGACTGCTGCTGCTCCTCAGGCGGCTACCAAGTGTCCTATCGATCACACCAAGCGCGCTGCTCCTGCACCTGTCGCCGCTCCCCCTCCGGGATGCCCCATGCACCAGGACGATGTCGCGTCTGGCCCTGTCGCTCTCCCTTCAGCAAGGAAGGATACTCCTCCCGACTGTCCCTACGATGCGTCCCAGGACAAGATCAACCCTCTGAACAAGATGCCCGAGAACTTGCCACAACAGCGCATATCGCCACACCAGTCCGTTCCCCTACCGGTTGATCGTGAGACTTCTACTATTCCTAAGGGCGATGGACAAGAGCTTTGGGAGTACCCATCTCCTCAGCAGATGTACAATGCTATGGTCCGTAAGGGACAGACCGACACTCCTGCCGAGCACGTTGAGCGGATGGTAGCCGTGCACAACTTCTTAAACGAGGGCGCATGGCAGGAGATCTTGAAGTGGGAGCAGCCATACATGGAGGATGGGCTGAAGCCTACTTTGATCAGATTCCAGGGTCGCTCGAAGGAATTGACGCCGAAGGCAAAGATGTTGCAGTGGTTGGGTCAGGTGAACCCGGCCAAGTACGGAATGGAGCCGCCGTTCGACAGACACGATTGGTTTGTTAGGCGCGGTGAAAAAGAAGTGAGATACGTTATCGACTACTACCAGGGTCCCGATGAGCCTACGGGTGAGCCGGTCTTCTACCTTGATGTTCGCCCTGCGTTGGATACCCCTGGAGCAGCCTACGCTCGTATCAGCACCTGGACCCGGGAGACCTGGGACAAGACCATGGGCAGGTAGCCTGCTACTGCTCGAAGACGATTACTTGTTTTCCTTTTCCTTTTGTCAGTCTGGAGTTGGGTATGTTTTTCCATGGCGCATGATTCTGTCTTTTTTTTTTTCTCTCGTCTCCCAATAACTTATAGCTATGCAATATTACCTTCCTGCGAACATACTCAAGCTTTCGTACGCTTTGGACTTCCTTTGGTGCTTACGCGTTGCACATCCATCTCCACGCCTTCCACCTCAGTCCCGTGGATGTGCTTGAGCTGCGGTCCCTTGTAGTGCTTCCGACCTTTGACGACCCAGGTGATGGCGGCAGCAATGAACACAACAGCGAACGCTGCAATAGTGTAATCTGTTGTTCACGTCAGCATCTTGCAGGGGTTCTGGAAGTGACACGTCATACTCATGTTCTCCGCTGTGACGGGAGTGTCGGGGGGGAAGAGGAAGAAAATTGTCGTCAAGATCACCCAAGCCAACCCAATCAAGTTGGCAGTATACCCAAGGACAGATCCAAGCTTAAACGACCTATCAGCTTGCAAAATATGTCTTCCTCGTATGACGAGGATGGCCACAGGGATGCCGTAGCTGACGCCGAGTGCAACGACGGAAGCGGAAAGGATGGCGTTCAAAGCACTCGAACTCCCAAGGTAAATGCAGCCGAAAATGATAACGATGATCGTTGAGAGGATCAAGGCGTTCATGGGGACGTCATGCTTTTTCTGGACACGGCTGAAGAAGCGTGAGAAAGGCAGCCCGCCGTCTGGCACAACTCGTTAGCCTCGGGCGTCATCTCAGGAAAGGTGGCACTAGGTATACCTCTGGCAAAGGCGTAGGTCATTCTTGACGAAGTGGTCAAGATACCCGTTGTCGCGAAGGCCATACAAACAATCGGAAACATGTCAAGGCAGATGGCGCCAGCTTTGTTGTTAGTAGCTTGGTAAAAAATGGAGAGCCTGTTCTCGATTAGCACTCCATTTATCGCTGTGTGAGGTAAGACTTACAAAGGCCCAGCAGTGCCAGAAATGACAGCGTCGACATCCGTCAGCGCAAAGAGCAATGCGATCAAAAACATCAAACCAGTGACTAATCCAATGACAACCGCTAGAACCATCGCTTTTGGTGCATTGCGAGAGGGATCATGAATCTCTTCTACCATGTGACTGACTGCATCGTAGCCGGTTAAACCAAGGCCTGCCTGTAAAAGACCGAGGATCCAGGCGACGCCGTTGTTCCAGCCGGTTTCGTTGATGTATGTTCCGAAGACGAAGCTGGATATGGTTATTCGAGGTGCCAGGAGAGGGGGGAGAGAGCGCAAACTTACTCGCCAGATTGGTAGTTTGGTGATGCTGTAGCCAGGACCGTGACCGTGATGATAACAACACCGCTGATCGACCACAACACTTGCAGGAGTCAGCTCTTTACCGCGGGGGAATGCGAGAAAGAACACTCACGAGCAGCCTTGTTGATAGTGGGCAAAAGTCTTACGAAGAAAGCGTTGATGAAGAATGCACCGATCACATATGCGACGTAGATGAGGAAGATGTGCCAACGTTGAACGGTATAGTTCGGATGAAGCAGGGCGATAACTCCAGTAATGAGCTGTCCACCAAGTGCACCTCCGGTTGCAGTCAGCGCCCACCAGCCAGCTATAACAGACCGTCAGCACATTCTCTTCGTACGTGTAAGAGGACTGAACAGACCGGTATTGATCCAACCGCAGATCCAACTGAGTACGGGTGACAAGCGCGGAGTACTCAGCATTGCTGTAAAGTGGTAGACTCCACCAGATGTTGGATAGACGGAACAGATTTCGGCAAGACTTGCGCTGAGGGCCACTGGAGAAGTATCGGATGAGAAGTCAATCGGAAGAGGATTGAGGGGGAGCCGACTCACAATTGCAGACACCAGCAACAAGCAAACCCCAGATAATGGCTACGGGTCCACCGGATGGGAGCGCGATGTTCAGAGAAGCGGCCAATGCGGTCCATGAGCTGTCAATGATCAGCCGTCAGAAGCGTGCGGATTTTGCAATAGCGAACGTACTTGAGAACTAGAAGCAGACAGTCAGGATAGATCGACGAAGCTGCAACCAATTATAGGACATACTTGCAAATGCGAAACCGATCATCGACAGGAATGAAAAGTTACGCTCCAACTCAGGCTCGAAACCAAGAGCTCTCAATCGTTCATCATCGGCGGCATCGCCTGCACGGCCGGGCCTACGTGTGATCTTGGAGTCCGTCTCCATGGTTGTTGGAGTTGCGATGAAGGGCGCCGGCCAGCATCATCAGTATCGTTAAAGTTTGCTTGGCATCCATGCTCAAAGTGATCCCTTCCCCGCATGCCGTCGGCTGTCATCGCTTGACTGCAGCCATGGGACCATCAGGTCACTCCAGCCGACAATCGTCAATCCCCAATAACAAACCATCATGAATGCAATCAAAATCAACCGAGAGAGTCAACGTGCTACGTTACAGCTTCACTTCAGTTGATGACCTCGTTTCATGTATGTGCAGCAGCCGCTGTAGGAACCCTTTGTGGGGTGAATGCACTCACTCCTCCATCAACATCCTTGAACTCAGCTTCATGATTGATCCATAGATGCCATCACATCTGTACAGTTTCGGGTCAAATGGAAAGTATCAACTGGGTTTAGGCCACGACCAAGACACGCACATCCCGAATCCCGTCGAAAGTGACGTTTTACCGCCGGTACCTCCAAAGGCTCTTGCAGCAGGCGGGAACCATACCATCCTTGTCTACCCGGACGGCAATGCATACAGCGTTGGTGACAATGAGTGTGGTCAGTCTGGTCTTGGAGAAGATAGCGTGACTGTTCCGCACTTTACAAAGGTGAAAGGATCGTGGAGTGCGGCGGCCGCTGGATGGGAGTTTAGCATTTTCGTAAGTGCATCAGGGACAGAGGTCTACAGTGCGGGTCGCGGCACCCGAGGCGAGCTCGGATTGGGCACGGACGCTCTTCTCACCGGAAGACGAAGGGCGCTGCAGCATATCCCTGACTTTCCTCCTCCCGGGCGAACCGTAACAGAGGTAGCTGCTGGTGTCGCGCATGTCATCTGTACATTGGATGATGACTCTGTCTGGGCATGGGGCGACGGACGGAAGGGACAGCTTGAGGGCGCCTACGAAAAGACAAAAGTGTGGTGGACGCCTAGGGACACCGGTCTAAAAGCTATACCACGGAATTTTTACAATGTCGAGAAACGCGTTGCTTGCGGTCGTGAGTTTACACTCATCCAGACAGAAGACGGGCCCATGCTCCTTGGTGGCGGACCAAGAGATAGATGGCAAATAGCCAGCATTCCCTCATATATTCCAGCAACAGTGAAAAATGTCGGAGCATGCTGGTCATCCGGCCACGTTGTATCATCGGATGGACGTGTGATATCTTGGGGCCGCAACGATCGAGGGCAGGGTGCTCCAGACTGCCTACCGTCGATAAAACTCATTGCATCGGGAAGTGAACATGTCTTGGCTCAAGATTACCAAGGGAACATATATGCATGGGGTTGGAACGAACACGGGAACTGCGGGAGAGAAGACAAACTAGACGTGACAGGTATACACGTGATACGTGAGGGTGATACAGTTAGTGCTAGTGACGGATTCATCGCAGCCGGCTGCGGTACTTCTTGGTTTTGGCGGTAAACCGAGGATAATAGAATCCTTCTGCTATTATCCAGCATTCTCCGCCTTCTTTATGCCGAACATGCCGCTCAGCGTCTGCTGAACGCTTTTCTTTCCTCCTCTTGTTTCGCTAGCTTCTGAGACACGTTTCCTAGGTTTCCTTGCAGGCTTTGTAGTGGGCTTTTCAGCAGCCCAGTTTTTCCTTCCCAGCTCTGTACCAATGTCTACAGGGTCAGACACCCATTTTCCTTCTACGTCCAGCTCGACATCTGGTGCTATTCGCACTTTGAAAACCCTCGTATATCGTCTAATATGAGTGAAGACGTGCAGTGTCGTCACTGGTTCAGACCTTTCCACTGTTTCCGCTTCAGATATACCAAGCTCCGCAGCGAACTCATCAAAGTATTTGGAAAGTAATGATGGAAGGGGAGGCATCGTCTTCGTCGCGGTAACTGCAGGCGTTTCTTCCGTCAATACCTGCGTAGGGAAATCCCATAGTCCTGCAAGAAGTCCCTTGTCAGGTCGCTTGATGAGAAAGAACTCATCCTTGTCTCTACCCGTCTTTTGCCGTACAAATATGATGCAGACGGAATCCTCCACCTTAGACTCCTTCTTCACGACCTTGCGAGGATACCGTGTTGAAATCCACGTTGCTCCTTCTCTAATCTCCATATCACTATCTGGTGGCGGTAGGCATGTCGTGCATCCACCAAGGTCTTCGATATCATACTTGATAGTACCCCCAGTGTCGACGAGCGTAGCTTCTGCCCGGGCTTTGCAATCATCAGCCAAAGGACAAACCCCACAGTTGGGATTTCGTGGCACGCAAATGCTTGACCCAATATCCATCAGTGCTTGGTTCCACTGGCCTGGCTGTTTCGGGTCTACGAGCTCCCCAGATAACCGCCACATCAACTCCTTCCCTTTCGTTGTGGAGTCACCAACTTGTACGCCAGCTAAGCGCGACACTACACGCACAACATTGCCATCAACGGCTGCCGCCTGTACGTTGTACGCAATAGACGCCACAGCACCTGCCGTATATGGTCCGCATCCCGGTACATTCTCCCATTCTTTTGCAGTTCTGGGCAACGGTTGCTCAGTGAGATATGCAGCAGCTTCACGCAATCTTTTTGCTCGTGAATAATACCCGAGACCGGCCCAAAGTGCGTTCACCTCATCTAGCGATGCATTTGCTAAGTCTTTAGGTCTCGGGAATGCCTCCAAAAAGCGCTTGTAGTAGTCGATCACCGTGGCAACACGTGTTTGTTGCAGCATGATCTCTGACACCAGCACTTCGTATCCCCTCTGCAACGCCTGCTCATTGCTTGCATCTTCAGATGATTGTGGTAGTGGGACATGTTCTTTTCGCCAAGGAAGGTCGCGTTTGTGTGCAGCATACCACGACAGAAGTGAACTTCTCAACCTTTGGACCCGGTCTGATTCGAGGCGATGTGAGGAGAACGGATGATCAGAGGGAACTGAGGGAACTGTTAGCTTTTTAGGTGGCATCCGCAATGTTGGTTGCGGCGCACAGGCCTTCTGGTCGAACAGAGAATTCGAAGTAAACAATGTACGGTAACGTTGACGTCGATCACGCCCGATCTGGCACTTTAATTAGAATCGGGAGGATCCTCTTATATGCAATATGATTAATCTATATTTAGGGACATTGAGATATGCAGAAAAACGCCTGTATAACATCCAACCTTGTCGAAATGCCAATGCTTATATTATATATATGATCACGCCCCGTGCATGCTGGATCCCATATCTTCGTCCCCCTCTTCTCCGTCGTATTGCGCTCCAGATGCGATCTCTTCCTTGATCAGATGAGCAGCCTTAGGGTCGAGATTTAGGGCAATGGTGAAATGCCGCATGGCCGCTGATCTGTCGTTGATATGCTTGTAGATTTGACCGAGAAGGAAGTGCACATTGCCTTCATCGGGAGCAATATCCTTCAAAGCTTGGAGTTCACGCAAAGCAAGCTGTGCAAATGAATTAGGACAACAGTTCGTACTTAGGAGCGGCATACATACCATGTATTCGCCTTGCATCATTAGAATTCTTGCTTTCTTGAACCTTGCCATAGCACTCGATGGTGAAATCTGACAGGCCCGGTTGTACTGTACCAGAGCTTCTTGAAATCTCTTGTGCTTTTCCAAAACCTGTCGAGCGTTAATTCATATCCTCTTAGACAGCTAGCACAACATACCATGCCAATGCAACATATCAACACGACATTGGAGGGATTGATCTCCGCAGCTCTGCGGAAATGCTGTTCTGCCAAATCGCTCTTTCCGATCTTGTTGTAAACCATTCCGATACCGTACCAGGCATTGTAATGCCTTCGATCTAGTCGGATAGCTGTTCGGAAGCTTAATTGTGCTTTGTCCCATTCTTCATTGGCAACGTGTTCATGCCCCTCCAACGTATGCGCGTAAGCAAACTCCGAATCCAGATGAACGGCTCGTTGAAGGCATTTGATGGCCTGGTCGTGCTCGCGTTGTAAACTGAAGCAATTGCCGACGGCACACCATGCTTGCGGAGATAGTCGATCAATATCAAGAAGCTCGTGTGCAAGATACGACAGCTGGACGTCTTTGCGAAGATGCCACAGGATAGTAGAGTAAACCTCCATATCTTCGAGGCACATAGGATGCAATTCCCTTAGCCTCCTAAACACCTTTTCGGCCTTTGTGCGAACAAGTCAGTTTCAGCGGCACAATCACGCCTAACGATGGACTACTTACCTCCTCATACTTTACCGACTCAAATTGAGCCCTACCAACTTTACTTAAGACATATGCCGACTCGTACTGTTCTGGTGGTAACTGACGAAATAGGTCGATAGCCTTCCCACATTCGTATTTGGACAGCGCGTAGACAGCCGCGGCCAACTGTGCGAACAACTTCAACACGCAACTTTCCGCCTCTTCTCTTCTTGCGGTACTTGGGAAAGCAGGAGGTGCGGGCGGTGCTGCCATAGGTTGGGCTGGCTTGCGCTGGGGAAGCAAGGTGCTTCCAAGTGATGTATCATGCGATCCCAGCCCACCAGCCGTTGGTGTCTCATCTGAGTATGTTGATTTTGACCGACCTTTCGCCGCGGGTACCTTCCTGCCAAGCAGGGCAGGTTTCGTAGGGCGTGTCACAGATGCTCCAGAACTCGCGAGTCTAGTTGATCTCCGCGTCGGGATGTCACTTGTCGTCCTTTTCATCTGCACGATACTCAGCGCTGTTCAACGAAGACGGTGAGAAAGAGAAGACTTACAATGGTGGCCTCCAATTCGCGGGTGGTGGGTCGGCCCATAGCTCTAGCTCGAGGCATATCTGATGGAAGGCTTGATTTCACACGCGGCTGAGCAGGCTTCAACGTAGAAGAAGTTGGTTTAGAGGCACCAAGACCAATGAAACTCTCATCTTCGTCGGATGTGCTTCCACCGAATGTAGGAGTTCTGCGGACTGTGTAAGCGGGTCATTCAACATTTCGAGTTGTTCACTTACCCAGGCGTATCACTCTCTTGGAGCCGGCTCAGGAAATTTGGACGAGGATCAGGCGCACGAAAGTCAAACTGCTTTGGTTGATGAACAGGTCCTCCGACGAAAAGGTCCGGAGTTTCGACCGTCGGAAGACGCGAAGTAAATATCGAACCCTTTGTTGTCGTCGTCGCAGTTGTTGTGACGGGGGCAGCATTCCGAGGCACATCGGCCTGCTTATTATCCCGGGCAGCAATCATTTGAGACGTCGCTTTGAAAATGTTGTCAACACGAACGTTGATGCCGAGCTGGCACAGTCCATCGAAAGCTTCCCACAGGAACGGATTGATCTTAACGGCCGAAACATATGAATTCACCGCCTTCTTCATCATCATGCACTTCTTCGCCAAATGCCCAATCAGACAATACGCGGCTCCCGCGTCTGGCATATGTCGTCTGCTGCTATCACTATGTTCACCTGTACGAGCGACACTGTTAGCCTTGTAGTCCACGCATTCAAAGCAGACATACCCAGGGTAACGGAAGACACCCATTGTGAGCCCACATCTTCTAAAGCAACGATTCCCTCAGAGTACTTCCCAACTTGCAGACAGCATTGCGCATAAATGTAGGCGCACCCAGCATGCCGTACATTCTCCGTCACCGCCATTGCTTGCTGCGTCTTGCCTGACCGCAAGTATGATAGCGCAAGAAGATGCTTGGCATCGGGATCCTTGTTGTCGTATGCTAGTAACCGCTCGGCGACGAAAGACGCATTGCTCTCCAGTCCATTGTCCAGTGAATGCCAGATGACCTCCCGAAATAGTTGCACTACATGGGGCTGAGGAGCCATTGAGGGCGGCAGCAGCGAACAGGAAGACACTGAAGGTAATGAATTGTTCTTGTCTGCCGGAATCAAAGCGGTTTTCCTTTACCTCCGCTCTCACTCTCGCTGCTCAGTGTTTACCGGTGCGGCAATCGCGCGCTGTACGCATGCACGATGCTGCAGCGCCCAAAACCTGCTGTACATGGAGTTTCCCAGGAGGTGTATACGAGGGTAGGCGATGGATGGTACGATGGGTTTCCTAGCAAAGAGGAGATATTGCATAATAGGTTGGAGAGAAACCGGAAAACGGGATGACTCGTCAAGACGGGGGCGGGGATCAGCTTTAGAACTTGAGCACTGGCCATGATATCATATGCATTCGCTCAAAGGGCCATTCTCTTCCAGTCCATAACGAACGACGGAACCCACTGAGAAAACGCGTTTCTAAGAATGCCGAGAAGGCCGGAGACTCACACGCGATACTGGAACGTCACCTCGCAACCTTAACAACAGTATACGGGCGCCTCAATTGGGATGATAGCCATAAGGCTGAGCCTGCAGCCAGTCAATGAATAGCCATCACACAGATCAAGATCTGGCGTTGGTCTTAGTAAACTCCCTGATCTTGTCCTCAGCCTCTCGCAGCCTCCTCCTCAGATCCTCGTTCTCAGCCTTCAAGGAGTCGACAATGGAAACCTCTGCAGGACGGTGCGGAGTTCCCTGAACACTAGGTTCTCTCCTCAAGCTACCTGCTCTGCTCGGTGTTCTTTCGGATACGAAACTCGATGCTCGTGAGGTACGGCCAGATGATGCTACGGGTGAGGCTAGAGGGACGTCTGATACCGCTGTGTTGGGATCAGTGCTCGCATGCTGTGCTCGTAGCGCCGCGATTTGGCGGGAGAGACGATTCACGATAGACTCGGATTCGGCTTCGAGCTCTGCTTCAATGCGGATTTTGTCGCGTCTGAGGTCGTCTAGGCGTTTCAGGAGTGCACTGTGATCGGATTAGCATGTCTACAAGTAGAACACAGGTAGATGCACTTACTTTGTCACAGCTTCTGACTCTTGAGACATGATTTCATGAAGCTCTGCCAAATTGCTTGCTTGTCTTGGCATAGGTGGAGGCAAAGCATCGACACCACCACGCAATGAAGACGAGGATGCTCGGCGGACCGAGGTGGCCGACAGGCGTCTTGGTACAGGGCCAGGCATGATGGATGGCGAGGACGGAGTAGCAGCTAGGCTTGGTGATGAAGGAACGGACGGTGTTGGATGCATTGTGTTGTTAAATGCGTCTTGTAGTGTTCGTTGCATTTGTGCTTATGATCGAGCGATTTCTACGGTGTCATATCGTAAAGCTGCCGCATGCAGGCCGTTATCGCATAGGAACCCGCGTCCGGGGCAACACGTGATATGAAAGGGACCGAATGGCATCATGAGTTACGTTCTTGCAGTTGTATAGGAATATATGCCCGAATGTCCTCCTCCTCCTCCTCGTCCTCGTCTTGTCCACGCGGGGTTGCCTCCTTATCGATATCACCCTCTACCACTCGGCCAGCAAACGTCCAATTGATCTCCCAGAACTTCCCTAACTCTTCTAAACGCAACTTCATCTTTCTCCTTCTGCGCCTTGTCTTGACACTTCCACCAATTTGCTACGGCACTGTCCACCTCGTCAACAGTGCTACAGCCAACCAACGTTACACCCTCCCACTTCTCCAGTGCAAATCGCGTGGCTAAATCAGCCAGTGGTTCGCGCAGTTCGACGTCACAAAAAGCCGCTGCTTTTGCGACTGCAGCCTTGAGTGCAGGACTCCCGGGATGCCACTTTGGAGGCTCCCGTGAACTCAACAAGCCCATTGAGAATGGACTCGCAGAGATGATCTGACCGACGCACGGAGACAGCTTGGCTAGATACTTCAACAGTACAGTATTTGCAATGTTGAAATTCGAGTAAGTGATGATTGCGTCCACGGGCTTGCCAACCTCTTTGACGATACGCTCGGCAAGGGAGACCAGAACGGGAAGTGGGTAGCCCGAGAAGCCAACATTCAGGATCTTTCCTTCCTGCTTTAGCTCGAAAAGGGTCTTTACGGCAAGAACTGCCTCATCCTCCGTCTTGAACTCTACGTCATGGACATAGACGACGTCAAGGTACGAAGTGTGCAAGCGCTCCAGACTTCGTTCTACGCTTTTCCTGATCCATGAAGGCGTGTAATCGAATTCGTTTGTGGGTTCCCGTCCACATTTTGTGGAAATGTAGTATGTATTCCGAGGGTAGTCCGCTGACAAGTTTTGGAGCGCATCACCGAGGATGATCTCGCTCTCGCCATAGTACCTGGTGAGCGGTCAGCAGTTGATGCAAAGCAACAGCAAGCAAGCACGACGCACGGAGAGGTATCAAAGCAATTGACAGCAAGATCAAGAGCGCGGCGCACTACGTCAGTCGGCCGCAGAAGAGCAGGCTCATTGTACTGCGGAGCGAAGGTGCCAGCGCCAAAGCACAGCGGAGACATCCCAGCGAGGGAGCTGCCATTGACGGGTGCGGCCACGGGTCCAAGGGGCTCCAACTGACGAGTCATGTTCCTGGTGCTGGCTGGTGCCTGGACTTCTAGTCTACTCACCCTCAGCGTGGGGGTTAGGCTTCTAGTTCGGCGGGGTGGTCGGCGTGGGGGTTAGAGTTTAGCCAGGCACGCGCACGTGGAATACTTCGATTGAGGGATAGGGATAGAGATAGACATGTCTGGCAGTGGTCAATCACCGTCAGGGTCAGATAGAGATAGAGTGGTCAGTTTGGCAGCACCGCGTACGCTGGTGTCGGTCGCGCTCGGTCTTGAGCTGCCTGTGGTGTCTTGCGTAAGCTATCCGTTTTCACCGTGCAACCGACGTGGAGGAATACACATACATCAATGTACTTTTGGGCCCATGGTCGTACAGCTGCCCATATCAGCAGCCCGGATGTCACAAAGATGAACAGGTAAACCACCAGTTTGTCCTTGAGTGAGTCGCGTTCTGCGTCGTCACGTAAGCTTGTTTGAGTCGCAATTGGCCTTCGTGAAGGTACTTACGGAAACACTTGGTTGTTATCGCTTCAGCTTCAACATCGGTGCAGAATGGTAGCTGGTAATTCAGACAGAATTGACGGTTGCAGTCGTTGCATGGGTTCGATGGATTAGACGGATGTAGTAGAGGGATGATCGTGGAGTTGGAATTGCAGATACATTTGCAAAAGGACGTTATACGGGATGCCGAAGAATAGGAGAGTTGCGCAGATATCGCTGATGCTATTGGCTAAGTACGTCTCCGTCAGGCCTCGTTCGCGCTTCTCGGACGATCCCAGGTAAACGCACCAGATAAAACAGCAGCAGAGTCAACCAAGCAGCAGTCATATTTGCGTCTGTATATAACGAGTCATTCATGTCCTCCGACGTCTCCGCCGGTAGTTTTGGGCTCAGCGTCAAGTGTGGCGTGCGCGCATTCGAAATTCAAAGGGTTCGAGATTTTTGGCGCTGACTCAAACAACCGCAGCCAACGGAATTCGCCCGAACAGCTTCACCACCACAAACCTTGATCAATACCACTTCTTGATCTCCGTTCTTTCATATATCTGTTCACACTACAATGCCAGTGAGTATCCCGGATCAGTCCTTTTCGCCCGTGATCCGTTGGCTAACCGCTCATCCGCCGCACAGATGATCATCCCTCAAGTCGCCGACGCCGGTGCTGCTGTCGAAGATGCTAACGTTCTTGGATACAACCCCTTGATCCCTCCGTCACTCCTTCAGCACGAGCTCCCCGCCTCCGAGCAGTCCAGGGCTACCGTCGTTGCTGCCCGCCAGGAGGCTGTTCGTGTCATCAAGAAGCAGGACGACCGTCTCCTCGTCGTTGTCGGCCCCTGTTCCATTCACGACCCTGCTACCGCTGTCGAATACTGTGAGCGCCTTTTGAAGGTCCGGGAAGAGCTCAAGGATGACCTTCTCATCATCATGCGTGCCTACCTCGAGAAGCCCCGTACCACCGTCGGATGGAAGGGTCTCATCAACGACCCCGACTTGAACGGCTCCTACGAGGTCAACAAGGGTCTTCGCATCTCTCGCGGTCTTTTCTGCCAGTTGACCGGTATGGGAATGCCCATCGCTTCCGAAATGCTCGACACCATCTCTCCTCAGTTCTTGGCTGATCTCCTCTCTCTCGGTGCTATCGGCGCCCGTACGACCGAGTCGCAGCTCCACCGTGAGCTCGCTTCCGGTCTCTCCTTCCCCATCGGATTCAAGAACGGTACCGACGGCTCTATCGACATCGCTGTTGACGCCATTCGCGCCGCTGCTCACCCTCACCACTTCCTCGGTGTTACCAAGCAGGGTCTCGCCGCTATCACCATGACCAAGGGTAACGATGCTTCCTTCGTTATTCTCCGTGGTGGTAAGGCTGGACCTAACTACTCTGCTGAGCACTGTAAGGCAGTCCGTGAGAAGCTCGCCAAGGCCAAGTTGCCCGAGGTTATGATGATCGACTGCTCTCACGGTAACTCCAGCAAGGACCACAGAAACCAGCCCAAGGTTGCCGGCAACATTGCTGAGCAGATTGCTGCCGGTAACGACTCTATTGTCGGTGTCATGATTGAGTCCCACATCAACGAGGGTCGTCAGGATGTGCCTGCTGAGGGTCCTTCCGGTTTGAAGAAGGGTGTCTCCATCACTGATGCCTGTATCGACTTCGAGTCCACCGTTACTGTGTTGCAGAACCTTGCCGCGTCCGTTCGCGCGAGAAGGTCCGCGACCAACGGGAAGGCCTAAATTGTTCGTTTTCTTTGTTGATCATCGGTTAGTTATCTTGTTTGGAGTTATTGTTTCTGGTTCAACGAAAAATGGGGTGTGTTTGATTATGTGGACATGGTGAAAGTGGACTGGGATCTTACGTCGCACGCATCTGAATTGCGGAATGAATAACATTTGTTTACCCAACTTCTCGCGCCGATCATAGTAATTGTCCGCGCCATGATTTTTCGTGCAGTCTTTCGATTCCTGCCACGTCCACAGCACCCTTCACATCCTCATCTTCGATGGCTTGCACGGCAGCTTCTGCTACATCCGCAACCTCCAAAGGCTTCACCCCAGCACCTCCTACCAAAGGCAGAACCCCCTTGGCTAATTGATTCAGGCTAGATACTGCTGTAAAAACGCCTGCCAATGGTATGGATATCTTCCTCGACGTATCAAACATAAAGCCAGGACGGAGGTACACCGAACGGAACGAGGTGATCTTGGCAAGTTCCGCTTCAGCCTCGCGTTTCGTGGTGATATAACGTGCAGGCACCGTCGGGAAACACTCGGCGGCAGATATGTAGACGAAAGTCTTGATGTCAGTGTGTTCTGATGCTGCCTTGGCTGCGGCCAGTGCTGCGTCGCGATGCAGCAACTCGTACGTCGGTCCTTGTTGGGCTGGGCTTGGCGTCCTCGCAGCAGATGGATGACCTCGGGATAATGGACTTGCACTCCCGGCGAAATAGCTAACCGCGTCTTTCAAGCCACATAGTAGCCCCTTTTGCCCATTGACATAACCCTTGTAATCGCTTTCGAATAAGATGCCCACGGAGTACACCACGGCTGTGGACTTAGCCAGGTGTGCCTTGTACGTGGAAGGATCGCAGACGTCTCCTTGAACATAATTGATCTTAGAGGCCCACGATGGGGGCGTGTTGTTCATCCATTTCGGTGGTGATCGACTGCTTGAATCGTGAGTACTCCGCGAAGATGCCACGAACGGGATACACACCTTAGACTAGTAACGGCATATCCTCTATCAACAGCGACCCTACAGATTTGACTCCCCAGGAAACCAGATCCTCCGATTACCAGAAGTTGTCTTGGTGCTGTCATTGCGATATACGTATGCGTACGGCTTCGGTACGCGCATCATGCATACCAAGTACTTCAGCGGAAGCTCGACAACATGAGAATCACCGTTGAGCAGAATATTTTAAAGTATGAACGATACCGAGATTTGGGTATGGTATCATATAAAAACTGATCTGATGCGAACTACCCGCTTTCGCAAACCCTGAGAATGATAAACGCCGGCTGCCACCCTAATTGCGATGATCTGTCACCCCTCACCTCATCCGTCATGCTCCCACGTCCCAATCGGAAGCTGGTACTGCTTCTGGTCCGGCTGGAGGAGCAGGGGTATACACTACTCTCGTGTGTCGTTTGGGCTTGTAGATCAAAACGATAATAAGCCCGGCGATAATCAAAATCATTAGCATGATCAGCTTCCGCCTCCGTATCCGCTTTTCGTAGTTTGTCGCTTGTGTCAATTCTTTATCGGCGGCCTTGACATGTACGTGCAACCTCTCCACATTGTAATCAATCCGGTCAAGCATAGTACCTTGATCGATCACCATTGTTTGCAATTCCTTGAAAATGTCGGCCAGTTCGATAATGCCCTTTGCAATATCCGTAATCTCCCGCTCGCGCTGCATGATGGCGGTATCATTCGATGTCAGTGTTGCAGATTGTTGTATGGCGGTCTGTGACATGGACACATCCAGATCTTCGTCTTGCGTAAATTGTGTTGGTGTGTCTGGCCTGGTAATGCTATGACCCTTCAGACGACGCAGGTATGTGGATTGCTTTTTCCTGAAGGCAGAACTAGATTCTTGCACCTTTGTTGCTAGCGATATCTGAATATTCTTGGCCATGATTGCTTCAGCCTCAGAGTCGGTGCCTCTTGATTGTGCTTCGATCTTTTTGATTAGTCGCTGACAGTCGTGAAAGTGCTAAGCAAAGAAAGTTAGTGTTATTAGACAAAGTTTATAAGAAAGCAATCTTACCATGGTTATTTCTGACGTCAAATCCTCTATTCGACCTTCCTCTTCCCGTCGGTCATCAAACCCTGGTAATACATGCTTCTGGTGCAGCTTGTCAAGCGTCGCGCTCTTCTTTTTGATCTGATCGAGCAGCTCGTGAACTTCATCAGACACATCGGCCCACTTCGGCGGTATCATGTCCATTTCGATCACAGTATCTCCATTGTCGTTCTCTGACATGAGACCCTGCCGTTCTTCGGAAGTGCGACGGAAGCCATTGAAGCGGACAGCCGGCGCTGAGGCGTGATTAGACGTAGGGTAACCGTAAGTGCTACGATAAGACAAGAACAAGTTTGTTCGATTCCTTGTGGCCATGGCTCTCGCCGGGTTCAATTGGGATTTATTGTTGACTACGACGTTGGAGCAGTACTTACTGCGTCACTGTGCTTGCTGCCCATTTAAAGGATTAAGGGAGGTTTTAATTGAGCATTCAGGACTGGCGGCCGCGTTCACAATACACCGCACCAGCACAGAGATCGTCAGAACGTCACCAAGAAAGTGAACTGCTACAATGTCTGCTGACCTTACTGAAGAACAAATTGTAAGTGCCATCTTCCAATGTTTCCAATTGTCACCTCGCTAACGTTCTTTGCAGCGCGAATTCAAGGAGGCTTTCTCCCTTTTCGACCGTGACGGTGATGGCAGCATCACCACCAAGGAGCTTGGAACCGTCATGCGATCGCTTGGACAGAACCCCACCGAGGCCGAGCTGCAAGATATGATCAACGAAGTCGATGCCGACGGCAATGGCAGCATTGACTTCCCCGAGTTCTTGACAATGATGGCCCGCAAGATGAAGGACACCGACTCGGAAGAGGAAATTAAGGAGGCTTTTAAGGTTTTTGACAAGGACGGCAATGGTTTTATTTCCGCTGCTGAGTTGAGGCATGTCATGACAAATCTCGGCGAGAAGTTGACCGACAGCGAGGTGGAGGAGATGATTAGGGAGGCTGATGTTGACGGTGACGGCCAAATCAAGTTCGTTCACCTGAATGTTCCTATGCAGTGCATTGCTAATCAGTTGATACAGCTATGACGAGTTCGTCAAGATGATGCTCAGCAAATAAATATAAATATAATGGATTTGCTCCAGCACGCGTACGGTTGGGATGCTGGGAACTGTTTTGCTTCGTAGGTATTGCTTTTTCGTGTTCTTGGGTCTTCGCAAATAATATGTCTGTTACTGCTGTCCTATATTTGTCCCCTTGGACACATGACACCGCACTCATGCGTCCCTGTGGCTCCTCCTCGGCTTGCGGGGCTCGATCTTCACGTTGCCCGACTCGAACTCCATCGCACTCAACACCTCGTAAAGGTTCTTTGGCTTCGGCTCTGCCGGCTTGGTGTAGTAATCCACCAACTCTTCAACACTTTTTATCCGTGTAAGCACGTTGTCGGGCACGAGGCGACCAGTGATTTTAGCAGCGGCGGCGATGACTCTGAACTTGAACTCTGGCTCATAGTTGGAGAGTGCGATAGGGCGTTCCTTATTCTCAACCTTCTCTGGTGCGAATGTGTGAATGGCCACGTCGAGCGCATCCAATAGCTCAGTGCGTGTCGTCGGTCTCAGTTCTTCAGGAGCCCGCCATCTGCGTAAAGCATGTTAATTCTCGTACTTGGGTAAGCGATAGCCATGTACTCACTCATGAATCTTGAAATTGGTGACGGAAGGGTCCACGTTCCTCTTCGAGGCGCCGACAACTTCGCGCTGTACTGACACCGACTGCTCCTCTCCAGCCTCCTCACTCTCCACGGCTGACGAATCTGACTTAGTTGCCACGAATTTTGTCGCTTGCTCCTCCCGTTCCTTCATTAAACCCGTCATCTTCTTGATCGAATCAAACCACCCAGCATGTGCCACGGGGCTATTGTGAATGGTTCGAACGCACACAGACTGGCAGCGCGCGGTCTGTGCGGCCTGTAGGAGCGAACGTCTTGCTGCTGATGGTAACATGGTAGTTTATTCGTTGTCGACTTCAAGAGTTTTCCTGGTGGTGTACTTAGACGAATCCAGTGCTTTTTCGACCTCGGTCCCTGCGGGCCTGCGCGTGCACGTGATGTAGACCTGGGGTAATTCCAAGTGCTCAATTGCAAGGGTACGAGGACGATCGATGGCCACCACTGTAAATATCCATTCCAAGAGCCATGGGTGACGATCAAGATTCATATGATCCGAGTCTCCTCTCCAATATCCTTTCTCGACTGAATGCGTCGAACGCCAGTGCGCAGTCACATCGGAGTACACCGGCACCGGTACGTATACTACAACCTCCACGATCGCCCCTACGGTCATCTGCTGCGTCTCTAGCAAATGCGGCAAGTGTTACAACTTGGTCTGCTGCGCTGCAGTACATGATGACTTTGCTAGCAGCAGATCCTGTAGTTCTAGTACAGCTCAAGCGCATGCGTTCCGACCAAAATTCGCATGAACAGCAATGGTGGAACGCTCGAGTCGCTATTGAGAAACAATTTGATGACCGCAAGAAGCTTGAGAGCTTACTGTACGTCTTCCATCTGTCCTTTCATCCACTTAACGAGCTTCGGAAGCTGACCACTCGCAGATCGATGGTCGGTGGTAAGACAAGCTCCAACGTAACCACTATCGATACAGAGCTGGAGACAGCATTGACAACGTATGACACGAAAGTACTGCGGGCTATAAAGGGAATGCGTGATGCTCAGCGCAGTGAACTCGAGATATTGCAGATACCGTTCTTCGTGACAGCGACGGCTGGATCGGAGCACGAGGAGAACAGAGCAAGGATGATGCAGTTCATTGATGATCTTACAACGGCAGTGCCGGCCTGATTCAATACCTATTATTTTTGCGAGTTTCACATGTCATTCATTACGTAGACGGTGTAGATGTACGACAGGGTGCATGCTCAAGTGCGCGTGCGGGACCGAACCGCATGGGTGGGTGACCGCAGCATACATCCCGGTCCAGTTCGTAGAACAGCTGATGAAGAGTCAACCACCTACCAGCTGAGCTGAACTGAGCTTCTACAAACAACCTTACACGTGTTTCTTGTATGGCTGCTGTGCATACAGAGTGGGTTGGCAGCATCATGAAACAAGCGAACCAGCCAAAGCGGACATATGCCGTCTTTTCGACTCCCGACTCCGATCAGGACTCGGCCGTCTCCACTACGAAACGCGCTTCATTGTCGACCGATCCTGCTGTTATACGGGCCTTGGCCAGAGCTGGGCCCCTGATCGATGCAGTGAACGTGGTTCTCGCTTGCATCACTTGGACACACGATGCCGCATATTCTAGCTTCCTGGTGGTATGTGGCTGGACGGTCTTCATTCTGTATGCCGATTTCGTTCTCGTCTATGGCCTCAACCTAATACCCATATCTTGGATAATATGGACATATTTGAGGAGAAATGCTGGCCGAAGGCGGAGGAGCATGGTTGAAGTGGATTCTGCGCCAAAGACGACTACACAAATTGACCTTGACCGAATTTCTGAGCAAACCGATCTTCTCTACGCACGTCTGGCGCTCATTCGGGAACCTCTATATCGGCTGATCTCGTTTCTGGACTGGACAAAGAACCCCGGCACGACGTATCTGATTGCCGTTCGTTTGGCATGTCTAACGCCAATATGGTTCACTCTGGTCAAAGCACTGTTTGCGCCTCGAATGGTCGTCTTGGTTTTAGGCTTGGTCTTCTTCACGTGGTTCTCCGTGCCAACGAAAACTATTCGTCAGATCATGTGGAGGAATCCGTCCGTCAGGAGGCTAGCCTCGGTCATCGTCGGCGTAGACTTTGAAATCATAAAAACGGTTGCCGGCGTGACGAGAGCACGAGAGGGAAGCATTGGTGCACCGCCTGGACTCATCAGAGTTGCTACGTTCCAGGACAAAGATTACGAAACCGTGCGATTTAAACACATCGTCTGGGAAAACCAAAGGAGGTGGATAGGGCTCGGATGGACTGCGAACCTCTTTCCTCACGAAAGATCACCATGGACTGACGATTATGGTGAGACATGTGCTGACCTGAAATCGTTCAAACTCCCAGATGAGAAAATTCTTCCGGTAGCGGGCAACAAAGTACGCGTGGCCAAGTGGAATTGGGTACCGAATGAGGAATGGAAGACGGAGGTCACCAAGGACAGTGACGCGGACGGTTGGGTTTACACCGACAACAAATGGCGAAATCCCACTCCAAGGGAGGAGTTTGGAAAATACACGGTTTGCCCCTCTTTGATCACACGAATTCGTGGTAGCTGACATCTTCGTGGTCATAGCGCCGCCGCAAGTGGTACAGACATGCCGACCTTTTCGAGGAGGTTCGTGAGTTTGGAGTGATTGCACCTACAGAGGATGCGAAGTCTGAGACAGCGGAGGAGGAGGCAACAGTTTTCGGGGCTCGGGAAGCCCATGAACATGCTATCGAGGTTGCACTCGAACAGGCCTTATCGGAGGAGAGCAAGGCGTCCGATCGGGACTCATTTGCTACAGTTTCAAGTGCTGATGCACAGGTTCATTTTACTTGATTATACGAGAGGAGTTTCGTTAGGCAAGGATCAATCGCTAATAATCACCTCGTGCGTATGTTCTTACTCCTCCAGCGTGGCACCAATCGCACAGGATCGAACCTCCCGGACCACATTGCTTCTCTTTATGTAAGAGACAGAAAGTCTAAATTTCGTGTTTAGTATTCGAGATAGGGGATCTATGGGTAAAGCTTACCGCCTTGCAGCATGTACATATCGCTAAACGTTCGTTCGCACAGCTTGTACATAGCTTGCCACACTCATAACAGCCACGCTTTGCTGAGATAGGGCATCCAGCACACGTATACTCGTGACATGATCCACATGTCCGGGCCGTCCAACATAATCTGCACATAGGCCTGGGAACATTATGGCAAGCCGAGCAAACACTGGCGGTCTTAAAAGGCACCGCAAGAGCCCAGAGCTCCTGGGTAGATAGATGCTCGTGATCTGGTGATCGGCATGGTACGAGATCTGTCTTGAGTCCACATGCGGCCGCGGCGTGGTTAATCTGATTGGGTTCAAGAAGCAGTTGATCGTGAGGCAGCCATGGCGGTCCCGCCAAAAGTAAAAGCTTCATGGAGCCACATACTCTGTCAGGATGCTTGGCAGCAAGAAACAATTTCTGTGTCAGTGTTCTTGGATCGAGTGCAGCGCAACTTCGTATCGAGACAACCGATAACCGAGACTTACGTATTTGCAGTAACTGGATCACGGAGTCGGCGTCGCACAGACTGCCGTCCAGAATCACCTGCTGGGCGTCTCTTGCAATGTAAGGTATGTGTAAGACTTTCAGAACTTCGTCGATAGAAAAGCAATAATTCCAGGACTCGAAAGACAAGTCCAAACGTCGGAAGAGGCCCTCCGTGAGGCGAACAATGTCTTGCAGCCGCCTGGAGACCTCAGACAGGTTCAGCAGGTCCGGGGTGGAAAGGGAGATGGCCACACTATCGACGAGCAGATCGATAGATAGAATGTCTACCAACGTCAACGGCAATTGCAATGACATCGTTTCTGTCTTATCCATGTTATCCTCGAGCTGCATGGCCGTGCGCCAGCGTGCATGGCATACATTCACCCGACAACAGTAACACCAACAAGAATACAATCTGTAACGATCCGATATGCCCCCGAAGCGCAAGATTCGAAAGCCCGACCGTGATGAGGAGCACAAGGAGGTCGGTAGCCCTGCCGAGGATGATGCGCAGGTTAAGGCTCAGGAGAGAGCTGAGAAGTTTAAAGCCTTGAGACGGCGTATGGTAAGCTTTTCCGTAGCATGCATAACTGCATAGATGCTGAATCTTGTTTAGAATGAGTCCGCGACTGAGAACAGGCGAGACATGTATGCCGAGCACAAGCGGCAACAAGAGGATCCTCGCGAAGCAGCGAAGCGCGAGCGGAGAAGGCAAGAAGCAGAGGAGAAACTGGCAAAGTTGGAAGCAGAAGACGATGGAGAAGAGTACTCGCGGAAGAAGAATTGGGAATATACAATCGCAGAATCGCGAGCGTGGGATGAGCGCGTCGAAGCGAAGAAGGAGAATGCGAGGAGGCAAAAGTTTGCGGATCATTCCCAATCCGCAGAAGTCAAATATGAGAAGCAAATACGTGGTTTGAAACCTGATCTTGAAGCCTATAAGGAAGAAAAGGCCCGAGCCCTGGAAGCTGGTCTTATTGTTGCTACGGAGGATGGCGTCTTGCAAGCAGTGGATAAGGACGGTCATCTATATCGGGACATCGACTCACTCGGTTTCGTCGACAACAAACCTAAAAAGGAAGCAATCGATCGCTTGGTCGATGATCTCAAGAATGAGGAGCTGCGAAGGGAGCAGGAACGCGCAAAGAGGGCAGCCAAGGGCAACACTGACATATCGTACATCAACGACAGAAACAAGAAGTTCAACGAGAAGCTGTCGAGATACTACGACAAATACACAAAAGAAATCAAGGATGCTTTTGAACGGGGGACAGCACTATGAATTTTTGTCTCTGCTTTGCATTATGTTTTCTCAGATAGGCATAGTAAGAATATCAATAGTGAACTCAGTCAAGGTCAATCTCAGGCAGACCCTGCGACTCAACCTCCGTCTTTTTTTCCACCGTTGGCAGCTCGACAGGGCCTTTAGTAGCATCGTAAATCTTCTCTTCAACACTGAGCATACCTCCCTGACCAAGGAGACCCACAATTTCCTCGGCTTGATCAACCGCCATCTTACCGAGTACAACGTTCACTTCATCTAGACTTCCGCTTTCAAGGGCCCGCTGCAAGCCAGGTGGGAATGATTCGAAGATCTTGCGACCTTCCTGCTCCTCCGCGTCGTCGGAATCAGCCGGAGGAACATGAATTTCGATTTCGGTGTTGGGGTCTACCGCGTGCAGCTGGATCTGCTCGACTCCGCCAGCTTCCTCCTGATTCGCTTTCTCAGAAGCTAGTTCTTTTGCCCGAACACGGATGCGATCATATGTTTGTTCCACATCGTTTTGATATACCTGGCGCGCCTGGTGACCCGGAGTAGTAACACGCTTGAAGAACAATGCCACGCCGTCCTTTCCGAGTTGCTTGCAGTATTGCAACAAAAGTGCCTGAGACACACACTGCTTCGCATAGCTCTCCTCACCCCGAGATTGTGCGTGGAAAGCTTCGATGAACAAGCCGTCAACATCCTTGTCACTGACAACCTCTGGATGCTCTTTGATGAACTTGAGGCACATACCAAAGTCCCCTGCCTTGATCTTGGCAAACTCACGACCGGCAGGACTTGGCTCAATATGTCCCTCTTCCTCATCGTCTGATTCGTAGCCTGATTTCTGAGCACCATCTGCGATGTGTTTCTCGCCGGCGCTAGGATTGAGAACTTCGATAGTTTGTTTTGCTTCCACAGGCTTCGGCGCCGGCTCGGATGGTTTGGACTTGTTCACAATCTGCCAAACATCGTTAGCAGAGAACACGCCAAAACAATTTCATCACTCACGCTTCGGTTGAAGCCTTCTCGAATGCCTTCTGAGGTGATCTTATTCTTCTCATCATCTTCAAGCTCTTTCAACTTGCGTGTGCATTCATCTTGTAACTCCGAGAGCTTGTTGCGATGCACGCCAAGTTTCTCGATGTATGCTTCGACGCTCTCATTTCCAGCTGAGGAAAGCTCTTGCTTGACCTGACCGAGCAGAGACAACATCATGTCGAGAAATGTTGGTGCACCTGGAGCCGCCGGTTTGTTATCGGCGGCTGCATTCTCCCTGACAAACGTATCGATCACTTCTGCGGGAGTCCTGGTCCTTTCCTTCAGACTGGCAACGATTTTGTCAATTCTGATCAATAGCTGTGCATTCATCTCCTCCTCGGCTTTTAAATGAGCAATGTGCTGACGTCTTTGCTCGCGCTTATCATGGATGTCTCGCTGCTTCCAGCGAATGAAGGATTTCTTGTCGATGTTAGGATGGACTGACATCGCTTTCAGCATTCACCCCAGGAGTATCTTCTCATTCACGACAAACCTTCGACATCACTGCACCGAGGAGATCAGCAACGCGTCTATATAGGAATAAATGCAGAACAAGCTCACCTGTCATCCGACAACTCAAGCTTATCCCACTTGCTATAGTCTGACGTTTTCCATCAGTATTGACGGACTAACAAACAAGCAGCACTTTCACTACTCACCAACCATCGCAATTGCTGTTGTTGTGTTGTTCAGCTGCTCCTGTCGTACATTACCAGGGAGGTCCTGTATGAGGCTAAAAGGCTGTGCCACTGATCGCACACGCATCTCGGTGCGTTCAACCGCCAGAAAAGTCGAGAACGACATCGAGGCCACTTCAACAAACTGCGTATCCTGTTTCGCTGCCTCAGCCTCAGCCCGCGACCGGCATACTTCTGCAGTTTCTTAGAGCTCCTCGGCGCCTATGCTCGGTGCACTGAGGCCGCCGTTAACACCGTGGTTCACCACAAGCTGCGGTAAAGCTCTGAGTGGTTTTGCCCCGAAGGCAACTGGGCTTGCGCGACCTATACCATTAAGATCCATAGATGTTACGCCCTCTGCGCATCTGCTACAGCTACGACTATCATTCACCCTGGTGCGACGGCGTTTCGCTACTTCTGCAATCTCCTGCAATACCAATAGGCCACCCGAGCCCCTCAAAACGAAGGACACACAATTAGACAAATCTCCGCATGATGAATTTGCCAGATCGGAAAAGGCTGAACAGGCGGCACAGATCAATCTGAGCGCGAAATTGACAGATCGGACGGAAACTACGTCACGGGCGAATCTTGGAGAAGTACGACGACTGCTTTCTTTAGCAAAGCCAGAACTTAAACCTTTACTTCTGGCGATACTGCTGATGTCCATAGCATCGGGTGTGGCAATGAGTATTCCGTTTTCCATCGGAAAAATTATAGATACTGCAACATCCGCAGACCCTTCACAACGCATTCTGGGGCTTACGCTACCTCAGTTCTATGGCGGTCTGGCAGGCATCTTCGTTCTCGGCAGTGTTTGTAATTTTGGTCGTGTTTTGTTGCTCCGCATCGTTGGCGAGCGTGTGGTAGCAAGAACAAGGGCAAGGCTATTTGAAAGGACACTGGCTCAGGACGGTGAGTTTTTTGACGCGAATAGACACGGTATGTACGAAATTTCCGATTTATCGACTTAGACTGACTTTCAACAAGGTGATATTATCTCGAGATTGAGCTCGGACACTACTATCGTGGGAAAGGCGATTACACAAAACGTCTCGGACGGACTCCGTGCTGTTGTCCAGGCCAGCGCTGCATTCGGAATGATGGGCTATGTTTCACTTCAGTTGACTGGAATCATGACTTTCATAGTGCCTCCGATCGCAATCGCTGCCATTTTCTATGGCCGATATGTTCGCGATCTGAGTAAGAAAACGCAAAAGGCGCTAGGAGACCTGACCAAGGTGTCCGAGGAACGTTTGGGCAACGTGCGTACGGCACAATCGTTCTCCGGTGAAGTCATGGAGGTGCGTATGGATCACTCGGTTTTCTGTCTTTCCTTTTCTTTCTAACGCTGAACTGGTAGGTTCGGCGCTACAATGAGCGGATACGAGAGATTTTCCAGCTTGCTAAGCGTGAAGCCACCGTATGTATCTGTTCTCCGTTGAATACTTACAGCCCCACTGACAAAGCAAATAGGCTAGCGGACTGTTCTTCAGCTCCAATGGGTTAGCAGGCAATGCTACTGTCCTGGCCGTGCTCGGCATTGGGGGCCGGATGGTAGCTGACGGCACGATCACTGTGGGTGAATTGAGCTCCTTCATGCTTTATACTGCGTATGCGGGTTTCTCCATGGTTGGCTTATCGTCGTTCTACTCCGAACTCATGAAAGGAGTGGGAGCTGCGTCGCGATTGTTTGAGCTACTCGATCGTAAGCCATCGATCAAAACTACGGCCGGACTGAAACTAGACCACTTGAAGGGTCATATTCACTTCAAGGATGTTAAGTTTGCCTATCCAACTCGACCAGCCGTTACGATCTTTAACAGGTTGTCGTTTGAGATCCTGCCGGGTCGCAACTACGCGATCGTTGGACCCAGTGGTGGTGGAAAATCAACCATTAGTGCATTGATCCAGCGCTTCTACGACCCTCTGGATGGCCAGATCCTTATCGACGAGCATGATATTCGCACTCTGAATCTCAAGCACCTGAGAAGACAGCTGAGCTTGGTAAGTCAAGAGCCAGTGTTGTTTTCCGGTACCATAGCCGAGAATATCTCCTACGGCAAACCAGGAGCCAGTTTCAACGAGATTGTTGAGGCCGCGCGGAAAGCAAACTGCAGATTCATTGCAGACTTCCCTGACGGTTTTGAGACAAAGGTGGGACCACGGGGTACTCAACTATCCGGAGGTCAGAAACAACGTATTGCTATTGCTCGTGCTCTTATCCGGAACCCTGCTGTGCTCATCATGGATGAAGCTACCTCGGCCCTTGATGCGCGTTCTGAATCCTTGGTTAATGAGGCTTTGCAAAACATCATGGCAGGCGACCTTACAACCATCACGATTGCCCATCGTCTTGCCACCATTCGCCGCGCGGACAGCATCATCGTCTTGTCGCCCAATGGTGATGTTGCGGAACAAGGCACCTTTGACGAGTTAATTGCGAAGGACGGCGCATTCGCTCGTCTTATGGAATTCCAGCTTGATAATGGTGTGGGCCAATCTAAACGTTAAGATAGTGTATGATAATTTAGGGGATTTGAAATAGAAAATGAAGGGTATCTTAGTAGCCAGCGGCGCCTGGCGCATTCTCGTCTTTCCTCAGGTTGATCAGCATACCCCTAAACCTTGACAGATCTTTGTCACCACGCTTGTCCGAAAGGTCTACCAGCTTGGCAATGCGCTCCCAGGTCGTGCCGCCAGCAACAGCATTGTCACGAGACTCCAGGAAATCCTTCTCTTCTCTCCTGTACAAGCTGTTAGGACACCTTTCGTGTACAGTGCGTAGAACCATACCTGGTTTCCTCAATAGCCTTATCTTTTTTGGTATTATAGTTCTCGTAAAAGTCATCGATCGCCGTCCGTGCCTTTTCGATGGTCTCCTGCTTCTTCTGCTCGCTCTGCTCGTCCCTCTTCTGGATTTGAAGAGCTTGTCTCTCGCGCCATTGTCTACGGATCGATTAATGCTGAACGACATCCGTGATTGTGCAACGCTTACCTGATGGGTTCGCTTTCGTCTTCGTTCTGGAAGTTAGGAGCAGCTGCTGATGTCTGCGCGGTGAAGGGCTCGGCCGTGCCAGGCATGTACGGCTCACTCGAAACAGAGATCACTCCGCCAGCTTGAATGGCGGGCTGTTGTCTGAATTAGCGATCTAGAAGCACATGCCAGACCTTTCCACTCACGTTGTCGAGGGCAGGAAAGCTTGACTCGAACTGGCCGATCTCGTCTTCACCACCACCAAGGAAGTCCGCCTCACCGGACGAAGCTTGTTGCTGTGGTTCGTCACCGCCGTTGAAAAAGGCAGCATCGTCACCTAGCAAAGCTTGCTCACGGGCGAGGAAGTCATTGTCGTCGTTACCAAGGACAGGCTGAGCCGTAGTCTGGCCAGCATCGAACTCCTCCAAGGACGGGAAAGCAGACATTGCAGTTGTTGTTTGTTTGTGAATGCGAAGGTCGACGTCCAGAGTTCAATGCGTACGCACGTCACAGCCAGCACCTCCCCCCCCCCCCCCCAGTGCACGCGCGTGCCTGGCCATGCGTACCGCTCCATCGACTTCGTACCAGCTGCTGAACAGGACAAACATTCAGGACGTCCAAGGAGAATGGCTTATTCCGCTGATCTTGTAACCTCCAAACTCGCTGCTTTAAACGACTCGCAAGAGGGCATCACGTCTGTCTCTCAGTGGATCCTATTCCACAGACGGAACGCCGCGCAGTCAGTAGAGATATGGTTCGATAGTTTATTGAAAGGTGCGACCAAAGGAAGTCTTGTTCTCTCGTTACCATAATCCTGATGATTTCTTCAGCGTCTAGCAGCCGTAAACTCAGTCTTATATACGTTGCCAACGACGTAGTCCAGCAATCCCGTGCCAAAAAGCGCACAGAATTCGTCGAAGCATTTTCGCCGGTATGTATGCCTGTATGAAGACTGCGCTGTCCAATGATCTGACTGTGTTGCGTAGGTTATCGTTCGAGCTATCGAAAATGCGTACCGCCATGGTAATACGGACGTTCATTCGAGATTAAGACGGGTGATACTGGTCTGGCGACAACGTCAAGTTTTCCCAGAGGTGAGATGCATCCGCCAAGAGAAATTCGTATGCCACGAACTCACGGCCTATCTCTAGTCTGTCATCGCTGCTATCGAAGCTAAAACACAAGTTCAAGCTTCACGTTCTTCAGGCAGATCAAACCCTACCAAAGCCACGCTCTTGAATAAGCGTGCTGAAAGTTCTTCGAAGTCGGTCGCTCAACCTGCACCTCAGGGACTTGTAAGCAATACCTACCTTCATGCTAACAGTGCTAACCGATGTTCTAAAGGAGGAACTTGTGGATGCACAAAAGACCCTTCTGGGCGCCTTTACAGCCAGTGCCACTGCGTACGAAGCAGTCACGGGTGCTTACGATGAAGTCATGAAGTGCCAAGACAACATTAACAACGACCCGACCCAAGCGCTGCGCTTATCACAGCTTAAAGAAGCTCTGAGCCAAGCGTCCGCATCGATTGATCAGGCAGTGAGCGCCCGCAAACATATGATCACCCGGATCGAAAGATTGCTACAGTTAAACAAAGCTGCTCTACTGAAGGATGAGGAAAGACGAAAAGAGCTCGAGGACAAGCTCTCGCGCGTGGATGATATCGTAATGTCGATAAATGCCCCGACCGAACAATCGGCGCGAACGACTACCCCTGATGTACCACCTCCCGCCGTCGAAGAGCTTACTCCGCCCCCTGTCGGAGAATATGAAGTTGTCGACAGTACCTATTCAGGCCCTGTACTGTCTGCGCGGGCCTCAGCAGGGGACTTGGATGGCATGGCAGGTCAGGTTCCCACGCTTGCGATGGATGACCATGAAGAATATGTGCCGTAACGCTTTGACAGGTAAGGAAGTTGAAGTTATAAAGCTGCTCATTAATTGAGACATCACAAAACGATTGAATCTTCTCAATCCACGGAAACGATCCTCGTGGTTTCATGCCCCTGGCTACTGTACGCCGCGGGGTCAACCTCAACAGTAGAACAGACCAGTTAACCTCCAACGGATCCTTGAGCACTTACAGTAGGCAAGGTAGTGTATGCTAGTAGATGTCCATGACTTCACGGGCAGATATACCAAACATTCCGGACAGCGACGGCTATGAGCCTATACCCGGCAATGATGCTGGCTCTCCAAGTTTGGGTTTCAGAACGCGATTGTCCTTCACTTGGGTAGGCTTGGCTATGTTGCTCTGTTGGAACGTGTTCCTGGCCTCATCCTATTCTAACGTATACGATGACCCTATTGCCGATGCTCCGAGGGTGAAGACATACATCACCTCTACATTTACGGCTGTCAATCTTTTTACGATACTGTCACTCAATTATCTCCCTGTGAAAGTGAGTCAATTCTCCCTTAGGCCCGCGCTGAGCTTACCTCAACCTTCAGGCGTCTTATTACAATCGAGTCTTTGTTCCTTTGTCTATCCTGACCATAGTGTTTGGTTTGCTCTTTGCCGCTCTCAAGCTAGCCGGTTCGATGATGAGGAATACTTATTTCACGGCCGTAATCGTTACGGCGAGCCTCATTGCAGGTGTGTGTACGGGTTTTATTCAAAACGGAGTTTTTGCCGGTTTAGCCATGGAATTACCAGAAGCGGGTGCTTATCTGATGATTGGTCAAGTTCGTAACGGCATATATATTAGTGCACAGTTTGACTGACGATTTCCAGGGAATTGCTGGGGTCTTACCCGCCGTAGCTGAGATGGTGTTCCTTTTCTTGTCAAGCCATGGTACTCTCGACAGTACCTCGATGTATTTCGGTTTTGCTTGCATGTTCTCGTCTGCTGCTGTGTCGCTCGCTCGCTAATGTTTTGCAGGCCTTACGTCTCTCTTTGGAGTTCTGGCGTTTATAAACATCGGACGAACATTCCCCTTCATTCGACAGTCTGTGTCGGCTCCTGGATTATCAGACGCACAAACGCGAACCAAGGCTGCTCTAGTACAGCTTCCGTACTCTGCATTTGCAATCGTATGCACATTCGCAGTCACGTTATCGCTCTTCCCAGCCTTCACGTCCTCCATCGCACCCGCCAGCGGCTCTGCGTTAACTGGTGGTTACTTCACCGCACTGGGTTTCCTCATCTGGAATTCGGGCGATGTCCTCGGTCGAACGATTACGCTACGAGTGGTGGACATCCTTTCTCACGAAACGCTAGCCATTGCCTCTGTCATGCGTATCCTGTTCCTACCACTCTTCGTCTCCTGCAACGTTCGTGGCAAGGGAGCCATCTTCCCGAGTGACATGTATTTCTTCATGGTTATGTTTCTCTTCGGCGGAACGAACGGCCTGGTCAGCACGGCCTCGATCGTAAAGTCTGGTCAGACGGTGGCTGCGGATCTGAAGGAAGCTACAGGCTGTAAGTCCCTACCCTTGCTTATGCTTCTTTTTGCTGACGGTGATTGTCCAGCGCTCGTATCGATGCTGGTCTGCTTGGGTCTTTTGTGTGGGTCTTTATGTAGTTTTGCCATCACCGCCCTCTTTTCGACATGATCCCATGATGTCTGAGCATACACATTGATGGACTCATTCGCACTTGCATTGAAAGTACTTACTCCCGGCGCATTTTGGCAACATGCCAAATCTCACTGATTTTTCAACCCTATTACACCTTATTCTTCTAGCTGTAGTTATAGGAGTGCTCCTCCCTTGAAGTGATGATATTCCTTTCAAGTTTCCAGATATAAGAATTTGCATCTGTCACGGCGGTGGCTTCGATATGTGTGTCCCATGTAGTTGTCTAGTGCGCCAGAAAAGCCAGAAGATATCTGCGAATGATCATAAACTTGATCTGGGTTTATGCTCAATCCTATCCCCGGACCAGATCTCGAAAGATCTTTGGCAATATTCCAAAAGAAACATGTACGAATCTATCTGGGATTTTACCCTAGGGCTAGAGAGAGCTGGGGAAATGCCTGCGAACAAATACCCTGAATTTTCGGGAATAATCCCAGAAAAGTAAACGGTAATGTCCGACGAAAATTACTCAAGACGATCGTGTACAGCATGCATTACGCATCACCTCTTCAAAAGTGGACGGTAAAAATAGCCTGGAAATTGGAGAGAGAATTCCTAGAGAAATATTTGGTAAGACACGTGGGAACACTTGCAAGCCTAGATTCATGAATGATATCAAGATTAGGCTAAATGACGTGTGGAACCATCAAAGATTAGACCTCAAGTTTTTAAGGATTGAGCCTGACTTTGTCCAGCAAAAGTTTCCAGTACCATGATTAAACCATGTTCAATACTGGACAAGAACAGGTTGGTACATGTAATAAAGCCTCTGTAGATAGCGAGGAACTGGTTTGAATTATAATGGCGATCAGAGATTGTTCCGGTGTGACTACCCTTGCCAACAAAGTGAAAAATGCTGGGTTAAACACGATTCTTTTCAAGCAAGCCCGTAATCCATGTCAGAATCGTGGATGACTTTGAAGTAAAGCTCCGGGGGATTACACATGGATTGCGCAGACCATTATGGATTGATACCATCCTAAGAGAAATCCCATACAAGATCGTGAATTACAATCCTCGACAGTATCATGGATTACAATCCAAGATAACATCATGGATCACCGTCAGAGAAAAGTTTGCAGCAAGATATTTCAAAATTTGCAAAAATAACATCTATATGCCTCGAAATATCAGAGATTTGCTAAACACGACTTTCTTAATGTATGCAACTCAAAGAGGCCCCCTGCCATATATAGACATGATCGACCTACATGATGTCATATGATGTCATGTAGGGACCATGTAGGGCCATGATTTCATCATTACTGCCTGTTGTAGTTTAGCACATGGCCGTTCTATGGCTGTGCGGAAAGGTGGTCCATATAAAACCAGCTGACCTTATCAAATTTATCGAAAATCCTCATGCCGCATATGCACATCAGCAGCAAAGATCAAGGCTAGCTGTGATCCAGTCTCGAAAACCGGAAGCGAATTACACGAGCGCCAGCTTCGTTGGGCTGCACTGACAAACCCTACGGACCTAATGCTTATCCATGATTGTATCTGGATTTCAGGACCTACACCAGGATTGTACCCCGCATAATCCACGATACAATCAAGCCTAGGCCTGAGAAATGGCAGAAAAATGCAGTATCATTGGGAAAGAAGCGAAAATATCAGGTAATATCTTACAGTATGAGTATCATAATAGAGCTACAGTAGCAATAACTATGGTCCTATGACCGAGGATGTTAGAACACACTCAAACGATGCATTAACATTCTCATCCATACCTGCCCTAACACTGGTCTGCTCTGGGAAATTCCATGACGGGATGCTAAGCAAATGGAATTTCTCAGATGTCATCATGGGTTTGTCATGGAATCAAAATGCCGTGATGACCTGCTCATGGAATTGCCTATACCCGTGAGCGCGCTCCGGGAATTCCACGAGCGAATCTCTACGAGCCCCCCGAACTCGACTGTCTCGAATACCTGATTCGTGATTACACAAATATGGAAACATATTCCACTTCCAGCAAAGGCACTCGAATAAGTCATTCAACTGTACGAAAAAACACGAATAAAGTCGGAAAGTATTCAAGTAGAGTGAAATTCCAACTCATGGTACACAACTACCTTATTTGACCTGGAATGATATTCGTTCCAGGAAATAAGATATCATGAGGTTGGCTAGATTTCATGGTCTTCGAGGGAGGAGGGTCCTCGAGGATCAAGGGTCTTCAAGGATCAATGGTTTTTGGTTGCGGTTCTTCAGCCTGCGCCTCTTGTGAGTGACATGTGAGCACAAGCGCTGGTGCGCTGATGCGCTGGCAAATTTCACCAAGTCCTCAGCACCAACCAGGAGCCCACCACATCAACGTCTCACGACTGACTGACGAAAGCATCGAATCCTACGCCTCCCTGGTCCTCTCCGATCGATGTACGAGTCCCTGGCTCTCTCCCATCTGTTCTCCCGATGCTATGGCTTGTATTGTCTCAACCCAAGCTGGGCACATGATCACTGTTGCTGAAAGGTTAACATTTAATCTCGACACTCTTGATTGATGTCTCCTCTTATTCGGGTGAGTAGAACCCAGACGGAACTGTTGCTTGCTGGTGGAACAGGCATTTACATTTGGAAATGGCTGTACCGTCAACTGCTATCGGTATCGCTTGAATCTCATAATAATATCAATGGCCTAGATTGATGATCTGTGATAGATGGGACCAATGAACGTCACGTCTGTGCAGTGTGCAGTCATGAGGTAGAATAGTATAACAGTGTAGTGTTGGTAAATCGTATAAGAAATTCTACTTTCAAGACGAATTGTCAATCCAGATTGTGCCCAGAATATCCCACTAACTCGAATAACTCTATTCGTGATACTGGATAATTTTATTCGCGTTTTATAATCGTGTTTGGTAGTATTTGGGGGTCTCGTAGGGGGTTTCTATACGATTTTCATGAGCATAAATTCCATGGTGAGAATCTTCTTAGGGAACGTGGAACGTGATCGGGCCTGATGATGCATGATGGTAGGGATTGTCGTCCAGGAGAGCGGGGACCTACGAAGTCAAAAATCATGGATTATACGGAATGATATCATGGTTTGAGTCCCGACATTCACGATCCCAAATCATGGATTATGGATTTTGTTATCCATGATTCTCACGGCGTAGGGGGCATGGTAATATATGACGGTAGTCAGGATTTAAACCATGATGCGAAGAAGGGTTGAAATCCATGAAGCGAACGGGGATCGTAATATGTAAACCCATTCGGGATGGGAATCCAGAAACGGGAAGTGGTTTGTACTCCATGATTTTGGACTTCGTAGGGCAATCCTACAGCACCGGTTTTGGGCTTAATTCATGATTTTGGCTCAAATTTCTGCCATGATAATGTAATCCATGATTGATGCGTAATCCATGAATAATCCCAGACAAATCCATGGTATCTTATTTCTTACCAAGGTTTTACTACCCCTACCCTACGGTTTGATTGCTCATGGAATTTCCATGACTAAGTTCTGGAATCATTCTGGTTTTTGGTTTGCATATTGTTTCGGAAATTCAAGAAGTCGGACGCATAATCCACGACTTTAACATGGATTACGCGCGCGCCTATGGAAAGTCGAGTTTCATCCCTGATTTTTGAGTTTATAGGGATGATAGAATTGGGCTTTATCCAAAACAAAGAAATCATGGATTCAACCCAACCTAGTAATCCGCGCATGCGTAGGGGTGGCCTGGCCTTTACGAGTAGAAACAGATCTGGCCCCTCTTGATACAGATGGCATTAACATATGGTGCGTGGTCAGCTGGCCTATCGATAATATAATGCGCCGTCTTAACACATGGGGCTGAATATGTATGTATGGAGCTTCTATATGATACAACTCAGCCGCCCGTACAATTCCAAGTACAGCTTGTTGTGCTTGGTAGACCGTAGTAGAATGCAGTGTGCATGGTGTATGCTAATCTGGGTATTCTTTAAAATCTAGAAGACCTCCGTCGCTGTTTGGCATACATCGTCCATGCAACATACAAAGATCCGCATACTGCACCAATGAAAACAAGTTTGAGGAGGAACATTCCCCAACCTGAGCCCTGATTCGCTTTCGGAACACCTGCATTCACGGGGGCTTGCTGAGGATTAGCAACTGTAGGCGTGTAGATGTTCTGAGCTTTCACGGAGATGATATCGTGATTGTCTACATTGTCACCCGTTAGTGCAGACCAAGCGATATCGGATACACCACATACCGCTGAGTTCGCCAGTGAGGGCAGTGAAACCCAAGTACGATACAGTAGGAAGCGTGACATGGGGGACGTTGAAGCAGGTGATCCATTGATCCTCGTTCTTGTATTGAAGCTGAAGTTCAAGGTAGTTGTCCTTGTAGTAAGTGATGCGGCCCTTTGTAGGAATGGACGCCCCTCGAAGACCACGAGCCTGCACAGACGTCAGCTAAGTTGCTATATCAGGTGCGATTGAATGTACGAACCGAGCAGCCACCAATCTCGTTCGCTTTGCCGTCGTGGTCGTGATCGTATTCAGTCTTACCATCACCAAGCATGGCCATAACGTAGGGAAACATGGTACCAGGTCGGTTGTTCTTGTACTATTGATCAATAAGGTAAGAAAAGCCGTTCAATGTGCCGATTCTTGGAAAACCTACGGTGTCAATGAAGATACCAAGACCCTCAAACTTGTCAACAAAGCCAAAGACTGGGCCACTCTGGGCACGCTCTTTCGTGATCCAGACAGCCATACCGTCACCAAAAATGTTCTGGCCCGATCCAGAGACCTTGAATTCAAACTCAATCTCAAAGTTTGACGCGGTCAAAGGCAAACGACTAAACAACCAACCCGTTTGAGAAGGACGGTCGTAAGTAAGGCGGACATGCTTGTTGGCGTTGATAACCGTGTCTCCGCCAAAGTCCCACCATCGCGATTGCACATCCTGATCAAGGTAAGGCGGGAACAGCGAATGTGTGCGCAGCGTACTTCTGTATTCCTGGTTGTCATCCGCGATCACGCTGGGAAACAAGACAGCGAGCACAGCATACAGCGCAATCAAGACGGCGTGAACAGCCGACTTCATGATCAATTCAATTGACTGATCGAATGCACAGAGAGTCGAGACGGCAGTTCAGTACTTCGACCGTGCACGCGAAGCAACGTCACGGTTGCACGTGACTTGACGCGCCCGAAATCAATTACACCGTCAAAGTGCAGCGAGATCAACCCACGTTCAAATATACCTGATCAACAATGGCTTTCGGATTCGGAGGTTCTTCTTCAGCTGCTGCTCCTATCGCTGCTCCGGTGGCCAACCCTCAGCTTGACGCTTTGAAGAACGAGGTCAGGAAGGAGTTGGCGTACGTTTCCTTCTTTCATGATTCAAGCTTAGGATTTCACGCTGACAAGTATGTAGCATTGCCCAGGCGCAAGAGTTGATTGGCGTGCGTATCACCGCATCTTGCCATGGTGTTTTGTATTGACAGGACGGCAGAAAATCAACGAGCACTGCTTCGACAAGTGCATTACTGCACCAGGATCGACCTTTTCGACTACCGAGCAGGTATATCCTCCTATTCTGACTGCAAACAGGGCCGAGGCTGACTGTACATGTTAGGGCTGTGTGTCGAGCTGTATGAAGATGTACCTCGAGTCTACGGAGATTGTGTCGAGAACAGTAAGTGGACTGAGCCCGCTGTCAATCGAGGATCGCGCGTTAACTCTTGTGGCAGTACATTGCTCGTGTTCAGAAGGAGCGCGCAGCGGGAGCTTTTTAAATGCAAATATATTTCCGTACAAGAAGTATGCCTATGTGATTCCCTAGCGCCAATCCTACAGCTTCGGTGCGGGAAGCCTCTTGGTCTGCTTGTTCTTGTCGGCGAATTGTCGTACGATGACGGAGCAAGAGGTCTCCTGGCAGAGTTCCCTGCGTTTGCTAGACTTCAAGGCCGTAAGGAATTCCAAACCGCTTGCCCTATATTTGTTACAGTTAGTGATCTGCATGCACGCACCCACACGGTATGTATGATCTTACCGTTCGATAGCGTCGAGAGGAGTTACAAACTCTGTCAAGTTTGTTGCATTGTCGATAGGGGCATTGGGCAAGACGAAAGAACCAATAGTCACTGTCTCTTGCGGGTTTCCATTATCGGCAACAATCACCTTGTAGAAATGCGTCGGCACGGCGACATTGGGCGGGTTGCCGATCACCTCGTAAGACACACGCCACTTGCCGTCGGGGTACTTTCGTGGGAGGTACAGAGGTCCGGTGACGATGCGGACGTTTTCATACTGGTTAGCAAGCCTTCGGCAGAAGTCTTCGAAATGGGCCCAGTCTATAGATGTTAGCTTGCACGGGAAAAGCTGCGGGCAAGATGGCATGACTTACAGTCGCGATTAAAGCCATCGCCAACTTGAGGGCTCATGTTGGAAAGGTAGAACGTCTCATCCATCGCAGCTTGAGAGAATTTGACATCAGCAGCAGGCACCTGATGGCCACGGTCGTAACCGCTTCGGAAGTAGTCTTGAAGCCTGGCGCGGAACTTTTCTGGGATGGATTCATCCTCCTTGAAAGCGCTGTTCTTGCGATCACCTCCGCGCTGGGCAAGGGATTCCTTGGTGATATGCTCTGCAACCCAAGCAGGGTTACGCATGCGGCGGTCGTAGCTGTTCATGATTCATGTAAGCTGTCGGGCGAGCGGTGAATATGACCTTAGACCAACCTCGAGATGAATCCAGTTCGCACGGCCTGGTCACAGACAGGGCCCGGGAAACCGAATGCCAGAAAGCCGGAAGGGTTGACAGGAGCGGGTGCAGTGGGCGGCACATCGGACGGACGGGCAGCTGGAGATCCATGAGGGACGGGGAGGGAGGGTGGTTGAGGAGCAGCAGCTGGGACGGCAGGAACGCGGGACTGGCTGGCAGCGTAGACGACACCGCCTCCAGCGACGGCACCTGCAAGAACGAGACCGACTGATCCGACGACTCTAGACATGTTCAACGTCGAGTTGTCGAGTCTTTGACTTTTTGGCGGAGTACTTTTCACACCTGGATGGGCGGAGCGCGTGCCTGCATCACGAATTCACGGCGAAGAGGCCGAGCTCGACTACAGCCGATAGGAGAACGAGAACGGTGACCGCCGACTACGATCATGTCTTCCGAACGGATCTTGGCTGTGACTGCCAGACTGACCATACACGGACATCGGCGCTTCTTGCTCGCTGGCTCGCCGTCCGTCCGCCTCCGCACGACGCTCGTCACAGTCCCGCACCGCTCACAGTCCACCACCGCCGTGGCAATTAGCGATCCGCTTGTTGCATACCAGACCTTGGTCAAGTCGGGACGCTTGCAAACCGATGAGTCACAGTTCAGAGCCGCTATACATCTGCACAAGCTTTATGAAAGACTTCTGGATTACCGCCCGCCTGTGGATTTTCAGAAAAAGTTGGCTCTCTTGAATACAGAGCTCCTTAAAAAGAAAGATCCAGATCCAGCTACGAGGAAGTCGTTCTTGGATTGGCTTGGTCGGAAGGATCCATTGCAACGAGAAAGTCTCGCTCTCGTCCGAATCTTATCCCAAGAGGAGGAAGTATATAAGCTTTCGACCCCACGAGGGCTAATCCTGTAAGCTCGAGGTCTGTGACCGAGCTGTTCGATGCTAATACCTTGACAGTTGTGGTGAAGTAGGCACGGGAAAGAGTATGCTCATGGACCTATTCATGAATAGTTTTCCGAGCCGTACCAAGCGCAGGTGGCACTACCATAACTTCATGGCAGAAATGTATCGACGGCTACACGTCGCACAGCAGACCCAAGCATATCGAGATTTTGGAGATGAATACTGCCTGCTTCGCATCGCTCGAGATGTTCTCGAAGAATCCACTGTTCTGGCGATAGATGAGTTCCAACTCCCAGATCCCGGAGCAGCAGCTATAGTACGCAACTTCTTCCTGTATTTCTTCCGCCTCGGAGGAGTGCTTGTTGCGACCAGTAACCGGCTCCCTGATAACCTATACGCTACCGGCTTTGGTACAGACGCGTTCAACTCGTTCGCCAAGATCCTAAGCTCGCGATGCGAGGTTTATGAAATGCACAGCGAACTAGATTATCGGAAGAACAGGGCGGAAGACGAATCTGCTCCCTACTTCTGTCTCCACGGACACGATGATATTCGATGGACGGAAACAGTCAACAGGCTGCTGGATGGGAAAGAATGTACGTTGTAAATAACGTCAAAAACCGGGTTGTATTGGCTAAATATGCAAAACAGGTAGCGAAACGATTCTCCAGGTTTATGGTCGTCCTGTACACGTTGCTCAAGCTTATGGAGACACAGCATATATGACCTTCAACGAGCTATGTGCAAGAAACCTGGGCGCTGCAGACGTTAGTGACCCGGATTGACCTTCACTTCGGACATGCTGACTTGAGTGTAATCAGTACATTTCCATTGCTAGCAGGTTTCCCACGCTCATTCTCGATGAAGTTCCCGTGATGAGCCTTCTGATGAAGAATGAAGCAAGGCGGTAAGCTTTGAAAGCCATATTTACGAGTCTTTGCTAATGTAGCTTTAACAAAGCTTCATCACGCTTATTGACGCCCTTTACGAGTCACGCACCAAGCTTTTGGTACGAGCCGCAGCCGAGCCTGAGGAACTCTTTTTCCCGGAAACGACCACAGTAACCGATGAGGTGTCAAACGAACAAGAACTATTGAAAGAAGTATATGCCCGTGCGCATATTGATACGACTTCACCTTACCGCCCAAATGTGACCTCCTACGACACTCGAACTGGGGAATCGTTCAAATCGCTTTCGCCCACGACCTCTGCTGTTGATTACGGACAATTGAACAAATTCACTGGCGAAGACGAGAAGTTTGCATTCAAAAGAGCCGTGTCAAGGTTACATGAAATGAAGTCTGAGCGGTGGTGGGAAAATTGCGAATGGATGCCCGTTTCGCACAGGACTTGGGAGGTGGAGCGCGCGGAAGGAGCGCTAGGCAGCGCGACACGGCAGCAGGAACAGCTGGCGACCGCGGCCGAGGATAAGGAAGCAAACATATTCAGCCCGTTCAGGAAGACGCCAGACCCGCCACCGAAAATCTCTAACGTTCATATGTGGGGCACAGTGGATAATTGGGGAAAGAAGGCAGGCTTTTGGGGTCTTGGATCGAAGATTTACAGGGAGAAGTCCAAATGAATCTACCCACCTTGGAATGCCACACCCTTAGATACGGCCAGTGCATTGCCTTTCGCAGCATAACTCGTTCCTTCCCCCTTCATCTCGATTAACCCTCCTTGACCCTTCTCGTTCTTGAAGAAATCTCCGCAAACGAAGCACTGCCCAGATTCACGGATAAATTTCTCCACACATCCTTTGCAACAAACATGGCCGCACCCTATAGCGAGATATCCGGACAACCCATTGCTCAAGCCCTTTTTGCAAGAAGGACATATTCTTTGCGGCTCGCCCTGTCCCGTCATCGTGTTTTTGTCCTCAGAGAATTCAACAGTCACCAATGATTTCAGGGTCAACTCATGTGTACTGTCTATACCAGATGCGGGACATATGGGGTTCAGTTTCGGCATTCGCCCGGAGGAGGTATCCGAATTTGATTCAAGGCCAGGCGTCAGGCTTGGAAGCCAATACGATCGAAGTTCGGACTTTGCCAGAGCTGCCTTCTCCTCCAAAAAAGCTTTCTTATGGGATTCTCGTTCCGCCACTGCAGCTTTAAGCATATCCTCCTCGTCCAGCTTGAAGGGTCTTTTCTTCGAATGGTTAGGCTCACTTGCACGTAAGGGTGCAGGATTGCTTCCGTCCTTCGTAGCCCCTGCTGCCACTGCAAGACCTGCTTGGACAAGCTCAAACTCCTCTACAGTCCGTTGTTGCGCCTCGTCGTTGTCGAGTTTCTCCTTTGCCTCGTGCTCTTGCAGTCGCTTCTGAAACTCCTTCTGCAAGCGCTTCACCTCCTTTCGTTGAGCAAGGAGACTTTCAAGGATACATTCTCGACAAAACAGATGGCCCTCGTCAGGGCAGGTAACGGGGTCGCGAGCTCTTGCGAGGCATAAATGGCAAGCATCGTACTCCCTGAAGGATTCTTTGCCCAGGCGCCTCCGCTTCGTGCCGTACTCCAGCAATTGGCGTTCATAGGCTGTGAAGAAAGCAAGCGACGTGTTTCGCTTTGAATGCCTGGTCATCGAAAGGAACGCATACAAACCTGGAACTCAGCAGCTGTCGGTACCGATGATACCTGTACGGTACCGTATGGCTGGTGTGTGGCGAGTGCGCGGAATTCGGCCGGGCCAGTCATTCTGCAAGAAAAGCGAGAGTCGCAACTGTCCTCGGCGTATACAACCATGGCTTCGAGGTTCGTCGCAAAATCTGCCGCCGGCATTGCAAGGAATGCTCCTCAGTGTGTTTTACCTCGGAATTCGAGCCTCATTGACGTACTGACCTTCGATCCGTCTAGGTCTCGCAACATGTCGACCTTGAACAAGTTCAGTGCCAAGATCACCCAGCCCAAGTCGCAGGGTGCTTCCCAAGCTATGGTATTTTTGAAACCCGCTTTCCTATATGCCTACGAATGCTCATTTTTATCGTAGCTTCTCGCCACTGGTATCACTGAGAAGGATCTCTCGAAAGCTCAGGTTGGTATCTCCAGTGTGTGGTATGAGGGTAACCCCTGTAACATGCACTTAATGGACCTCGGAAAGAAGGTTAAGGAGGGAGTTCAGAAGGCCGGGTTGGTGGGATACCAATTCAACACCATCGGTGTCAGGTAAGGTGTTCTTGTTTCGAACCAGTACAACCGCTTATGCCCGTCTTCACAGTGATGGTATTTCCATGGGTACCAAGGGAATGCGCTACTCCCTTCAGTCCCGTGAGATCATCGCTGATTCCATCGAGACTGTTATGAGCGGTCAGTGGTATGACGCAAATATCTCCTTGCCTGGTTGTGACAAGAACATGCCCGGTACATTGATCGCAATGGGACGTGTCAACCGACCTTCTATCATGGTTTACGGAGGTACTATCAAGGCCGGAAGGTGTGCCAGTCTGAACAATGCTCAGGTCGATATCGTTTCCGCATTCCAGTCATACGGAGAGTACATCGCTGGTCGCATTACTGAGGAGACTCGTGCGGACATCATCCGTTCCGCATGCCCTGGTGCTGGTGCCTGTGGTGGAGTTTACACCGCGAACACTATGGCATCTGCCGCCGAGGCTATGGGTATGTCTCTTCCTGGTTCGTCCTCGTACCCGGCAGAGTCCCCTGCGAAGATGCGTGAGTGTCTCCAGGCCGGGGAGGCCATCAAGGTTCTCCTCGAGAAGGACATCAAGCCCCGTGACATCATGACTCGTGCTGCCTTTGAGAACGCCATGGTCCTTATTACCGTTCTCGGTGGGTCCACCAACGCCGTTCTCCACTTGATCGCCATCGCTCACTCTGTTGGCATCGAGTTGACCATCGATGATTTCCAGGCTGTCAGTGACCGCACTCCTCTCCTTGCCGACATGAAGCCCAGTGGCAAGTACGTTTTTGAGGACATTCACAAGATCGGCGGTATCCCCGCCATCCTCAAGTTCCTCCTTGACGAAAAGATGATCGATGGAAACATCTTGACTGTTACTGGTAAGACTCTTGGCGAGAACTTGGCACTTGCCGAGGATCTGCCCCAGGGACAGGACATTATCCGTCCCCTCACCAACCCTATCAAGAGCACCGGTCACTTGCAGATTCTTCGCGGATCTCTTGCTCCCGGAGGTAGTGTTGCGAAGATTACCGGAAAGGAGGGTACCGAGTTCACGGGTAAGGCTCGTGTGTTCAACGATGAAGACTCCTTCACCGAGGCCCTTGAGCGTGGTGAGTTCAAGATTGGTGAGAAGGCTGTTGTTGTCATCCGTTACGAAGGTCCCAAGGGTGGCCCCGGTATGCCCGAGATGTTGAAGCCTTCATCAGCTATCATGGGTGCCGGTCTTGGCAAGGACGTTGCTTTGATTACCGACGGACGTTTCAGCGGTGGCTCCCACGGTTTCTTGCTGGGTCACATTGTTCCTGAGGCGCAGGAGGGTGGACCCATTGCCTTGGTTGAGGACGGCGATGAGATCTTCATCAGTGCTGAGAAGAATGTCATTGACTTGAGGGTGTCGGAGGAGGTGCTTGCTGAGAGAAGGAAGTCGTGGGTCGCTCCTCCATTGAAGTACACTCAGGGAACTCTGTACAAGTTTGCCAAGAACGTTACGAACGCATCGAACGGTTGCGTTACAGACTTGTAAAACGTTTGGTAAGATTTTGATTGTACGATAATAAAAAGGATATATACACATACATGTAAACCGCAATCGCAGCTGATTGATTAACATCCCCTGCTCTTTGATTCTTCAACACGCTGGGTTTGATGTCCTCCCACGCATTTCCTAACAAGCAACTGCAGGCACATGTACCCCGGTGCCAGTTGACGGCATACACCGCCAAGAAGAGTGAAGAGAAGGAGAGGAGGGATGGATATATTGAAGCTTTTCGGAGCTTCACCGGCCAGGAAAGAAAGGTCTTCTCCCGAAAACCTTCTTATACGGTTTAGAAAGGCATTTTCGTCCGTTCAGCGTTGCAATCAGAAAGGCGTCTCGAAAGTGCAGACTGCCACGGACATCAGTGTACTATCATCATCCCTATCTCGGGAGCTGCGGCAGATACAGGCAAACCATGAACGGTGTTGCTATGAATTTGCGCTGGAGAATTCTTTGTTCAACCAGCTGGTTGATCTAGCCCTTTCAATGCCGAAAACTTTGGTTGCGAGAGAAGTCCTTAAGCTATTCATCGAGCTTGTGGAGAGCTCTTCAGATCACGACGTTCCGGTCATGGATAATCTCGTATTTCGAGGAAGCTTATTGCGGTTGTTAACGGGGTTCTCGAAAGTCGAATTGACCGCAGATACCCGAAATCCCTTCGTGGAGTTGATTTTCATAATCGTTTCGAGGTTACGTGTGAATACTGATGAAATTGCGTACTGGTTCGCAACTTCCGATCCGAATACAGCCGAACCGGCTCGTTTCGTTCTCCTCGATTTTCTTCGGGATCAGTACCTCTCTTCTGATTGCTCGGGAGGGTTTGCCCGTCAGGCTCTGTGTTATATCGTTGCGCTTGGCGAAGCCAGTGAAGAGCTATATGATTGGTTGGCCCAGAGTTCAGAGTTTCCTGTCCTAATTACATGCAGTCTTGCGGCCATGTATTCCCAGTTGTCAAGGTAAGCGAGCATACATTCAGTAGTTCATCGTTCTGACGCTTTTCAGAGCGGAGATATTTGACGAAATAGATGAAGAGTTTCCGGGAGGTTTATCTAACGACTGGAAAGCTGGATCCGACTCAGAAAACGCCGAATCCTCAAGCCTTGCGGCATTCAAAGAGGTATCGTCCCGCCTCTCTTAAGCATTTATCTCTGCTAATGATTCCGAAGTACCTTGTTTTCTTTCAAGATTTGCTGCAATACTCAAAGGGGGTTTTACGCTCGGACCTGCTGCATGGGTTTCAAACCTTTTTCCTGGAACCCGTCTTAGGCCCGTCCTTTCACGACAGCTCAGGTTCAGATATATCATCATCGGTATCCGCGGTGACATATCTTGAGCTGTTGTTGAACGTTTTGGATGACGAAGACCTCTTACACATATCTCTAACATTTTTGCTAAGATTCCTGCCGGCTAAGGCTCAGAAGCTACTGGCAACTAATTCTTCATCCATCGCAACAGCTACCCTGCGTCTTGTCATTGTCCTGTTTCGCAAGTGTTGCTCTTATTCTGCCCCAGCATTTCTGAGCGAAAGCAATTTGAAAGAAAGCGAATCTAAAAGCATTCAGATGCACGCTAGGGTCTGTATTGTCCGGTGCCTTTCAGTTCTTCGCTCACTGTTCACCACAGGAAATGGATCTGTTGTCCGAGCTTTCCTCTACTGCGGAGTCGACTGGCTTCAGCAAATGTTATTCCGCATATCTCGCGGATGCCTTAGTATACCTAGAATCACACGGCTGTTCTCACGGTCTTGTCCATTTACTGGATACAGTCTCGCTGGCGGATGCAGTAGACGACGATGACATACTTCGTATCCCTATCGACAACGGCAAGCCAACGAACATGATGTTTTATACATTGCGAAGCGAAGAGCCTTTTGCTCGAACTCTATATGATATGTTCGGCTCCTTCTTCTGCAACAGCGTTCACGTCAACCTTCTTCTAACACGATTTGTGACGGAGCTTGCTTGTTGTAGCCGAGTCGACTTGGAAGGCTGGCTCCTTTACGCGGATATTAATACCGAGGTCGGCGATGTTCCCAGTCCGCGAAGTATTCGCCCAGAACGGAATGCATTGCCTACACCACCCTTTCTCGCGATATTGAAGATTCTGTCCGGTCAAGTTCGTCAATACAAGACCGAAGTGGAGGACCTCCAAGAGCACCTTGCCATTCGTAGGGAAGCTCTCGATTTTATGGAAGAACTTGGGGATGCTCTTCAACCATCTCCAGCCATGCAGACTTTCCGGCCGAATAGAGCAGGATCGATTCAATTCACTGATAATGAAGATTCCAGATCGAATGATGTAACACTTGCCGAGTCAGCGCCGGTGTCAAGTTTGAGTTTGACACCTGAACGCTCAGGGGCGAACAAGATTCCGTCAACACCGACGCGTCCACCATCGAGTTCGGCGAACTCTCCGTTCGTAGAACACTTCTCAGCTACGAAGAAGAGGATCTCTTCCATCCGTCCGATTTCAACATCGGCTCTGGACGTATCCGGTACAACATTCACCTCCACCACAGCTGAGGGCTCCGGTATGGCATTGGACGATATCTTCGCACCTGTACAATCTTCCACCACGGAGATCACGCAATCGCCACCAACTCTCAGTGTTTCCCATCTTTGCAATAATATCATCATTTTCGAGGAGTTCGTCAAAGAATTGAGAGCAGTAATTCAGCATCGACGAGCATACTATGAGTCTTTGAAATTTTGAGGGCGTTCAAAAGCATACCCTAGATTCCCGTTGAACGGTGTTGTGCATAGCTAGTTCAATAAATCACGACCTACTTGAGCATCTACTATTCTCCTTCACCCATATTTTGTGCAGACTCTCTCCTCAACGACCTTTCAGATAGCGGAGGATATCCTAAACCCATACATTAGCAACACGATTTCATATGCTTAGGCTAAAAGTGAATCATGATACCTTCTTTGTCACGACACCGACAAGGTCTGGGCCATCCATAATGCAAAGGTATGCCAGGCCAAGCTTGTTAAACATCTCAAAAGCAAGCGTAACTGGGGCCGAGTGATGGAGGGTGAGGGGGGTACGGTTAACTAATATCCAGTTAGAAAGCGCGTTGAATTATATGACCTGTACACGTACCATAAGGCGTGAGATTCGCTGGATCCACGACGAGTTGCTCCCATTCGATCCCTAAGGATTCATTTCCTGGGCCTTCGAGGTCAATTGTGCATAAAGCCGATTCATCGGTGATCAACTCTAAGCATGCTTTGATCTCCTTTAAGCCGAGATAGCCTCTCAACAACCCAGAGCCAACAAGACAGAGACCGACATCATCCTCGCCAAGGGTCTCAAGGTCGTCGATTTTCTCGCGCAGAACGAAAGCGGAGACATAGCGGCCTTGCAATTCGAGTGTGATAGCTTCACGGGGTCTCCCCGGAGGAAGAAGCTCGGCAGCTTCGGCGATGGAAGCAATAGCATGGTTCTCCAGATACGGAAGCTCCTTGGCGTTGATAACCTTTTCATATATGGACAAGCGATCGATGGCATCGGATGCCCATTTAGATACAAGCAATGTAAGCATGAACGGCATGACGAGATCCAGAGAACCCGTCAACTCGAACAAGATGACACTGAGACTAACGGTCATTTTTGTCACGCCAGCAAGCGTTGCGGCGGCGCCTAACATAGCATATGCAGCTGGAGAATGGTTTGGCTCAAAAAAACCAAGTGTATGATTCAGGTGAACGTAATGTAAGGCGAGTCCTACCATTCTGCCGATCAAAGACCCCACAACCATCGTGGGAACGAAGATGCCGGCAGGGATGGCTGATCCGAAGGTGCATACCGTCAACATGATCTTCATAATAAGTGCCATAAGCAGATGTCCAAGGACTTTGGTGATCTCATACTCGTTAGCAGGACACAGATCGTTTTCTTCCTTCACGACAGGGGCTGGTGAGTTTCCTGACAAGATCGGTCCCGCTAATTCGGGTAAAGGCGTTTTGATAGGAGATCGAAGATGTAAGAATCACGAGGACAAGAACTTCGAGGACTGGATGACGTTTGATGTAAGACAAACCGCGGATTCGTCTCGTCCATAGAGTGTTCAGGTTATTGAATAATGCCCCATATATACCGCCAATAAACGCTATAACGACATATACCACCAGATCAGGACCAGTCCAGGACCGCTCAAAGTCAAGCTTCAACAAAGTGAGTTCACCGGTAGCGTGCGGATTGAGAAATTTGAGGGTAAGAGCTGCAGTAACCGCACAGCAGAAGGCTCTCCACATCGCTTTCGAAGGAAAGTAATAGGAGACCTCTTCAAGACTGAATAGAACACCACCGATCGGTGCGCCAAAGGCCGTGGCCACGCCAGCAGCACAGCTCGCAGAAAGGATCTGTCTTCTCTTTCCTTCGTTGAAATGAAACTTTCGAAACAGCCGACAGAAGATGTTCCCTACTGCACAGGCGATGTGCACGAACGGGCCTTCTTTGCCAAGGGACAAACCGGAGGCAACCCCAAGCGTCAGTCCCACTGCCTTGACAATAAGTGTACGAAATCCCAGAAAGCCACGAATAACAAAGCCAGACAGAATGGTTTTCACCTCAGGAATGCCGCTTCCAGCAGCGAGGTAGAAAATTTTGCCAGAAGGGCGTTCCGACGCGGTTGTCATAGTGAGTAACGAAGCTGAGACCGCGAAGATGACGGCGAACAGAATGTAAATGCAGTACTCAAAACTCTCGCTGCCCGTCTCTAGAATAGACTGGGACCAGTTCGCCCATTCACCGCAAGCTTCCGAAGAGCTTCCAGCACAGCATGCATGCTTATTTACGAGAATGTTGCTAGTACAATAGCCAGTTTTCAAGTCGAAAAGGAGTGACTCAGTGACATCAATGCAGTAAGCAATTGCAGCAGTGACAATTCCAATTATGGCGACAAGCAGATAACCCTGCACGGCGTCCCAAGAATTGACGAGATGGCCGCGGACGCCCTTCAGCTGTTGGAGATGTGCCTTGCGATAGCCATCTTTAACAACATCATGTAGCCAGTCGATGGTGGTATAATCCGCGTACCACTGACGCGCGCCGACGCTGGCATACAATCCGTTATCAGCAGCATCGTACTCGCTTGCTCGAGGCTGGAAGAAGCGACTGCTGATATTACTCGAGCGGCGGGAGAGCGATGATCGGCTAGCAACCGGCCTAAGTCCATGATGCTTGGCACCAGGTGGAGAACTTGCGGGCGTTAAGGCTTGGAACCGAGCACGATGGTCACGAAGGATGGGAGTATGTTCACCGGACTCGTTGTTGGGAACCGTCAATTGCATCTCTGTTGAACCAGGAAGCGTAGAAGTGAGAGTTGGACGACTCAGAGAGGGAGCCCATTATAAAGGGAGGTGGAGCGAAACGGACTTGCAATTGGAGGTCTGTGCGGGCATCATGTAAATTGCTCTGCTCGTACGCGTTGCAGGAACCCCGTCAACGCGTACCCCACACACAAGCACTGCCCACTAGGACCGACAGAACCTTACCAGCAGTCATGTACGATCAAATCATTTTATTTGGAGATTCAATTACTCAATATGCTTGGAGATCCTATGGTTATGGTCAGAGCCTGGCGGATGCATACCAGAGGAAGTTGGACGTAATGGGAAGGGGCTTCTCCGGGTACAATTCCACCCAAGGCCTCGCCGTGCTCCCTCGCGTTATTCCGCCTCCCTCAGCAGACCACACGCAACCGAAAGTACGCCTGGTGACTGTCTTCTTTGGTGCAAACGATGCTTGTCTGCCTGGCACGGACCAGCATGTGGATTTACAGACTTACACCTCGAACCTGGAACAAATCATTCGTTCACCACTCGCTAAGCAGCACAATCCCGCCATAAAGTTTATAATCATCGGTCCGCCACCGCTCGATCAGCATCAGCAGGCTCCGCTTGATATGCAGAAGAAGGGACACGTCCGCCGCACCGCCGAGCACACCAAACTCTACGCGGACGCCGCTGGTGAACTGGCCGCTAAACTCGATGTACCCTACGTGAATACATGGGAAGAAATCCAAACCCTGGCTGGCTGGAAAGAGAAGGATGAGCATGTGCCCGGTAGCCTTGATGCACCCAAGAACGAAACCTTAGCCAAGATGCTCTATGATGGCTTGCATTTGAGCGGCGACGGATACCAGGTTCTTTTCAAGGCTTTGTTGGCAAGTATCAAACAGCATTATCCTGAGCTTGATCCCGACAACTTGAGTGCTATTGCGCCGTTTTGGGACGATGCTGAATTTGAGGCCAAGACTTGTAAGTTGGTTGGTAACTAGATACACTATCTAAAGACAGAAGAATGCACAAGTTAGAGACGGGTAAGCTCCTTCAAGCCTGTCTTGGTGTGATCTTTGGTCTCCCTAACAAGCGAAATGATATCTCGGAACTCGGGGATCGACGCATCACCCGCGGTCTCATAAAGCCAGCTCTCGCTCGTCGTAACGTATCCACCAGCCTGTCGAATGCGCTCTAACGCGATGGGAACCTCCTCCTATGCACACTCGGATTAGCGAGTGCACGTATTCAGATGCGACTCAGCTACCTTATTCATGGAGCTAACCCCATCGGCAATGACATACACCTTATGGCCTCTTGCGAGAAGATCAAGTGACGTTTGTAGCACACAAATATGTGATTCAATCCCAACTATAGCGACTGCTGCGTCGTTATCAAGATGCTTAGTCAATTGAGGCAGAGCCATTGAGAATGCCGTCTTGTCGAGGGTGACCTGAGCGTGGGATACATCAAGCTCGGTGCAAGTACCACCCAATTTGGCGGCGGATTGCGTCGTGACATAGACGGGTATGTCCAAGATCTTTGCCGCTTGCAGCATCTTCTGCGCTGTTTTTAGAACAGCCGGATACGCATGGATGGCTCTGAACTTCTCCTGCAAATCACACTATCACGAGATGCCCCGTCAGCCCCAGAACGAGAACAGAAAAAGCGAAGGGTATCAGACTGACAATGAACAAGGCTGACTTGATGATTCTGCGGGACATTGCGAATGCTGTATCAGGATCAATGGCTATGCAGGTTTCTTTCGCAGCACTTGAGCGGTGTCAGCACGGCTCGGGCAGCTGCTGCACTCCACACTCCCCCGCGCTCGACGCACTGCAGTTGACCCGCCAGCATGCGCAGCTGAAGACAGACATAAGTAAGAGGCATTCACCCACGTCTTCCAGCAGGATGTCGACAAATGGCCAGCTCCTGCACGACCTGATACAGGCTCTTCATAGGCCAGACGACTTATCCAAGCAGAGAGAGTGCGTAGTCTGAATGCGACTCGCTCGATGCATGCTTATTTCCGCCGTACAGAGTCTTCGGAATAGCTGTCCATCTCCTTACCGAATTAACAAGTTCACATAATGTAAGTATCCTTGCATCGCAGCTCCTTCAAGCGCCCACAATTCTCTCCTGGGATTCTGCCGGGACGCCAATCACTGTACCCCTCGTCCAATGTTTTCGAGCTGCTGCCATGAACAAAGCTCGCGAAGACAATCCGCAAGTGACAGCATTACGAATGCCGCATTGGCTTGATGCTCTGAAGAAAGGCATAAGAGGGTGTCCTGCGGACAAGCAACTTGCTGCTCTGTGCGGCATATATTGTGGTCTTCAGATAACGGGGAGTGGATCGCGGCAGCTTCGAAATGCGGAAGAGGCATTCTGCGTAACCCTAAATCTTGTCCTCACCACTAATGAGGCTAACGGTATGTTCTGTGTAACTTTGTCTTTACGCCCACACCGCTGAAGCAGTTTTGCAGAAAGTACCGCGAGTGCTGTCCTTTATTGCATGTCACAGTCGCTGCCTCACCTATCAGAGCATGGTAAGCGAGTCATTACCTGGGATTCTCTGTTGTCCGTATCAGTTCGCGGGCTTTACTATTCTGGGTCTGCATTAGGTAACGGCGACTTCATGAAGCAGACGATAGGGGATACTCAGGTCGTGGACGGTCGCGTACATTGGCCGACAACATCGCGGTCCTTCGAACGAATATCCGCCTTAACCAAGATGCCATTCTATCTAGGCATGGGACCTTATGCGAACGTTGCTGCTTCTGCTGCAGCTCGATGCTATGATTCTCGCTCCATCATATCAGCCCTTGTTGTCATCGATGCATTTACGTCCAGCCTTAGGAAAGCATGGGAGAACTCGCCATTTAGCAAAGTTCATCACATTCTGGAAAAAGAGCATTTCAGTGAGGAGACGACTATGTCAACTACTCCGCTGTTGTGGCACGTCCTCAAGCGGATATCGTTTGCTACTTCCATAATACTTCACGCCGCTATTTCGAACTTCATCCTGTCTAGTGCAACCAGGAATAAAGCAGGTAAGATTGGTATATTGTTCATTTCCCTCCACCTATCTGACCTGGCTTTTAGAGTCATTACGAATGGCGAGCTTTGTGGTGCAGATAATGCACAACCTCTACTTCATCACGGCCCGAATTGGAGGCGATACGGTCGCGACATATGACTTTACCTTTCGTGTAGCCCTTGACATAATTTGTCAACATCCGGGCGAGGCAGACAAACTTTTGACGGAGATGGCACCAAGCGTACAGCCTAAAACGATCTACCACCCGATCAACATGTCCACCTCCCTGTTCTTCCTCAACATGTCCGAGCATCTCGCACCTGTAATTCCCCCGCTGTTATTCAAGGAAATTGTGTTTCCTGTTGCGGAAGCGTATATGAAGACGCCCGTCGAAGTTCCGTGCCGTCCTCTCTTCGAGGCGGCACATTCTGTGGTATTAGCCCTGATAATGGCACCACAAATGAAGGAAATGGCCAGTGAGGTTGTTGTTGGGTATGCGCAGAACACCCTTACCGCATTCCCAGGACACATATCTCCACGTCAGCTGTCTCTCGCGTTTGCGACGCTGGTGCAAGCCACTGCTCAACCGGCTCCACTTTATGCGAAACACCCAGAATTGTCTGAGCATGTGCTTGATCTTCTGTTACAGAGAGCCGCCGTCGCACATATAGGAGGATGTCCGTTGCGCCTAGACGATGGTGGCATGGTCGACGAAAAATCTGCATGTTTGCTTGCTTATGCGGAATGCCTTCCGCATGTAGCACCGGAGAATATGATCCGAAGATTGGAACTTTTGGCGGGGGAAGTGGGGAAGTTAGCAGGGGAAGAGAGACGACGACTTGTTGACAAGCTTTGGCATGTCATTGCATGTGAGTTGGATGTGGCAAAGTCTGAGTTGGCGGTCTACTGGTGGCATTCATTTGGTGGAAAAGACAAGACTTTTATCGAAGAAAGAGCAAATTTATGAGAGTGCTATGCAGCATGCAATGGTCTCTTTAACGATCTGCTAGCGGATGAACGGAATCCTCGTGGGAACTCTCTCCCGATATCGGACGTAACTATCTCCGAAAAACTTGACGAGAAATTTCTCCTCTCCCTCGATGCGTTGACTGAAAAACCTCCACAGAACAAAACCGAATGCAATAATGGAGACTGGGTTGGCCAGCATAATCTGAGAGCCAATGCCCCACCAGAAGAAGCCGAAGTAAGACGGGTGTCGAAAGTACCTAGCGTCTAGTTAGCATGGCAGTCAACAATGCAACCTGGCAAACTCACTTGTACAGGCCATCGGTAACAAGAACATGGTCGTCTAGCTTGGCGGATTGGACTTGATGATTGAAACTCTGAGCCGCTTGCGCCATAGCAATGAACCGGAACACTTGGCCGAAGAGGGTGATTGCCATTCCCAGATAGAACGCATTCGAGACGGTCTTCAATTCTGGAAAGTAGTACAGTTCGATCAAGAACTCGAGGATGCCACACGCTTGCGCAATTGGGTAACCAATGCCGTTACTCAGCAAAAATGCTACCATGCATGTCAATAGCGATTCGCGACAGGAAACTGCAATTCACTCACAATCGATCTTTACTCTGGTTGGGTTGTACCTTGCGGTCACATAGTACTCCAAGATGTGGAATATGGCGAGGAGAGCAACGAAGACGAAGCCTGCTGGGTGCGCCGGACTACTCACACAGGCGAGGACAGAACTGGCGCCGAAAACAGCTCCGAGGAGGGAAGCCCTCAAGGCAACACCGTCAGGCGCATTAGGATTGGACATGGCCGTTGGATATTCTTGGCGTTGAGAACTGTCGACAGATCGTTAATAAGGCGCGCATCCAAACAATGAGGGCCCTCTACAATGGGAGTCGCTGGTATTGTACTAGGACTGTAACGTATACACTTGCAGACTGGCTAGCCCAAACTCGGCAGCTCAGTTAATGTTCGACTTAAAGCCTGTTTTTTTTTTAATTATCGTCGCGAGCTGTACTGAGTAGACGGCCTCGGAGGTCTGTGCCCATCCAATTGCAAGGCCAAGATCATGTCGGTCTCGGCAGCAAAGCAACAGTCTATACCTTCAATATGGCAATGCGCAATTGCTAGTGCGCTCTTCAAAGCTTTGCTCTTCCCGGCTTAGTAAGTCGCTCATACCCTGTCCCCACAGATCATGGTTAACGCGACGCAGTAGGAGTACGGACTTTGAGGTTCATCGCAATTGGTTGGCTCTAACCCACAGTCTCCCTTTGTCGCAATGGTACTATGAACAAACCTCCGAATGGACGTTGGACTATCCTCCATTCTTCGCATACTTTGAATATGCTTTGGCGAAAGTCGCACGATACTTCGACGTCAACATGCTGAAAGTGAATAACTTGGACTATGCCAGCGACGCGACAGTAGCGTTTCAAAGGCTGTCTGCTGTCTTCACTGAGTTGTTCTTAGCCTACGCACTCCACGAATTTGTACAGAGGTCGGACGTCAAGTCAAGGCGGCTATCGCTCATCTCGGCGCTTTCGATTTTCCTCAGTCCAGCATTCTTAATCATCGACCATATTCACTTTCAATACAACGGGTTCCTCTTTGGCATCTTTGTTTTGTCACTGACCCTGGCGAGGGACCCGCACACCCGTCTCCATTCCGGAATCCTGTTCGCCGTTCTCCTTTGCTTCAAACATATCTTCCTCTACATCGCTCCAGCTTATTTTGTGTTCCTGCTGAGAGCATATTGTCTGAAAGAAGACTTCTCAGGAATTCGCTTTGGGAACTGCGTGAAGCTTGGCACAGCTTTGGTTGCAGTTTTCGGAGCGGCATTCGGTCCATTCGCCTTGATGGGTCAAATGCCGCAAGTGTTGTCGCGCTTGTTCCCGTTCTCAAGAGGTCTTTGTCACGCATACTGGGCGCCGAATGTCTGGGCGTTGTACTCGTTCCTTGATCGCATCGCAATCATAGGTGCGTACCCATGGAGAACCCTTGAAACCTTCGTGCACAGTACTGACACCTGAGTTGGTTAGTCGCTCCCAGACTGGGTCTTTCAGTGCGAACGGAAGCCCTGAATAGCGTCACTCGAGGCTTAGTGGGCGACACGGCATTCGCAGTTCTGCCGGACATTGCGCCCAAAGCTACCTTCATCCTGACTCTGCTCTTTCAATTGGTGATTATGTCCGCTCTTGAAGGTGAATAATAATGCTAACCGATGATAGACCGCTCTCGCTAAGCTATTCTTGGCTCCCACTTGGAAGGTCTTCGTTGCTGTCACTACACTCTGCGGATATGCATCCTTCCTCCTCGGCTGGCACGTTCATGAGAAAGCGATCCTTCTCGTGATCATACCTTTCAGGTGAGATCATTCGCGAAATAATCCACCATGTCAAGCTAAGGAAAGTACAGTCTCGTTATCCTGCAAGACCGCCGGCTCGTACGCATTTTCCGGCCGCTGGCTGCAGCTGGTTATGTTTCGTTATTTCCACTCTTGTTCACAGCAGCAGGTATGCGAGCTTTTCGTATGTACAGCCTTTGGAAGGCTAAACATTTGGCTACAGAAACTCCTATCAAATATGCGTACACCTTGCTGTGGATCTGGATATTCTTCACGGCCTTCAGTCGAGCCTCAGTGTATGTGAACACCGTATTTTACGATCATGGTTTATGGCTAACATCTTTGAAGGCGTTCATCCACCCGAACATACTTCCTGGACCGTATAAGTGACTTATACATCGCTGGTTTACTTCCATTGTTGATCTACACAGCTGTTATTCATAACAGTGGACTATTTGGCTTAAACCAGTACGAGTTCTTGCCGCTCGTGTTCACAAGTGTGTATTGCGCTTTGGGAGTTGTTGGCAGCTGGATCGGACTGAACGTTGTGGTTTGGTCTTGGTAGACAATCAAATAAGATGGTTTTCGCCTATAGGCTCACTGCTCTTTATCCTATATTCTCCCTAGGATGGGTACTATTTGCTAGCTATGGTCTATCGTTCCTTGAGTATGGATCGAAGCGTCTTGAGCTACTTCCAGATCCGCTCTGCGCCCTCAAAGCGTCCTGCTGAGACGGCAAAGGTGCACCTCGAACTCCAGGCAATCCGAATCCTGGGATCTGAGCAGGGGGCTGGCCTTGCATTCCATTTCCATTCGGCATGATAGATGAAAGAGACGCAGCAAAACCGGGAGGAAGGAACCCGGGCGGAGGAGGTGGTGGCAACGGTAATCCTGCAGCGGATGGCGGTAATGGAATAGAACCAAGACCGGGAACAATATTCGCAGGCATAGGTGCTCCAGGCTGTGATATCCGCGACTGACTTTGCTGCTGAGGCAAAGGCATAGCCTGATCAACCAATCCATCTTGTTCATCATCCTCTTCTTGGCGATTATTCTTTGCGCGCCCATAACCATTGGCCTCGGCCGCTTCTTCGCCAACATGATAGCGATCTTGAAATCCACTTTCGTCGCCCGGTCTTGGTCGAGCCCAAAATCTTGTTGCTCTGTCATTGGAGCCGGAACAAAGGATATGGCCTTGCGGATGATACTGGAGCGACCAAACTGAAGATTCGTGCGCAAACGGGATCGATGCTGTAGGATTAGCAATGGTGCCTGCCGTGGTTGCCGGAAGATCAGGCTTTGTAGCCGAGACAACTTTACCGGAGGGCGTTTCGTCGAGGAGATAGTGATTGATAGCACCGTCTGAACCACCAGTCGAAATCAGTGAAGCATGTACAGGATGCCATGTTAGCGAAGTCACATCCTTTTCGTGGCCGCGAAGAATGCGGAGGTCTTTCATTGCTCGCAGATCAAAGATGCGACATGTCTGATCTCTGGAGCACGTTGCGATGAGGTCACCTCGGGTAGGCTGAAATTTGGCTTGAGCGACAGTATTCTTGTGTCCGTGAAGTGTAGTCAGACATTTAGCTGTTCGGGGATCCCATAGCTTTACCAGGTTATCTTTGGATCCAGAAACGAGAAGACCCTTTGTTGAGTGCCAATCAACACACTTCACATCCCAACCATGACCAGTCAGAACACGTTCTTCGATACCCTCATTAAAGTTCCAGATCTTCAATGTACCATCGTCCGATGCAGTGACAAATTTGTTATCAGTAGGCGCAAAAGATAAGTCCCGGATAGCTTCTCGATGGCCTTGAATCACCTTGAGATTGTTCATGTTTGGTTGCCAATACTTCAAAGTCCCGTCATGATCTCCAGACAGAAGCCAGTCTCCGTTATGTGACCATTCAGCGACGCGAATTGCCGCGTCATGAGCCTGCATGATGGTCTCAAAGTTGAAAGCCATTCCATTCCACAGAGTAAACTCTCCACTGCTGGACCCTGTCAGCAACCGCCGCCCCTCAGGTGTCCATTTTACGACATTGATTGGGTGCTTGATCTTGTTTGAGGAAGTGTGAATGTACTTGGTTGGCAAAGCGTCTGCAGGATTGTCGCCGTAAGCTGATGGGGGTAAAAGCTACAATCCATGTCAGAAGGTGCCTGCTATAGCAAAGAGGGACCTTACATCGATGATAAAGTTCTCTTGGGGTCTCAAAAGTATACTGTCTGTGCGAGACCGTCTAATACACTTCTCAAACCACCATTTTGCTACAGGTGATCCATAGTCCACGGTTCTTCTAGCCATCGGCTTCCTCGGCGGCCTATCCAGCTGCGGATCGTCATCATGGCGACGAAACCCGCCTGTTGTGTTCATGCTGTCGTATTATACAGATCGGTCTTTTCTTCTTGGATTTGCAAATTGGAGTCGTGCAGTTGTCCTTCAGGTTTGCGAGCGGCATCGATTGCCCTTGCAGTCCCCACATGATGTCAACTGCCCAGCCGGTAAGAGAAAACTCGGACTCAATTCATCTCTGAGCATCGATTCTGCTCCAGCTGTCATCGATCCGCCTCATGATGACTTCAGATGATGCTTCTTCTGAAGTTCCTTCGCCTCCGCAACGGGAGGAATCAAGTGTCGTGGAATCCATTGGTGACTCCGAATCACCCCAATCCCCACCCGAATCGACTTTCACCCACACCTTGCCTATCCACACTCATGTAACAAGCTCGATCCTTACCAAAGAAACAAACGAGCCTGTATCATTGGGCGGTCTGAAGAACCTAGGCATGCTTGTGCTTTTGGCAAACAATCTACGCCTGATCCTTGGTGAGTATCTACCTGTCGTCTCCGGAGTCGTTGACTGAACTTGATCCAGAGAACCACACCAAGTACGGCTTTCTGCTTGGAAACCCTTTCGCAACAGTACCAATCGGCGATGTGAAAAATACCGTGTTGGTGTGGTGCTTGATCCCATTGCATATTCTTTTCGCGGTCACCATCGAGAAATACATTGCCAAAAAGGCGATCGGTACGAAGAAGAAGCATGTGGACAACCCAACGGCTCACTTTAGGGACCACTTGTATTGTCTGGCCCATGTTATCAATGCAGGCTGGCTTCTTGCATACGTTACATATCTTGTGTACTTTCACATATATCATCCTTTACTCGGATCAGGTCAGTCCTTCACACTCCTTCAGGAGCGTCGTGTACTGACATTGGGGCAGCTTGCGAGGTGCATGCTCGTATGTAATGCCTTCGCCTCACGTCGTTCTCGCCTAACCATTGCCGAGTAGTCATTGTCTCGATGAAGTTGATGTCGTACTATTTCACCAATCGCGATCTTCGTAAAGCGTTTGTGAAAGACGATCCAGGTACACCCCAATGTTGAGTGGCCACCGTTTAATTCGTCACTAATGAACTACCAGTACCCAAGGATTATGTGCTTCAGTACCCGCAAAACATCAGTGTACGAAACATCATGTACTTCTGGTGGGCTCCTACACTGGTCTACCAACCTTCATACCCGCGTTCCAACGTCCCTTTCCGCAAGCTTTTTTTCTTGAAGAGATGTGGTGAGATTTCTGCTTTATTCTTTGCTCTATGGTTTGTTTCCGCGCAGTATGCCAATCCCATCCTCATCAACTCGCTCAGCGCCATGCACGACTTGAGGTAACGTTGTCTCACACTTCTGATGTTCGGGCCTGGGCTGACAGATCCGCAGGGTCAGCGTCATCGTTGAGAGAATACTGAAGCTATCCACGGTCTCAATCGTCATCTGGCTGGCCGCGTTCTTCTGTATCTTTCAATCGATACTCAATGCTCTCGCCGAAGTAATAGGCTTCGGAGATCGGTTAGTGCTTCCACTCAGTCGCTTTGCAGTCAGCTAATTCTCCGGTCAGTTCATTCTACATGGACTGGTGGAACGCAGGCTCCCTGGGTACCTACTGGAGATTAGTGAGTACACGCAGCACACGCGGTTATCCCCAGTCCTCTGAACGTTATCCTAGTGGAACCGACCGGTGTACAACTACATGAAACGACACGTTTATTTGCCTCTCCGAACACGAGGATTCTCCGCTACGCAAGCGTCAACAATCGTTTTCCTCATCAGCGCCTTCCTTCACGGTAAGTCCTTCCGAGTAATCCACACGTTGCTGTCGGTGTCACTGACATTGCACCCGATCAGAGCTCCTGGTTGGCATCCCAACACATAATCTTAGTTTCATTGCCTTTTCCGGGATGATGTTTCAAGTGCCACTCATCATGCTGACTGCACCACTGGAAAAAATGCGGGGGCCTGGAACGGTAAGACTTCCCTTGAGCTTCACGTTCATAATCTCATGCCTCATAGGTTATCGGCAACTGCATCTTCTGGGTTTCTTTCGTGATTGTTGGGCAGCCAACCGCAGTTCTGTGGTACTACTACAGGTGAAGTCGTTCTGTCGCACGGCTATACTCGTCAACTAACGCCTGATAGATGGCACGCCATGCATGGTACCGTAGGCCAATCGCACTGAAGACCGAAGCCGTTTCGCTCTCACTTAACCTACAACGCATGTTTCGGTTGTTCCCACTACCGGGCATCGGCCCTTTGTACTTCGGTTTTGACATATACCCCATATTTTCTAATGAGATACTTGCCCGTCTGCGAACCTATGTCCTCAAGTCCCAGCCGCACAGCTGCTGTAGAGGAGTCCGACCGAATAATATGACAACTAGCGCCGTGCGCAATGCAGGGGGATTCCGTATTAGGAGGCCCCAGAGCAGATTCTCGCGCTCTTACTTGCCGTTACCGGCCGTAGCTATAGGACCCTCAAAGCGTTGTTTCCCCAGATGTATTCATTGATAACACGGAAATACTAGACAGACTCGTGGCGATTGCCTAGTTGCTGTCTTCTGAGCTCAGTAGCTGGCGCTGGCCGCCGCCGTACAGCCGTGGGAATATTCGCTTGAACTCCACTCCATATTTCATTGGAGGGCATATCAACCAGCAGCACCATGAGGAACTTCATAGTTAGTCGACAGCGTACTGCTGTGTGCAAAATTCTTGACGTAACTTTCCCATGTGCGCGCGAATCGCAAACTCCATATGACAGAAACCCTTAAAACAGCATAGATAAAGGCCTCGGAGATCGAGTAAGGGTTGAAACTGATCATACCTATCCTTAGCAATCACGTCGTGCCACCCGTTTTGGGCCACAAGGCCTCCCTCAGTCGCTTCATGCTGAAAAGGTGGTTTCAGGTTTAAGAAAGAAACGGACCCTGGAAGCCACTAAGGATGCAGCTCCGGGTTCCATGAGAGAGAGGGAGCTTGGATGAACAAGCTCTACGTGTGGTTTCTTTGATTCTAACAGTTTTTGAGGTTTGTGGGTCCAGAGAGTGTTTTCGTTGCTTTCATGCATGTTCATGCAACATCATGCACCTTTGCCGAAACCTTTCTTAATGTCACAACTCTATTAGAGACGGTGCTACACGCGTTTCGAGGACATCTATCGATTCCTAAGAGTCTGATCTATCAATGTCTCCCCTGAAATCGCCCTTCCAAGCCTTGTCTACGAAGATGGGGGGGTTCATGAAACTATCCCTGCGCAGATAGGCGGTAAAATGCGCCGCGTCAAGAATTTTGCACACAGCAGTAATCAGACGGCCAGGGGGTATGTTAGACGCGAAACAAGGAAGTCCCCGGAGGGCGGCAGAGCAAGTTGAGTGATTAATCGATGTCTTTCTCAATTCAGCCACATAAGTTTTTTTAAGACCCGGCGATCGCATAACTCCCTCCAATCAAAGCAACCCCCATGAAGAAAAACACAGACGTCGACATGCTCGACTGATCATTCCTGATGGCCTGAGGTAACATGCTGTGAATAGCAATTACGGACATGAAGCCTGCCGTGGAACTGCGTGTACAATTAGTATTGTAAGTTCTGTGGAGAGCATTTGGAAAACTTACCTAAAGAGAACACCGTACACAACATCTTGAGCTGGTGACGGTTCGTAGCTACTCGTCCAAAGATAACCAATAAGCGCTCCAAGAGGTTGGCTACATGCTCCGAGTAAGATCGCTGCACCAAAAGCCTTGAGACGACTGTTAAGCGCGATATATAACGGGAAAGCTATGGTGAAGCCTTCGGCCAAGTTGTGTATCGCCAGTGCCAGGAACACTGCAAAGCCGAGCTTCCTGTCCGCATGACTCGTAACGAATGTCACAATGCCTTCCGGGAGCTTGTGTAGGGATATCGCAATAGCTGTTTGAATACCAATCGCCATCATCGCCTTATGTGGCTCCGGAACGTGGTGATGGTGCTCATGGCCGTGACTTTCCTCATGATGATGACTATGCTCGGCATCACTATGAACCATGTCTTCCAAATCACTAGAATACTGCCGTCTCCGAGTTTTGGGATGTAGAGCTTTTCTGTCAGGTGACGATGCTTGTCTACGACAGTCACATGTGCCGTTGTGGAGCCGTGTAAAACAGGGATTGCTGTATCCTGCGCAGAGACTTGGTCGTATTGGATCGCTTTCTTCTGCGCATCGCATGCTTCCTATAGACCTTGTCGAAGCGCGATTCAAGAGCGGCCTGCGCTCAGAGTCATGATGATGGTTGTGGTTGTGTGCGAAATAGTCGTCTTGTGAATGATTGTGGTGATGACTGGGGAGAGGTGCCAATGTATCACCGGTCTCGCTCAACGCTCCCCCAGCGCTGTCCTCATGAACGTCATGATCCCCGCAATGAATGATCGAATGAGGAGTCAGCGCATGTACGATGGCATTCAGTACCATGCATACAAACACCCCGGCGATGAACGATCCTTGCAGCATCCACCCTGCCGCTTTCTTGCTCATCCCACTCTCGAGCCATCCCTTCGCTTCCGGCATCATCTTGAAGAACGCCGAATAGAGCAGAACACCTGATCCTAATGATAGACTGCCCACCAGAAACTTCTTATCGGTCTTGATGTCGAAATCATGCCGACCTGGAAGGCGACGAATCAGGATGTCGCTGAAGATGACGGAGGCTCCAACGATACATGCGACGCCGGAAGCACAGGCCAGTATCCAACCCTGGAGATCCTCGTCTGACAAGGGCATGGTGGTGAGATACGTAACCTGAGCAACAACCAGCAGGTGACGCCGGGAGTCGGAGCAGACAACCCACGCGTCCAGCACGGCAGGCAAGCACGACGCGCGCTGCAACTTTAACCTTATCGCGAGACCGCCCATACAAATCCCGGCAACGACAACGACAACACCACCATGGCCTTGGGGTACGGCCTCAATATCACGAAGAAGGCGAAGCCACCACAAGCGACTCGAAGACCGCCAGCTGTATTTGGTGACGACAATGACATCGAGGAGGATCCATCATCAGCTCCTCCGGCCCATGGAGGGAATGCTGCTCGGAAGACTGTGAACGCCCAGCTCAACAGCTATGCAAATTTGTCTGCAAAGCAAGTGGAGAAACAGGCCGAAGAAGTGGCAGAAGTAGATCCATCAGTGTACGATTATGATGCCGTCTACGATGACATGAAGCGCGGTGAGCGTCGCAAGAAGGAAGAATCACAGGGAGAGCAGCAGGAGCGAAAGGTTTGTTTCCCATATGGCCCACTGGACTATCGCTGATTAACCTTTCCCAGCCTCGCTACATGCAGAATCTGTTAGCAATGAAGCAAGTCCGTGACAGGGATCGCCTACGAGCCGAGGAGAAGCTGATCCAACGCGAAAGAGAGAAGGAGGGTGAAGAGTTTGCGGATAAAGAAAAGTTCGTTACGAGCGCCTATAAGAAGCAACAAGAAGAGCTTCGCCGGCTGGAGGAGGAAGAACGTGAGAAAGAAGGAGAACTGCAGAACAAGTCACAAGGTATCTCGAGCTTTTACAGGAACATTCTTGATCGAGAAGAGGAAAGGTTCGATGCTGTGCAAACCAGCGTCAGCTCTGGGAAGGAAGACCAAGGAAGAAATGATACGGATCACCCAGATAAAAAACAGGAAAAGAGCGACCTCCAACGCGCTTCCGAAGTGCAGGACAGAACCGGTCGTAATGTCATTGTTAACGATGAGGGTGAGGTTGTCGATAAACGACAACTGCTGTTGGGAGGTCTCAACATTGTGAAGAAGGCAACGTCATCCAGTGTACGGGTGCCTGCTAAGGCAGACGACCAGCATGCTCCGAGACGAGACTACGCAGACCGGCCTCGATCAGACGATACGCGGGAAGCTAGAGCAAGGCAGGCAAGACAACTGGAGGCACAATTACGGGAATCACGGAAGCGGAAAGAGGATGAGCAGCGATCAAAACAGGAGGAACTCCTCATGAAATCGAAAAAAGCCAAAACGGAGAGCGATGTGATGAGTGCGAGGGAACGTTATCTAGCGAGAAAGCGAGGCGAGCTCTGACAAAATACACTCTTTTGTCCGTTACTGTATCCAACCGTCTAGATCTTCTGCTCCAACATCTCTTGTGAGCCCCACTTCTCAACCGAATTCCTTATCCTCTCAATAACTTCATCCCTAGTAAAACCAATACGATATTGCTCATCCGCCAACGGGCCAATCTCGCCTCGTCCATCGATCCAATGTCTTGCGCCTGATTCCTCAGAGGTTCCGCCTGTAACCCTAGTGACAAACTTGCCCATCTCCATGAAACTCCGCCTAGCCGAAGGATGTCCTCGTAAGAGCTGGAACACATGCGGCATGGCCTCGTAAAGCTGCACATTCACATCCACGCCAGACTGCGCAGCCTGCTGCGCAAAGAAGAGGCCCTCGTCCCTCAAGCGTTCACCCTCACCGATAATCACAAGCATGGGTGGAGCACCTTCCCAACTCTTCGCTGTGACAGGACTGACAAGTGGATGGATGACGGCTTCATTCGGGGCATAGAAGTGATACTGGGAACCATCCGCAGCCCAAGCTTTGCTAGCCTTGTGGCGATGCTTCGCGCCGAGTTCAGGGAGATAATCAGTTACTGCATTCGTTATTGAAGACTCGAAGGAATGCGACAAGTCAACCCAAGGCGATAGCGTGATAACGCCAGCAGGGCGAGGCAAGCCGCTTTGCAAGATGGTGAGGAGAACACCGGCAGTGAGGCCACCACCCGCCGAGTCGCCTGCGATGACAATCTTCTCCGGGGGCACTGGCTTGTGAAGGGCGCCTGCCGGAGGATCGATGAGCCACATATATGCGAGCAAGGCGTCGGTGATTTGTGAAGGGAACGACGCTTGCGGAGCCAGTCGATACTTCAGAGAAAAACATTTTCCTTTGAATTGACGAGCAAGTGCGGACACCAGGTCGCGGTGTGTCACAGGCGAGCAAAGATAGTAGGCTCCTCCGTGAAGGTAGAGAACAACAGCATCGGATTCCAACTCAGACTCCATCGCGGCAAACTTCTTCTCAGCCGACCAGTCCGAGGTGTCTGCGGTCATTGTCCTATATGCGGTCCATTCACCATCCACGGCAGCGACTTCTGCAGCATCAATCTTATCGAGACCTTCACCGAGCGCTGTACAAGCCTTGTTGACGGCATCCTTGACCTGGTCGGTGTGTCCTGAGAGAGGAACCGGCTGGTTAATAATCCACTGGTTTGGATGTAGAATGTTGCTTTCACGCGTAGTAATCTTCTGCACCTGCTCGACAGTATACTCGGAGCCGAGTTGCATGAAGTACTTGATGGACTTGATGGTCATATGAGACCTAAAGTCCCAAGCATTTGGTTGGTTGCCCCATGTGAAGTGGGAGAAAGCTTCGTAAGTGAGAAGGGGAACGGTAGGGAGAATGAGCCCCAAAGTCTGTTTGTACTTGTTGTAGGATTTCGTAAAACGCTCCATCGCAAATAAATGCCGTTACTGTTCGCGTTTCAGTGAATGTATGCTGTTCTTGACTGCGAGCTGTATGCCCGGTACATGTGTTTTCCCTTTTCCAGCTTAGGGAGCTCGAGATCGCCAAGTGTTGATGTCACCGTAGTGCTGCGTACGGCAGGCGGAGGGTCGAACCGTACATACACGAGCGCGTACACCAAACAGCTATTGGAAAGGCTTGATGGAAGAAAAGGAGATGTTGAGAGGCAAAAACTTCGTTCAAAACCCTCTAGCGTAACGCTGCGTTTTACGGAATTGGTCTGCCCAGCCACCAAGCTGCTGGGTACAGTTACTATTTGCTCTTTTCTCCTCGGCTTCGTGCATCCATTCCTGCATCTGCTGAATTCTGTTCTTCGGTGTCGGATGAGTGCTTAAAAACTGTGGAACCCCGACTGCTTCGGCAGCCTCCATTCGTTGCCATAGAGGAATGGCTTCTTGAGGGTTGAAGCACGCCTGCGCTGTTAGTAGTAAACCAATGTGATCCGCTATATAGTCAAGTTGAGTATTGGTCAGGAAGACTGATGTGTACGTCTCACCTTCTGATTCACATTTTCGTGAGTTGGGTAAATCCATCAGAAATTGGAAGAAGGAGTTGGTGAGTGGACCTATGTCAAGACCAGCGAAGAACACCGCAAACCGAAGGGCGCTGATGATCACTCCGAGAGATAGCTTCTCGGCCGTATGACGAGCAATCTAACAGACTGTCAGTCAATGTAGACATGAAATCAAACCTTTTGTAGTCGCACCTGATGTGCCGTTTCATGTCCCAAAACCACAGCCAAACCGTCCTCGTTCTTCGCAATAGGAAGGATGCCGGTAAAGACGAAGACCTTTCCTCCCGGTGAAACGAATGCGTTCTTTTCAGGGGATTCAATGACATGCACCTCCCAATTGAGGTCTGTCATGCCTGACACCGCGATGATCCTCTTCATAACTCTCATCACGAGCTTCGTTCTCGGATCGCTCGCAGGAAGCATACTGTTCCCGTATTCTTGCATAACAGCTTGGTACGCTTGTTTCGCAATGTCTGCTTCGGCTTCAGGGCTAATCGCCATGAACCGTCGTCTACCCGTCATCTCCACCTTCTCAAGATGCGTGACGTAGAACAATCCGCCAGCACCAGCTGCGAAACCCCATAAATACTTCCGGCCTGATGTGCTTCTGCCATTGGGACCCTGACCGAATCGTTTGTACTCTTGCCGGGAGCTGGGATCACTGGGTATCTGGAGCGGAAAGCGCTGCCGAGGCGATGGAGTGGTGCAAAACCAACGCGACGATGAGAGCGAAGGGCGGAAAGCACTTAGCCTGGCTGTTGACGAAGGGAAACGGAACATTGATCGAGGATAGGAATATTCAAGTCTCTAGAGCTGACGACGTCACTCGTCGTATCATTGGTGCTGGTGCATCGTGCTGCAGGGTCTGCTTCCGGCTGCCTCCGGCCAAAAATCAAGTCCCCAAAGCGCGATCTAAGCATCTCAACAACATCAGAGCATCGCGACCATCTTCGTTCCACCGCTGCTGTCTGTTGTCAACTCGATCAAAATGCTTTCCGTATTCTCCAAGGCAGTTGCCGGCCGCTCGGTCACTCCTCTCAGGGTATGCGCAGCTAGAATCTCCTCACTGCCCGCGTCGTATACATGCTAATCCCGCTTCACACAGGCCGTTGCTCAGCGTACCGTCACCACCGACGCCAAGGCCTCCCACGTCGACCCTGCCACTGTTCCGGAGAAGGATGATGAGCCCTTCACCGTCAAGCTCAACGAGGATGCTTTCGAGACCTACATGCTCGACGCCCCTCCGTCACTTGAATTCCAGGTCACCAAGGCCGAGTTGAAGAAGATGTATCACGACATGGTCACTATTCGTCGGTTGGAGATGGCCTCCGATGCTCTCTACAAGGCCAAGAAGATCAGAGGTTTCTGTCACTTGTCCACTGGACAGGAGGCCGTTGCTGTCGGTATGGAGCACGCGATCACCCCTGACGACCAGGTTATTACTTCCTACCGTTGTCACGGTTTCACTTACATGCGTGGTGGTTCGGTCAAGTCTATTATAGCTGAGTTGTTGGGTAGGAAGGATGGTATTTCATACGGAAAGGGTGGTTCTATGCACATGTTCGCCAAGGGTTTCTTCGGAGGAAACGGTATCGTCGGTGCTCAGGTCTCCGTCGGAGCTGGTCTCGGTTTCGCTATGAAGTACTGGGGCAGGAAGAACTGCTCTTTCGCCTTGTACGGCGACGGTGCTGCCAACCAGGGTCAGGTTTTCGAGGCCTACAACATGGCCAAGCTCTGGGACCTCCCTGTTATCTTCGGTTGTGAGAACAACAAGTACGGTATGGGTACCTCTGCTGCCCGTTCCTCTGCCCTTACCGAGTACTACAAGCGTGGTCAGTACATTCCTGGTCTCAAGGTCAACGGTATGGATGTCCTCGCTGTTCGTCAGGCTTGTGCTTGGGCGAAGGAGTACACCACTAGCGGTAAGGGTCCCCTCGTGATCGAGTACGCTACCTACCGTTACGGTGGTCACTCCATGTCCGACCCCGGAACCACCTACCGTTCCCGCGAGGAGATTCAGCACATGCGTTCGAGCAAGGACACCATCCAGGGCTTGAAGATGCGTTTGCTTGACTGGGGAGTGTGCACTGAGGATGAGATCAAGGCTCTTGACAAGGATGCCAGGGCTAGGGTCGACAAGGAGGTTGCCGAGGCTGAGGCTTCTCCCGAGCCTGAGGCTACCGCCGAGAACTTGTTCAACGACATCTACGTTCCCGGATCTAACCCCAAGACTTTGCGTGGACGATGGACCGACGAGACCTACACCTACCCCAACGAGCAGCGTGCCAAGGAGCTCAGGGATTAAGTGTGGAGGTGTGGAGTGGAGAGGAGTGTTGGAAGGAGTTATGTTAGAACGTGTTGATCTCAAAGGCCAGCGGCCTAGTTACCCATACTTGACATGTTGAGGAAATAAAATCATATTGGTATCTCTACCGTGCACAGCATTATGCCCATGATCCTAGCAATAGCAATAGCAATTGCAACCTTGGTTGTCGGCCTGCGCTGGTTTCGTGCCTGGCATGTGTATTGCGGTTGCATCGCGGCACCTCGAAGTCGCGTCGAAGCAACAAGCATTCATTCGACACACCAAGAACAGCAGTCATGAGTCTTAAACTTCCCAAGGCCGCTGGTCCTCAGCTTTTCAAGGTTTGTTGTGTCTGTATGCTGTGTTAAATTGAGGTGCTGACCGTCGCTACAGGACGGATATAAGATTGCCCAGGGCACGGATGACGCTGTCGTCAGAAATATTCAGGCCGTTCACGAACTTGCTGGCATCGTTCGCACTTCTTTCGGCAATGGACGTAATAAGATTATCATCAACCATATCGGAAAGTTGTTTATCACTAACGATGCCGCTACTATCATTCGCGAGTTGGACGTCGTCCACCCTGCAGCACGATTGGTTGTCATGTCGAGTCAGCAGCAGGAGTCTGAGATGGGTGACGCTACGAATCTCGTTCTGATTTTCGCCGGAGAACTTTTGAACAAGGCAGAGTCTTTGATCCGCATGGGTCTTCATCCTTCTGAGATCACGCAGGGTTACGAGATGGCTTACGACTTTGCTCTGAAGGTGCTTGAGGGTACGTCAAACATTGACCTTTGCATGAGCGATTCAATCTAACAATGACGGCAGAACTCGTTGTTTACAAGGTTGCCGACCTTTCTTCGAAGGATGAGTTGATCAAGGCCATCAAAACCGCAATTTCCTCAAAACAGTACGGTAACGAGGACTTCCTCGCCGATTTGGTCGCCGATGCTGCGCTTACCGTTATGCCCAAGAACCCTGTCAACTTTAACGTCGATAACGTGCGTGTTGTGAAGATCATGGGTGGCAGTTTGTACGATAGCAAAGTTGTTCGCGGTATGGTCTTCGCAAGAACACCTGAAGGCGATGTTACCAAGGCGTCAAAAGCTAAGGTTGCTGTCTTCACCTGTCCTCTGGATATCTCTCAGACTGAGACCAAGGGAACGGTCTTGCTTCACAATGCCAAGGAAATGCTTGATTTCACAAAGGGAGAGGAGAACCAGCTTGAGGCTATGGTAAAGGAGATCGCTGACTCCGGTGTTCGTGTTGTCGTTACTGGATCAAGCATTGGTGAGCTTACCATGCACTACCTGAACCGATTCGGTATCCTTGTGGTCAAGATTCTCAGCAAGTTCGACCTCCGTCGTCTTTGCCGTGTTGTGGGGGCTACTCCTCTCGCGCGTTTGGGTGCTCCCATGCCGGATGAGATGGGAAGTGTCGATGTTGTGGAGACCGTTGAAATTGGTGGTGACCGTGTTACGGTTTTCAGACAGGAGAATGACATCACCAAGACTGCGACCGTTGTCCTTAGAGGAGCAACGCAGAACTATCTTGACGACGTGGAGCGTGCTATCGATGACGGTGTTAATGTTGTCAAAGCTGTGGCTAAGGACCCTCGCTTGGTACCTGGTGCTGGTGCGACAGAGATGGAGCTTTTGAAGAGAGTTATGGCATACGGAGAGAAGACTCCAGGACTGAATCAACATGCGATCAAGAAGTTTGCCGAGGCGCTCGAAGTTATCCCTCGGACGTTGGCAGAGAACGCTGGTATGGACGCTACGGAGGTTCTGTCAAGACTGTATGCAGCGCATCACAAGAACGATGAAGGTGTAGTGGGTGTCGACGTGGAAGATGAGAGAGACGGCACGGTCGACGCCAAGGCGGCCGGTATTCTTGATGTTCTGTCGATGAAGCATTGGGCTTTGAAGCTCGCCACAGATGCTACTCTTACCGTATTGAGGATTGACCAAATCATCATGTCGAAGGCAGCAGGAGGACCTAAGCCACCGGGCCAGAACCCCAACTGGGATGAGGATTGATGAAAGAAGTTGGTATTAGAAATCTAAAACGGAGGGAAATCTGTATATGCTGAGGGGGGATTGCCTAATCTAAATAGAACGAGTGGTAGGCTCGGATCCTGGGGCTGCACAGCAGCCCGACTCAAAAATTATCTCCATCATTCACATGCTGATCGTGCTTGCAATGCGCTTCAGGGAATCTTTTGTTGAGAAACTCATATCACATTCTCATAAATTCTTTTAATGATCTGACCGGAGGTACTACAGATCACGTCAGCTCTGAACAATCTTGAAACGAGACGATGAACTTACATAGTCAATCGCTGCAGAAAACGCCGCAAAACCCGCACAACCAAACGCCGCTGCCTTAGGACCGGCCTTGACAGCCAAAGCACCACCGGTAAAACAACCCGCCGCGATACCATTGTAGATATCATTCTTCGCCCGCAGCTAAGTCACAATTAGCAAGAGCTCAGTTGATCAGACGCTGCAACTTACACTTTCTATACAACATTCTGATCCCGCAAAGATAGCTCCAACAACTGCAAAATTCTTCGCAGACGTATATGACCGCTGCCCCATGTCTTTCATACCAAACTTCATCTGTTCCTTGAAGCTCTTTTCGTAGATCGCGTGATTTGTAGACTGAATGTCCATACTCGACATGAACAATCCGAACACACCTCCTAGAGCAAATCCAGCACCTCCACTCATGACCAACTTGAAGGGACAAGACTCTGTAGCCGAGTTCATCAACTTAACGTAATAAGCCTGCTGTGCCGCCTGTTGCTGTTCCGGAGTGAGATCCGCCATATTTGGCGCTGGCCCAGCTCCTAGCACGCCAGCCAATGCTCCTTGAGACCCTGGGAAGTTCATGTTACTTGGCAAGCAAGACTCGTCGTTATTTGGATATCTCTATACTTTTCCGCACGTACAACATTTGAAGTACGGGGCAGCTGGGGAGCTATGCACTTTGCCACAGCTGGGCCACCGGGTACGCACTACCGCAGCTGGCGGTAACGTAGACGTGCTGGAGCCTATTTACGCGTATTATACCTGGATACCCCAGCTCAACACCAAACGTTATGTCCGAATCAGAAGAGGCTCGATACCGTCAGAAGTGCAAGGACTTACGGAAGCGAATCAGGGAAATTGAGGAGAGCAATGACGCCATGACGCTGAAGCTTGCTCGTACGAAGCGGAGTATACAACGGCTGCGACTAGAGCGTGCATTCTTGTTGGAGCGGTTAGAGGAGCGAACACCGGCAAGACCATCGGCAGATGAAGTGCTGTCACCACTGGTATGTGGATAGCAACGATTTGATCTACGGTTTGCTGATCTTGGATCTTGTAGACGACGGCGCGACCGATTGCTTCCGCGAGAAGGTCACCATCACCCAACAAAGCAGCAAACGGAGCATCTTTTGCAACACCTACACCTAACGAAGCCAAACCAAAGAAACGTACGACCAAGGTATCGCGGAAGTCGATATCTGGTATGGAAGCATCACCAGCAATTGTCGCATCGAATACGCTCGATGCACCCGTTGCCGTCGTTCATAGCGCACTATCGGACGAGAATGTTCCGGTGGCAGCTGATACTCCTAGTGTAATCTCGGCTATGGACGTCAAGGAAGAGTTGTAAATTGGGGAACGCTCCCAGCAGCGTCAGCTGAAGATTTGAGCAGAAAGAACGCGGTCGCACACAGACGTATGCGATGGCAAATCATCAACGGGATTCAATCCAGATTCTAGCATAAAACAACAATGCAATGACAACCTTCCTTACTCCATAACCACAAAACCAGAATCCTTAACGCCCTGCAGCTTCACTTAGTCAATACCTAACACCTCAGTCCCATTTCTGATCATTGAGAGCCTTAACCTGATATTCCGTGTAGTCCATAGACGGATCATTCAGATAAGCCTCAAATGAAATCAGTTCCATGGTAGTCCTTTGGTTTCTACTCGCTAGCACCACGGCCTTCTCTTCCTCGAAAGCAACGCGCCATACCGCATCAGCTGGACTGCACAGCTCGCGGATCAAGGCGCCTGTTTGAAGATCCCAAACCTACAGCGAATTAGCTCATGTCGGAGTGCGAACGAGGAATGGCATACCTTTACGCGCCCGTCACTGCCTGCCGACACGATTCTCATGGAATCAAACTGCAAACTGGTAACACTATTGTCATGCGCAGCCAATCGGTGAACGCAGCTGTGCGTTTCCAGATCCCACACCCGTACACTGCCATCGGAACCACCCGTCACCAACGTTGGATACCGGATTTGCAGTTGACCGACAAGCGATGTGTGACCTTGAAGAACTGACAAGCACATGCCAGATTGAGGATCCCAAATGCGAATGGTGGTGTCGAGAGAGCCCGTTGCGATATGTTCGCCATCGAAAGCTATGGCATAAATCTGGCTAACATGACCCTGCAGGGTTTTCAAGCACTGCCCAGTCGAGATACTCCATATCTATGATATTCTGTCAGCACGTTTCCACAGATGCCTGGCGGTAGTATATACCCTAGCGGTGGTGTCATAACTCCCACTAACACAGAGATCACCCCAGACCTCGACACATCGAACAGAAGCTCCGTGTCCTATAAGTACGCGACGACATTCGCCGCGTTCGATATCCCAAATTCTCAACGTCGTATCTCTTGACCCTGAAATCGCCGTCTTGGAATCACTCATCTTGAGGCACCGGACAGTTGACGAGTGTCCCTGTAGAGTATGACGGCACATGCCAGTCCTCAAATCCCATACTCTTACGTCGCGGTCACACCCTCCAGAGACCAAAGTATCACCATACGGCACCAAGGCCCACACGCCTGCATCATGACCAATCAGTGTTCGTAGAAACTTGCCGTTCTGGTCAAACACGTGAATCTTCGAGTTGTCGAGGCCGACTACAATATATGTGGACGTAAGATGCAGGGCAGTCACTACACCGTTGTCCTGGGTGATATGCTTTGCCAAAATCTTTCCTCCGGACCGCCATGCTTGTTCCACGATGTACCGCTGCTTGAAATGACTTTTGTAAGAGGTTGGCTTGGGTGGCCTTGTTGAGGAGGACGATGACAGGCCCGACCCATGTTTGGGCCCAGAGCTTGTAGGTAAAAGGGAGCTTGAGGGTGGCAATTTTGTCGCTGCCGTTTCATCTTCCGTAGCAGATATAGAGCTAAGCCTCCGATAACGGTGTTTTTCTGTCATGATGTTAGCATAAGCTTTACTATTAGCGTTTTCGAAAACACTTACGGCACAACAGCTTCCACGTCAAATCATCGTTCAAAAGGCTATGCCAATGCCGGGATACTTGTGATGCCCGTGCAAGCGTCGGTGCGTCGTCGATATACGAGAGAATCTGCATTCACGTCCGATCAGTACCAAATCCCCTGATGCCACGTATAACATACCCTAAGACCCAACTCAGTGGGCAGCTCTTTCAGAAAGTCGCGTTTCAGCCGAGGCGCAACGAAAGCATTCACCGATACTAGCTCTTGCGTGGTGCACATGCTCAGCAAGTCGATCAACAACTCCCCGCGGTCTTTCGCCGGCATAGTGCTAAACTTCTCACGGATTTCATCAAAAGCACCATCACTGTCAGCATCAGTACACAGTGTCTTCCATGACCGAGCCAGCTCGTTAGTATGTGGCTGAGGTGACGGTGCTGGAGTTGGAACTTCGATCAAGCTGGATGAAGCAGCTAGAGGGAAGGGAGGTGCACTCGACGTCGGCGAGAACGGAACTGGAAGCTGCACGCCCGCCGAATCCGCAGACAGATGCGGAGGCGTATAAGTACCAGGCTGATGATCCATGACGAGTGAATGCTGAAAGATCAGCCCCTGAATCCCTGACAAGGTCGGTGAAACGGCCAAGCTAGTGAAACACGTCTCTCAGTCACACAAGGCAAGCCCCAGGACAAACAGGCTCGAACGACACAAAAGCCCGAAGGTGCTTATTCGGGGATGAATGCTGCGTTAATGAATGCGGCGCTTTTGCTGCTCTTCAGCTGTTTGTCGTGGTCGTACGTAATGAAATGCGAGACGGCAGCTCTCCCCGCTACGGCACCTCAGCTAAAGCAGGTTATCTGCACAAGTGCGCCCAGCCAGTCGATATCGAGCTTGCACACAGCTGGTTGTTCTAAGAATGTCAGGAAGAAGCACAGGAGGGTACAACTAAGTGGGATGATCCGGAATGAAAAACTCAATTGCAATGCTGTCATGTTCCATAGCATCTACTGCGAAAACCCCAATGTCAATATAACGCCTTTTTCCTTGCAATTGAGCCTCATACTTATCCAGCAGCGAAAATATCGATAATAACTGTCGTCATGTCAGCTTCTTTTTCTGCGATTTGACAGCAGGGCACAACGTACTGTTAATGACTGCAATCACAATCTCTGCGGCAATCAGGATAATGACGATCCACTCCAGCCATTCACCGTGCGAGTGAGTTAACTATGAGAAGGTTAACGTTCAGAACGACAACAGACGACAAGTCCTCCTCATACCTGTTCCTTGAGCATGGACAATAGATCAGAGATAACTTCCACACGCTGATTAAGCAACGAAACTCTCTGGTTGATTTCCAAATATGAACGTGCCGCTTGGTAAATCGGCTCGAGTTGAGGTTCGGCCCAGAACAATTCTGGGCTATCCAACACCGAACCCTGCAGATTGATATCTAGAATGGCCGGTGAGCTGCGATACGGACCACGTAGGTATGGAGCACGTACTAATACGTAGAATGAAAAGTTCTCCCACGCTCTTCATGATGTCCTTTCTCGACATAGCCACTTTACCACTTTCTGCGATATCCTGTGGGATATCTTTCGTGACTTCAATCGTATTGTCGACCAATTCTTCGAATAACGAGATCTTGACTGACTGTGCGATCGCATGTGAGATCGATAACTTGACCATGTAGTTCCGGCCATCCTTTAGCGTGATGAAGTCATTGTAAATACGTGATTGATAGCCAGCGACGTAGTAGTTACTGAATGCAACTGTCAGCTATATGCGTGTACGCAATTCGGAAATACGTACAACTCCTCGATCTCCACATCGTCAGCAGCTATATCGTCAGTCAGCATGTGAAAACAACCGCTTCCGACAGATACGCACCAAGCTTCTCAATCTCAAACTTTCCGATGTCCTTCAGAAACCTTCTTTCCTCTTGTTCAGTCATTCCCCAGATAACCGTCACACCATAATCAAACAAGAAAACCTCGCTGTATATTGGCAAAGAAGGGTGGTTGTAGCCTTCTTGTGCTTCTGAGAACTCTGATAGACCTAACAGGTCACCAGTGCGTGGCTGGGAGGAGTCTCTGCCTGTGTAAGAATACGTGCTGTACACGCTGCATACATCCACTGTCAGCAACTAATTTGGTGTAAGGTGGATCAGGCTGCATACCATTCATCAAACTTCTTGGGCAGCGTATGACAAGTGTCTTTTCTGCTTTGCAAAAACTTGACCAGATCGTCCATTCTGTATCCACTTGCTGTACAGTATGCTGTCACTCGAGGCAGCTTAGCACGCTCGGCCTTCCCTAGTCGCTCCGCATCACGTCGAGCCGTGGTATCGGTGATCTGCGTGAGTTGCGAGTAAACGTCGCGACCAGACTCTGTTTCACGAGCATCCCGGACATTCTCTTCCGGCAGGAGTGTGAGCTTTTGGGTAGTTTTGGTGGTACGCTGTCACGGTGGTTAGCAAGGCATGGCTTCATGGATCCTCAGCGGCGGCAGAGCATACCTGCGGGCCAGCCTTGAATGCAGCGGCGGGGGCGGATCCCAGCGACGAGGGCAGCAGCTGGAGGTTGTTTGGCTGGTTGGGCTTCCTCTTCCCTACGATGGCAGACATCGCGACGTTGCAGGCAATCTGGTGTATCGATGGTACCTGAATGTGCTCGACGTGCAAGCGAGCCCTGGCGGTTGCTGCCGGTGCCTGGTGCGATAGCGAAAAAGGCAGCAGTACAGAAGAGAAGAGGGCGACTGACCGAGGACGACGCTCGCGACCATTCACCCAGAATGAAGTACGTTATTGTTTCCGGAGGTATGTCGTCGACCTCGGATCAGACAATCTTCTTACTTACCCGTTTCCAGGTGTGATTAGTGGGATCGGAAAGGGTGTCATCGGTACGGCCTCGAAGCATACATTCGCCATGGTGGACGCGTTGCTGACTGTTGCTTAAGCCTCTTCGACCGGTTTGTTGCTCAAGACTCTCGGCTTGAAGGTCACTGCCATCAAGATCGACCCGTACCTCAACATTGATGCGGGAACCATGTCCCCTTTGGAGCACGGTGCGTGTTTTTCTGCTCGCGTGTATAAAAGCGCAGAACTGACGGCATATATCCAGGTGAGGTCTTCGTCCTCAACGATGGTGGTGAGGCCGATTTGGACTTGGGTAACTACGAGCGTTACTTGAACGTCACCCTGACACGTGACAACAACATTACCACCGGAAAGGTCTACTCTCAAGTCATCGAGAGGGAGCGCAAGGGTGACTACCTCGGCAAGACTGTTCAGGTCGTTCCTCACTTGACCAACGCTGTGCAGGACTGGATCGAGCGTGTTGCGCGTGTTCCGGTTGACGAGACCGGAGAGGAGCCCGATGTCTGTATCATCGAGCTTGGTGGTACCGTTGGTGACATTGAGTCCGCTCCTTTCGTCGAGGCGCTCCGTCAATTCCAGTTCCGCGTCGGTCACGACAACTTCGCCCTCATTCACGTGTCTCTCGTTCCTGTCATTGGTGGTGAGCAGAAGACGAAGCCTACTCAGGCTGCCATCCGTGACTTGCGTGGTTTGGGTTTGACTCCTGACCTTATCGCTTGTCGATGCCCCAAGCCTCTCGAGGATGGTGCACGGGAAAAGATCGCTATGTTCTGCCACGTCGGTACCGACCAGGTCGTCGCTGTTCACGATGTCGCCTCCCTCTACCACGTTCCCCTCGTCCTCGAGCAGCAAAGATTGATCAAATATTTCACTCAGAGACTGAAGCTCAACGACATCAAGATTACAGAGAAGCAGATTGCCAAGGGCAAGAGTCTTTGGGGACGTTGGAAGCAGTTAACTACAGGCCACGACCGTCTGTTCGAGACCGTTACTATCGCCCTCGTCGGAAAGTACATCGACCTCCACGATTCATACACTTCAGTCGTCAAGTCTTTGGAGCACGCCGCGTTGAGATGTAACAGGAAGTTGGAGATTTTGTGGGTGGATGCATCGGATTTGGAGCCAGCAAGGAGCACGTCCTCTCCTGTTCAATATCACAAGGCCTGGCACGCAGTCTGTCAAGCGGATGGTATCATGGTTCCCGGAGGATTCGGTACTCGCGGAACTGAGGGTATGATCGCGGCCGCAAAGTGGGCTCGTGAGAACCAGATTCCTTATCTCGGCGTCTGTTTGGGTATGCAGATGGCTGTTGTTGAGTTCGCACGAAACGTCTGCGGTCTGTCAGACGCCAACTCTTCCGAATTGGACGAGAACACCACCAACCCCCTCGTTATCTACATGCCTGAAATCTCCAAGACGCACCTCGGTGGAACTATGCGTCTCGGTCTTCGTCCCACGAACTTCCAGCCAGGAACCGAATGGTCAAAGATCCGCCAACTGTACGGCAATGCCGACTCTGTGCACGAGCGTCATCGTCACCGTTACGAAGTCAACCCAGACTACGTGGAGCGCGTGGAGGCCGCTGGTTTGTCGTTTGTAGGTAAGGATGAGTTGAACGAGCGTATGGAGATTGTGGAGATCAAGGACCACCCATACTACGTGGGTTGCCAGTACCACCCCGAGTGGCTCTCACGACCATTGGAGCCTAGTCCGCCTTACTTGGGTCTCGTCGCGGCTGCTTCGAAGTGTTTGCCGGAGATCCTTGGTCATGCTCCGGCTGTCAACGGCAACGAATAGACTATAAATATATGTAGGTTTTCAGGATATTGCACTCATTTAGCGTTTTCCTTTTTCTTCTTACTTAAGGCCTACGATAGGTTGGCAAACCGCAATACACACATCACTTAATAATTCAAGACTTCCCTCTGCATTTGGCGGTTAGGTATCTTCGTTACATCCATGCACGTGAATGGTGCCTGATTCACGCCGAAAAAGTCTGGAGACCGTACGAAACGACACTCCACCAGACGAAAGACTCGAGCATTTATCGCGGAGCAACACTTCCAAGAATGAAACCCAGCAGTGACAAGTCCGTATCTTTTGCGCCCGTGAAGCAATCAGTGAAGCGCAGCAGCACAGCTGACGAGGATGTGGCGACCCCAGCTCGTGCGAAACGACCAAGAAACGTTGCAGAGCCCGAAACTCCGGCCGATAGCGATGACGAGTTCGCTGATGCACGAGCAACGCCGTTTGCTTCCCGTACACCTGCAATGACAAGAACTCCTGCTTCGCGATTGAGGAAATCTACTTTGCCTGCGGTTAACGATACGCCTGTCCTCAAGAACAGCGGTCATGTCAAGTTTGGTGACGACGATGTGATTGGAGGCTCAGATGAGGATTTCGCCACCGCCGACGAAGCTGACTTGCCAGTAAAGCAAGTCGCCAGTGAGCAGGATGAGGAATCCGAGGAGGAGAGTGATAGCGGCGACGAAGCTCCCGAAGCTGTTTCGATGTCTACGGGTCGAACGGAGGCAATTGAAAAGGAGCGTGAGGCACAAGAAGCAGCCAAGCTGTATGTATGCGGATCAAGTTATTTGAAAATTGGGCTAATGTTGTACACATAGGCTTGAACAGCGGAATAAGGATAAACGCAGACAACGTGACCTTAAGGCAAAGGAGCAGAAGGAGGCAGCCAAGCAACGCAAGCTTGCTGCCCTTATCGCTGCTGCTTCCAAGGCTGAGGAAGAAGCTGAGGAGGAAGAAGACGAGGAAGAAGGTGCTGCTTTGCCAGATCTCTTGCCCGACGACGTCCTGGAGGCTGCGGCGGCAGCACCAGCTCGCATACACAAGCGCCTGGCAGATTTTGACGACGATTTCGAGGGCGAGTTTGACGCTCCTTCGGGTTCGAAATCGACATCCCAGAAGCAAAGAAAGAAGAAGTTCAAGAGTGGTGCGATCGCAGTGAAAGTGTTGGAGAAGCAGAACAAGGGCTTGCCGCCCGTAAAAGCAAAGAAGTTATCAAACATGAGGGATCAGCTGTTGCAGAGGAATGGTGAGAGGAAGGCATACAGAAAGGGATTCAAATTATAGGCGCTGTCGGACCGTTTACTCGGAGACTTTATTCGACCTGCAGCCGTTCTGCTATGCGTTTAGATGAAGGCAGTTGCAGGGCTCAATGATAACCGGTCATGGTCGATTTGACGATTATGCTGATTTCTACCATAATCTTCGTAGTGATTCATAAACATATCCGTACATCTCCTTCATCCACGTACGTGATTTATCAGCCATGCACGTACATGCGCGGGACCCCACGGTACAGTCATCGATTACGAGGAAACCATTCCTCCGCATTCCACCGGCCTCCTCGGCGACTTAACCAGCAAGCAATCCTCCGCCAGGGTACCTAAAACACCTGCATTATGACGAACTCCTTTCAAACAGAATATGCCGTGACCATGAAGGTAGCGATAGCCGTAGATCGGCTGCGTTTGATTTCGGAGCCTTCTTGCTAATACCGCCGTTGCAGTGCCAGGCATGCGCCGACTCCATCTCAGAGGCTCTCAAGAAGGTCCCGGGTGTCGAGAGATTTGATATCAACTTGAACGACAAGTCAGTCTTTGTTGAAGGAACAGCTCCACCATCACAGATCTCAAGAGCAATGCGCGACACCGGGAAGGATGTTATTCTGAGAGGAACCGGTTCTGCTGAGGGTGTGTTACTTCCAAAATGTCGCATTACGATCATCTGCTTATCGGTATGACAGGAGCGGCTGTGTGTATTCTCGATATGTGTGCGCAAGAACATGGGCGACAAGACATCCGCGGACTTGTCCGTCTCGTGCAAGTGAATCTCCAAACCTGTTTCATCGAGACCTCCGTAACGGCCTTTGAGCCAGGAATTTACCAGGTTGCTGTCCGACAGTCCGGTAACCTTTCGGAAGGCGTTGCATCTACGGGTAAGGTGCTTCACGCGATCGGCGAGATCAACATTGGTCCAAAGGGTTGGGGCGAGTTGGTGACTGAGAGTGAGCAGATCAAGGTTCAAGATATCATTGGGAGGAGTATTACGGTCGGGGACAAGGTCGCAGGGGTCATTGCGAGGTCCGCTGGAGTATGGGAGAATCAGAAGGTTGTGTGTGCTTGCAGTGGCAGGACTATCTGGCAGGAGCATGCAGATGCGATACGACAGGCGGGATCTGTACTGTAGAAATACCCAATGATACAGCGATATCGGTATACTGTGTTTCACACTCTCGCGATTGTGTGGTAAGGACGATGCTATATGCCGAGAATTCCTACGGTGTACATCTATCTACCTGCACGCGCACGGCCGCGGGTCCAAATACTTACTGCTGTGTGCAAAATTCTTGACGCGCATCATTTTACCGCATATTCGTGCAGGACACGACGAATCCACCAAACACGCCGCCAAACCTTGAAAATGCCTCCAAGGAAGCTGAAAGGAGCTGCTAAGGCTTCGTATAAGCGCAGGGCATCGTCTCGTACCCCCAAACCGCCCTCCCGTCTCCTCGAAGATGCAGCCTCACCACCACCTACAAATACAGTCCGGAGGGAAAAACGGCCTAAGACAGTCATCGAACTCGAAGACGAAGACGCACCGGTTGATACTATCAGCAGATTCGACGACTTCCAGGTCTTCGTTCTCGTCACTAGGCAAAAGAACCACAGGTATCCTCAAGCACACTGGACGGTCAATCCAGTCAAGTCTTGGGCCGACCAAGAGCAGCTTTTGATCGATGTCGCCCTCGAGGAGCTCCGTCATGATCATATGGTTGTCGAAGGCGTCAACAAATACTCCCTGAAGCCCAATATCAGCTGGAAAGTCTGCCGTGGAAGGAGCCGGGATGCACCATGGTGCAGACTACGAACGGAGGACAACTGGGAAGGCTTCATTGATGCCGTCCACACTGAGCGCAACACACCCAAGGTCAAATGGTCAGCTTTTATCCTAATCGAAACACACTACGACCCTACAAGGGCTGCTTCTCAATTCGAGTTCGACCAGCAAACCCCGTTGCACCCCTCTCAGACTCAGTCCAGGGCCCGAAAGCCTCTCATCCCTCGACCTAGGCACAGTGCTACCAACACTGCTCTCCAGGGCATTTCGAATGAACTTGTGAATGATCCTCAACGCTACAAAAGGATCCTTGCTGTTCAGACCCTACAGGCTAAGCACAAATGCGCCAAGCACCACCAGCAGTACTGCTATGTTCATCCTTTTTCTGGCTATCATCGATACATATCCAATGATCTCCTCAATCTATGGTCTAAGTACTTGGTCGCGAAAGAACATGGGGTTACCGTTGAGGATCCACCCATCCATGATCCCCTTTTCGCTGAGTTGCTCAAACCATACAAGTCGACAGATCAGTCGGAAACACCTGAAAGCAGGCACTCTTCGTCCGGTATGCCTCAACTACCTACACCAGTGACTGCGCCTCGATTCGATCTACTGCCGCTACCTCCCTCAAGTCAGCCTACTCCGACCCCTACCCCAACAACCATTGACACGCAAATGCTCAGGGGCTCGAGCCCTCTTCAAGGGCCGGCTGCTGATGATTTGGACGGGTTTCTAGCCTATGTCAAGACCAAAGTTCCGGAATACATCGACTTTGATTGCCAGACGGTTCGAGATGCAATTATCGACAATGGAGTAGTGCTAGACGATCTCAAGAACATCGATCCGAATGGCCTACCGCCTGTGAAGCATGGATGGGTGAGGATTATGCGCAAATGGTGGCCGGTTTGGAAAGGTATCCAGCGGGAGCAGCAATCGAAGCCTAGGGGTCCCCTAGGCCTCAAGGAGACACCCTCCGAGGTCTACGAAAGCCAGGAGTTTGACGAAAGCTTTGATTTATAGTTATCTCTGTCGTACTGTACTGCTTTTCAATCCACAATGCTTGATTCTTTTGCAAACCTGTACTCGAGCACGAAACGACGTTGTCAAGAATTATGCACGCTAAGGCAGGGCATGCTGTTTTGTCAAGGTTTGTGCACGCTAACGCAGGTATTGAGCGTGCATAATCCTTGACAAAACATCATGCCCTGCCTTAGCGTGCATAATTCTTGTCTCAGAGGAACGTAATCTAGTGAGCTACACTCGCATGCTACGTAGGTGGGGCAGTTCCCGGCCATTTTGTTAGGGAAAGGACCCGTGAGAACGGCAAGTACGTGAATAATGAACGAAATGTTCCTTTGATTCATGAAAATACTGAGAAGAACTAATGAATGATAGCTACACCCGCTCAGCCGCTCGAGCGGCCATTTCACGGTTGTTATCAACATATTGGCGCAAATCCATGCCGGTCAGCGCATAACCACAGCCCGTGTACAAACTGCAGATCTTTTCGAGATCTGTATTGATATAGTCGATCGCTTTGCGAATAAATGAGGCAGGGTCGAGACGGGCGTCAGGGTCGTTGTTATTGCGCTTCATCCAGGCCTTCATCATGCTGAAACAGAGCTCAATGGGGTTGAGGTCGGGTGAGTATGGCGGTAAGAACACAATGCGGCAGCCATGTTGGTTCACTAAGAGTTCAGCAACCCTTGGATCATGATGAATTCGACAGTTATCAAGCACAATGACACTGTTTGGACCAGGGAATGGCCCAACGATTGGTAGCAGGTCCTCTTCGATGAATTCGACGAATCGGTCAGCATTGAAGGACCCCTGAAAGATCCGCAGCGCCTTCAAACCTTCAATAGTCAATGCCGGCAGCACACTCCAACGTGTCGAATGTCCAAAGACCCTCTCCTGGATTGCGCGGACGCCTGTTGGTGAGTATCCAAATTTTCGTGAACCCGTGCGCTCATCCACGGCTGATTCGTCGAGAAATACGAGCTGCTCTTGAGTATAGTCAGCCATTTCAATGGCATGGTTTGCGCGTAAGATAGGGTTGCGCTGGGCTGCCCGTAAGGTCAAAACCTTACGGGTATATCCAATCTTTTGCAGGTAGCGGGTGACATGGTAGCGTGATAGAGATGTAGCGAATTGATCATTGAGGAACTCAGCACAGTCGTCCTGATACAGGGTAGGGTTTTTGTCGTACAAGTACTTGATTTGCTGCGGTCATTTAGTCATGCCCTTGGTGGTACCCATGAGCAGTAATCGTCCACTTACCGAGCCCAGAAACTCGTCAACAGCCGATTTGCGCCCGCAGGTTGAGTTGCCCTTACGCTCAGTAAGACCTGTCTCCTCGAATCTCTTCACAATTCGGTAAACCGTGCGAGGAGACCTCTCAATGTTGGTCGCTATTTCGTAGACATCCTTCCCAGAAGCATATTGGTTGATTAACTTGTCGTGGTCGACATCGGCACATATCTTCCCAAGCATTTCGACCCTTACTGAGTTTCCTAGACCCTTTTTCGAGCTGTTTGGAGGTGTTTTATGTTACCGTTACAGGGGTCTCGCGCATGTACGAAAATGCGCGTCAAGAATTTTGCACACAGCAGTAAAGTTGCGATGCGCCGAAGTCCAACTAGAGCATGCGTACAGCGTAGGCTCGGCTACCGCTCTACACGCTGAACTGATGCGTAAAGAACCTTAATCCAAAGCTCCCAGTCAATGAGCACTGGCTATGCGGAATGCTCACAAATCCATTACCCAAGCTCACGTGACTTGGCCCTTTCAGTGCACATGCAGAGAGCGTCGTCGTGCTGAAAGGAATGTCCTTCACCAAGTCCGGACATTTTTAGGGGGACGGGGAAAGCCTGAGGCAAAGGGCGGTGATAAAGCGAATAACAAGGATCTATTTGAGTCGTTCTTCACGACTCTTTTGAATGATGATGCTCGGGATACCTTTTCGGATCTCAACAAACCTCGTACACCAGTTCGCGAAGAGGCACGTCCACCTGCTGACAAAAAGTCACGAAGCCGTGATCCATATGCACCAAAGGACGACGAAAGGCACAGTTCTGTGAGGCCAGATGAAAGACAAATTACTCCATATCGAACAAACCCATGGCAAACAGCGCTGAAGGCGGGACCGGTGAGACCGGGTGCTTTCGATCGTTTGGCAAGCCGCCTCTTACCCGAGCGCTCCGGATATGATGAGGAGGAGATGCTTCGGAGGACACAGGAGTCGAAGAGCTTTGCGGGAAGGTTGCGAGACTTGTCAAATGAAAGGCCTCGGAGAACTCAGGAGTCGAGGAGTTTTGTGGGAAGGTGGACGGAGCCGTCAAAGGGGACGCGGATGGAGAAAGTCGCTGAGGAGATGCCTTGGAGGACACAAGAGGAGCCGAGGAGGTTTGCGAAAAGGTTGAGAGAGCCGTCAACGGGGATGCAGGTTGAGAAGGTCGCTGAGAACATGCCTCGACAGAGATATTCTGTGCCCCGAATCGTACCTCAGTATACTCATATTCGGCGGGAGACACGTCCGGATGATCGCGCTGCCGTTAGGAAGGTCGGTCATGGCTCTAATCCGCTTGTATCTCTGCTTATGCTAACCCTTTGTAAGTAGATCTTCCATCGATGCAAGCAGCTCGCGAGGCTTGGGGACTTGAGGGGTTTACAGACTCTTGTAGTAGACACTGTCGACGCCTACGGTATGGCAGCAATCGTTGCTGACATGATTCGTTATATCGTTACCGAGGTCAGCCGTGCGAGGGGCGGCCGTCTGGCTATTGAGGCATTCGAAAAGCTTTCGCCAAAGATCGTCGGAACAGCATTAGAAAGCGAAATCCCATCGGTCTATATTGCCTTGATGCGTTGCGCCGCACGAGACAATACCATCATACCGCAGGATATCTTGAGTGGTCAGTCCTCCCATCTTTACAGATGATAAGATGCTGACGTGCGCTCATAATAGTATCGACCCTGTTTCCCAATGTCTCTTCTGTAATTCTAGAGGAGCATCGCTTACGCGCATTCAATCGGCGGGGATGGCTTAGAGAAGCATATGAAGACTTCCTGAGTATCTTGGAACAAGGATACGCACCGCATATAAGCGTAGCCTGTCAGCTCCTGCAAGCCAGTCACGAAGAAGATCTGCGTCATGATCTGAACAGCGGCACACACTTGGCGCGACTATACCTTCAAATCAGAAGCACCTACCTGTATCCGGGGTTTGAGAGCTTTGAGAGGCATGAAAGGCGGCTTATTCGTGTATTGCTGGCCGCCTCTCGTACAGAATCCCATCTGGACGTAATATGGACGACGCTCCTGTCGCCTTCAGCAGTGAAACCGTTGACTCCGAAGCGTGCGATTCGCTTGTTCCAGTTGGATCTGATAAAAGCTGCTTGTCGTGTGGCAGCTATTTCGACGGCCACCGAGAATGGCAAGATAACACGGTACTTTCAATCTATGGCTACTATCATGGGCATGTTACTTAAGATACAGCGGTCTATCGACAATGATCTCTCGCGAGAAACTGTTATGGAGGCACTCTTTGGCAACCTCCGGATTGGAAATACCACAGCTGCGAGCGATTGTCTCCGTACCCTACGAGAACGCCAGTGGTCATTAAAGAATGTGGAGAAGTCGAGGTTCTTGGCGATGCTACCAGTTCTTGACGGTGTGGATGGCGTGCTACAGAGGACTGCTATCGTCGGCCGCACGGAGCCCTGGTTGAAGCGGGAACACAGAAAATTCATTGACCAACTTAATTTTGCGCCTGTTACAGCAAAGGAATTTGGGGAATACGCACTGTTCTTGGGAAGGTGTGGGTCCTCAGCAGAAATCTGGGACTTGTGGAAACTGGCGGCCGAACGCGGATTGAATTTTAAGCGCGGCGTTGTCTTTGCATTCGTGAAGGCCTTCTTAACAGGCAAAGATTTGGAAAGCGCTTGGACGATTGCCAGGACCGCGCATAGCCTGAGCAAGCATATGTTTTGGCATCTTTGCCAAGGCTTCACCAGTATCGACCATCTGAAGTTTATCATGCCCGATATACTGTCCACTGCTGTACGACTCGGCATCCCTCTCTCCGCAGATGATGTGGGTAGGGGTCTAAATCTGGCCACGCGAAATATCCGGACAACAGGGGACACGAGTCTGACGCCTTTCCTGGACTCCAAAGAACTCTCGAAGATGGGTCTAACCACCGCAGACGGTTGTGTAACCGAGACAGGAAAGCGTAGAGTCTTTCTGGCCATTCGGAGGGCTTACGGCACTGAGATCGCCAATTTCATCGAAAGCGTGACAGCAAAAGCTGATGTCCAGCTAGCATTGGAAAGACTTGATAGATTATGGAGCTAGGTAACCATTGCTCTGCTGTCGTAATTCTCTACGTCAAACAATATCCCAGCAGGTCAATGGCCATGCCCTCCCAGCATCGCTAGGAGGAATGGCAAAGACATCCCACAACAGAAAATCAATGTATCCCGCAGAGAGCCCTCACGGTTTCGTGAAGTATCTGCGTGACCTTCCTTGCCCTCCTCGACATGATGAGTAGGGTCCTGCATAACATGCATCGCTACGTAGAGAAAGGTCCCTCCGCTGAAAATGAGCAAGAATCCAGTCCAAAACTTCATACGCTCTGTCTCAATGTAGCCACCCCCGCCAAGGATATATACGGCGAGCCATGTCATAACAGCACCTACTGGTGCTGCAATAGAAAACATGAAAATCCGCTGTCGGATTTGCCGTTTTGAATAGCCCGAGCTAAGCAGGACAGAGCTGAGTGCGAACGCGGCGGGTGCCTTGTGTACTATATGGTAAGAAGCATTCATTAGTCTACGTCTCGTGATACGTCATCTTGGTTACTTACACATGATGGCAAAGAACACGATTGCCTCGAGAGCTGCGTTGGATGTCGCCGACGATGCGCCCAATGCAATACCATCTGCCGTAGCATGTATGAGCAGGCCAATCATTGTAGACGCACTGCGGCCAGTAGGGCTCTGCGCTCCCTCGTCCTCCTGGTCCGGTCCATTTGTCGTGGGAAGTGCCCGCAAATTCAAGGTATCAACCGCGACATGATATTTGCTCTTCCGGGAGAAGCTCGCCGAGATGTCCTTCGGTAGGCGGTCAACGAGGTACATGAGCATGAAGCCGCAGATCAATGCAATGCCAATGAAGGCATGCGGCGATGATCCGTGATCTTGCTCATCTTCATGCGGCGATGTCTCAGCGTTTGCATCAACTTTTTGCGACGCTGGTGCAGAAAGCTCATTTTCGCTCGGAATGACTTCCGTTTCGCTTCTTGCAATGAGAGCTTGCGACAGGTCTGCGGATGGATCAGTCGACCACAGCGTTGGCTCCAGTCTCTGCGGCAGAGACCATCGTCGAGTATGACCTTTTTCGGTTACCTCTGCGACATGATCTGCTCCAGAAGTGTATAGAGTCTCGATTCCTTCCGGTATAATGATCCCTAGGGAGGAACCAACGAGAACTACTCATCTGTCAGTCACTGTTCACGAGCGCCGCGAAAGACAAACCTCCAGCTCCCAGGGTATGTATAATTTGCGCATTCTCATCTGTTAATGTGAAGAAAAGAGGTAGATTGCCGACGGCTAGGGATCTGTGCACAAACGCCCATTAGAGGGCCGGGTCATACACAATATTGGCGAAGAACGTACGCAACAGTCATGACAACCTAAGATACTGATCAGTGATGGAAACTGAAGGAGAGTGTTGATGACTTACGCATAGTGCAAGCAACGATAGCAGAGCCATCCCGAGTCATTCGTAAACAAAGTCGTATGGGCGTTAATGGGCGTTACTGTGCGTCCGTACGGCCTCCTCACGTGACTGCAATTGTACGGGGAGACGCGCGCCGGCGGAAACTCAATTAAGCACGCGTCGACCAGAACGGCAATTGGAGAAGAAAGCACCTGAACGTCTGCTATACTCACAACCGACCCGTTATGGCCGCTGTTGCAATCGACAATGATGCCTGGGCAACCAGCAGTAATGATATCGATTTCGCTCTAGGTATAGCCCATATTGCTCTCCGTCGAAGACATCACTGATCATGCTGTGCAGTCAGAGCGGAAGATGCATCCAACGTGGCTACTGTCTCCACCTTCCACCCTACATTCACATACCCCGTATTCGGCGATGCTGAGACTATTTATGGATACAAGGGTTTGCGTGTTGATGTACGTTACTGTGTTTCCGTTCGTACCGCACCTCCTCTAATCATATCTTGCGACAGGTTCGTTTCGCAAGCACCGACTTGAAACCATACCTCAAGATTCAATACATAGCGCAAATTGATGCCTCGTTGGGTGTTGAGGTCGATGACATCGAAGAAAAACTCTACGAAGTGATGCCTGAGGGCGATCAGTTCTTCCACGACGAGGAAGACTTCGCTAAGCACGTAGCCGAATCCGCCAAATCGTTCCGTCCTGCCGGTCAACTTCTCGCTACCTACCAAACACAAGGTAAGGAATACCAGATATACTATGCAACGTCGGAGGATGAGACTTTTAGATCTCACCTCGCAAGGATGGAGATGTTCGTGCCGTACTATATCGAAGGCGGCATCATCGTTGATCTGGACGACATCCGATGGAAAGCATACGTCCTCTACGAGCGTTCCACGGAAGGCACCTTCCACTTTGTCGGGTTCTGTACGTGCTATCCATACTACTTCTACGACAATTCAATCGCAGACAACATCCGTATGCGAATCTCTCAATTCCTTGTCCTTCCTCCCTTCCAGAAACGCGGACATGGCGCACATCTTTACGACACCGTCCGCGATCACCTCCTCAATGATCCCCTCGTTCGCGAAGTCACCGTCGAGGATCCCTCTGAAGCTTTCGATGAGTTGAGAGATAGCAGAGATATGGCGCGGTTTGACAGGTTGAAGGTATTCGAGGGTCCGGAATGGAAGGCGCCGGTGGATAGGAAGTTGATCGAAGAAACGAGAGAGGCGCACAAACTTGCACCAAGGCAGTTTCTGAGGTGCATGGAAATGAGCCTCTACAGGAAACTGAACCAGAAGGACAAAGCTGCTGTGAAGGCTTTCCGCTTACAAGTGAAGGCGAGGATCTTCAGACAGAACAAGGATACCCTATCACAGATCGACCGCATGGATAGGCTGGACAAACTCGAGCAGACTTATGCTAACGTAGTCGAGGACTACCAGCGCTTCCTCAAAGCCTCCCGAACGCACGTGCTGGAAGAGGACTCAGGAGCACCCAGCGCCAAGAAAGCAAGGGTATGAATGGAAACACGAGGTACATTACGGATTACATTTTAGCAGTACTAGCAGTGATACCATCGAAACCCAAGTCCCAGCCCAAGTCCCGATTCTCCGCATTAACAAAAACCCTGTTCCTCTCCCCATCTTCTCACATCACCAGCTGAGTCAAAAAGCGCGGCACCGCCGTTCAACTTCTTCTTCCTCGGATTGATTGCCTTCCATGCAGCTTCCAGGCTATCATACGCCTTCTTCTCATCCTCCATATCCAGGTTCTCATTCAACAGGCTCGAATCCGATCTTCGCGTTCGTGATGGTCGTGTAGATGGACGGGTAAGACCTTTATGGTACAGCAATTTGTCGGCGATGTAGTGCAACCAGTGCACGTTTGTCTTGCTGTGGAATTCTGACCATGTTGGTGCGTCGGGGTCTTCTGATCTAGAGAGAACCGTCGCGCGCATGAAGCGGTAGATGTCGTATTGATATTCACCCTTGGCAGTGAAGACCTCTTCGTCTGTCATAGCGTTGTATGCAATAGCACCAATGCTATCATCACACTTCGCCCTCGAAAGGGTATAGTCGATGAGCGTAACCTTTGTCCTGGGTATTGTAACCTTGGCTGGTACAGCATCGTCAACGGTCAACTTCTCCAAAAGCTCCGCAACACCTTCATCTTCGTCCTGCAGCAAGATATTCCCCCAATGCAGATCTCTGTGTTCAAACTCCTTCTCCTTCTCACCCCTTCCCAGAATCTCAGCACAATCCCAAAAGACACCAGCAGCCTGCTGCCACGACTTAAGGGTTGCGTGCTCGAGGTCTGTGCCTCCGTGTGTGAGAGTAATGACAGCAAACATCTGGTCATCAGCAAAGTAAGCCGGTCGCTCGTTCTCTGTGCCGTGTGATTCGGCCCAGGCATCCCATTGCTCGAGAAAACGGGCGGGGTATATGCCCTGGCATACACTGACGCCGCGGAAGGGAACGAAACCTGGGAGAGAGGACATAACAGACGACAGACGAACTTCCTGGATGATGTCGCCGATTGTGCACTGTCCTTCGTCATCCTTGCCAAATGGAATGACCTTCAATACTGTCTTGTCGGTGGTCGCAGAGCCTGACGCTAGGAAGACCTCGGAGAAAGAGGCTTCGCCAAGTTTCGTAAGCACGTTGGAAGCGCAAAGCTCGTCAAGGTAGGTCTCGAATGGCGTGATACATGTAGACGCAGTAAATGTCAATAGGGTATCAAGGGTAATAGGTAATGGTTCCGCGGGTGCCGGTTCTGGTGTCAAAGGGAGCGTGGGAGAAGCGTCGCCAATTGCAGCCGAGACAGGCGCTGGTGGGGTCAAGGTGAGGGAAGCCAGATCGAGATTCAAAGCGTCAATCAGTCCAGCTGTCGGCGGAGGCTGTTCGATCTCCTGCTCAATCTTCATTGGCTTATTGTCGGGTGCTTCATGGCACGTGATGATGATGTTTGTCTTGGTTGAGGGCTGCAGGATCAGCCTTTCTGGCACTCTTCTCCTAGACTTCTTGGGTGAAATGGCGTTATCGTTTTCCTTATCCTCCAAGATCTTCACCCGCGACGATAGGGGCCTGCCGTCTAATGCCGCCAGCGGCAAAGGTTTTCGTGCTGGTGTTGATTGAATGCCTTCCAGTCTCTTCTTCACCGGACTGAGTAGTCTTTTGGCTGCATTCTCAGTGATTCCAACCTTGTCCTTCTTCTCCTTTCGCCTGCGTTCTTTCTTCTCCTTGACATTTGGCGCGTCCTCGGTTCCAGGATCGGATGCGGGAACGGTGTCGATCGTCTCATCCCAGAAGATGTCGGGTTTCGCGATGGATGTGAAGGGTTTTCGTCGGCCGTAAGTCTTGGTGGCGCGTGGTCTGGTAGCAGCTGCTGACCATTCTGATTCGTCTGAGAACATCCCTGTTGTCGGTTGTTGTTGATGGTGTAGTGTTGTATTTCTTGACGAGACCTCACTCGAGCAGACGCGCTTGTTTGTTTTGGTCATGCAGGTGATGCCTAATAGGGCTGTCGCAGAAGCCATGAACTCTGTCAGCGAAGAGGGTCTTCGCATTCAGCCGAGATTGCCGGATTGGGCAGATGTTCCACAAGCTGACCTGCAGCCTTTAATCGCTGGCTTCCCTGAGGATCTTCTCATGGCACAGCTCACGAGCAGTGCGAATGATACCAATCGTTCTGTCTCGAGGGGTGTTCCCTCTGTGTCCACCCTTCCCGATCTTTGAGAAAGGAGTGTTATGTCCGGTCCATATGATCTAGGTACGTTTTCTACGTCTAGAGCTTGGGCACTGCTTATGAAAACTTCCAGGTGTATTCTCCTATTCCTCCTGTGTCTTCAATCCCGATATAACCCCATAAGGTGAGCCTTCACATGTGCCCTATAGACGACGCTGCCCAAGTTACTGTTTCGAGTCCTGATTACGAAGTGAATGATTACAAATGAGGTGGACACCGCGATCACGCACACACACATCAACGCGCATACACACCGGTGGGCTATAGGGCGATCACGCAATTCACGCTAAATGTTCGCATCTCATGTCGGTTGTCGCGATCCTCCGAGAACCCGCCAACGCCTCGCCGCTTAGACGATGCCGTAGGGAAATACTGCCCGAGCCCTCGTACATTCCAACCGACCACCAGCTGTAGTCGATGTCTGCCTTCCATCCCGTCAGATCAGCCAGGGAACATTGGCACTCTCTCCGAGAAGGCGTGAGAGAAGATCCGACCCTACAATGGCTTTCCGCTCAGACCACAGACGCCCTGAAGGCTTTGCCTCATACTGCTCCACGATGGGCAGCTGCACGCTTGCCAATTGTTAAATGGCTTCCGCGGTATGATTACCGGTGGTTGGCTGGTGATCTGATCGCTGGGTTGACTGTCGGTCTCATGCTCGTTCCTCAATCAATCGCATACGCCAACGTTGCCACGATCCCAGTACAGTACGGTCTTTTCTCGTCATATGTTGCCGTCATTCTGTACGCTTTTATCGGTACCTCGAAGGATATCACCATTGGTCCCACGGCTGTCATCTCGCTTTTAACCGCCGAGGTCATCAAGGCCATGGCCGATTCCGGCTACTCTGCTGCAACAATCGCAATGGCTTCGGCGTTCATGGTTGGTGTCTACTCTCTCGGTCTCGGCATGCTGAAACTTGGTATCATTCTCGATTTCTTCCCTGGTGGGATTCTTACCGGTTATACCTCTGGCGCTGCTCTCACCATCGGCGTTCAACAACTTCCAAAGTTGTTTGGTGAATATCATGTCAGGTCAAACAACAAGACAGGTACGGTCTTGCACGACTTTTTTGCAGCACTTCCTGATGCGCACTGGCGCGACATCCTGTTCTCGATTGCATCAATAACTGCATTGGTTTCGTTGCAGTGGGCAGCAAAGGTTTGGGGAAAGAAGAACAAGTTGATTTGGTTTGTCGGAGTTGCGCGAAACACATTTGTCGTCATCATCTTCACTGCAATCTCATACGGCATCAACAAAAACCACAGAGACTCGCCTCGTCTCAGCATCATCAAGTCCGTCCCTTCCGGTCTTTACAGGCCTCAGACCCCCGATCTCTCTCTCCTCGGTCTAGTCGCCGGTCGCTCCATTGCGGTATTCTTTGCCGCTGTCCTCGAACACGTCGCTATCGCCAAGTCATTCGCTCGTCGAGACAAATACCAGATTGATCAGAATCAGGAACTCAACTCCATCGGTCTCGTCAACATCATCGGTGCATTCTTCGGATCCTACGCCGTGACTGGTTCCTTCTCCCGTACGGCTGTCAACAACGCTTCCGGTTCCAAGTCTCCACTGTCTGGTCTCATGTGCGCCGTCGTCGTCATTGTTTCCGTGTGCGCAGTCACCCCGGCATTCTACTACATTCCTAACTCCACCCTCGGCGCCGTCATCTTCATGGCTGTCGTTCAGCTTGTTGCCGGGCCCAAGGTTTGGTACCAGTTGTGGCGAATCTCGTTCTGGGATTTCCTCGGTTCTCAACTCGCTTTCTGGATTACCTTGTTCTACTCTGTCGAGATCGGTATTGCTGTTTCCGTTGGTTACTCCCTTGTCGTTCTTCTCTGGCGCGTCGCTCGTCCTCATTTGAGGCTCTTGGCTGAGGCCGTGGATGATGATGAGGATTGCACTATGCCGCCTATTCCTACGGGTGTCTACGTTGATGCTGACTCGCCTGTGTTCCACACAAAGTCCATTCAGCCTATTCCTGGTGTCATGATCTTCCGTCTTGAGGAGTCTTTCACCTTCCCGAACTCGAGGTACATCAAATCACAGTTGTTGAAGCAGGTCTTCGCATACACGAATGGCGTGGCGAAGGACGCGGACGACAGTAACAGGCTTTGGAGTGATGACTTGGAGGATCGGATTAAGCGTATGAGGGAGCGTGCAGGAACACTCGAGCACGGCGACCGCTTGCCGCGTCTTCGTGCTGTTATTTTCGATTTCTCGGCTGTCAACAATCTGGACTCGACTGGCTTGCAGGCTTTGTTCGATATGAGGAGCGAGTTGGCGGATTATGCTGGTGTCGAGACGTTCGAGTTGCACTTTGTCTCGGTTCATCAGAATGTGTTGCGTGTTTTGGAGTTGGCTGATATTACCGCGCCCATCGACAGACCGGAGAAGGCGCCGCCCAAGGTGCCCAGGCTGGATCTCGATTATCACAATGGAGGGAACGTCGGGTCTGCTATTGTTCGGACGATCTCGCAGGCAACGCATAACCGCACTCGTCAGACCTCGACTCCTGGCGACAACCCTATCCGCAATATGGACCCCGCTCCTTTGCAGGCCGAGGGTCTCAGCCCAATTCAGGTCGTGAATTTTCATCACACGGATAGGCGCTCGCACCACACTTCTCGCTCTGCCTCCGATAGCTCGATCCAGCGTAGGCTCGCTCATTGTGCGTTCCTGGACCCGAGTTATTCCAAGATTCTCATTCATATCAGTATTCCTTCGGCTGTCGAGGCTGTTCGTGCGCGTCTTGCGGCTATTGACGCGGCGGAAACTAAGGCGAACGCCGAGGAATCTGAGGAGGATGAGGATGATGTTCAAGCTAAGGCTATTGAAGCGGGTGAGGTGCCCGGAGAGTCTCCTCCTGGCGCGGGCCAGAAGAGCGTTGGTGGCATGTCAGATGACACCGTTGTCACTGGTGACGACGAGAGACCATGGGTTCCCACCATCGGCGAGGACGGCGTCCGCGCCTTGACCGACCCCAGTCAACAAGTCGGTGAAACGGGACCTTCGCAACCTGATGTGCGGAATCATTCGCAGCAGAACAAGGCTTTGGATAACAACGATTTCTGAGCAGGAGCATGCATAGGCATACGGTTATCATTTATATCATTTTAGGACATCTTGGCGTTTGAAAAAATAGGTTTTTGGTTTCTTGGGATCATATGCATCTTTGGGCATATTTGGAGTTGCAACTGGAGAATTGGAAAGAGTACGATAGGATAGAATGTGAGAGAAAAAGTATACGATACCGGAATTGACATTCATTCATCTACTTATTATCCTGTATTCTAATTGCAATTGCGTGAGGACCACACGCTGGATTCCTTGAACATCACGCGCGCGCCGCTTCGGTCATGGACGGCCCCGCATCGCGCTACACCGATAACCCACCCCAGCTCGGCCCTTTCGCCCAGCCGTCGAAGCATTCAGTCAACAAGCAGCATCAAGATCAAAATGCCGTCGTTGCAAGAGAAAGCTCAGGCAGCTGCTGCGAACGATCCATTGGTGTCTGCTACCTCGGGCGCTGTCGGCTCTGCCATTGCGAACGGTACGCACCCTGCACGGTGTTATACGGTAGCTTGACTAACCCGGCGTAGCTCTCGTCTATCCGCTCGATGTCATTGTCTCTAGGCTACAGACACAGAATGAGAAGGGTACGTTCGTCGATGACCCGGCTGCGTACAGCGGGCTGGTCGACGCGCTTGTTAGGATCTACAAGGAGGAGAGTCTGAGCGCATTCTTTCTCGGACTGAAGGTGGATACGCTGTCTGTGTACGTACGCAAAGCAGTACATCGAGTATTGCAGAACTGATAGCTTGTATGCAGTGTTTCATCGACTTTCTTCTATCACTTTGCTTGTAAGTTCCTTTCCCTGCAAGGGTTACACCCACCCCACCAAGGCTACGGTTATCTGACTCCGCAGTTAAACAGACACATATATGCGCACTAACCGCCTACAATCTCGATCAAAAGTTGTCAGTAAGACTGTGTCCACTCTAGGTCCGGCGGAAGAACTTGCAATCGGAGCAATTGCTGGTATCATCAGCAGATTCTTCACTACCCCCTTGCAGAACGTTGTGAAGCGCAAGCAAACCGTGGCAATCACAAGCCAGATCCGTTCGATTGAGCGCTCGCTGGGTGATCAGCCAGTGCCTACGGCCATGGAGATCTTGAGGGAGATCTATTCTGAGAAGGGAATCACCGGTCTCTGGACTGGATACAGGTCTGCCTGCGTCTTGACGGTCAACCCAAGCATATCGTACTATGCATACGAGGTTCTGAAGTCGTTCGCCATTCCCCAGGATCGCCGCTCGAATCCAACGTCCAAAGAGATCTTCCTATACTCCGCCCTTGCGAAATCCCTTGCCACTGTTCTAACGTACCCCTTGATTCTCACGAAGTCAAGGGCACAAGTATCCAGCTCGAAGAACGCCAATTCTGTGGCCATGATTCGCAAAGTCTTCAAGAGTGAGGGGCTTCAGGGGTTGTATAAGGGCGTGGGACCGCAGGTTCTGAAGGGTTTCTTCCAGCAGGGACTTATGATGATGATCAAGGTAGATAGGACTTGACCACGGGGAAGGCTTGGCTGACAAACCCCTACAGGATCGAGTCGGGTCTTTCATCGTCGCGATTTACCTTCTTTTGCGCCGCGTGCGTGGGCGTAACATCGCCGAAACCGCTCAGAACCTTGCGTCCGAAGCTGCACAGAACAAGTCCGTTCAAGTTGCTCGTCAGAACGCAGAAGCAGTTGCCGCCAAAGCGAAGGAGGCGGGTCAGACTGTCGACCAATATCTCACCAACAGTGGCGCGAAGGATAAGGCTGCAGAGCTTGCGGGTAAGGCGAAGGGCAGCATCGACAGTGCGTACACTAAAGTCGCCGAGGTCGTGCGTGACGCTGATATCCCTTCTAAAGCACTCGAGGTGAAGGAGAATGTTGCGAAAGCATATGCGGACTCTGGTGCCAAGGAGCTTGTGGGCCGCGCCGGTGCCAAAGCGGATGAGATGTTGGCAAAGACTGGCATCAAGGAGCAAGCTGCGTCTCTTCAGGGGGTTGCTGGTACCAGGTGGAAGGAGAGCGGCGCTGGTGAGAAGGTTGGTCAGCTGTTGGAGAACGCGGCCAGGGCTGTCCCGGGGCGTGAGACCACTAATCAGAACGAGGCTTATGAGAATGTCAAGGCTATGGCGGGCGAGCTTGCGGAGAAGACGAAGGGTGCGGCTAGCGGGCTAACCCAACAGGTGGAGCTTCCGAAGGCGGAGAACGTCGGCAAGATTGTGGAGACCGCTAAAGCTGGCGCACAAGGTGTTGCTTCCAAAGCGCAGGACTGTTCGGTTAATGGTGCTGTCGGCGGTTCATCCGCAAAGGAGGTAAGCGGTGTGGAGTGGACTGGTCAGCAGAAGAAGGGATCAGAGGAGTAAGTCTTTCTTTTTGGTAATGGCGCAACGGGCCGGGGTCTTGCAGCGCTTTTTGGACAAACGTGAGCGGATGTACGATATTGAGGAGAAGAGGGAAGAGATGTCTTGTATCATTATAATCAGTTGTATTCAAATCTTCTTGAGGTCTTACTTTCGAAATGTCTTTCGAGCTCGGGCAAGATTCTAAGGTTTTTGGGCGTCCACTATAGCTATCTGAAACAAGGGCCTGATGTCCCGGCCCATACGATGAAGCGCTCAACGAGTAACCTCCAGAGACCCAGAGACGAGTAGACGACGCATACACAACCAGACATCTGAACGGCCCAGCAGCTGCTGAGCTGTTTCTTAATCATCTAGGGATCATCCAAGGAAGAAGGCAGCAGATCAAGGCTATACGCGCAGCAGCTGCTTTGGTCTGGACGCTCAGCCCTTAGTCCCTCATCGTCCTTGCTGTACGACAAGCTATCCGACTTCTGGAAACACTTGGCGCCACACCATAACTTATCGATTCGATCGATATGTCCTCACCACTTGGACGATCGCGCTCGCCTCTTCACCAAGAAGTCGACTTTGAGACGGCGGATACGGCAGCTATTCATGCCAATGCCAACAGAATGGCTGCCGCACTTCGCATCCAGACTGATATCGACACAATCTTTGGCAACCGTCGCCGACAATCTTCGGCGTCGTCCTCGCGCACGGCTTCACTGTTTGATTCACCAGGCGCAGCGGTAACGCCAACGGAAAAGATGACACCACTGCCGTCGCCTATCGTCGGATCACCTTCGTCTACGCCTGGCAGAAATTTCGCACTCTTCCATACGGACCCGGTCGTGCCTGCTGGTGCTCATGATATTCACCGACATAAGTCTATGGTGGACATGAAGCCCGGGGTTCTCACTCCTGACCTACCAGATGACTTTCCGCGGCGCAAGACGTATATCCCTGAAGTTGGACGAAGTAACACGTTGCACGTACCACCAGCTATCATGGCAGCAAGAGCAGCATCCGGACACGCACGCACGCACTCAGACACGGATCAGATGTCCCCTACCATGCCAGCGCCTAGGCCAAATCCTATACGCACGTTTTCCAACTATACACCACCAGACGTAAACGACTACAGGGCGCAATACTCAGCAGTCCCCAGGTCTCAACCCCAGCTGAACGTGGAGATGACAAGAGAGATGCATCAATCATATGTTGAGAGGCGTGCAGTGAATGGTGACGTCAAAGAAGAGGAGCAAGGGAGCGAACCATCGCCTGAAGGATATGTCGATGCTTACACGATAGAGACTAACTACACAAGAAAAGGTCGATGGAAAGTGCTTAGAAAGCTTGGGAAAGGTGCGTTCAGTGACGTTGTGTTGGCTGCGCGGTTAGATCAAGAGGGAAACTTCAATCCTAATGACCGAGCACGGCTAGCTGCGGTCAAGATTGTGCCATTCGTTGCTGCTGCGGGTGCTAATAAGGAGAGAATTGAGAGTTCGGTACGACGAGAGCTGGATATACTCAGAGTGATGAGACATCCGAACCTCATCAGGCTGCTGGGATTCGACATCTGCTCAAGAAATGCGGACATCGTCCTGAATTATTCACCTGGAGGAGACTTGTTTGAGCTGGCTTCGACAAGACGTGAGCTTTTATCGCCCAAGTTTGTGAGAAGGTTGTTTGCGGAGATGGTAAGGGCGGTGGAGTACCTGCACTCGAAGAACTTTGTGCATCGAGATTTGAAGTTGGAGAACGTTCTGTTGAATCTGCTTCCGGATGAGCTGGCGGATATCCAGTGGCCTGATACTTTTCCAAGGCCGATCACCACCCTGACTGACCTTGGGCTGTCACGAGCCATCGATCCTAACAACCCACTGCTTACTACGCGATGTGGAAGTGAAGATTATGCGGCGCCGGAGTTGCTTATGGGACAGCCTTACGATGGGCGCCAGACTGATGCATGGGCTCTCGGTGTTATTCTCTATGCCATCATTGAGGGTCGACTACCATTTGATGCTGTGCCGGGCATGGAACAGAAGATGCGCGGTCGACCAAGTCATCGTATTGCTAGGGTGGAATGGAGGTGGATCCGGCTCGCTTCGAAGGATGACCAAAAAGATTACGAACCTGAATGGGAGGGCGCAAAGGATATTGTGGAGGGGTTGCTAAGGAGGCGAGATAAACGATGGTCCATGAAAGAGATTGCGGAGCATGACTGGGTGCGAGGTGGATTGATGGTGTCGTTGGAATGAGGGAAGTGAAGGGCATGAACGGGGGTATCATTGGCCATGGCATTGTTACGATGAGGGTCTTTTCGACGCTGCAATGAGCAGCGAGCACACGCGGCGTTAACGATTTTGAATTACGATAGCTATCTTGGGTATTAGTATCACGACCAAGACCATGCCGTACGGCTACGGCTACGGCAATAAGGTAGCTGGCTGATGGATGGTATCGAATCTAGTGAATTTATTTTTAATGGAGTTTTAATCGGAGTCGCGAATCGTTCCAAGATGCCCGGGCCCCCCGTGCATTATTAGCGGCAACGTGAGCCGAAACCTTGTGAGCCGCCCACGCCAGCCGTGGCATGTCTGCCCTGCCCATATCTGAAATCCTGCTTCTTCGCAGCATACATCCCAGCATCTGGCAGCATACATCCCCGGCATCCAACAGTAAACAGTCCCTCGTTCGTCTCGTTCGTCTCGTTCGTCTCGTTCGGTCATTACATAAAGTATACATTACTGTCACTCCAGCCGTCGCGATGATTGGAATTCCGCGCCCGCTCTACACCCTTGTCATCACCATTGTCGTGATTGTCTTCCTGGGCTCTCTTACCCTATACAGCCCAGAGCAGACACAGGGCGCATGGGAGTCTGCGAAGAAGCACGTTCCGTTCGCTACCGATAATGGAGATGTTGTGTCAGGAGGGTCGCTTCCTTCCGTCACGTTGCCGTCGGAACCTGGAGGTGTGGTAATGCTCTTGGCGTCCGACGGAAAGGGAAGCAATGGTGGTATCGTTGGATTGTTGGACAAGGCAATCGAAGACAGGACGGCGTACGCGAAGTATCATGGTACGTCATTCGTCGGCTGAAGCGACATGGAATTATGTTAATGGGTTGACGTTCAGGATACGATTTTATGTTCACCAACACTACCAAGTACGACCTCAGCAGGTTCGGCGACAAGATTCACCCCGTATGGGCCAAGATTCCTGCTATCAAGGACGCTTTTGATACCTACCCTGACGCCGAGTGGGTTTGGTGGCTCGACCAGGATGCGATCATCATGACCCCTCAGATTAACTTGTGGGACCATATCCTTTCACCCAAGGCCATGAAGCAAAAGTTGTTGAAGAACGAGATGTTCAGGGTTTCCGGTGGGCGTGAGATTGGCATCAGGACTCCTGCTGAGATCAACCCTGACGAGATCAACTTCATCGTCGCCAACGATCAGAACGGATTCAATGCTGGTTCGTTCCTTATTAGGAGAAGCGAGTGGACGGAGTGGTTGTTGGAGAATTGGCTCAACCCTATATACGTTCAGAAGGACTGGCCTGGACGTGAGCAGGATGCTTTCGGACACATGGTTGAGTTCAACAAGAAGATCAGAGACCACACTGGGTTGGTGAACCAGAGGTTGTTCAACTCGTACGCACACATCAAATGGGACTTCATGGGATTTTTCCCTGGCGATTTGGTGGTGCATCTTGCTGGATGCTGGGTTAACAGAGAGTGCAAGGAGATTTGGGACGAGATGTGGGCAATGAGGCAGAAGTTGCCTGCTAAGGCGTAACGCAGCCACTCTGTGGCTTTTGGACTTGCATAGATCTTTTTGACATTTTGCTTGGCTAGACTGGCGTTAATACAATTAATGCAATGGTATAGAGGATATTAGCACCGTCATGGTGAAGTTATAGTTATCCCACGTATGCCGATTCCGCTGCAGCGTTGTGTTCTCGCATCTCCTCGTAGTCGCCCTGGTCCAGATCGGCCGTTTGCTCCCATGCCCGCTCAAACTCGACATTCTCATCGCCTGGATACCTTTGCGGAGGTATTGCCCAGATGTTCTCCCGTAATCGCTTATGTCGTTCTCTGTCCTCCTCCATCCTTCGTAAGATCTCTCCCTTTGAGAATGATTGTGATCCGGGGATTGCAACAGGTTGGCTGTGAGATAGACGTCAGCAGCATTCATGCAGTATGGGGTCGCTAATCTCACCTTGCTTCCCGTCCTGCCAAGGTCGTCTCCACCCCTGCCAATGTGTTCTCCTCGAGATAACCCTTCACTCTCAGATTTGCCAAAACCTTCCGTACCGTGGCAACGTTCGCAGATCCAGCCGCTCCTTCGGGCGCGACTGCGTCAACAATGGCACCAATACTACTCGCCAGCAAGCTCCGATAGCTCAGAACACCAGCCTTCACGGATGCGTCGCATAGCGTTTCGAGAAAGTAAAGGATATTGACCCGCGCGTTCATGGATGTCTGCATAACCAACGGTCAATGGATAACTCCCAGACAAAAGAATCCTCCATACCTGCTCCAATTCCTCGATGACACAACTGAACAAGTCCTCATCGAGATGCTTTTGCTTGATCGCAAAACTCGCACATTTTCCTGCCGACAGTTGACTCGCATTGAGTCTCCGTAGCAGATCCGTAAACTTCAGACGGCCATCAAAGGGATCCATTGCAGGCAGTTCGACGTTTTCTGAGGTGTTCTATTTTTAGGACTTCAACTGGGATACTATGGCTGGTGCGTGGCTGCTGCAGGTGGAATCTAGCGTTCATACGGCGGTGTACGTGTAGAAAGTTCAGGTTCAAAGTTCCTCGATAAACACAGCAAGATGATCGCGCTCAAGGGTTTGATGACATGTATTGACAACTCGGTATGTTGCCTTGTCTTTGACAGCTAAGGTTTGGACTGACCAGAAGTTTGTAGGGTGCTTTGATTGTTGAGTGTGTCAACACCTTGAAGGCGGGACGTTTTGCCGGTATCGGAGATGAGTGTGTCGTTGTCGTTAAGAAAGCAAAGCCTATTCCTACGGAAGTTGATGGAACAGCTGCCTATGCATCAAAGATCCGTCGTGGTGAGGTCAGACATGCGGTCATCGTACGGACAAAGAAGGAGACCAGGCGCGAGGATGGAAGATATATTCGCTTTGACGACAACGCGTGTATCATCTTGAACAACAAGGGAGAGCCGCTGGGAACTCGTATTACGGGTGAGTCTTTGCCTGCGCCGCTGAAGATGGCAAAACTAACAAGGGATATTACAGGTGTTGTTGCTGCTGAGCTGAGACACAAGAAGTGGGCCAAGGTCCTATCGTTGGCACCAAGAGTCGTGTAAGATATATTAAAAACTAACAAACAAGAGATACACATTGCAAATTTTCTTTTTGTGGACCCATGGATCATTATGCATCCATACAGTATGGATATCGCTCGTCATCCCATGAAAGAACAGAATATAACCCCAAAACGCCGATGTAGCTATAAAAAAAAAAGACAACCACGGAACCTCTAGCTTGCAATCTCCATGCGCACACTCTCCAACCCGCACATTTATCTCGGCGCAACATAACCCTCTTGAGTTGAGTCCTCAAACACGTTGGCACAGCTCACGCACACGTAGTACAGCGACATTTTAGCATCTGCCCTCTTCGCCTGGCTCTGGAAGAATACTGCATCCTTCTCTCCACACTTAGGACACTGTTGATCGGATCGTGGCAAAGTGGGGTCGCTACCCAAATCCGTCGTGACACCAGCCGTATCCGCAACTGTGGACCTCAGTTCCTGTCGGAAGATAGTCGGATTCTCAGCATTCTCGGTGTACCCACATCTCCGGCAGTGTAACAACAGTCTCTTCTTCAACTTGTCTTCCAGCGGGTGCAGGATGTTGTTGCCTAAACAATGGGTCAGAGATATACGAGCAGCAAAGCAAAGCAACAAACATTCTTGACAGTAGTGCACGGCAGGCATGTTGACTGCTCTTCGTAGCTGTGCCGATACACGTACGCGGTGCCAGGTGCGAGGTATCTTACCGGTACGTCGTCGCGTTCCCGTGATGCGCAAGGCACGGCACTCCAAGCAGTCTCCCGGTAGCGCCTGAATTTTGGGCGTGAAGTTGCACCGACAACAAAGACCGATCAATACTCGTATCACAATGGCCGCCCTGAGATTGTCCAGGTAGGCAAACGCCCTGCCGGCCTTGGAAGTGCGGATCTGACAGTATATCTGAAGCTCCCTTGCACGAACTGTCGTTGCCCGCCGCGCCGCCATCGGCCAACTGCGGTTAAATTCCACTGCTGCCTCGGCCAAGATCTCCACTATCGTCGACCAGATCTCCCAGTTGACTCTTCTTGAGACCGCAGACTTGGTTGCCCAGTTGAAGGTTCGTCGCGCTCTCCCGTTGCGTGTCGTCTTGAGGGTTCACGGCTGACACATCCGAACATTAGGAGAAGTTGAACATCCAGGACATCGCCCCCGTGGCTGCTGCTCCCGCTGCCGCCTCTCCTGCTGCTGATGCTGCTCCCGCTGAGGAGGCCGTTCAGGAGAAGACCATCTTCAACATTAAGCTCGCCTCTTTCGACGCCGCTGCTAAGGCCAAGGTTATCCGGGAGGTTAAGACGTTGTTGGCATTGAACTTGGTTGAGGCGAAGAAGTTGGTTGAGAGTGCAACAGATGCTAAGCCAGCACTGTTGAAGGAGGGTGTCACCAAGGAGGATGCTGAGAAGATTAAGACTACCCTTGAGGGATTGGGTGCGAAGGTTGCTCTTGACTAAACGGAGGTGAACGATATAAAAAGAGAAGTCACATATTGCATGATCATGAAGGCAAGCGCTGCCCGTCCACAACATTTGCGTACAATCAAAAGCTTTCCCATATCCAAGGAAGCCAGGGAGAACGCCGATATCCATTAAAGAGATCCTATAAAATCCGCCAAAACATGCCGTTTTCAACCTTATCATTCACTCCTCAACACCGATTCGTCTTGTTTTGCTCCTTATTTGCTGCTCAACTTGCCCAACGCAGTTGCCCTCTCAGTCGCATCCTGGATGGTCCTAGCAACAGTAGATCTGATCTTTCCGTCCTCCAACGCCAACAAACCACTGATAGTGCATCCTCCAGGAGTGGACACGGCGTCCTTGATGAGCGCAGGGTGTTGGCCGTCCAAAATCATACGGGCAGTTCCCTGACACGTCTGAGCCGCCAACTCCAAGGCCGCCGCACGAGTTAAACCCATCATGACACCACCGTCAGCCAAAGCCTCCATGAAAACAGCAGCGAAAGCTGGGCCGGATCCACAAAGCGCCGTCGCTGCGTCGATGTTCTTCTCCTCCAGAAACATGGCACGTCCGATCTGGGAGAACATCCACTGAACCAAGGAGCGCTCATCGGAAGTAATCTCCTCTTCACACACCAAGACAGTCATACCCTGACGGATCTTGCAGGGAGTGTTGGGCATGGCACGGACAACGTGAGTGGATTCCGGGCACCATGAACGAAGCTGAGAGAGTGTAGTACCGGCCAAGATCGAGATTAAGAGCTTACCCTCCAAGGCTTCCCGCATTCCAGAAGCAGTAAGAATCTCCTTACACATCTGCGGCTTTGAGCCGAGAAGGATGATATCAGATTGCTTCACAGCCTCAACGTTCTTGTTCTTCATGCAAGCAACCTCACCCTCGAACAAATCCTCCAACTTTTGCAGAGACTTGTCACTTCTGATACATGCCAAGAAACGAGCGGGCTTGTTGACCTTGTGTCCATCGGGCGTGCTGGCACCGTCAGCCGAAGTGGTGTCCTTGAGAGAGTCGAGGATTCCGGAGAGGATTGCGATACCCATGGTACCGCAACCAAGAGCACAGAGAGTAGGAGCTTCAGCGACCATGATAAAAAAACGGATCAAGAAGAAGATCGGGACTGGAAGGAATGGAGTAATGGACTGGACGACGTAGGCTGTTCTATACCGAAAGTCATTTCGCCGTGGCGAGTGCTGCACGGCCGGCATGAAGGTGCAGTGCAGTCGGGCGCGTAGTCGTGAGGGAACGTTCGACCGGGAACGCGTCCTGTCCAAAACAAAGCAGACATTTCAAGACCCCATCCGACTGCGAGATTCCTTCCCTGCCAACTGACTGACTGCCAACATGGCAAGCGCAACTCAGGGAAACCTGCCTAAGGGTGTTGCCCCGGCGCTGGTGCGGGAAGCCTCGAGGGGTAGCACTCCTTCGAATGGAGGACGACGACCCGATCCTTTGAGTTTGTCCCTCCTGTCCGACATCGATGACATTTGCTCGTCAGGCCTTGTCGATAAAGTGTTCTATTGGGCACAGTATGTATACCGATATCCTTTTTTTGAGTCTCCTCTAACCTCCTCTCAGGATCCACAAGATGCGACCAAATTTTCAGCCAAACGATAGCGTGACGACAGACATGATTGTGAAGATTATTAGAGAGGAGGTTGTTGCTAGGAAAAAAATTGCTCAAGCGGCCGACCGCTTTTTGGAGTTGGAGGCTGATCGGACGGCGACGACTGCGGAGGATGAATCTTTAGCCGCCCAACACCATGCCCACTTCCACAAACATGCAAAGAAGTACTTTCAGATGTACCTACCTGATGCTGGTTACGAGGTTGCCTCGACGTCTCGTTATGCTGCTGTCTCCTCGAAAGCTGAAGCATGCATACTCGCGACACGTAACTGGACGGCCGGAGAGATCATCCAACGGCTGCAAGGAACACTTGCTCCCATGACCCGCGAAGAGGAGCTCGCACATGCAGCATCTTCTCGCGATTTTTCGATCTTGCATTCCAGTCGCCTGAAGGCAATGTGCTTGCTTCTCGGACCGGCTCGATTTGTGAATCATGACTGCAAGCCTAACGCCGCTTTCGTGACTCAAAACCAGACTCTCACTATCAAAGCTATCAGGAATATCCGAATTGGTGAGGAAATCGTGGTGAAGTATGCCGAGGACTATTTTGGTATTGGGAACTGCGAGTGCTTGTGTCAAACATGTGAAAATACCGGTAGGGGTGCCTATGCGAAGAAGTCCGATGACGCTTCGGAGGAAATCCCAGAGCTCACGAACAGTCTTAACAACCGGGAGAGCCGTCGACGTTTGCGTGCTCAGAAGTCTATCCTGCAGGCGGTACAAGCAAACGCATCGGCGCAGATGCCAACACCAACGTCAAGTGCTACCGTGTCTGCCGCTGACGTTGCTTCTGACGTTGAGACTCGAAGTCGACGATCGGCGTCACCTGCGACCGTATCACAGGTGCCTCCTCCGGTCTCCTCTGATCCGTCAAGCAAGGAAGAAGCCAAGACTCAGCCTCTGGACGCTCAAGCATTGGAGGAAGTTTCGGCGGCTCGTGTTAGCATTGCCTCTCTTCTCGTTTCTGAGGAAGTTCAAGGAGCAATTCCGGAGGATGACGATGACGATAAGCTTACGGAGGTGTCTGACTCGTTTTTCGACGACGAGGGAGGGGAGCTACGTCTTGATCAGCTTGTCGAACAAAGGCCGGAACTCGACCGATATATGGGTGATTCAGATGTTGTCGTGGTTCCAGACGAGTGTCCTTGTGTTGTCTGCGGAACTGTCTATGCGCCTACTAGCAAAGAGCCCAGCGTGTTCAATGGGCAGTGTCAGCGATGCGACAGACATTCGAAGCTCTACGGATATCCATGGCCACGGAGACAGGCTTCGAAGCGTAAAGCGGATGAGTTGCTCCCTAACGGTAACGATGATGCAGGTGGCGAAGGTGTTAAGATGGGATATTGGAACAACGGTCGAGAAAGGGAGGAGCAGCATAACGATGCAGAGGATTGGGTTGCGTATACGCATTGGTGCAGGAAGTGTTCTGAAGGATTTTGGGATAAAAAGAACGCTCTCAAATGTGAACGTGACCACGAGAGGGCGAAAAAGCAGAGGAAGGTGGAGAAGGACCATTCTCCTAGTCTTGTCGACGTGCTCAACAAATCACATGCCCAAGGAGGTGATGAAGAGTTTGAAGGGGATGAGGGGAAAACTGCGGATCAGCCACACCAGTGTCAACTTTGCAAGAAATGGTTTGCAAATCGATGGGGTCGTAATCGTCACTTGCATACGCACAGCAAGCCGCCACCGGTGTCAAGGGGCTACACGTACAAGGAGGCTTACAACGCCATGGCCGATGTAACAATAGGCGAGGACGGGCGCTGGCATTGTCCTAAATGCGATAACGACTATTCGCGTAGGGACGGATTGGCCAAGCATTACACCAACGCCCATCAAGCCGAGCATGATGCAGAGCAGGAGAAGGCGAGGGAAGCTTCTCCACCAGCTTCTGTGGCTGAGACGATATCGGCACCAGCTTCTGAGGTAGCAGTGTCACCTGAACAGCGACGTCCCTCTATCACCGCGGCCGTGTCTCCGTACGCCCCAGCGCCCAAGGTCAAGCCCGAGACCGCGCATCTGTACAAGATGGCGAACGCGGCTCTTGGGGAAGCGACGGACATGAACGGACGACCGACTTGCCCTCACTGTACCAGCGAGTTTTCTTCGAGGTCTAACCTTATTCGTCATTATGTCAACGTTCATCTCAAGAAGGATGGGAGTTTGCATATGACGAAGGCTGAATCCGATGCCCTGAATGGTACCGAGGCTGGCGTCGAGACCATTAAATGTCCCTGTGGCACGACTGAACCCGGGTTTATGATTCAGTGCGACCGCTGCAGCGTTTGGCAACATGCAAAGTGTCTCGGTATCAAGAAGAATGCCGTTCCGGATGCTTACGTTTGTAAATCTTGCGGTGGCCCAGACTACGCAGCATCTGGGCCGGGCGCTGTATCGGTTCCTGCCCCAGTTCCTCCCTCAACTGCTGCTCCGACACCTAAGGTTGAAAGGCAGCCCATCGAAGGGACTCCTGAAACGGATATCAGCCGTCGCAGATCCGGGAGGCGTAGGACTCTGGCAGAGATGTCAGCCAAAGCGAATGCTGCGGCCACTCCAACTCCTGACAAGAAGAAAGGAAGGGGAGGTGGTGTTTGGGGTGGCAACTGGGTTTGGGGTGACCCTATTCTGCCCAAATCGCAGGCGAATGGTCAGGCTGATGCCCAATCTGCTCAGCCGGTCGTCGCTCCTGAAACTCCTGCTCTGGCGGAGGCTTCTGCTGAGGCGCCGATCGCAGTACAAGAAGCCGCAGCTTCAGTTCCTGCTCAGGAAGGCAAGATCGAAGGGCTTGTTCAAACAGCTGTTGACGCCGGTGCGCATGTCGATGAAGTGGTCATGGAAGGTTATGATGATGCCTCACCCGCTGAGAATAATCAGGATGTGATAATGGAGGACGCACCTGTCGAAGCTGCTCAGGAGTCCGCACCGGCTACTCTGGTTCAAAGCACCCCTGACGCGTCTATCGCTCATGACCATATCGATGCTGCTTTTCAGCACGCGATTGCGACGGATCCTAGCCCTGAAAGACCAGCTGAGACCCCGGTTCAAATGATTCGTCGGGTCGCACAAGAGCTGAGATCTGCCTCTTCTGCGCTGCCTTCACATCCTCCGGCGTCGTTTGCAGCTGCAATCACTTCGCCTATGCACTCTGTGAATGCACCGTCCTTCGGAACGCCAAAAGATGCGGGCATGGAAACGGTTCCTGCGATGCCAACTGCTGTGAGCCCTATGGCATACGCTACTCCAACTCCCACAATGCGAGTTCCCTCAGTACCACTTGTGACGAGTCCTATGGTGCCAGCATACGTGGTACCTGCTCCTGTCGCAGTGTCACCTCTACGCCATCCGGTTGGTCTTGCTACGGGTGTTGCGCCGCCTCATGTCGTTGATACGGGCTTTGCTTTGGATCCCGTGGTTGACGCAACTGATGCACTACTACAGTTGGCTGCCGTCTGCGAGGTTCATCAAAGCGGTGTTGTGGCCTCGATTCCCGAAGGGGCGACATTCGAAATTGTTAGGGAAGATGCGTACGGACAGGTGGTCGAGCCTGCTCATTATGGACAAGCAGGGTACAGTAACGGTGTTGCTGTATCCCGGCCCCCTGTTTACATGCAAGAAAATATTCCCATGGAAGACGCAAGTTTCGTTGGAATGCAGGCGCCTAAAGGTACCTCGCTGGGAGCTAAGACAAATAGCGCGAATGGTTGGTACAAGAAGGATTCCTTCCGCATTTAGAAGATAGGAGTTGGTGATAAGATGTGATGGCGCATGGATGAGTTCTGGTTACACTTGAGGCGGCGTTTCTTGTTCTGACTTTAGTTCACATTGGATCCTGGTTTATTAATTTACGGCTTTTCATATATCGTCTCCTACGTGTAAATCAGTCCTTGTCAAGGTAGATATCCAGCTTTGCAGTAACATCAACGTTCTGATCCTTCATTGCCTCCTTCTTCGCCTGACTCAAAGCCTCTTCCAAATCATCTTCATCTCCAAGCCTAATGAACTCGCCATCTTCATCACGGAATTTCATTTTCGGCGCGCTAGCCAGCTCGAACTTCTTCCGTACAGAATTCTCAAGCTCTCTAAAAGAAACATCCGGGCGAATGGTGATTACACGAACATCGTCCAACCGCACCCTTAACTTCACTTTGCGTATAACGACTTCAGCACGCCTCGACGTAACAGGCTCGAAGAGCTGATCCTCATCCACGTATGCATCAGGACCCTCAAAATAATCCTCGTCGTCATCCTCAAAACTCACACGCTCATACGTATTCTTCCGACTCGGAGGCGGCCTTTGCGAACGACTCGTACTCCTCATACGTTCGCGACCCCTGACCGTAGCCACGGTCCGGGATGAAGCAGACCGGGATGTAGTACTAGGCCTAACACGCTCACGCCCATCAAAGTAGTCATTGTACACATCATCCAAAGGTTCCGGTGAAGGCGCACGACGACTTCGTGCTCGCTCTCGCCTGCTTTCACTCGTTGCACGAGACCTCGATGGCGTAACACTTTCACTCCCTGACCTCGAGCGAGACGCCGCGCGTGAGGGATCCCTCGACGAAACCGTACGCGTCTGAGACCGAAGCGGCGGGACTTCATCAACCCCCTCATCCCCACGCGGCGGATGCGGCGGCTTACTTTTCGGCGGTTTACTCAGCGGAGGTCCAAAATCACTACCCAAAGCCGACAAAGCACTCGAAAGTTCTGAATCCAAATCTGACGAAGGGCGTCCACGATCGCGAGCGGGTTGTGGTGACCCATTATAATCCGACATAGGCGGCGTCAGGGGCTGGATTGGACGCGTGGGAAATCCGCCGCCGCGACCACGGACGGATGCGGAACGTTCAGGCATGGATTCCTTTTGGATTGATTTGGATAACATTGATAAGGACCGGCCTGGGGGTTTGACGAGGTTTGATGCGGCGAAGGACCTGCCTCCGCTTCCGGATCCGCTGCCCCCTCCACTTTCGCGATCGTCGTTGTCCTTCTCCGGAGTGCGCATCAACTCGGCGCCTGAGAAGCCGGTATATGCATCCTTCGCGTCCGTCGCCGCAACTAGCTTTGCTTTCCCAATGTAATCCTTCGTACCCGCATTCTTCACCTTCTTCTCGTTTGGGCGGTATACCACGCCGACCGGAATCGAGAAGACGGTAAACCCCTTCACTCTCTCTGCGATTGCTTCGTCAATAACGTCGTGTTCCTGAGTCTGCTTCTCCTTCACCGCATTCATGAGGTCTTGCATCCCCTCCGCCTCATCTCCCGAATAAATATAGCTCAATCCACGATTAAAGAGGACTTCGCACGAGTACAGCTTGAACTTTAGCCCGAGTTGGTCGTAATCGATGATGTTGTTCCCGCGGAGGTAGAGTAGTGCTGCGTTGAAGTCCTCGCAGGCTTGGCGGTATTCCATCCTGAGAAAATTGGATACACCGGCTTGGAAGTAGGCGACGGCGAGGTACATGTCATAACTGACGGCCTTCTCGAATGCGACGACGGCTTTGGCATGTTCGCCGCGAGTGGCATGGATGATACCGATATTGAAGAGGATACGAGACGACTCCGAGATTTGCTATGAGCAGCGTCAGCATACGACCCGATACGCGTCATAAATAGCATTCACCCACCTCGAACTTTGCTATCGCACCATCGTAGTCTTGCTTGTCATACGCTACACACCCCTCCACCCAAATCTCTAATTCTCTCTGCCAAGGCCACTAACGTCAGCTATCGAGCCACAGGTTACGGACGAGCATTCCTCACCTTGTAAGACATCTATTATCATGAACTGAACCAGCAGCTCTCTCAAAAGGCAAATCGAAGCTATTGTACGGGTCCTGCCCTTCAAGGGACGTTCAAAAAGGAGGTTACAATCACGGCACCCGATGAATTTTGCGATATCCGGTGGCGAAGGAACGAGATTCCATCGTTGAAGAATCCTCCAAACCTTACACCGGAGATATGTGAGGGTATGCGAGAGTCATGCAAGAGCGGCTGCGACGTACGGCGGAGTACCGCACATGAAACGTGAAACCGGCACAACAGCCAGCGCAATTTCGGAGCTGGATTAAAGGAGAAAGAGAGGATGTTCGCTTGGCTCTTGGAGGCCTCTCTCGCCTTGACTGGTTGGCCGGCATCGGAATGTTCGGAAGTGCTTCTAAATTTAGAACACGTGGAAAGTACACCCAAGCAATCCCGTACAGAGCGCGGGAACATTTCGGGGGATGGAGGCTGAGCAACTGCGCCAACGCCAAGGCTCAGCTTGGGACATAACGAGACAAAAGTATATTTGTATGGTAATCCTTGGTATCCATATGGTAATCTGGAAGAAGAGAGATATCGGGTATATCCAAGGAACCGTGCCGCTCCTTCGAGGACTTGCAAGAGCCTCTCACGCTCACGTGTACACCTAAGGCTTGCGAGAAACCGTGGCAGTAATCAAGCCTGCTCAGATATTAGCTCACTCTCCATCTGCAGAAAGAACATGTGAACATACCACTCGGATCCGCCAAAGGCAAAAACACCTCCTGCTTCCCCGGCGTCGAATTATCCAACCCAAACGCCCCCAAATCAACTGCAACATAATGCTTATTCGGCAACGCATACGCCACTTCCTCAACACCCGGACAATGCGTCAAAATATCCTCACACATCTTATACATCGTCGCCTGTACACTCGCAGAATTATCCTGCGCAAAGATCTTCAACGTCGTGTTGCGAGCGCGTTGGTAGTAAGCCTCGAGGGACTTGGCGGCGATAGAGATAGCGGCGAGGGTGTTGTAGGGTTGGTGGGTCAGGGTCGCTTCCACTTCGGTTGAGAAGACGCGGTCGTTGGTTGGTTTGAGGGTTGTGTAATCACACTCGTGGAACCCGTGGAAAGCGGAATTCGTAGATTTCAAGACCAACAGGTTAGAGATTCCAGAGGTGATGTGGAATGCTTCGCCACGTTTGTAGGTGCATGTCACCAACCTCTTTTCCTCGCCATCGCGGAGGAAGGAGTGAGGGTGTTCTGCGCCGTCGATGGACAGGCGGGTCCAGCGGTGAACGATGATGGAGACGGAGGTGCCGTGGATGTGGGGGTATTTGGTGGGGAAGTGGTTTGCGAGGGTTGCGGCGAAGAGTTCGGGTGGGGTGACGGGGTTTTCCTTGGCCAAAATATTCACTGTATTCTTGACCGTGTCCTATCGTCATGATAAGCCTGGATCAGAAGCAGAGGATGGAGAGGACCCACGGTAGGGACAACGACACTGTTATCAGCCTCGGTATAACTCTTCTCAATATCGCCCTCCAAGAGGACTCGCACCGTCATCTCCACCACATCCTGGTGCTTCGGATCGACGGGATCGCGGACGACTTTGAGGAAGCGGACCTTGTCCTTTCCGTACTTGGCTGCCTTCAAGTGAAACTTTGTCATGATGTATGTGATCGAGTCGCGTGTGATGTAGACGACGGTTCTTCTATTTGAGGTGGTCTACTTGAAACTCATCGAGTAATCACTTCACTCGCGCAGTTCACACGTCGAGTGTTGAGACTGCCGACCCGCAACGCCGCGAGCCGACGGCAAAAGCACCACTTGCACCTTATCTCTCTAACCCAACGCTAAAAAAGGAAGGAGATCAATCGGAGGCCCGCCGAGAAATAGCCTCCGATGGTCCTGTCTAGCACGCTCCGTCCCGCGGCCGAGGCATATCGTGATATGAACTCGATGTCAACGTCCGATTGCATGTGATTGCGACATGGACGTCCAGCTCCTAGGATGCTCCGGGGAATGTGACGTGTTGATGACTGCACGCTCGCCAAGTCCGACTCGATCACGCAAGACGCGGCGCGCACTTCCTGGTCCATCTTTGCTTGCACGCGATCAGTTGGTTAGATCCATGCAAGCCACGCTTTTCGACTGCGGATCTCAGCGTTACGCACAGCCGTGAAAATTCAATATATATAACGCACAACCGCCCTCTGCTCCGACCCCGACGAACATAGCTGTAGCTGCTATCACCACCACCAAACAACTCAAACGACCGCATACACCCCACGATAAACACCGACGCCCCATAAAAGGGCCGCATATACCCACCTCAATTGCAACTTGCACCTACCCTCGAGCTTTTCAGTCACCAGTTGCAATGACTACGCTCGAGACGCCGACCTACACGTCTCTCAGAATCCCTCGTCCGTCGGTTGCTCACCGTCCGGCGTCTCCCTCCCCTTCCTACTCGTATATCGACGCATCTACATACCAACACGGCCACCGCAGGACAGCCTCGACACCTGGACACGTACACCTCCTCCACCACGCACGTTCACGACTCCTCCAGGCCGCTTCGAGTGCCGAGCCACGTCTTCACCGTCTCTTGGCTCACGGGAGGTTGTTGGATAAAGTCATCGTGCACATCAACGAACAAGCAGCCGAGCGTGAACGCGACTGGTTCGAGAACGTCGTACGCGACGCCGAGTCACCCACTCGAACTCAGGCAACAGTCACCTACGCCTCAAAAGTCCCATCCTACTTTGATGACCTCGAGCCTAAATTTGCGAGGGCCGAGTCATCGAGGACTCCGACTCCGGTGGTCGTGCAGGACGAGGACGACTGGGATGACGATAGTGACGATGAGGGACAAGCTTGGGTTGAGGATATCTCCGCACCTACTACACCAACTGAGGAATTGTCTCCACCGCTTTCGCCGATTGCTCAGGAGCATGACCACGATGAAGCATTTCAAAACATGGCCCCGCTCACCCGAACTCCTTCCCACTCGTCCTCCAACTTCCGCTCACCACGCTCCGTCCCGAATACCTACCTAACCGTGCCGACGGACTACCGCGACGACGAGCTCTCGCCCACCCCACCCCTCGTCTCACCTTCCCTCTCAAGCGATGGCGAGGACGAGTACTACTACGACGGCGAGGAGGAGAGGGACGGGCAGATGGTCGAATTTGATTTTGCTGGGTTGGGAGTACCGATGAGGGAGATTGCGGTTCAGAGCAGGAAGGAGAGGGGTGTGGGCAGGGAGGTTGAGGTTGATGTTGAGGAGATTGTTGAGGGGGCTACGGCTGCTTGAGCTTGGGTTGGAGAGAAGGGAGTAGAGGAATACACATACAAGAGTTGGGTGGTTTGCTTCGAGGTGTTTTGCATATGGCTGGGTTTGCGATTGGGTCTTGGGTACGTACGGCGTCATGGGTGCTTTCTTCACATCTTCTATCTCTTTTTCTTAGTATTAGACCTTCTTTACTTCACGCGGTACTGCGCGGGAGGTGTTTCTTCTTTTGTTTTGCAGTTGGCGGGTTACGGCATGATTATAGACTTGGGTATCAGTTTTGCAATAGAGCTATCTCTTTCTTATCCCAATTGTCAAGGTCACAAGAGGAAATAATGAGTGTGTATGCCAACGAGCGTATTCTCTTGGTCTATTCGGTATCGATACAACTTTCATATGGTAGGACCCGCATTCGCATACGCAACAACATTTATTACCAGCGTCCTGATCTGGTTCACCGTTCACACGCCCGTATCCGTACTCATACCCAGGCATCCATGTCACGCTTCCAACAATGCCCAATCATGACGGCCACCACTTATTTTGATGCATGCCTCTTCCTCCAGGGCAAATCGAAAGGAACGTATCTGTACTTGCGCATGTGCTCCAACTGCCTCCTCATGGTAAGGAAGAACAAGATGATGAAGTAGAACAAAAGAATAGGCCAGAAAACGCTGTGCACGCCGATTAGTCACGAACTTTGCAGTCAAGGAACTTGAGGAGCACATACGGAACATCAAAGATCGCGAAAAACGACGCAACCAAAGAAAACAAACTCGCCCTCGTAGCCGAATGCCAAAACTTAAACTCCGGCAACCGCCTAATAAAGGGCCTGAACTCCTGTCCGGCCTTAGTCGGCAGGGTTCCTTCTTCGGTCTCTTCATCCTGCATTTCTTGTTCAAGGGAGGGATCGAATTTAGGAGTCAAGAATGCGAGGAAGAGGTTGAGGAGGTAGATTCCGAGGGCGTAGCAGACGATGTACCAGCCCTGTGCGAAGAAGATGCGGAGCATGAAGAGGAAGATTACACCGACGGTGAACGCCCATCGTTGGACGGTGAAGGGGGTGACGGTGTCGAGAAGGGTTTGGTAACGCTGTCGTCGGGATGTTAGCAGGCTTGGCAGGGAGGGGGCGAATGCGGTGGTAGTCACCTGGGAGAGAGCGCTGGTGTGGGCGCTGAATGCGTTCGCAGCATTATCTGGGGCAATTGCGTTGAGATTGTCCATGATTGCTGGGTTGTCCAATGTCAATTGCGACTCGTTGGCTCGGACCCGCGGTTGGGAACTCGCGTATAAGTTGACGCTGCATGCGAGGTTCAGGCTGCGCTGGAGGACACGTGTAATATACTTAGAGGGTCAATTGAAGGAAGAAAGACGTTTTGTATCATTCTAAACTACCAGCAGGAATCAATCATCCGGCCGCAAATCCAGGACGGCTGTCTTGTCCCTCGGAGTGACGACGTGGTCCACGCGCCCCGAGCGCGACCGATACCGTACCGTAGCGGAAGCGCAGGGTGCTCGACCAGAGAAGCAGAAGCAATTATCGCAATAGACAAACCCTCGAACAATCACCCATGAGCGGACGCTTCGTACGAGCTTCCAAGTACCGTCACATCTACGGCAACTCCACCAAAAGGGAGCTTTGCTACGACAATGTCAAGGTCACCAAGAATGCGTGGGATTCCAACTTGATAAAGGTCAACCCCCTTTATCTCAGCATCAATTGGAATGCGTCTGGTGGAGGAGCGTTCGCTGTTGTTCCGTTGAATGAGCGGGGGAAGTTGCCGGATCAGATTCCGTTGTTTAGGGGACATTCTGCGCCTGTGCTGGACACTGACTTTAACCCCTTCAATGACCAGCTTGTCGCATCCGCTTCCGACGACGGCAAGATCTGCCTTTGGACCATCCCTGACAACTTTTCGCTGTTTAACGAAGAGCAGGAGGATGTTACACCCATTTCCAAGCTCTCGGGACACTCCCGCAAGGTCGGACACGTTCAGTTCCACCCCACCGCCGACAACGTCCTCTCTTCCACCTCCGGTGACTACACCGTCAAGCTCTGGGATATCTCCACCGGACAGGACAAGATCACCTTGAAGCACACCGACATCATCCAATCGCTTTCCTGGAACCGCCAGGGTACGCTTATGGTCACCACCTCCCGCGACAAGAAGATCCGTATATGGGATCCCCGAAGTCCCGACCCCGTCAAAGTCTCCAATGGACACGAGGGTGCCAAAACCTCGCGAGCAGTATGGTTGGGCGACATGGACAGGATTGCGACGACTGGTTTCTCGAAGCGCTCAGATAGACAGTTGGCGTTGTGGGACACTAACGACATGTCCAAGCCAATTGGCGGGTTCCAGGTGTTAGACACCTCCAGTGGTGTCTTGATGCCTTTCTACGACCAGGATACCATGGTGTTGTACTTGGCTGGTAAGGGTGATGGTAACATCCGTTACTACGAGCTCGAGAACGACGACTTCCACTTCTTGCACGAATACAAGTCTACCGACCCACAACGCGGTATGGCTTTCATGCCCAAGAGGGCCTTGAACATCCACGAGAACGAGGTCATGCGTGCCTACAAGTCCATCAATGACGCCGTCGTCGAACCCATCTCCTTCATCGTCCCCCGTCGTGCTGAGTCCTTCCAGTCTGATATTTATCCACCAGCACTTTCTGCTGAGCCTGCGATCAGTGCAGACAAGTGGTTCGCCGGCGAAAACGCTGAGCCAAATGTCATGGACATGGAGGCACTATACACTGCCGGAAGCGAGGGTAACACCCCCGTCAACTCTGTCAAGCGTGAGTTTAAGCCAGCTGAGAGGCCAACTGCTATGGCTACTTTCGGATTGTCTAGGGAGACGTCCATGCCTGGACAGAAGAAGGAGGAGACTTTCTCGGCCCCTAAGAAGACGATGTCCATGCCTACGCCTTCGTTTACCAGTGCGTCAACTAGCGAGGCCATATCTAAGGCTCCGTCGGCTTCCATCTCTGAGAAGGACACGCCGCCAAAAGCCGAGTCGCCGAAGGAGAAGACTCCATCGCCTGCACCAAGCGCGGTCACAAGCGCCGTCAAGTCTATTACTGAGCCCGTTATGTCTGCGGTTAAGGCTGTCACCTCCACCAGCGCCTCCGCAATATCGGCCACCTCGACTGATTCCGGACCAAGCAACAACGAGGACGTCGTCTCCCTTCAGAAGTCGCTGAAGGACATCCTCGCAACGGTTCAGTCCCTCCGCGACCAAATCGCCGACCAAGCAAAGAGCCTGGCCCGCGTTGAGGAAATGCACGAGAAGGACATCCAGGAGAAAGACAAGAGAATCGTTGCGTTGGAGGAGGCATTGAAGAAGTTGACTGTGGATTCGTCGACCTCGAGGGGTGAGGCGGATGATGTTGTTGCGGAGAAGGACGCGAAGATTAGGGCGTTGGAGTTGGAGTTGGAGGCTGCGAGGAGCGAAGAGTAGAGGGGTGGAGGATGTGAACGTTATCTTGGTTTGACTTGGATTGGACCTGCGGAAAATGATACCTTCGTTATATTGTCCCTTTCGCTCTCTGACATGGTATATCTATCGTATATCGCCCATAAATCATCACACACACTTCGTTAGTTCATGGTGTACCCGGGGTCCTTCGCTTCCTCGCCTGTGAGCCTGTGTACCAAACCTGGTGGAGGGTCTCTCAGCAGGACGTGGAAGTGCTCAACACCCGCGACACTTCTCAACGGACCCCAATTCTTGAACCACATCAGTCTCTCTGCAGGCATGTCAGGGAATGTCTCTGCACAGAACTCATTCACAGCCGCTCGTCCCTCTGGAGAAAGGTCGTCTCCCCTCCCAGAAGCCTCATCAATTCGCTGTTTGGTCCATACGACCAGGTGTACGATCCCAGGCTCAACTCCGTAGGGAAAGTCATTTGGCAGAATCTTCCAGTCTTCGGGGTACTCGAAAACTTTATCGGATTTGGGGACAGGTGGGTTGTCCCACTTCAGTCGCTCAGCAACGATATACTTTTCGATGTCGGTGTAGCCCAAAGGAGGTAGAGTCTTCTTCCAGCGGAGGTACTTGACCAGATCTCCAGGGAGACGGCGCAGATCGCCGATGCGGTTCTCAGCTGCAGAACGCTTTGATCAGTACTGGATCCACCGGCGCAGTTGATCCGGATCACGAACCGATGATAAGCTTCACATCCTCCCATGAGTGCAGCACGAAAGGCTTATCGCTGGCCTCCTTCAACAGTTGAACGACTCGTGCGTCCCACTCACCTTCCTCCCAAGTAAAAGTCGGGGGAAGCATACTGTCTGACATGATCTCTTGGAGCTTTTTCTCGAACTGACGGTACTGAATAGAATGAGGATTTGTCGGATCCAGGACGGTGATCTGTGACCTTATCGTCAAGGCTGGCACCTAAGTACAGCTGTCAGCTTGAGCGCGGGCGTGTCGAATTCGCGTAAATTAGCCGACTGCCAAAACCGCTACCGTTATGTCGCCGGTCAAGTGGCCAACCCGCTCTCCTGCGATGCAGAAATCTCAAGAGAAACTCTCTCCATGTTATCGAATTCAAATACTTGTCCAAGTTCCCCCACGGGCCTGTCAGTCTACGCATGATCTGGGGTGTGCCTGCATTCACGTGACCCGAAAAGTCGGTCGAAGCGACGAGCTGTAACCGACAGCTCTTTCGACGTTATTCGCAGCAGCAGGGCCATTTGAATGTCGTCCAGAGAAGAAACGAAGGCACAGGAGACGGCCTCATTATCGGCGCCTCCTTTTCCGGTCCCTCCGGCCTCGACCCCGTTCTTCGAGTTCCAGGAATGGCTTCAAACTGCCTCTCATTGGCTACACAAGGCCGCACAGGTTTCGAATCAACCTGAAGAGCGCGCCAAGATCCAGAAATACCTCGACAAGGATACGTGGGATGCGCTTTTTGGTTTGATCTGGGAGCGTTGGAACACTAGCCCGACTCAGGCGCTGCTGAAGGAGGTGTTCGGGAAGGAGCTGATCCTTCTCGAGCGATTATATGATACAGAGGAGGCGCGTGCTCGATTGGAAGGCCTGTCCATCAAGGCTCTTACATTGAATCGATCAATGAAGGGCACATACTATATCTTCGACGTCCTTGTCAAGCGAACCGGAGCCAAGGTCTTTCTGGATCGGGAGCCCATGCTCGTACCAAGCAGCTTCGTCTTGATGAAAGAGCTCTCTCTAGCACCGAGTGTAGGTCGGTCAATAGCCAATATCTTGGCTCAACGACGGAAGGAAATGAGTAAGGAGTATGTCACAGCTGAAGAAGCGGACGCAGCCTGGTTAAATATTTGGCAAGAACCATTACGGGAGTTCCTCTTGAACAGCTCGGAGCAAACTCTGAAGAACTTCGTTTTCTACCTTCTACCAGCACTATTCAAACCCAGTTCGGGAGCTTATCGCATGTTCGTGAAGGTGCTCAGCAAGGATTTGAACTCGACGAGTGTTCGTGGTCTGCAAGCGTTGATGTCAACGTTGCAAGTGGGCAAGGAGATCAGATTAGTGGAGGACCTCAACGCTGCCCTGCTCGCTGAAGTCGGACTTCCATCAAATCTCCTTATTGACCTCCTCACCCATCATTCGTCATCACTACGCCTGTCCGCTCTGTCCTTGATCACTTCGCACGGCCATGTTTCCAGGCCTATGTCGATGGAAGCATTCAAGCTGCTCAAGGAAAGTCTACCAGCGTTCTTCGCCAACACCGACGCTGACTTCAGACACATCGTCTACGGCAACATGCGTTCGCTGTTAGTTCGTTTGAGGGCTTCCGCTCACGGATTGGCTCGTGAGGCGAAAAAGGCAAAGGACACAGACAAGCGTGCTGAGGCTGAGGCTACGCTCAACAACACGAAGGCGTTCTGCGAGTGGCTCGTTCAGTTCGTGAAGGAGGAGTTGCGTCCCGGCTCGTCTTACCAGCGTGTCACGATGTCATTGCGTATTCTGGCTGCCATGGCCAAATCCGGGCTTGCAGCAGACGTTGAATCTACGCTTATCGAGCCATCTGAGCTCAAGTTCCCCTTCCAGCTTCCCGTCTTCGATGAAACCATGACACGCCTTCTGATCGATCGTCTCCAGTCCGCATTCGATGATGCGCGGCAAGGTGCGATTGAGTTGCTTTATATGGCACCTACTCCCCTCGCTGGCTTGACTACGGAGGAGGGCGTCGCCAAGCTCCTTCAGAAGGCTGTTGGTCTGCTGGGAAGCACCCGTGCCGGTGAAGCTGATGGAGGTGCAAGAGTAGTCCAGGTGATTTACCATATCTACGTGAGCAAGGGATGGAACCTTTCGCTTGCCGATGCTAGTGAGAAATCTTACGAGGACAACAATGCTGCATTCGTGGCGGATTTGTTGAACGTTATCGAGGCTTATGCTAAAGCTGCTCACGAGGACCTCTTGTCCGCCGCTCAGACCAAGCCTTTGCATGGTCAGCTCACAGCCTTGCGGTACGTGCTCGAGGAGCTGGACTATGCGACGCCCAAGGTTGCCGAACATAAGGCAGAGTGGCTCGCTCTCCACCAACGTGCACTTGCTGTGTGTCAGGACATCTGGGCAGCTGTTCAGGGTGTTCTCACTCAGGACGCTCCTGAAGGCAACATCACGTCTGACGTTGACTACGAGCCGACCACCGAGATCGGCCCCACCACGCAGGTTATCTCCAGTTTCTCCTGGAGAGCTATCAAGGAAGCCGGTGCCCTTCTGGGCTTGCTGCTCACCAAAGCCCCTTACTCTGTGGTTGAGGGAGAGTCTTGGTTGTCCATCAATGACTTCTCCATTGGTGGCGAGCTGTTCCAGACTTGGTTGACCGACATTCGTCATCGCGGTGCTTTCGCGGCTGTGCACCCGCATTTTGTTGCGGTTTGTGCCAGGCTCTTTGCGTCAAATGACGAGCAGTTGTCTAAGTTGCCCGAGGCATGGCTCGAGCAGAACATGGGCTTGATCATCTCCAAGTCGCAGTATATCACTCGTCGTTCGGGTGGATTGCCTTTCTGTATCACCGGTCTTCTGTCCGCCGAAAAGAACCCTGCAAGGCCTTTGCTGAACCAGACTCTCGCCCGTCTCTTGGAGGTTGCGTCTCAGCCTGCTAAGGTCCTTGCGGAAGGCGAGAAGCTTGACTTGCCGCAAGTCCACGGTATGAACATCATCAGGGCTATCTTCATGGAGAGCAAGCTCGCCATCGCTTCTAGCAGTCTCGTTGAGAAGGCCTTTGCCCTCACCATCGCCTCCTTCTCTTCAGAGGTTTGGGCGATCCGCAACTGCGCCATGATGCTGTTCAGCTCTCTCCTTAATCGTGCCTTTGGAAACAAACGCTCAAGAGATGATTACTCGACCGTGAACAAGAGAATCACTAGTAAGACGTTCTTCGAGAAATACCCGTCGCTGCACCCCTATGTTCTTGCTGAGCTCCGTAAGAGTGTCGATCTCCTGATGAAGACTGGCGAGGCCAAGGTTGAGTCTGGTCTCTTCCCTGTTCTCACTCTCTTTGCGAAGCTCGAGATAACTCCTCAGTTGCACGGAGAACCTAGATGGACCGCTATGGATGAGTTCAAGGACCTTATCATGGCCTGTTCAAGTAGCCGGGTTTGGAAGGTTCGCGAGATGTCGGCAAAGGCATTGCCAACCTTCATCGAAGCTTCTGAAGTCACGCAGGCGATTGTTGACATTATGGCGAGATCGAACCTCTCTAACCAGAATGCGCTCCACGGAAACTTATTGCAGATTAAGTTCTTGCTCGAGACTAGGGCGACTCAGTTGGTCGGTACCGAGTACTTTGCTGACTTTGCGAAGCGCGTGCCTCAGGCTTTGTATGCCAAGTTCGTCGACTTCACTGCCAACAACGACAACTCTGTTACTCGAGGACTGTTTGTCGAGCTTTCCGGAACGCACTTCTTCGATCTCACCTGGCTGAAGAGGGCCGTCGCGCAAACCGATGCTGATATTGTGCTCTTCCTGGCCGAGTCCAAGGCTCTGCGATTGCTCGCGGCTGATTCTGGCGACCGCTACCTGTATCCCCAGAACCAGCCCGAGCACTTCATTGGTGAATCTCTATGGCGCGAGGCTCAAGCAGACCTCTTGATGAAGGCGTTGAATTCCGAAGACAGCAAGATTATTAGCAGCCGTCCGCCCAGCGGCACAGTCGTGCGACTCCTTCGTCATCCTCAATATGAGGCAAGACTGAAGACCTTGGAACTTCTCGAATCCGATTTCCACAGTCACAAGTTCGCTAAGTCACCCGACGTGTTGAACGCTATCTTGGCTATCATCGCCGAGGACTCTTTCGATCAAGTTCGTATTGCTGCATTGAAGTGCTTGCTTGCACTTCACAGCCATGCATCTGTGACTCAGTTGCCAGGTGACATGAACGAGGTGTGGAACCAGTTCATCGACGCTGTCCAGCACCCAACCTCTGTTCCTGCTCAGGAACAATCCTTGGCTGTTGCGGGAATTGTGCTCAAGCAGATCTGGCAATCCGCGTTTGCTGTTGACAAGAAATTCTCTATGTTGCAGACTTGGATCAACCTTCTCCAGGAATATGTGGACGAAGAGAAAGAGTACACTTCACGTATTGCGGCCCTAGAGTCTCTCCGGGCTTTCAGTCCTGAGATGGTCCTCTCCGCAAAGAACACCCAAGCCACGGAAGCTTTCCTCTCTATCTACATCATCCTTCTTGAGCTTCTCGAGGATGATGATGACGAGATTAGGGATGGTGCTGCCGAGATTGTGTCCATCGTTCTGGGCAGCTCCACCGTCTTCACTTCCCACAGGTCATCTGTCCTCCTTGCCGAGCGTGTTGCAGATGTGCACAAGTCCTCTTCCCAGCTGAGAGATCTCATCCTTGCTCATCTGTCTGCGTATGAGGGCACGGTTGACGTTTCTGAGCAACTTGAGAAGGCGATGTCCGTTGACGCTACCCTCTTCATCAAGGAGAAGCAGAACTTGTGGAAGGACGAACTTCGTATGGCAACATGCTGGACTTCCATGCTTGCTCGTATGGAAGTTCCCAAGGACAATGTCTCTGCATGGGCTGCCTCTAGCCTCGCAGCGCTCAAGAGCTTGAAGAAGGAGGATGGTTGCCTCGGATGGACATCGGAGGAGGACGTCTGGTCTATCGGTGCTAGGGCCATCATCTCTGCCAAGCTCTGCAACCTCAACGATGACTTGGCAAGCATTAAGAAGACGGCCGAAGAGCTCAACTGGCACAACCTCTGGAGAGAGCAGATGACCATTCAGTAAAGATTTTGGGATGCATATGATGGATCTGGGTTGGAACACGGCGTTATATCACGGGATTACTTCATAAGCTAGACAACAATACACATTTCATTTTGTCTATCCCTTTTGTTGTAGAAAAAGCAAACTCCAGGTCCCTCGGGATAAATAACGCGTAACAGCAATGCAAGGACTATATCAAAACATCATCTCCGAACCTCTTCTTTACATTCTCTGAACAGGTTTCAAACCCAACAACTCCATACCATTAGAAAGAACCTGTCTAGCAGCCAAGTACAAAGACAAACGAGCAGTGGCGAGCGCAGGCTCCTGGTTCGCAACCCACAAAACATCGTAACAGGAAGAAACAACGTGAGACATCTTGAACAAGTAGGTGACGATGGCAGAAGGCTCCTGAGTCTTCATGGCAGTGTTGACAACGTCGGGGTATTGAGCCAAGATGCGGATGAGGTCGCTAGCCTGCTGCTCAACGAGGAGATCGTAGTTGGAGTTCATGGTATCCTCGGACTTGTAGCCAGACTTGCGTTCAACGGAGCAGAGACGGGCGTGAGCATACTGCAAGTACGGTCCAGTGTCACCCTCGAAGGTAAGCATACGAGACCACTCGAAGGCATAGTTGTTGATACGCTTAGCAGCCATATCCTGGACCATGACGGCAGAGATACCGACGACATCGGCAATGTAATCTGGGTCCTCGACCTGAGCGTACTTGACCTCGTTCTTCTTCATCACGTCGTGCATGTTCTCCTTGGCAGTCTCCAAGATCTGGTCAAGGAAAACGGCGGTACCCTTACGGGTGGACATACCAGTGACCATGCCGAAGTTGATGTGGACACACTTGGAAGCCCACTCGTAGCCCATAAGCTCGAGAATCTTGAAGAGCTGGTTGAGATGGAGATCTTGCTGGGAGGCGACGACGTAGATCATCTTGTCGAACTTGTACTTCTCGTAACGCTCGGCGGCAGCACCGATATCACGAGTGAGGTAGAGAGTGGTACCATCCTTCTTCTGGATGATAGCCTTTCCGAGCTTTTTGTTGTAGGGGGTCAGGTCAACCAAGACCGCACCCTCATCCTTGACAACGATGCCCTTCTCCTCCATGATTTCCAAAGCCTTCTGCATGCTCTCTGGTGCAACCTGAGACTCACCGGAGTAGACGTCGTAGTGAACGTTCAGGCGAGAGTAGGTGTCGACGTACTTGGAGATAGAGAGGTCACGGAAACGAGCCCAGATAGCCTTAGCAGCCTCATCACCCTCCTCCATCTTTTTGAAGTATGCACGGGCCTCATCGTGAAGAGTAACAGGTGCCTCGTAAGTCTTGCCCTCCTTCTCCGCAGCCTCCTTCGCCGCCTTGATCTCCTCCTCCTGAGCGGTAGCAGCAGCGTTGATCTTGACGTAGACATCGTACAAGTGCTTGATAGGGTCCTCCTTGAGCTCCTCCTCGGTACCATACTTCTCGAAACCAATGGCCAAAAGACCGAACTGCTTACCCCAGTCACCGAGGTAGTTCATCTTCACGACATCCCATCCGCAAGCCTCGTGCAAGTTAGCCAAGAAGGAACCGATGATAGTCGAACGCAAGTGACCGGCGTGGAAAGGCTTGGCGATGTTAGGAGAAGAGAACTCAACGATGACCTTCTTACCAGCACCAGACTTGTTGGTACCGTAGGTCTTCTGCTCGTGGAGGATGGAGGGGATGACGAGGTTGTTCAAAACCTTGGTGTTGAAGAAAAATTGAAGGAAGACGCCGTTGGAGGTAGCCTGGGAGATGAGCGAGGAGGTAGGAAACTTCTCAGCCCACTGCGCAGCCAAATCGGCGGGCTTGGCCTTAAGACGGAGCCTGGGAACAGGCAAAATCAAGTCTCCATTGCCAACCTTGGAGGTGGTCTCGAGGCAAGAATAGATAGTTTCTGCTGGAATCTCGGAGACAGTCGCCAATTCAGTCGCGATGTACGATCGGAAGATGTCGAAGGGATTCCCCGTGGGGTTGGAGCCCTCGAAGGACTTGATCTCGTCCTTGATGCCGAGGTTGGCAAGGGTGCTACTCAGAGACTCGATAGACATTGTCCTTGGTACTGTATATGATCGTCGGCTGGGCAATGGAACTCTGATAGACAGCGAACGTCTAAGGGTCCTGAACATTAACAGTCAATGCCCGAGGCCGTCTCGACGCGACCGGGAATTTTAGGCTGCCTGTGCCCTGAATAGCTGGATTTGGAAAGATGAGATACGACGTCCTTGAACCGCAAGAACCCGTTATAAGCAGGATGGGTCTCGTCGATTACGGAAGCGACAGTGATGATGGGCAGGAAGTGCAGCAGCAACCCGCTGCTAAACCTTCAGGTCTCGCATCTATGCTTCCTCCACCGAAGAAAGCATCACGCTTGGGATCGATGTTACCGCCTCCAAAGAAGGGCGGACCGAGGAAAATCATGGTAAATCTGCCAGAATTATCAAAAGAAGGCATCGAAGACATCGGAGAGCCGAACCAAAAGAAGCCGAGGATTGGCGGGGGTGCCTCGGGATTGTCCGCCCTGTTGCCTGCACCGAAGCGGGCTCCAGCGGCACCGGCACCGGCTCCGCCGTCGGAAGATTCTTCCTCCACAGAGGAGTCAACGAATATTGGACAAGCCAAACGATCGACATTCCTTAGCACAACCATGCCTGCACTTGCTCCGAGGCAGATCAAGTCTGGCTACGCCACACCCAAACCCAAGCCAAAAGCACCCGCCCCGAGCGTGCCTCTATTCTCCCTTCCTACTCTGCCTACGGAGGACAGAAATACCGGTACATTTGACGCGTCAAGCTACAAGCCTATCATAGCGACCACACCTCTCCCTAAGCCCAGTCTTGCGCCGACGGCTTCTCCCCCTCTGGCCGATACCACACCGGCGCCTGCACTAGTTGACTCGAACGACATGTACGCCCCAAATGCATTAAATGGTCTGTACCCAAATCAGGTTGCCGCTGCGTACACCAATTACAACCCACAAGCCGGTGGTCACGCACAAATGGCCTCCCAACTCGGCGTTGACGAAGCAGTCCTCGAAAAATATGAAGGACGCCGACGCAAAGGCCAAAAGCCGATCACAGCAAACATCATCGACTACAACGTCGAAGAGCAATATAACCTTAACGAAGAACTGCTGCGCACTGGACAATTACAACCGCAGACCCAACCTGTCAGGGCTATTGCACCTGGAAGGCATCAGTTGTCGTCTTTGGTAAATGCTGCGCATAGTCAGAAGGAGAGTTTGGAGGAAAATTTTGCACAGGGGCGGAAGAATAAGAGTGAAGGAGGGCAGAAGTATGGGTGGTGATAGTCAAGTGATAGTTGATACTCCGCAATGGGCTGATAGATTTGCCAGCAAGATAGATCATGGGCTGTCCCCTACTCCCCAGTAGCATATTAAACTGGGGCAGACAACACTCAACAAATGAACTCGACTGAGCATGATGTCGACGTACAAGTTCCCACGAGTAAGCTGGGCCCCGTTTGCGCGCCAGCTTGTGTTTGCGGGACCCTGCAGGCCGCAAGACAACGAACACACAACACCAATCTAGGACGAGAACCAGCATACAGTCAAACGGGCAGTGAATGAGAGCAAGGTTTTGATTTCGTACGACCTGGTTAACGGTAAACAGAAGACGTCGGCGTCCAAATGTCGCTCCTACACGATCCTCAGTACGTTGAGTAGAGCCCGCTTTCGTGCCATTGCTGAGTCTTGCACGCACAGATTCGCTATCCACCGCCTCCGAACGTTGTACCTTCAGAACTCTGATGATGGCGTTGCTGAACGCGTTATCTCTCTCAACCCCGCCGCACTGAATACTCTGGCATACAAGCAAGCGGGTTGGACGAATGCCCAAACGCGACGATGTTATTCTCCGCCCATTCCAGCTTTCGGGGATATACCATTCAACAACACGCGACCTACTTTCAGAAACTCTTTAGATGACTCAGATCTAGTCCTTGCGGCACCTGCAGGTCGTGACACCAGACCAGGAAGTCGCAGGCTGAAACGAAGTGAGACGGGGACGAGTACGCAAAACGAGGGTTCAGAGTTCAGTGATGACGATGATTATATGGACGAGGAGATAGCGTTGCCTCAGAGCATGATTGCCTTTCCGAAGAGACCACTACGAATGGCAAGCAACACGAATACGTCTACACCGTCACAAGGGACGCCTATTGCAGATGATGATTTGAAGACCCCGAAGGTCCTTGTAACAGGGCCGTCTCGACCGAACAGTGCGTCGAGAGTGCCAAAGGCGGATATGGGTGAGAGTACGGCTCCTGCAGTGACGGATACCTTCAAGGATCAAGCGCGTAAGCTTGACCCCGTGCAGTCTATGGTTGCAACGCAGATGAACACGTCACCGGCGATGTCATTAGCGAACGAAGCCACTCTGAATGTTGAGCCATTCGAGGAAAGTGATGCCTCGGTGACATCATCAGAATATGCTGGTACGATCGGCTCAGATACTGGATTCCAGGCAATGTTTACTACACCTACTGCATATCACAAGCCTTTGCCCAAGCCACGACCAATATCAACTATCCAGCCTAGTAGTGCACTCACTGCTCTTTTCAAAGCGAATGAGGCTGCGGATCACAATCCGTTGGCGCATTACGCTGTATTCTCTGGAAAAGGAGACTTGAATCCGTTGCGTTTGAAGATCTACCGACCAAGCGGAGCACAGCCCACTGTTCCTTGGGAGGTTCTAATCCGAAGTACTGCTAATGTTGCCGAAACAATTGGATACGCGCTATATCGCTACCAGGAGGATGCCCTCATGCCTGAACTGGCGCCAGAGGAATTTGACGCAAATCGGTGGACTTTGAGGATTGTGGAAGAAGATGGTGAGCCCGATGAAGATTTCCCAGCATTGGATCGGAAGAAGATCATCTCAGAGTTCCGGTTTGATGAATTCGCTTTGGTTGAGGCTACCGAAGCTCAAGCCCTCGTAAACGAAGCGACTACGCCCAACCCGAACAAGCAATTCACTGCGAAACCCGCGGTGACCACAGACGGACCACTGACATCGGGTACACCTCCTACGCAGGCTGCTGTCAACGTGTCATCACCGAATACCACGCCACGAAAGTCTGCGAATTCCAAACCACTACCTGCCGAACCTCGAAACCTCAAAATTCGGATACATCCGCATACCGAGGGCGCGCCAGTATCTACTGTCTCTGTTATGCCGGAGACATCTATCTCCGAAGTGCTCGGTCAGATCTGTCGACGAAAGAACCTGGATAGGATCAAGTATTGTTTACGTATTCCGGGCACATCTACGTTGGTATCCAACGACAAGACCGTCGAATCTCTCAACAGAAGACTAGAGCTGGAGTTGATCAAGCGTAAGCTGATTGATCCGACGTACGTCCCTGGTGCACCTCTGACAGCGAACAACCTGCGGCAAGATATGCTCATGCCGGGATACGGCGCGGCAAACGCCGTCATCACCAATGCCTCATACCAGAAGTACATAGTATGGAGACGACAACCTATGAGCTTCATGGGCCGACACGAGCGTGTTTTGGCGATTGATGGAGATTATATCCACATCATGCCGTCCGAGCAGAAGACGTTATTCGAGAGCCCAAAGACGAGCAGCATCCACATTGGCGCTATCATCACGTGTAAGCAGTCAAGGAAGGTCCCGGCGAACTTCAAGTTTGTGGTGTTGAAGGCGAGGGAAACGAAGAGGTATGACTTTGAGGCTATCAACCCGAAGGAAGCGGCGGAGATTGTGTCGAAGGTGCGAACATTGATGAACTCGCTCAAGGGATAAGCGGCAGTATTCAGACTACGCGTGGATACATAGGGACATCTCAAGCTGGGTATCTTATAGTTAAACAAACCGAGATGTGAATGAGCGGATTCGGCATTGCTTTCTCGCGGACCCTTCCACGGTTGGTGGTGATTCAGGGGTTGCGGTCGTATGCATATGACGATTGATGCGCGAGTTCGCCGAAGAACACCGTAAACGAAGGACAGAGGAACCGACACGATATAACGAGAACGTCTCGAAATGCAGTCGCAGCTACCACCTAGACATCAGGTCTCCGAGAACGGCTCTGAGCGCTCCATCACCATCAGAAACTGGAAAGTAAAGTCGCGGAAACTCCCTATCCTCTCCTCGAAAGAGATCGACGACGCGAATTCTCGCCTTGGCATACCTATCCCCGAGATGATTTTCGGCAATAACGAAGTACGGATAGAGCATGCCTCGGGCTGGGCGATCAAGTTTGATGCGCTTGACGCGCTGGATATGGTGGATAAGACTGGCGAGACAATGTTGAAGGTTGCGTACTCTCAGGAATGGAATCAGAGCAGGGATACGAGTAGTGGGGATATCAAGGATGTGGTGAAGCCATATGATTGGACTTATACAACTTCATATAAGGGTACGGTGGTTGAGGGTAGCCAGCCATTCAGCGCCACATCGGACAACATCCCGCTGGACAAGCTAAAACAGCCAGACCCGATCCTATTCTACGATGAAGCGGATCTGTACGAAGACGAGCTACACGACAACGGCGCATCTCTACTGAACGTACGAGTGCGTGTCATGCCGCAACGAATGCTGCTATTAGCGAGGTTATTTATGCGTTTGGACGGGGTTGTATGCAGGATTCGTGATACGAGAGTATATGTTGACTTTGAGACGGATGATGTATTAAGAGAATATACGGCCAAAGAAGGAAGTTATGATGACGTGAAGAGGAGAGTACCCCCATGGAAGGCGGAGGAGACGGGAGTGTTAATGAATGATCCGATGTGGGTTGCGGAGCAGTTGAAGGTTGTGGAGAACATAAAGGAGACCGTGCGTCTCTAGGTCTTGAGATAGTCATGGGGGTGCAGAGAATGCGATGCTCGGTTGCTGTCGGCCCTATGATCTGGTCACACTGCCCACATCGGTGAATCCGACGAGCTAGGTACGCATGTCATTTCTTCAGCACAATCAAATACTCAATGAGCGAATATACTCAAATTGATCCTTAACATAATTCTAAACGGTCAATGCCATCTCCTTGTCGCAACTGCATCTTGACGGTTAAAGGTCTTATCCGCGCGTCTCGACCCGATACGGTAATCTTATTATGACATCCCGTGCGTGGGAATTCTGGACCATTGAGTCAACACCCAGAGCTCCTGTCTCTATCAGTATGAGCTTTACGAGATCTCCTGCAAGGTCGACGATGAGGGAGCAGCCTGTTCGATCGGAAAGCAGTGCATTCATCCCCAACGCCGTACCAGCAGCCCAACTCGTCATGACAACGTCGGCATCCCCAACTTTGGCTGTTACAGTGCTTCCTGGAAAGGTTCCGTCGATTGAATGCTCTCCATTGCTTCGACCTCGCGGAGGATCACGCACGCCTTCTCCCACGACGTTGAGCACCTTTTCCGCCGATCAACTCCAGCGTATCGACGAGGAGCAGCAGCTGGAGCAAAATCTTCACTCGCCTCACGTACCTTTGTGGAAGAAGCACGATGGTATTTTAGCCATGATCGCCTCCCAGTTCTTCTTTTGGGCTGTGAATGTCTTGGCGAAGATGCTGAGCAATGACTATGGCCTGCACACTCTCGAGATGATACTTATACGGATGAGGTTTGGGAATCAATGCATATATAGTATATGCGTCTGTATTAATGCCTTTGTCTAGCATAACATCGGCGGTTCTCCTCGGATATATGCACTACCATTCCTTGCCAGATTACTTCCTCGGTCCTTCCGGCGTGCGACTGCTGCTTGTTGTTCGAGCCATTGGTGGCTTCTGGGGACTGTTCGGCGTTTTCTACTCGCTGCAATATCTCACGCTCTCTGATTCTACGACGATTACCTTTCTCGGGCCAATGGTAACGCCGATATTCTGCTGGTTCTTCTTGAAAGAGGAGTACACGGTCATTGAGGCGTGTGCCGGCGTCGTCAGTTTTTCTGGAGTCATGGTTGTTGCAAGAGGCTCTCCTTCAACTGATGCTGCTGTGATTGGACACACTGGAAGAATTGGAGAGAACGTGACCGGCAACGTAGCCGAGGATGCCGCAATGACCGATGCGAGACAGAAGGTGTTTACCGTCGTGGTTGCAGTTGTCTGCATTCTTGCTGGAGCAAGCGCTGTAACTTCCATGAGGGCTGTTGGCAAGCGGGCTCATCCGCTGATTTTGACGCATTACTTTTCATCATTCTCGGCTATATTCTCTCTCATCCTTATTCCCCTTTCCGGCGTCAAATTCGTTCCACCAACACAGCCGATGGTAATTCTTCTCCTGCTTAGAACGATTGTCCTTGGCAACGCTGCTGTTCTCAGCTTGACGTACGGTATTCAACGCGTGAGATCTTCCAAGGCAAGCATGACTTCTTACCTGCAGTACAGTCTGGCGCTTGTTGGTGATTGGGCAGTTTGGGGGGAAACACCAGATAAATGGAGCTGGGTTGGAGGTACTGTCGTTCTTGCCGGGGCTACGGTGGATATTTTTGCCAAATGGAGATCTGAAAATGAGTCGGCGGGGAGGACGGATGAAGGGGTTTATGTTCCTCTTACAACTGTCGTATCGAAAAGTGATTCTGCCAGTGAGCAGTCTAAGAGTCGTTGATGATGCGCTTGGTAGAGCTTATGGACACAAGCCTGAATGGACTGTCTCAGGTGTGCGCATTTGTCGTTGTTTTTCCCACCGTTTGGTTACCTCTGATGTTTGATAACGAGGAGGGATGGTTGCATCAATCATAGATAGAACTTCAGAACCTTTTCAGTTCAAGCTCATAGATGTATACGTGCGTGCATCTATCATCGATATCACGTGAGTACGGGGATTGGGTGCGCGTGCAGATATGATGCTTCGACCTGCGTAGACTTTTGTGAGCGCGATACTTACCAGCAGGTATACGATCGACCCGTGGACATCGTGAATCCTTCAGCACAGCTTACACCCAACAGATAAACGATGGCGTTTGCTCTTCGCAAGCAGGTATGTGGTCTCCGTGCGCCTCGGTGAAAGGAAAGCGTCTGACTGACAATTCACTTCAGGCATTGAACATCGCTCAGCGCGACCTGGCATTTGCCGTCCGTACCTTCTCGAGCACCCCTCTTGCGAACGGTATTTTTCGCAAGAAAGTCGGCCGTCCTACGGGGCCCCCCACTCTCGAGACCCCCGGTGCTGCAGGCCTGAGACTCCAGAGAAAGCCGGGTGAGAAGTCATTAGACCCGGACAGTTGGACGTTCAAATTTCTCTTGTGGCTGACCCCCAAACTGGGGTACTTCAGCAAGACTGGTATTTCTATTTCAGCCTGTCGAGAACTTTATGCTGTTTGCGCTGAGATGGGTGCGCTGGATGGCCGTTTTCCTGCCTGTCGAGACTTCTTTTACCAGGATTGCAAACTCACACCCTCACTCACCACATGGTTCCAAATCACCCAGATTCACGTTTGGATGCTTCTTGTCAGAATCCGTGCGTTGCCGGTCGACCAGAAGAAGCGATATTCGCAGAGATTGGTTGACTATTACTTCGAGGACGTCGAAATGCGTATCAGAGGGCAGTACAAAATCACGAGTGGAAGGGTTGCCACGACGATGCTCAAGGACTACTACGACCAATTCAGAGGATCTACCCTCGCGTACGATGAGGCTTTGACCAAGGATGATACGGTTTTCGCTGCTGCGCTGTGGAGGTGTGTACAGAAATTTCGAATGGATACATTCACAAGGCTAACATATGTAATAGAAACGTATTCCAGACAACGCAAGAACCTGACTTGCCAGCACTAGCCGAGCTAGTTTCCTATATTAGGGCAAACTTACAGCATCTCGAGCGGCTCAGCGATGACGAAGTGGTGAATGGGAACGTTGAGTGGCAGTTACCGGACAGAGCAAGTGTTCAAGCAATACAGAGGGGTGAGCTCCCAACGGAAACAGAAATTTAAGATATTATGTAATGAAAAAAACGGGGTTCCTGTCAGAGTTGTCTAATGCCATACACTTATTGCAGATCAAACGCCTTGTAAAGAGTCTTTGCCGCATCCGCAACCTTCGGCGAATAATGTCTCTCCAACAACACAGTCTCCCACATAGTCGCTGCGTACGGGTTACTCAACTCCGGATCATCAACCAAAGCGTTGTATACTCCATTGCCTGTTCGGTCCTCAGTAGAGAACAACGCCTGTAATCTCGAGTACTTTCTTGCCATCTTGTGCATGGTGCCAAGAGAAGCCAAAGTCGACTTCTCCGGGAAGTTGAGCATAGCAACACCAAGACGCTTCGCCAGAGCAGCCACACGCACTGGTGGCACATTGCGCTGCTTAAAAAGAATGGATTCAAGCGAACGCACAACCATCTCCATCTCGGTAGCGACGTTGACTCTTGATGGACGGAGCTCCTGAGGGTTGTTTGGATCTTGCAATCGAGGAGTCTTCGAGGAGAACTCGACATCGGGGTTCAGCGATACCTGAAGTAACGTGGAGTACAGGTGATGTACGAATGTACTCAAGTCAAGAGATGCATGCGTGTCACCTTGACCTGACAGCAACGCAAAGGCTGTAGTTACACAAAGCAATGCTTCACGAGTTTCGGAGCGGCCGAGGTAATCGTTTCTGTCATCGCCATCATCGTTCGCCTCCGCAAGCGCCAACAACTCCTTCAATGCCTCCAACAGATCTCCAAAGAAATCGATGTTGATCAAATGAGCAAACTTTGCCAATCCTTCCAGAGTAGCACCCATCAACTCCTTGCTTCCTTCCTTCAAGATACGGATGTAGGTAACAAAGACAATCTTCAAAGTCTCACCCTGCATGCGATCCTTCTCCTCCTTGTCAACGATAGCCTCAGCTTCCTTCATCTCCTTCTCAATCTCCTTATCCTCCTTCGCCTGCTTTCGTTGCTTCTTGGTACGATGCTCCCGGTCCTTCTTCTTCATTTTCACTTGTTGCTCCTTCTCAACCCTCTCCGTCGATGCACGCTGGTTGAATTCAGAGAGCAGACGGAGGTGGAAGAAGGTGTTCAAAACGCCTTCGTCAACCTTATAGTGCCGTGACTGCATCATCTTCGCCAACAACTTCACCGCCTCCATAGAAGCATGACCCTCATCGTCCTCACGGAAGATCTGCTCGATCGCCAACCTGCACTTCTCGAACCCTTCGTCAACAGTCTTACGACTTAACCGTCCAATCACAATGTTCAGCAACTCAGTTCTGAAGTTAAAGTGGGGATGGGTGGTCAGTAACGTGCAGACAGCGTTGCAAGCGATCAGTGCCAAATTGGCATATTGGGATCCAGCCTCATGTTGCCTCTGGTCCTTCACCATAACTCCCAACAACTGGACATATGCCTGGTAGTTCCCAACAAGCGTCTCCTCGTGGACCCTCAACTTCTTCACGTCCTTGCTAACCTTTTGCGCCAATTCGATTTCCGTCAGTGGACGAATACGATATCCTGGGATGATGTCCTTGTAAACTGCGAGCTGAGTAACGAGGGCGAGCTTGACGATCGGGAGGTCGGGCGACTCAGAGAGTTCGCGTAGACGTTTCAGGTTGAAGATGTTCTCTTCGGGATCTTCGATAAGGTCGTTGGCGAGCTTCGCAAGTTCCTCCTTTGCTGCGAGAACACGCTGCTTCAGGGTAAGCTTCTTCTCAGGCTTCGCTTCGACCACATCGGGCTCTGGGGTTGCTTCCTCCTCCTCCTCTTCCGATTCTGATTCCTCTTTAGTGGGCTTCGGCGCGGCCATCTTGATCAATCGTCCTTCCTTGGTCTTGATAGGCAATCTGGTGCTCTCCTGTACAGTCTTCATCACTCGCGGTCTCAGCTCGTAGTCCTGCTCTTCCTCCCAATCTCTGTGCTCCTCGTCACTCTCATTCCAGTCCTCTTCGTCATCTGACATATCAACAGCCTTCCGCTTCTGTTTTGGCTTTTGTGAAGCACCTCGCTCGTATTTTGGCTTCGGCGCCCTCTTCGCAATTGCATTCGTATCAACGGTGAAGCCCTTGAAGTGCGAGTCGAATCCTTCCATCACGGCGTCGGATACATCGGAGTCGTCATCACCGTTGGCGGTAGGAACGTGAATCACTCGGGTGCCGGCCTTATTCTGAGCTCGTCGTTCGTCTTTGGCGATTGACTTGGCGGTCTTGACCTTCTTTACGGCAGGTTTTTGTGCGACAGCATCCTGGTTCTGGTTCTGAACCTGTTGCTTCTTCTTCGGTTGCTGACCGCCGTTACCCTTCTTGCTCCTTGCCTTGTTCGCAACCTTGACCGAAGCACCCATGATTGCTTCCTTTGTACACGTTCTGATGGCCCGAGGACCCTTGGAGTTTAGACTTTTTCGTAGCGCTATCCACCACCGCCACAAATACTGCTGCGTGCAAAATGCTTGACGTGCATCATTTTACCGCGTCTTCGTGCAGGACGCGACCATCCCACCAAACAAAATACCCTGGACGGTCAATCCAGTCAGGTCTTGGGCCGACCACGAGCAGCTTTTGATCGATCTCGCCCTCGAGGAGCTCCGTCATGATCATATGGTCGTCGAAGGCGTCAACAAATACTCCCTGAAGCACAACATCGCCGCCACGCAGGCGGGGCTGTTCCCTGTGAGAATGGCAAGTATGTGACTAATGAACGAGATGTCTCCTTCGACTCGTGAAAATACTGAGACTAACTAACGAATGATAGCTACACCCGCTCAGCCGCTCGAGCGGCCATTTGACAGTTGTTATCAACGGAAATCCTTGCCGGTCAGCGCATAACCACAGCCCGTGTACAAACTGCAGATCTTTTCTAGATCTGTGTTGATATAGTTGATCGCTTTGCGGATAAAAGAGGGAGTGTCGAGACGGGCGTCAGGGTTGTGGTTATTGCGCTTCATCCAGGCCTTCATCATGCTGAAACAGAGCCCGATTGGGTTGAGGTCGGGCGAGTATGGTGGTAAGAAAAGAATGCGGCACCCATGTTGGTTCACTAAGATTTCAGCAACCCTTGGGTCATAATGAATTCGACAATTATGAAGCAAAATGACACTGTTTCGACCAGGGAATGGACCAACAATAGGTAGCAGGTCCTCTTTGATGATCGACAAATCGGTCAGCACTGAAGGACCCCTGAAAGATGCGTAGCGCCTTCAAACCTTAATAGTCAATGCCGGCAGCACACTCCAACGTGTCGAATGTCCAAAGACCCTCTCCTGGATGGCGCGGGTGCCAGTCGGTGAGTATCCAAATTTTCGTGAACCTGTGCGCTCATCCACGGCTGATTTGCCGAAAAATACCAGCTGCTCTTGAGTGTAGTCAGCCATTTCAATGGCATGGTTTGCGCGTAAGATGGGGTTACACTGGGCTGCCCGTAAGGTTAAGACCTTACAGGTATATCCAATCTTTTGCAGGTAGCGGGTGACATGGTAGCGCGATAAAGATGTAGCGGATTGATCATTGAGAAACTCAGCACAGTCGTCTTGATAGAGGGTGGGGTTTTTGTCGTAGAAGTACTTGATTTGCTGCGGTCATTTAGTGATGCCCTTGGTGGTACCCGTAAGCGGTAGTAATCAACTTACCAAGCCCAGAAACTCGTCAATAGCCGGTTTGCGCCCGTAGGTTGAGTTGCCCTTACGCTCAGTAAGCCTTGTCTCCTCGACTCTCTTCACAATGCGGTAAACTGTGCGAGGAGACCTCTCTATGTTGGTCGCAATATCGTAGACATCCTTCTCAGAAGCATATGGGTTGATTACCTTTTTGCGATCGACATCGGAACATATTTTCCCAAGCATTTTCAGCCGTTATTGAGTTTCCTAGACCTTTTATCGAGTCGTTTGGAGGTATTTTCTCTCACGCTTACAGGGGTCTCGCGCATGTACGGAAATGCGCGTCAAGAATTTTGCACACACCAGTACGTCGCACGTACCCATCAACCACCGCGGCTGATGAAGATTCCTGGAATAGCGAATAGGTTGGCCAGAAGAGGAGACATGTAAGGGTTACAATATCAAATAACAACAAGCACGGAACGCACCTGCGGGTATGAAGGTTATATATGCTAACCACAAAATACTTCCACCTATCTTACTGCTCGATTATAGAACTAAAATACCATTTTTGCCCTCAAAGGTACTTCTTTGGTGAGTCTAACCTTCTCTTGAACCAAGCATAACCACCGAGGACAGCGATCTGCAAAGCAAAGATGAACATAAGTCCTGACCACCCAACAGCAGACTGAGGGATGCCCATCATGGCGGTAGTGACGGTGTCTGGCAGCGATCCGAGGACCGAGGAGGTGTGCTCGCGCATGATCTTCTCCAGAGAATCTAGACGGGCAGTCAGACGAGACACCTCGTCCACGACACGTTGTGTTTGAGCGCGGGAAGCAACGTCACTACCACCCAATCCCTGACCAACCTTATTTTGTAAATCCATGACAACACGGGTGATAGCATCCAGTTGATTGTCAACACGGTCAATGAGGGACTTAGATGCCTGCAAAGAATCCATGCGACGAGTCAAGGAGGAGAACTGCATCTCCAAGCGGTTGATCTGTTGAGCGAGACCGGGTGTTGCGCCCGTGTCGACGGGTGCTTCGCGCTGTACAGGAGGAGGGACAAAGTGACCCTGCTCTTGGCCGCCGGGGGGTGCAGGCATAGCAGCAAAATCGCTACCCGCCAAAGGAATGACCTTGAATGTGAACAACTCGTGCGTATCGGGATGATCCGTGCTAGACGCCGACAATCCCCAGTAGTTTCCCCTTGGCAACTCCACCTGATTCGTCTCAAAACACAGATTTCCATTCGTCTCAACTCTCAGCCTTCCGTCTGACTGCACGATCCGTACCCGGACCATGTCGCCGGTGTTGCGATATTTCATCGCGCATGAGCCAAAGGCTTGTCGGGAGGGATCCTCGAGGCTGGAGTATTGGATGCTTCGGTCGTTAAGATGACCACGGACGAAGCCAAGGCCGCCCTTTCCGGTGGAGAAGGTTAGGGCGAGACCGTCCCATTTGTCTTTGGAGCCGAAGATTGGACCTGATTCGCCGCGGTCTGCGGTGTACCTGTGACACGCTGTCAGTAACATGCCGGTAAAACTAATTGTTGGAAACGAGCTACCAAATTGCCATTCCGTTGTTTCCTCCTCTTTCCTCGCCTGATACACGGAAAGTGGCTTCCGCAGACCAAGAAAGATGTCCATTCTTGATCTTATTCCAGATAGCACCGACCTGATTAGGTTTCGCAGGGGTCAACTGGAGGCGATCAGTCTGTAGCGATATGGCGCCGAAGTGATCCCACTCGCCATTGAGCTTGACGTTATTATCGGAGAGCGGAGTTGCGAGGGAAAGCTGTGTGTCTGGGGTGAATTCCGCTGAACTTAACGAAGCAAGCAGCAGGGGAGCCCATGCTATGAGAGTGCTGAGCTGCATAATCATGGATGACAATGGCAGTGTCTATCCAATTGATGGGGGAATGCTCGATAATTGATACGTCGCAGTTTCGGAGGAGTTCCGTGCCTCGGTACATCATGGGCACAGCTTCAGCACGTGCGCGCGTCATCGCGGGGACATTAACGGCGTGGGAAGAAGAAAGAACCTTGCAAGTGTGCCTGTAGAGCCGCGAGTCGCAGCGGTAAAGTTGTCTGTCGATGTCTTGAAACCAATACTGAACCTCCAATAATACGTGGTGATTTTGCAGAGCATCATTCACGTACCGAATTTACACAGATAGGCGCGCGCAAGTAATATGGTTTCCCACAGTGGTACAACGTGCCGGCGTTGTCATGGTGAACAGCCCCTGCATGCGTCAACAAACAGGTGGGTTCTGTTGTAGCATATACCAGCTTGGCAGATACAATAGCAACCCTATCGCTCATTGCTTAGCTACGCCTTCGCGAATCGACATTCCGTAATAATTCGCAGTCGCTTTGATCCTGGATTGACAGATCTTTACCTATGGTCAAGGAACACGTCGCGGGCACGGTCCAGAGCACCCCGCAACGTTCTCAAGATGAACAGGTTACATCGCCCTTACAAGACCTGAGCCCGACTGCCCGTCGCCTAAACCTCGAGGGACGTGTTGGAAAAAAAGAACCCAAAGGATTTGCACTTAACTTATGGAAGGAACGGGAGGCTAATGCTGGAAAGACGGAGAAGGCCAACCGAAGAAAGAGCGATATCGTGCGTCTAGAATCAGCATCGTACGTGAGCAAGAGCCAGTTCGTTACAAGTCCTCAATTAGAGCAGACTGGCTTTGATCTGGAATCAGCAGCGTCACCAAATATCAAGGATTACCCAACGACAACGGCGGTGACCAGTTCTCCGTTCCTCGCCCAGTCACCAACATTTGAGCTTCCGCCTACAACAAACACCTTGATTCGTCCAAATATCAAGATTAACACTCAGCTTGGTCCTTCTGAGCATGAATTTGACAGCATACAATCGACTGCTACCGACTCCGCCCGGCCATCATTGGCGAGAACAACGTCTGTGGCAAGTACGGACGCCAGCACGCCGGAAGATATGCAGCCTAGAGATGCGGCGTTACCACAGGATACTCCAACGCGCAAGAGCAGTCTTAAGCGGCGGAAGACGGTGACCTTTGACGACGCGCCCGACAAGATCCACGTGCTCCCAAGGGTGTCATTATCGCCCACCGGAAGCTCGGTGTACACAGTGTCACCAGCGTTGGAGCAGTATACGGATGACGAGGAGGAATATGTCAATGATGAAGACATCGAGATCACTCCTGCCGTTGAGCCTATGGGTTCACCTTCGAAATTCAATGGAAGGTCTCTTCCAGCTGTACCTGGCTATACCCTTCACAACTCCACAACGCGGCCTTTACCAACAGTACCACATTACGGAATGCACAAATACGAAGAAGACGCATCTGTGTACGAGCCGGAGCTGCCCGTTGCAGGTGCCAAAACCTTACTTCATGATGCTCTCGGTATATCTGTGGAGACGGTCGAGCCGATTGAGTCTTCACAAACTCAAGATGCTGTAACCGCGCCTTTTTCCTCGGACTCTGCCGAAGATTCCGAAGATATCCCGGAAAGTGGACGTTTCGATTTTCAGGACCTCGCGCAGATGGAAGAGGTCAATGATGCCTTGCAGAAGCGACTTTTTCATCTTACTCTCAACGTACCAGCGGCGGCAACGAAACAGGAAGACTCTCCGGTACTCGATTCTGCCTACGACTCGTTGCCTGTGACTGGTACCTCTTTGCGCCGTCAAGATTCCCTTTCTGAAGCTGACCGAATCATTCCCACGTCGCATGTTAACGAAACGCCCAAGAACAGTCTCTTCAGTATCAAGGAGTCATTGCTGCATGAGGAGGAGGATATTGATACTCCATCAGACGATGAGACAGTTGACGCTGCTCAGGCTGAATTGAACGCATGGTTACCGGAGGACTTTCCAACGGAGCACAAAAAGGCTGATGTGACTCCAGTTCTGAACATTGAGGAGCAAGTTCTTTTGCGGGATATCCCGGAGACGGCTCCCGTCACCGAGGAGGAAGTTGTGGAAGAAATCAAAGAGGTGGAGGTGGAACGTCCACGAACACCAGAGCAGCAGATCCAAATTCAAGAGGAGAGGAAGACGCCAGCCCTAAAGTCACTTTCCGACTTCAGGCCGCCGTCTTTGGTGCTACCAGAACTTTGTGGCCTCGGTGATCTCGGTTTCGACTTGGGACAATACTTGTCTAAGGAGGAGGCTGAGCCTATCAAGCCTGGATCAGATGACTTCAGAAAAGATCCCATGAGGACTCACTTGCCGAAAACTCCAGAGCACCCTCTTCGATTCTTCCATTCCGATACACCTAGCTCGGTGGCGTCGTCCCCAGGCGGTATTCCGCTCTCTGAAGCCACCATCAGACCTCCCAAGGGCTCGAAGCTCAAGGTGAGGCCGAGCCTGACTCCTGCGGACGTTTCGGCTATGGCCGCTGCTCGTCGCGAAGCGGAAGCAATGTTGAAGGAGGAGGTTATCTCATCCACAAGCAGCGAAGACGGCGAGGACGACAGCTTGACAGCGAAGTACCTCACTCCTAAGAAGGACGCGACGAGCACAATGCCGAAGCTGGACTTCGAGCTGCCCTCGTCTACGACTATGATGTTTGGTGATTTGGCAAGCGAGATGGACCGTGTCTTCGAGAAGCCCAAGCCGAAGTACCTCGTCCGACAAAACTCCAGCGTCATTCATGCCAGCAGCAGTGTTCGTGTACCAAGGCAGCAGGCTCACAGGAAGAACGACTCTATCATGGTTGAGCCATGGCAAGGGTCCACTCCCCAGAAAGCTCAGGCCTCAGCAGCGTCGCAGAAGGTTTCTCAGACGACTGCGAGTCGTGCGGTTGCAAAAACATCTGCTGTCCAATCGCTCCTGAAGCCCGAAGATGCTGTTCGACCGAAAGAAGTCGCGCCTCCCACGCCGGTTAAGGATGCTGCTCCAAAGCAAGTCCGTCGCGGCAAGTTGTTGTTCAAGATCCTGGAGATCAAAGACGTCGAACTGCCCATGGGCGGTACTATCGAGCGTCCTCAGTTTGCATGTACTGTCGACAATGGAAAACACCAAGTCACGACCCCTTGGCATGTGCTCCAGAGAAGGGTTGCTTTGAACCAGGAGTTTGAACTGCTTGTCGACGGCGACCTAGAGTTTACCGTCAGTCTTCATATGAACATGTCACAGGTGTCACGACCACGCCTTACACACCCTAGCACTAGCCCCACCCGTCCCAAATCATTTCTCGGCAAGATTCTACGGTCGCCGAAAAAGGGGAAGGAGGATCCATACCAACCCTCCGTGTACGAAAGCATGGTGTCAGGCAATGGTAACTTTGCAAGGACGCACGTTAGCTTTGACCAGTATGAGAACGCTGCTTACGGTCAAGCGTACACGACGGAAGTGGCTCTACAGAACTTTTGGGCTGTAGATACTTCTACAGTTCAATCAAGTATGAGGAGTGGGAGGAGCTCGCCGGTCAAGGAGACCCCTCGTATCAAGAAGAAGGCATACCCCGTCTGCAAAGCAGTCATCCAGATGTTCTATGCGCCAGGGACTGGAACCAGCAAGGATCCTCTGCCAAACAGCATGAAGTCCGCGTTGCGTCAAGTGGCAGAAGAAGAAGCATGGCAGACCCAATTGCATTGGGAAGGATATCTTACTCAGCAGGGTGGTGATATTGCTCATTGGCGTCGTCGCTACTTCCGCATTGAGGGGTATGAGATGTCCGCTTACCACGAAACCAACATCAAGCATCGTCGAGCCAAGTTCAATCTCCGCAAGGCGTTGAAGCTAGTCGGGGATCGGATGTCTCTTACTCAGCCCGAAGTTAAGGGTGCCGGAAGGGCGAGGCGAAAGAGTGGCTTCACCTCTGACGAAGGCGGAATCATGTACGCTGATCGTGGCTTCCGTTTATTCTTCAAGAACGGAGAGGCGATCGACTTCTATGCCGATACCGAGGAAGAAAAAGAGGGTGCGATGAAGTCCCTTGCTGAAGTCATTGGTCATGAGGAGAAGGGGTGGGTGATGAAGGTGTTGGAGAAGCACGGCAAGTTGCCAGGTGTGAAGCCTGCGACAAGTGCCTGATTCCTAGCAATATTGTTCCGGGGTGTTCTTGCATTGTTACCATTATATCTTTACTCGTGTGTATGCTTAGATGGAGCTTTTCGAGGTGAGGTTTCGGCTGATATGGCGTAATACAAATTGGATACCATTGCTTCCTGCGTAACACCCTGGGTTGATTATGACCTATGCTTCCCACTACTGACAACCGTCTCCACCATCTTCAAATTCGCCTGGACGTACTCCACCTTCTCACTTCCAGCCTTCAACCACGGTACATCCATCGGATGCACCTTCTCGCACAACCTCACCAACCCCTCCATCTCCCCCCCCTGCACACCATCCATGAGTCCAATCACCCCGACACGTCGTAGACCGAGGATTTGTACTAGACGAGCTTCGGCGCCGCGGGGGAGGGAGACGAGACGGGTTGTGTGTGTGGTGAGGAGAGCGGTGAGGGTCGGGAGGTGGGAGAGGAGGTGGTGTGGGGTGATGTCTGAGCGACAAGCGAAGACATACTTGATTTGTCTGTCGGAGGATGGAGGTGGGGGTGGTGGGGGAGTTGAAAAAGGGGGTTTGAGTGTTGATGGGAGGAGGCGGCGGGCTTGGGATTCGAGGTGGCGGGTAGTTGAGTTTATGCCCATTGTGAGGTGATTGGCGATTTTTGGTGCTTCGACGGCTTTGCTCGATGATGGGCCAGGATCGACGTCCATCGCATCGTTGGTGGATGCTGGGTTTGCGGGGGTATTTTGGGATTTGGAGGCTCGTCGTCGTTTCCGGCGATTGATCTGTGAGGTTTTGTTAGGGTGTAGGATGCGGTGATCACCCAAAGGTTGGAGAAGGCTGTAACGCATTAGCCAAGTACTTTCAAAGTGGAGGCTGTTATGCTACCTGCAAAGAAGCTCGAGGATCCGCTCCTGATCTGCGGGATCAATGACGGGCCATGTAACGTTGTATGGCGAATCCAGCACGGCCTTGAAGACGGTTCGTTTCTGGTCTTTCTTGGTAGCCTGCGCACTATGCGTCCTAGCAATTCCCGGAGCAATTCCCTGTGCTGGCGGCATTGTTTGGTTGGTTCTCACGGTTTACCTCGTCGTCGTTTCGCCTCTGTGAGATTTCGGTGGTGCGGCTGCAGACCCCCTGCTGCCAAGTGCAAAATTCTTGACACAGCGCGCCTTAGCTGCATCTGCGGGGAATCAGACCAGACCACAAACAAGCCAACAACTCCATCATGGGATGGCTGATCACAATGCAAGAATTCTGGCCTAGATGGAAGTCTGCCCAGCCAAATATGCATGCTTGACAGCGGACGCTTGAACTGCCAGTTTTCGAGGCCGTGGACGACTGAAAATTTGATAGATGCCTCATTGTATATATGTCTTTATTGTATCAAGTTTTCGCTTCATTCTAGCTCGTGGTTGTTGAGCATTAAGCTTACGCAGTCTCTGTACTCAAATACAACGGTTTAGGTGGTGTAATTTATGCACATAGCCTACTGAATGGGTTAACTGCATGACTAAACCCCGACTTAGTGCCTGCATTTAGACACCCGTACAGTCGTTTTGTGAGGGGATGTGTCCGTGGGAATTCAAGTCGTCAGAAAATACATATAATGCTTACTTTGACTATTTATCATCATCCGCAAGGATAGGTTCAGGTCCCTGCAACTCAGCAGCTGCAAGCAAGGTGTCATGAACCGAAGAACTACTTCGAGTTTCATGATCTACTCGAGACTCGATTTGTCTCGGGTCCTATTATGGCTCATCTTATCTTCACTCCTCTCGTTCAAGATCTTGTTCTCGGCGCCACCGAGTTAACTACATGTGGAACGCCACCGCGCAAGGGTCTAGACCCTCGTCCGAAAAACTGTATATAAGGAAAGGCCCTATGCCTTCCTTTAGAGCTTCACTGGTTAACTCAATAAATTTGTCTCTCTATTCGAATAAGTAATTCGGTCATCTCGTCACACCTCGTCTAACTCGTCAGATCTCGTCCCGAAGTACTTGCAGTATCCCTTTTTGTCTCAACCACATTACCCAAGGCCATTTCACGACTGCTGTCGACATAAGCTGTAAGCTGTTCCTGGGTTAATGCCTACCCGCAGTTCGTGAACATGTTGAGGAGTTTGTCGCTTTGTGAGTTGATATAGTCAAGTGCGCGGCGTATGAAGTCTTCAGGTTGTGACTTAGCAAACTCATGCTCGTTGTTCTTCTTCATCCAGCTTTTCATCATACTGAAACAGAGCTCAATTGGATTTAGGTCTGGGGAGTAAGGTGGTAGGAAATGGATTTGACAGCCGGCTCTTTCGACTAGCAGTTCAGCAACCCCTGGATCGTGACGACTACGACAATTGTCGAGTACAACAATGCTATTGGGACCAGGGTAAGGCCCTATGATTGGTAGGAGTTCTTCTTTGATGAATTCGACAAAGCGGTCAGCATTGAAAGACCCCTGAAAGAACCACAAAGCACGGAGACCTGTCGGGGTGAGTGCCGGCAATGCACTCCAGCGCTTGGAGTGAGTGAGAGTGCGGTCTTCAATGGCACGGTTTCCAGCGGGAGCACAGCCAAATTTGCGGTGAGCGCTGCGCTCATCAACGGCTGATTCATCGAGGAAAATAAGCTGATCCTTAGTGTAGTAGGCCATTTCAATCGCATGGTTTGCCCATAGCATTCCATTACGCTGCGCTGCCCTGACGGTGAACACCCTACGGGTATATCCAACCTTGTGGAGGGAGCCCATGATCTGGAAACGGTTGAGATTGCAGGCGAAGGCTTCATTCATGAATTTGGCATAGTCTTCTTGGTAGTGAGTAGTGTTTTGGTCGTACAAGTACTGAATTTACTTCATACCATTCAGTGAATCCCTCCAGTAGCTCCACCTTACTCACTGCCCCTAAATGTTCGTCGAATTGTGGCTTGCGTCCACAAGTACGATGACGGGTACGCTCACTGGTGTCCTGCTCTTCATACCTCTTGACAATTCTATAAACGGTGTGGACTGAAGTATTTGCGATTTCACTGAGTGTGATGGGATTGGCTCCACTGATGTAATGGTGGATAACTAGACATCGGACCAGGTCGGAAATGATCTTCCCATGCATTTTTGGCTTATCCTGGCCTTCGTAGGCCTTCAATGGAGTTGTTTGGAGGTTGTTTTACGAGAGGGTATGCAAGATTGTGCGCACCTGCAGTGAGTTGTGTCAAGCATTCTGCACTTACTGCTTCGTGCAAAATTCTTGACGTAACTTTCCCATGTGTGCGCGAATCGCAAACTCCATATGACAAAAACCCCTAAAACAACATAGATAAAGGCCTCGGAGGTCGAGTAAGGGTTCAAACTGATCATACCTATCCTTAGCAATCACGTCGTGCCACCGATTTTGGGCCACAAGGCCTCTCTCAGTCGCTTCATGCTGAAAAGGTGTTTTCAGTTATAAGAAAGAAACGGACCCTGGAAGGTACTACAGATGCTGCTCTGGGTCCCATGAGATAGAAAGAGCTTAGATGAACATGTTCTGCGGGTGTTTTTCTTGATGCTAACAGTTTTTGAGGTTTGTGGATCAAAGAAGTGTTTTCGATGCTTTCATGCATGTTCATGCAACATCATGCACATGCGCCAAAATCCTTCATAATGTCACAACTCTATGAGAAACAGTACTACACGCGTTTCGAGGACATCTATCGATTCCTAAGAGTCTGATCTATCGACTTCTATCCTGAAATCGCCCTCCCAAGCCTTGTCTATGAAGATGGGGGGTTCATGAAACTATCCCCGCGCAGATAGGCGGTAAAATGCGCCGCGTCAAGAATTTTGCACACAGCAGTAGCTGTGAGGCCTCGCACGCGTACGTCAAGGTGGCGCTGTAACGTAGACAATCCGTCAATGACCGACAATGGCCAGTGAAGAAATTCCTGGTGATGGCGTGGACACGAAGATTGAGGAGTCAACAAACGTGAAGAACGGACGTCCGCCTCCGATTGATGAAAGTGACCGTAATATACCGGCAGCGAAGAGGCAGGCTACTATGGAGGATGGGCAGGAGAGTCCGGTGCCGCTATCGATCACGGCTCTGCAGGTTGAAGAAGTTGTGACGACTGATAGTCCGGAGACTGGATCTGACAGTAATACTGTCGACATACAAGTTGGACAATTGGCTATGCGGACGCCGGAGGTTGTTTATGAGCCCGGTGTCACACAAGAGCAAGAGGAAGAGGAAGTGAGGTCGAGCGCGACAGTTCAATCAACAAGTTCTGATACCGACGAAGTTATGGAGATTGCAACAACCGATTCAGAGGATCTATGTATTCTGGAAAGCCTTATCGAACGACACAATGCCGGTGATAAGAGTTTCGATTTGGCACAGGCTATCATCGATCAAGCCTGTAGAGACGCACGTGACGAGGATGAAGACCGAGCTTGTGCAACCATCGACCTGATCACGGTTTGGCTCCAGCAGGCCTTCCCCGATGTTAACGCCGCATCAGACAGCAACTCTGTTCCCTTGGAGATCTGGGGAATTCTCGCTCTGTTCATTAAGACCGTTCTCGACAACAAGTTGCACAGCTACAGACTACGCACGGAGGATCTTGTCGTAGCTCACCATAAGCTCTTGCACCAGGCTACGATATGGTGCATTCATGCTTTGAGGAAAGAGCTGCAAGAGCCCGGCAAGCCTTATGACAGGTTTTTTATATCCGCTCTAGGTAGGATGGTCCGAGAACCCTTTTCCCCAAAGCTGTTGACCAAGGCAACGCCGCCGCTGCATGCTTTCATCCTCATGGATGGGTTCACGTTATTGGCGGACTATGCCGCCATCCAATTTGCCCCAACAGCGCCGGGCACGTTCGAGGATCTGCTTCTCTCGCTAGCTTCTTTTGCGGACATCTGTATTTGCTCGGATAAACGTTCATCCTGGCTGATTGAGCTAGATGAGCAGGAAGTAGCTGAGTTAGATGTGATGTTGAAAAATATCGAAAAGTCCAAGCCGGCGATCGCGTCGCTTAGCAAGACTGCGATAACATTCTTACAGTATGCTATTGGGAGTCCGAAACCACCGAAGAAACCGGATATTGATAAGGATTTGGAGCAGCTGAGGAAGGTCTGGGCGTACTGGTGTGACCGCAACGCCTCGCTGTGCTGGACGTACGCCCCAGAGGACTCCCCACGCGACATCCGAAGCCTCGAACTCGATCTGATCCTTTTCATGCTCAAATCATCAGTGTCTGAGACAAGACTCGTGGGGATAGATATTCTCAGTGATACCGTCGTGCGAATCCTCGAAAAGGGACGACAGTGGAATGGATATAGTGGTCCGAATATCTGGGACCAGTGGCTCCTCAAATGGATGAGGACTGAGGATGTGGTGGATATTATATTGGGACAGGCGCCGGGAAGTGTGGTTTCGTTGTCCATGATTCGACGGAGTACTCGAAAAAACATCACGTTATGGTTGTACTTTGTCATAAACAAGGTGGTGGACGAGCCCCTGCTCCGGGCTGTATTAAGAGCGGCGTGTTCAGTGCGGGATGAGGCCCTCAAAGCCGAGATGTGGGAGATATGGAAGACGCTCGCTGGATCTGAGATCAGGGCCGCGAGGATCATGTTACAGCTCTTGACCGAGTTGCCTATCTTGGCGTTCCAGAAGGTCCATTTGATGAATATGGTGTGGAATCCGATGAACCGCTTTTTTGAACATGCGCAAAAGGAGCGGGAACACGCGGATATCATCGTCATGCAAACGCAATATGCGCTGTTGAGGAAAGCTGCTACAGCGGCGGAGGATACGACAGCGAGTCTTGTGGAGGTGACGAATGGGATCGATTTGTATGACTTTGTGATTCGTACTCTGGAGTCGACCAGGACGCACTGTCTTCCTGTGAAGGAGGATCTGAGAACTGTTGTTGGGCAAGCTGTTGAAAGCGTGAGGAGCGAGGCGCCATGTGTTTTGGCTGATGCGATTTTCATCTATGATTTTGGTGCTGCGTACTTTGCGGACTTGCTTCCAGATGCAAGAGAGTTGGAGCGGATATATGTTGACGATCTGTTAAAGTGGATCGGCCTCCAGAGGGCGCTTTCTTTCAAAAGCGACGCGAGGAGTGTCCACGTTGACAGACTTCTGCATACCAGGTTATACCGTTGGGGACAGATGGGACGTCTGTCGTCCTGGCTCTATATGCAGGATGAGGAGAGGTTTGAGCGTGTATGGGAGGCTCTCGTGGTGAATCCTCTTTCCGTTACTGCTAGGGAGGAAATCTTCGCCATTTTCAAGACTTGGGCGACGATGAAGGAGAAGTATGGGTTGCCGTTGACTATTCTCACGAGGATGATGAACCTGATCGAGCCTTCGTCCCTAACCATGAGTTCGGTGGGGCTTGTTTACGCTGTATCGTTTAAGTCATCGATTGAGACGCCAGGCTTCGCACCCGCGAAACTATTTGAGTTGTTGTGGCCCTTTCTCTTGGGTTGCTCGACGTCCGAAGTCTTTGAGCAGATGAAGAAGTGGACGGTTAATGCCGTTTTGGCGCTGCATAAAGGGCAGAATGCTGCTGAGGTTGAGGATAGAGACGCCTTTCATGCTCATGTTATGGAGGTTTGTATCAAGGAGCTTCAAGAGATTGCTTCTCCATTTGCGGAGAATCCTTTAATGCCAGAGGAACATCTCGCTCGGTTTCGGCGTGTGCTACTGTTTATGTATGGCTTCATGGATGGCTACAATGAGAAGATCTCACGGTTCAGGCTCCAGAGGCAGGGGGAAAACTCTGATTCGGAAAAGTCGGTCATTGGCAGGAATGTGATCCATGTGACGCTCAAGATTTTCCACAACAATCAGCCTATGAGAGATGAGTATGCTACGTTTGACTTGCGTGATACTCTCTCGAAAGTTCATCAGAAGGCCGCTAGAATCGCGCAATGGGAGGATATCGAGCTACAGATTTGGCGGAATCAGGCTTTGGTGTCTCTGCCGCCTTCGGACGATCTGATGTTGGATTCTATTTCTCTTCACGATAACCAGATCTACGTTGTCCAGAAACCTGCGCCGGCGCTGAAGGACCAGCGTGTTCTCGCAGCCATGGATATCACCCCTCTTCGGGTGTTTTATAATATGTGGGCACAGGTGAAGGCATTTCTGTCATCGCAGTCCGGATTTGCTGAAGCTGTATGGGAATTGTTGCAGGACTTGCCTGTGTATATGCCCCAGGCTCATGCTACGTTACATGAAGATTATACGGGATTCAGTCTCTCTCCGCCTGCATCGGTGTTCTATTTTCTCTCCGACATTCGCCAGCTCAAGATTATTCTAGATGAAGATCCTGGTGCACTGACCGGAGATATGGCTATGAACCTTTCCCAGCGATTGATGAATGCCTTTATGGAGTTGCAAATTGATATTTCGACCTCGGCAGAACAGATACGTGGGATTGCTATAGAGTTGCTCTACACTCTCGCTGAATTACTTCGGAAGCAAGTGGATGAAGTTCAGAAGGTTGACGGTTCTGCTGTCCATGCATCCGAACAGTCATTCGTGATGAAGCTCTTGAATGTCACGCAAGTAAACCACGATGACAATTCTTCTATTGATCTGTGGGTGTTGCTTGCGAGGGCGATGGAAGTTATGTTGCTTCTACTGGTCAAGAACTCGACGTTATGGGATTTCATATGTGCAGGCCATATGGCCGACTTTGCTGCAATGTTGAAGACCTGTCTCCTTGCTTCAACATCTATCCATGCCAGACAAATTAGTTGCGCTGCTGTACAGTACTTTTACGATTTTGTTGTCGGGAAGCCTATCCTTTCCGAGTCTTCGGAACACCCGGCGGCCGTTCTTGAACGCGAAGTTATGACTCTTGTTCCGGTTGCAGAGAAATATTCGACGAACGCGGAATTCTTCCGACTGGCCGAACACATCCTGAAGCTTTGGAGTGCGAAGTGTGAGGACGCCTCCAGGATGCAGATACTTTTCAAGGAGTGGATGAAGTTGCTACTGTCTCACGAGAGCATTGAAAGCGCAGATTCGTCCCGTCAGGACAGTTTTGTTGAGGGAGTAAGCACTCTACTGAGTTGTCTGATCAAAAGCCAGCAGGAAACCAACAGCAGGCTGGTCTGCTCAGGTGATAACCTGCGAGGACTGTTTCAGCTACTCTTCCTTCCCAACATACCGCAACACGCGGAAGATCTGAAAGCTTTCAAATCGCGTTGCTACCATGAACGCACTCGTGCTGCTTTGTATGAGCTAATGAGCAATTTGACCGAGACTCCTGAGAAGGTGCGCATGTTACTTGAAAGAATCACGGATGTCTTGAACAGCGCGGAAGAGTCGGGTGCCCTTCCTCCCCTCCTTCGCCGCGAATGGCTCGCCAAAGCCCCGTCTGGGTTTTGCGGGATGAAAAATCTCTCGAACACTTGCTATGTGAACTCGGTGGTCACGCAGCTATATATGAATCCCTCTTTCCGTCAATTCGTTTTTGATCTACCTGTTGAGCATCAGACGGAAGAACCCACAGCGGACGAAGCTTCACCCATGGACCTGTTGATCAAACTCCAGCGCTTATTTGCTGATCTTCAAACGAGCAAGCAGAAGTTCATCGATCCCACTTCTTTCATCCAGACGATCAAAGACTACGATGGCAAGCCCCTTGATCCTACAGTTCAGTTCGATGCAGATGAGTTCTTCAATATGCTTTTTGATCGCATCGAAGGTTGTTTGCCAGGTGCCGAAAAAGAGCGTCTGCGCAAGCAATATGGCGGCACTCTTGTTCAGCAAGTTATAGCGAAAGAATGCGGTCATCTTTCAGAAAGAGAAGAGGCGTTCAATGCGATTCAATGTGATATCAAGGGAAAGAGCACGTTGATCGACTCTCTGCGGGCTTACGTTGAGGGTGAAACTATGGATTCCGACAACCAATATCGTTGCGACCAGTGTCAGAGCTACGTGGATGCCTTGAAACGCACCTGTATCAAGAATCTGCCTAATCATCTGATATTTCATCTCAAGCGCTTCGATTTTGATTTCCAGACCATGCTTCGAACCAAGCTTAACGATCATTTTGAGTTTCCAATGAAGCTCTCGATGCGGGAATTCACTTATGACTACCTGCGATCCAAAGACACCGACAACAATGCAAACTCTACAGCGCCGTCAGTTTCGAAGTCGACCGAGTGCGCTGGTTTGGATGAGTATGAATTGGCCGGGGTTTTGGTTCACGGCGGTTCTGCCGAGGTACGTGATGCTTTGAAACCCTCTTACTGCTGCACATGCTTACCTTCAGAATACAGAGCGGGCATTACTTCTCTTACGCGAGGATTCGCGACGAGAACTCGGACTCGAATTTCCGATGGTTTGAGTTCAATGATACTGAAGTAACGCCGTTCGACCCTGCGGACATAATGCAGATGTGCTATGGAGGGAGTGATGACACAAATGGCTCGCGGCAGCGCTCCTTCAATGCGTACATGCTCTTCTATGAACGTGTGCAACAAAAAGCTGAAGAGAATGTTGTCACGCCTCTCGTGCAAAAGACGCCTCAACCGCCTAATCATGCCCAAGAAGAGATTGCACTTGAGAACGCTAAAGCTGAAATGTCTTTATTTCTGGCCGATACTCAGCTGCTGGATTTCCTTGCATGTTTAAGTCAGCGAGCTCTGTCATTTGCTTCCGATGACCAACAAACACCAAGCAAGTCAGCAGAAATTGCGGAAGCATTACGCTCTAATGCATTGTCCGCGATTTTGGCATCCGTTTACGTTATCGCCCCGCGTATGCTGAAGTTTGACATGCATGGAAAGCGCCTCTTGAATGTCCTCCTTGAAGCTGGCAAGAACAACGTCGATGGAGCTTGTAACTTGCTTCGTTGCTTTCTGAACATGCCTGCCTTGCTCAAAAAGCTTATCCTCCAAGTGCAGCATGAGGATTGCCGCATGACTATGAGCCATGTCTTGTTGAAAGCCATCAAGAAAGTTCGGCAGAACGAACCTGCCCTGTATGGTCTTGTTGTGCCTCGGTTGAACTTTTACACTGATGACGAGAACGTTACAAGTCAACCATACCTGAGCAAAGGTATCATGAGACAATTTTTGGAGACAGTTTATGAGGCAATGGATGGACTCGGAAGATTAGCGCACAATTGGGATGCGTTGTTTCAGCTCTTGGCTGGAATTGCTGAACTTGGGTACGCCGAAGCAAGGGCGATTGCTGAGATGTTGATATTGAAGGTAAGTCGCCACGACGAAGGATGACGCAGGATGCTGATGGCCATGTGCAGGGTAGCTTGGAGTTCTTTGCTCACGGTAATATCACCGCGACTAATAGGAATACTGGCGTATTTGGTAGCCTCCGGCTCGGAAGCCGTAAGAAGTGGCCAAATTTCTCTTACCTCACCGAGTTCATCAGAAATGTTCTGGTACGGTGCAATATCTCATCTTTTAACCGTGACGGCGATGAAAGGACAGATAACAGCGGCGATATTGACGAAGATGTCGCCAATTTGCTCATGACTTATGGTTTCTGGGAACAGCTCATGTGGAGTGACAACAGCAAAACCGCTTTGGATTTATCCCGACATATCTTTGCCAAAGGCCATTGGGAAATCAAAAAGTACGCATGCAAGGAGCTCCTTGACGTCTTTAACGGCAACAATAACCAGGCCGAGATTGCACCGTTTCTTGCGGACGTTGTAATCGCAAGACACAGGGATTATGCGATAGTCTTCAACAAGGTTCTTCGAGCGCTAGACAAAGAAGTGTTGTTCGACAAAGGTATCCAGTGGTTGGCTTTCTTCGACCGCTTGTTGCATTGCAATCTACCCACGATCTCGACAATGGTTCATGATCGAATGCCTGACTGGATTCCTTGGCTTCTGTTGTCAAAGTCCCGTCATTGCAGGTTTACGGCCGCTAAAATCTGGCTTGACTGTTTCATCAACGAGGAACAACAGACAGAACTGCTCGACAGAGCAGAGCGAATGCTGCGCGCAGCTGACGAACTGATCGGGAGCAAGTGGGAGTCGTGTCTTCAAAACAGAGTCAAGCAAAGGAGGGAAACCCTGGGTGAATTCCTTGAAGTTTATGAGAAGACGGCAGAGTTCCTGGAAGACGAGAGTGCTATGAGGACTGTTGCGAGTATGTTCTTGCCCATGCACATTATGAATCTTTTTCTAACGTCGCTTTAGATTATCGTAGGGTCATTGAACGCACACTCTTGGACAGTGATTCAGACGATCTGGATGTGCCTCAAGTGCATTCAGAGGACGAAGAATACGAATTTGAGGATCTAGACTTTGACCAGATGGAGGACTGAGAAGCTGAGCTGAGTATCGAGTTAATCACTGATGCATTTGGAGTTCGTTGGCGCGAAGCATTTTCATTCTTATACCTCATATATCATTTACCTAGCTTAATACTAGATGCTTTGCTCATTTAACCCTCCATCTCCGCATTGTTCCCGTGCCCTTGCAATGCCTCCTTGTCTTCCTCATCCAAGACTTCCTTCCTAGCCGGCGCAGCCGCAGCGGCAGAGCCCTCGGAAAGCCCATCAATAACCCATTGCATATCCAGTCCATCCCACGTGTCAATGAATTGCAAGAATCTATCGAGCGTCTGTTCCTTTTCTTCCTCGGCGTAGATCTTGTCATAGATGTGCTTCATCTTAAAGTCCTCAATCTCCGTTTCGTACTTGTCGAAATTCAACGCAGGCTTCGCTGCATCGACGCTGATACCGCTTTCGAGCTTTCTGTTGTACGCATCGAAGATGGGACGCTCGAGCAACAACCCGAGCGAAGGGGCCTTCGGGATGTTGACCTTCACTGGTCCGAAGGTCTCCGAAATTCTTTCTACGGGCACGTTGTAGCGCGCCAAGAGCACCGCCATAGTAACCATCTTGCGAATTTGATGCAACATGAAACTCTGACCGTGGACCTTCAGGGACAACCATTCGGTGTCGTTGATGATCTTGGGGTCAGAAACGGTGAAAGTCTTAATGTATCTCTTGGAGGACGGATCGCGGAAGCCCTTACCGAGAGTGTAGTTGTGGTAGTTCTTGTTACCCTCGTAGGCCTTGAATGCAGCGCGCACACGCTCGAGGCGGTCCGCAGGCATACGGTAAGCCAACTTTTGACGGTAGTCCTCTATCTTGCCAGCGCGACTGCGCCTCGCCTCGACCTCCTCCTCGCTCGCCTCGGTCATCGTCGGAGCAACGTCCTTGTCGAAAGCAGCGAGAGCCTCGGCGACCTTTTCGTTGGCGGTCTTCCAGAAAGCCTCACCATCTTCACCGATAGTCGCACCTTCCTTCGACATCATCATCTTGTGAGCAGCTGACTCGGGAGCCGGAGGCAAGAAGGCGTATGATGGGATGAGATACTCGTAGACGCGGGAGTCGCAGAGCGTGCGAGGGTTGAAGGAGTTGATCGTGCGCACGATACCCCAAAGGCGGATCTGATCAGGGAGGTGAGAGTTGATCTTCTGAACGATCTCTGGGTCCTCGATGATGAGCTTGAGGGAGATCAAGTTGCAAGCGGCATGCACACCCTTATCCGTCCTGGCAGCACGCTGCAACGAGGACTTCTTCGGATCGTCAGAATTATCCTTCGAGATTGCACCAGCCTTGACAAAGGCATCAAACAACGCACTCTCAATAGTGTCATGGGGCTGGTTGAACTGAATTCCATGGTACCCAGTTCCACAGTAGCCAATCATACAAGCCACCTTCCTCTTCGGCTTCTTCTCCTCCGCAACCTCTCCAGGGGCCAACTCCCTCTTTACTCGTTTATTACCGTCACGCTCGCCTTCGTTGGCCCTCTTGTTGTTCGCTTTTCCATAAGCGCGTTGGTCAGAGCGTGACGGCTGCCTTTTTTTGGCATCATCGGTGGTAAGTCCGTTGTTGGGGAGGTAAGCGAACTGTTCATCCTTGACAGCACCAGATTCAGTATGGCCATCGGCGCCGGCGCCAGAGGCCTCGCCAGCGGGAGCATCATGCTCCGAAGTGGCAGCCGGAGCAGACTCTGTCGAAGCGACATTTCCGACGGGAGCAGGTGTGATCTGAACAGGCACAGCGTCTTCGCCAACAGTAAGCTTACTCGTATCGTTCCCCTCAGACATGTAGCCAGATCAAATGGCCGACTCTGCCTTTGTCCTCGAGACGACCTTTTCTCAATCACCAACTCTCGGCCACCCCCAGCCCCTGCTGCGCCTCGCTATCGCAGGAATTTCGAGAGGTTATCGATAGAGGAGCCCAAACGTCGAGAGCGTACCCCCCCCCATAAATCAGATCATAATGAGGCCTCTTACTGTACGTTGTTTGTCCTGGACCCGCTCTCCATTGCTAATTGTCTCGACAGGAACAAGAAACCCGAACTCTCTTCGAGAAGCTCGCCCAATACATCGGCCGCAACATCACCCACCTCATCGACCGCCCCGATGACCCCCACTGCTTCCGTCTTCAGAAAGACCGCGTTTACTACGTCTCCGACCGCGTCATGAAACTCGCCACCTCCATCGCCCGCGACAACCTCATCTCCCTCGGCACCTGTTTCGGCAAATTCACTAAAACTGGAAAGTTCCGTCTCCACATCACCGCCCTCGAGTACTTGGCGCAATTTGCGACGAGCAAGATTTGGGTGAAGCAGAATGGAGAGATGCCGTTTTTGTACGGTAACAATGTTGTGAAGGCGCATATCGGGAGGATTAGTGAGGATACGCCTGAGCATACTGGTGTTGTTGTGTATTCTATGAATGATATCCCATTGGGATTCGGTGTTACGGCGAGATCTACTGCGGATTCGCGTAAGCTGGAGCCGACCGCGATGGCTGCTTTCCACCAGGCAGATTGTGGAGAGTTCTTGCGTAACGAGGAGGAGTTGTTCTAGACGGCGCGTCGTGATCGGCCCCTGGGGCCGATACGGCTGTGGATCGTGGATTGTGTTTTATCTTCGTGTTGCACTTTTTGTTTTTCATTTTGTCATTTGGTTATATTCCGCATACAGGCGTTGGGTACGGGACACAATAAACATTACTTGGTACACTGCAATGACCTGCACTGCACTTCCATCCCTCTCATCCCATTCATCCACCCATCCTAGTCACGACCATTATCTCGATCCCAAGCCCGACAACGCCGTCCTCCAACTGTGCTTCTTTCCCCTCAACTTCCCCATGAACCCACCTTTCCCACCATCAACCTCCTCCCTGTCCACGGAACTAACCGAACTCGCACTACTACTGCTTCCACTACTTGCCAACCCCACCGGTTCGACCTCCTCCTTCCTCTCATTATGCTCCTCTTTCCACTTCTTCAGTTTCTCGTCATCACGACTAAGCGCCCGGACTTCAAGTCCAGGGAGGTTATGTTCCAGGAATTTCTGGAAGTCGGGGAGACGGTCGGCTGAGGGCATATATGTCCCGGAATCGTTGTCGATGACGAGGATATACTTCGAAAGGTTGATCTTTGGTTTCAGTGACGATTGGTGATGGTCTTTCCGCTCGTGTTTGCTCCAGTCAATATTCCCCTCCTCACCATGCTTCTTCGCCTCCTGACTCCGCTGAACCTTATCCGCGTTCTCCATAACAGCCTCCTCAACCTCCGGTATGACATCCACCTCTGAATCATCCCGCCCATTGGTCATGCTGTTATCATCCTCCCCATCCTCACTCCCCCGTCTCCGGATAAAGAACTCGCCGGAACATACCACGACAGGAGCAGCGTTTGCATGCATACTGTGCTTGCTCAAGTGATCAATCAGATACTGACTTCCCGTCTCCGTGAAATGCAAAACACCGTCTAGGGTAATCGCGTACGTAAACAATTTGTCCTTCGTCCTATCCTCTCTATCCTCCACGCAGTCCGTCATCTCCAGCAGTACGGCCGCCATCTGTTCCCGCTCGATTCGGCCATAGATGGTTTTCCGGTCATAGCCGTAGATGGTGTCATGTTGGCTCTTGACTGCACGACGGATGAGTCGGCCTTTGATGTTATCGGCGAACATGGAGACAATCTCCGGGCGTTTCATTGTGTATTCAAACTGCAGATCCTGCGGTACATCGAGGAGTTGGAGACGGAATGCGAGGAAGGCGGGGGCGTCGTCGGTGTCTGTGGTCCCTGCCATGCGTCCAACGAGTGGAGAGCGATGGATGCTGTATTTTCGGGGACCTAGAAGGAGGAGGCGTCCGGGTGACTTTTCTGATTTGGTGATGGTGATACGCAGTTTGACCATTGCATGTGCCTGTGCCCGTTTTGGGTGCATCATACCCAGCAATGCCGTGCCAAGCAGAATCCTGGGATTCGATTTCCGCTTGTGGATGTGCACTTCGATCTCCTTCTCTCCTCCGTCCACTAGTGCTCCCAAATCATCCAGCATGTACTCCCCTTCTCCCAGTTTATCGTCTGTATGCTTATCCGGATCCTCATCCTCCAACTTCAATTCGAGGCGCGCACCGGATCGGACACCAGCTACATGCCACCAATCATTGTCCCATGTCGGTTCCGTGGTGTTGTGGACCGTATCAGTACGGTAGATGAGTGAATCGTCGTCGTTGTTTTGGATTCTTGCGATGATGTACGGGTCTGAGTCGCCGTGGAAGAAGTCGCCGACTGGTAAATTGCAGGCGCTTACGAAGCCGATCTTGACGTCGAACTGATTTCCCATCCTGTTGATCAATGGGTGATAGGGCTGGTGGTGAGGTTGTCGAGGTTTGAATTGGGTGATTTCAGCCGACACGTCAACGGGGCGCATGGGTCAATGCGGAGCGCCCATGCATGACAGAACCTTATCCTCGAAAATGAGCCTGTGAAGCAGTTTATGTGGAAGACGAGAGCGGGATCATCTCCAATTGCAACTTGATCGTTCAACATACTGACATGTGCTACAGTTGAGTCTGTCTCCGATTTTGTACCGTATGGCCGGCGCTGCAGGAAGCTGCGCAATTCTGCACGTTGTCGACTCCAAAAAGTGTACGACGCTTGCGAACACCAACATACCAAAATGTCGTCCGCTCCATCAATAGAACCTACCGACGTCCCTCCGGCAGCCGCTCCTGAGCTCGCGGTTCCCGCTGGCCCTGCCAACGTCGAACCCGCTACTGGCTTTGAATTCTACCGCACCCAATTCGCCCTCCTCGCCGGCTTCACCGTCCCTCCCGAAGCCAAATCCCGCTTCGAAGCCCGCGCCGCGCAAATCTTCCACTCCCGGTGCGAATCCCTCCGCGACCAAACCCTCGTCGGCTCCCCCAGCGTGATCTTCATGCTCAAAAACCTCCGAGAAATCCATGCAGAGATGGGGATAAACAAAATCATGTGCTCACCATGTAATGAGCAGAGAGCAGGAGGCTTTATTCCGGGTAGTGGGATCCTGTTGTGTGAGAATCGGATTATGGGTTTTGGGATGATGGAGGATACATTGACTCATGAGTTGATTCATGCGTATGATCATCAGAGGTTTGAGGTGGATTGGATGAATATGAGGCATCACGCATGCAGTGAGGTATGTCCACCTTTTGGTGTCTTCTTTCGAGGAGTTGACTGACGGTGATACACAGATTCGAGCATCAAGTCTCAGTGGTGAATGCCGGTGGTGGCGAGAATTCAAAAAGTACGGATTCGGCGACTTTGTAAAGCACCACCAAGCATGTGTGAAGCGAAGAGCGACTCTATCAGTAATGGCACACCCACATTGCAGAGATAAGGAACATGCGGAGACGGTGGTGAACCAGGTGTTTGACTCGTGTTTCGCGGATACAAGACCGTTCGACGAGATTTACCGATAAGGAGACGGATGATATACCTATAGACAACGCGTAAAAGAAAGAAAACTCTTATCTCGTTATAATTATATTAGTTGTTGACGAATAGTCACCCAGTAAGGATACGAAAGCTCCGCCACTATGAATACGGCCCATAGATAACAGCAGAACCACACAATAACCGAAACTCCAATACCTGACATCATACGTCCTCATTCCTTCCATCAACTTCCCAGATCCAGCGGTCTGACTCACTGCTGATCAGAAGGTCCCCGATTCTCCCACGTCGGCCTATGCTTCATAATCCACGGATGAAACGCAACCTGATCAACCGACATCCTCTTATCCGGATTATACTGCAACAACTTCGTAATCAAATCCTTCGCCTCGGGGCTGACATAGTCCGGGATCTTCAAATCAACCTTCGCGATTCTCTTATAGGTCGCTGCATACCCGTTCAAATCCTCAAATGGTGGGTTACCGACGAGGAATTCGTAGGTTAGGACACCGAGAGACCAGAGGTCGACATGAGCACCGTGTTCTTTTCCTTCGACCATCTCGGGAGGGAGGTAGTCGAGGGTTCCACAGAGGGTTGTTCGTCTGCTGTTGGGGGCGTGTACACTCCATCCAAAATCACTGATCTTGATCTCGCCGTTCAAACCGACAAGAATGTTCTCCGGTTTGATATCACGGTGAATGACGTGCTTCTTGTGCAAGTATGACAGAGCCGCCGCCATCTGAAAGATATACTCCGCAGCCTTCGGCTCTGAGAACCTCCGCTTCTTGCGTAGAATCTTATACAACTCTCCCTGTCCAGCAAACTCCAACACCAAGAAAATTCGCTTCTCGTCATGAAAGTGTCCATACAACCGCAGAATATTAGGGTGTCGCAAATTCGATTGAATCTCGATCTCTCTCCGCACTTGCTTCTCAACCTTACTCTGCATCAACTCACTCTTGTGCAGGACCTTCAATGCGCAGACGAATCCCGTCCGCTTCTCCTGCGCCAGGTAGACACGTCCGAACTTTCCCTTTCCGAGCGGTTTTCCGATCTCGAACATACTCAAATGCAATTCCCTAGGCATCCCCTGCGCAGCTTGACCCTGTGATCTGCGGTCAAGCGACGTACGCTCCTGTTCCGCCGTGCCCGATCCACTCCGTCTCGGCGACGTCGGCGGAGGCGGCGGAGGCGGCATCTGTGACGACCGCCATTGTCCTGCCGGGATGTTAACCGTTTGCTGAGGCTTCTGCGATACGAGATTCTGGTTGTGGACCGCGAGTTTAAGGAGGGGATGGCGTGTCGCTTGGCTTTGCGAGTTCACGGGTTTGCCGAAGTTTGATTGTTTTGCGAGGGAGGTGCGTTGGTTTGGGTTGGCGTTCTCGTTTGTTGAGACGGAGATTTTGGACATTCGGGATTCTAGTGATCGAACCGACATCCTGGCGGTTACAGTTGACTGTTAAAGGAAGTGTTGGATGCTGTCGTAGTGGATTGTTAAGTGAATGGAGAGAGTAGCGAGTGTCGTCAAAGCTGTAAGTAGGAGTCAGAGCACTGCAAGAGAGCATGCGAACCGAACTTACAAGTTCCTTCCGGATCAAGGATGCAGGTTGTTCGTTGTAAAGACTGTCTTATGTTCGATCATGGTCGTTAACGACGCGCCCATAACAAACACCGTCGTCAAGCCACCAGCCACAGAGGCGCATGTTCCCCAGCTCACAAGAGATATCGATACAAGGAATATTAGGAGCTGGATGCGAAAGAAAGGTCTTAAATCATGTCAGTATTAGTTATAGAGCCTTGTCATGCATCTCCGGCTCTGGCAACAGCGGTGTCGCCGTCCTCTTCTCGAGCAATAAAGAAACGCCATAAAAACCGAATCCCAATACTCTCAGTCGCATAACCATTGCCCAACCCAGACTCATCTCTTCTCCCTCATTGCACGCCATCTAACTCCCAGCCTGCGACCCACCCTGCACCGGAAACGGCAAGACCCTAGACGCAAACCCTGGCGCCCCCATATTCTGCATATTCATCCTCCCTCCACCAAGCGCACTCGCCATCCCCTCCCGAACCCTAAAAAACATATTACGCCTCCTCCCACTCGTAATGACCCTCCTTTCCAACGGTCTTGCATAACTCCTCCCCACCCCTTCCATGACCATCGCCACCTCTTCGTCAGAATCCTGTGGCTGTGCGCCGGCTGATAGCTCGAATTCGTCGCGTTCCGGGGCTGGGGGTGGTAGCATTTTCTGTTGTTTTGCGGCGTTTTTCTTTTGGTAGGCAGCGAGGAGGATGTCGTAGGGTGCGGAGCGGCCGGGCACGGCACGTTTTGCGCCCATGGAGTGGGATTTACAGGTTAGGGAGCGGGCGCATTGGCCTCCCTGAGGGAGGGGGACACCACATTGGAGTTCGACGTTGACTGGGCCTTTTTCTGTATACCTTGTAAGTAATCAGTGTCAAAGACGTACGCTCTTTCAAGCTGTACCTTTTGGTTTCGGCGGCGCCGCTGTCTTCTTTGCTTGTTTCTCCTTCTTCTTCCTCTCCTTCTCCGCCTGTTTATCCGTCGTCTTTTCCGGCTTCTTACTCGTCGATGAACCCAAATTCGTAAGATCCGTCATCTCACCCGCCTTCCTCTTCTTCTCATTCTTCGTCGGGGTTCCCTTATCGCTGGCAATATCATCTGCCACACTTCTGGGCGGCAAAGCCGGTTTCTTCTCTGCTCGCTTTGTTGGTGATGTATGTGCTGGTTTCGCGGGGACGATTGCTGGACAGACGTCGAGGTGATCCGTGACTGCACTGCGCATGACCGGCTTCCCGCAGTGTTTGCAGCTAACGTAGTCCGCAGCATCCTGTAGAGGCCGTGATCCGAAGACTTTGTACTGTCGTGAATCCAGTTCGGAGGCTATTGGTGACTTTGGATATTCTGACCTGGCCATGGGGCTGGTGCCATCTGTGTTGTATGGGTCAGTCCCGATCTGTGAGTCCGCTGAAACAACTCACGTTCAGCCTCGACCTCCGCGGCAAACTGCTGCCATGACTGTCCATTACTTGACGGAGCAGTAACTCCCCTCACACCCGTAGCTGGCGCCTTCGATGCGCCGCTCTCTCTAAAGAAGTCCTGGACGGCAGACGACATCAGTGCCGCTGACGGCGACGCTGCTGTAAGCGATTGTTAGCAGTCGAAGATGCTCTACGGCAACTCTCGCCCACCTTGTCCATTCGTCTGCTGCATGTTTAACGTCGCCAAGTCAAGGATCTTGTGTGTCGGCTGTTTGGAGGTTATGGGTGTACGGCGGCTGCGTCGGGATGCATGACCGTGCCGCACACCTTTGCCAGACGTTTTGGGTTCAGCGCTACGTTATAAACTTCTACTTCTAAACAACCCCGCCGTTCGTCCCGTTTGTTTCCAGTCCCTTCAAGGCCATGTATCCAGTCTCAGTCCCACCAACAGTAAGATTACCGATGAGTTTCCGCCACTGCTCGTCCTCCCAACCCAGTAACGGCTTCTCCTTCTCCTCCGGCTCCGGATCCGCTTCCGCATTCAACAACGCCGCAAACTTATTCGTTACCGCTGAGAGAGTATCTACCGCCTTACCCACTGCATTTCTAGGCTGGAACAAATGCTCCTCATCCTCCTCCGACTGCTGCGAAACCGGCCTGGTATCAGGCATAGAGGACGACGGAGACCGAGGAGCGAGCAGGTTTGACAACTTCAAGAACACCTTTGCAGTATCCAAGGCATCATAACCAGCCTCATGTGCAAAAGTCTGATTATACGCCGCATAACGACGGAAATCGGGTTCAGTACCTGTATGCAGACAAATTAGCGAATCACGAATAAAAATCTTCAGTCTCTGTCAGCATACGTAAAGGAGGTTCAGGGATCGAGTCGGCCCATTTGGCGAGTGCTTGTAGATGTGTTTCCGGGAACATCTTCGAGACGTCGGGATCGCTCCGAGTAGCGAAATACTTCGTATCGAAAACACTGTTCGCACGAGGTCAGTCAGTGTCATCCAAAGCTTCGTCATAGCTCAAACATTGGAAGTAACCCATTCACCCCCTCCACAAACTCCCCTACCTCCTCCGGCAAAAGTCCGATGAACTTCCCCCAAACATTGACAAGGTCCATATAGAGGTTATGCCCAACAATAGGCTTCCCACTCTTCACGAGTGCCTCCACCACGCGTCTCAACCCAATCGCTTCCTCCAGCTCGCTCTCGAAGCGGGTGGTGCGTTCGGCTTCTTTCCGCTCGATTGCGGCTTTGTTTGTTCGCGTGATTTGTATCCAGTCGTGGCGACTGCTCGCCTGTAACTCCGGGTACTCTTGTCTTAGCCACTGATACGCTAATCTCTTGAAGTAGGCATTCGGTCCAGTGTCAATATTTAAAAAGTGGTAATTCGGGAGTCCGTTGGGGTGTAAGGTGGGTGAGAGCCAGTCTTTCACGTCGGATGCGAGACGGTCGAGGAAAACTCGGCCAGGGGCGTCGACGTGGATTGAAGGTATTTTGTCGGGGGAGGATTCGGCGAATTTGGCGCGGACTACTGCTTCGTCGGCGTGGGAGAGATATCTGTGAGGTGTCAGCAGTTAAGCCGCGGAGACAAAAGGCCATCGCCCCACCTTACGCCTTCGCGGTATTGTTTCTGTTCGATAGGTTAGAACAGACGCGAGAAGGGATCTGAGGAGGACGAACATTGAAATCAAACCCATTCCCAATCAAGAACTCAATCGCACTCGCCTGCATCACAAACTGTCTATCCAACCCCATCCTCTGCGGCTGAATAGGCGAAACACTAAGATTATACGGTTTCGCAGCATACTCGCCTGCGGGTCTGTGAGTTAGCCATCATCCTCGAACAAAAGGTTGGAGGTTGACAGTCGCTCACCAGTCAACCCATCCCACCGCACACAGCACAGGCCCAACTGAATAACCTCATATTTCTCTGCTGCCTCCTTCGTCTCTGTATACCGTTCCTGCAAAGTCTGCTTCCCACCCCCTTTCGCCTTCGATTTGCCTCCGGAAGTCCATGACCTAATCCCGCTAAATTCGCAGTCAATCGCCACGAAATCTGCTTCGTTGATGGAGGAGATGATGGAGGGGAGGAGACGGGTGAATGCTGGGCCGGTAACGTCCATTTTGCGTTGGTGGTTGGCGTCGAGGGTCTGTGTAGAATTAAGGTTCGGGTCGCCGTGGGTGTACAGTAGCCCCCGCGCTCCGTCGAGTCGTCCGGTAACCAACACGTAGAAGAAGTACCGGTACTCCAACTTCCAACCAGATCAGAGAGTCAACCAACAACGATGTCGCCCCACGCTGAATCCGGTGACGTCCTGGCATCATCCGTTTCAAACCTAACAGGCGGCCGCCTGCCCTCACCCTCCATCCGCTTCAAATCCACCACCCAACTCTTCCTCGCCCGAAAGTTCCCGCAAGCCCTCCAAAAGGCACAAACCCTTCTCGACTCATCCGAGAGCGCATGGAAACTGAAAGCCTGGGGGTTATGGATCGCGATTCTGAATGCGGGAGCGGACATGAATGAGGATGCGGGAGTGGAGATGTGGGGGAAGGCGGAGTGGGAGAGGGTTAAGAGATTGGTTAGGGAGGATGGCGTTTGGGAGGAAGCTTGTCAAGTGTTCGAATGTGAGGAGATTGAGCTCAGCGTCGATGTGGTCGCGACCTTGTTCGTGTCTTCCTCCTTTCCTGCGTGCGCTTTAGGTAACCACGGACAATAGGACCCTCTCCTCCATCCGCCACGCCTCCAACCTCCAACCCCTCCAAACCCGGCTGGAACACCTCATTGCCTCCGCCCCGTCCTCCGCCGAGCTGACCGAACAAGTCCGAACCGAACACACCAAACTTCTCGAACTCTACACCCTACACCTTCTTCCGAAACTTGGGGAATGGGAGTATGCGAAGGAGTTTGTGGAGGGGAATACTGTATTGGTGGATGCTGAGAAAGACGTACACTGCCTTTGTTGCTGATAGTGGAACCAGCTAACGGAGTGTACAGATGTGGACGAGCACGCTAGAGTCGCTACAAGAAGGTGAGCGGGAACGCGCAGAGGCAGCGGAACGGGAGGCGAGGGAGGAGGCAGAGGAAGCTGCGGAGGCGTCGAAAGCCACGAAGTCATCGTCTTCGTCGCCGAGTTCGAAGAGCAGGAAGAAGTCCACCTCCCGAAAACCCGTAGTCGCCGAAATGAACGGCTCCACCACGCCCACAAAAGACCCTTCTTCCAACGCCGAAGACCCAATCGCACCCCCCTACGCAGCCAGCGCCGCTGCCCTCCCATCTTCCTCAAGTCTCTCGCGCTTCACGAAATTCTCTTCCTTCCTCTTCTCTGTCACCTCCAAATACCGCAGCATTTTGCGGTTATTGTTTATGGTTATTGCGATCGTGGAGGTTGTGAGACGGGAGAGGGTTAGGGAACGAGTGAAGAGGGGGTGGGGAGTTGTTTGGGAGAAGGTTTGGCAGACTGTTGGGATGGCGAGCAAATTAACGTACTAACTTTTGGAGGAAATATTCATGAGAGGGTCTGGTGGGACAGGATGGGGATGGCGTGGGATGCGGGATATGATCATGAGAGGGTAATTTGTACGATTAGGATGTACGATAGATTTATGATGAGCTGAATGGTAATAACGAGGTTGAGGTTTTTGTGATTTCACCTTGATGCCTTGGACTCGATCCTCGGAGCAATGCCCACCTCCCGCCATCACGCCGACAACCCCCCCGAGTTTTCCTGCATCACCCCACACGTCGCGATCATGACGTCCTTCCTACACCTCCCCACTTCTCCAATTGCAACCGTCAACACCAATTCACCAAGGAAGAGAGAAACATAATGACTGACAGGCAATACGACATTATCGTCTACGGCGCAACCGGCTACACCGGCACCCTCGTCGCGCAATACCTTGCCCGCAACGGCCCCACAAGCCTCTCTTGGGCCATCGCTGGTCGTAACCACACCAAACTCCAGTCCACGCTGACCTCTCTCAGATCGCTTTCTGGATTTGCGGACAGGAAAGAACCAGGGATCGTGGTTGCTGATAGCGGAGATAAAGAGGCGCTGTTGGAAATGGTGAAGCAAACGAAAGTGGTGATCAGCACCACGGGTCCATTTTTGAAGTACGGGACGCTCTTAGTTGAGGCTTGTGCTGAGTCTGGGACGCACTATGCCGATATTACGGGTGAAGTTCCTTGGGTACAGGATATGATCACTAAGTGCCACGACGTCGCGAAGGAAACGGGGGCTATTGTGGTGCCGCAGGCTGGGTATGACTCGTTGCCCTTTGATTTGGGGGTCGAGACGCTCGTTAGGGGAATGCGTGAGCAGGGGCAGGATGTAAAGGGAGTCAGGTTCGTGGTTGATAAGATCAGGGGTGGGCCTAGTGGTGGGACATTGGAAACCATTGCCAAGTACGCCTTCCTCAAGAGTAAGAGTCCGGGAGAGATCACTAATCGAGGATGCGTACAGTATGTTCGAGACTCTCCCGCTCAGAAAGATCCGTGAGGCGATGACGCCGTATGCGCTTTCCCCTGTTCCGCGTACACCGACCGCAACGGCGCCCGAGGTTGTGATGGATCCGCAGAGTGGGAAATATCTTGCGACTTCGTTTACGGAGAGGATGAATGGTGCAATTGTGGAGAGATCATGGGGTCTCCTGAATTACGGATCGGATTTCTCGTATCGGGAGTATTTGAATGTCGGGAAGCGGGTCTACGGGTATCTCGCGATTGTGCTACCAATTTTGGTTATGTCTATGTTGGCTACGTCTCCTGGACGCTGGATGTATAGGAAGTTGGTCAGGGAGGCTGGGACAGGGCCTACGAAGGAGGAACGCGAATCTGGATGTCTTCTGGCGAGGGTTGAGGGGGAGAGTACAGACGGGTCCGTCAAGGCAGGCGTCAAAATAACTGGAAAGCAAGACCCGGGATACGGGTTGACGAGTCTCATGTTGGCTGAGGTTGGTCTGTGTCTGGCATTCAACGTTGATGAGACCAGGGCGAAGACCATGGGTGGAGGAGTACTGACGACGGCATGCTTGGGAGAGCCCTTACGGGCGCAATTAGAGAAAGCCGGGTTCCTTTTCGAGTTTGAATTAATCAACTGAATTAAAGGTCAATGACGCGCTTCACGTGACGCCGGGGATTTCGCGCGGGGACCCCGCAAATCCGAAGCTGGCCCTTCACCCGAAGTGGTAGCGAGCAGCACATGCCGAGCAGTCTGAGCCAATGCTCCGATCGACCGTCTCGTCGTCTCCGAGATGGATTGTTATAAGGGGTAGCATACACCCCGGTCAATTGTACCCATCAACAACAATTACGACGACGACGACGACGACTATCTCAATATGCCAAGAGGAAACGACACCAAAGAGAGGACGCCCATGAGCGTGCACCTCATCGCGGGTGGTACCGCTGGTTTCATGGAGGCTATGTGCTGCCATCCCCTCGATACTATCAAGGTATGTCGTTGTGGTCTTCAGTGTCCCAATTGAATGCTAATGACAACGTCAGGTCCGAATGCAACTCTCCCGCTCCGGCCAATCCGGAGAGAAAGCCCGTGGCTTCATCAAAACCGGTGCCCTCATCATCCGAAAAGAAACACCCCTCGGTCTCTACAAAGGTCTCGGTGCCGTTATCACCGGTATCGTCCCCAAAATGGCAATCCGATTCTCTTCTTTCGAATACTACAAGACCGTCCTTGCATCCAAAGAGACCGGACAAGTCTCTACCACGGGTACCTTCTTCGCTGGTCTGTTTGCTGGTGTGACCGAAGCTGTCGCCGTCGTGACACCAATGGAAGTCGTCAAGATTCGATTGCAGGCGCAATCGCACTCCCTCTCCGACCCGCTCGACGTGCCCAAGTACCGTAACGCCGCACACGCCGCCTACACCATCGTATCCGAAGAAGGTGTCGGAGCCCTGTATAAGGGAGTCGCCCTCACCGCTCTCCGACAAGCCACGAACCAAGCAGTCAACTTCACAGCCTACCAAGAACTCAAGAAACTCTGCGTAAAATACCAACCACAATACGCCGATACCGAGCTTCCCTCATACCAGCACCTTCTCCTCGGTCTTGTTTCCGGTGCGATGGGTCCTTTGTCGAACGCGCCCATTGATACTATCAAGACTCGCATTCAGCGCGCGAGTAACCCGAGGGGAGAGAGTGGGTGGTCACGATTCATGACTGTTGCGAAGGATTTGGTGAAGCACGAGGGTATCCATGCGTTGTACAAGGGTATCACGCCCAGAATAATGCGTGTTGCGCCAGGACAGGCTGTTACGTTCGCTGTGTATGAGAAGGTTAAGGGAATGTTGGATTTGTTCAAGGAGAAGAGTTTGAAGGAGGTGTTGTTTGAGGAGTAAGCTGCTATACGGAAAGAAAGGGATAAAAGAAAGGAGAAAGGCAAGGAGATGATTATGGACGGACGATGTGCTGCTATATCTAATTATTCGCTGGGCGACGATGAGAACGAGGGACGCAGGTCGTGCGTGATGAATGTTTATTCACGGGCGCGTTTGTACGTTAGCTATACCAATTGATTCCATACAAGAACAATCACGTTTTGCTCCGTTCCCGGCGGATTTCGGACGTCAACCGCCGGAGAACGGGCCTACCTCGGCGGAACGGACAGGATTGAAGCTTAAGCTCACCACGCAAGCGAGTCAACACCACGACAGCCCTTCAAACGCCATCACTCTTTGAATGAGAATATCGAGTAGTTCTTTAACTTCATTGCTTCGGGTCCTTTCAGTCACAGCTCGCCGTCACGCGTACACACACCACCAGCCGCCGAGCGGTGCCCTGACCCGTGCATGCCGCGCTCCTGAAACTCCGAATGGCCAGGGTGCACGTCCTGGAAGGTGAAGACAGTTCAGCAATTGCAATTGTTCAGCTTGGAGGTTCATACTTTTCCCTGTGTTCGACTGGTACGGCATTGAGGCAATTCCGTACTATCCGGCGGTACCGTGCTTCCGAACGACAACCGCTATCACTGTGTGAAAGGGAGACTTTTTGTTGGTCCCCACGGTGACTGGAAAAGTGTTGGAAAAAGATCAAAGAACATACGCATTAAGATATGTCGTGGCATCCAGTGGAGGAATCACGTCTCGACAATGACTCTCTCCTCGACCTAAACGTGGACATTGGCGCCGGTAACCCCTCGAATCCAGGAGCGAGACAAACAACCGCCAACCCTTTCACCTCGCAAACTTCATTCGACGATTTTACGAATGTTGGGACTAGCCATGGTGGGGGAGGATTGAGTCCGCAAGATCCGTTTGCGACGCCAGGAAGGGGGGCTCAGACACCCATGGGTCAGAACCCAAATCCATTTCTAGGGTATGAGGATGACCTCCTGGACGATGATTTGGAGCCCGTATACGGGAACGCCGGTCAACGCGCCGCAGACGGCGACGTTCGCGCCTACGGTGACATGGAAGTCGACGACGCGACGGGTCCAGGCGGTGTCTACGGTACCCTCCGTGGCGCGGTAAACAAACTCACGGGCGGATATGCTATGCAGAATGATAGCGACATGGATATACCGCTGACTAATGCGCGGGCACCAACTGGGATGAGTATGGCGCGGAACGCGGATACGTTGAGTTTGGAGAGTGCGGAGGGGATTGCTATGGGTGAGATGGGGCCTGGTTTGACGAGGGAGAGGGCGAGACCGAAGGCGACGTGGAAGGAGAGGGTTGAGAGTTGGGGAAGGAACCTGGGGAGAAGGGGCCCGGATCCGAGCACCCTTGGTCCCAGGATTATTCATCTGAATGATGCGCCGGCGAACAATGTCAACAAGTATGTCGACAACCATATTTCGACTGCCAAGTACAACCTCGCGACGTTTGTGCCGAAGTTCTTGTTTGAGCAGTTCTCGAAGTACGCGAACTTGTTTTTCTTGTTTACGGCGATCATTCAGCAGGTCCCGACGGTTTCTCCGACGAATAGATGGACTACAATTGCGCCGTTGGCTTTTGTGTTGTTGGTTTCGGCGTTCAAGGAGTTGGTGGAAGATGTTAAGCGTCATCAGCAGGATCGAGAACTCAACAGGTCTAGGGCTTCGGTGTTGGAGGGTAACACCTTTGTTGACCGTAGATGGGTGAATGTTAGGATTGGTGATATGGTCAAGGTGGAGTCCGAAGAGTACTTCCCCGCTGATCTCGTCTTGATCTCATCGTCCGAACCAGAAGGTCTTTGCTATATCGAGACGGCTAATCTCGACGGTGAGACAAACCTAAAGATTAAGCAGTCTTTGCCTGAGACGGCTGATCTTGTTTCCCCTGCTCAGGTCGGTTCGCTTGTCGGTCGTATTGAGTCTGAGCAGCCTAACAACAGTCTCTACACCTACGAGGCTACCCTGAACCTCCAATCTGGTGGACAAGATAGGAAGATCGCGCTTGGTCCTGATCAGTTGTTGTTGCGTGGTGCGCAGTTGAGGAATACTCCTTGGATCTATGGTATCGTCGTCTTCACCGGTCATGAGACGAAGTTGATGAGAAACGCTACTGCTACGCCTATCAAGCGCACGGCGGTTGAGAAGATGGTCAACATTCAGATCGTCTTCTTGTTCAGCATTCTCATCGTTTTGTCTCTCGTTTCCAGTATCGGATCAACTGTGAAGGAGTTCGTTCACGGAGATTCGCTTTCTTATCTTGAGTTGGCCGGTGTTAACCAGGTCGGGTCGTTCTTCCTGGACATCTTGACATTCTGGATTTTGTACTCCAACTTGGTTCCTATCTCTCTGTTCGTGACGATCGAGTTGGTTAAATATTATCAAGCTTTCTTGATTGATTCTGATTTGGATATGTACCATGAGGAGACGGACACTCCTGCCGTCTGCAGAACTTCGAGTTTGGTGGAGGAGTTGGGTCAGATTGGGTTCATCTTTTCCGACAAGACTGGTACGCTTACTTGCAATGTCATGGAGTTCAAGCAGGCTTCTATCGGAGGTATCCCGTATACGGATGTCGTACCGGAAGACAGACGACCTGCGCCCGGAGACACCACGGATCAGAATGCTTTGTATGACTTTGATGCATTGCAGACGAACCTGAAAACTCATGAGACTTCGGAGATCTTGGACCATTTCTTGACGTTACTGGCAACTTGCCATACCGTCATTCCGGAACGCAAGGCTGATTCTGACGAGATCAAGTATCAGGCTGCTTCTCCCGATGAGGGGGCTCTTGTGGATGGTGCGAGGAAGCTTGGCTACAAGTTCGTCACTCGTCGTCCAAGGTCCGTCTGCGTGGAGGTCAACGGCGAGGAGCGTGAGTACGAGGTGTTGAACATTAACGAGTTCAACTCCACGCGTAAGAGAATGTCTGCAGTTTTGAGGTGTCCAGACGGAAAAATCCGCCTGTATATCAAGGGTGCCGATACTGTTATTAACGACCGCTTGGGACCCAATCAGGTGTTTAAGGAGATTACAGAACAGCACATGGAGGAGTATGCTACTGAGGGTCTCCGTACACTTTGTCTGGCTATGCGCGAGGTTCCTGAGAGTGAATATCTCTCGTGGGCGAGAGACTACGACAAAGCCGCCACGAGTTTAGACAACCGTGCGGAGAAGCTGGAGGCTGCCGCTGAGAGAATCGAGAAGGATCTGTTCTTGCTCGGTGCTACTGCCATCGAGGATCGTTTGCAAGACGGTGTTCCTGACACTATTCACACTCTGCAGACTGCGGGTATCAAGGTTTGGGTTCTTACCGGTGACCGACAGGAAACTGCCATCAACATTGGAATGAGTTGCAAATTAATCAGTGAGGATATGAGTCTGATCGTTATCAACGAAGAGTCTTTCGCCGGGACTCAGGAGCACATGCAGAAGAAGTTGTCGCAATTGCAATCGCATGCTGACGGTGAGCTTGAGTCTTTGGCTTTGGTGATTGACGGCAAGTCGTTGACATATGCGCTTGAGAAGGACTTGGAGAAGACGTTCTTTGATCTAACTATGATGTGCAAGGCTGTTATCTGTTGTCGTGTTTCTCCGCTTCAGAAGGCTTTGGTTGTCAAGCTTGTCAAGCGTCACACTAAGTCCCTCCTCCTTGCCATTGGCGACGGTGCCAACGATGTCAGTATGATCCAGGCTGCTCACGTTGGTGTTGGTATCAGTGGTATGGAAGGTCTCCAGGCCGCTCGCAGTGCCGATGTTGCCATTGCGCAGTTCCGATACTTGAGGAAGCTACTTCTCGTCCACGGTGCCTGGAGTTACCAGCGTTTGAGTAAGCTCATCTTGTACTCTTTCTACAAGAACATTGCTCTGTACATGACGCAGTTCTGGTATGCGTTCCAGAACGGATTCTCAGGACAGGTCATCTACGAGTCATGGACTATCTCGTTCTACAACATCTTTTTCACTGCTCTTCCTCCTATCGTCATTGGTATCTGCGACCAGTTCATTAGTGCTCGTTTGCTCGACCGTTACCCTCAGTTGTACAAGCTTGGCATCGACGGAACCTTCTTCAACGTACGCAGCTTCTGGTCGTGGGTCGGTAATGGTTTCTACCACTCCTTGGTTCTGTACCTTTGCTCGATCGTCATCTTCCGCTGGGATTTCCAGGAGGCCGATGGTGAGATTGGTGGCCACTGGGTTTGGGGTACTTCCCTGTTCACGGCAGTGCTTGCTACCGTTCTCGGAAAGGCCGCGTTGGTTTCTGATCTTTGGACCAAGTACACCTACATCGCCATTCCCGGTTCTTTTCTCCTATGGCTCGGGTTTTTGCCTGTGTACGCCATCGTCGCACCTGCGTTGAACTTCTCAAAGGAATACAAGGGCATCATCCCTCATCTGTACGGATCATGGGTGTTCTATGTGACTTGGATCGTTCTACCGACCTTCTGTCTCTTGCGCGACTTTGTCTGGAAGTACTACAAGAGGATGTATGCTCCTGAGAAGTACCACTACATCCAGGAGATCCAGAAATTCAACGTTGCGGATTACCGACCTAGAATGGAGCAGTTCCAAAAGGCCATTCGCAAAGTACGTCAAGTTCAGCGCATGCGCAAACAGCGTGGTTATGCCTTCTCGCAGGCAGATGAAGGTCAGGCTAGGTTGATTCGTGCATATGATACCACTAGGCAGAGAGGAAGATACGGAGAATTGCGCGAGGCGCAAGGGAATGGACATTAGTGAGCGAAGTATTTTTTGTCTTGGAAATTATCTCATCTTGGTAATTGCAGGTACCTATGCCTGAAGACATTGATCGTCTCACGGTTGGTTTATCTTGAAATCGTCAAATTATCGTATATTCACTCCTCGTGCGTATCTTTCTTGCCAATGTCGACCTTTACGGCCGGTCACTGCCACTCGCCGCATATCTTGGGTGAAGATGACTGCGTGCGACGCAAGCAGTGTGGGAAGCTCGCCGGCGGTAGACCTTGTGATCTGGACAAGGTTGTCTCGGTTGCTGTTTGCTAACAACGAGTCGTTATCGTGTTGTTCTTGCAGGTCCTGGTCACGGTCTGTGACGAAGAGGCGCGTATCATTCAATTGTGTCTTGCCGTTGGCAGGACAATGCCGCGGTAGAAAGGTAGCATACTCGCACGCTCAGTGAAGGTGATGAACTCCGCATGTAAACTTGACGATCAACCCGCTCAGGGGTCGATATCGGGATGAACTGCTTTGCTCATCTTCCCGGAAGGCGATAGGACGAGTCAATCTTCCTAATGGAACAGAATCCATGCAGCCCGTTGGTTGTCGATGAAACCTTCCCATTTGTCTCCCTTCTCCTTATTGTTGCCATTAATCCTTGATATCCACCTCCTTTTTCGTTATCACAACCTCCACATCCTTTACTCCATCCCTATCCTCTTCACTTCGGGCTCCATCACCTCGGACCGCACCAACATCAAACCCCTCCAGAAAACTCGTATGCGCACCCGCAGCAAGCGCATACCTTCCGTATTCATGCATCGCACTGGGTAACGACCATCCCTGTACTTTCCTCAAACACGCGATAGCCAGTCCCGTGACTTCACAGCCGTTCAAGCAGTGGATGTAGATTGGGTGGTTTGTGGGGTCGAGCAGGAGGTTGACGGCGGAGCGAGCTGTGGTGGTTGAGAGCCCTAGCTCTTTCTTCTTTTTACCGGCTTCGACGTGGAGGTGGATCAGTGTTATCCCGTGGTCACGGCACCAGGTGGTAATTTGAGCGTTCTTTCCGGCGATATGGTGCGGATCGTCCTTCTGAGCCTGATCTTGATCTGACGGCTCAGTTGAGAGATATGTTTCCAGCGGTTTGGGGGTCAGCGAGATGATCGTCTTCAGCTTCTGACGACGGAGGAAAGGGAGGTTGGATGGATGTGGATATGAACCGCGGTAGATGCCTGTGTCTGTTGTCGAAAAGCGAAGAGGAGGAAGAAGAAGTGGCGGGTTGGACATGTTAATATGGTACAAAGGTACAGCTGACTATACAGTCGGGCTCGGAGAAGCTCGATGAATGGAGGTTAGGTGTCGTCGTGAGATTTCTGAGACAGGCGGTCGGGTTCCAAGGGAGTGTGCGGGTGATCGGGAGTAGAGAATGAAACATCAAAGACTGTCAAAAGTAAAAGATGCACCGAAGGTAGTTTCCCGGATGTAAGGCTGCCTCATCGTATGTTGCGGGTTCCTTGGCCAGCGTCACCGTACGGGCCATTACAGTATCGTACGCCGGGCGCTGTGAGAGTGGAGCTCACAATCATCTGCCTCACAATTGACTCAATATACCAGCAAGATGAGTGCTCAATCAGGAATCAAAGGTCCTTTTGACTCTCTCTATGACATGTCCCTGTACTGACGTCGAAGAGCAGTCTCCGACAACCTTACCCAAGCTTTCACCTCCTTCACCCGAGACTCCTCCCTCGGCGCTCTTAAAGTCTCCATCACCAATGAGTCCCTTGAGCCCTCCGGAACCCTCCCTTCCGATTCCATCGAGTCGCTCTTTGCCGATGTGCAGGCATGGCTGGAAGACAAAACCCCAGCGTACATCTTCCTCCGCACATCGGATACGGCGTTTGCGTTCTTGACATACGTCCCTGACACCGCTCCCGTGCGCCAGAAGATGCTCTATGCGAGTACCCGGACGGCTCTCCTTCGAGACCTTGCTGCGCTTGACAAGATCTCCACCTCAGTCTTCGCAACGACAAGAGGCGAATTGAGTTACAAAGCATACCAATCTCACCTCGCTGCCGAGAACGCGGACAACACCCATGGGATGAGCTCGAAGGAGAGGGAATTGGCGCAGGTCAAGCAGGCTGAGGCGGAGGGTGCGCAGTATGGAACGGGAGCACGGAGATCTAATGTTGTGTCGAGTGCTGGGACTGGGATGCCGTTGAGTGGGGAAGCTCTCGGTGCATTGGATCGGTTGAGGAACGGAAGGGGTACACTCATCCAGCTCGCCATCGACCTCGAAAACGAAACTGTCGAGCTTGCAAGCGAGGAGACGATCGGCAGTGCCGACGACCTCAAATCCGCCATCGACTCCACCTCCCCACGCTACTCCTTCTACGCCTGGCCCCATACCAACCCAACCACCTCCCAATCCACAACCAGCACCATCTTTATCTACACCTGCCCAACCTCCTCAAAAGTAAAAGAACGCATGATTTACTCTTCGACCCGGAATTTCGTGGTGGTGAATGCGGAGAAGGAGGCGGGGTTGGTCATTGTGAAGAAGATTGAGGCGAACGAGTTGGAGGATGTTGGAGAAAAGGAGTTGATGGGGGAAATCTATCCCAAGGCGGAGGGCGAAAAGAAGGCTTTCTCGAGGCCGAGAGCGCCGGGGAGGAAGAGGGTTTAGATAATAGGACTTTCTGAGGGAGTTGGAATATAGGGTATCATATTACGATTGGCTGGCCAAACAGAATATACCCGGTATCTTATTTACTTCCCGTCTTTCGAAATCTGACCCTCCAAGACCTTCTGAAACACATCGACGCCCTCCCTGCCCAACGCCGTCGCAACAGCAACCACATCAGCTCCAACATACCTCATCCTCTCAAACCCCTCCCGATCACTTACTCCTCCAATTCCGATGATCTTGATATTCCTCAAATGCCCACCGTTATACTCCTGTTCACGTAGCCTCGTCCGTAGGTTTCGCACGACACCTAGCGAAAGTGGGTGAAGTGCAGACCCAGCCATTCCGCCCATGAAAACTGGCCCCTCACCCTTACCGGACGGTAGAGTGGTATCGATACTGGATGGCAGGATAGAGTTCCCAAGTGTATTCGTTGCAGCCACGTAATCAATAGTACCGGCAGCTGCACCGAGGAGTGCAGAGAATAGTGTATCATACATCCCGGAATGTGTATACGGCGGAATCTTGATTCCCACCGTTATTCCCTTTTGGCGCTCCTTCCAACTCGACACAAGTTCGCAAATCGCTGCGAGTTCGAGACCGGAATATGCTGGTGGGGGATGCGATGGGATGTTCGGGCATGACAAGTTAAGCTCGATTCCGATAGGAATATCGGGCCGGCGGGAGAGGAGACAGGAAATGTGTTCGAAGCAATACTCCAGATCTGTTTCAGGGCCACCGATTGAGATGAGCCAAGGCTTTCGCTTCGTAGACATATCGTGAATCATCTCGATCCAGATCAAGTATTGCCCAACCGACACGGGTGAGAATCCATAACTATTGATCGAACTCTCCCCGAAGAGAGTGTGCGAGTGACTCGAGTCCTCTTGAAAGCCATGCGGTGTGGAAGTCCTGATCGTGACGGCGCCGGTATAGGGGCATTCGTAGAGTTCAGTGAGTTGGGCGAGGGAGGAGGCCCACGGGCAGGAAGAATTGATGAGGGGTGGGGAGATGAGTAGGGAGCCAAGTTGGACAGCAGAAGGACCTTGAGCTGAAGGCATTGGTAAGTGCGAAGGTGGATCCAGGGTTGGTCATCGCCAAGGTGGGTGGGTCGGATACGACGCGCGATAAGCAGCGCGGGCGTGGGAAAGCACGGAGAGGTCGACCGTCTAATATTTTTCAGCTTGAGTTTACGTAAGGACGTCGATCTCGAGACGCGAAGAAAAGGCCTCCTCATGTTTAAATGTTTGATCTTCCTTGCCAGGTATGAGGTATACTAGAGGCTTAAGCAGCCCGCACAGCGCCTACTCGTTCTCATCCAGCGCCTTTTTCACCAAAGCTGAATCCAAATACGCTCTGACCCTCACGATTTTCTTCCCTTCCTCGTCAAACTGACATACCCAACAATACTCATTCGCAAACTCCAAGTCATTCTTGCACGTAGCATCAGCCTTAAGCTCGACCGCCGCCTGATTACTGTCATTCACAATAACGCCAACAACTTTAAGGACGGTCTTGGTCTTCAAGACACCGCCGAGACGCCCGAAGGTTTTCTGCTGGAAGTCGGCTTTGGAGGTGTAGTCACCGCCCAGAGGGTTTTGCGTTCCTACACAAGATGTCAGGATATCAGATCGTGACAGATCGAAAAGAGATCAAACCAGTTACACGCCAATTGACATTGTCGGCGACGTTCTCGAAGAAAGCCGGTGGGTTGCCCTCCTCGAGCGGTTTGAAGATCTCACGGACTTGAGCTTCGGTGATAGGCATATTGGGTATCGAGGGTGTTCAGTTACGGCGGTGATTTTGTTATATAGACGTGCCGTTTACATTACGCTCACTTCGGGTGTCTTTGAAGCCTCTGCGGTAATTATGGGGTAAACCCGGGGCATGACCGGCACCGAGCTCGAAGTGCCGATGGAGCCCGGCTATAGCATTCGCAGGTCATATCTCAGAATCAACGCTTTGGAAAGGATCAATAAACGATCAAAACTGCTAAGTCCATTCTCTTGTATCTTCACTGCCGTCGACCCGTCCGGTGCATCTGGCGGTTGCATGGCCAGGCACCACGAAAAGTCGAGGTAACGAGGATCAACGACGAACAATAATTCCGGGCAACATGTCGGTAGCAAGGCATATTCGATCCGTCGTGAAGGCAGAGTCGCTTAAGTCGCTGAGGACTCTTGCTTTAGGCGCGACCGCCGGGGCTCAGGGTGAGACTTCCGTCGCCTCTTCATGATATACAGTACTGACCCTCGACCAGCTCGTGCCGTTTTCACCGCGTCTAAGTCAACACGGGCAGCCTTCGCATCACGAAGACATTACTCTACTGCCACCGAAGAAGTAGATACTTCATCTGAGTTACCTGCAATTAATGAGTACGACGCACCACCGAAGGCAGCAAATGTACCCCATTACGAAGCACACGCCGCCGTAATCCTCACCCGAGGCCCCATCATCACCAAAGAACTTACCCCCTTCGAGAAGGAGTACTTCCAATACCAGCGCAGGCTCGCCGACGAAATCTCCTCACCATTCCCAGTGGACTTCTACTTCAAGAAAGGATCACTCGCCGAGAAGAGATGGCTTGCGGCTGCTGAGGCGAGGAAGAAGGGCGTGGCTGCGGTTCAGGCACCGACACAGGAGGAGATCGAGAGAGGAGCGCCGACTGGATCTGAACGTGTTTTCGAGGAGGAGGCGGGTTTGGGGGAGAAGTTGGCTCAGCCCAGACAGACTGATGCGGACAAGAAGAATGATATCACAGCTTTGGACAGGAAGCTTGACCAGAATTTGTATTTGTTGGTGAAGGAGAAGGACGTCTGGAGGTTCCCCTACGGTCCCGTTGGGGCGGTGGAGGCTCTTCACGAGGTAAGACAACACTACATAAGTAATCCGCCATGATCGATACTCATGAATGTGTCTAGACTGCTGCGCGTCGATTGGATGAGACCTGTGGTGTTGACATGAACACATGGTTCGTCAGCAGACACCCCGTCGGTGCTATGAAGTTCAAATTCAGGAGCCCTGTCGCGGGCCCCAAATTCTCGTATGTCGGTAGGCGTACTTTCTTCTTGAGGGGACGTATTTTCGCCGGACAGGTAAAGTTGAGCAACGAGTATCAGGAGTTTGCATGGTTGACGAAGGATGAGATTAAGGAGAGGGTGAGCCAGACTTACTGGGACGGTGTTGGTGCTATGCTTATATAGAGGAAGAAGTGGGGAAAGATAGGGATGTTTTAGGTGCTTTTTCGGCGTATACAAAATCAGGGAATGCATGGTATATCAAAGCAAATGATATTCTTTCATAATGATGGGGTTATTCCGTGATTGCAAGAGATGAAGCTATTTTAACTGAGGTATACCTGGTACCAAGTCGATCTCCCTACACTGTATTCTCACCCCTTAGACCAACCCACTGCCGTTTCTCACAGTGTCCCTAACCTCCCTGATCCAGGCAAGCTTATACTTCGGCTCCTTACCAATCAGCATATACGCCCTGCCTCTCCTTCCGAAACGGCCAACCCTTCCAACTCTGTGAATCAACTCGATCGAAGAGCGAGGAACATCATACAAGATGACATTACGAACATTCTTCGTATCCACACCACGAGATGCAAGATCAGTTGTCACGATGACTTTCATGGCCTCAGAGACCTTGGCATTCTCGTCGCGTGGCTCGTCGGCCAGGAATCGCTCGAGAACATCTTTGCGGTTTTGGGTGTCGCGGGTGATGACTCTGGCGTTCAATTCCTTTTTCTCGAGGTATTTGGCTGTCGTCAGTGCGTCTTCACGTCTGTTCACGAAGACGATGACGCGCTTCTTTACACCGGGCTCTGTGCCGTCCGCGGCGATTGTTCGGAGAGTATCCAAGAGGGCAAGGTCCTTCCTGCCGTTGAAGTGGTTTGATGTCGTGTCGACCATCAAAAATTCGATTCTTCGCGGAACGTGGTGCAGCTTGGGGGTGACGATACGTTCGCACTCGGGGTACTCCTTGCGCAGATAGGAGTCGAGCGCACGAGGAATCGTTGCGGAACACATTACCAATCCCTTCAAGTTCTTGGCTGCCTTTATAACTGGCTTCACCAGGTCCACGAAGGACGTATCGAAAAGAGTATCGGCTTCGTCAGCGACGATGTGAGAGGTGTTATCGAGACTGATGAAACCATCCTTCAGGTAATCCTGCACACGGGCGGGTGTAGCGACGAGGATGTCAATGGGGTATTGACCGAAACTCCGACGGACGATGGAATCTTTGGTTTCGGAGGCGATACCAAGGGACGAGAGCTTCACTTTGTACGACATTGTCTTGACCAACTGGGTGACCTGTCGCACCAGCTCTGATGATGGCACGAGGATGACGGCACGAGGGTGATTGAGCTTCCTGAGCTCGGCCTCGCCAATTTTGGGCTCCTCGGGTTCCTCTCGGGCAACCTCCTCCCACATTCCATCCTCATCCTTGACTAATTTCGGCGGTGACACATATGGTTCCTGTTGTCTCTTCAAATAGTCGATAACTGGCGTCAAATACGCAAGCGTCTTTCCACTTCCAGTCTCAGCCGCAATGAGGTACGCCCTGGCAGTCTCAAGGTTTTTCGCAAAGTTCAAACTAAGGATTTTCGGGATCGCCAAGGCTTGAATTGGTGATGGTTTGTGGATTTCGAGGTCGGACAAGGCTTTCTCGAGGATAGCTTCGCGGACAGATGGTAGGATTCTGAATGATTCGAAACCTAAGTTTTTGGCGAGGACCTTGTCGAGGTGGTTGCGCTCCTCGATACTGAACGCTTGGAGGGAAGCGGTGGCCGTCATTGCGTTACCCTGCTTCACTTTCGGTTTGTCGTCCGCAGTCTTATCTCTCTTGTCTCTCTTGTCCTTTGCATCCACGGATTTCCCTCTGGGAGCCTCAGGCCTCCCCTTCGCGCTCGACGCAGCAGGTCTGCCCTTGCCAGTTGTTGGAAGCTTTGATTTACCGACATTCCTTGATAACGAGTGCGCAGCAGACTTCCTCGCACTGGCAGCCTTCGGTGGACGTGCGTAACCACGAGAGAAAGTTAACGGAAGTGTCGCAATGGAGGGAATAGGCCGCACTGTACTGGCAAGGGCCAGACCATGCTTCAAACAGCTTCGACAGACAAACGACATAGCTTTACTGTCCTTTCACTTGTAGAATAATTTCGGGGGTCACTTGTAACGAAGACGCCCTCGCCACACATCAGCCCCTCCAACCCCAGGAGGTCGCGACTGCGGAGTTACGAGCGTCAGGTCGACTGGTACACGGCATATATCCCCAATCACCATCACCATGCCTCCAAGCGCAACACTCGAAGCGCTCTTCTCGGATCTATCGCTCGCTTCCAACTCCAATGATCACTCCGAAGTCGTTAAAGTCTCAAACCGCATCCTCGCACATCAATCCCAGAACGTCGATGCATTGAAGGCCAAGGTCATTGCGTTGATCAAGTTGGACGAGTACGAGAATGCTATGGAGCTGTTAGGGAAGTTGCCTGAGACGGAGGCTACGTTGGAGAGGGCATACTGCTACTACAAGACTGGGAAGGAGGTGGAGGCTGCAGGGTTGACCAAGGATAGCGAGGACAGAGCTATGCAACACGTAGCAGCGCAGACGGTAAGTGGTGGGATCAGTGATGCTTGATAACAGGTCGCTAACGCACGCTTACAGGCTTACAGGCTCGAAGACTTCGATCGCGCCGCTCAGCTCTACGCAACCCTCTCCTCCGGCCGCGCCCTCGTCCCTAACGAGGACGTGGACCTCAAAGTTAACCACCGCGCCGCCGTTGCGCAATCCCTCTGGTCCATTGGCTCAGCCGTCGCACCCTCTAACAGTAACGATAACCCGATTTACGAAGCCGCTTACAATACCGCATGTATCAAGATCGCCCAAGGAGAGTACGCCGAGGCAAAGACATTGCTGGAACATGCTGCTAGGGAATGTGAGGGAATGGAGGGCTGGGCACAAGCTGATTTGGATGCGGAGTTGGCGCCGATCTTGGTGCAGTTGGCGTATGTGCACCAGAAATTGGGACAGATTCCGCAGGCGAAGGAGTTGTATGAGCAAGTATTGGAGAAGGATGGGTTGGATTCGTCGGTTAAGGCTGTCGCGAGGCATAATAGCGTCACGATCGACGAACCCCGGAACCCGTACTTGAGTGCACGTATGGTTGCGGGTACGAAGGCAAAGGACGTCGCGTCCCGGTTGTTTGCGTTCCAGACTCAGGTCATTACCAGAAATCAGGCTATTTCCGAGTTGCAGGCTGGGAAGTACAAGGCGGCACGTTCTCTTGCTGCGCGGTCACCCGATGATTTGACGCTCTCCCTCGTTGCTGCCGCTGCCATCGCTGCCGAGGCCGGTGGTGACTCAAAGAAGTTCAACCAGGAAGTCGAGAAGGTCCTCGAGAAGCAGCCTACTAATACAGCCTTGGTCCTCGCGCTCGTACAGAACAAGATGCAGAAGGCGGATACGCATGGTGCGGTACAAGCAATGGAGAAGCTCTTCGCTGCTTTTGCAGATAAGCCGGCACAGAAGTACAAGCCCGGGTTGGTTGGGTTGATGGTTAAGTTGTACGAGTTGCAGGGACGCCGTGAGAAGATTCTGGAGGTGCTTGCGAGTGCTGCGGAATACTGGAAGGCTCAGCCGGAGTCTGCCGCATGCGCATCTATCTCCCGAGCGAACGCATTGGCAAAGTTGACCCTTTCTGGTTCAGATGCGGATATCCAGTCTGCCGCCGATGATTTCGAGGCATTGGTCAAGAGGGACCCAACTGATCAACAAGCCCTCGCCGGTTTGGTGGCTGCTTACTCCTCCTTCAACCCCGACGCCGCAACACAATACGCCGAACAACTAACTCCCATCGAAGACCTCGTCGCCGGCATCGACGTCGACGCCCTCGAAGCAGCCGGTGTAGCCACCCAAGCCCCTCCCACCAAGAAGCGTACCGCCCCCTCCGAACCCACCACCACCAAACCCAAGAAATCCCGGAGAAAACCGCTGTTGCCGAAGAATGTGGTGGAAGGGCAACAACCAGATCCGGAACGGTGGATACCCCTCCGTGACCGCTCGACATACAAACCCCCCAAGAACGCGAAGGATAAGAAGGGGAAAGGCAAGGCTGCGTTGGCGGGTGGGACCCAGGGTGGAGTTGTTGATGAGAGTTTGGAGATGAGTGCGACTCTTTTTGGGAAGGATCAGGGTGTTGTTGTTGGTGGGGAGAAGAAGGCGAGTGGTGGGGCGAATAAGAAGAAGAAGAAGGGTGGGAAGCGGTAGGTAGGGAAGAGTGTGAGGGTGAAGGTGAAGGGGGTGTAGTATATTTGCATACTTTCTGGCATAGGGTGCTTTTTGGGTAGTTGGGCAAAAACGATATCAATGTTAGACATGTCACGAGTTCGATGTGATGCTCATTGCAGTGTCCAATTGTTCTAGATCTGTATTGCCTTTGTGGGTCTGGTCGTGTGCACTGAATGGAGCATACATCTCGGAACGACCATGGAGCGTGTCGTCTGGAGGAACGGGAACAGGACAAGGCAAGCTCAAGGAGCACATGAGATACTTTGTTTACAATTGAAGGCAACTTAGATCACGTACACGAGTTCAATTGAGCTATCCTAAGATCTAGCAATACCTAACAAGATTCAATTCAGACAAGCATGTTCGAAGGCTCGTAAGACCGCCCTCCTGGAAAGGTCGAGGGCGACCGAATAGTCCTTCAAAGAGTCGGTCTCCCCAGCGAAACGCAGAAACAGCCATTCATATCGAGTGCCTCCGATGATACCCGTATCGCCAGGTGAAAGTTGTTTTGTTGGTTGATCTCTTCTTCTAGGGTTTACCCTTCTGGGTTCTTTACGTGTGCCTGATCCTGCACGGGTTCAGGGGTTAGCTTCATCTGAGCCTGTGCGCGCTCCGGAGTGACCTGCGAATTTGCTTGTGTGGTTGGGTTGCTCGCTGTGAACGACTTAACCTCATCCACCACCAACCCATTAAAGGTGAGTTATGCTCATTGCTTGAGGAGGATTCGGCATTGGAATACAGCTGGACAACTGCGGAGATCGATTATCTGGCGGCATGTTTGACTGCGATGGGTGATGAGGGCACAGCGATGGTTCTCGGCCCTCGACAAAATTCTGCGACAAGAGTGGCCGGATGATTGGAAGCGGAATGAACGACGACCTCGGCGATATCTTTGTTCAGTTCCATCACCAATTCTTCCGGTTTATCTCGATTTTTTTCTTAATCACCACGCAGTCGTTCAGCGCTCCTCCAATGCTACCCCACCTCAAGCAAATCTTTACAAACCGAACCACAACTAACATCCATTTCCTCAGATGACTAAGCGCACTAAGAAGGTCGGCGTCACGGGTAAGTACGGAACCCGTTACGGTGCTTCGCTCCGTAAGCAGGTCAAGAAGATCGAAATCTCGTACGTCTCCCCCCCCATACCTCCTTCTCCCTTCGTATCAGATTCTAACAACTCGTTCACAGCCAGCACGCCACCTACTCTTGCCCTTACTGTGGTAAGGACGCCGTGAAGCGTCAGGCCGTCGGTATCTGGTCCTGCAAGGGTTGCAAGAAGGTCATGGCTGGTGGTGCCTGGAACCTCTCTACCACCGCTGCTGCCACCGTCCGCTCCACGATCCGTCGTCTCCGTGAGTTGGTCGTTGCCTAAGCAAGTGTTGGAAGTTTGGTGAAAAGTACTTTTGGCGTTGTTCGTTCATCCCAGTGTCCTCATGATTGAGGGTGAGGGTTTCTCAGTTTATTTTTGGTATATTGGTTCGGAGTTTGTGTTATACGCTTTCTACAGATCTTCTCCTGGCTCGTCGGAATCAATTACAAGAAGGATTAAGAAAATGGCAACGTCAATGGATGAGTCGTTCGAAACACACTACACTTGTCCTTGTTCAGTATCATTCGGGGTGACGTGACGTGATGTGAAATGATGATTGCGACCTCAAAAAGGAGGATTACGAAGCGACTGCGATAACCATAATTCATACGATACCGACCAAGGGAATGACCAACCGACGCCTTGACTACCAATAGCCCCTAAACTGCAAAACCAGCCCATTAAGATTATACTCGTACATACTCACTCAATCCATGCCCATATCCACCTACTTCCCCGCCTTCACCTCCTTCAACAATCCTTCAACCTACAAGTCTTCAGCAAATCCATCCTCACAGATACCCAAGATATAGCATACCTTGTTGATCAAGTACATATGCGACGCCTTTTGCGACTTGTGAACTTTCCTCTTCTTCGTGCCTTGGAGGTTGTACCCACGGAGGGTCGTTAAGCACTCTTCGAATGCCTTGATCCAGGCTTCGAGTGGATCTTTGTTGGCTTCTGCGTTCAACCTAGCTACCTCGGCTGTGCGGTTTCTTGTCCGCGTGCAAGGGCCACCCACATCCTGCTCCGTGATGATCCTGGAGTTACGGTTACGCGTCCGAGTAGATGGAGCATCCGTCCAGTCTTCATCAGACACGGCCCTCGCAGCCTTCCTCGGTGCCTCCTTCTCCTTCTTCTCCGCCAGGAGCTGGTTTTGGAGAATGCAGAAGTACTTGTCAAGCCAGCTCGGATCACACTCATGAGCAGCAAGGATCTGAAGATGTTCGCGCCTCAGCTTGACACCACGATTCACGAGCTTGTCGAACACCGACTCGTGTGTGTGTGGAGACGCCCCACTAGCGTAACCATACGAATACCGATTAATTCCACCCGTAGCCTCAAAACAAATGACCTTGTCCATAATGGGACCACAAATTTTCTCATCGTCCGGCCCGAGAATCTCACACAGGAAATCGGGAACATCGACAGCCATACCTTCCTGATACGCCGAGATGTACCTACTACCCAATAACGGCCACCCTGGCCCTTCCCTGATCAATCCCCGGTATTTCTCACGTACCTGGTCCCGGACTTCCGGGAAGTAATGATAGATCGGCTTCATGTTATCAACGACCAACACGAACGGGCGATGATCAAATCGAGCACGGATGACACGAGTGAGGGCGCCAGGGAGGAGAGGAGCGATGTCAGGCATCTTGGAGAGTGTTGCGAGGGTTGGGTTTGGCATGTCATAGCGGCATGAAGAGATTAGTTCAATGAGAAGGGTTTCGGTGAACTTGAAACCTCGAGAGAGGAGGTACGAAACAGCCTGCACGACAATTAGCCCTGGACGAGGGGCGTGGGAAATCAGATATATGTACAGGTTTCAGTGTAGTTGTCGACGTGGCGATCCTGAATGCAGCGCGCATAACACGAGCACCAAGATCGTCAAGATCAATGATATCCATGTAGCCAGCAGCTTCGAGATACTTAATATCTTCCTCACGATCCGAGGCGAGGACAAATGTGTCGACGATCCGGCGGCGGTCATCTGTATGAACGTTTAGAAAATCCAAAAATGATATCGTGTATGCTAACACACCTTCACAAAGAGGTAGCGGCGTAAACTGAGCGCACTCCACAAGCTCAAGTACTTGTCGACGAGAACTGTCGCCATCTTTCATCATGAACTCCTGAATAAGGTCTGTAAGCCATGTCGTGTCGTCTTGAGCCATTAGATCCAAAAGAATGCCTTACATCAAATGACTCCCAATCATCTGTACTCCTTGGCCAAAGACTACTTCCATACTTCTCACAGCAGACCTGCATGAGAAATACGAAGGTCTGCAAGCTCAGTCCAATCGTGAATCGTTTTGATCCACTGCGTGCAGATTTCGTTAGCTGTGTTGTAACACATCGATCGAAAAGTGCGCATACAAAGTCTCCCACGACCCTATAGCAATCCTGTTTTGACTGTAATTTTTGGTCACGAGTTGGCCAAGGAGGCGTGAGATATGAGCGCCCTGACGATGAAGATTCTGAGCGACCTGGACAGTCAGTGCTCGAGGATGGCAACGGATCGACATGAAAAACGCAAGACGCGGTCTGTAACGTCTTGGTTAGAATGTTTCTAGGAAAGGCGGAATGAGAGATATGAATGCACCCGTAGCGGCGGAGGAAGTAAAGGGAGCGGACGTAGGGGTCCTGTAAGGAGAAATAGTCAGCAAAGGACAGAGAGTTTCTACATCTACTTCTTCTTACCTGTGTCATCAAGTAGAACCTCTTGTTGACCCTCGAGAATGCCTGTAAGCACTGATCAGCGAGGCCGATAAGAACGACTTCCCGACGCAACACACGTTCAACCCGTCCAGATAGGGGATGATTTCCAGCAAACAAACATCAGGTAACCCCTCCAGATGTGGATACGCAGGTAACGCCTCATCGCACGACGACGTTATCGATTCATCATCAATACTCGCTGGAACAGCAGCCTCAAGTCCAGTCAGAGACGGGGCCGCGGCTTTGGCGATTGCTCCCGTGCCAGAGCCAAAAAGATCGAGCATTGATAGTGTCGACGTCGTCGTCGCCGACATAGCTACAAGGAAATCAGAGAAGAAAGTCGTGTCGTTTGGAGTGCTGATGGGTGGTGGTGGTTGGGTCGAGTCATCTGGTTCTCGCTGGGCCGGGGATGTATGCGGGGGCCCGGGGGCTATGAGCGCATGTGATCGATAGAAGCCTGATAGCCCTGGCCCAAGGTGCGCGTACGCACCTAGCAGTACGACGTATACTCAACCACCCCCGACGAAGGCAACAAGTTGAATATTTCTCAAATCCGGTTGAGAGTTGGTCGACGACGAGTTCTAGGTGCGGTTTCATTTTGGGAGAAGTCTCAATCTTTTTCGGAGCCTGCTGGTTGAGAAAGCGTCGCCAACATGTATGATGAAAGCACTTTACAATGCTGTATCTGCGGTAAGTACGGGATGATGTTATGGTTTATAAATGCTCACGAATATCTACAGCATATGATATGCCATCCGAGCGCCCCGACGAGCTGCCGGAAAACTATGCTGCCATTCCGGAGGAAGATGTTGACGGCCCAGTGGAAGTAGCCCACATGGATGGGTGTACTCACATGATGCATCTTCACTGTCTCGAGGTACGTTAGTTTGCGTGATTTTAATATGAGATACTAATGGATCTACAGGCATGGTGTGCGTTACAGAACAACTGTCCATATTGTCGCACCGACTTTAAAGTCATCTCGGTCTCCAAAACCTTCGAAGGCCTAACGTATCGCTCCTTCCCTGTCCCAGAACGCACCCTCAATGTGGAAGCAAATATCATGCCTGAAGATGTAAGGCGGTGTCTTGTTTGTGCTTCAGACTTGAACGATGAGCACTTTATCTATTGCGATACGTGCGAGGATGGACCCTGGCATTGGACGTGTCTTGGTCTCGATGGCCCACCAGGCGCCGGGACTTGGCAGTGCCCTGATTGCGAGGCGGGTATGAATGACCCACGAAATTGCCCTGAACCTGATTTTGAAGAGCTTTTTGGTGACGCTGGGAATCAACCCGGCGAGTTAGGATATCACTACCGTCAACGTCATCTCCGTGAGATCTACGAGCCTCCCCATGACGATGGAAGGGCACTGGGAAATACCGTACGTAATGCTCGTCGACGAAATCGTATCGCTGAGGAACGACGAGAAGCCAGACGACAGGTCGATGAATTCGAGGCGGCATGGAGAATCATGAGGCGGAGGGTTCAGATACGGCAACAGCAGACTTGGGAACGGCTGAACGCGGACTTGCCTCCCGAAGAAGACGAGATTGGTGTTCCGCGCACAGGTGCACTTCGGGCAGTCGATCGGCGAAGGCAGGAGCTTGAGGAATGGCATCGGCGTGTTCACCGTGCTGCACCGGCTTGGCTGCGACGAGAGGAGAGGGCGCCGCCTTTAACAAAGGAGGAGATGGAGGAGAAAAAAGCGTGGGGTATGTTCGACAAGGCACTCAAGGGAGAGGATGAGAGAGAGGGATCTGGGAGTGGATCGAGGAGGCGGAGTCCGCGAAGCCCAGCCAATGGAGATGCCGCACAGGAACAGCCAGAACGAAAACTCAAACGGCCTAGGACGAAGGATCCAGTATTACTTCCACCCGCAGCCACACCTGAAATTGCCAGACCCGTACCGCGCAGGGTCTCAGCCCTCGCAGACACGAAAGACTACACACCAACAGGTAACGGAATGTTCTCCGATATCTTGGCCGACATCAGAAAACCCGGTACCTCCTCCCCCGCAGCCTTCGATTACCAATCCTTCCGCGCAACAATTGTCACATCCTCCTCCAATGCTTACCCTGGCTACCCAAGTCCAGACCTAACGAACACGAGTCCCGAACCATCGGTATACTCACCACAAGCGCTCTCCCCATCTCGACGTCCCATGTCGCCGATTTCCGTGTTTGGCTTGACGCTGGCCGACCGGGAGGGGTCACCAACGAGGAGGGTGGCGAGTGTGCCTATGGAGGAGATCTTGGGAGTTGTGCCGGGGAGGAAGTTGCCGAGTTTCAAGAAGCGGAAGAGGCTCGCGGATGAGGGGAGTGATGGAGGTACAGAAACACCAAAGGAGGAGAAGGAGGATGATCTGGACAGTATCTTGATTGGGGGTGAGGGCAAGAGCACTGATACAACGGCTACCGAAACCAAATGGAAGGAGGGAAAGCGGGATCGTGAGCGCGAGAGCATTACGTGGAGGAGCAGGGATGAGGGTCAACTCTTTCGATCTGCCAGTCCCGTCGACAATGAAAAGCGCAACGAGAAAGGGAGAGAAGTTGAGCGACCGATACCCAGACGGGCCCAATCTTCGACTGCGCTCAACGAGTGTTCACCTGACAAGACCGATGACGGGGACGACAAGGCCCCCGGTGATAACCCCAAGTTCCGCATTGAACGACACGTGTCCAAGCTTCTCAAGCCTTATTATGCGGCTAAACGCATTACACGGGATCAGTTCATGGTATTTGACAAGAAGCTTACGAACTTGCTCTTCAATGAGTTGATGACCGGGGCACCGTCTAACACGGGGAGTGAGGAGAGGTGGTTTAGGCGGGCGGAGACGGAAGTGAAAAAGCTTATTCAGAAGGAGGGATTGTGATCCATACCCTCTAGGTCTCTTGGGACAGCGGGAGTTTAGCATAGGGTCTCTTTGGCGTTCTTTATTTGAATTCCGTCGATCGTCGCCAGCATCGGCATCTATTTCAACAGCCGCAGAACGCGGTCATTGGACAGTTTTATCATCATCCTCCCTCCGCATAAATCAGTCATCATACATCATATCGCTTCACAGGCTCATATGGGTTCTTCTTGCTCTTTGGCTTAGCGCTCTTTTCTCCGTTTATGGTGCCTAGTGTTGCGTCGAGTGCTTTATCAAACAACATCTTCTTCCATCCTGATTCCGGGGCAACGATACCGGAGTACTCGAGAGCTTTTCGGACGGCCTTGTCCCGGGCTGTGCTGCCAAGGGTGTCGTAAGCGTCTCCTGTCTCCTTCTTTGGTCTAGAGGATCGTTGATTCTTGCCAGTGGAAGCTCGAGCGTCCGCTTTGAGGTTTTGTTGCGCGATGTAATCCAGGACTTGTGCTGCTACATCCTCAGATCTCCATCCATCTTCCGGTGCCTGTGCTTGACTTCCGGATGAGAAGGGGCCCAGTGCTGACCATGCCTCTCCAGAAAGGGCCTGTCCAACGTCTGTCCGGGCAAAGAACCAAGCTGCGAGTAGAACGAGTGCGGTAATAGTGTAGAACGCAAGCTTGACAATCGTTCGAAATCCTGGGAAGAAGAGCAGCATTATGAGGACGCCCGATACAAGATTTCGTTTCCGAATCGAAGTCGTCTTTTGATTACCGAGGAGGGAATAGTGTTGTCTACGTTACGACCGCCACTAACCGAATATGGCGAGCTGTTATCCGCGATACGTCAGAAACAAACACCCAAACGAAACCTTCTCAAAGAGCACACTGACATGATATACCGACGTTAATTAACAACTTCTGAGGTTTACTGACCTTAGGCTATAGTCCGCTCTCATTCAACTTCCAATCCCTCCTCCTTGTTATCCTCCTACTGATATGTACCGCGGCTTATGCACATGCTCATGCACCGGCAATTATGGACAGAAATAAGCATGAGTCTGTGTTGTATAGTCAATTCCTCTGAACAGGAAAGCTTACACGCAAACAGGTTCATGGGAGTTTTCTGGAAGGCCGCACGGATCGGGGACAGGTTGAGTCCATATGTGAGTTTATGTTGTGTTGCTATGGCGGTGAGTATACCATGCTTCCAGGGCATTGACAGCTCCTAACATGATATCTAGGTATCATTATTCTTCTCATGATTGGTCTTGTCTGCAATGCGTCACTGTCAGTGACACATCGGACACCCCTTCCTCAACTGCGGCTCAATCAAAGCAGCATGAATAACCTTATCCTTGATCCTCCCGCCATAAATCACCGTCCTATCCACCGCCTCCTCCCTCTCTTGTTCATCCTCGGTCTTCTCCAGAAAACACTCCTCGTGGAAGATATGTCGACACGCAAACGTAACGAGGCCGTGTCGTTCTTGGGTATAGGTAGGTTTAGTGCAGATACCACAATCGGTGTTGACTGTTCGTAAAAGAGTCAGTGATCGTTCAGAGAACTCAGTCGCAATTTACGAACCTTCGAATGAAATTCCTCGCTTCTGTCCATATCGCAGCGTCTTAAACTGACTCGACACATCCGCCGTCAAGATCTTCGAACATCCAACCGCAAGCGAAACCTGTTTGAACTTCATTAGTCACCAACTTTACGAGACGAATGTGCCGAGAAGGCTGCGGACCTGAAGTTCATGATCGTGCAAAACCTTCATCAACGACGCCTTCAATCCCGGGATCTCCAGTCCCTCCGGTATCCGCTTCACAAGCACAATCGGATTCAGCGTCGTCCCCGCATTCTCCAACAACCCGCGTATGAATTCCGGTTTATCCATTGAGTAGTTGAGCAGGTCATCCCATAACTCCTTATCGTCCTGAGCTTTCGCAAACTCGATAGCCTGTAAACCATGTCAGTCAGTTTGTTAGCGGCTCAGTCGCCCTGACAATAACTTACCCGTTCGACGTCTCGCAGCTTTTCGATGATGAGCATCAACGCTCTCTTGTTATCCCCCATCCGACCCAGAATGAACACGAGCTCGGTGATGTAGCCTCGCCGCTCACATATCTCCGCCGCATTCTGTAACGAGTAAGAGTTGCTTATCCGCAGGAACTCCTCAAGTCGCGTTCGCTCGTACTCGGCATACAGATCGACCTGCGCAAACAACCTTTAGCATCAAGTCTCAGCAGGCCTTTTAACAGAAGTCGAGGCCGTACCTGTAAATCCCCATACTTGACCGTCAAATGCGGATCATTCCTCCACACCGCATCCAAATACACATGCAACAAAATCGGCTCATCCTCCAACTGTGGCACCACCTTCGCGACTGGGATTGAATGTGAGTGCTCCACCAACAAGTTCAAAGCCCGTCTCTTCGTGCTCCGGACTCCTTCAATGCTGCCATCACCTTCCTCCCCAGCCTCGCCGCGGTCGAGATCCATGAGGAGGAGGATGTCGTCTTGTACCGCGTCGAACAAGTGAAACTCGCGGATGAGGTCGAATGTTGTAGGGCGGCGCAGCCGTAGATAATAATTCAGCGCCGCTTTCGGATTACGGTTATACGTATGTCTGTCCACCTCGTTAGCATGTCCCTCCTATTCATCACCTCAAACCCCAAACTTATTGGGGTATACGTACAGCTCCGCCAAACAATTCATCAACGTTTCGTTCGCCTTATCCTGCCTCCGCTTCTCCTCCACAGCACTAACCACATTCCCAACATCATACAACTCACTCGGCCACGTCTTCACAGTCTCATACAACATCTCCTCATCTTTGCTCAGGTAATACGCCAACACCATCTCATACACCAACGGACTCAACTGTACCTCGCCCTCGCCCTCGCCCTGCGATGGTGTTGCCCCGGTTGGGATGTAGGGCGTGATACAATTGAGCTCACCGGCTTCTGCGAATCGAAAGATCCATTTCTCCCACCCTTCGCGGTCATCACCGAGGACCTCGGATGCGATGAGGGCTGCTCTTGACCACTTTCCATCGCGGATGAGGTGTTCGAGATATCGTCCTCCTACATCCTTTACCGTGAATTTTTCACTCCCACCCGTCTCATCTAGAGCGCGAACGGCATCGAGTGCTTGTTCGTATTTCTCGAGTGATAGGAGCCATTCAATGTGATCATCCCCATCTCTCGCCCACGCCCTCACCAAATCACTCGGACCCACGACATAAACCTCCTCTTTACCCGGATGCCGTGTCAAGATATAGTCGTTCGGCTGTAGACGTTCATACCCCCTCATCCCCAACTCATCACTCGAGACCTCCTCATGCTTCGCATTGATCAACCGCAATTCGGGCCGTTCACCGGGTTTCCTTCCCCCGGAAGAGGCGATTTCTTCTGGATCCCGTTTATCGGCTTCGCAGGCTAGGATGAGGAGTTCCGTGCCGAATTGTACGACGCCGGCGACGATACTATCTGTTCGAAAAATCGACGTGATCTGTACATGTGGTACCTTCTTGTCGGAGGAGCCGGGCGTGGGTTCGATGACTTTCGCGACGGTGACGGTGTCGGCCCATCCGACGAGGAGGGTAGAGTCATCTCTCCACGTCAACCTCGATCTAAACAAATCCGCTCTCGGCGAGTTAGCGGGGCGTGGGAGATGACTTATTCGTTGCTGTGTGCTGGTATGATAGATCTTGACTCCAGCCTCATTCGACCACGCGATATAATTCCCTCTCCATCTCACCTCGTATACGTCCCCTTCTCCAGAATGGAGGATGGTGTCTTTGTTCCCTAACCAACCTCTTTCGGAGAGAACGAGTTGTCCGGCCATACCACCACTCACAACCCTCCTCTTCCCACTCCCGTACTCCGGATCGATACTCACTGTCCTCACCGGTCTCTTGAAATCCAAATGGTAATTATTGCTTGCAGGTGTATCGGGCGCGAGTGCGATTACGGCGACTTTACCGTCGAGAGAGGCAGAGGCGAGATAGGATGACGTGAAGTCGAGGGAAAGATCCATGATTGAGGCAGCGTGGGCGCGGAGACGGCGGAGTTCTTTGCTGGTATGCACATCGAGGATGTATATCTTTCCATTGTGAGAACCGAGGACCTGTGGACGCCTTTAGCCATTAAATTGTGGATGAGCGTGAAAGGAGGGGGTTACCATGTATTTGTCGGATATTACGAAGGCGGAGATGGGATCTGAGGTTATTATACTTGGTATATCACCGGCACACCGTACGTATTTCAGCCGTGGTTCTTCTTCCTCGTCGTCGTCATCTGAACTTCCGCCTTCGCTTCCGTCTTGGGAGTGAGGTCTGCTCTCGTCCGAACCCATTGATGACGAAGAGTCAGGATCTTCTTCTTGAGACTGTATGCGCTCGTCCACCGCGTCGGAATGCTCCATAGTACGCCTATTCGCCAAAGTCCTGTCGATGATGGTGGTTAGGTGTACGAGCTGCACCCCCTGAACCCAATGCCAGTGCACTGCAGGCACCCACCCGCCCACCTAACCACCAACAAGGCCTGGACCGCGTTACCCTGATGAATCGATAGGAATGGACAAACAACGGTCGCAAGCTTTTCAGAAGGTCGGTAACCCACTAATCCTCGGCGGATCACGGCTAATGTTGGAGGTCAATAGCTGAAACCGATCTGTATCAACCTCTCCCAACTCGCACTCTCGCCGAAACCGTCCTCGGTAGCCATCGTCCCAACTCTCCGATCTTTACGCGATTCCCTCCGCTCGATAGAGCAACCCGATGACACCCTCAACCATGCGATCGGCGACTACGTCTTCTTCCCCCTCTCCCACCTCTTACGGAACCAAGCGACCCTCTCAAATTCCTGTCTCGAGTTGTTATTGCAATGCATGAACCTCCTCATCAAATACTGCTGGCGCACAACCACAACCCCACAACTCTTCCGACAACTCCTTATCCTACTCACATTCCTCGTCGGGGGTGCGCCTACTTCACCATCCGGGAAGTCGCAGACGCAGACGCCAAAGCGTAACATCACGGAACATTGCAAACTCGCCGCGGTGCAGTGTCTCTCCTCCCTCTTCCTCTCTGCCGCGCTTTCGAACGTCGATGTAGTGACCGACATGGATGTTCGTCCAGCTCTTGGACACGCGATTACCACGCTTCTCGACATCGTGCTCACCGAACAACTGCTCGAGCTTCAAGTCGAAGCCGCGAACGCTCTAAACCAGCTGTACACCGATTTAATAAGAGAAGGAAGCATCGTTGCAGCGTTTCTGCCCGGCACTGTTAGTGGCGTTACGAAGACTCTCGTTCGGACGGCGCAAGCGAGGAAGAGTGAGTATATCGCCGCTGCAGTCGGACTCCTCTCCTCTACCATGACCATCGCCCTAACACCACCACCCCTTCCCCCGCAACTTGCAGAGGATGAAGACTTTGACCTGGACGCCTACGACCTCGACATGAACCCCAAACCCCCCGCCTCCTCCTCTGTCCTAGGCGGTGTAGAGAGAACAGAGGCATGGTACAAAGCCACTACTGCGCAACTCAAGATTGCAATAGAGACGATCCTTTACTTGCGACATCATACATCCCCAAAGGTACGCTCCGCATTCCTCTCACTTTCGAGGGAGGTGCTGGTGGGGTGTGGAGAGCGGGTAGCGGTGTTGGTGCCGGTGTTGGTTGAGACGGTTGTTGTTTGTGCTGGGGATGAGGTGGATGATATCCGTACCGCGGCCGATGCTGTGATTAAAGAGTTGTTGCGGGATGAGAGGTTGAGAGGGATGGTTATGAGGACGTGGAAGGAATCCCTGCATCATTGGATCACCGCCTTACCGCGGATATTAACCGGCGCGGATGACGTCCCCAAACGTAACCTTCTATCAGTTATCACCACCTCCGCCCGAATATTGACGGCACAGGATGTAGGGGTTGATCTGAGTGTGAGTATGGATGCTTTGGTACAGTCCCTCGGCGACCTCTCTACATTCGTGGACGTCAAGGCCAAGAGCAGTGTGGGGGCGAACGGATTAGTGGCGGGTATGAAGATGCTCGACATCTCAACCTTAAACTCCAGCGACGACGATGGATTTGCGATGTTGCCTATGAGAGATATATCCGATCCATCGACGACACGTGCATTCGTGAAGTTGCTACATACACTCGGTTCATCACCTTCCGCACCGAGTATCATCGAGTATTTCCTCGGTCTGTCGCAGGGTTCGAGACGAGGGGTTGATGTTGCGGGGAGTACGTGGGTTGCGACGCACCTTGTTCGTGGGGCGCTACACTCTCCCACGCCGTCAGTAGATAGGACGACCATTGCGGCATTGGGTGGGGAGTTGTATGAGTATGCGCTGAGCACGCTGTCTGAGTCATCTTCGCCGTATGCCGTTGCGGTGAGTGAGGGTGTCGAACCACTTGCGCTGTGTACAGCGTTAGAAGCAATTACTTTTACGGCCGAGACGGCTGGGAGGGGGTTTAGGGGTGAGTTTGTGGATGCGTTGTACTCGATCGTACAATTGGTACGGCATGATACGGACTCGGTAAGATCTCATGCTCGGACTGCGTTGCAGAGGATAGCGTATGTCACAGGCTACGACGGTGTCTCCGCCCTCCTCCTTGACAACGTCGACTACCTCGTCAACGCCGTCTCCCTCAAACTAAACACCTTCGACATCGCCCCCGCAGCCCCACTCGTCCTCCTCGTCCTCATCCGTATGGCTGGAGCACGGATCGTGCCGTATTTGGAGGATGTGGTGGAGAGTATTTTCGTTGCGTTGGATAATTTCCATGGGTATGGGAGGTTGGTGGAGGTTTTATTTGGGGTTTTGGAGGGGGTTGTGGATGAGGTGAGTAGAGGGCATGAGGGAAGGAATGGAACGAGTGTGAAGAGGATTCGGGCGGGTGAGGGTGGACATGTGAGTGGGGTGTGTGACGGGATCAATGCTGTCGTTCGAGAGATCCGGCAAGCGAGGGAGAGGAGGGAGCAGCCGGTTGAGGAAACGGAGATTACTGAGCCGAAGGTTTGGACAACGAATGAAGGAGAAGAGAACCAAGAGCCATCGATACCCGATGAGCCAAAACCGCCGCCACCAACAAAATCCTACGAAATCGTGCACTCCATTATCGAAAAAGCTCAAAACTACTTAACCCACCCCTCCTCCGACCTCCGCTACCGTCTCGTCGCCCTCATTCAACGCGCATCCCCAGTCCTCGCTGCAAATGAGGACAAACTTTTGCCACTGATCAACACGGCTTGGCCACCGCTCAAGGCGAGGTTAGCGGATAAGGAGGCGCATGTGGTGACGAAGGCGTTGGAGGCTGTTGCCGACATGAGTGTTTACGCGGGAGATTTCATGAGTGAGCGGGTCGCGAAAGATGCCTGGCCATCAATACGGCGCCTACTCCGTACCGAACTGCCACAACCCACTACCAACAAGAGTCAAGCTCTGGCACGGGCGTCGAAATCGATGGAGAGGTATTCGAGATCTGGACGGGTTGCGGAAGCGCTGTTTGGTGCGTTAGCGAAGATTTTGCGGCATACGTTTATGACGAGTGAGTTGTTTGATGAGGTTTTGGAGATGTGTTTGCCGTATTTGAGGGGGAAGGAGGAGTGGTATTTGAGGGAGACGACGGAGGAGTTGAGGAATGCGTTGGAGGCGGTTAATGCTGATGCGGTTTGGTTGGAGTTGCGAGACTAGATATATGTTAAGGCATTAAGCGGCAACCAAACTATTTAGAGACTATCAGCAATATAATCCGTCTCCGAAAAGCGACAGACTTTGTATCAACGATCTCTTCCTGAACAGGAAGTACACATACAGGGATACCCATGTCAAACAACCTCACATAGCGCCATAGCGTGTGAACCGCATCGATACGGTGCAGTACATGCATAATTCCGTAGCGGAAGGAAGAGTTACCTCGTACGCGAGTCCAGATTTATCATAGCAGGCAAGCTCTGTTACTTGAATCGCTCAGTCGAACGAATTTCTGAATCGTACGTTCTGCTAACATCAACAGCTTCCCCAGTCCAATTGATGTGGAGCGGCCTAGGCCTATGAAGACAGAGAACCATATCAGCGAGTGAATGACGTTAAGTGACGAGCAACCTCGGCAGGTCGTCGTGAAGTATGAACACAACCGGAAGAAAACGGTTAGACAAGATGCCTCAAGAGGTAAGGCCACATTTTTTCGTGTCACACACAGTTACACAGGTCTGGATTAGAAACGAGTCATGTAGTATTGAGTGGAGAAGCCCTGTAACAGCGTATCGTCGTACACCGTCGTATTAAACCTACTCGTCATCCTCCTCATCGCTCTCCTCCTCACTGTCATCATCAGCCTCCTCCAACCAAGCCAAGAAAGGCTGGGCAGCCTTCCTGATCTTCTTGCTAACATCCTTCTCAACGTACTTCTTACTAGCCTTCGCACCCCAAGCCTGAAGAACCTCCTCCTCAATCAAGTCATTCTGGTAAATCTCCAACAAGATCTTGGGAACACCAGCCATCAGCTTCTCGTGGGAGGCGATGAGCTGCTCGATACCACCGAGGAATGCCTTCTGGTGCTTCTCGGAGTCACCAATGAGTTTGGTAAGGAGAGGGGCGCGAGCCTCGAGTTCCTTGAGGATGTTCTCGTCGAAGAGACAGACACCCAAGACCTGGAGGGTGCGGTGCTTGGTGTCGATACCGAGCTCCTTGATCTTCTTGAACAAGTCGACGTCAGAGGGAGACTCGTCCTGCTCCTCGATCCAGCTCGCGAGCTGGGCGTAGGGGTTATCGGAGTCATCCTCATCCTCCTCCTCGTCGTTGTCGATCAAAGTAGACTTTCCGATACCAGCCTCAAGCTCAGCAACACGCTTAGCCATGGCAGCCTCAGAAGTGTCGACGGACCAGTCGCCGGTATCAGCAACTTCACCCACAGGAGGGAGTGCGGCAGCCTCAGCGACAAGACGCTTGGTGAACTCGTCATCAGATCCAGCGTCAAGATCACCATCCTCTTCATCATCCTCGGAAGACTCCTTCTTGGACTTCTTGGACTTCTTCTCCTTCTTGTCCTTCTTGTCGACCTTCTCCGATGACTTGGACTTGCTCTTCTTCTTCTCAGGAGGGTTCTTGAGAATGACACCGGAGAGCTTGTGCTTCATGTCCAACTTGGTCTGCTTACCGCAAGCCTTACAGTCCCTCGTGATGTTCTTTCCGTCCTTCTGGATAACAAGCTCGGTCTCAGGGTTTTTGCAAGCACCGCAAAGAACGAACCTGTTAATGAATCCATCCAAGGAGTCCTGGAGCTTACTGGCGTCGTGAGCACCGTTGACGATGTAACGATCAGTGTCGGCGTTCATGGAAGTCTGAGCACCCAACTCGAAACCGAACCACTTGGTGACGTGCATGGGAGGACGTTCGAGGGAACGAGCAACATCGGAAAGGTTGGGAATGACGGTCTTGATACCGTTACCTTTTCCCTCAATCTTGGACTGGATGCGGGGCATCTTGTAGCGGTAGAACGAGTCCTGGACGTCGCGACGGATGTTGATGTTGCCAGACATGATTGTTGAGGTTTAAGCCTGTCCAAACGTTAGCATCTCTTGTCATAACAAACGGAGGCGAAGAAAGAGGAAGGCGTACTTGAGGTGTGTTACTTGTTATTGATGAAAACAGAATGCTGAAAAACTTTCCAACTATGACGATTTCTATAATTGTTGACTATAAACAGCATAAGACGGCTCAGCGTGACGGTTTTGCTTGTGCTTGTGCTGTTGAGGGCGGCGGTGAGCTGCGGAGCGGCTGGAGGGTTGGTGGCGAAACGAAGCGGATGACGGATCGAGCGGTGTAATAAGATAACTTGTATCGCACAGTAGCCTGGATCAGGATACCGTTGAAGCGTACGGAGATCAACTGCGGATTTGTACGAGTTGAATGAAGTTGGCTTTGTAAGTTGGCGCTCGATTTTTTGAAGGCAGCGCCCGCATCGACCAGCTTTCGGCCGGAGAAACACGTGATTTCGTAACGCCGACAACCCAGCAAAATCGACAATCTCAACAGACACATAGTTTTCGCCATGGATCCTATATACACCCCAGGATCTGTACCGGAAGGCTCTGACAATGACCGAGGGAACCCACTGCTAGCCTTGTTGGAGGAGGGTATGCCACGACAGCAAGCAGCAACTGTTTATTCCGACAAAGTCGAACATAAACCCCTCCTCCTCCACCCTACACACTCCTCAGACGCTCGTGCACAAAGACGGAAAGGACGGCTAAATAAGTTGTGGAGACATGGGGCGAAACGGAAACCCACACCTCTCTCCGCCGCGGAGAAGAGGGAGATGAAGGTGTACGACATCCCACAAGAGGCACAGAGATATGAGATCTACGAACCTCTGAACGTGCTATGGAGAGGATATATCAGGGAAGTGTTGGGAACGGGGTTCAAGGTCAGCTCATCAGGCGCCATGCCCAAGCTGCTGAAGGCGGACATGCACGGTGCGATCCTCAAGGTGGTACAGTCAAAATGTCCATCACGAGTAGGAGTCGAAGGAATCTGTGTGAAGGAAACAAAGAATGCTTTCGTGCTGGTCACAAAAGGCAATAACATGAAAAGTAATACTCGATGAGCTATCTCGCATGAATGATGGCTGACTGTGCATTACAGCAATCCCAAAGGAAGCGTCTATTTTCTCACTTGAAATCGACGTAACAGCTGAAGGACCGCCACAGGAAGAGAACAAGCTTGTGTTTGAGATTTTTGGGAACCAGTTTGCTTACAGGTCTGCTGAACGTGTGGGAAAGAAGTTCAAGGGAAGACCGACGGTGGAGCTCTAGGGCTGGCAATGCACGAGCTTTAAATTGCATTTCTCTTGGTTCGTGAAGATAGCCTCGCTTACAAGGCGCTGGCGTGCTTAGTACTCAACGACGTCCTCCATGTCGTTCCTATCCCCGCTCGGCACCTTGGAATCTGCGTCCATCTCCATTGATTGGTCTGCTTGTTCTGCACTCTCAAATGCGGCACCGCTTTTCTCAGCCGTCTTCCCATTTGCATCAACCGGGTCCTGCTGCTCCGCCTGTTGAGGCTTTGGCGTCTCCTTGTTCTCTGCGGCCATAACATCCATGCTCATTCCTGCTTCCGGCTTGCTAGTGTCTGATTTTTCGTGTTCTGGCACTGCTGGTGCAATTGAGCCGGAATCGTCTTTCTCCTCATCGCTTCCCTCAGTCTTTTTCGTGTCTCGACCTCCATCAGCCGGATCCGCCTCATCAACCTCCATCTCTTCCTTAGCCTTCTCCTCACTCCCCTTCCGCTCCTCATCACCCTGTTGTCTCCTTTCCTTCTCCGCCCTCCTCTCATCCCGTTCCCTAGCAACAATTTCCTCTGCCTCCCTAATTTGCGCCTCAATCCTCTCCTCATCATCCTCAGTTAGCTGCCACGGTTTGTAGTAGATCACCGGCTCCGTCTTTGTCCTCAAACTTCTCGCCATAGCCAACATATTCTCATGCCGTCTCTCCAGGACCTCATCCGCGAACCTCTCAGCCTGTTCAGCCCTTCTTGCGTCTCGAACAGCATTCCGTTCCGACTCCCTCCGTGTGAACTCCACTTTTTCTTTCTTGAGCTTTTCATGGAGTTTCGCCTCGATTTCTGAACGGCGGGAAGTGGTGGCTTTTGCAGCCTCAGTTGCAACTTCTTTTTTTGCTCGGCCGAGTTGTCCGAGGAGGGCGCCGAACATTCGTTTTCCTCGTTGGGTTTCGTCGGCGCCGGCTGTTCGTCTGCGGGTTGGCGGTCCACGTTGCGCACTTGTTGATTCTTCCGGGGCGGTACGTTGTCGCTTTAATGCCTCTGTAGATTGAGCATCTTGCATGTCTGTATCATTGCTGAGTCGACGCTTCGAGGCCGGGACCACCGGAGTGGAACCCACTTCGGGATTGTTGCTCTGCTCAACTGGCGTCGCGGATCTAAACACATCGTCAGCGTCTACTCAGCCCACGACAATAAGCGACTTACTCTTGTCTATCGTCCGACATAATTGATGGTACAATTGGAATTTCTCTATGCTCCTCTCACGTATGTCGGCTCGTACGTCGGGGAAGCTCCTCGAACGGCGCTAGACCCTGCTTCGCCACCTGCGCCGATACATACGAAGTACTGTACGTCGCCGTCCCCCATTCCACCCTTCTCCATATACCTTAATCAGAATGTCCAAGCATCATCCCGATCTCGTACTCTGCAGAAAACAGCCCGGCATCTCCATTGGCCGTCTTTGCGACAAATGCGATGGAAAATGCCCGGTATGTGACTCTTACGTGCGGCCGACGACGTTGGTGCGGATATGTGATGAGTGTGCATTTGGTAACTACGTTGGAAAGTGTGTTATTTGCGGCGGACAAGGTAGTCTGAATGTATTGTTGATCTCAAGGGTGGTTACTAACTCGGCCTACAGGTATCTCTGACGCTTATTACTGTGCGGAATGTACACGGTTAGAGAAGGACCGGGATGGATGTCCGAAGATTATCAACCTGGGAAGTTCGAGAACAGATTTGTTCTACGAGAGGAGAAAGAATAAGAAGCTTGGGATGCAATGAGGTGATTTGTGAGATGCGGGGCGGAATACTTTCATGGATTTGCAAGGCGATGATGGAAGGATGAAGTGACTACATCGTATTAGGAACCAACGTACGATTATACCTAACACAGTCGCTTTACAAAGCGGGAAGGGAGGAGTTATTTAACTAGAGAAGAACACGGCACTCTTTGGTAGACCTGCAGTCAAAACAATCAAAGAACTTCAAACAAACTCAATAGGTATATGACGCCCCATGAACTCCATCCTGTGAAAAATGCCGAGAAGAAACGTTCCCAAAACAAGCGAAACCCGGGGTCCAGGAGACTTATAGATACCATCCCAGTTAGCTTTCGCGATAGCTCTCCCACGCTCTCCTCAAAACTCCTTCGCGTCATGAAAAGCGTCACCGTCTTCGCTATCCATGCTAATTCTCTGATCTCTCACCAACTCTGGTTTGACGCTCAAGTAGCTACTGTGCCTCTCAACCGTGCTCCTCCTCGGCGAACCGGCGGAAGTCTGTACACTGACATTCGCGCTCGCGTCGATATCACTCAGCACCTCAGGCATCTTCACCAGACTCACGTTCCGCCCATGCAGCTTGAAACTGGGACTACTCCTAGGCAACCCAGCTGTAGGCATACGAGCTTCAGCGAGCTCGTCAACATTTTCCTTCGAGGCATCTTTACGCTTAATACTCAGGTTCAGGGTCTTCTTGCTCGCCTTCTTCTTTGGACTGAGTGGCGGTAATTGACCCTCGCCCATAAAGGCAAAGCTGGTACTATCCATCGAGCTGGTAGACGGCGCGCGAGACACAGCCAATTTCAGGGATGCCGTGTCAGATATCGCACTGCCAGCACTTGCGGCGGTGTGACTCTGCTTCAACGGACTCGGCGTCGGTGACGGCGGTGGCCGATGACGAAGCTCAGAGACACGCCACTCCTTCGCCGTGTTCTCGCTGATCTCATCGTTGGCCTCTTTGCTCCCCGAACTAGAGTCCCGACTCTTCGGCGGCTCGGTTTGACTCCTCCGCGGCGGGCTAGGTGGACCGCGTAACAAATCCGTGGTCGATCCACCGAGATACTCCATACCTCCCGTCTCGATAGCCAGGTCCCTCGACAGAACTTCCTGATGACAAAGTAGTCTCGCCTGCTCAATCCGCACCCAACTAATCCTCGTGGCAAGTGCCTGCGCCGCCTCAATCACCTTCTCGCGCGTGAAGGCCTGGATTGGCGTCAACACCCTCAAATTCCTCGCAGTCCGCATATCAGCCTCGAGCTGCGCCTCCTGTGCTGTCATCTTCTCCATGATCTCCGTCAGTTTATGACGTAGGATCGTCCTCCTCGCCGCCGCAATCTCCGCCGCCAAACTCAGCTGACTCTCATCCCTCGAATGCCCGCCCGTGCTCGCACTCGACTGAGACTCCGCACGTCTGAGCGTGTACCCCCTCCTGGGCCCACCTTCATTGAGCATGACAATTCCCCTCATTCTCACACCCGCAGTCCGGAAGCTCGCCGCGTAATTGATCTTAGCAATCCAATCATTCATCTCCTCTTCATTCTCCGCCTTGAAAACATCATGCGTCCCACCCCGACTAACAAACCTAAACGTCGAGTTCCCTTTCTTTGCGTTGATCTTGTCATACACCGCAACAGCCTCAACGGTCGTCAGCATCGCATCAGGGCTGAATGCCTTAACGGGAGGGTGAAACGTAACCGTCTCTCCATCATTCCCATGTTTGCGATGTTTCTCGTACTGCCGAATCAACGACCTCACAAACTGCACGTTTTTGAAGAACAGAACCTGAGAACCCGTCAAAATAACACCCCACTCCCTCCACGCCCTTGACGCCTTCCCGCGTTTCTTATCTTCCTTCCGACTCAAAATCCCAACTTTCGTAACCTTCACATCAACCAACCCCGGATCCGTATCCTGCGGATGCGCAGCCGCCGCCGGTGTCAAAAACGCTCCCGGTCGACTACGCGGACTGACAATCTGCAGCGTCGCAGTCTCCGTGAAAGCTTTATGCAAGCTCTCCACTTCAAACGACGGCACCGTACCCGTATACGAAAACTCCGACTCATCCCTCAACACCGCGCTCAAATCCGGTCTCAACGTCTCCAATTTGCCCTCCAGGATCAGCGTGTATGGATCCACCGCCCCCTTCCCCTTCTTGACCTCATCCCGTCTCGAAAATCCATTCCTCTTCGCCCCGCCGCCTTCTAAGGGAAGGTTCCCGTTGATGTCAACGTCGTCATCGATGTGGATGAATGGGGTATATGTGATATTATCATAAAAACACTCAAGAACATCGGGTGGGAGACCGTCCATGCGGGTATTCCGGACATAGTCCATTTTTGTCATTTTGTGTTTGTTGGATTTGTTGTAAGCGTCTGTGTGTAGCATCATCAGGCTGAAGGCCAACACGTACGGGACCTCGGCATTTGGAAAGAGGTTCGGGTTACATTCCGAGTACCTTACCGCAAAAGCCTCGAGGACACGGTCGATCTGCTGTGTTTCCTTCGGTAAGTGAAGTTCCATCAATAACTTTCGCAGTGCCATATCCAACGGGTCAACAGCAAACTCAAAGGTCCCAAGATACGTCCTCAGCGTAGCCTTATGAAACGGATCGTCCGACCGACTTAACACCGTCGCAAGCGCACTTTTCGAAACAGCCTTCTCCAACCTCTCCAGATATATCTCAGGCGTATCACCCTCGACCCGATCCGGCACTACCTCAGGCTCAACAGGTAACGCAGGAGATGATGGTGTCGGACTAACATCATGCGATAAATGGGCGGATAAGGGCAAGACAGACGAACTATCCCTCCGATGAAACGTCGGCAACGTGAAAAACCCACGACGAATTGAACGTGTTTCGCCGGGTGTGTGATCACGTTCCTCACCACTCGCGATCTCGGAGGGGTTACTGCGCAAACTACTCAACGTCGAACTCCGTGCCCTAGTGTTCCGGACTGGACTCCCACCCCTCGACAGTGCGGCAGCAGAATGAGTCGAATGTGCCGACCTCTGCGATGCAGAACGAAGGAGTGGAATTCCTGGGCCACTAAACGCAAACCCGAACGCAGCAAGCGCAGAAGCCGTCGTAGGCTCCGGGCCCAGCCCAGGCGTAGGTGTCAAAGGTCCAGTGGACGGTGTACTCGACTCATTCCCAGAACCGCGACGTACTGAATTGAGACTCGGCTCGGAATTCGTCCGGACAGCAGTGAGCGTAGGAAACCCAGATATTGACAACGACGAAGCAGCAGTTCCCCTCCTCGACCTCCTCGGTAACCGGAAAAACGATGTGGATATATGCGTGGTCGTAGTCGTCGTAGTCGTCGTCGTGGTGACTTGCACATTATCCCCCGAACTCGCGTCACTCGGCCGATTCGGGCTTAAATGCTGGATACCCTGGTTCTGGTTTGGCGGCTCATACGCTGGCAAATCCCTCGAATCACGGGAATAGGGCTCGTTGTTGCTGGTGAGGGGTAACGTATCTTGGGAATTGGATGATTTGTCGAGGAATCCTTTGAAGCCAAGGTATGATGCAAACGAAGCTCGACGGGAGGACATAGTGCTACGGCGAGAATCTGCGCCTGAGGTATGGATCGTTGACGCTCCCATTGATAAGTTGCGAGCGTGTTCGCGTAAGGGGCTCATGTTCGCAGATGTTCCGGTCACGGGCCGACTGTCTTGGCGAACAGGAGAAGGTAGTGATATCGTCACAATTGCAGGGGCTGACTCCGCATGCTGAACATTCGCAACTCCTCCTTCATCTTCTACCTGCTGCGGAATCGACGGAGACGGTGTAGTACTCGTCCTACTCCCCCGTTTGATCCACAATGTCGATAACTTGGTCACGGTCGACAAACTCGGCCGTTGTCGTGCAGGTTTCGTTGACTTCCCCGAGTCTGTTGAAGACTTCCTCTGATTGACCATCTTGCTGACTGATTGATTCAACAGCAGGTCATCCTATTGCAGCTGAATGGTAGGGGGTGTGTTGGGTATATTTGCTGCTCCTTGCTACAAGTCACGGTTCACGGTTCACTCACGTTCATGGCCAGCAACGCCCGCGCGCCCTCATTCCGCCCCACGGATGCGTTCCGTGCAGAAACACACAGAAACCGGCATCCACCCCGTCCTTCCCGGTTAGACATCCCATGGTAGCCTGGATGTACATTTAGTTGTCTTTACTTTACAGCATGTACCGCGGTATATGCCATCTCCCGCTCGTCAGACCTGCTCTCTGCCACATGACGGCGGGCTGCACGCGACTGCAGCGGGAAAGATAACCTTGAATCTCACCTCCTCGAATCAACGACATCCAAATTCACAAATACCTGGGGAACAATGCAGCTCGTGTCCGCAGTATTTGGTCTGCTCCTGGCAGGTAATGCTGCCATCGTGTCTGCCGCGCCGCAGAATTTTATCCATCAGTCGTCCGTTGCTCTTGGATCATCGTGGTGGGATGCATTGACAGGTCAGTTGAAAGGCATTTTTGTTTTTGACATGATATGCTTATAGTCTGACAGGTCTGAAGGATTACATCCAATCCGCGCATAACTATGAGGAGCATCGTGTGGAGAAGGTCCGGTATGATGACCACATCGTGATCCGCTTCAACGTCGCGTCCACAACAGAGCGCACTGCAGTCGAACACGCCGCCGAGGCGATGGTCCTCGACATCTGGTCTTCCTCCTCCAAGCACGTCGACGTCCACCTCCCCCAATCCCGGTCCTCCTACTTCCTCAAGTCCCTTCCCCGCATCCTCCGGGAGTCCTACGACCTCATGATCCCCAACGTCCAGCAGGCAATCGACGCAACTAACCCATCACCCCTCCCTGCTTCCGCGTTCCAGATTTCTGGGAAAGGTAGCATTGCATCCCTCCCTGGTTTGCCAGACGCGTTCTTCCAGGATTACCAGCCGTTGTCGACGATTGACGCTTGGTTGCATCTCCTCACAGCCCTCTACCCCGACCGCGCCTCCATCCTCACCATCGGCACCACCCCCGAAGGCCGCCAAATCCTCGGCCTAAAGGTGAAATCTCCCGTCCAGTCCCCCCAAAAGCGCAAAGGTATCTTCATCCAAGGCGCGCAACACGCGCGCGAATGGATCTCCGTCTCAACCGTCTGCTACGCCCTGCACCAAATGGTCTCCGGTTACGACGTAGACCCCGAAGTCCGCGCATTGGTCGAAGGCTTCGAGTGGACGTTCGTGCCGACTGTGAATCCAGATGGGTATGTCTACTCGTGGGAAGAGGATAGATTGTGGAGGAAGAATAGGCAGAATACGAGTTTGCCGTATTGTAAGGGGTTGGATTTAGATAGGACGTGGGGGTACAAGTGGGATGCGGGAGCAAAGACGAACATCGCGACCACGAACCCTTGCTCAGAGAGTATGTCGCTTGCTCCATCCCGTGTGAAAAGCTAACGTATTGGCGACAGACTACCGAGGCGAAGGACCTTTCGCAGCAACCGAACCCCGCCTCATCTCCGACTTCATCCAAAACCGCACCTCCTCCGGCGAAGACGACATCCTCGCCTTCCTCGACCTCCACTCCTACTCCCAAACCATCCAATACCCCTGGGCTTACGACTGTTCCGCCCTCCCCCCCGACGCCGAAGACCTCGACGAACTCGGTATCGGAATCGCACACGCTATCCGCCGTATTCATCACGAAAACTACGACGTCGAGACGGTGTGTGGAAACCCTGACCCGACGGAAGCTGGAGGCATGCCCGGGGCGGCGATTGATTGGGCATATGGGGAACAGAAGATTAGGTGGAGTTATTCGATCAAGTTGAGGGACACGGGTAGTTATGGATTTTTGCTGCCGAAGGAGGAGATTGTGCCGACTGGGGAGGAGGTTTTCTCTGGGATTAAGTATTTGGCAAAGTTCATTGCTGATAAGGCGTGAGTGTGTTCCATATGCATAGCCAGGACTTGTTGCTATTGATAGTTAGAAGGAGGAGAACACTTGAATCAATGCATTGTTGGTTACACGTCATTTACGGTGTTGCTATTTTTTACTCATCTCTTCTCCTTGAGGGTTAAGCTTTACGGGGGCCTTTTCCGATGCATGAGGAATGCGCCGGCTGCGGCGTCAGGGTGCCGAACCCCGCGTCGAGTTTATTTGCAGGCCGACGTCTTCGAAAGGTATAAAGGGCTCGTAGACCCTCACTGGATCCACCTCAGTCTGTCTTTCACCGTCCTATTCACTCTCTTTGAAGATCAAGCACGATGCTCCCCATCAATCTCTCCACTGCTCTCCTCGCCCTTATTCCCCTCCTGGCACCCATCGTCCACGCCCGCACCGACCTCGAAGGCTGCGTCTCCTCCCAAACCGTAGCCTACGGCGGCGCCTCCCTCATCTGGTACGTCCCTGGCACCGGCGAGATCTGCTCTTTCTTGGATTGTGGAGGGGGTAGGGCGCCGCCGAAGACGACGGTGCCTGGGTGCGCTGCGTATGCTGGCACTGGGACGTATGAGCCCAGTTATTTGCCTGGGTATGCTGCGACCGGGATGGTGCAGGCGACGAGTACGAGCATGAGTGTGGAGACGGGGGTGCAGGGGGTTGTTACGCCGTCGGTTGATGCGAGTACGGTTACGGCTGCCCCGGAGGTGATTTCTTCTATGTCTATGGAGACTACGGAGAGCACGCCCACGACGACGCCTATTGCCGATCTTAGCTCCTCGACATTCTTCGCTCCTGGCGTTGCCGAAACCGGGTCCTCCTCCGCAGCTATCGAGAGCTCCACTGCGCCCTCCTCGTCTGTCACTTCCTCCGCGTTCACCTCTACCACCACCTCATCCACCGGCGCCGTCAGCATCTTGGCCGCCTCGGCCTCCGCCTCCTCTGCTTCTGCCCCAGTCTCCGGTGCCCGTAGCAGTGCACGCTCTTCGTCGAGCCCTAGGGCTAGCGTGGTTGCTTCCTCCACGGGAGCGACGCAGAACAGCGATGCCCAGAGGATGGTTGTTGGGGGAGTTGTTGGTGTTCTTTGGATGGTTGGTGTGATGATGATGCTCTAAGACGTTCGTGAGATAATGCTGTGTTTCATTATTTCGATACGTTCTGACGTTTGGAGCTTTTCTCGGCTCTTTACCCGGCGTGGTTGAGGCTGCTTTAAGTTGGGCTGGAGGTCAATGTTCTTGGATTAGCTAAGATCGCTCTGGACAGTTAGATAAAGATATAGCTGTGTTTTTTTGAACGTTTTTGAAGTGGTCTTCACTCCGATTGCCTCTATAATGATTTTTTCCGGTGGTCAGACCTATCTCGGAACCCGTGCGAAATTTCCGCGCAGCCCACTCAAAGCAACCCACTTTCACTCATCATTCAAAAATTCGACGCAGAAAAGGAAACTGGCCGCTACAAACTCCCGAAGATGTTCCTCTGTGTCACCGACACCTGGGGTCTTAGAGCGTTCGCCGCACCTTGCAGACAGGTTCTTCAGACAAGTTCTTCAATCGGTCGGAATGTTATTAGGATACCCCACGAAGGCTTCGATATCGTTACATGGACTACTCACCCTCCATGACTCCTCAAAATGCCGATCAAGCTCATGGGAGATGGTGTCATACACGTATCGCAATTTATGCACGAACGCTCGGGCCCATGAGCATCAACTGCATGGCTTGCTCAGCAACCGCACACACCGTACGTATGAGATCTGTGGATACTGAAATCCATTCGCCGACAGCAATCCAGGAAAGCCATGTCAGGCCTGACTCTTATCGAGGCCCTCAATTGCCTCACAGTGGAGAACCCTACCACTCTCAGTCTCGCTTCACACGCTGCCGTGCCGTCCAGCATCGACTTCGACACCGAACCTGAATACGATGAACTCGACCTTCTAGTCACCGATTCGGATGATTTGATATCAATAGACACCAAGTTCGAAAGAATCTGCTCCATCATCTCGAGTGGCCTATCGCTTGCAGCGGCACTGGGCGAAGTTAACCCGGAGGATGAACCAAAAATGAGAGCGTTCAGACTTGTCCAGATGGGTCGCGAGGAACGGGCCACTTGGAGGAAATGGGAGGAGGGAGGGAGATTACCGGCTTTCAACAGGGAAACGTGTAAAGTGGCCTACTACAAAGGAAGGAAACAGCCACCGCTCAAGGTCCTAGAGATGGAAGCCGAGGCACTTACAAGACTCTACGGTGCTTCGCCTCCACTCAGCATTGAGCACGCACTTTTCTTCCGCCACAACAAACCTCACAGACACAATTTTCCTCTGGTACACTTGATGGCGAAGATCATTACCGCGGAGAAGGATCTCGGGTTTCCTATGGTTGAGAGCGAGGATTGGAGAGTACGCACGGAAATTAAGATAACCAGACGTCTGAACAGTATGATACTGCAACAACTGGAGTATATTGAATACAGCGTTAGGGGCATTCGTTCGTCAGAACTGGTTGGGGCACAAAGAGCAATTGGGCCACGAAGTCGCCGATTGAATACCCTACGTTCCTTGACTGGACTTGATCTCACGGATCCTAATCAAGGACTGGAGACGTTAACGGATCACATCGTTGGCGAGATCGAGCACAGGAGGCGGAGTGTCAACCAATACCTCTCAGAACGTGTCCGAATCCTAATGAGCACAGAGAAGTCCCGCACAGCAGACAACGTCCATCAAGTCACAGAAGCAGCAGCAATACTGGACGGACTGCCTGCTGCGAAGGTCGCGGAACATAGGATGCATGAGACGGCGGAGATGCTGGTGATGATGAAGGATAAGGAGGGGAGGGATAATGCGGTGGATGAGGCCACGGCGGTGGGGGTGTTGGAGCAGGTGTTGAAGGTGAATGTGAGGAAGGAGGTGGATGAGGATATGTTGGGTGAGTTGCTCGCGAAATGCAAGATTGAGGCACCTGAAACAAAAGAGGGAGAGTTTTTCACCACGAAGAAGGACGAGAAGTATGATCTTGATTTACTTTTCAAAGCGGCGAGGAGCCGAGAGGACCATCATGAGGATGAATCTGACGACGATGACGATGATGACAGCGGAGTGGACGATAGTAAACCGATCACACCGAAGAGGACCAGACAAACGATGGAGGATCAGAACTTGCAGGAGAAGTTCAAGAAGGTCAGGATCTCGGCGTCGTCGTAGGGGTTCTGGGTAGATTTCCGGAGCGTGAGGAACGGAACATCACAACGGAAACGCAGTTCATATCTATGGAGGTATCTTGCTACTACGTATGATACTTTGTCTTTTGTGCCTTGCGAGTTTTGTAGGGAAACATCAATCATATCACTAAACAGTACTATGTCAAACGTTTTCTCATTGATGATATCAAGCAATGCCATGCCGAGCAACAGTACCCCAAGTAGAACTCCAAAAAACACCACCTTCTAAGTCCTTATCAAGAATGCGCATGCCCATACATGATTAACCTACACCACTACCCTAATTTCTTCTCCTCGTAGCCGGTACCTTTCCCGCCTTCTCTGCCCTCGTCTTGTGCTTTGAATGCAAGTGGCCCAAATGATCCATGGCGGCCAAGTTCTTCCACTTGAGTACGCGCCAGTGCTCCGGAGGCCCATCATACTCCTTCCCTCTCGCCGACCTCCGTTTCTCTGGTGGTGGATGATCGATAATGGCTTGTGAAAGGTAGTGTTCCCGACTCCGCATACCTTCGATAATATCGGATTTCCGTGCGATAATGGCATTCCGTAGCTTGAGTTCTCTGACACCCTTCTCCTTGAGCCACTGGAGTAGTTGTCCGACTTGCTCTGGGGTGTCGTAGAATCCCCAATCCAATGGGCCTTCCATGCACGTTTGACCTTCCTCCTTTTGCTTGCGCTCCTCGAACGTTTTGCCTGCCTCCTCGCGGATTTCCTCACCCTTCTTCGGATCACCCGTCCGAGGGTCGAAACCCATGTACTTCTTCATCAAAAGATGATGAGCGTCAAGATCTGACCGTGCGGGACCTTGGACCCATATCCGTCCCGTCGCGTAGCCCGCGTAGGTACTCGAGTCAGGCATACCCCGATGCGGCATACCATTGAGTTCACACCACCAATATCTGTTATGGAAACGATCCTTTCCGAGGAGTCGGAGCCGCTGGCAGTCTGCTTCAGCGAGGTCATAGTTGAGCGTGGCGATCTCATCTTCACACCGCTTGATATCCTTCATCGCCGCCTCCAGCGCCTTCTGAAGCTTGATAAAGTCCTTCTGTGATGCCTTGTCAAGTTTTGCGATCGGCGCCGGAAGCGCAGCCGAGGGCGCAGGCGTACTGGGGGCCGTATCATCACTCTCCATCGCAGCCCTACTCCTCTTCCTCCCCTTCACCGGCGAACTCTCCGGACTTCCCCCATCCCCATTAACCACACTCCTCGTCCCAACCGTCTCATTATCCCCATCCTCACCCTCCGCCCCCTCCTCCCCATTCAACTCAATCGCAAACTCAGCCTCCAAATCCGCCGCCTTGATCTGCGGGAATTTCTCCTTGAGCGAGTTCCGAACCGATCCGAGTTTTTCCATATGGATTTTTCGTTCCCGTTGGAATTCGACCTTTTCTTTGCGCTTTGTGGTCATGTCTTCCATGCATTCGTCGATGTATTTGCGGACTAGGGGGGTTTGGAGGATGAGTTCCATGAGGTATTGGAAGACCATCAACTTGAGGTCGGGTTTGAGGGTGTAGTACTGCTCCTTTGCTGTCTCTGCGACGGGTTTGCGGTCCATTGGGCAGAGATGCTCGAGGATCTCGGTGCAGGTGTCGACGTGCCGAGAGGAAAGGGTTAGCTCATGGAGGAAACCAACGAGGATGAGCTCCCAGCCACCAGAACGGAAGTCACGCCGTTGCAGACGTACCCGCCACGATGATCCCTCCTCCTCGAGCATCTCCTCCGCCAAATGTGTTCTCTGAACCTGAACGGACTCCTCCTGCTCCTCCTTCACGTCCGAGTTATCCATTTCTACGTCTTCAGCCTCACCGTTCTCGGTCTTGGCTTGGCTGTGTGAATCGACCTCCATCGCCTGGCTTCCGTTCTCCTCATCCTCGCCTTCGACGCCCTCGCCGTCCACTGCAAGATCCTTTGGTAACGGTACGACGCACTGACTACTCTTCGGCTCAACCAAGACCTTCAACAATGCGCAATGCACCTCATCGATAATCTCGCACGGTACGTCCGCGTTGTTATACTTCAGCGCTGCCACCCAGTCATCAAGCGTAAACGAATCAATAAGCAACGGTTCCGAAAAGACATTGAGGAACGTCCATGTCTCAAGAAGCGCCTCAACATTGTGCGACGACACCGCAGTCTCCCGATTAAGCTTCGGCCGTGCTGCAACAGTCCCAGGCGATGGCAGGTCAAGGTCTTCAATTGGGTACTTGATAACCTCCACCGCCTCCTTCACCTTTGGCGCCGCAAACGGGTTCTTATCCGCTCCTTCCGTCTTTGGCGTCCGAGTCCCGGACTCAGCACCCCCATCATCCAATAACCCATCAACACCCATCCCTTTCCTCCCCCTACCTATCCTCGCTTGTGTCGTCAACCCCGCACCACCATTCGTAATATCCGCCAAATTCGGTTTCCGCAGATGTGTGGGCACGGATTGATCAATCTTATACCTCTCCGCAAAAATCGGCTTCACGAGCCACGGGGCGCCATACCACGCTTCACGCGTAACTGCATGTTTGACGAATGTCCGTAGCATGGTTTTCGTGAACGTACTCCGTTCGCGGGAGAGCATGCTTTCGTCTACGACGATGTCGCGGTCTGAGGAGGTGGAGGGTACATCGAGGCGTTCGACGGAGTAGTTTGTTGTTTGGGGACGAACAGTACCATCGCCGAGTCGCATAGCTCCGAGCACAGTTTTCGAGCGTACGAGGACTTGGAATTTTTGGGGGTGAGGGTAGGTGAAGACGCAGTGTAATGTCTCGCCGGGGAAGTATGTCGTTTTGAAGGCATCGAAGATCTGGTCCACGAGGTGATCAATCCGCGGTACAACGGAGAATTGAACTTTCCGTAGTACCGGTTCTTTGAGAGCTTCGGGGAACGACATGTCGAGGCCGCGCATCTCGTTGTTTTCGGATTGGAGTGCTTCCCAGAAGGTTAGGTTTGTGTGGCCGGTGATCTCGCACATGAAGACCTTTTCGCGGAGGAATTCGATGCGTTCGATGTATTGGGAGTAAGAGACGAAGACTTCGTTGGTTGCCTCGATTGACCATACTTCGTCGTCATCGCGGAGACTGGGGGGGTCGGGGATGAATTGTACGGGCTTTCGCTTGAAGAAGACCTGGGCGCACAACGGTGTCAACAACGAGTCAGAATCGAGGAGAGATGAGAGAACAAACCATTGGAGCTGATTATTATGATTATTACGAGACGATTGATACCCTACTCACCCTATTCCCTCTCCTAAATTTGTGTGCGCCGACACCCGTGTTGACCTCGAGCCGTCACTTTGTCCAAACACGCACGTGCAGCCGTAAGTCGCGACCCTGTCGTAAATCGCGGATCGAGCAGTGTGAGAAAGTTGTGCGTCTCGGTGTCTCTGTCGCAGTGTGGTGGAGGAGGTGCCGAGGTGGAGGAGGTCCCGGGGTGGAGGGGGAGCAGTAGAGGGAGGGAGTGCTGCTTGGGGGAGAGCGGGATCAGGAGGGGGTCCCGAAATTGAACCAGCGTTGGAGATTTGACTTGGGGAGGGTGCACATGTACGCTAAACGTGAATGACGGCGCCTGCCCTGGGTAACCAGAGATGTCTTGCAGGTCGACTGGCAGCGAAGAGCGAGGCTGAATTGCAGGCTCGAAGAGTAAACTGCTTCACGTTGAACGAGAGGTATCTCTTGACAATGACGGCTTTGTTCTCGTGTGCACGTGCCCCACTGCAACTCGAGTGACGCACCGCGATGCACCCCCCTACATCCTCCGCATCGCTGCAAAATTTTGACTTTTTTTGAAGTTCCGCGCGTCCTCTCTCATAAGAGTAGCACAGCTGCTGTACGTAGCACCTTCACACAAACGTACGACAGACTCAACTCCATCGATCTCCTACTCCTAGGTCAAAGTTCGATCGGACGTAGTTTTAGTCCAGGTGTATAGAGGCTGTTAGTCGCTTGTAGAAGTCGTTGCTCCAGATCGACCGAGTGCGGTGATAACGAGCTTATCGATACGACACGAGCAGTATCAGCATACATCCCCGAAGTTTGAATTACAGCTACGGTACGACAATGTCGGATACAGCAATGGCTGATGTTGAGGTTGAGGCTCCCACTACAGTCGTGGAGGAGCAAGAGCCGCCTATGCCGCTCTTCAACCCCCTCGCGATGAACCTCGCTGTCGCACTTTCCAGCATCGCCCCCATCATTCCCGCCGAAGCACACGCAATCCTCGCAAACCCCGCGACACCTACCGCGCAATACCTCGACACCCTCTCCCTTCTCGCGCTCGATCCGCGCTTCACACTCCACATCCTGGCCGCATACCGCCCCATCTTCCCCGACCTTGTTGCACGTTGGCACCAAGCCGTCGAGACACGCGTCGAGGATCTTGCGTGTGCGTTTGGTCGTGTGTTGGCGATAGCTCCACATGTTGCCGAGTACGCTGTTGAGTACCTCCATTGTGGTTCCTCATTCCTCCGCTCCTTGACTGGAGTTACGTCAAAGTCGACGGATGAGGAAGTTACGGAGTGCGACGCGGAACGTACGAAGGAGTTGTTGCTCGCTGCGTATAGGCTTGTGAGGTTCAAGAAGGATGCGTTTTTGGGATTGGTGGACGTTTCTACCATGTTTGCGTTGTTTAGGCATCCTTCGCTCCCCGTCCGGGCTCTTGCGATTGAGTTGTGGTGTATCACCCTTTCCGCTGCAGATGCTGCGCGTTTGGAGATGATTCGTGCGCATCTCGGTGAGGGGGCGGTTACGGGATCTTGGGAGGGTACGGAAGATATGGATTACGGGTTTATCTCGTATATGGAAGACAGGAGGGAAAAGATGGAGCAAGTAAAGTACATGAACCAGGACTACTTAACGGAAAACACGGACGCCCAGCCCCGCGTTCTGAAGGAAGAGGATTTGAGCCCCTTCACAGTTAATTTGTCGGGGATTTTGTTGCCGAGGTTTAGGGATGTTGGACCCCAGAGCACTCCAGTTGTTTTGACGCCGACCACGAAGAGGAATGTCGCGGCGATCGCGAAGGCTCTGTTGGGTCGCGCACCCATCTTGCTTACAGGGTTGTCGGGAAGTGGAAAGACTTTCTTGATTGAATCAATTGCGCACGCACTCGGTCGCGCTGAAGACCTCGTCCGCATTCATTTGGGTGACCAAACTGATGCGAAACTTTTGTTGGGAACTTATGTTACCTCCAACACCCCTGGTGAATTCACCTGGCAGCCTGGAGTGTTGACCAAAGCCGTCCGAGAGGGAAAGTGGATCCTTGTCGAGGACGTCGATAAGGCTCCTGCGGAGGTTTTGAGTGTTCTCCTGCCTTTGATGGAGAGAGGCGAGATTGGGATTCCGTCGAGGGGGGAGACGGTCAAAGCTGGACGTGGGTTCAGGATGATTGCGACCAAAACTCTTCCGGAGAGTTATGGACGGAGAAAGAAGCACCTCGAAGCCGAGACCGAAAGCGGCATTGGAGGGCATTTGTGGGAGAGGGTCGTGATTGAGCTCGCGCCTGAGGATGAGTTGTTGGAGATCGTGGCGAAGAGGTTTCCTGTCTTGGCTACGATTGCGGAACGGATCGTTGATGTGTATAAAGCTGTGCGGGAGACGTATCGTGACCCTGCGTTCTTTATGATGTCCAAGACGTCCCTTGGACGGGCTGTTACGACGAGAGATTTGGTCAAGTGGTGTACCCGCATCACTGCACTGTATGCTAGCGCTGGCATCACGAATCCTGATGCGCCCGTTAGTCAGGGATTACAGGATTATATCTTTGCGGAGGCTGTTGATTGTTTCGGTGGTATGATTCACACGATCGATGGTCGCGAATACCTTGTCTCGAGGATTGGGACTGAGCTTGAGGTACCGCCTGAGCGTGTTCAGTTGTTTTTGCGTGCGCATGTTCCACGTCACGCCGAGGATGAGGAGACGCTTCAGGTTGGAAGGGCTGTGATGAGGAAGAATGTTGCTGCCGCGCAGGCGATTTCGAGGAGGAAGAGACGCCCGTTTGCGACGACGGGGCATGCGTTGAGGTTGTTGGAGCAGCTTGGTGTTGCGGTTACGTTGTCTGAGCCTGTTCTCCTTGTCGGTGAGACAGGTACGGGTAAGACTACCATTGTACAGCAGCTCGCCGATACCCTCGGGCATAATTTGGTTGCGATTAACTTGTCGCAACAGACTGAGTCGGGCGATTTGTTGGGTGGGTATAAGCCCATCGACGCCAAGATCCTTGCAGTCCCGTTGAAGGAAAGCTTTGATGTGATCTTTGAGAGGACGTTCTCGATGAAGAAGAATGCGAGGTTCATGGAGGTCGTCAATAAAGTCTATGGTGCGCAGGAGTGGAACAAGCTCGTCAGGCTATTCCACGAGTCGGTCAAGTTGGCTGAGCAGAGACTCGCTACGCTTAATGCTCCCTCCGAGGAACCCACTAAGAAGAAGAGAAAGGTCGATCCGGAGCTTGTGGGGCTTTGGGATCAGTTTGCGAAGGATGTAGCCAACTTTGAGGTTCAGCAGAGTCAGATTAGCAAGTCTTTTGCGTTCTCGTTCGTTGAGGGATCGTTGATCAAGGCTGTTAGGAATGGTGATTGGCTTTTGCTGGATGAGATTAATTTGGCTGCTGCTGATACGCTCGAGTCCATCTCTGGGTTGCTTCAGGAGGGCGGTGGGTCGATTATGTTGTCCGAGAAGGGTGACATTGAGCCTATTAAGCCCCACCCCGAGTTCCGCATTTTTGCGAATATGAACCCTGCTACTGATGTCGGTAAGAGGGATTTGCCGAGTGGATTGAGAAGCAGGTTTACCGAGTTGTATGTTCACTCGCCTGATACCAACATGGATGATTTGTTGGCGATTATCAGGAAGTACATTGCCCATTTGTCGATTGGTGATGACCGTGCTGCGCATGATGTCGCGCAATTGTATATGAAGGCTAAGGAGCTCAGCGAGAGTAACCGATTGGTCGACGGTGCGAACCAGAAGCCGCACTTTAGTATTCGTACGCTTGCGCGGACGTTGACGTATGTTGGTGATATTGCGCCGGTGTACGGTCTTCGCAGGAGTTTGTACGAGGGATTCTGTATGTCTTGCTTGACGTTGCTTGATAAGGCTTCTGAGGCTGTTTTGAGGCCTATTATTGAGCAGTACACGTTGTCTGGTGTCAAGAATGTCAAGTCGGTTATCTCGCAGATTCCGAGGAGACCGACGGAGGGTGATTATGTTCAGTTCAACCACTACTGGATGCATCAAGGACAGTATCCTGTTCAAGAGGAGTTGCATTATATCATCACTCCGTTTGTCGAAAAGAACATGCTTAACCTCGTTCGCGCGACAGCGACCCGGAGGTTCCCGGTCTTGATTCAGGGCCCGACGTCCAGCGGTAAGACGTCTATGGTTGAGTACCTCGCCAAGAAGACCGGACACAGGTTCGTGCGTATCAACAACCACGAGCATACGGACTTGCAAGAGTACCTTGGGTCTTATGTCTCCGACAATGAGGGTCAGTTGAAATTCCAAGAGGGTCTCTTAGTGGAGGCTGTCAGGAAGGGTTACTGGATTGTGCTTGATGAGTTGAATTTGGCGCCTTCGGATGTTCTTGAGGCGCTTAACCGTTTGCTCGATGACAACAGGGAGTTGCTCATCCCCGAAACCCAGGAGGTCGTCAAGCCACACCCTCACTTCATGCTTTTCGCTACTCAAAACCCCCCGGGTCTTTATGGTGGACGTAAGGTCCTTTCTCGCGCGTTCCGCAACCGTTTCTTGGAGTTGCATTTCGACGACATTCCAGAGAGCGAATTGGAGGAGATTCTGTGCAAGCGCTGTCAGATCGCTCCTTCTTATTGTGCCAGGATTGTCGAGGTCTACAAGCAGTTGGCTATCCGTCGTCAGTCAACCAGGTTGCTTGAGCAGAAGAACAGTTTTGCGACGTTGCGTGATTTGTTTCGTTGGGCTGGTCGTGAAGCCATTGGATATCAGCAGTTGGCTGAGAATGGATACATGCTCCTGGCTGAGCGTGTCCGCAAGGATGAAGAGAAGGTCATCGTTAAGGAAGTCCTTGAAAAGGTTATGAAGGTCAAGATCGACGAGGCCGCCCTCTACAATGTCGCGGCGTTGCCCGAGTATGAGCTGTATGCATCGAAGTCCTTGTCCCAGGGCGTGGTTTGGACTAAAGCGATGCGGAGATTATATACCCTTGTATCTCATTCTTTGCGGTGGAATGAGCCTGTCTTGCTTGTTGGAGAGACTGGATGTGGTAAGACCACTGTTTGTCAGATGTTGTCGGATGCGTTCGCCAAGGAATTGCACATCATCAACGCACATCAGAACACGGAAACCGGCGATATCATCGGTGCTCAGCGCCCGGTCAGGAACCGGGCTGCAATGCAGACGCAGCTTACGAAGGACCTGTTAAGATTCTTTGCACAATATGCCCCGGAGCTGCAATTTGACGCTGACGCTGCTCCGACCGAACTGGTATCGGCGTTTCAGGGCTTGGATCTTGCCGGTCCTATATTCTCATTGCCAGAATGTACAGCAGCCATTGCACGAATCGAAGACGGCATTCGCCGAGTCAAGGTGTTATTCGAGTGGAGTGACGGTACCCTCATCACCGCACTGAAGCAAGGTGATCTCTTCCTTCTGGATGAAATCTCACTTGCCGATGATTCTGTCCTTGAAAGACTCAACTCTGTCTTGGAACCTGCTCGTACTATCACTTTGGCGGAGAAGGGCACCGATGCAAGCATCGTGACGGCAACTCAAGGTTTCCAGTTCTTTGCCACCATGAACCCCGGAGGTGATTATGGAAAGAAGGAGCTGTCCCCAGCTTTGAGAAACCGTTTCACAGAAATTTGGGTGCCGACTATGGGTGACCCTGAAGATGTCCTCCAGATCGTTGCTGGTCGGTTGAATGATAATGTGCGCAGCTTCGCACCTAAGATGGTGGAGTTCGCCGACTGGTTCGGCAGAACATTCGCTATTGGTGCATCTGCATCCACTATCTCCATCCGTGACATCCTGGCGTGGATTGGATTTATGAACAATGCGTCGAAGTCTATCGACGATGTGCTTGCACTCTTCCACGGTGCTTGCATGGTCTTTGTGGACGGTCTCGGCTCCAATGCGTCATCTGGGTTGGGAGTTGACCCTCAAGGTCTTCAGCGGGAGAAGTTGAAGTGTGTTAACAAGTTGTCTGATATCCTTGGTGCGGACTTGGTCGCTGAGTACAATCGTCGTTACCCAGTTCATGTTACCGTTGAGGTGTTCGGTTTAGGACCGTTCGTCATCCCTCGCGGTGAGCATGGCTACATGAACATGTCGTTCAACTTGCAGGCCCCCACTACCGCTGCGAACGCCATGCGAGTTTTGCGTGCTCTGCAAGTGCGGAAGCCTGTCTTATTGGAAGGCAGTCCTGGTGTTGGTAAGACCAGTCTTGTGTCCGCCGTTGCTGCAGCCGCCCAACAGCCATTGACTCGTATCAATTTCTCCGAGCAGACCGATCTTATGGATTTGTTCGGTTCTGATGTTCCGGTGGAAGGTGGTCAAAGTGGTGAGTTCGCATGGCGAGACGCACCGTTCTTGCGTGCCATGCAACAGGGTCATTGGGTTCTTCTTGATGAGATGAACTTGGCTTCTCAGTCTGTCTTGGAAGGACTGAACGCTTGTCTGGATCACCGTGGTGAGGCCTATATTCCCGAGTTGGACAGGTCTTTCACGTGTCATCCTAACTTCCGGGTGTTTGCGGCGCAGAATCCCGTTTCCATGGGTGGAGCTCGTAAAGGTTTGCCAAAATCTTTTGTCAACCGCTTCACACAAGTGTATGTCGATACTTTGACTGATGAAGATATGCTTCTGATTTGTCAGCATCTCTTTCCTGCTGCCGATGCTGAAACCGTGAGCAAGCTTATTCGCTTCGTGTTCCGGTTGCAAGAAGAAACTGTCATTAAGCGTTCTTTCGCACAAGCGGGAAGTCCATGGGAATTCAACTTGCGTGATACTTGTCGCTGGTTGGAGCTTCTCAGCACCTCAACTGGTTTGACTCAAGGATGCGAGCCTCATGAGTACTTAGACGTGATCGTCAAACAGAGACTCCGCACCGAGAACGACAAACACCGTGTTGACGACTTATATGAGGAGGTGTTCGGTTTCAGACCTCCTACCCGTAGCACTCATTACCAGATCACGGACTCGTTCTTTCAGGTTGGTCACTCACTCCTCTCCCGGGAGAAGAAGTCACAGCCGTGTTTCCTTGACACTTCCACAATCATGCAGAGTCAGCTCCTTCCTCTAGAGCTGATGATGACTTGCGTCCAACAAGCGTATCCGTGTATCGTCATTGGTCCTACACGCTCCGGCAAGACAACCTTGGTGAGGCTCTTGGCTGGCCTGACAGGTGCCACCTTGGATGAGCTGGCGATGAATAGTGACATTGATACTATGGACATCCTTGGTGGATTTGAGCAGATGGACATCATCCGCAAGTCTTCCGGTTTGTTCCAGGCTGCGTATCAATGGGCCTCAATGCTCTTGATTGATTTTGCGACGTCGCAGTTGACAGTGAGTTCCCAAGGTGATCTTGTGGAGCATGTTTTCACCTTATGTGCAACGACGCTTTCGGGCTCAGTTGGCGACGTCCAAGTTCTGGCGAACTTGCACATCCTTAAGGAAGCTTTGCATCTTTTGCAACAGACCTTCCCCGATGAAGCAGAGCTGATGTCTTTGGTGACCCGGACTGATGCCGTTTTGTCCGGCACACAAGGACCGACTGTGGCGCGCTTCGAATGGGTTGATGGTTTGTTGATGCGCGCAGTGGAGGAGGGGCGTTGGTTGATCCTTGATAATGCTAACCTCTGCAGTGCTTCAGTCCTTGATCGTTTGAACGGTCTGCTTGAGACTAACGGAACTTTGATAGTGAACGAACGCAGCATGCCTGATGGGTCGCCCAAGGTTGTTAAACCTCATCCGAACTTCCGTCTCTTCATGACCATGGATGCTCGTAACGGTGAGCTGTCCCGTGCAATGAGAAACAGAGGTGTCGAGGTTTTCCTTGGACCGGTCGACAAAACTTCCACTCCTCAGGATTGCCTACAGCAGTTGCGCCTTGCCGGCATCGTTCCAAGTCTTGACGAACGCCATGACGCGATTCGTCGTGCCCAGGAACATGCTCGCGCCGCTCAAATCGGTTCTCCTATGTGTGACATTGTGACCAATTCTTCCATCACTGGCGGACGAGGGTCTGCTACGGACTCAGCCGCCAATTTGATCCGCACTTTTGACCTAGTGTTGAGAGACTCTCAAGCAAGCAGTCTTTCCCCCAATGTGATGAACTATCTCCTTCGTGTGATTGTTGACTACGTTCCTCTTCACCTCCGGTCGACTCTGTTTCGTTGGTTGGTGTTGGTTATCAAGTTCGCCGATTCCACCGAGGATTTCAATACAACCATCCATGAACTTCATCACAGGTTTGCGTCTCTTCAGCAGCATCCCATCGTGCATACCATCATGCGTTTATATGTTGCAATTACTGGCCGTTTGAGCTTACAGGATTCTTTTGCGGCAGCACAGGTCAGCAATCTTGATTTCAAAGAGGAGGGTCACTGTGCTGATACGGTATATTTATCAATAGACAATTTACCCTATGAACAATTCATATTTGGTCCCTTCGTCTTCCGCTGTAGCATCTGATACTGGTCTTGCCGTTGCATCCTCTCTTGCCAGCTCTTATGATGTTCTCGACCGCCTTGTTCGTATGGAGGAAATCATGTCGCGTGTATCCCAGCGGTCTCTTTCACTGAAGCCATCCGCGATGACCTTCTTGGAGCTCTCCGCTGCGACGGCGAATGGCCGCGAAGTGGGTGATCAAGGGCGCTCATCGGAAGCGGTGTTCCCACTTCTGACTGCCAACATGACCGGTCTTGCAACGTGGCTCTCTGCCATCCCCGACAACGGGGATTCATTGGTATGTTGTCTTGAAAGATACTTGATAAATGTGTATAACATCCTAACTCGTGTGCAGGTCGTTGCTGAAAAGCTTGTCGAGTTCGTCGAGATCCTCGAAGATATAATTGCTTTGACCAACACCACCGATTTCGACACCAGCTACTTCCATGTTTACCGGAGTCTCCTGGAAGAATGGCTCGAGGCGAACACCTCTCTTCTTCCATCGGCCCTGTTCGAAACCTTCCGAGGGGCTCTCTTACGCTTGAGTGATTCTTTGATTATGACAACTGGCAGATCCATGGAAGTCATGTGGAAAACGATGCACCCAGCTGTTCCATCCTCAGCGGAGGCCTGGTCTGTATTCAACGATTTGTCCAGTCTCATTGAGCGCTTCGATTCGTTGGCTAAGCACACCCATAAGCTGGGGAACGTTGAGAGCATCGTCGAGATAAAACACACTTTTCTACTTGTGATGGCCGACATGTTGTCCAGCGATACGCTACCCTCAGCCGTTATGGCCAGCGCGCAGCCTTTGCGGGACATCCTTGCTCAATTGGAGCAGATTGAGGCGGCCCAGTCCGGGGCAATTGATAAGAGCTTGCATCAGATTACTAGCTGGTTGCTTGCAAGTAAACAACTACGTCTTATCTCCTCGTCCCAGTCCGGTTTGTCGAGCAGCTTCGAAGGCCTTCCCAACTTGAGGGAGATTTTGCATTTGGCGCACCATGCGAATACACCTACTTTGCGTCTTCTACCTTACGCCCTGTTATCCTCAAAGGCAATACAGCCTCATCAGCGGGCGGTCTTTGTGAGTCTCCTGCATGACTTACTTGAGGGACTCAACCCTGCTGATGATGGCGAAGATGCCACGAGGGGTCCAGCATCATTCCTGAGTGGCGACGTCACCAAGGCTGTGTTCAAAGCGCTTAAGGAAGTTCGCAAATCCGAAACGGGACAGGTGGATCAACGTGCACAGGAGTTCAAGGATTTCAGTCAGCATCTCTCCCGTCATGCGGCAGACATGACGGCCGACAAAGTGGATCAGTTCCTGTCAGTCCTCGTGGGCGAGTTCCTTGATTTGATCACAATTCATCGTCAGCATTACGATGCAGTCCAAGTCTCAAGTATCGAGGAATTCCTCGACGTTGTTCGCAGTAGCTTGGATTCACACGCAAACGCGGTCGACCTTGATGTCTTGTGTGCTCAGGCAATTTCCGACCTACGCTCATTTTGCACCGATATCCAGCTTCCAGCTGCTACTGATTATCTTTCAGATGCGCTGACCGAAATCGCGAAGACCGTCCAGTGGGCTACTGAATCGGTTTCGGAGCGGTTGGTGTCTTGCGGTAAAGCATGGGCTTCATTTGCTGCAGGCTGTCTTTACCTCTACGTGCCTAATGTACCCTTCGATCCTGCGATTGCGCCCCGCATCAAGTATGAGAGGTGGCTCAAGCAACGGGATGGTCTCAGCTCTTACCTGTCCGCCCTGCTGTTCTTCGGCGACCGCTTCACCGGTAACGTGGCCGAGCCTCGTCTTATTGATCTACAAAACAAGCTTCAGGCGAAGAGTGCACCTCCGCAAGGCAGTGTATCTAACATCGTGCGTCCTCCTAAGTCGCAAATGGGAACTCTGCACCGGGAGTTGTCTCAGTTCATGTCCTCCGTCTTGGATAACGGTCATTTGAGACAACTTATCAACGATCTGGACTCAGAGTCGAATAACGCCGTGTCTCAGGAGAAGCTCTTCCAGCAGACATGGACGCGCTTCTCGCAGCGCCTCCGCTCCGCTTATCCCATGTACAAAGACATGCTTGAGCCGTTGCTTGGTTTCATCGCCAATTTGAAGTTCGGCCTTTCAACCCTTGCGGAAGGTGTTCTCATCCGTCAGGTTGCCGACGCCTCCGAGCGCACAGAGCTCCTCGCCCAGCTCGTCAGTATCCCGGCTCTAGCTGGGGAACTTCCTGATGTCGAGAAGGTTTCGAGGGTCTTGCATTGCGCCACGGATATTGGCGCACCCAAGTACTTCGTGGAGAAATTGATGGTGTTCGTTGTCTCGCAGTTAGAGTTCCATTCTCGTCTCAAGGGCAATTTGACAGCATCTGACGCAGAACTTATGGAATTCATCTTCCGCCGATTTTACCAACAATGGTCCCTGGAACGGAAGAAGCAGCTGGAAGAAAATGAAGCAGATGCTAGCCTCTACAGGCACAAGAATACTGAACGCACCGAAGAGGAGCTTGAGGAGGAGTACAAGTTGATGTTCCCTGACTACGAGGATGTCGGTATGACAACAACTTTGTCGTCAAGAAGCGGAAAGTCCGATCGTGACATGCGCAGTAACATGCATTCCGACCTTATGGACATCCATGCCAAGCTCATGCTTGACGTTCGCCAACGCTCCCTGGGTGCTTCCGTTGCCAGCCTGGCCACCCTGCTCGAACAAGGTCAACAGCTCGCCAGCGATTTATCGGAGGCGGACGTCTTACCAGTGTCTGATGCTTCGGTCAGCATGGCTTTGCCATCACAAGTTCTTGCTGCTCAGAGTTCTCTTGCTTGGCTTAACGGAGTTAGTAGGGACGAATCATCGGAGGCCTTCTACGACTTCTACAAGGATCCTAATCTCCGGGAAACCAAACGTGTGATTCCACTTCTCGATGCACTCATCATCCGTGTAAAGGCCATTCTTGACGTCTTCCCTGAGCACGTTACTCTGCAAGATATTCGAGGTCTGGCCGAGCAGATCCACTCCCTGCCCTTGATCTCGCCTTTGGCGCAGATTCTCACAAAGCTTGAGCAGCTGTACGGGGTCGTTGATCAATGGCAGAAGGTGGCCAGTAGAGAGTTTTCCTTGCAAGCCCATTGCGATGGGATCAGAGACCTCATCATTTCTTGGCGTCGCTTTGAGCTCAGCAAGTGGCCACAGCTCTTCCATCTGCAGGACGAACACTTCCGCCGGGACGTAGGTCAATGGTGGTTCCAAATCTACGAGACGGCTGTTGCTAATATCCTGGATCTTGATGTTCAAGGGGATGATGTGAGTTCTCACATTCTTGAACTCGTCGGCGTTCTCAGCACGTTCCTCAGTGGGGCCAATGTTGGGCAGTACAAGGCCAGATTGCAGTTAATTCGCAACTTCGCGCAGTACGCTGCGACTATCGCTAAGTTTGATCCCATCATGGGTAAAATAGGCTTGGCCTTGGAGAATATTGCAGAGTACTTCTCTCTTTTCAGCTCTCAGATCGACAAATCCTTTGAGGAGAAAAAGAAAGCACTCGAACAGAAGATCACGGAAACGGTCAAGTTGGCTAGTTGGAAGGACGTTAATGTCTACGCTCTTAAGGCAAGTGCGAAACGGTCGCACGTCAAGCTATATAACACCATCCGCAAATATCGCGCCATCCTCGAGCAACCTGCAGCTGCTATTCTTCAGCAAGGTCTTGTCGCTGATCCTGAGATGACCAAAGAGTCTGGCAACGATGTTCTGACACCACGTGACGTCCAAGTCAACGTTCAACAAGAGGCTATTCAGCGCTCGGTGTCATTGCTTCAGGAATCCAACCATATCGATTTTAGCAGACGCCCTGAGCGTCTCGTCAACGTGGAGCTAACTGTTCGGAACATGTCTGGCATCATCTCCCGTTCTGACAGGAATGGGCTTTCGATTGGATCATCCCGTCATTTGGAGGACTTCACGTTATCGCTGCTGCAGGATATCGAAGAATACCGGAAGCTCACTCCCAGCGTTCTGAAGGAGGAGACTGAGAACGAGGTCAAGCATTTGAAGACCCGTAAACGAAAGGCTTTCACCGATGCCATGAAAGAGCTCAGACGCATTGGACTTAAGTCTAGAATGGCCCCCGAGGTTTTCAAGAAACAAGCCAACGTAAACGATCTCCTTGCTAGGACACCCGGTATTAGCGAAACCTGCGGTACCCATGCTGGAAGAGCAGTGCTGAAAGGCGTTAATACCTACTTCTACCGCATCCTGGAATTCCTTCCCCGAATTCGAGGGTGTCTGTTCAACCACTCCGAGGATATCCAGAAATCGGAGGTGCAGCGTGGTCAGTCCTTCGTCGAGTCACTTCTGACTCTCATCTTAGAGGAAAGGTCGCTTCTGTCCGGATGGCAGAGAGATCTCGAGGGTTTGCAGGTCATTTTGTCTGAATATCGCTCTTTAGCAGCGAACGGAGCCGTTGAGTGGTCTCTGGAAACCTTACCCGACCTGACGTGTACCGTCACGCCTGCTATGGTGTCCGAGGTCCTTATCATCTTGCGCCGCGCTTGCTCCGTCTTGGCGACTTCTTTGGAAGTCATAGCAGCTCAAAGTGAGTTGGCTTCGTTGCCGGAATTGCAGTCAGTGTCGGAGGCTCTGCGTGCCGAACTGCAATCCAGTTCTTCTATTATCAGGGACCTTGAGGAAAGCTCCGAGCATGAAAAGCATGTCCTGAGCACCTCGACATCTGCTGCAGTGTTCAGGGCACGGTCATGGTCGAATGCATTGTGTCAGCGTCTTGCAACATTGGCAGTTGACCATTCCAATCTGGCGTATATGCTTGAGCCAGTCCATGGCTGGTTGGTGAAGTCGTTCACCGTGTCGTTCCAACGTGATGATTCCTCACCACGGCGCTTTGACATCGCAGCTCTTGATTCGGGGTTGCAGAAGACTTGCGACTCCATCCTGGTTGCTATGCAGCGATTGCGTAAGGGCATATCGGAACTTACATCCATTGACGGCGAATCACTTCCTGACAACGCCGTCCAAACTATTCATAAGAGTAATGTTGCTTGCGTGAAGGCCCTTCATATCGCCAGCCTCATCAAACCTCTGTCTTTGAATCTGGAGACATTGGCTTCGAGTCTTTCAGTCAATACCGAGGAAGATTCTCTTCTGGTCCGCGCTCTGTTCGCGATGGCCTGGCCCATCATTGAGCAGTATGGAAGCATCTGCGAAGAGGTGTTCCTCCAGTTCTCTGAATACCACAGATCTGTGCAGAAGTCTATGTATGTACTGTCTAGTTCGTTCTTTACCCTTGCTTCGAAGGGGTTCTGTACGCCTCAAGCTCCTGAGCAGTCGCAAGCCGGCAACTCCAAAGGCATGTCAGAAGGTACCGGCCTGGGAGAAGGTGAAGGCGCAAACGATATCAGTAATGACATCAAGGACGATGAAGATCTTACTGACCTTGCACAGGAACCCGACAAGGAAGGGGACAAGGGCGACCATGATGCTGAGAAAGATGCCATTGAGATGGATCAAGATTTCGAGGGCGCTTTGGAAGACCTTTCTGGCAGAGAAGAGGAAGACGAAGGCGAGGACTCCGGTGACGAAGAGAACGAGGAGCTGGACGAGAACGTCGGGGATGTTGATGATCTTGATCCATCTGCTGTTGATGAGAAGCAGTGGGAGGAAGAAGCAGGGGATGATCTCAAAGATAGCGGGAAGGACGTCGATCAACAGCAGGGCGGAGAGGCGCAGCAACAGGAGACAAATACCGTTGCCAACGAAGATAAGAAGAAAGGTGAATCTGGCAGGAAAGAGAAGCAGGAAAGCGAAGGAGAGCCACAGGAGCAAGACGCTCAAGATCAAGAGATGGAAGAAGATGGTGAAGAAGATGTTGGAGAAGATGACAATCTTGAGCATCAGGATGGAGAAGGTTTACAGGATCAGCACATCCCCGAAGCCGAGATTCTTGACCTTCCTGAAGATCTCAACCTCAACGGCGAGGAAGAGAAGGAAGCTGAAGGTGAAGATGAGGACGAGTTTGACATGGATGGACTGGACGATATGCCTAAGGAGGATGTTAAGGATGAGCCATCTGAAAGTCGTGAGCAGGAAGACGAGGAGATGGCTGGGCCAGAGGAGGAGAAGTTGATGGAGGGGAAGGTTTCAGAGGAGGACATGGACGTGGATGAGAAGACTGAGGAAGAGCAGGAGGTTGCGGAGGAGGAAGGGCGGGAAAACGGACAGGAGGAAGAAGCTCAGAGCAATGAGGAGGAGCAGGAAGGGCAAGATGGACAGGACGAAGGCATGGACGAACAAGACCAACCTGTCTCCCAGGAGGACAAGCAAAATCCTCCTAAGAGTGATCAGAAGAACCTTCCGGCCCAGGAAGGTCTGCAAGGTCCGGAGGAGGATGCTGGTGACGACGGTGAGGATGCTGGCGCCGCTCAACGCGAAGATGGTCAGAAAGGAGCAGGTCAATCCGGTTCGGCTCAGGACGAACATCAAATGCAGGATCAAGAGGGTGAGCGCGGCGATCAGCAGGAAATTGCACAGGGTGCAAATGGTGGTGCCGATCGCGGCACTGACGCACCTCAGGATGCAAGCAAAGCGATGGAAGAGGCCGAGTCTTCTGGGGAGCAGGACCCTTTCCGCAGTCTTGGTGACGCCATGAACGAATGGAAGCGACAGGTTCGTGACATTCTGGACAGCACTCAACGTGAAGAAGAGCAGTCAGATGCTCCCGCCATCGCAGATGCTGAAGACTTTGAGTACATTGACGACGACGAGAAGAAGCATGACACACAAGCTCTCGGCAATGCCACGGAGGAGCAGGCGGAAACCCTCAGGGATGAGATGGCTGCTGAAGATCAGGAAGAGCAGGTTGCTCGTGCCCCGGCAGAGCGCCGTCCCGAAATGCCCGAGCCTGCAGACGAAGATGAGATGATGGCCGATGCTCCTGAGCAAGGTGAGCCCCAAGAGGACACCGAAGCCAAGCAAAGCGGCGCTCTTATTGGTACTCGTCCGGATGTTCAACGGGATCATGACGAGCTCCGCCAAGGCACATCTTTGGAAGACGGCCGGTATGACGTCGACTCAGACATTGATGAGATCGAGCAGGAGATACTTGACCTTGACTTGGATGCCATGGGTGATGTCGAGCCTACGCGCACTCTTGAAGAGGCTCGTGAGCTTTGGCAACGCCATGAGCAATCCACGCAGGATCTTGCTATTGGTCTTTGCGAGCAACTGCGTCTGATTTTGGAGCCTACATTGGCCACTAAAATGCGAGGTGACTTCCGTACCGGCAAGCGTTTGAATATGAAGAGGATTATCCCTTACATCGCAAGTCAGTACAAGAAGGATAAGATCTGGATGCGCAGGACCAAACCAAGCAAAAGGCAGTATCAGGTCATGATTGCTATCGATGATTCCAAGTCTATGGCCGAGTCTGAGTCCGTTAATCTTGCATTTGAGACCATGGCTTTGGTGGCTAAGGCGCTGACTCAACTTGAGGTTGGACAAATCTCCATCGTCTCCTTCGGAGAGCAAACCCGACTTGTTCATCCCTTCAGTCAACCCTTTACTTCCGAAGCCGGTACCAAGGTTTTCCAGCACTTCTCCTTCGATCAGCAGCGCACAAACGTTCGTGCGCTCACCGAAACGTCCGTCTCCCTGTTTGAGTCCGCACGTGCTCTTCAAGATATCCGTGCAGGCGGCGACGAGTTGTGGCAACTCGAGATCATCATCTCCGATGGTGTTTGTGAGGACCACGAAGCCCTCAAGCGTCTTGTCCGCCGTGCTCGTGAGGAGAAGATTATGATGATCTTTGTCATCATTGACGCTCTACACGGTTCCCGCAAGGATTCTATCCTTGACATGAACCAGGTGAAGTACGAAACTGTCAATGGGCAGATGAAGCTTAACATGTCGAGGTACCTTGACACATTCCCCTTCGACTACTTTGTTATTGTCCGTGATGTGAAGGAGTTGCCAGGTGTTTTGTCCAGTGCTTTAAGGCAATGGTTCGCTGCTTTGACGCAGAGCTCGTAGGTTATCATAGCATATCATCAGGTGTTTTCATATCTGTTTTTAGGCGTTCGGTACTTATTTAGGTTGCATTACTTAGGATAATAGAGATTGCATAATCTTCTACTTGTTACCCGTAGCCTTCCCACGACTGGTCACCTAAAACCCAAACATGTTCTTATCCTCCACGAAGCCTCAGTCTGCAAGAGAGAAATAGCAGGCATTTTGATCAAGGGCTCACTTTAAGACTTTCCTCTCAGGGCAGGCAATGCTGCCGTCTGTATCATCCCTGGCGGTCCACACAAAAATATCGCCGTATCCTCTGCAGGTTCAAACATGTTCTTCTCCTTTATGATCTTCTCATCGACGTGACCCTTCAAACCCTGCCACTTGTCACTAGGGTGGCTCAACACATGCGTGAGGTTCATCAACCCTTTCAAGTTCTTCACAAACTCTTACAGCTTCTCTTTCAGCAGGGTATCACCTTCGGTCTTGTTTGCGTCGACGATCCTGATCTCCGTTTCATCCCCTGCCGTGAGAATAATTCTCGCAATGAGGGAATACCAAACCCTTATCTCCTTCCTCTTCAGATGGAAATCCTCTTGATTCTCCATGTCATCTCCGTTTCATCTCGGTGTTGCATTCCCCACAACGAGCTCCCCCGCGCATGCTCGTCCGGTACACGGTCAAAACACCCGTGGGAACAATAAGAAACTTCCTGCTCCAGTGCAAGAAGTTCGTTCTACTTTCAGCAGTCTGCATTTGGTTATTGAATTTATTTTCTTTACCGACGTGGCTCTATCACCCCCACCTTCTAATAACCCTTCCAACATCCTTCCTCCTCCTTCCCTCCTCACCACCAACCTGCCTCAGTACCTCACCCATCCCCTCCCTAACCCCATCAACACCCCTCCTAACAGTCTCCACCTCCCGCCAAACCTCTCCATCGACATACTTCGGTTTGGAAGAGGTGGCAGAAGAGGCGTATAGCGCATTTCGGAGAGAGCGGAGGGTGCGCGAGGAGAGCGAGAGGGTAGAGGTGGTTTGCTGTGTGAGATGGGAAAGAGTTTCGCGTTGTGTGGAGGTGAGTTTTGACCGGATGTCTTTCGGGACTTTTTTTCGTCCATTCTCCGCTCGTGTATTCGTCACGGACGGAGGAGAAGGCGTAGGGACGGCTTTTGCGAGCTCCGCTGCTCCCAACCTGCACACTTCAGCGATAACCTCATCCCTCGCATCGACATCCCTTCTGGCTCCATCCACAGCCGCCATCCTTCCCACTAAGCACTCCAATGCGTTCATCGCCTCTTCCACATCCCGTCCATGGTTCGTTAAGCGCGCGGTCGTGACTTGGGATAGTAGTGGGAGGAGGGGTGTGTGGATCGTGCGCAATGAGTGGTCGAGCGTCAAGGCCGAAATCGAGTCCAACAAATCTCGTAAATCGCTCTCGAGCATGTCCGGGGTGACTTCGTCGTTGGCATACTTGCCATGAGTGGAAGGATTGAGGTATGCAGATAAAAACGCAACATCCACACGTGCCTTGACCGCCTCACTCTGCGCCCCATCCATCGCCTCAACTAACTCTTCGACATCTTTCTTGCTTACCACCTCATCACTCGTCGCGCAATTCTCGGAACAGAGAGAAAGGAGTGCGGCGTCGGTTTTGAAGAGGTCTTGGAGTGTGGGTTCGTGCGAGGAGAGGTGTTCTGACCATGATTTCTGGGAGGATTGGTGAAGTTCAGACAGGAGTTTTCGGGATTCGGCACGGACTTGTTCGAGGTCTGCGAGGAGGGTTGTAGTCGATCCCGTAAGTTCCTCTGTCCGTGTCTTTAGCGCGTCGTTCTGCGATTTCGCGGTTTCGGTTCGGGCGGATAGAGCGGATATGATCGTGTCGGACAAATTCGAGTTGTGTTGTGTCAAAACAGTCGTATGCCGTGTCAACACCGACGCCCGCGTCCTCAAATCACGAGCAAGAACCTCAAACTCGTCTTCCGTCCTCAACTCCCCTTTCATCTCATGCTCACCACTCTTAGACACTTGCGCATTTCCGCTCGTAGCCAGCCTCTCGTACAAAGCGAGCTCATCTTTCCCCAATACATTCTCCCGATTTAGTAGGAAGTCTGCAGTCAGCGCTGAGAGGATGCGCGCGGTGTCGGGGTGGTCGAAGGCCCATGCTATGTCGGAGGAGGTGAAGGGCGATGGGGAATGGTCATTGAGGAAGTCTAGGAGGGTTTCGACGGAGGAGGGAGGCATTGAAGCCTGGCAATGGCAGGTTGGTGTTGATGCTGCAGGTATTGAAGGCCGTGCGTCTGGTCGCGTCGAGGGTTGCCTGGGCCCGAGGCTGCCCGGGGGTTCAACCAATGTGGCAGGAATCGACTGGGTCTATCATTATCATTCTCAATAATCTTATTCGTGAATACTTTGAATTCCTGCGACGGCAGAGCACCCCCAAGACCACCCCCAGCTGTCATCCCGTATTAGAGACAAACTTCGCGGCGATTCCACCGAGTCACGGCCAACACACTTCACCACCAAAAAAAACCTTTAATTACCCACGCTCGCCTCGACAGTCGTCTTTAATCCTTTCTTCCTTTCCTCGGTCGTTTCTCTACAACCAATTCATGTCCGTCTGCTCCGATCATGACCCCGCTCATCACTCCCTCCAACAGATCGCGATCCACGTCATCGCAGGCATTCTGAGCTCCAGTGTGGGTGCGATGACACAGTTCATAACCGCTACGGACAAACGTCCTAACTCGCTCAAGACTCTTTACAAGAACGTCATGCGGGCCCGGCTGACAATCACTCCGACCGCCTCCCCCGGCCTGAAATTCGCGATTCACGATTATGTCCGTGCCGACCTCGCCGGCCGCCGTGGTTGCCGCATCAACGAACTCACCGGCCTCGAAGGCGCGCTCTGCGGATTCGTATCTGGTGTTGGACACATCGTTGGTTCGATGGGATTGCACACCGTCATGTTCAAGAAGGGGTGGAACACACCCCAGTTTAGGCGGGGTACGGCTAGGGAACTCGCATTCTCGAGTGTTTACTTCCCGTTGTTCGTGGGTATGAGGAACGCTAATACCTCACCCGACGCCAAACCAACGCTTTGGTCAACGGTATGGACGGGAACGATGGCGGGTGCGATTACAGCTGTTGTTGTTTCGCCGATTGATCTTGCGATTGCGAGACTTGGACAACAACCCTTGCAATCTCAGTACAACCGAAAGGCGATCGGTGTTCCGAAGATGAATACGGGGATTTATAGGCTCATTCCGCATAAGGGCGTGGTTACGTGGTTTACCGCTAGGGCGCTGATTGGAGGTCAGCTCTTCGGAGCGACTTGTCTGTTCTATGAGGGGTTGACGCGCGTGTGGGAGATTGTATGAGTGATGCGACGATGAGAGATGAGCAAAAGGCGACGCTGGACGACGCCTGACGTTCGTTACGAACAAAACGGTCTCTACAACAACACGATAGATGGATGACGCAAAACGGCATACCACCGACATACAGTATAGACTATGACGCAAAAAGAAGAGCAAAAGCCTCGGTTCGAAGATTACCTCGGCATAAAAATCTATAGAAGATCACCAAAAGCGGGCCGTACGGGATGCTTCCGTACGCATGGCCGTCAACGAACCTTAATTCGAAGCTTGGCGCAGATCTTGAAGGAGCGTGAATGGGAGGAGAAACAGATAAATAGTCGCATTTTACCACCCTAGACCATTAGATACTTAAAATATACTTTCACTTTCACGAACTCGATCATGTTCCCCAAGCTCACCTTCGCCCTCCTCCTCACTCCCCTCCTCACCCACGCCCAATCAATCCCCGGCCTCCCCGCCTGCGCTGGCTCCTGCTACGCATCCGCCCAGGCCTCCTCTGGATGTTCATCCGTCGACATAGCGTGTATCTGCTCTAACACCGCTTTCATTGAGTCGCTTGTGGGGTGTGTGTTGAGTGGGTGTGACGCGGCGGATCAAGCTACGGTTTTCCAGTTTGCGCAGACGTTTTGTGGGGCGGCTGGTGTGTCAGTTAATCCGAGTGGAATTGCGAGTGCTTATAGTGCTACTGCGGCCGGTACGGGTGGGGGGACGACGTCGTCGTTGTCTGAGGGGGTGGTGACATCGAGTGTACCGAGCGTGTCGACGGTGAGCGCGAACGCGTCCGCTGCAGTTCCAACTTATTGCGAGGGTCTTGTCTCCGTCTACGAATATTTCGCCAACCTCTCTTTTGCCTGCAACACCACCTCGAACTCCACGAACGCTACCTCCGCCAATGCCACTGGTACCTCCACCGCTCTCCCCTCCTCCTTGTTCACCGATGTTCCCATCAACCTGAACATCACCGCCAACGTCACCAACTCCACAGCCAGTCTTACCTCTGGATCATTCTGCACAGACATCCCCTCCATACTCGCCGACGTCTACCTCGCTCTCGGGGCTTGTGCCTCCCCGTCCACTTTCCCGAATGGGACGGATGGAGCGACGAATTATCTGAGTGAGTTTTGGAGTGAGTGGTGTGAGGTGCAGAATGCGACGGTAAGTGAGGGAGAGCCCTTGGGGTATAGTTTTGTGTGTGTGAGTACGAGTGCGGGTTTAACGATTACGGCGGGGGTACCGGTGGATAGTACCGTGGTCGCGACGAGTACGAGTATGTGATATGTAGACAGGTAAGGGGCGAGGAAGTGTTGATTATATGTTAGCCAAGTCTTTCATGCGAACCAATCTAGCTATATCACTACATGAGCTTTACCTATGGAGTTGGTCTGGTTGTAGACTCCTTCTCGGGCCCGTCCACTCAAATCGATATCGCGGGGAATACCGCTCCCCAGTTTCCGTGGCGCAGGTGGCACACCAAAAATACTTGGGACCGAGAGCTTGCTTCTAAAAATAGACAACGCATCATTCAGAGCGGCGACGATGTTGAGAACAAGATCTGTGAATGTCGCGAGACTAGCTGCTCGTCAGGAGTCAGTCTTGTCCCGGAGCACTGTCGTGGGCAGTGTTAGGGCCCCTGCGCAGCCCTCTGCGCTTCGTTCGCCGCTGAACGTTCCTTCTACCCGGTCATTCTCTGCTGTTAGACGGTTGCAGACTCTTGGTGCTGGTGTTGCTTACCGGGCGTTTTCTTCAACTGCTGCCGTGAGGGACGACGCCGTCAGTCTCGAGGATCCCTCTACTTTCCCCGCCGAAAAGATCCGCAATATCGCCATTATCGCTCACGTCGATCACGGAAAGACTACCCTCGTCGACCAACTTCTCAAGCAGTCCGGTACCCTCTCCTCCTCCCAACTGACTGGTCGTGTCATGGACTCCAACGACCTCGAACGTGAGCGTGGTATTACCATTTTGTCGAAGGTTACCAGTATCGTATACAAGGGACACAAGATCAACATCGTTGACACCCCCGGTCACGCTGATTTTGGAGGAGAGGTCGAGCGTGTGTTGGGTATGGTCGATGGTGTCATTCTTGTCGTTGACGCTACGGAGGGTGTGATGACGCAGACCAAGTTCGTCGTCAGGAAGGCTCTGGCGGCTGGATTGAGGCCTGTGGTTGTCATGAACAAGGCTGATCGACCAAGTGCGAGGATTGACCAGGTTGATTCTGATTTGATGGATCTGTTTATGAGTTTGGAGGCGTCGGACGAGCAGTTGGATTACCCTACGCTTCTTGCTTCCGCTAAGGAGGGATGGTCCGTGCCTTTCACTGCCGGCTTGGACGGACCGAAGGCGAATGGAATGACGGACTTGTTTGAGCAGATTTTGGAGAGTGTGCCAGCACCCGTCGTGGATCGTGATGCGCCCTTCAGTATGTTGGTTACGCAGACCGATCGCGACGAGTTTGTGGGTAAGCTTTACCTTGGTAAGGTCAAGTCTGGTGTTGTCAGGGCTGGTTCCAACATCAAGGGTCTGGATGAGGAAGGAAAGGAGATTGATGTCGGACGTGTGACGAAGGTCTTTTCCCGTGTCGGGTTGAACAGGATTACGGTTAACGAGGCTGCCGCTGGTGATATCGTCTCTATTGCCGGTATTCAGAAAGCTACTGTCAACTCTACTATCTGTGACCTGGCTGTTTCGGAAGTCATTCCCTCTACCCCGCTGGATCCTCCCACTATTTCCATGATTATCTCCCCCAACGACTCGCCCCTGCTCGGAACCGAAGGTACTCAGTTGACGGCATCGTTGTTGAAGGACAGATTGGAGACTGAAGCACAGACGAACGTTGCACTTAAGTTGCACTCTGCACACGATGGTATCGATGTACGAGGACGAGGTGTCCTCCATCTCGGTATTCTTCTCGAGACTCTCCGTCGCGAAGGCTTCGAGTTGAGCGTGTCTCCTCCCACTGCATTGTTCAAGCGCGGTCCTGAGAACACCCTTCTCGAGCCCGTGGAAGAAGTCACTGTCGATGTCGACTCTGGAGATGCTGGTACCGTTATCGAGAAGTTGAACAAGAGGAAGGGTGAGATGAAGGACTATGTCGAAGGTGACGACGGAAAGGTTAGATTGGTCATGGAGGTGCCCGCACGTGGTTTGTTGGGATACGTCGGTGGTGAATTCAAGAACGATACCCACGGTACCGGTGTCTTGAACCACACTTTCCACTCCTACCAACCATTCAAGGGTGAGATCGCCACTACAAGAAAGGGATCCATCATCTCCATGTCAGCTGGTGTCGCAACCTCCTACGCTCTTGACATCCTGCAGCCACGAGGTATCCTCTTCGTCACCCCCGGACAAAAGATCTACGCTGGTCAAATCGTCGGTGAACACTCAAAGAGCGATGATATCGAAGTAAACCCCGTCAAGCAGAAGCAGCTTACCAACATGCGTGCTGCTGGAAAGGACGATGCAATGGTCTTGTCGCCGCCGAGGATCATGACGTTGGAGGAGGCTGTTGCGTATGTTAGGACTGATGAGTGTATTGAGGTTACCCCGAAGAGCATTAGAATGAGGAAGAAGATCTTGGATGCGGGACAGAGGAAACAGGCGGGAAGGAGAAAGGATAAAGGAATGACTATCTTGGATTAGAGAGGCGTTTAAAAGTACATCGATCATTAACTGAATTTACCACCCATACTTATCTCTCGCCGTACAATTCGTGCGTTATGTGAGATAAAGATATCAACCCATCCGTGGCTAGAACCCCAAATTACATCAAAGCCAAATCCTTCAACCCATTCAAGAACCCAAGACCAACCAAACTGAACCTGATGGCATTCAATCCCCTCCATGTGTTCAACAATCCCAAAGCATTCTTGTCAAATGCCTCACTCGTCTCTCCTGCCTTTGCCCTCTCCTCCAATGCAAACAACTTGTTGTTTGTTGGACCAATACCAAAGAGGGTGAACGGCAACGCGGTGACACACAATCCCATACTGAGCAAGGCGGAGTTGCGAAGCGCAGGGCTCAAGTAAGCAACCAACCCATACGAAGCAGCACTAACCACGGCCGTAGGCGCAAAGAAAGCCTTCCCACGCTCATAGAAGCGGCGCCAAATGGTGAGTTGGTACTTGAGCGGGAGTTCAGTGGTGGATGAGTCGGCAAGGACGGCCATGACACCCGTGGACGAGTTTGCAAAGTTTCCGACTATGGAACAAGTTAGAAACCAGAAAACAGTGAGGATCGAGGGGAGAGTGAGGAGGAACCTGCGAAGACTGCACTGCCGACTACGCCGGCGAGTTGGGCGAGGATCACTGGTTCTTGGAGTTTGGAGAGAGACATCGTTCGATGATCAGGCACTGTAGCTCGTCTGTAGTTGGATCGGTCTTTTATGAGGGCCTTGCAGATAGCAGAGATGAGTCGGCGTTCGGATCATTCATACCGCCGGCTGCCTGCATACCGGGACAAAGCAGCCGAGCGATTCCGCTAGGCATGCACCCCAGCCGCCCTTGCAGCTCCCAAGTCTCCCGCACCTTGAGTCCAACCTTCGCACAAGACCATTCCTTGTTTCTTATTCCAGCTGAGCCATGCAATTGTTACTACCACCGGTCACGATGAGGATGCTGGAGCAGGATGAAGCGCGTTCGGGAACCAATAGCAGGGGAGGAACGGTGAAAAGAATGAAAAATTGACGGGAGTTGCAGGGATGGCAAAACGCCTTTACGACATATTGCCCGGTTGATGCTTTGCATGGTTTCTTCTAGGCAAGTTATGCACGAGGTGTTAGCGGTTAGATAGAAAGCTGTTTCTTGTTCATCATGACTGTCACAAGCTTCGTGTATCGTACACTCCCGGTAACGTTCCTACATCTCAAATCTTCCCTCCAATAGTATGCTCCACATCCTCCACACTCCTCGGCTCCAAACTCTTCTTCACGGGATTCGCCGCCTCGAAAACCTCATTCAACTCCTCCAACGTCCTCCCCTTCGTCTCCACAAAGAAGAAATAAATCACTGTCCACTCAATCATATCCCAAAACACGAACACCAAATAATACCAATACCCAATTGACCCCATCGCTGCTGAGCCGGAGTAAGAGCCGACGGCGGAAGCGATGTTCGAGATGAGTTGGCCGAGTGCGTTACCCTTGGCACGGGTTTCCATGGGGAGACATTCGACGATGTAGCCGGCCTGGAGGGGCGTCCACCCGAAGGAGAAGATCGCGCTGAAGAGATAGACGAAGACGATGGCGGTGTAAGACGCTCCGGTGTTCCCATCGACGATGGCGTAGTGCGTACAAGCGGTGATGACGGCGAAGATCACAATCGCACATCCTAGGGTGTATAAAAGGAGAGGACGACGGCCCACGCGGTCCGACGACCATGCACCACATACGGAGAAGATCCATCCCACGACGGGGTTAAGGCCGTTAAGGAGAAGTTGAGTGTGCGGATCTGAGATTCCTGCGCTGCTAACCATGAATGGGAAGAAGTAGGAGACGACGGCGTTTCCGGAATACTGTCCGAACCAAGCCATGCCAGCGACACAGATTAACCTTGCACGAGCGGATTTGGTGCTGAAGAGTTCACGGTAGTCCCACCATGCGGTGTCGGAAGTCGACGAACGGATCTGTGTTTCCATTTCTTTCATCTGCATGGTGACAAGGGGATGGTGGATGTCGCCCTCTCCATGATACTTGCCCAAGATCTTCGCAGCTTCTTCGTGTCGATTATGCGCAACTAACCACCTCGGGGACTCCGGCAAGAACCATACAAATGTACAGACAATCCCAGACGTGATCATCTGACACCACAACGGCACCCGCCACGCTCGGTTATCGGGAAGGAACGCTGTCGCATATGCAACCCAACTCGCGATGATACTCCCAACATACCACATCGTATTATACAACCCCAACTGCGTACCCCTAAACTCCGGATGCGCAAGCTCACTAACATAGGTCGGCGCACTCGTCGCGCAGAACGCAACGCCTGTGCCTAGGATGAATCGACCACCCATGAACATGCCTTTGGAAACCGAGGGAGCTTGGAGACAGGTTGCGACGATCACGAGGAAGGAGCCGATGAACATTCCAGAGCGGCGGCCGTAGCGGTCGATGATGGGGCCAACGAGGATGACGGCGGGGAGGCAGCCGAGGTTGTAGATTGCGAAGACGATGCCGGTTGAGGAGCCGGCTTGGGTCATGCCAAAGTACTTTTGATATTCCGTCATGGCGTTGATGGCACCCATCAAGGATCCATCATACCCATTCAAAGCCGAACAGAGGAAACTGACGGAGAGGATAAGATAGAGTTTGATAAGGGACCATGTCCAGGCGCTTTGTTTGTAGGTTTGGACGACGACCTCCGCAAGAGCCGGATCGCTGCCAATAAATTCGATGTGAGTGATATCGTGTTTTTCGGTGGTGGGGGAGTCCATGGTGGATCAAAGTTGTGTCGAGGAGTTGGGAGGATATGGAGTCGAGGGGCCCTCCTTATATAGAGAGGGCGGTTATCATTTGAAGCTGGAGTGACCCGTTCTTCCTCTTCCCAAGATGATGCTGAAGGTCATGAGACCGGTACATCCAAGCCTTTGTACGTTTGCGGGGGTACCAATACCAGAGCAAATCGCTCCGTATCCAAGACCTCAAGTGCTGAACCTTTAGGCGGCATCATCTCCACTTTCCTTCCGCGTCTCCGTAGGGAAAGCTGGTGCGGGCCCAGTTTCTCACGAATTGTGGGGGAACAGCCTCGTCGGTAGAAGGCACCCGAAAGCTTAAGCGCCAACGCCGCGAAATTGCACAGCCATCGACAGCAGGCATCCCCTTCTCACCTGAAGGTACGCCAGAATCGCATGAGGCCTTCCTTTCGCTGTGTCTACTTCGCCGTTCTCAGTCCCTCCACAATGACCACGAACCAGCTGTTTGACAATGCCTTCAACAGTACGTGTAACTCCTACGCAGCTCGAGACGTCAAAAAGCTTGAGCATTGCGATGAGTTCTAAGAGTAGCCGTTGACACCTCGGCTTCATGCCTAATTGCCCCATGGACATTCGGACGATCATTGTCCCGAGAGTTCGGTGCGGGCCTTCCGCAAGATCCAAGCGCGGGGAAAACGCGGGGCGCCGACTTCAGGGTAAACGGGGCACAGACCTCCATGCGAAAATCCGCCAAGAGACTCGGAGGTATGCTCTGCCTCGTGACCGCTCACAATCTCCGGCGCGCGGGTTCCGCGAGATTGCTGGTGTTACCTGTATTGCAACGACTGCCAGGCCGAACACATAAGAGCGCTCGCTGTGCTTGATCCGCCCAATCGTAACTCATCCATCGAGGACTCAGAGCCAAACAGTCGTCATGGATTCTCTTGCGGACCTCCAGGACCCTGCCATCTTCGAACGTAACCGCCTCCCTCCTCGTGCCTACTTCCTTCCCGACTCCGATCACTGCCAACTCCTCTCCGGCACCTGGAAATTCAACTACTCCTCAACTCCAGCGCATGCTCTCGCTCTCGACTCCTCGTCCAAATGGGACAACATTCAGGTTCCAGGAATGTGGCAGCTACAGGGTTATGGAGCGCCTCAGTACACGAACGTAAAGTTCCCGTTCCCGGTTGATCCGCCCTTTGTACCGACGGAGAATCCGACTGGCACGTATGAGCGCACATTCACGATCCCGGATGTCTGGTCCGGATCCCACATTCGTGTTCGATTCGAAGGGGCTGATTCAGCGTTTCACATTTTGATCAATGGAAGACAGGTCGGATATTCGCAAGGATCGCGTAACGCTGCGGAGTTCGACATAACGCCATTTGTCCACGCCGGCACCAACACAATTAGGGTAAGGGTGTATCAATGGTGCGATGGGAGTTATATCGAAGACCAAGATCAGTGGTGGCTCAGTGGAATCTTCAGGGATGTGTACGTACTGAGCTGGCCCACCAAAGCTCGCATTGAGGATTTCAAGTGTGAAACGGCATTTGTTGGTGAGGGGTATGGTGATGCGGAGCTCAGCACCACGCTTGACATTTTGGCAAAAACGGACGCGACGGTCAAGATGAAGTTGTATGATGGTAAGATGATTATTGGGAAGGATGAGATCGAGGTATCCGTCTCTCAGATGCATTTGCCGAAGACTTCAACTATCGCGGTTCAAGCACCGAAGCACTGGACAGCGGAAACCCCATATCTTTACACTTTGGTCATCACCATCTCAGCCGATAACTCCACCCTTCAAACAATCACCCAGAAAATCGGATTCCGCCAAGTGGAGATGCTAGACGGCCTGATTTCAGTCAACGGCTCCCCTATCCACTTCCGCGGCGTAAACCGCCACGACCATCACCCATCCCACGGCCGCACCGTCCCCCTCGATTTCACGCGAAGGGATTTGTTGCTGATGAAGATGCATAACATCAATGCTGTTCGGACTTCGCATTATCCGAATGATCCGAGGTTCTATGTCATGTGCGATGAACTTGGGTTTTGGGTGATTGATGAATGTGATCTGGAATGCCATGGATTTGATGATGCCGTTGTCAGGCCGATCGATATCGAGGACAAGTTGCGGGACCAACATCCAGGGTTGTTGGAGGAGGGTAATTGGTGGGCAATTCACGACAAACGTCAAGACATTGTGTTTGGAGAGGCGACAAAGTATACGAGTGATAACCCGGAGTGGGAAGCCGCGTACGTGGAACGCATGAAACAACTCGTCCACCGCGACAGAAATCACGCTTGTGTCATCATATGGTCCCTCGGTAACGAATCATTCTTCGGGCAGAATCATGTGAAGATGGCGGAGTGGGCAAAGGAATATGATTCGACAAGGTTGGTGCATTATGAAGGGGATAAGGGTGGGGAGGTGGTTGATATGTGGTCGTATATGTATGCCCCGATTCAGTTTCTGGAGGAGAGGAGCAAGGAGGAGGGATGGAAAAGATCTATCATCCTGTGCGAGTATTCGCATGCGATGGGTAATGGACCTGGTGCGCTCGAGGAATACCAAGAAGCGTTCCGGAACAACAAGAGGTTGCAAGGTGGTTTCGTCTGGGAATGGGCCAATCACGGACTCTTGACCAAGAATGAGAAGGGTGAGGAGTATTTTGGGTATGGAGGTGATTTTGGGGAGAAGGTTCATGATGGGAATTTCGTGATGGATGGGTTGTTGTTTTCGGATCACACGCCGCAGCCGGGGTTGTTGGAGTATAAGAAGGTGATTGAGCCGGTTAAATGTCAGTTGCTTGATGATGGCAAGGTCGAGGTTACGAACTACTACGACTTCATCAGTCTGGATCACTTGGTGGCTGAGTGGAAGGTAACGAAATGCGATTTGGGTGAGAAGAAGGAGGTGGAGGTTGGGTCTGGGTTTGTTGAGATTCCAGAAATTAATGCGAGGGAGAGTGGAGATATTGAGGTGCCGTACAGGACAGAGGGATCTACGGACAGCAGTCTTTACCTCGCGCTTACCTTCAGGAACAAGCACGACACGATCTGGGCTCCGAAAGGGTTTGAGGTTGCCTGGTTCCAAGCAGAACTCAACGAACCTACCCTGCGTTCGCTCGTTCCCGTCCAAGCTCAGCCAGCGTCTGAGCTGTCCGTCCAAGAGACTGCGCTGTCTATCACGATCTCCGGTCAAACCTTTGATATCTCGTTTGACCGCGTGTACGGCGCTCTGACATCCTGGACCTCCCACGGTCAGTCCATTCTCGCCAACGACGGAAGCCCTAAGCTTGGCTTTTGGCGTGCTCCCACCGATAATGACATCCCCGGTGATGCCAAACACTGGACCTTGTTTGGTTTAGATATGATGACACAACAGGTTCGCTCGGTTGAGCTCAAATATGGAGCTGACAAGGCTACAATTCTGGTGAAGTCCTGGGTCTCACCGCCGATTCTGGCGTGGGGATTCAAGGTGACACAGACCTATGAGATCCACTCCTCTGGCCTCGTAATGATTGAGAACATTCTCACCCCACGCGGCTCCGTTCCCAAGTCTCTTCCACGTATCGGCCTCGACGTACTCCTTTCCAAGGATTACGTTGACGCTACATGGCATGGTCGGGGACGCGGTGAATCTTACCCAGACAAGAAAACGGCTGCCAAGTTTGGTGTCCACAACAAGCCAGTTTCGGAGCTGTATACTCGCTACGAGAAACCACAGGAGTCTGGTAACAGGACAGACACGCACTGGTTGGAACTTTACACGAAGTCCGGACTCCTCTCTAGTGCGAGAAAGCTTACGGCGAGGATTAGGGAGCACCCGTTCGACTTCACTGCTTTGCATTATACACCGGAGCAGTTGACCGCTGCCAAGCATCCCTATGACTTGAAGCCTATGAAGGAGGTCAATCTGTGCCTTAACGCGAAGGTTCATGGATTGGGAACGGAGAGTTGCGGACCGGGTGTTTTGGAGAAGTACATCCTTAAGTGTGAGCCGACGCAGTTTACCGTCGAATTCTTCCCTCAATAGATCTCGGCGTGTGGATCTATCTTGATCTAGTTAATACCCAATATAACCTATTCAAGAAACGAAGCACCAAGTCCATAGGTGACCTAATACTCAAAATCATCATCTACGCCGCCTGCTCCACCTCCAGAAGCCTTCTGCGTGCTAGCTTGGGCACGGTACATCTCCGCAACCTGCTCACTTGTCGTCGCCTCCTCCGGCTTCTTGTCATCTCTGACCCTCAAGTATCGCGGGAATCGCAATGAAATTCCCTTTTCCGCATTCACCATTCCGATGGCAGCCTTATACGTCGGTGACAACGACAAATCAGCCGTCAAGAGCTCCCAAACGACTCGTGGCTCGAACCATACATCTGGTTTGTTGGGACCGCTATCAGCGACAGAGTAGTATCCCTTCGGTTTGACAATGACGTGCTCTTTGAGGACCTTGTGGTGGTTTTCGAGGTCTTCTTCGGAGAAGCCGGTTCCGACCTTACAGATCGATTCCCATTGTTCGGCTTCGGGGTTGTAGCAGCCGAGCAAGAACGCACCATACACATTCGTTCTCTTTCCGCGTCCGTGGTATGCGCCGAGGACGACTAGATCTAGGGAGTCTCCAACACCGGCGAGGTAATCCTTCTTGATCTTCAGCCAGTTTCGAGAACGCTTAGAAGGCTCGTACCCGGACTCAGGTCCCTCGAGCATCTTGACCATAAGACCTTCGCAAGAGTCCTTGACAGACTCATCCAGGAAAAATTGGATCTCCTCGATACTCTGTCCATCCATCCACTTTGCAAACAAGAACTCTCCCTCGACCTCCTGGAACGCCTCGTGCATCTTCGTTCTCCGCTCCGACAATGATTTCGTCAGAAGACTCTCGCCATTAAGGTAAAGTAAGTCAAACGCAAACACGCAAACCTTGATCTTGACATCCGCTTCTTGCACATCCTTCCGCTTCCTCGTACTCAACACCTGAAACGGCAGAATCTTCTTCTCCTGAATATCCCACGCAACAGCCTCGCAATCCAACACGAAGCTCTTTGTGGCATCGTTCACAACTCTCTCCAACCGCGACACGATATCAGGGTAGCGACCACTCATGTCCTCACTGTTACGAGAGTACACTTTGGATTTGCCGTCAGGGGTGAGGTGGATCTGTGCACGCTCACCGTCGTATTTATACTCACACGTGAACTTCTGGTTCTCGAATCTGTCCAGAACTTCCGTGATCGCCTTCGTAGGCTTCGCCAACATAGGCTTCAACGGCACTCCTGGGGTAAGAGTACACCTATCCCCAAGGCCGTTGACTCCATTATTCAGAAGTTCTGGAACGATGATATCATACGACGGAAGGTTGGAAAAGACCGTCTTCAGCGTATCCTCACCTTGGACAATATCCTCCGTCTTCGCAATCTTCCCCTTCTTATCTGCCTCACTCGCAACGACAGCCTGCGCCAACGCCGTCAACACCGTCTTTTCTGCCAACCTAATTCTCAACTTGCCCTCCAAACTCCTAATCAAGTACTTCGCCTCATTTCCCTGACATGAACTTAACAACTTCTTAATGATGCCGATCTTTTTCGCTTGTGATGACTGTCCGGAGGTTGTCGCGATTTCTTTCAGGTTGGAGAAGACGGAGGGAACGGTTAGGGGTTTCGGCTTGAACATTGTTGGTTGCATGCCTTTGGATCTTTGAGCGACGGTGCCGAGGTCGCCAGTTTCTTGGTAGTCTTGTTTGACCTGGGCGATACTCCTTCCTGTCGCCTCAGAGATCGCCTTGATCAGTAATCCTTCGCCAATACCCAACTCGACGCCCTCGTAGTCTGGCGCAATGCGGTTGATGGTTAGGTAGACAACTTGTAACAAACTTCCTGGGCTAGCAGCAATGACGGTCCGGAAGAATTTGGAAGTATAGGACAAGATCTCCAAACGTTTCGTCGTAGACTCGATCTTCTCGAACGTCGCGCAGAGCGCGGCATATGGCACACCCTCCTTCTCCCAGTCCTTGGTCTTCTCGGCCGGCTTGAAAGCCTTGATCTCTTCGGCTGCTTTTTTTGCAACGGCATCAGGCACATCCGCCTCCTTATCCGAGACCTCGCTTTCAGCTTCGGGTGTAGCTGCGTCTTCCTTCGCTGCGGCCTTGGAGACAGAAATGGCGGAATCAATGGAATCGTTGGTGGTTTCGATGATACTCCGCTTCGTCGTCTTTGCCTGCTTCTTTGGTGGTGACTTTGTTCGCTTCGTCTTGGGACTCTTTGGCGTCGCAGTCTCACTCTCTGACGAACTATCTACAACCTTCCTCTTCGTCGTCTTTTTACTTGGCTCAACGTCTGACTCAGCATCACTCATCTTCACATCATCATCCTTCTTAACCTCTGCCACCTCCACATCCTCCTCCTTCTTCTCCGTAACGGGCGATGATCCCGCCTCAATAGCTGGCGACGAAGCCACTTTCTCCTCCTTGACAGGAACAGGCGGCTTCACACCCGCGGGCATCGCGAAGAAGCTCCCCAAGGTAGCTTGCTTTCCGGGTGCTTTCTTGGGCGGCATTGTGACTTGAGGAGTACTGGAGAATCGAACTAAACTGAAGCCGATCCGGAACGGCGAACGGGGAATGAAGGGACGTTTGAGTGGTGGTAGGCGATACACTATGGGCAGCTACTAATAGATTGCTCGATTGGATCGAGTAAGAGATGTCTGTTGAACCACCTTGAAGTTGCGTTGTGCTGGAGACGCGCCGAATGAACTGCACGGTCGCGTCCGGCAAACAGCTGAGCGCGGCGCGCACGGACGTCACCCACGTCCACATACAACACCTGTATACCTCCTCGGTGACAATGCCTCGAGAATTCAGGGCTCCCCAGCCAAGAGCTGGCAAAGCCTCCTCTAACCTGGAGCTGTACTTCTCGGTCTTTTTGTTTTGCTCCATCAGCAGTATCTTGTTGGGATACCTGGCACTTCAGGGTGTCAAGTCCGTGCTTGGCTCGAGGCTAAGACGGAGATCGGTCGCCGTGCGGAATGCCTTGAAGAAGAGGGTCACAGGGAGAACAAAGGAGAGGCCTGTGGTCATTGGCTTTTTCCATCCGTACTGGTGAGCATGTTTGCTGGTTTCCATTTCTGGGTTGTACTGACGGATCATTCTCGCAGCAACGCAGGTGGAGGTGGTGAACGTGTTTTATGGACAGCTATTCGTGCAACGCAACAGGAATACCCTCATGTCATATGTGCAGTCTACTCCGGTGACATTGATGCTGCCGCCGAAACCATCCTCTCTAAGGTCCAACAACGTTTCGGAATCAACCTCGACACCAATCGCGTGGAAATCGTCTTCCTAAAGAAGCGACATCTGGTCAGCGCAAAGCGATGGCCTCGCTTTACCTTGGCTGGCCAAAGTGCCGGAAGTATACCCCTCGTGTACGAGGCAATCAGTGCTCTAGTCCCAGACATCTTCATCGACACCATGGGTTACGCCTTCACCCTTCCAGCCGTCTCCTTCCTCCTCGACATCCCCGTCGCAGCATACGTTCACTATCCCACCATCTCCACGGATATGCTTGAAAAGGTCCCCTCTCAACGCTGGGCCAAACTCGTCTACTGGCGTGCCTTCGCGAAGGTTTACTCCTGGGTTGGATCTGCCGGCGATGTAGTCATGACAAACTCATCATGGACTCGCGGTCATATATTGAGTTTGTGGGGGAAGGGGAGGGATCCAGCTGTTGTGTATCCGCCGTGTGACACGAAAGCGCTGAGGGAGTTGGATATTACGAAGGAGCGGGAGAGGAGTATTTTGTGTTTGGCGCAGTTCAGGCCGGAGAAGGACCATGCGTTGCTTTTGAAGGCATTTGCGAAGTTATTGAAGGATGTCGATCCGGCGATGGCTACTGGACCTGAGAAGGTGAACCTCGTTCTCATCGGCTCGGTTCGCGGGGCTGAGGATGCGCAACGTGTTGAATCACTCAAGAAGTTAGCACAGAAACTGGGTGTGGATGTGAATGTGGAGTTCGTCTGTGATGCACCATGGCCCGAGGTCATCCGGAGACTCGGTAAGGCATGGGTTGGCGCAAACGCAATGTGGAACGAGCACTTCGGTATTGGAGTGGTGGAGTACATGGCAGCGGGTTTGATCCCTGTTGTACACGATAGTGCGGGGCCGAAGATGGATATCGTCGTACCACTTGATGGTCAGCCAACAGGTGAGCCCTTCGTTTTCTCTATATCGGCTAAATCTAACATTTGTGCAGGCTTCCACGCAACTGATGAAGGTTCTTTCGCACAGGCATTTCACCAAGCTCTTACACTCCCCAAACCAGAGGTCAATGCGATGCGAGCCCGTGCTAGGGCGCAGAGCGACAAGTTCAGCGAGAAGGTATTTGATGATGCTTGGCTTGACAGAACAGCGCGGTTGTTGGAGTTGGAGAGTAAGATGAGGGCGGCGCGAAGGACGTAACTTATCTTGCCTTACGGTGATCACACGTGCGACAGTATACAATAAGGAAACGTAAGTTTTCCCCTTGTTCGGAGTGGAAACGATTGCAATATTAGATAAAAGCTGCTGTAGTCCCTACCATCAATCCCTGTTGCAAAGCCCGTTCGCGATTCCCAGGTAAAACGCCTGCTAAACCATACTGTATCCCCATAACCATGTCAAAGTGAAGAAGTCCCGTATACTATAAGTTCTTGCACTGGCCAGTATCCCGCATACTAGCTGACCTCGCTCCCAATGCCATGCAATTCGCTATGCAGCTTCCTGCCTTCGATGCCATGCCTTCGTGACAGGTATCACGATGTGGTCGCCATGACCGAAACGCCGTCCGTAACCGTCTGCACACCCCCATTCTCCACAACCGGCGTGTTCGGCGTTCCCTCTCCTTCCCCTCCAGCTGCTCCATCCTGACTCGGTCTCGGTGTTCGCCACGCCCAGCCAACAACCTCCCCCATCCCCCTCACAAACCCCTCCACATCTCCCCCCAACCCAACCTCCCACTCCAACAAAAACAACAACCCAACCTCCAACCTCCCCAATTCCCTCACCGCAACCCCGCCAACCTTTGCAAACCTTCCCTGCGAATGGATCTTGTCTTCGAAGAATTTCTGTGCAAGGCGGAGGGAGGCCAGGGCGAGGCGGTGGATGTTGAGGGGGGTTACTGAAATTGGGGTGTTGGTTGATGCTGTGCTGGATATCGATGAGTCTGACGATGGTGAAGAGAATATGGGTGTCGTAGGTGGGTTAACCAGTCGATGCAAATACCTCCCCACCGCGATATAGACCGCAGTGCTCATCGGACAATACGTATGAATCCTCCTCAGATACCCCTCAAGCCCAATCCCAACTGGCGCCTTGCTCCAAAATCGTCTAGCAATACAATCCCGCTGGATCCTTTTCTCCTCACGCTCGCGCGCTTCCCATTGTTCTTTTGTTTCTTGACCACCTTCGATGCAGGGAGCGTATTCGAGGAATGGGTTCACTTTTTCGCCGGTGGGTGAGAGGGCGGGGGGTGGAGGGGAGGCGGGGATATAGAGGGTGTCAATGTAGCGGCAAATGAGTTGGAGGGCTTCGATAGGGGTTAGGTCGTTGATGCTAATCCCGTCTTTAGTTTCTTCCAGTGGGTTGTGAAGAGCGTCTGTTGGCGGGGAGAGGGTCGTGGCGGTTTGTGGATCTGGTTCTCGAGGTGGAGAACGCCCATCATCTTCCGTCATGATCTGCTCTTGCGCGAACTCTCGTGTATCCTTGTCCTCGCTGTTTCTTCTATCGTCCTCAACTTTGTCGTGACATGAGCCAGTATCGGTTTCAGCTCCAACGTCGGCTGCTGGTAGTGTTGGTGTCTCAACCGGTGTCGGAACCAAACTGTCCTTCGTACTTGCGTTGTTACTTTGCGAAACCTGTATCCCAGCCGACAGAGACAGCGACGACGACCGTCTCTTCAGCTGTAAAGGAGGGGTATTGAGGAGATCGGAGTCGATGTGGTGATACACTGCTGTAGTTGCCGTCTTGATTATGCCCGAACGGCACTGGATGTACTAAGATGCGGATAGAAGAAGAAGATCGGGGTCCTTCTTTTGCGGTTTTCTGGAGTGCCTACTAGAATGCTTGGTGTCGTGTTCGGTGAACCCTGCGTGCGTCGTCGTGCGGATGCTTGCGTCGGCGGTGTCGCTGCCTGTCTGGGCAACCCGCGCCTCGCAGAAGTAACCACCAGTTAAGACCCAATGTCTTGGTAAATGGATTGTGCAGTTTATCAACAATGCGTACTATGCCTTGTGAAATGACCAAAACGCGCTTTCACCTTGGTAGCCGTTCCCATGCCATGCATATGCGCCTTGGAATGTCTTTCGGTATGCTCCATTCTTTCCCCTATGCCAACTCATGCCGGTGTTCTTTTTTCAACTTGCCCTTCAGTAGTAATCCTCGGCAGCACCCTCATACCCCTGCCCATACCCTTGCTGCCGGTTCCACGCCTCACCCTCATCACTGAATCCATCATACTCGCTCCCGGCCTTCTCCTCGTCGTCGCTACCCTCCCCCTTCGCGCCACCTCCATACTCTTCATCCCACCCGACCTCATCCTCATCTGGGTACTCGTTCCCGAAAGCATCCTCATCGTTACTGTCTGCGTCCGCGGAGTCGTAGGCCTCCTCGTCGCTCTTCTCGGTTTCGAAGACGAGCTCATCCTCACCGGGGCCGGCATTTGGGTTCCAGTATACGATTCCGATATTGACATTGCCGTTCAAAGCCTCCACATCTTCGGCACCATTTTTCGGCGAAGTGGAGGTTGTATACACATCATAAACCCAATCATCCTCATCCGTGTCCATATTCATCCTATCCATCTTCCCCGCAATCCCCCGCTTCCTCGCTTCCTCCCTCACGAGCTCAAGTTCCCCCTCCTTGGTCCTCTTCGCAACCCTCAGCTTGACAGGCTCATTCCTTGGGATGCTTATCGGTGTCGGACCAACCCTCACAGTCGCAGAAGCCGCCGTAGTGACGGGCGTAACCGATGTCGGAACTGCTGACTGAGCCAATGACTGTGTCCGGGAAAGAGTGAAGATTTTTCGCTTCTTGCGTGGGGCTTCGGACATGGTGTCAGTAGAAGCGGTCATTGTCGTTTCTTCTTCATCGAGATATAGTGCATCGAGTGGAGCCTGATTCCGCTTTCGCTTGATGCGGACGGTGGTGGGAGCGACCATAGAAGGCTGCTGACCCGTCATAGGCGTATCCTTGACGTCCATTGCTGACATATCAATCAATCCAATGGCTTCAAGTGACAAACGCGTTCAGACCTTCGAGGTTTGTGTTATGTTTTTCGTAGACGTAATCCTCTCATTTAGCGTCCACGAACCTTGCACGGCTGACAGAAGCTTATTACAATTAATCCTTAACTTGAATCAAGCAAATTAACTCGTAAATTTAGGACAATGATATACGTGCACAATATCGTTTCATTATTACCACCTTCTCTATCTTATCATCCCACTTGTAGCTGTAGCCATATCTACACCAACTCTACGGAGTGCATCGTCCAGCAAAGCGGGGATACAACGTCGTCTCCCTAACCGTCCACCTATCACCAACCCACGCCAAAAACCTCTCCAATCCCAATCCATAACCACCCGAAGAAGCAGTGCCGTACTTCCTCTGGTCCGTGAACCAGTAGTATGGCGCAGGGTCGATTCCCTCCCTCTTGTAACCCTCGAGCATACCGTCGAGGGTGTTGAGACGCATGGAGCCACCGACGACTTCTCCGACACCGGGAATGAGGAGGTCGACGGAGTCGGTGACGCGGGGGTCGGAGGCGGTGGGAAGCATGTAGAACGCCTTGATCTCGCGGGGGAAACCAGTCAAGAAAACAGGACGAGCGATGATGTCGGTCATCTTCCTCTCCGCAGCCTCAGCGATATCATCTCCGAAGACGTGAGCGCGTCCGTTGGGGTTCTCGGCATCGGGGTCGGTAAGAATGTTGTGCTCGTTCAACCAAGTGATCGCATCCTTGTATGGCATGCGCATGAAGGGACGTTGAGGGCGGCTGAAAGAGGGGTTGAGGGAGTGGATGAGGGCTGCGGTGGTAGGGTCGTCGAGAAGGGTGTCGATGACGCTGCAGATCATCTCTTCAATGTGGTTCAACAAGTCGTCGAAAGAGATGAATGCCAACTCGGCCTCGACGTGGGTGTATTCGGACAAGTGACGACGGGTGTGGGACTTCTCCGCACGGAAGGATTCCTGGATACAGTAGCAGTCACCGACGGATGCCAATGCGGTCTCGAGGTAGAGCTGGGAGGATTGAGTAAGATATGCCTCCTGGCCGTAGTAGTCGAGCTTGAAAAGAGTAGATCCACCCTCGACCTGGGTTTGGACGAGAGCGGGAGGGGTGACCTCGCAGAGACCCTCATCGTCGAAAGCCTTGCGGAAGGCGCGGAGCACAGCGGCGCGGATACGGAGCATAGCGGATGCAGTCTCACCACGGATGACGAGGTGACGCTTGTCAAGGAGAGCAGGCTGGTCCTCGGAGTCCTTGGAGACAACGTTGGTGATAGCCTCGTCACCTCCGGGAGCGAGACCAATGACCTCGAAGTAGTCGACAGCAAGCTCGTGGCCATCAGGCGCGGTCTTACCCTCAGGAAGCTCGGCGATGGTACCGTAAACAGTGATCGTAGATTCGAGCGTCAAGGTAAGCGCAGTCCACGAGTTGGCGAAAGGAGCCGAGATAACGGCCTGGAGGTATCCAGTTCCATCCCTCAACACCACGAAAATCCTGTTCTTCTGACTTCTCAATCGGTGAACCCATCCAGAGACCTTAACTCTCGTTCCACGGTTCGCAACACCCTGCCTAATCTTAATCCTCTTCGCCTCAGGGAGAGACTTGTCCTCGACGACCTGGATAGCCTTGGCTTCCTCAATTCTGCGGGCTTCGTCCTGGGCGGCGGTGGTTGCGGCAGCAGCGGCTTGTGCGGCCTTTTGGGCTTTGCGGGTGGCCTCGTCGAAACGCTTCTTTGCGCGCTTGAGGGCGGTGGAGGTGATTTCCTGGAAGCCGTTCTCGTCGGAGGGGGATTTGCGAATCATCAACTTCGCAGTCTGGGAGATCTGGAGGGCCTTGAGGGGAGTAAGGAGAGGAGCGGCCTCGGTACCGGCGGCATCATCGGATCCAGCGGTCTCGTCGATGTAGAGGACTGTTCGCAGGTATTAGCAAGCTGTCAACCCCAAGACGAAAATCTACACACCTTCCTGGGGGTCCTTGAGGTTCAAAGCCTCGGCGGCCTTCTCGAGAATGGCAGCCATTGTATCGTTTATTGATCTTTCTGCAGCTGCCCTGACTCGAGTCTCGGATTTTTGGTGGTGAGCTTTGGGAACATTGCCACAGGTGAGGTGTGGCGCAGGCTCGGGGGGGTGGGGGGGGGGGGCATGCGTGGGAGTTTTGTCGAAGAACTCCATCTGGTAATCAGCTGCTGCCTGACGTTTGCGTAGTGTGGAGTAGGGTGCTTGCTCACACATGCGGTGCCAAACACGATCATTTGATACCCCGGCCGACACGCTGCGACCTGCCGCAGCCCGGGAAGGTTCACCCTTTCCGTCTTTTCCAGCACAGCATCAACACACCCTTCTTGGCACCTCAATCTGTCACTTCTCCATAACCAATGCTTGCAATGGTTCTGAGTGAGCTGATTCTGTCCATTTTGGCCGACCACCCACTGCCAAGCTTTGCCATCAAGCGCGTGGATCTCCCTGAGTCTCATAACCCCCATACCGCTCTGACTCGTCCAGGACGGTTGAGACTGCAGTTAGTGTCAACCTCAGCTGTCGGAATTTCGGCGGTCGACCGTTATCGTATGTCTATATGTTACAGGGAGGGGAAATACCCATGTGAAATGTAAGTGCATGTGGGGCGGTACCAGAGATGACCATGCCACGTCCCGTTGAGTCAATGTTGTACGATTCATTCGATTCTTGATGTCACACTTACGTCTACCGGGTTCAACACTCTCGAGACCCCTCATCGATGATGGGCCCCAATTCTCGGGACATGAAGCTCCTCATGACATATGCTTCATCCGCATCTGATCTCCATCAGCATCGTCACCATCTTCCGTATTTAGTAACACATTCCTGGTAACTACGGGCGGGAAGGTATCCCATTGGATCGTTGAGACCCCCCGGTGTCCTCCCGCAACCCTGCCTCACAAAACCTTAATTCTCCGACCCGCGGGCACAGAACCACGGTCATGTACTAAGTATTGACCAAGGTCATCTTACAGACTGACCACACCTCCTCACACTCCACCCAGCGATCGTTCAAAACCCCTCTTACATCACTCGTTTTTGTGAGATCCATACCATTTTTGCTGTTCCAAGTCCAGCTGTGCAGCGACATTTGGGAGCCCTTTGTTTCGGATTGAACGGTTTTAAGCTAAACCGCAGGAGGACAAGTCAAGTGTGTTCGTACACCCACGCCAGCCCTGGTTTAAGTTGCCGCCGAGACTGACCACAGTACAAAGCAGTTATCGTCATCAGCAGTAACCCACCAGATCGAAGGAGTCAGGACCGTTCGTTTTGTCTCTATTATCAAGGTGAGTCGGTTTGTTGTTTGGATCAGGTGGTTGGTGGTGTGCTGCGTGGGCGTTGGCGCTGTCGAGTTGGCGGACCTACAACGGACCGTTCAGCATTACTGAGGACCCTGATCTGACTGCAACATCTCAAAAGAACACTTCACTAACTGTTGGTATTGCCTCACAGACTTTACCGAGTATCGCATTCGCTCTTCCCGACTTCGCTGACGCTCGTCGGCACGTTCCCGCACAAACAGTTCAACAAAGTCTTAAAGCAGCCGAAGTCTTCGTTCTACACTCGGCAGCACTTTCAGCTCTCTAAGATATTTAAAAACATCACCAGCACAACTTAAGCTGGTTTCTTTGACGGATCAGGTACAACCTAACAACAAACCACACCACCCGTCACTCGCTGCACTGGATAACCACAACAACCCCCAGCGTTCCCCGGACCCCGCTCATTACCAGGTCCCAGTATATTACACCTTATCACCTCAACAATCCTACGCCATCATGCATCCCTCTCAGAATATCCCGCCGCCTCTCCATTTGTCGCCGAATTCTTATCCAGACATGGCGAGTCCGGCGTTGAGTTATGAGGGGCCACTGTATACGCCGTTACTTCCTGCGGGACTGCTGTTGGGATCACCGTTTCAGCCGCCTACGCCCGGGTTTTTGGGAGGATGGTTGCCGATGAGTCCGGGGTTGGTGCAGGGTGGTCCGCTTGGCCAGGAGATTGATACTGGCAGTCGAACGGTAACTTCCATAAACGGGTTTCCATGGTAAAATACTAATTGGGAGATACAGATTTACCTTGGTAACCTTCCGAGAGACATCCCGCTGTCGGATATCCTTTCGCATATCCACCCCCCTGCAGCTCTCGAATCCATCCGCTTCCTCCCCGAAAAGTCATGTTTGTTCCTTTCATTCGCAAACCCCCTCCACGCCCTACACTTCCATACTAACCTCCGCTCAAACCCTCTCGTCATCCGCGGGCAAGAAGTTAAGATCGGATGGGGCCGATCTTCGCAGCTCTCGGCCACCTTGCAGAGTCAGATCGAAGCAGGCGCCACCCGCTGTGTCTTCCTAGGCGGCTTGGAAGAAGGTGAAGGCGAAGATGAGATCAGGGAAGAACTCGGACGATTCGGACAAGTCGAGCACGTCCGCATCATTACCGAAAAAGGCATCGGCTTCGTTCATTTCTTGAGTGTGGCGACGGCTGTGAGGTGTGTACAGTTACTCCCTGTCGAGGGCAAATGGACTGGGAGACGTATTGGATTTGGAAGGGATCGATGGTATGTCGTGGTGATCAGGAGAACGAGAGATTTGTCTTACTAACCATCATGACAGTGCGTTTGTGCAGAAGACCGCCGGTTTCGCGGAACACCAGCAGCCTTTGATGGCCGGGACGAATTACGGTCTTGGAACGTATATCCCGACGCCTGCGACGAACAGTTCCTTCGATACGACGCCTCTTGCCTCATCTATCACCACCAACACTACCGCGACCAACACCTCCGCTGATCCACTCGGTCTCTCCAACCTCCTCGGCGCCGTCAACGCAACTTCCCTCACCACAATGGGTTCCCAATCCCAAGGTAACAGAACTGTCTACCTGGGCCACATCCCTCCCAGCACCGAGTTATACGAGATCTTGAACGTGGTTAGAGGTGGTATTTTGGAGAACGTGAGGTACTTGCCCGAGAAGCATATCTGTTTTTTGACATTCGTTGAGCCTGCCGGCGCAGCGAACTTTTACGCCAATGCGACGTCGAAGGGAAGGAGTGGTGGATCAGGCGGGTTGGTCGTTAGGAACAAGAGGTTGAGGATCGGATGGGGTAAATACTCCGGCCCACTCACGGCCGGAGTTGCGTTGGCTGTCGCAGCTGGCGCTACGAGGAATGTTTATGTTGGAAACCTCGAATTTGACGAAAACCCCGAGATGAACGAGGAAACAATTTCCCGCCTTCGCGCCGATTTCGAGGAATTTGGAGAGATTGAATTGGTGAACTCACTCCCCGAGAAGAGCTGCGCGTGGGTTAATTTCACGAGTATCCTCAACGCATGGAGAGCGGTCGAGGGAATCCGTGGCCGTGATACGTATCGGAGACAACGTGTCTCATTCGGTAAAGATCGCTGTGGAAATGCGCCACGTCAACAGCGTGGAGGGGGTGAAGGCGATTCGGGGATGGGTGGGTCAGGCGAAGGTGATTCGCAGGGTATGGAAGATAGTTGGGCCTCTTTCGCTCAGCAGCAACAATTGGGGAACGGTGCGTTCGCTGCTGGTGGGTTAGGGATTCCTACGATGCAGAGTCTCGAGACTGGCTTGTACGGATTGGCGATTGGTGGAGCGGAGGAAATTGATGAGGCGTTGAATGGCCATGCGAGGGAGTAGGAGTATGTGAAGGGGAGGATATGAATATAGGGACGATGTATGGAGGGCAGCAGCTGCAGGATAATTTTTGAACTGGTATCTGTTTATTGGGTCATTGTTGCACGGCCGGGTTTTCGTAGGACAAGCTTTGAGTAATAAATCATGGCGTTGGTTTTGGTCGAATTGAGATTGAGCGTGAAATGTGAGGGTAAGGAACAGAGAGTGTGTAGTCAATGCTGTTACATTAATCCAATATTTGAACCAGAAACTCCAAGATGTAAACCAAGAACCCAAAGTAGACTGTACTGTAGGGCCATTGCAACCGATGGCCCGTTTTCTTTCAACGTCGATAAGAATGCGCGGCGTCCGAACACTTCGTCCCGCTGACATTCGTATCGCTTAATGCTTCTCTTCTCCTATGTCCTTCTCTTTCTCGCCTCCATGGATGTTTACCAAGGCTTAGCGGAGTCGGCTGTACGCAACACACCAAAGTCAGCTTCCGTCCCCATCAACTTCTATGACAAGACATACCCTTCTGAGTCAACAGCAACCCGAACCTCTTCTTCAAGGTAACACGGTGACGGGAGTACTTGTCATCAGGCGAGAAACGCGAGGGGTGAGCGGACTTGGTGATTGCGCCGGTGGGGGAGACCTTCTTGAGGGTGTAGACGCGCTTGCCGTCGGGGCCGACGTGGTACATGAGATGCATAGTGGGCGAACGGGGAGGTGCTGGTGGTGAAGAGACGGACGGGGCGGTGCGGTGCGGTGCGGTGCAGTTTTGCGTTTTTGCGAGGGTGAAGAATCGCCAGGGCACGTGCAGGGCGGTGCAGGCGAGTGTACGACAACAAAGAGCTTACAAGAGAAAGAGCATACATCCACGGCTCCATCGACAGCGGTTGACAAGCTGGATAACCCCTTCAGCAGGCCGCGCGGGCCAATGCTGCCGCTCCAACAACCGCCAGGGATGCCTCCACAACAGCGCGTACTGCCACCACAAGGGCCGGGATACCCGGGGCCTCCGCGGCATCCGATGCAACACCCACAACATCCAGGCGAACCACCGATGATGCGACAAGGACCTCCGGGGCAACCGCCTATGGGATATCCACCCGTACCTCCGCATATACCACACCAGCGATCGCCGAATCACCTCCGACAACCACCTCCAAATATGCCTCCAATGGGAGTACCCCCAGGCGGACCACAAGACCACGGACAAGGACCACCTCCTGGCGCTCGACAAGAACAACTCCCACCCAAGCCACCTCCGCCACCCCTCAAGCTCCCGGAGAACTTGCCTCCCACGACAAAGAACTTGCATTTGGCGCAATACGTCTACCGCGAAGAACTCCACCAAAAAGCCCTCGATGACCAGCAAACGCGGATTAACGCCCTCATCATGGAAAAACGCGCCGAATCGGATAGAAACGCGGTCAAGGTATCACAAGGCTGGAATGTCGGTTACAATGGCTACGGAAACGGTGCGCAGGGTCGACAACCCGTGTTTATGATGCCCGAGAACCGGAAACGACCGAGACCGAAAATGAAGGAATTGAAGATCCCGAAGAAGGTGATGAGGGAACTGGCGAAACAGCCGGAGGTTCTGGTTCCCGTGAGGGTGGATCTGGAGAGCGACAAATACAAACTCCGGGATACGTTTACGTGGAACCTAAACGAGCGAAACGTCCCCCCCGAGTTATTTGCGGAGAATATGTGTCAGGATTACGGTGTACCACCATACCCAATCTTCGCCCCGGGCATCACCAAAGCAATCGCCGAAGCCAATGCAGACTACCACCCCCACGTCTTCTCCAACCACGCCCCCAAAGCCTCCGGGCAATCCGCCTCAACCCTCCCATACGCCGCCTACAAAGACGACGATATGCGCATCACAATCAAACTCGACGTCACAGTCGGCATGCACAACCTCATCGACCAACTCGAGTGGGACCTAAACGACCCTGACGCGAGCCCGGAACAGTTCGCGGGGAGGATGTGTAGTGACATGGCACTTAGTGCCGAATTTGAGACGGCGATTGCGCATGCTATTAGGGAGCAGTGTCAGATATATATCAAGAGTTTGTTTTTGGTTGGGCATAGTTTTGATGGGAGGGGGATTGAGGATGAGGACTTGAAGGGAGGGTTGTTGCCGACGCTTAGCACTGCTGTGAGGACGGTACCAGCCCCGGGGGGGCATGTGGCGGGGGGGAATGTCGGGGTGGAGGAGCAAATGGGCAAGTGGGGACCGGTGTTGTACGAGTTGAGTGATGGAGAGATGGATAGACAAGAAAAAGACCGCGAACGCGAGTCACGCCGGAAACGCCGTCAAACCCGTGGACGCCGCGGAATCGTCTTACCCGACCGCGAGGATATCCCCAAAACTATGCGGACTGCTGTGCAGAGTTCTGTATTGCCAGGTGGTGCGGGGGTTCTTGGGCCACGATTTGGGAGTGAGAAGGTTGGTGGGGGATTGGATGAGGATAGGATTCTTGATGAGATGATTGAGGAGGGGGAGGAGAACACCATTGAATATACTGCGCCTACCCGGGGTGGACGTGATCGAAGGGGTGCTGCTGGTGCTGCTGCTCCAGAGGTTGAGAGGGAGAGGGAGAGGGCGCTACCGAGACGGGCGGCGGTGGAGAGGAAGAGGTATAGGATTGTGGAGAGTGATGAAGAGGAGGAGATGTACGAGGAAGAAGTGATCGAGAAAGAGGAGAGTCCTATACCGTCTCTCTTAATAACGTTGAAGGTACCCGGTTTGAGGGATTGGCTGGAGAGAAGACGGCAGGGTGGGATTTTTGGTGGTGTGGCAGGACCGCCTGGACCTTCCGCCCCCGCAGCAATCTCCGATTCCGTTTCTACTTCAGCACAGGATCGCGAATCCTCTATCGCGTCTTCTTCCACCCCTCAGGCTCAGCCGCCCTCTTGGCTCCTCACCTCCGCCATCCCCGACCTCCTCGCGAAATACCCCAACGACCGCTTCGAACCGGCTTGGTCGAAACGCGATCCCCCCGGCTGGCGCATAAAATGTTCGGATTGTCAAGGGATGATTTATCAGCTGGGCCCGGGTGAGAGTTTAATGAATTTTGAGACGCATTTGAGGAATCGGGGACATAGGGATAAGGTGGAGCAGAGGTTGGTGAGGGAGGGGTTGCTTTAGGTCATTAAGAAAGAAGAATCAATCAAAGATCTCATTGATCTACCTTACGTGTATGTCCGTCCTTCCACACCGCGAGCGTTGGACACGGGACGAGGGTCACGACGTCATCGCACATCCACTCCACCTCGAAAACCCTCAAACGATCAAAACGATCAAAATCGCATGGATCATCACCTTGATCATGCCCGACCAGTTGCAAGCCCTCCGTTGACGTGCTCCCCACAAACACCCTCCACCTCGAGCACCCAACATCTACAACCCCGCCTCCGCACACCGATCTACCTCCTTCCAACTCACATCCCCTCCGCCACACTCTCCTCCCTCCGTCAATCCCTCACCGCAAACCCCTCCCGCATCCTCGTCTCCAGCCCCTTCGAAGCGAAAATAATCGTTACGGCATTGACAAGCGAGAAGAGGATCAAGAGAGACATCATGTGGGGGACAAGGAGGGGGGACTTTATAGAAGAGGGGGTAGTTGTGGTTGGGGTGGCGTGGATTGAGAGGGGTGGGTGGGAGGTCAGGGGGGATGAAATTGTGGGGGTGTATCGAAGGGATGAGGGTGAGATCGATGATGAGGGCGCACGGCCGTCGAAACGACAATGTGTGGAGAGTGACCATGAGAGCGATATTGAGGAACAAGACAAGAGAAGAAGAGAAGTACTCCTTCGAGCCCGTGCAGATGCAGAACGAAACATCGGCGACGCGAAACCCTCCCGGTGGTCAACCGTCCGTATCGGTCCATCCTCCCACATCCGTCCGCTACCACGCGCTTCATCACACGAGCCTGTTCCTATTCTGCCTCCATCTTTGCCGACTCTCTCGACGGATGAGACGTACCCGGAACAGCCGCCAGCGAGACCGTTACCGGAGTGGATTTCTAACAAGTATGCATGTGAACGGCAGACGCCCCTAGTATGTCCAAATCAACCATTCGCTGACGCTCTCTCCACCATCAAACTCGCCCGAGAACTTAGCGGAGATCGGGTTGGCGTTCGGGCGTATGCCTCGGCTATCGCCGCCGTTAAGACTTTTCCGTGGGCGTTCGAGCAGGGTGGGGAGAGGGAGTTGGGGAAGGTACCGGGTGTGGGGAAGAAGGTTACGATGTTGTTGCGGGAATGGCTCCAGACAGGGAGGCTGACGGAGGTGGAGGCGTTGGAAAAGGATGAGGAGTTCACTACGTGCCGGCTATTCTGGAACATCTGGGGTGTGGGACCGAGTACGGCGAAGCACTTGTATCAACAGGGATTTCGGACCTTGGAGGATGTCAAACTACAGTACTGGGGAAGGTTAACGCGGGAACAGCAAATTGGACTCAAATACTTCGATGATATTGGCATGAGAATTCCACGAGATGAGGTCGCTGAACTTGGACGTATCATCCAGACCATGGCCGTCCAAATCACGGACGGCGGAAACGGGGTCCACAGCGTTATCTGTGGTGGGTATCGGAGGGGAAAAGAAATGAGTGGTGATGTTGATATCATCATGACACACCGCACACAATGGCAGCATCTCGTTCAACGACTTACGGAGGCATTGGAGAAGACGGGATGGGTCACGCATGTGTTGAGCATTTCGAAGAGTATGAGTGAGAGGGGTGGACACCCACCCGAACTACACGCAGAGAAAGGCATCTGGCAGTCTGGATGGGGCGGAGCGGACTCGCTGGATAAATCACTCCTTGTATTTCGCTCACCGACGACACCGCCAGGGAGCGAAGCGAAAATCCTACATCGACGAGTCGATATCATCATCTCCCCTCCCTCCGCATTCGGCACTGCGATCGTGGGATGGACGGGCGGCACGACCTTCGAGCGCGATCTCAGACGCTTGTTGAAAGAGAGGAAGGGGTGGAGGTTTGATAGTGGTGGGGTTGTTGATAGGGCGACTGGGCATGTCGTTGATTTTGGGGAGTGGGAGACGGCGGAGGAGGCGGAGAGGGCGGTGTTTAGGGGGTGTGGGATGGAGTGGATTGATCCGGAATTGAGAAACACCGGATAAGCATCCCTGACGTGAGCTTGTTCTCGAAGACTGTTTTAAGTGGGTTTTGGTTAACTCACGCGCTCGGCAGTTAACACCGGCAAATCGAACCCAGGCACGTGTCCCACCCCCGGCAATTTTACTATATGTTGGACATGCGCTCGGCAAATCTTCCAAACAGATCTCCCGACTCCGAAAGCAGCCGCTGTCTCTCGGTAAATGCCTCCATCTACAACCCTCCTCTTTCGGGGGACTCCTATAAGAAGGTCGAACGTCACCTTCGCGGTACGATGGCAACGCCTACGGACACGAACAATGGTTACCTCCACTACCAAGACCCCAGTTGTTATGAACTGGATTAACAACACCCCTACACCATCCCACGACGACCAAACATTCACCCTAAACGATCCCTATACCTCCCAACCACTCTCTCACATCTCTGCCTCCTCCACCCCCGACATCGAAGCCGCGCTTTCCTCCTCTTCCGCCGCATTCGCACAATGGCGCTCAACACCCGCCCACGAACGCCGACGCATCATGTTGAAGGCTGCAACCTTGATGTTGGAGCGAAGAGACCAATTCCTCGACGCCTTCCGAGAAACCCAAGTTGGCGAAGGCTTCAACGCCTTCAACTTCCACCTCGCCCACGAAATGCTCCTCGAAATCGCAGCCCTTGCCACCGCTCTCCCTGGAACCATTCCCGCGCTCCCGTCGAATGGGGACGAGAGTACGATGACGATGGTACAGTATGAACCGTTTGGGACGGTGTTGGCGATTGCACCTTGGAACGCGGCGACGATCCTGAGTGCGAGGGCGATTGCGTATCCGCTTATTGCGGGAAATTGTGTGCTCTTGAAAGCGTCGGAGTATTCACCCCGTACACACGCGCTGTGGGGTCCACTGTTCGCCGACGCTGGGCTTCCGGCTGGTGTCCTGAACATCCTCAACTTCTCACCCCAAACCACGGCGACGTTAACCCCAAAATTGTTGGAGGACCCAAGGGTGAGAATGCTCAACTTCACAGGCTCCACCCGCGTCGGAAAAATTCTCGCCCGGATCTGCGCCGAAGGCCTAAAACCTTCCATCCTCGAACTCGGCGGTAAAGCTCCCGCGATCGTGCGTGCTGATGCGGAATTCGATAAGGCTGCAAGGGATGTGCTGTGGGGTGGGTGGGTACATCAGGGACAGGTGTGTATGAGTACGGAGAGGGTAATTGTTGATGACAATGTGATGGAGGAGTTCGTTGGGGCGTTGAAGAAGGCTGCGGAGGGGGTCAAGGCCGGGCCCATGTCTGATCCTTCTACGAACGTGAAGGGGTTGATTTCGGTAGAGGCGGCGGACAGGTTTGAGGAGTTGGTCAACGACGCAGTCTCGAAAGGCGCAAAAGTCATCATCCCCGAAACCGGCTTCAAACGCGACCGCAACATTGTCACCCCGGTTGTCCTATCGAACACCGATGAAACGATGGCAATCCACACCCAAGAAACCTTCGCCCCCTGCCTCCTCCTCCTCCCCTCCCCCTCCGACGCCACTTCAATCTCCATCGCAAACTCCACTCCCTACGGCCTTACCGCCTCCATCTTCACCCGTGACACCCACGCCGCACTTCGCATGTCCAAGAAACTCGAATGCGGAGCTGTGCATGTTAACTCGCCGACAATTGAGGATCACCCTGCCGTCGTCCATGGAGGATGGAAGGAGAGTGGGTGGGGGAGGTTTGGCGGGGTTGAGGGGGTTAGAGGGCATCTGCAGTTGAGGAGTGTGAGTGTTAGGGAGGGTGGGGGACATTTCAGTTTGTAAGCGGAATGTGTGGGGTGACGGCGAAGAACAGAGCAGCCAAGCAGATATGTCGCAGTCTTAGCAAAAGCAAAGCATAGTCAAGGTGTCTAGGGTCTTCTCTAAGCAGAGCTTCTTGCGTGTCTCCTTAACCCTTTCAGGCAAACATGGCGAATAGCTAACTACTCACTAATCCTCCCAACCAAACCCAATCGAAAGTATATATGCCCGTAACGACTCCCCTCCGCAGGCGGGGATTCCTCATGTGTAGACCAAGTCTGGACAACCACCTTGCGCCAAACGCATACCACGTACAGAAGAACGTAAAACCAAGACAAGTCACCCCAACAATCATCAGTCCACTCCAAATAAATTTCTTCTATGTGGTTATACAATTCGGGATGGGGGTTCGTGACGGATGAGGCATACAGGCTTTATATCGCCTGACCCCACAGTAATCACGTCACACGACACACGTGCACCAGCTGCCAGTATGAGAGCCGGTAACGAACACGAACACAACTGCTGCTACGGCTGGACAAGCTGCAATGGCTAACATCATCAACGAGAAGGATTGTGCCGGTCCTGTCAATGCCAACGCTGAACGTTACGATCACCGCAAGCACACGATGGAACGGCCGCCTGAGCCCGATTCCGCCGCGCACAGCCGCCATCCGCCGGCTGCGATGAACAATGTACTCGAAGCAATTGGAAACACACCCTTAGTCAGGCTCAATAGGATTCCACAGGAGGAGGGCTTGGAGTGCGAGATCTGTGAGTTCGACTACCTCAGGTGAGCGGAGAGCGGTGTTGACCGATTTCGTAGGGGCTAAATGCGAATTCTTCAACGCGGGTGGCAGTGTCAAAGACCGTATTGCGTTAAGGTACGACAATGACTGGCCTCTTTCAAATGAAAGAGAGCGCTAATAGTCGTACAGGATGATCGAGGAAGCCGAACGCTCTGGACGTCTTCAACCTGGCGACATCCTCATCGAACCCACAAGTGGTAACACGGGGATCGGGCTTGCCCTTTGCGCAGCTATCAAGGGTTATCATACCATCATTACACTTCCGGAGAAGATGTCTGCAGAGAAGGTCTCCATTCTCCGTGCTCTCGGTGCAGAAATCATCCGTACACCTACCGAAGCAGCCTGGGACTCTCCAGAATCACACATTTCCGTTGCGAGGAGGATTGAGAAGGAGTTGTGCGAGCGTGCAGAGAAGCTGAATGTTGGCAAGAAAGTGGGGGATGAAGAATGGGTTGGCAAGGGTGTTGTGTTAGATCAGTACGTGAATGTTGCTAATCCTGCCGCTCATGAGGAGGGCACTGGACGTGAGATTTTGGAGCAGATTCCAGGTGGGAAGGTTGATATGATCGTGGCTGGTGCCGGTACTGGGGGTACGATCACGGGAGTTGCGACAGTGTTGAAGAATGCGTGTCCGGATGTTAAGGTCATCGGTATCGATCCACATGGGTCTATCCTCGCGGAACCGGAAGATCTCAACGATGACCGCCAATCCTACCAAACTGAGGGCATCGGCTACGACTTTATCCCAGACGTCCTCAAGCGCTCCTTAGTCACCTCTTGGCTCAAGTCCAACGATGCAGACTCCCTCACCACTGCTCGCCGCCTGATCCGCTCCGAGGGTCTTCTAGTTGGGGGGTCAAGTGGTGCTGCTGTCTGGGGTGCTATCCAAGCCGCCAAACACCACAAGCTTGGGAAGGGCGATAAGGTTGTCGTCATCCTCGCTGACGGAGTAAGGAATTATCTGACCAAGTTCGTGAGTGAGGATTGGATGAGAGCTCGTGGGTTCTTGGGGAACGTCGAGTCGGAGAAGGAGGAGGAGAAGAGCAAGGCGCAAAAGAATAGGGATGAGATGAGACTGAGGGATCTGGGGTTGAAGCCCGTCGTTTGCGTTAAGGTGAATGATAAGTGTGAGGCTGCGGTGAAGGTTATGCAAGATCACGCTTTCGATCAACTCCCGGTTCAGAATGAGGCTGGGAAGCTTGTTGGCCTGGTCACCTTGGGTAGAACTAAGACTCCTCTCGCTTCTCTGCTCCATCCTCGCTGACCAAATTTTACGCAGGTAACCTTCTCTCTGCTCTCACCCATACCCGCGCCGATCCCTCCACCCAAATCTCCTCCATTATGTTCGATTTCCGCCGTCTCCCAGCCAGGACCTTCGCCTCCTTCAGCTCTACGGCTCCTGAACGCCTCGCTAAACGCGAGTTTCAGGAGGTTACTGTGGATACGAAGATCAAAGATATCCTTGACTCTGGATTCTTTGATTTTTGGAGTGCGATGATTGTGACTGAGAGGGATGAGAGTGGGGCGATTAAGCCTGTGCACACTGTGACGAAGGTGGATTTGCTGAGTTATTTGGTGGAGGGGAGGTGAGAGGTTAGATGGGAGACGCGCTTTCGGGTCACTGTTGGTGGGTTCTGTTCGTCCTCGTTGCTTGACTTTGTTGTGTGTGTTTACATTGGGTTTGTTAGGTTCATGTTGGATAGTCGTGTTAGCAGACACTGGCACAATGAAGCAGACGCTCTGCGTGTTGCTTCTGACGACGCTGCCGTCGTCCGACTACGTCTTTAGAATCAATTACGTGATAATATCCGGCCCCAGATCTGTCTTCCACGGGTTACCCTTCTGCCCCTTAGTAGCTTGAGGCATGGATTAACATCTTATTGCACGGGAACGAGTGGCGTGGATCACAGCATTTTCTTCGGTTTCAAGCGGGTCGATGGATGCGAGGAAATAAGGTTCCGGCTAACCTCTGTGGTAATATAGGGATGTTTCGGAGCGAGCAAATGGCCGTGTCTCCTTGACGCTGTGTGATGCGTCCCGAGCCAAGCCTGACAAATATTAATGTGAAGGTGCTAGAGTCGCAGGAGGATGGTATCGGATCAAGTAATGTCAATGGACTGACGGGTACACACGGATTCGGGGGTCACATCGCTAGGTAACCATCCGTGGGACAAACTGAGCTGTCCCTCCCGCTTGATCTTCCTCAATCAGAATAAGCATAGACTTACGCAGGACAATCCCCTAAACCCATCAAATCCCCGGTTCCAGTCACTTTTCCAAGCTTGTTCCTTCCTAACCGCACGCGTATGTAATCAAGCGTACTCCAACGCCCAAGTGTCGGATAGCGCAACCCAAGACGCCTTGGAATACAACAAATCCCTCAAATCCGTTTCAACTTCGCCAGAACATTCCCTCTGGTCGCTTATTTTTATAAGTGGGAGGACCCTGATTGTTGCTTTCCAGCAGCTGTCACTTTTTGACATCCCTCGAAGTCACCACAAACTTTCACGCACGAGCCTCCTACGTCGACGTCGACGTCAACAGCTGATCGGTCCCAACGCACAGCACAACATCATGGCAGGCCCACCAATCGACAAATCCAAGGTCCCGGATCTCTCAATCCGTCCCTACACCTACCGCGATCTACCCATCGTCCGCTCCGTCGTCGCCGACGGGTTCAAAAACCAATCCTCCCTCGCGAACGCCTACATCATCTACAACTTCTACTTCATCTCAACCTACATCGCAGCCCTCTCTGCCGCATACTATGCCCTCCATAAATCCACATATGCGTCTACTTCGGATTGGGGGATGTTGTTGTTGACTGCCTTGTCGATCAGTGTGGGTTTTTTGATTGTGGTGGAGTATAGCACTGCGCCGTTTTTCAAGGGGCTCAAGGAGGAGTTTTGTGAACTTCCTGAGACGGATGTTTTCGGAGTTAAGAAGTCTGGGTTCTGGGTTGCGCAGTACGGTACCGACATCATCGGCTCCATCGCTGTCTACCCCACCAAGAAGCCCGAGGTTGCTGAGATAAGATACTGGAACGTCATCCGCAAATACCGCTCCAAGCATCTCGGTCGCGACCTCCTCCGCCAAGCAATCATCCACGCGGGTGACGTCCTCAAGGCGAAGAAGGTCCGTGTGAGCACTTACACCATCAGCGAAGCCGCTGAGAAGGCACTTCGCCGTGAAGGCTTTGAGGTCGTTGTCACCGGGGCGAAGGTCGGTGGATGGTTGATGCATGCGTATCACATGCGGGAACGTGTTTGGGAGGTTGATGTCAATGACTGGGCGAAAGTCAAGTTGATGGAGGAGAAGAGGAGGGACGAGAAGCGTGAGGCTTGAGCTCGGGCTTGACCTCGTGGAGTGTATGATCATAGCGGAAAGAAAAAGCATAGACATTACGTGGAAAAGGGCTGGTAGCTAATCATAATACCCATACCCATACCCATATCCATACCATTTACCACCCACAACGCCGTTTACAAGGACCACAGCGAAAGATACGAGAGACTATGGCTGCGAACTCAAATCCACACTCACAGTCTCAACCTCCAACTCCCACTTATCAACCTCAGCAAACTGCTTCCTCACCCTCCGACTCTCCTCCCGTACCTTGTTATCAACCACGGGCGCTTCCAACTCTGGCTCACTATCCTCCTCTTCCCGATTCGAGACCGTTCGCGTTCGAGTCCGTGCTCGTTTTTGAGGGTGCGTTCGTTTCTTCGGTGATGCAACCCGCTTTGCTTTTCGTCGCCGTGAGCGGGCGAGTTCGTCCTCTGAACATTTTTCTTCGTCTTCGTCTTCGTCGTCTTCGTCTGACATATCGTACGTGCCCTTCTTCTTTCCTGATCGTGTTCTGCGGCGGGGTAGTAAACTCTCCAAATCAACCGTCCGCAACGCCTTCCCCTTCGCCTCAGCTTTCCTCTGTTTCGGTGCCGGTTTCGGTGGTGACGAAGGTAGCTCCAACGAATTGTCGTCCGTGGCAATGGATTGTGCGTCGCTCAGCTCACTGTCATCCTCGTCGCCTCCTTCCGTTTGCACCTGCGTCTCCGGCACCCCCTGCACATCCTCCTCGTCCTCCTCTTCTTCCTCTTCAGCCTCAGGTATCGCCCGTGGCCGCGTCTTCGGTATCGTCGAACGTAACTGTGCCCCGAACTTCCTTGACGTAGACTTAAACCCAAACGGATCATCCGAACTTGGCTCAACCCCAGCTCCCCCTCGCACATCAACCTCCTCGCTCTCTTCAGCTTCTTCTGTCTCGCGCTCCAACACCCGCTCCTCAGTCGTAGGCGACGGTAACAAACCCTCATCCCCTCCTTCATCCTCCAACACATTCCGTCCCCCAGCGCGAATCGGACTAACCGCCAACTCCAATCCCTCGCCGAACTTTCCGCCTGCCTCCTTTACTGGCGTAGAACTGACTAATGGGCGTGCTCCTTCGCCTTTCTCGCGTAGTTCCGTTACGCCCTTGTTGGCGGGTTTGATCGGGCTGGGAAGGTCGGTGCTCGCAGTCGCTGCTGTAGGCATTGGCGGCGCCTTCTTTGGTGCGCGACGTGGTCTTGGCATCGTGATTGGCTCGTCTTCCTGGTAGATAGAGAGGCTGTGAACAGAGAATCCTGGCGGTGTACGTGTAAAGCGGGGAGACGCGTCTCAACGTCAGGCGACGCACGGTAACGAATAACGAACCACGATACCCAGATCAGTTTGCATTCAACGCGTCAAAGATAAGATAGTTAAGATATATTGGTATAGATAATATTGAAAGATGCTCTCGATTGAGCTCGGATCGAACATCCAAGTCTGAGATGTCAGCCATGTAGCCGTAGCCATAAAAAACAGAAATCCAAAAGAAAACTCCCATCCTCCGTCCTCTCGTTCCAGAAGAGTGCATCCTGTAAAGACCGTGGTCTGCTCGTAGCAGCTTCTCCCATCATTCGTCTATCTCGCAATCGTGTTCTAAGTCGGCCACCTTCTGTCAGCAACAAAAGCCTCCTCAATCCACCACCCAAGACACTCAACCCACCGTCCCCTGCCCTCCCACCATCTTCTCCTCTTCCACCCTCCAATGACTTGACCCAAGGCATTTACCTTGCCCCAGTTCCTGAACTCATCCACGCTCATACCCCGAATAGTAGGGAACAAGAAGTATGTCGCGAACACAATCCCAACCAAGAAGACGCAAAGCGTATAGAGTAACAACACAGTCCAAGGCACGTACACTTTTGATGGATCTTGTGGGTCGACGAGGTATTGGTTCAGGTATTCCCAGTACCACCGTTGCTGTAGCGCGCCTCGACCAGCAGCACCCTTCATCCTCTGTCTCGGCGGAGGCAACTTGCCCTTTGGTCCCTTCGTGCGCCTCATCAATTCCGCGATAAGGTGCTTCTGCACGCCGAGCTCCCGTGACCAAACTTCGTATTGTTCCTCGTTCATGGCGGGGGTCTCTGCACCAGATTCCCCGCCCTTCCCTGCTCGCGAAGCCGGTCTGGACTTGGCGGCCGTCTCCGTGAAGATATCACACTGCACTCCATTCTCCTTGACCTCGTTCTTCTCCGTTTGTGCGAAGACACTGGCGACGCTTTTCTTCTCCTTGTCCTCAACGCGGTCAGTCTGAACACCCTGCTCCTGCACCTCTACCGGTTCGAAAAGTCCGGGACCACCGACAAGCCTCACCTTCTTCTGCCCATACATCGCCCTCTTGTACTCCTCCTCCACGTCGACCTCCTTCTCGACATCAATAAGAGGCGCATCGGGGTCACCATTACCAATCTGATCGACTTCAGAAGCCAGAATAGCTGGCGGAGAGCGCATGCTCTGAACAGGCTGAGGTTTCTGCGCGTTCCGCAACGACATATTCCGAACCGTTTCCATGTCTCTCTTCATCTTTTCCAACTCCTCGTTGAGGCGCTCATTGGTGTCGAACTGTTCATTTAGCGTCGCTTCCAAGTCACGGAACTTATCCACCTCCTTCTCGAGGTCTCTGATATGCTTGTCCGCGCCTTGTAGAGCAGCCTGTTGCGCATTCACTTCATCCATCAATTCCCTTGCTCTCTTACGTTCCTCCTTGATGATCGTATTCTTGTCCTCCAATTGCAAATTCAAGGCTTCAATGTGCGATTGGAAATCCTCCAGCTGTCGCTTCGTCTTCTGATGACAGGCTTGTTCCCGCTGAAGGGCAATTTGTACGGTCTCGCATTCCCTCTCCAGCACCTGAATCTGCTTTTCAAGTTCGTCGTTCCTCCCCTGTGACTGATTCTGGTTCTTCCGACGCTTGTCAAGTTCATTGCGCATCAAGTCGATTTGGTTCTGCAAGTCCTGAATGGAGTCCTCCTGCCCGGCAATAGTTGCGTTGTTCCGCTGATCAGCATCCTGGAGCTTCTTAACAGTCTCAAGCAAGGCTTCGTTCTCTTTCTGCCAACGTTCGACGTCACCCGTGGCATAATTGGGGTTGAAGTACTGGTATCCAGGTTCTGCCATTGGCGAGCTTTTCGGTCTCTCGTGGAATGCTCTAGTATCGAGTTGCGGCGACAATGCGGGTGGAGAGTTTCCCATCATACTTCTCTGGTAGCGATCGTACTGTGGCGTTGAGTGGGCGAGTGGAGTCTGGTGTTCGAAAGTTCCTCGAGGTGGAGTAAGTGGTGCATTCATTGATGGTAGAGGTATGGAATCCTGTAAATTTGGCGTTAGAAAGATCTGTAAGGTAAACTATTCTGTTTCGCTTACCTGACTGAATATCTCGTTGTGATTCTCCTCAACAGGCCTCGGCAACGTCGGACTGTGCTCGAGTATAGGCTGGCTCACACCCCTCCTTGGCGCAAAACGATTCCCTCTCGTATTTAACAGCGGTGTACTTCTCTGCCGATACATTTTTGCCGGCGAAGGTGAATTCTGCAGGCTCATATCCATCGCAGTCTCCGCGTCCAGCGCATCCTGACCACCGGAAGAGACGAAGCCCTTGTTTGACAAAGACTCAAGGAGATGCATCAACTCATCCTTTCCGATCTCGATGTCTTCTCCTTCGCACATGGCTTCAGCTTGCTCCCTAGCATCCTGCGACAAGATTGGTGGTGCATTGTGTGGTTGGAGGTGATCGAGTTCGTCAACAAAGCTCAGGAAGTCGCGTGTCTGAATCTGTGAACCAACCGTCAATACAAGAGACATAGCTCAAGATTACTGTTGCTCTTGCTCACCTTCCCGGTCTGACTAGGATCAAACATATCCCACACCCTGTCAAACGCGTTCTGCTCAATATCACCCCCTTCGCGTCCCGGACTCAGAGGTGTCGGTAAACGTCCAGCAGACTGTCTGCTCGTACCATGCGCCCCCATAACAGCATCAAAATCGTCTGGCATATCCAGGCTGTCCATCTTGACGGAGTAATGACCGGGTATCGCTGTTCGTGCTCCTGAATTCGATTGTTTGTGTCCGGGCCATAGTCAGGGGTAACCCTCGGTCATGGCAACAGGTCAATTAAAGATATTTCCATTAAATCTCGGTATCGAGTAAGTAGAGAAAGACAAAGATTCATGCCTGCTGTTGCTCCGTGGTGTTCTTAAATCATACAATCTTCACTTTCAAATCTTCCTTCACTTCCTAAGCCTACTTCCTGCCTCTGAACAACCTCACCAAGCTTCCCACCCAGCCATACGTAATGAACTTGAACATCCTCGCAATAACACTGGCCTGGTTCTCATACTTCTGCACATCAGAAGTATGGTGCTGCTCCGTAAGAGCCCTTTGTCCAGCATACTGGGCCTCGAAACCGATCTCCTCCTCAGCGCCAGTGTAAACGGAGCCAGCGGACCCAGCAGAGGTGGGACGCTCCTCGGTAGGAGTAGCGGGGTAGGTACCCTGAACCATATGCTCGAGATTCGTCAACGTCTGGTGAGCGGTCTGCGCAACACTCTCAGGCAACCTGCCCTCAACCTGGTGCAACACGGCCTCGGCACCGTGAACGACATTCTCAGGCAAGTGCTTGATGGCCTCAACGGGGTGAGCAGCAGCGTGAGCCGCATAATGCGCAGCAGCCAAAACCTGCTCACTCAAACCACGAGCCTGCTCCTGAGCCTGCGCGGCAACGTCCTTGGTGACATCGACAGCAGCCTGAGCGGTCTCCTGGACATTGCCGGAGACAGCTTGAGCGGTCTGGGTGACAGACTCGGGAACCGCATTCTGGACCTTCTCAACAGCATCAGAAGCGACCTGCTGAGCCTGCTCGGGAACGGCCTTGACGGCCTCGACGACCTGCTCAGTCGAAGGAACAGCCTCGACAACGTTGTTGACCTGCTCCTGCACCTTGTCCTGGGCCTCGGAAGCGAGAGCCTTAACGTTCTCCTTGGTAGCGAGGGCGGTTTCCCGGACTTCCTCGGTGGAGGGAATAGTGTCAACGACGGCATCCTTAACATCAACGGCCTTATCCTGGACGGTCTCGGCGACATCCTGAGCCTTCTCCTTGACGTCCTCGGCGGAAGGAATCTGCTCTGCTACCTCGGCAGCCTTGTCCTTGACGGTCTCAGCAACCTCAGCGGCCTTCTCCTTGGCCTCATCCACAGAAGGAACCTGCTCGACGACCTCAGCGGCCTTATCCTGAACAGTCTCGGTCACGTCCTTAGCCTTCTCCTGGGCCTGCCCAACCTTCTCTTCCGCAGCCGCCTTCAACTCCTTTGTCTCCTCCCCAGCATCATGCAATCCAACAACATTAGCAACCTCCTCTCCCTTCTCTTCCACCTTCCCAATCAAGTCGCTCATCTTCCCCTCGACCCTCTCCTCCGCAACAACCTCCTCCTCCACCTCACCCTCATGATCCGCATCCGCAACCCTCTTCTCCACCGCCGCCTCGGCATGCTCCTTAGGTCCCGGCGCATCGGGCTCGCCCCAACTCGGCTGTGGTGCGGCGACCTTGGAGATGAGGAGGGAGGGGAGGTCTTGCTCTGTGACGGGGGTGTCGCGGACAAGAGGGTCCTTGCCAAACGCCTCTTCCACAGTAGGCGTCCTCTCTCCTTCAATAGAAGGCTCCTCCTTTGCGGCATCAGCGTAGGAGAAACCCGGTTCGGGCTGAGCGGCCTCAACTGCCTCCGTGGCCTCGGCGACAGGGTCAACCTTCGCCGCATCAGCATACGAGAACCCAGGTTCGGGCTGTGCCCCAGCTTCCAAAGCCTTCTTCTCCTCCACTGGATCCTTCGCCGCGGCATCCGCATAAGAAAAGCCAGGCTCGGGCTGAGCCTCGGCAGCCATCTCGGCCTTCTCCGCCTCTGGATCTTTCTGAACCGCGTCGGCGTAGGAGACGCCAGCTTCAGGCTGACCCTCCGCAACCTTCTCAAGCGCTGCCTCCTCAGGCGCCTTCGAATCATCGTGAAGTCTCTGCTCCAAATCAGCCACAGACGGCTCCTCGATCCCATTGTCCTCAATCTCCCTCTCAATCTCCGCAACCTGCTCCGGCTCAACCTCCTCCTCCTCCTCCGCTGCATCCTCAATAGCGTCACCACCCTGAGCCTGAGCAGAGGCAGCCGCAGCCATCTCCTCCTTCATCCTCGAAATAACATCCAAATCCGCACTTAAGCTTTCCCTTCTAACACTCTCACTATGACTCTCCCGTCCCGCAGCCCCGCGCTTTTCCTGCTCCAGCGGCTCAAGGACACTCGTCGCACGCGTACTCGCCTCTTCTCCGGTGGAAGTCGAGTCCGAGCGAGCGCTCTCCTTCGCGAGTGCATTGATGATCTGCTCCTCATGCGACGGCGCCAGATCAACGTAGGTATCGGGGTCCGCGGCCTCGGGCACCAATCTGGGTGAGGTTACTTGCTCGTTCAACACCTCCTCCGCCGATCCACCGAGGATACCAAACAAATTCGTCGGGTGGGAGTCTTGACGCTGAGAGCTTGGACGGGATGGGGATTGTCCGTTTAGGGGAAGGGGTGAGTGATCGGTTTCGTGGTGAGAGGGAACGGGATCGAGGCCGGCGTCGAGGGCTTTGTCGACGGCTTGTGCTGGTGATGCGGGCATTGTTGTATGCTTCTGTTCGGGTACTGGTAGGAATAAGCGATGATTTTGTATTCCTGTCGCTGGATCACCGACTGTCAATTCAATGACTGTTAGTAAATGTGAAATTGAGATGGCCTGTGGATCCGAGGTGCAGCTTTTTAGTTAGGGTGTAGGGTCCCGGTGGTGCATGAGAAATGTGACGTAGGACGCTGTCGTGTCAGTTGGCCTGTCACTGCGCAATTGGCGTGCGTTGGCGCTGATTGGCCCGCCCCGCAGTATAGCATGGGAAGGGAGTGGTGGAGTCGTAAACAGATCCAAGGGCATCAATGAGAAGGTTGTGCTCGTTGTTTGGTGATTGTTTGAGATTGTCAAGGCCAGTGGTGGGTGTCGAGGTTTCATACACCCCGTCCAGTTCGGCGAACGCGTTGCAATCGCACATAGCCATCGTACTCCCAAACCTGGCAAGGCGGTAATGAAGTTGGAGGTGATTGGTGGTGATCGCGAAGGTCTTGATTGCTGTAAGGTGGTTGGTGAGTTGGTACGGGTTTGTTGTCGAGTGTCGACGGCGCATACATCCCGTACAGTCCGAGAATCCGTCGCATGCGGTTGATCCGTCCGTGCCAAACCCTCCCCCGCTGCCCTCGGAACCACATAAACCATAACATAATATAACTTACCTGCTTCTTTCGTCTCATCCAATACCCAATCACTCCCAACAACAAACTTATACAGCCACTCCCTGCCCACTTCCAACTCTACCTCGAGCCGCGCGCCCTCTTCGTAGGGTTTCATCATCTCTGGTTTCCAGTTGTTCCAGGATCCGGCGACCGAAACCGGAACCTGTGTCTTATGCGGGTACGTAATCGTAGTCATCCCCGTAATAGGGCCTTCTTCGCCCACACCGGGGGTTGTGCGACCGGACGCTTCGAGCTCCGATGCCATTGCTGAGGAGTGTGATGGTCAATTGGGTATCCAGGGGATCGAGTCGATAGTGACGCGGTGCTTGGATTTGCCTGGTGTTGGGGAAGGGTAATTCTAACGTGGTGTTGAGTCTCAACCATCGATACAGCCGTCAGAGGCGCACCCCATGCTGCAGCGCCGACGCATACACCTAGCGATGCAGGCAGGCCAGCTGGTATCATCAGAAACGAGAAAGTTTGATGTGCTCGCCTCACAATCTTGATTGCTGAGAACTGAAGTCTGCGAGTCTCACAATTGAGAAGATCATGGTAAGTAACGGAGACTCTTGCGCTCTGTGATTCCTTCCCAGCCATGGCCAGCGTGGGAACGCCCGTTCAAAACTACCGTTGTACGCAAAAATACTTCATAAAGCGAAACAGCAACGATTGCAAGGTTTCCATTGATAGTGCGAATAAAAACCAAAAAGAAGTGTATTGAGGGTATTGATATCTTAACCTCCATGAAGCCATCGCAACATTGCTATCACACAAAAACATCTCATAAGATGTCATAATCCAAAAATCAACGATGCAACACAGCATCAGGCCGCATCCAAGAAAACCTTCCCCATAAAACTCCCCTAATACCTCCCCCCGGTCCCAACAACCGGCTCCGCCAACTCCAACCCATACCCATCTCCACTCTCCAAATCCAAATCCCCATTCCTCATCCCCCTACTCCCATTCACCCCAGCACCAGCACCACGCACAACAGCCGGATACCCCAAACTCGTCGGACTCTCGACTTCAGTAGAGAGAGATCCAACAGTACCAGCAGTCATCGGCCTCAACCTCTCACTCAACCTCGCAACAATCCTATCAACAAGACTATCCTCATCCAGCCCCCCTCTCATGCCTTCCCCTCCTGCCCTCCCTCCACCCCCCGAACGATAAGAAGCCCGCTGCCGCGTACTAGGCCGACTCGTACTAATCCCCCCAACCTGCTCCCCAGTGAAACCACCAGCAGAAGCATGCGTCGCAGACGGTAAATCAAGCACATCAGCCGGATTCCCTTTCGTGAGGAGGTCCATCATGCCTGGTCCCTGAATCCCCATCGTCGGGACCGAACTTCCCTTCCCTTCGCTCTCGCCCTCCGTCTGTCCATCGAGGTCAGCACCGGCGCCCGGGGCGTGGGGCGCCCCCATTGCGTGTGCGGCGAGCACTTGACTGTTTTCCGGAGACAGTTCGGGGTGTTCGGCGAGGAATTGTGACGCCATACGCTTATTATCAATCTCCTCTTGATCCAGGTCTTGATCAGGGTTGACTTCCTCGTATTGCAGCCATTTAATGAATTTGTAGAATGTGCTCGCGAGCAACGCACCCAGCGCTGGACCGAGCCAGTAAATCCAGTGGTAAGAGTCGAAGGTGCGCAATACCACACACGGTCCGAAACTGCGAGCGGGGTTCAAGCTACCACCCGTATAATAAACCCCAACCAATTCAGCGAGAAAGAGCGCGAGTCCGATTCCGATGGGAGCGAGGAACGTTGCTTTATGCTTTTCGGCCGCAAGCATGAGAATCGTAAACACCAACTCCGCAGTCAAGAACATCTCCAAGAACAACCCTTGCGTTCTCGTTGCTCCGCCTCCGAGTTGGGTTCGGACGTTGAGGGAGCCGGGGAGGACGACTTGGATTATAGCGGCGCCGGTTATGCCGCCGAGGATTTGGGCGAAGGTGAGGAAGACGCCGCGGAGGGGTTGGAGGACTCCGGACGTAACCAATCCTAAGGTGACTATGATCACCAACTGTCAGCATGTGGGACGAGGCGGGGGGAGATGGGAAGAGGGGGACAGTACCAGCAGGATTGAACAACCCCCCACTAATCCTAAAAAATACCCACGCATTAACAGCCAACGAGAACCCAAAACTCAACGAAATATAAAGTAAATTGGAGGTATTAACGCTACTCCCATTCACGGTTCCGACGTTGGGGATGTTTGCGACGTTAGTGCCGCCGAGGGCAAAGAATAGGAAGAGGACTGTGCCGACGTATTCGCCCACCATGGCTATCCAACAAAAAAAAAACATTAGCATCCGTTCACAATGTAGAGAAGGAGAGAAGGTGAGAGGGAGGAGATGGGGGGTGAGGCATACCGACGAAATGATTCCTCCAAGCGACTTTTGCGGGACCTTGGTGTGCGGGTTGTAGATGCCAGTTAAACCTGTTACGTCCCGAGCGTGTTTTGTCGATGCCGCCGCTCAAGGGTCCATCCGTGGGTTGAGCTCGTTTCCCCATCTTACTGATCGTCTCTTTGGTATGGGCTCTTACGGCGTGGAGGAATGGAGGTTTTTATTGAGGAGTGGTTTAGTCCCAACTTTATTCCTACGTCATTAACCTCGACAATCGAACATCAACAACCATGGACTTTTTAACTTTCGGCACGCGTGGCTGCAGCAATGAGGATCATCGTGTCATCATTGCAAAGATCTAGATGTCGTGACGAATTGAGCACACAGTGTATATTATCGAAAAACAACAGATCCAAAGCGACGTACGCGCAATTACCTTGCTTGCAATTGCCATACTCAAACGACGAAACGAAACACGAAAAACAGCATAGAAAAAACACCTGAAAAACACACATCAACCAATCACGACCCAACGTTTAAACTTCCCATTTGAGCCTAGGACCACGCAACATCGTGTACGTGGTTTCGCTCCTGTATAGAGATAGAGATCCCGATTTCCTCCGTCTTCCTTCCTTCCGATTGTATGCCGTGCCGTGATAGGTTTAGAGAACGACACACTTTGACTTCTTCTTCGTGACGGGAGGTTCCAGCGCTCTACACACACACACACACACCAAATTAGTCCAACATCCCCACACAAGAATGGTAGGGGGGACATACGCAACAATCGCCTCATCAAAAACATTCTTCAACCCCTTCTGCGTCAACGCCGAACACTCCACATACTTGACCGCCCCCAACTCCCTCGCCAACCTCTCCCCCATCTCAAACGCCACAGGCCTCATCCTCTGCCTAGCCAACTTCTCCACAATCCCCGCTTCATCCCTCAAATCCACCTGCGTACCCACAATCAAACACGGTACTCCGGGACAATGATGATGCACCTCCGGAAACCACTTCTCCTTCACGTTCTCGAAGGAGGCGGGGGAGGTTACGGAGAAGCAGACGAGGAAGACGTCGGTTTGAGGGTAGGAGAGGGGACGGAGGCGGTCGTAGTCTTCTTGGCCAGCGGTGTCGAAGAGGCCGAGAGTGTAGGGTTCGTCGCCGATCATTACTGTTACGGCGTAGTTGTCGAAGACTGTGGGGACGTACTCGGAGGGGAATTTGTTGGTGGTGTAGGAGATGAGAAGACAGGTCTGATGCAGTGTTAGTTGCGTACTATGAGAATGAATGCTGGGCCCTGGGTTGTGGAGGGAGTGTATTGCGCTTCGTGACCGTCCTGTTGACAATGATGCTCTTGTCGTCGACGAGTGAATGCGCATACACCCCATCCCAGCAAACAACACAATCACAAACTAACCTTTCCAACCGCACCATCACCAACAACAACACACTTGATCTATCCCACCCATATCAGTACACATCCCCAACCTCCCCTCCATCACCACAACCACAACTCACCGTCTGCATCGTGGCCTTGTCGTATATCACGTCCTAACAAAAGCAAAAAGAGAAGAAATGCCCTTCAACAGAATCGAGAGGAGGCCGTATGCGTCGAATACGAACTTCGGCGGTCGAAGAAAGCACGTAAACAACGATTTCGACAAAGAGAACGGCTGAAGCGGGGAGGAGCTGATTAGACAAAAGTCCTTGTACGCGGGGACGACGAATCGGTGGGTCGAATTCTTCCAAAGGTGTCCTTGGGTTGACTCCTGGATTTGTTACGGACGGGCTGGTGTACGGCGAGTGTCACGGTTGGCGGTGTGTTGGTCGAGTGGTAGCCAGGAGGTTGGCGCGTGGCGCTTCCGTTGTTATGGATGGGGTTAATTCGAGATGAGTTAACGGGATGAATAAATGATGATGTTGTAGGTAATTAGAAGGAAAACAACAAGAAAAAGTCCGGCTTTTCTATGCTTTGTGTCTGTCGTCTTGTCTCCGAGAGCGTCCGTGCTCCACCCCTTTCCTGCGAGTGATATCGATGTGATTCATGATTACTCGGTCCACCTCCCAGGGACCTCAACAGTCTTCCCTTCCTCCTCCACAACATCCCTCTTATAATGATGCCCAGCAACACTCGGATCCGGCATCACACTTGCCGCATTCGCCGCGACCTCATACGTATACGGCGCACTACTCGTAATCGTCGTAACAATCGTCGGAATCGCCCCATACGTCGTGTAGACCGTATACTCACTCGTCGGGTACAACGGAGCGACATCTGTAGTCTGTGCCGTGATTTTAGTTTGCGGCCAGGGGATTGCGGGCGCGGTGCGGGTGAGGCCAGTTTGGAGGGCTAGGTTGAAAGTCATGGGGAGGGAGATTGTGACGGAGGTGTCGGCGGTGGCAGCAGCAGAGGTGGAGGATGATGAGCCGCCCAGGGCGACGGGGGTCGTGCCGGGGGGAGTGTCGGTTTCGGAGGAAGCGAGACCGGCGGAGACGACGGCGTCGAAGACACCGGTCATGCCGGCGAGCTTGAAGCGGGGGGAGTATGTCACGACTGTCTGCGCATCCGTCGTCGTTTGGAGCATCTTGATGAAACTTATCGCACAAACACCGATGAGCATACATCCCACCACCTCCAAGGAAAAGAAAGACTCGAACTCACTAGTATCCATTCCCACCAATCCCCTCATCAACACTCATCACAGTACTCGTCGTCGTGCTCAAACTCGTAATGGTGCTCCCCGTATACAGCGCCTCCGGATTGTCATCACTCCCACTCATCAAGAACAACTGCGCACTCGCGATATCCGCAAACGTCGGTGCGTCACCTCCGTCGGACCATGCGACTGTGATGGAAGCTGTGACGCCGGAGACGGAGATGGTCTGGCCCGCGGTCGGGGATGAGAAGACGACGTTGGCGAGCGAGGGTGCGGCGGAGGCGAGGAGAGCCAAAGCGATGGCAGCGAAAGATTTCATTGTGTCGGTCGTGTATGCTCGTTGCAGAAACGAGAGGAGTGGTGGAGCAAGAGAGCTTTGGCTGTCCTGGAAGTGTGGTGCCTGGAAACGCCGCCTTGGCCGTGGCCTCCCCTACGAGACCCCCAAATTCTACCAAACACGATTATAAAACCCGAATAAAATTATCCAGTATCACGAATAGAGATATTCGAGTTAGTGGGATATTCTGCGCACAATCTAAATTGTTAATTTGTCTTGAAAGTAGAATTTTCTATACGATTTACCAACACTACACTGTTATACTATTCTACCTCATGACTGCACACTGCACAGACGTGACATTCATTGGTCCCATCTATCACAGGTCATCAATCTAGGTCCATTAATATTATTGAAACTTAAACAAGACCCGAAAATTTCAGAAGTCCAACCTTGCCTCAATTCCCACTGTCAACACACATATGCACACCATGACGCTTCCTCTCATCTCTCCTTTGTCCACTCAGTCGAAACAAGCTCATCGTCTTGATCGTCTTCATCATCATCGTCAACATCATCATCGTCAACATCAAACTCCGGATCATCTTGGAAACTACGATTGGACATATATCGATTTGATGTCCCTGAAGTGCGCAAGGTCTTCTTTCCAGGCTGTTTCTTACCACAAACCTTCATTGCCATTGGGTCGGGGCGGGTTAGTAAAACCCGATGAGTAGTCGTTTTACTGTTGTTGTCAACAAAGTGCGGGACTCACCCGAATAAGAGGAGACATCAAGCAAGAGTGTCAGACGTACCACTGGCTGGGGTAAGTCTCTATGAGAGGATCTCAGAAACTGTGATATACTCGAAGAGAAGGTTGTATTGGATGAGTATCCTAAGGTGGCATAAGGCCTGGCTTATATAGTTTTCCATGTACGTCCAAATGTATGTCATGATGAGTCATGACGCCGGTGCCGTGCCATAACTAAATGACTCACGCAATCTAAGTAAGACGAGGTGTTACACCAGCTCATCAAACTTATGCGCAGTAATCAAACCATATGCCAACTAATCTAACTCTGCTAAACGAGATGTCCACACACGTATGACAAAGAGTGTCGAGATTAAACGAACATCATGTTAACCTTTCAGCAACAGCAATCATGTGCCCAGTTTGGGTTGAGACGATACAAGCCATAGCATCGGGAGAACAGATGGGAGAGGACCAGGGAGGCGTAGAACTTGGTGATCTCGATGGGAGAGAGCCGGGGAGGTGTAGGATTCGATGCTTTCGTCAATCAGTTGTGAGACACCCAGGGACATTGAGACATTGATGGTGGTGGGTTCCTGGTTGGTGCTAAGGACTTGGTGAAATTTGCCAGCGCATCAGCGCATCAACGCTTGTGCTCACATGTCACTCTCGAGAGGCGCAGGCCGAAGAACCGTGACCAAAGACCATTGATCCTCGAAGACCCTCGATCCATTGAAAACCCTCGACCATCCCACAATGGATCCTCAATCTCTTTTTTATTGATGTGGGATATCTTATTCTCCTGGAACGAATATCATTCCAGGTCAAATAAGGTATTTGTGTACCATGAATTGGAATTCCACTCTACTTGAATACTTTCCCACTTTATTCGTGTTTTTCGTACAGTCGAATGATTTATTCGAGTGCTTTTGCTGAAAGTGGAACATGTTATTCCATATTTGTGCAATCACGAATCAGGTATTCGTGACAGTCGAATTCGGGGGGCTCGTAGGGCTCGTTGGAAAGTCAGGGACGACCAGACCAACGCCTGTAGAAATAGACGGGTATATATGGTGGATTTCAGTGTCTATAGCCTTGCCTATCCATATACCGGTATTACATCAATCTCCCTCCGTAGGTTCATCGCAAGCAGTTGCTCAAGCATTCCTGATCTTATCAATCCTCCGATTCACACCGCCCATCAAACACTTCAACACCCCCTCCCCAGTCAATCCCTCCCTGGGACACGGCGTCATATCAACCATATCCCTGACCCCCCTTCCCGCCATCCCATCATCCAACTCCTCCAACGCCTCCCGTGCCCCCTCATCATTCCCAATCTGCAAAAACTGAATCCCGAGTTGACTCAACGGCGCACCAATCCTATCCAACTGTGCCGCGAGCGCGAGCAGTGTCGAGAGCGGGTCGTCAGTAGGGACACCATCCGTAATCACAATCAAGTTAAGCGGTTTACAATCCCCCCCACTCTCCTCAACCCTCCTAACATACCCCCTCAAAATCTGATCTAACCTCAACCCCGTCGGCGTCGCCCCACCCGGTCTAACCCTCCCAAACACCCCCTCGACCTCGCGGACACTTCTCACACCCCTCGCCACCTCGCGCGAGTTGAGAAAGTAGATGTCGATACCGTCGTCGTCGTAGTGGACGACTTTTGTGACGACTTGTTGGAGGGCGAGGGCGGTTTGGCGCCAGCGGGAGCCGGCCATGGAGCCGGAGTCGTCGATGAGGAAGGCCGTGTCGAAGGTTCGGAGAAAGGTGTAGGGGTCTTCTTCGCCGTTGGTGGTGGCACCCGCTTCGGGGTTGTGGGTATCTTGCATTCCCTTGTGACGGTGAGGGCTCAGCGGTGCGGTTTGTGAGATCGAGTCGGGTTCGAAATCATCCGGTAGAGCAGGTTGTTGGACGCTTTGGCCGCCGCCGCCGGAGTAGGCGGAGTACGCTGGGGGTGCTGCGCCTGTTGCTTGTTTTTGACCATGGTTTCGCTCGACGATGACGACGTTACCGCCGTCGCCAGAGACTCCTCCGCTGCTTTGGCTGCTTTTGGAGCCGAGCTTACGTGTCAGTTTGCGGAACATGGTTGTGCTTATTTCCTGATCCGTTTCTGTCAAGGCGTAGGTTTCCTGGTGGGGAGCTCGTGGGAGACTTGGAGTGCTGCGCCCCACAATGAGCCAGTCGGGGAGTCGGACGAGTATGTCATGGCAGATACCACCGGCCGCGTAGGGACTGCAGTACAGAATAATTCGAATCTATGCGAATCTTACAGTTGAAAAGTCATGCTACTTCTTCAGCTGCTGCCGCAAGGGCAATATCAGTCGTAGTCGTGATCGATGTCCAAGGCTGGCATGGATTCCGCCGATGTCCCGAATTCGATGACTTCGGTTAGTTACCAAAAATAGCTACGATCTAAATATGCTCTTCCTCGAACGTTACCAGGCTTTACCACACTCGCCTTACACAAACCCTGTTCTGTGCGAAGATGTGTGAGGTCAGCGGCAAACCCGGCAGATGTCCGCTTAACCTTATTTACCTACTCGCCAGGTTTGGTACGAACAGGCTCAGAACCGCGGTGAATGCTATCCAATCGGGTAGTTCCTTCAATGTTGCCGGTCCATGTTACCCGGAAATGGAACATGACTCCAGGTTCGGACATCGCGGTTACCACGGTCCCCGTTGTCATGATCACGCGAGACGTATCCGCCATGATCTCACAGGCATCTTGGCAGAAGAATCAAGGAATATTGGCTTGTGAGCCAGGCGTGCGATGATCCTCTGATAGGGTATAAAGAGGCTGCCTCCATAATTGAGTCCTCCACAGTACGAACCCCGAACCATTGGGACTTTAGAGGTACAAGACACTACCCACTCGCTATGTTTGGCAAAGCTTTGATATTCACAGCCCTCGCTGGCCTCGTCAATGCACAATTCGAGACGTTGAGCAGGACGCTCGCGCCTGGTGTTACCATCACCGGAGCCACAGTCGCTCAAGAACCGACAACGCTTACAGTTGGTGGTCTCACGATTAACCAAACGAGTACGCTGTCCAACATCGTCATTGTGGTAGGTCTTTTATCCTGTTTGTCTCCGACAATCTGAAGACTGATAGCGTGGGACTAATAGGAGGATGGCACGACCCTCTCCAACCAATACGCAACCCTCACCCCGCAAACCCTCAACGGTACAACCCGCACCATCCCCTCCACTACACTCACCGATGCCACTGTGACCGTCCCGCCCCTCGTCGCGCCATACTTCGTTGCGACAAACTCCCTTGGGTCCATCATCGCGACCGTCACCTCCAACGCCTCGGGCTACTTCTTCGCCAACGCCTCCGGAATCTTCCCACCCCCGGCAAACTACACCTCCGCCCTCACCAACCTCACCTTCCCCGCCGCCAACCTCACCTTCCCCACCAGCGTCGCAAGCGGCGTATCCTCCTACATCGCCTCCTACCTCTCCCACGAGTCCTCCTCCCTCAGTGCGGCGGCCGCATCCGTCGTTAGTGTCCAATCCGCCGCTGAAGCGAGTGCGGCGAGTTATGTCTCTGGACAAGCTGCTACTGTGTCTGCGGTCGCGGCGAGTGTGGCTGCTGTGCAGAGTTCGTTGTTGGCGTCGTATTCGGCTGCTGTGGCGAGTATTACGGAGGGGTATCCGGTTGCGAGTAGTAATGGCGCAGCTACGGAGGGGACGGGGACTGCGAGTGTTGTTGCGAGGAAGTTCAGGAGGGATGGTTGTGGGGGTATTTATTGACGTTTTGAGGGGTGAGATTGGGAGATATGAGTGAGAATTTTTGGACATGTTACTTTTTTGTTCTTCGTTGGATTGTGTATGACGTTCATTGAAACAGTTTTGGAATGCAATGTTGTTTCTGCAGAAGCACATAAGACCGCCCTTATCTTCCATTTCCCTCAAGAAATGGGTCTCGTATTCCGTATCATCGAAGAAGGGTCTTTCAACCAGCACGAGTAGCAGCAGCAGCCTCCGGCGGTGGACTCCTCCCCTCCTTCAATTTCGGCCTCGCAACATCCCACGGTCCCCGGATCTCGTTCTTGTATTTCTGGAGATTTATCAACCATAGCGGACACACGAACGTGATGAATCCGACAAGGAGGAGGAAGAGGAGGGAGAGGTAGATGGAGACGACGTAGTAGAGGGAGAAGAGGGCGAGGGCGAGGAGGGAGATTGTGAGGGCGTGGTGGAGAGTTGGGGAGAGGAACTACGGGAAGGGGGTTAACGGATGAAGAGATGTGGGGGAGGAGGGAGGGGGGCTTACACGGACGTAGCGGCGGAAGATGGGAAAGAGGGCGAACCACTCAACTGCCCAAAGCATCAGACTGAACACTGCATCTGTCGTTCTTAGTCGAGATGCTAAGACGACGCTGCCCATGACTCCTGCATTCGTTCCCAGACTTCCTGGAAATCTCAGGTCTAGCGCTGCGTCCATCTTGCCCGTTGATGGTGGTGAGGAGGCGTAGTCATGGAAGAGTAGGTTGGCAAGAAAGAGCCAGGTACTCAAGGCCCAAATGGAGTCGGAAGTTGTTGACTTCGTTAACGAAGTCAGGATTGGTGACAGTCCGAGGAGGGTGAAGAAGATGAGAAGGGAGGATTTCGCCGTTTGCGTCCGTGTTCGCTTGCGACGGTATGGGTTGTCTTGTTGTGGTTTTAGTTTCCAGTCCAGGTATCCATATCCCAATATTGTGCCAACTGTGCCGAGCGTGGCTATTGAGCCGGCACGGACGAGGTCTGTGTAAATCGCGACGAATGCTGCAGCGAAAATGATGATTGAGGATAGATGCTGTGTAATAACTGTTGACTCATTGACTAGAGGCCAGAAGTCGTATGGACGCACCGACACATTCCGTTGTAATGAATGCAGAAACGTATGATGTGTGAAGTTGTCGGGATAATCTTGCTTGATCCACAGCAGCTTCCGCCATGGTTTCCGAACAGCGTCTCCCGGGTCTGTTCCTTGTGGTGGTGGCCGCCGTGGGGAGCAGAAATTGAAGTTTGGTCGTTGGAAGGAGGAGGAGCCTCGTGAGGGTAGTCGACCGCGGGGAATGAACTCGTCTGAGGGAGGAGCGTAGAGGAGACGGTCGCGAGGTGGAGAGGTGTCTGTTCCGCTTGCTGTTCGGTGGAGGATTGTTGGAGGGGCCAGGCGGGCCCCAGAGGACATTATTAGCGCGAGCGGCCGTGCTCACAATGGCCAGAATGGAGCAATAACTGGTCCGACCGGAGTATCAATGCCTGTACCCGGTGTGTATGATTGGCGAGGCTCAATACTGGATGGGCACCAGAGAACGTGAAGATAAAGCTGCAGGAAACGGAGTATTGGTACTGCTTGCACAAACTGCTGTCGTGAGCGAACGTTGAGGTCAATGGGTGTTTTACCGTCCAAACCGATATGAAGTCTACGTTACAGGAGACAAGGTGTTTTCCAGCAGTGAGCACAGAATGACCGGATAACAGAACAAAGTTCATTTTCGATCAATTTCGAAGAACATATCTCCTTCCTGACATCCAGTTCAAAAGTTACCTGCACCTTCCTCCGCCGCCGACGTCCCCGCCAAACGCGTCCGCGAAATCGATATCGCGTACTCCTGAATACTAACGACCAGCATACGGAATCGTCGACTCCCAATCTCAAAGGCCTCATCAATTTCTGCCTGGATATCTCGACAAGGTCGTCTAAGGTTATCATATATCGCAATGCCTGGCACAGCTCTGAAGTTCAATGCCCAGCTGGCGCCGAAGGCTGGGAAGCCCGTTCCCTTGGCTGACCTCTTGAAACGGCTGAAGGTAAGAACAACGCTCTGCTTGCGAAGCAAAAGCTAATAAGGCTGGCTTACAGCAACTCCATGCTGAGCTCACACCTATGGAGCAAGATGACTTCGACCGCTCCTCCTCCTCCATCAAACGCGTCGTGACTGAACTCGCCTCCTCCAATCTCATTGGGCACAAGGATAAGGGTGTACGGGCCTACACTGCATGTTGTCTAGCAGACATACTCAGATTATTCGCACCCGATGCGCCGTATACCCAGAAAGAACTACAGACCATCTTCGAGTTCTTCGTGAAACAACTGAAGGGATTGGAGAACCAAGAGTCGCCATGGTGGGGTCAATACGCTTATCTGCTGGATAACCTGAGCACCGTGAAGTCTGTCGTTTTGATTACGGACCTGCCGAACGGTGAGGATTTAATGACGGACTTGTTCCGGTACTTCTTCGATATGGCGGCTACGAGTTCACCACCACGGCAAGTTGAGTTTCATATGACGGATATCCTGACACAGCTCATTGACGAGTCGACATCGATTCCGACCGAGCTCATAGATATCCTACTGGGTCAATTCATGCGACAAGTATCCTCGAACGGCACTTCGGCTACCAGAGGTCAGACCACCCTCGATAAGAACTTGGCTTCGGCTCCGGCGCTTGCGATGGCCAAGTCTATTCTCGCAGCATGTGCCGACAGATTACAACGCCATATTACTCAGTACTTTGCAGAAGTCATCTACAATACTTCATCTACTGAGGGCGAAGAGGGCCCCGACATCGACGAACTCATCACCACACATCAGCTCATCTACCAGATTTACCTCGCGTCACCTACTGTTCTGCTTAACACTGTGCCCCTTCTCGAACAAGAACTCGTGGTTGAGAACACCGATATCCGCCTTCTTGCTGTCAACACCCTTGGTCGCATGGCCGGCGCGAACACTGCCTCTGGGCAGGGCCTGCCGAGGGAATATCCGAATGCATGGAAAGCATGGTTGGGCCGTGAGAACGACAAGTCTGCTCAGATTCGACAAGCATGGACGGAGTTGACGCCGGCGATTATAGCGAACCGCACTCAGGATGTGAGCAGACAAGTCCTCGAATTACTGAAAAAGAAACGTGTGGATATGGACGAGAAGGTTCGTGTTGCGGCATGTCATGTCATCGGTGAACTGGATTGGAAGACGCTTTCTACGCGTGTTGCTAGCAAAGCACTGATAGCCGACCTCAACGAGCGAGTCCGTGACAGGAAGCTTTCCGTCCGTACCGAGACTATGCGTGTTTTGGGTAAGCTGTGGGCGATGGGTTACCCCGAAGTTGAACAACGCAGTACTCTGGGCATCGAATTAGTCGGATGGGTTCCGCAAGCGATGTTTGCCACTGTCTTTCTGAATGATGTCGAACTGAACGTGGTGTTGGACCAAGTCATTCACTCTGACCTTCTCCCTGCGTCATCGGGAGATGACAAAGAGATTGAGGCGAGAGTGAAGAGGATGTTGTGGTTACTCGCCAACTTGGACGATAAAGGCCGTACGGCGTTCTGGTTTATGGTATTGGGCAAGCAAGGTCAGATGAGCAAGTTCCTGGGTGCTTTCATTGATTTGTCGGAGAAGTGGAACGGAGGGGTCAACCCTACCGATGAGTCTAAGGTCCTCGAGACCAATCTCAAAAAGGTTGCAGCTGTTATCGCTAAGGACTTTGCTGTTGAGGCTGAGAGGGAGAAGGTTGAGGCGGACCTTATCCGGTTCGCACGGTTCAACGATCGTCGTGGGTATAAGAGTTTGAGAACATGCATGGATCCCCAGTCTGACTTCAAAGCGGTTCGTTCCGCATACAAGTCCGTTCTGGCACGGTTGAAGGAGAGCTTGGCGAGTATCCTTGACACGATGAAGATGGTGATTACGCGTGCATCTTTGCTTGTGGTAAACAAATCCATCATCCCATCCTTGGTTGACTTTACTAGAGTGGACAGCAGTGGCTTGGGTCACGTTGCACATGCGGTACTGAAACAGATCTCGACTGCTCAGCCAGCTATCTACAAAGCGAATGTCCAAAGCTTAGTCGCATTGATTGAGGAGGCTGCTACCACCGTCGAGCGTATGGAACGCGATGAGCGCGCAACGGAGGATACACTCAAGGCGTTCAAGCAGTTCGCCCGTCAGTACCCTGCAGAGATTCCGAAAGGCCGTGGGTTGACGGATTCGCTGAGAGCTTTCTGTGTCAAGGGAACCAGCAGGCAGGCGAAGCATGCCACCAGCATCTTGCTGTGTACGGAGCGTAGAGAGATGCATGCACAATGGCTTTTGGACGAGATTGTCGGTAAGCTGGATGTCGACATGGCTGGGTTCGTGCCTAAGTTAAGTTCGCTATCTCAACTGATGTTGGAGGCGTCCGAGATTACAAATGACAAGGCCGATGTTGTGACAGAGTTGTTAATCAAACAGGTGTTATTGGTGACGAGGAAGGAGCCTTTATCAGACGAGGAGGATGTGGACTGGGTGGAGGATGAGGTGCTGGATACGGAATGCCAAGCAAAGGTATTGGCCGTTAAGGCTCTTGTCAACCGTGCTAGGGGAAGTGTCGAAGGAGAGCGTGAAGCAGTGCAGGAAATGGCTAAACCGATATTCAAGATGTTGGGTGCTATCGTTGGTAAGATGGGCGAGATCTCGAAACAAGGATCTACTCCGCAGAGTTACCAGTCTCGTCTTAGGCTTGTGGCTGCTCAATCGATGCTAAAGTTTGCGGCACTGAAGCCTTTTGAGGAGATGATCGCCCCGAACGACTTCAACAAGCTAGCGTTGATCGCCCAAGACCCATGTTTCCAGGTCAGAAACGGCTTTTTGGGGAAGTTGATGAAGGGGCTTACGGCTGTGAAGTTGCCTGTGCGTTTCTACTCCATTGTCTTCCTGACTGCTCACGAACCTGAGGAGGAACTGCGTGAGAAGATTACTGGATGGATCAAGAGTCGGGCCGCATTTTATAGGCAGCAGAAGAGTGTGGATTTCCTCTACACTTTCGTGAGGTTACTTCATCTCCTTGCCCATCACCCTGACTTCACTAATGAGACGGAGGATCTGGTTGACTTCGCCAAGTACATCGCGTACTACCTCGACACAGTGGCCGTATCCGACAACGTGGCACATCTCTTCTACTTCGCTCAGAGAGTGAAGCAGACAGCAGATGCGACGACAGATTCGATTAATGAAAATCTCTTTGTCATTTCCGACCTGGCAGCCTTGATCATCAAGATGAAGCAAGAGGCGCATGGTTGGAGTATGCAAACGTTCCCTGGCAAGCTCGGAATGCCGCTAGACTTGTTCAAGGCGCTGCCGGACTCGAGGACGGCAGCTGAGATCGCACGAGCTTCATATCTACCAGCGCGTATGGAAGAGCAGGTAACGCATTTAACTCGCGTGCGACATGCGAAGAGGAAGGTCGTGAAACCTACCGTCGCCAAGACCCCCCAGTCAAAGACATCGACTCCGAAGAAGCGGTCGTCAACTAGTAAGGAGAAGAAGCCAGCGAAGAAGAAGGCCAAGACGACGCCCACGCCACCGGCATCTAGTGAGAGACGGAGGAGTGGTCGTCTGCCTGCTTCAACTGATGTCCGGTACCAGGAGGAGAGTGAAAATGAGGATGAAGATATGAAGATGTACGCTGAGGAGAACGAGGGTTCAGAGGAAGAAGAAGACGAGGAGGAGGAGGAGAGTGACGACGCGTAGATGTTACGTTATTACGTACATTCGTGTGTACTGCTTTTGGAACGGTTATGGCGTTGTTCGGGTTAATCATTAAGCTAATGTTCGCTTCAATTGAGGGCTTTCGCTGCGGTATCAGGTTGTCAGTAGATGAAAAATTGCTGTTATGATAGTAATATAAAAGAATGCCATTGCAAAACTGAACGCCCCAAAACCGGTATTCCCGTAAGGTATAGTCTCCGTCGCACATGCTGGCGACTGCGAAAAACGCTTCACACACTATGCCCTCATGCCTCCAAGAACTTCATCAAGGCTTCCTTCCCTTTGACGCGCAGCAATGTCTGAATGGCAAGGAGCTGTACGCGCTCGGCCTCTGCTGGGGGTGACGAGACACTCAAGAGACCCGAACATCCGGGCCGAGCCTGTTGGCTAGGAGGTGTGGGCAGAGGATGTAAGTCTGCCATCGCGACGTCAATCAATGCAGCCAAGCTCGTGTTTTTCTGATTGCGCGTCGTCATGGATGACAAGAGAGTCACTGCATTCCGCACAACCTCTTGCTCGTCCACAGTCCGATTTTCCAGTAACTCCTCGTCAGTCTCACTCATTGGCGGAGGAACGTGCATGTACGGCATCGAGATGTCTGATGGTGGACGTCGAAAACCGGTACCGTTTGTACGGCGAACCTCCTTCCAGGTGCCCTTAACCTTATCCAGGAAGTCCAGCTTGATACCCCGTTCCGGCAGGCGGTATTTGACATCCTGAACAGTAAATTCTTCAAACTCGTCTTCAGCCTCCTTCTCTTGTTCATTCGCAATCTCCACATCCCCATTGTTCTTGAAACCCCGCGAAAGCTGAACATCAACCACCTTCCGACCCTTCGGGACTCTCTGTTTCTTCATTGCGTGCAGTGCATGGTTCGGACACATCCAGCGCTTAATATGTGATGGCATGCCGATCAGAGGTGGGGACAGGCAGTCGAGATGCCAATGCGATGGGCAGTGATCACAGCTGATGATAGCACCCTCGAGTGCCGATTTGCCGCACTTATAGCAAAGGATTGCTTTGCCGTGCTTGTCCTTGAGCTTATATGGATCCGCCTCCTCAATAAAGCCGCTCTTGTTGATCTTTATTGGCTTGAAGTCCTTCGTGTCCTGATACTCCCCGGCTGGCCCGGTCGTAACACCCTCAAAGTAATCCCTGATGTGCTTTGGCAGCCTGAACACGACTGGATTTGTCCGATTCATTTGTGTCATCATTTGCTGAAACAGTCCTCTTTGTTGTGTTTGTACGCCGAACTTTCGAGATTTGCACACATTGCAATACCAGTCGTCTTCCGGTAGATTGTTCTCGTCGACTGGAGGGTCCAGGCAATTAAAATGGAATGACCGAGGACATGATTCGCAGCAGAGGAATCGACCTTGTAGGCCGCATGCCGAGCAGAAGTCGTCGTTGTCGATCTGAGCAAAGCTTCGTCAGGAAAATTGCACACTACCCAAATATGTGACACAACAATACCTTCCCGACGTCCTCGAGTTCTCTGGGCGCCAAAACGACCTTCGATAACAACGCCCCGCCGCTTGCATCCCTTTCTTTTGCAAAACTTCTTGCTACAGTTTCATTTGTTCCGGGCAAGTGTGACTTTACGGGGCTATATGCGGGGTCAGCGAAGGTCCCTTCATCTACGTGACTACACAAACCTTGTCTTGACTCGTCTTTCTCTCTGCTTCTCTTTGTCATCGTTCTTCGGCGTCGTCTTGATCTTCTTGAACAATGTCTCTTCCTCCTGACCCTGCGGACTCAACGCTCTATCCCGTCTCTTGACACCCGTCAATGCATCACCAGACGGCTTTGAATAATCCACAACCGTAGACGTAAGCTTCACCTTCGGTATCGCCTCCGGCGTAAAGAGTCCCAACCCTTCAAGTCCCTTCTTCTTCTTCTTCACCGGTTCTGGTGCAGGAGTGGGAGCAAGATGATCAATATCCATATGCGTACTCGTTTCCGACAGCTTGGACGGCGTTCCTGCTCGCGAACCCGAACGAGACGTCTTTGCGTCCACCGACGCGCGGGACATGCGTTTCAAATTGTAGTCCGCCGACGATGTCTCCCGCGAAGTCCGTCTCCGTTCCGATGATGCCGGCATGGCACCGGTACCAGCTGCACGCGAGGGTGTCGCGACATCGCTCCTCGGCGAGGAGTTGCTCGCCATGATATACGGTGTCTTGCGGAAAGTCCTCGGCACGGTACGACCTCAAAGAAGTAGGCGGGAACGCGAATGCTGAATGGTATATGGTGAGGGTTAACTTTTTGTGTGCGATAAAGGTGGACGTGCTTGTGTTTTGCATGGCGCCGGCACAAGCGTGCTCTTTGCTCACAAGGCAAACAAAACGGTCAAACAATACCGTAAAAGGGGGCAGAAAGGGATGTAGTACAATGATAAAGTCTTTTTCATTCTTCTCGCCTGCCTTTCATCCTTTCCATTACCTTCTCGTATGCAAAGGATATCCCAATATCGTACGCTTCAAGTTATGCTAACCGGTACCTCTCCTTCTCTCCACGTTCATTCCAACATACTTAAGCCTCAGTCTTCTCCTCAGCCTTCTTCTTGTTCTTCTTCTTGGACGCCTTCAAGGGGGCGGCAATGATCTTCAACAACTCCTCGTCCTCCAACTTCTTCTCAGTCTTAAGCTTGGTAACATCAACGGCAGCTGGGCCAGCCAACTTGGTAGTACCGTTCTTGTTGATAGCGATGGTAGTGAAGAACTGCGCAACGTACTCTCCGTCCTTTTCGTACAAAACCTCGTAAGGGGTCAAGAGTCCGTGCTTCTGGCACTCAATGACACCCATACGGGCGGTCTTCTCGTCGTCAAGGGCACGGATGGTGAATGGGAAGGCACCGAACTTCTTCTGGATCTCAGAGTAGACCTTTCTTGAGGCGGCCATCTTGAGCTGGTACTTCATGTCGCCATTGCGCTTCATGATGGTGGTACGGGCGTCAATGCGACGGACCTTACCCTCGGAAGAGGAGATCAGGATGTCGATACCGTAGACCTCATTCTCCTCGAAAGTGTGGGTGGCGAAGTCCTTCTTCTGCTGCTCGGAGGGGTTGAGAATGATCTGCTTCTTGGCGTCGATGACGTTCTGAGTCTGCTGGTGAGAGAGCATGCCTGTATGAGATTGTCAGCCTTGATCCAAAAGATGCGGAAGAAGAAAGGTATCAGAAGCTTAGAGTAAGCAAAGCGATCAGTAGGAACAATTGGAATGTATAAATAGGTTTCTGCATAGCAGTTGCTGCTGCTCGAGGTCCCTTTGGTATCATCACATTGCTTTCGCTTTCCCTCTGCTTCATGATGCCTGCTTCTTTCCTGGGGTTCAAACATACCCTCAACAGGTGTGCAACCGAAAGCCTTGGCGATCTTCTCGACGGCGTTGGTAATTTCCCAGTTCTTTCCACCAACCTTGACCATGCGGATAGCTGCCTCGGACGCGAGGTGAGCAGCGAGGAGAACATCGGCCTTCTTGCCCTCAACCTCAGCACCGCCGACGACGTAAGTGTCGGCGAGAACACCGGCGTAACCGTCGATCTGGGCACCGAGGGAGATCTTGACGAGGTCACCCTCCTTCAAAGTAAGGGAAGACTCGGGGTCGGAAGCGAGGGGGGAGAAGTGGCAGACGACGTTGTTGGGGGAGATAGCGGTAGGGAAAGCAATACCTATTCACCATCAGATCAGCATTGAACATGGCATCTAAGCGGATCAATTGACATGTGCATGCACGACGTAATTGCACCACGCAACACAGCAATTGATCCCGAACAACATACCCTTGGGAATGCTCTTTCCCTTGTAGATCTTGCCAATCTCGGCATCTAAAAGCTCGTCACCCTTCTTGCAGACCTCGAGGACATTGGCACCGTCCTTGCAAAGTTCCTTAACCTGCACGAGGACGCGGGCGGCAATGTCGGAAGCGTTCTTGTACTTGGTCAAGACATCGGGATTAGTGATGTCGGTGACGACCTCCTTGGTCTCAGTAGCAGGCTTTGCGTCGGCGGAAGACATTTTGTTTGGGAGAGATTCGGGAATTTGAACGGTCGGTCTTCGAAGTTTTTGCGTGTGACCTCAGGCCCTCGAGAGGTGCACGTGCGATGAGATCATGTCAGCAAGCTTTACTGCCGATTTTTCTAATCAATCTGAAAATGAAATTGAGTCTTGTCTCCAGTCCTCTTCTAAAGAAATGCATGTATTTCTACCCTGTGTGGGAGTGGCTCTGTCTACGTTACAGGGACTGTTAGTGGGCACGGCTTCGAATCCGAATACTCAATTCGCTACGCTGCACAGCTGCTCGGACGGCGAACCAAGCCTGAACTATATTCCTTGAGAGATTCACCCCAGCAACGTGAGGGATACACCGCATCATTTTGCCCTCTATGGAGCCTGGGAGTAATGTCAGAAAGCGCCGGCTCTCAAAGTCGGTATTGCCGGAAGGCGCTGACTCAAGCACACTGCAGCGTTCTGTGACCAGAGAAGTTGAGGATTCACAAGGAGAAGGAACCGACGATGTCCTGTGGGCTGAATACAATAGCGCCTCAGCAGACGCCGATGGAGAGCATATCGTACCCGTGCCAAAAGAGCCAGTATCTCTTTCAGAGAGTGATGAAGACGATCTTCCTGCAGCTTTCGGTACCAAGAGTTCACTGCCAACTGTGTCACCATCGAGACAGGATAGGCAACCACAGCCGGCGACTCAGTACAAATATTCTTTGGCTGCTCTTGTCAAGGAAAAGAAAGCTTCAACCGCACGGCACATCCAGTGTGACAAAGCTGAACGAGCATCACATGGCATTGTTAACTCCAAGGAAGTACTGGATGAAGCTGTTGGCGAGAATGTAGATGCTCTGAAGGATACACTTGGTAGATTGGATGGCACCAGAGCTCAGCCTGCTTGGTCTTTCTTTTCCGAAGAACATCTTGTGTCCAGAACACGAACGGCGTTCCCTGCTGGTGTGTGTGAAGATGGTTGGCTTGCTGAAGCTCTTGGTATGTTCACCAGTGACCATTCATTACTCTGTCAAAATCTTAACCGCTACAACTTCCAGATCCTTCCATTCGGAGCTTCTGGTTCCGTGGTGGCTTTATGCGGTCAACTCTTTCCCTGGGAAAAGTATTACCAGATGAATTGCTGATGTGGCTTTTGGATGAAGGTATGTAACGGCTTACAAGTGTACCACATCCCATTCCACAGCCCTGACTCGTGGCGTGTTAGTATACTATGAGACATCCGAGGAGCTTGTTGACGCATATGTTGATTACATCGTTGAAGCGGCAAAGGTGGGTATTTGGTTGCGGTACCAAAATCTGCACACTGACAGCGCACCACCAGAAACACCCCAACACGTTCCAGAAACTGTTAAGTGCAGACAGATTTCAGCGAATGCTAATCAATCTCGGTGTGTCTGCAAACGCGATGGGTCAAGGTACCAAGGTGTACCCGGTGTTGCAGAATGATATGAGATGCAAGTCACCTGTTTCCCGCCGACCTGAAGGTACCCTGGGATGTAAGGCATTTTTGCGGCTTGTAAGCGCCTTTCCTTACCAACCGTCGGAATCCGCTGCTTTTGTTCTCGTTCTTGACTCTGTCTTGAAAATGGGGCTGGATGCCTCATACACAGATGAGTTGTGGCAGCCAGCAGCAACGTCTTTGACGGGCTTGTATGATATGGCACGGACGAACGACCAAAGATGGAAGGAGATGGTAACATCCCCGCACACGGGAAATCCCATTGTTGCAATGATTGCTAATTGGAGTGGTTCAAAGGTTCCAAGAATTGAGGCTGTCGCATCTTACATCTCAGATCATAGTCTGTTTCAGTTTCGAGTCCTTCGACTGTTACCAGCAAGATCTTATGCCGAAAGAACACTACGAAAGCGGATAGCATTGCAAATGTTTTTGCCTCGTCAGGCAGAAACAGAGAAAGTAATGGCTCGCCCTGTAAGTGCATGCTTATCACACATCAAGACATCGCGGCCATTTCACCCCTTGAACAGCGAAACAGACTATATCGAACTTGGTCTTCAGCTTCAGGTTCTGGATATCGCTATCGAATCTCCGGAGGAGCCTGAAGTTCCAGCTGCGAGACTCCTTGCCGAACATCTGAAACTCATGCATGGCCGAATCGTCGATTCAAGAGCTGCTTTCATCTCCCGTTCCGAGGCAAAGGACGTGTTGCAAAGGATATTTCTGCGGCTGACATACATGGTTGGTAAGCCAAACCGCGGTGTCACACAGGCAACTCTGGATGTAGGATGGACGGTGTAAATCATCGACAGCTACATTTGCTAAGTTACACGATCTCGACAGGAGGTTCTGTGAATTACTGATTTTTGAATAAACGGAGCTTTCATAATATGAAATATGTTGTAGATGCCTATTGAATGCTTCGATTTCCTGAATATAGAGCTACTCAAACCCCTCCGGAACCCCCCCCGCGACCCTCCCGCCTCCAGTAAACGCCCCAATCCCCTTGCACCACCCTCCCCTCCCCTCCTTCACCGCCTGCAACACCCTATACGCCGCAACGTCCCGATAAGGCACCCCCGTACTCGGATCGACATACCGTGCGTCAAGACCCGTGATTGGACACATCTTTTTCGTGGGATATGGTGGGGGTGAGGTGGAGGACTTGGAAAGGAGGATGGAGGCTGCGTCGGGGTTTGAGTCGGGGAAGTCGAGGAGTTGGATTAAGGTTCGTGTTGAATCGTGTCTTTCCTCTCTCTTCTTCTTCGCTCGTTCCGCTTCTTCGTCAATCGCCGGTGGTGGAGGCGTAACCGCAACCTTAGGCGGTCCTTGCACCTGTCCGGGGGCAGCGGCGGCTTGTTGTGGTGGTGGGTAGTGGTACGGGTAGTGATATGGATATGCGTAGGAGTAGTAATGAACGTAGTATGCGTGATGTTGTCGGGGATCAACGCCGGGGGGACATGGTGGAATTGGTGGCCAACCGGAGTATTGCATGGGCGGAGCTCCGGGTGTGCCTGGTGGTGCCCACATTGCTTGTGGTGGGTGAGCAGGATGTGGTGCTGCTGGGGCGGGGGTTGGGGTGGTTGTTGGTGGTTGCACTTGTGGTGCTGGGGTGCCACCAGGTGTGGGTGTTGCTACCGCAGGTGTTGCTGGTGCCGGCGTCGCAGGTGGTGGCATCTGAGATTGTAGTGTTGGAACAGTGGGTACCTGAGGTACCAAAGTCGGGGTCGGGGGAGGAGGTATTGTAGCTTGCACACCTGGTTGCTGTGGTGCTTGCGCTGTTGGAGTGGCCGGTGCTGGAGGTGCCGGAGTGGTTGTTGCGTTTGACGGTGCAGCAGGCGTTGCTGTTACCGTTGGTGGAGACATCTGCACAGCTGTCGGATCCGCTGGCGCAACAGAAGCTGCTGGAACAGCCACCTCGGTCGCAGTTTCTTTCGATTGTGAAGGAGCTGCTTCTTCCGTGATCTTCTCTGCAACTAATGGTGCATCAAGCATCTCGGAATCCGGTGGTGCCGCGTCCTCAGTCGCATCCGGGTCCGTAACCTTCTCGGTGTCTTTGGACTTCTGTGCCTTCGCATCCCCTAACAGCTCCTCGTTCTCCTTCTCCTTCTCTTCCTCCTTCTTCTTCTCACTCGTGACAGCCTTCACCAACCTCCCAAACCCATCAACCCTGACTCCTCCCCTCCAAACCCTCACAAAAGCCCCGAGTACCCTCTTCTGCCCCCTCCCCATCTCCTCCCTCTTCCGCCTCCTCTCCTCCTCAATCCTCAACCACTCCCCCAAGCTCGCACGGTTCTTCTCTTCCGTTATTGCGGCCTCGGCGAGGCGCTCGGATTGAGTTAGTTCGGGGGTTGGAGAACGACGGGATTGAATGGGAAGGCGGGCGCGGCGGGCTTGGAGGGCAAGCAGTTTGGCGGAAACGGCAGTGCTAACTGCGGCGGTTGTTGTGCGGGCTGAGCGACGAGAGCCGGAGGTTAACAGAGTTGGTCGGCGGGTTGTGGTTGTGGTGATCTTGGTGGTTGTTTCCGAGGCTGCGGCGGCTTGTTCGGCTTTCGTGGGACGTCCTGGTCGTCGCTTGACTGGTTCTGCTTTCTTCTTGGGTTTGATAAACGCCTCTGTCGCCTTTCTCTTCCCGGCGCGTCTCTGTTGCTTCTCCTCCTCGATCAAAGCTTTCTCCACCGCTTCCTCGTCCTCTACCTCTTCTTCGTCGTCATCGTCGAAATCTGATTCGACGACATCTTCTTGGACGTCCATGTCGGATGCGAATTCGACATCGTTTGCGTCTTCGCCGAAGAGGAGGGATTCGTCGAGGACTTCGCCGTCGGGGGTGACGAGGGACGGGAGGTGGGATACGTCTTCCGCATCGAGGAGGGTTCGGAGACGGTTTCCGGCGTTGGAACGGCGTTCACGACCTGCGACTAGAGACTCTGGAAGGTCAATCTCTGGTGAGGAGGATCGCGAAGAGTCCGACATGGTTGTATCGTAGTAGTTCGTCAATGACGCGTCGTACGCGAGTCGCGAGTGTCGCAAGCAGATATCCTTGTATAATCCGTCCTTCTGACCTCAATGCTGTACTGTACCGCCCGTAACTCAAGCTCTTTCAATGGTCGTCGTGTTTTTGTCGTTGACGTTTCTATTTTTAGATTTCCCTCAGGGTACAGTTCTCCGGGGCCTTCTCTGCACAAGCCGGACTTAGCGTTGCCGGCTGACATCACGCCCAGTCGCTGTGCTTACGGAGCTGCAGAAGCTCAACCTCGACGAAAAACGTCGACCATCAACCAACAACCCGACAACGGAACATCTCGATTGATCTTTATAGGGAAACTGTACGTCGTTCTTTGTGATATCAGGAGTGTTCTTGGCTGATCTGTGTGACCATAGTAGCTCATCTTCTCAGAACCTCCGCTCACTTCGAATCCTTCGACGCAATTGTGCTTGGATTGTGACTGAATTCCTCGGCCATATCTGAATTCTTTGCGTCTAGTCTATAGCTACGTGAAGCTTCGAGTTGGCTCTGGACAGACTCCATCATCGTTTCCCTTACGAGCACTTTAATCGACACCAGACTTACTACAGTTATCAATTTACAACGAAACGATCTTGAATTAAACCACACGATACACCTTAACCATAATGAATTCGGCCGAGCAAAACGGCTCACAACGTCTAAGCCCAGGCTATGATGCTCGAATGTACTCCAAACGGTTCGTCTTGTCCGTCCACATCTCGCCAAGAACTGTAATAACTAACATCATGCACAGTGCACGAGAAATTCAGCAAGAAGAAGGAATCGGAATTCAACCACCATCTTTCCTTCTCCCTTCACTCTCCATAAACTCTTCTACCTCTACTCCAGACCCTACCACCCACACCACAGCCTCCGGAGCCTCAACTCCTACTGTTTCCTTCTCCGATCAGACCTCGACCTCACAGTCGCCGGGTACCACTTATCGTCGTGCACGAGCAGGCACGATGCCATCCCGCTTCTCCCCTTCCCTCATCCCCGGCTTTGACGAAGAAGACCTCAACTCTCTCCGCGGCTCACCCTCGCAGACTCCACTCCGCGAACGCAACATGTCAGTCGAGACACCCTCCTCCTCGCGTCGTGCGGCGTACTTACAGGAGCCCGGGCACATGTCCTCCCCATCCTCTTCGTCCTCGAGGAACAGGAGTGGGAGTTTGACCTTACCGCAAAGACTAACCGCATTCCCGTCGGGTATCTTCTCGAGTTCGTGGGCGAGGGCGGGGGTTCCGGCGAGCCCTGCTCAGAGCGCGTTCTCACGTGATGGAGAGGCTGAGCAGACCCCTGTCAAGACGCTTGATTATTTAGGATTGGCGGATACGCCTACGCCGCCCCGGTACAACCCTCGTGCTGCGGCTGGTGTTGGTGCCGCGTCCGGGTTGACGAATGCTGAAGAGCGATTGTTGAGTGATTTGAACACCTTGAGACGCGACGCGAGTCGTATTCGTTCTTATTCTGTTAACGCGACTGAGAAATACCAGGAAGGTGATGATGAGGAGGAGGGTGTTGGTGCGAGTGCGGCTGGGTATGTGCAGTATCTCCACCCTGACTCTGCACTTGAATCTTCTGCTATCGGAAGCCCGGGACGTCCCAGGGCCAGGACAGCGGGGATCTTGGATAGTCCCCCTGCAGGGTTGATGAGGAAGTATGGACACCATTCCCACAGCCCTTCGCGCTTAGACAACTCTGTCACTGCTGCGGAGTTGGGCATGGGCGGTGATGAGTTCGGGATGGGTGGGGAGGGTGAGACGCCCACTCGTGCGATCTGGATCGGGAATGTACCGAGTACTGTTACGAGTGCGCAGCTTCTGGGTATGTTTGGACAATTCGGTGCGATTGAGAGTGCACGCGTGCTTACCCACAAGAGCTGCGGATTCGTTAACTTTGAGAATGTCGAAAGTGCACTTTCTGCGCGGAACGCACTCAGCGGAAAGGAGATCTTTGCCGGTGCGGGCGGTGTGAGGATCGGGTTCGCTAAGGTCCCTGTTCCCTCTTCGAATGCGAGTGCTGGGATCAGTGGTGCCAATACGCCTGAGTCTGCGGGTCCGTATACTACTACGACGTATATTACCGAGACGACGCCTGTTGTCGGCAATGCTGCTGAGTCTCTTGCGGCTGAGGCGGCGAGGTTGAGTAGGCCTGCAAGCCAGGAGCCTCAGATGCCGGGGTTGACGGAGATTGAAGATGATATCATTGGGATTGTTCGGGAGTATGGGGCGGGTGAGGATGAGGTTGATGAGTGTGTCGCCATGATTAGGGGCGCGTTGGATAGGCAGGGTATGTATGAGACTGACATCCCTTCTCTTCTTGAACCGAGTGGGGCTCGTATCCATGATGCGCCCAAGTTGAGGGAGATTAGGAAAAGGATCGATAATGGCACTTGTTCGCAGGAGGAGGTCGAGGGGATTGCGCTTGGTATGTTGGGTGAGGTTGCGGAGTTGGCGAGTGATTATCTCGGAAACACTGTTGTGCAGAAGTTGTTTGAGTATTGTTCGGAGGAGACGAAGGCGCTCATGCTACGGGAGGTCTCCCCTCGTTTGGCGGAGATCGGTGTCCATAAGAATGGAACGTGGGCCGCACAGAAGATCATTGATGTGGCCAACACTGAGGAGCAAGTCGCCCTTATTGTGGAGAATTTGCGTCCGTTTACGAACCTGTTGTTTTTGGATCAGTTTGGGAATTACGTGATTCAGTGTTGTTTGAGATTTGGACGGCCTTGGAATGATTTCATTTTCGAGACGATGGTGGAGCAGGTTTGGGAAATTGCGCAAGGCCGTTTCGGAGCGCGTGCTATGCGTGCTTGTTTGGAGAGTCATCATGCTACCAAGGAGCAACAACGCCTGTTGGCGGCTGTGATCACGTTGCGCGCTGTCCCGCTTGCGACGAATGCTAATGGTGCGCTGTTGTTGACGTGGTTGTTGGATACGTGTACATTCCCCAACCGACACGGGATTGTCGCGCCGAGATTGACACCCCATTTGACGCACCTTTGTACCCACAAGCTTGCGAGTTTGACGGTGTTAAAGGTTATTAATCAGCGTCAAGAACCTGAGGCAAGGGATGCGATCTTGCAGGCTTTGTTCATGAGTGCGAATGAGAGGCCGCTGGAAGAAATTCTTGGTGATCAGGTACATGGCGCGACCGTCATTTTCAAGATCTTGACGAGTCCATATATGGACGGCGAACAGCGGAATCATGCACTGGACCGTGTAAGGGCCGTGTTGATGAGGTTGAATGTGCATCCTGCTCATGGATATAAGCGTCTCATGGATGAAGTTGGGTTGAGTACCCGGACCCAAGCGAGTCCCCCGAAGAACCATCACCATACCATCCGGAACCACCATGTCGGACAGAGGCGGCACGATCCGTATTCGTCGGCTGCGGCGTACTATGCCAACATGCCACCTGCGCACCTCGAGGCTGTTCCGCCCCGTGCTGCGGTCCTGGACCCGGCGACGCTGCAGGCGTTGGAGCATCTTTCTCTTACGGGTGGATTGCCACCACAGGGATACGCGTCTGCTTCGCCACAAGCACAGGCGTTGCAATACCAGCAAGCGCTTATTCAGCAAGCACTTCAGCAGAGAGCCGCTGCGGCTGCCGCTGCGTATGGTGCGTATGGAGGTGGTGCGCCTCCTCCGCCCCCGCCTGGTTATGGTGGGTATGATGGATATGGACAGCCTGTTGCTCCTGGGTACATCAACCCACTTGTTGCGCAGCAATTGATGGGTGCTGGTACTGGAGTCGGTGGATACCCCTACGCTGGACAGCCTCAGCAACAGCCGGGGATGTACCCGCCATACCAGCAGGGTGGTGGTGCCGGACGGGGACGCAGGCAATACTAAAGTGTTTGCTGGGTATATAGAAGACGAGGTTGGTACGATAGTGTATGATTTCTGTTTGGATTTATTTTGTTTATCTGGAGCATCTCCGCCAAAAATGCTATGAGCTATGAGCCGTTTGTTTTGGGTTACGATAGGTATATTTCACCAGGTATATTATTTCACCCAGTTTCTGCACGTGCCCTCACTAATGCCGTACACCGACCGTGCGGCGCACGTAGCAAACACAACACCAAGAATCAGAAAGTCCAGGTTCACGACCAATTATCATGACCCAATGCCTCAATCCATAGCCTGCCAAAGCTTAGGCGAGCACACCCCCTCGACCTGGGAGCACGGTCTACGCAACGGTATCTTCACCTCCCGCGACAACGGCATAACACCGCGGTGGATCACGCTGCCCACAACCGAGGTAGACGAGGAATTGTTCATCAGCCCGACGACTGTGGTATGGTCAGTCCACGGCGAAATCAAGAGATTTTGGACGTATGAGGAAGAGGGCGAGGATGTTATCGATGCCTGCTTTGCCTGGTTTCCGTCGATTGAGGAGGAGGAGGCGCCGGTGTTCGAACCTTACTCTAAATGGGGACAGGAGAAAAAGAAGGAGACGAAGTTAGAGAGAGCGCTTGTGGTGTTGTTGAAGAGTATCGGATTTATCTATCTCTTGGGGGAGGGGAGTGGGGGTGGGAGTGGGAGTACGCATATCATACATATCCCATTCGAGGTTAGGCGTGCGTTTGCGGCTCCGATCGGAATCCTCCTCGAACGCAAACTCGGCATACACGAACTCCAACCGCACCCGCAAAAACGCTCGATGCTATGGCCTGACGACACCGAAACCGGAACAGGGGGACGCCTCCCGAAATTCTTCACCCTCACCGGTCCGTTAAATGAGTTCGGCATCGCTAGCACTGCTATGACTGGACGTGGGGGTGAGTCTGAGTTTGGGTTGGAGCATGAGATGGTGTATGTTGATGCCAATATCGCACTCACGCAGAATCGGAGGGTGGGGACGGTTACGTTGTTTCGCGCGACCTGGCCTTCGTCTACAGTTCCCTCCGCGGCACGCCCTCCACCGACGACGACGGGGGGGCGAAACCGAACCGGCACCGCGACGCATTCGAGACGGAAATCGAGTATGGGCGGGGCTTCCTTCCTCGCCGGCGCCATAGAAAATGAACGCCGCCGACAAAGCTCATTCGCCCGAACCAGCGATAGTTTTACCGCCCTAGACCGCGGAATCGGCACCCAGATTGCCGAATTCGAGGCGAAGATGTTCGCGACAGGCTCCCTCGATACAGAAACTCTTCATCGTGAACTCGAACTCACTCCCATTGAAACCTTTCCTCTCTCCATCTCCGTCTCGGGTGAGGCGGAGGTATTTGTGATTCAGGCACGGGCTGATGTTAGGGTCGTTTGTGTACCGTCAAGCGAGGGGAAGGTGTTGTGTTTGGTGGTTAAGGTTGAGGAGGGGTTCGTGCCCTTCGTGGTTGATATGGAGATGGTTGAGGCGTGCTCTGCCGCGCCCGTGAGGAGTGAGGAGGGGGGTGGTGTTCAGAGGGTGTTGTTTGTGGGGATTGGTGGGGAAGTGAGGTTGTGGGCACCATACGCGCTCCCAATTCGGGTTCAGACGACCGAGTGCGTGGTGGGTGTCTCGCATCCTGCGGGCGACCGCGTCACGCTACACCGAGCTTCGGGCAAGACGGAGCGCGTACGCATCGAGATCGGGACGAAGAGTGATGCGGTGCGGGCTTGTTTGGGGGCTTTGGAGTGCGTGTTGGGAAGGGAAGTTTGTGAGAGTGTTTGCGGACGGTATATCTGCTTGAAAGGGGGGTTGGGGGAGTGGGAGGCGTTTGGGGTTGTTGTTTGTATGGTGTTTTTGGGTGGGGAGGAGAGGAGGGATATTCGTGTGGAAGAGGGTGAGAATGAGGTCAATATGGAGGTCGATGTGGGTGAGTGTGGGGTGAGGGCGTGGTATGAAGTAAATGGGCCGCTGAGACGGGATCGCTTGCTACGGCTTGCGGCGAGGGCGGAAGCGGAGTTGAGGGATGAGCCGGTGGAGGGGTGTAGTCATCTATTGAAGGAGGTCTTGCTCGCGCTACATCTCTTGGCGGAAGATTGGAAATTGGATATCATCTACGCGGACGAATCGGAACAGCTATTGACGCCGCTTCTGTTACAACTCGCGACTTGGCTTGGATGGGGGAGGTGGGTTGAGTATTATATGGATACTGTTGGTGAAGTTGAGGGGCTGGGGCTTGTTGTTGATGGGTATAGGTTGAGGAATACGTGTCTTGAGGAGGTTGGGGAGGTACCGAGCATTTATGGGTGGTGTGTTGGGGCTGTTGAGGGGATCGGTGGTGTGGGTGCGTATCCCAGTTTCGCGGATTTGGTACGGAGGGACCGTGATTCGAAGGCGATCGTGGCGGCGAGGAAGGTGTGCGAAAAGACCCAGCGTGTGGTGAAGCTTTACTCGATTTTGGGTAGTCTGGGGGGGACGTTCGAGGATGTTGTCAAGTGTCTCGTTGAGTATGGGATCACGAAAAGTGATTTATCACGGTTGCCGGTGGGGTTGAGTGTTCCCCTGCTCGAGGCAATCCTTCAATGCCAGGTTAATCCGCCGAAAGAGTGGGGTGCGGAGGCGTTGGAGTTGATTGGAAGGAAGGATTTGAAGAATTTGGTTAAGCCTGATTATACGGGTTTTGTGCATGCAGTCAAGGAGAAGGAGCCGGAGGTTAGGGATATCAAGACGATAGTTCAGAGTATCAACGAAGCTGAGTCGAAGGAGGAAGGGTTGGCTGAGGTTGATACGAATGCTGTTACGAGACTTTTGTTCCGCGAGGATAGGAGGTTGCAAGAGGTTACCAAGCTCCTACGGACATCGAAGCCGTTGATTGTGATTATGGATAACCCGCCTGAGATGAATGAGCACGACGTCATGCAAGCGCAACAAAACGCTGCACGGCAGATTGCGGTTAGGTCTTTGGCTGTACCGACTGGACGGGGGATGTATACGTTTAGTTCGAAGGTCCCTGTGTTGACGGAGAAGTTCCCGATACCGGCGTTTAATTGGTCGGTTAAGGTCAAGCCGGCGAATACGGCTGTTACGGTCGATAAGACGTTTTTGACGGAGGAGAGGTTGGTATGGGGTTTGTTCCATAATGGAGCCGCCGCCGCGTTGAGTATTTCGAGGGAGACGGAGGGGATTAACACGAGTTGGATTGTGTTTAATAAACCTACAGAGTTGACGGCGAAACATGCGGGATTTCTGTTGGGGTTGGGACTGAATGGGCATTTGAAGGATTTGGCGACGTGGCATGCGTTTAATTATTTGACTTCGAAGCATACGATGACGAGTATTGGCTTGTTGCTTGGGTTGGCGGTGAGTTATCTTGGGACGATGGATGCGACGGTTACCAGGTTGTTGAGCGTGCACGTTCTCGCTTTGCTGCCGGCAGGGAGTACGGAGTTAAATTTGAGTCCGCTCACGCAGACCGCTGGTCTAATGGGTATCGGGCTACTGTATCACGGCACTCAGCAGAGACGGATGACGGAGGTCATGCTCGCTGAGATTGGGAAGAGTGAAGCACATCATGGCTTAGCCAACTTCACACGCGATGAAGGGTATAGACTCGCTGCTGGGTTCGCATTGGGATTCATCAACCTGGGACAAGGACGCGACTTGAAGGGGTTGAAGGATCTGAGGATCGCGGATAAGCTGATTACGTACATGGCATCGCTTGACGATGGCGCGGGGTGTATTGGGTTTAGCACGCCTGGAGCGATTGTTGCCTTGGCGTTGATTTGGTTGAAGACGGGTGATGCGAATGTCGCGGGGAAGGTGAATGTACCTGATACCCAGTCCTTACTGGATTCGACGCGGCCGGACTTCTTGTTGTTGAGGGTTATGGCGAAGAATCTTATCCTTTGGGACTCGGTAAGGGGTTCGATGGAGTGGGTCGATGCGCAGTTGCCAGCTTGTCTGAGGGAACATGCTGGGTTGCGTCGGACGAGGGTATTGACGACGGATGATTTGTCGTTATATAGTATCATTGCCGGAGCATGCTTCAGCATCGGTCTCCGATACGCTGGATCAGGAAACGAGGAAGCACGGCATACCCTCATTTACTACCTTGACAGGTACATGCAATTGGCCTCTATGACTGCTGCGATGCACGATCAGAAGATCTGCCGGACCACGGTCCGAAATTTCCAGGATGTCATCGCTGTCAGTGCTGCGTGTGTCATGGCAGGCACTGGCGACCTCGACGTTATGCGGCGACTTCGGAGACTGCACAGTCGTGCTGGTGAGGATGTCGCGTATGGAAGCCATATGGCCGCGCACATGGGACTCGGGATCTTGTTCATGGGTGGAGGACGGTACAGTTTGTCCACCTCGAACTTGGCGATCGCGAGTTTGTCGGCGGCGTTATACCCAATATGGCCGAATGCTACGGATGATAATATGTGTCACTTGCAAGCATTGAGACATCTTTGGGTGTTGGCTGCTGATGCGAGGTGTCTAGTTCCGAGGGATGTGGATACGCGGCAGCCGACTGTGTTGCCTGTTATGATACCGGTGCAGAGGGAGGACGGGACGGTTGAAGTTGTGCAGAGGACTGCGCCGTGTTTGTTGCCTGAACTTAAGACTGTGCCGGAGGTATCGTCGGATAGTAACGAGTTCTGGCCCACGAGGCTGGATTTGAGGGATAATCCGGATCACCTGAAGAATTTCCAGAAGTCGCAGACAATCTTCGTGGCGAAGAAGCAAGATACTTCGGAGGCTAAAGCCAACCTCCACCCCGAAGAAGACGAAGTGGAGTCCTCCTGGATCTGGCAACAGTTCGAAGAAAAGCTGAAAGACTGCCCCTTCATCACGAAATCCGACATCCGTGAACTCGTCCTTAAGTCCGATTCATCAAAGCCCGGTTACGCTAAAGGTCTTCTTGAACGCTCCATGACATCTTTGAAACTAAATCTCGACCTCTCGGACCTGGATAAGATTACCACGAGCAGGTTGTGGAACGTGAGATTGGTGATTGCGATGGCACAGTCGATGGAGAGGAGGATGGTCAATCGGCAGGTCAGGGCGGAGAGCATGAAGTGTCTGCCGGATGAGTTTGTGGAGAGGTTACGGTTGCAAGTGTGGAGGATGGGGGAAAGATTGGAGGTGGAGATGGAAGTGGAAGTGGAGGAGCGAGAGTTGTAGACTCAAGGAGATGAGGAAGAGGACATGGACTGTTCATTGCATTGGGACTGGGAAATTTTGGAGTATCATCACAAATATCCATATGCATAATATTACAACGTTGACATATATCCGCACCACATGTACAGCCGTTACCGATGCCTCCCTACCATGCATTACGATGGGTTGAGCCTTCATTACAAGCAAGAGAACAATCTGCTGAACATGAACTTGACAGACGAGTGAACCTTGCTCGTTCGAACAAGGCACTTTCTACATTACATGGACATGCGCTCCCTCGGCCTCGGGGACATGTGAACGCAAGGCCGACCTCATGCCTACGTCGACGGCCCTTGCCCAGCTACTTCAAGAATATCTCGACCCAAACACCATACGTCCAAATGAAGCCTTAGTACGGCTTGTACCTGTCTTTCTTATCTTTCTTTTCTTTCTTCTTCTTGCCGTCCTGGTCCTTTCCTACCTCTGCCGTAGTGGGCTGCGCACTAATCTCTCCTCCTGCCTTCCAAGACTTTATTGTACCATCTTCTCCACCACTGACAACAACGGCGTTCGCCTCATCAATGATCAAGTCCCGTGCAACCTCGCCATCATGTCCACCCATCCGCCATCTCTCCCCAAACTTCCCAGTCGCAGAGTCAAACGACACAATATCCACCCATCCCTCCTCATGACTTCCTACCACAACCCTCCCCCGTACCGGATCAAAGTTCTGAACGTAATCACATCCCAACACTTGTCTCAAATCCCCAAACTCGATCGGCTTCACTTCCGCACTAACATCGTCAACATCTCTCTCCGCAGTTTCCAGACGGAGTGGGAAGATAGTGAAGGTCTCCATATGCGATAACGCAAAGAACGCATCCCCACTTGCCAAGAACCCCGCGCGATGAATCGATGCGTTATGATTCACGACCTGAAGCACGGCATCATCCTCATCCTCCACATTCAGGTCAAAGATGCTAACCAACCCATCACAAGAGCCACTCAACAACAGATGATCCTGGTTCGGGTAGAACGCCAGAACCGTAACATCGTCGTTATGTGATTCAGTATATGCCCGTACTGGTTTTCCGCCCTCGTTGGCATCCCAAATATACACCGGCGCATCAACCCCGACCAACTCAGTCCCAGCCGCAATCCGCCCCGTCCTCTTCTGTACCGCCAAACTCGTGAACCCTTGCGGTTTTCTCGCTCCTTCCGCTCTGTATTCCATCACGCACTTTGGTGGCGTACTCCTCACATCCCACATACGCACCACTCTGTCCTTCCCGGCAGTGACGAGGTGGTGCTCATCGTAGGCGCATACGGCGCTGATTGAGTCTGCGTGTGCTTGTGGGATAGAGGAGAGGGGCGAGAGGATTGGGAGGGAGAATGTGCGGAGGGAGTTGTCGGAGCCGGAGGCGATGAGGAGGGAGTGTGTTGGGAATGGCGTTAGGGAGAGTACGTAGGTCAGGGATGCTGGGTTAAAGGGGGTTGATTGGAGGGGTGATAGCGTCCCTGACATGTTGGATGCGTATATATTTGTTTGTGCGTTGAGCGGTGTTTGTGCTTGGAGAACTAGGTCAGCACCGGAACAATGACGGGAGGTATCAGGCAGCCTCCAGCAACAGGAAAACTCCAAACCTTTTTGGATCAAAGCAGTACTTCTGCCGTTGCCAAAGTTTGCTTCTTTGACGGAATGTGCTCTCAAAAGTTTGTGGCTGAGCAGTCTACGTTACCAGGGCCAACGCTGGGTTGCCGGAAGAGGTCGAGCCTGCCAGCGTTCACGTAATTTCGGCGTAAGGGGGAGCCGCGGCCTCTGCGTTATTTACGAGATACCGGTAGTTTTGCAGCTGTCGGCGGCGTCGTATCTGCCGTTCGCAAAGGAAGTTATGATGACGGCTGATCCTGCCTTCCTGGCGTGATCTGACGTACGATATATAGTTTCAAGCCCGAAGATCCGTGTCCATATCGATGTCATATCGATATCACGGGAAAACTGTTATCCGACGCAGCATACGGAGACGTGTGTAAACAAGGTTTGATTACGCCCAGCGTCCCGGCCTCGGCCGCCAAGAGAATACCTCAGTTATTATTGGCAAAGTAGCCTTTCTTCCTCCTTCCCAACACCCCCTCAACCCTATCCAATATATCACACTTAACCCCGGCTACAAGCAACCCAACATTCTCCCTCCACCACCACCGATTAAACCTCATCTGCTCCTCCCGTGTCTCATCCAAATAGCGTCGATAGAAGGCTGACATATCGTCATCGCCTACCTCCCTTGTCTCTCCATCCTCTGTCTTGTTCTTCTCGAATGTCTCCTTTTTGAAAGCTTCGAGGGCGAGGGTGTAGCGGATGTTATTTTGGGACCAGTGGGTGTGGATCCGGTCGTGTGCTGCTAAACGCCGACGGTGAAGGGAGAGGGAACGGGGGGAGGTGGGGTCGTAGGGGTAGAGGAGGGGACGGATGTTTGAGGTTGGGTCGGGGAGGGCGATGTAGGTTGTCGGTGAGCTCGAGGAGGAGAGGGATGTGTGATCTTGTTGTCGTGATCGTCGGAAGGAGACGTGTCGTACGCGTATTGATGGAGAAAGAGATTTAGAGGATAGGAGGGGATTTGAGATGGGGCAAAGGCCCGTGGTAGGCTGTGGTATTCTTCGAGGAAGCATGGTGATATGGTTTGGTATGTCGTTCGATAGGCAGAAGCTCGTCGATTTGATCTCACGTCCGTAACAGATTTTCAGCTGAAGCTCCCTTGAAGTTCTTATTCGAGCTGGAACCGTTTGTTTGAGTGATCCCTTACTTGAGCACGTCAACTCGGCCAATTTACCTCGGACCGATTGACTTAGCCTCAAGTGCGGAGATAAGCTGCAAAATCCAGAGTGAGCGCAGCGCGTATATGAACAACCAAACAACTCCCTCGACCATTTGGACGTTAGACGATAGAGAAGGAAGAGATCAGTGATGCCAAAACCAATACACGGACCCGTGATCCCAACCCGTGGGGTACGGAAAGTACAGGAACCAGACGAAGAGGGCTTCGATAGCTATTGGTACGTGTCCCTCCCCCACCCTATTGTCATGTGTGTACAGGGACTAATACTTATGAATAGCACGATCTGCGACCATCTCATCCCCCTCGCTTCCCTCTCCCAGCTCTACTGCTCCGAACGCTGCCGCAAAACCGACACAGCATCCCACCCCCTCTCCTCCACGAACCCCCACTCCCTCTCCTCCTCACCCACCACAAATTCATTCACACCGCACGAATGGCCGGAACCACCACCGAGTATTATTGTGCCGCCTGCGGTACCGACGCTGTTATCCGATCATCGCCCGAGTTTTAGTAGTCCGGCGTTGAGTGGCCGCATTCCACTCACGCCAGCCTCGGCACCCATGAGTCGGCAAAACTCCGCAAACGGCACATCCTCTGCACCCCTCACATTCACAACCACAACGAGCGCAACGACAGGTGGGTTACCGACGATTGGATCACTCGCCGCCCGACCACCGATGCTGATGCACACTAAAACCGCACCCGCGGCCCCACAGCTCAACTCGATCCAGTCGTACTCCTATTCCTCCTCGCCCGCTGCCGCAGCTGCGTTATCGAGTTCGATGGGTGGGATGCATCCGGCGTTGAGGCCGTTACCGCCCTTACATGCTATGAGTTCATCCCCGCGGAGTCTGGATCTCGTTGTCCCGCTCTCGAGTCCACGAAACTCGGGTACCGGCACCGCGACAGCTGGGGTAGGGAGTATTGGGACGGGATTCGGAGAAAAGGTTGGAGGAAGGTCTAGGAGTAATAGTACCCTGAACCCAAATCCGGCGCTTAACCCACCTGCAACTACGTCGGTGGGAACGAACGGTCCAGACACGGATCTCTATTTCGGAAAGATGTATCGTACTCCATCATCCTCATCCTCGCACTCTGCGGGAGGAGCGGGGTTGAAGAAGTTGTTTTACTTCAAGGAGGTACAGCGCGTTCCCAGCGAACTCACGTTGGCGAATGCGGGGAGGAGTGCGCCGGTTGGTGAGGGGGAGGGGGTGTTGAGTCCGGAGGGGGAGGTCATTGGGGTTGATGGGATGTTTGGGGAGATGGAGGAGGGGGAGAGGATGGAGTGGCCGCGGTGAGGGCGAGGGGGGAATAGACAGAGAAGACAAGATAAGAGAAGAGAGCATTGGTGGAGGATTGTAAGAGGATTGTAAGGTTTGTCGAGACTGGGATATACTGGCGGGAGTTCTTTGCTTTTGAGCGTCTCTTTTTATTCGATATGGTTAACATGCTGGGCATGTGCAACTTGCATTCATAGATATCGATACATGTATAGGATAAGGATATGGGTATCTTCATTCATACACATACTATCCTTGCACCTCCTTCCTCCTCCTCCCACTCATACGGGTATCAATAAGGTAACAGAAAAAGCCTCCCACGACTCCGGATCCCTTGTTCAAGAGAACTGAATCCCCCCATCAATCATAACACTCTGGCCAGTCATGTAATCACTATCCTCACTCGCCAAATAATGCACAAAATTAGCCACATCCTCCGGCTCGCTCGACCTCCCGAGCGCAATCAACTCGTTCGAGTATTTCTTGAAGACTTCGCCTGTATTACGCATGTTAGCCTCAATTACCATTCTCTCACTATCAAGGGGGGAGGGGGAACTGGGACTATTACTCACCTTTTTTGGTGCCTTGTTCTTTGGCGAGGACTTCGTCGATTTGGTCCCACATTGCGGTGCCGACGATGCCAGGGCAGTAGGCGTTGACGGTGATGCCGTGTTTGGCCCATTCCATGGCCTGCATCCCGAGTTTCCGTCAGCATGGGGGTGTCATGTTGGAATGAATGCCGAACACATACCGCTCCTTGAGTAAGACCGCGAACACCCCATTTCGTGGCGGAGTAGGGAGAGAGCATGGGGAAGGGACGGTATCCAACAATCGAGCAAGCTCCGATAATTTTGCCCCCCTTGCCTGTGCCAGTCTTGTGTAAGCTGCTCAAGAACGAAGACGACGGTGGGATGGCACACCTTGCTTAATCATCTGCTTCGCCGCCGCCTGATAACACAAAAACACCCCCTTACAATTCACACCAAAAATCCCATCCCACTCTTCCTCCGTGACATCCAACAACGGCTTGATCTGCGCAATTCCCGCGTTCGCGACCATGACATCGAGACTGCCCAGCTCCTTTGCGCATTGTTCGACCATCCTGGTGACTTCGTTACTCTTTGTCACGTCGGCGGGAATTGCAATACATTTGCGTCCAAGTTTTTCGATTTCGGAGCGGGTTGAGTCGAGGCCGGGTTGGTTTGCAGGGATGTCGTTGAGGCAGATGTCGAGTCCGTCGCGGGCGAGGCGGAGGGCGATTGCACGGCCGATACCGCGGGAGGATCCGGTGACGAGGGCGACGCGGGTCATTTTTTGTGTTGTTTGTGTTTGTGAAGAGGTTGTGCCTATGGATGGAGGAGAACTTTATACGGCGGAGGACTCAGGGAACAGAGCGGAGAAAGAGGGGAAATGCCAAATCACGAACGACAGCTGGACGGCCGCAGTCTGGTGACAACTCAGCAATTCAATTCCGGAAGGTCACCGGCGCGGGGTGCGCGTGAGAACGTGACCTAGCGTCATCAAGGTTCGGCTCAATCTTCTACCGAAGATTAAGCAACGTAAAATATTAATTCAGCTGGTCGAAGCTAGGGTAAGGTGTTCTCTGACGCCCTGTAACTTCACCTGTTTGACCAATGATGATCTCAATAGGTCATAGGAATACACTGGTCCAGTGGCCTCTGATTAAAGATATTCTTCCCGCCCTTCAAACTCCCCTCGATACTTTCCCTGGCATATGTTCTCATCTCCGCCTCATACTCCCTCACCGCCTCCCTGCCCACACCATTCCTCCTTATGCTCTCCGCCAGCACCATAGCATCCGTCAACGCCGTATTTGCACCAACCCCAGCAGCGGGTGACATACAATGTATCGCATCCCCCACAAAGGTAACAGGTGCTCCGAGATCAAAAGTTGGAATATCAGGTTTCATGGATGCGATGCGGAGTGGGGAAGACTGAGCGGGGTCTTGGTGTACGAGGAGGGCGCGGAGGGATGGGTGCCAGGCATTGGTCATTTGGAGGGTGACGCCTGTACATTCGGATGGGCTGAGCGCCAAGAATGTTCGGCCGTCCATTCCGAATAAGTGACCCTGGCCTCCGAAAACCCAATAATAGTAATCTTTCACCGGTGGTATATCGTTACCTGTGAACGCATTCCCTGGAAACCTGACTGATTCCGCGAAGAGTACCAGCGGATCACCCGATTCAGAGGATTGATCCGTGATGAGGACAATGCCCTGTCTCGCTTTCTCCGGTAGTTCGGCATCTAATTCGGGGGTGATAGGCGTCTTCCCATAGATACACCGCATCTTCGTATCCAACGGAACATGTTCTGGAAGATATTGTTTCCGTACCGCTGATCGCACTCCATCCGCGCCGACGATGAACGATCCCTCAACCGATGTCGTGCCGTCAGCGAAATACGCGATGATCTTCCCATTCGGTAGTGTTTCTGCCCTGAGAAACGTCTTCGCAAAATGTACGTTGAACGACAAGCCGGAGAGCAACACTTGCCGCAACGTGGCACGATCGACCGTATATGGCCCCATCGGCTGCTCCGCCTCCTTCCTCTCCCCACCCTCCGCAATCCTAACCCGCACCCTCTCCGGCGCCCTCCTCTCAACCTCCCCTCCCTCCCGCGCATTCCACGCACTCATACCCAACACCGTCTCCGCACAAGTCCCCTCAAACAACCTCCAGGTCTCCTCATCTACGACAGTGTGTAGGGCACGGGCTCCGTCCTGGTTAATTCGGATACGATACCCCTGCGATCGAGAAGAGGGGTTGGGATCGCGTTCGTAGATTGCAAAGGGGATGTTTTGGTTGCGGAGGCTATGGGCGAGGGCGAGGCCGCCGAGGCCTGCGCCGATGATGAGGATGGTCATTGTGATGTTTGATTTGAGGTCGCGTAGCAATTGCAGTTACGAAGGCTCGGATGTGTTTATCAGGGAACGTTTACAGATGGTTGACCGGTCATGGTGGGAGCTCAATCGATGATCGTTGTTGGGGTCGCGCCGGCAGTCGGACCTCGGTCATTGGGAAACACCGAACTACCGTTAATGGCCGGCTGCCGAGCTGTCATGCTGTCATACATTCAGAGAATATTTTGGGGAAGCCTTCAGTATTGTACATCACTAAAGAAATGTTATATGCTATTGTGCTCGCCCTTAAAAAGCTCTTGGAGAGTAACGAACGGCCTTTGCTATAAAGAAATATAGTTTATTCTTACCATTAAAGCCAATTTGCAAATACCTAAGAAAACGACATGCCCAAGAACAAACCGCAAAAAGCAAAGCAAAACAAGAACAGAACACAAAAGCACGCAATATCATATCGTCCGCTTCTTCATGCCCACATACCATGATCATAACTTCTTTTCCTTCTCTCCCACCACGTCCAGGCCTTTCGTTGACGTCGCCTAGAAATCCACAAATAAATGCCCATAAGGATCCGCCCCCCTCTGTCCATATTCAACACTATAATCCTCCTCCGGATACCGATCAAACAAACTCGCATCCCCACCCTCCTTCTTTACCGGCGGCACATACGGCGCCTCAATCTCCCTCCTCGCAAGCCTCTCCCAATTCACCTCCCCAAACCACGAATGCTGCATAACATCCCCACTCCCACTCCTCAAATTACCAAAACGCTTGGTCAAGTCAGATGTGAGGAGTTTAGAGAGGAGGTCCTTGGCGGAGGGGTTGAAGTAGGCCGGGTATCGGACTTTGCCTTCGAGGATATTTTCGTAGAGTTTCATGGGGACTTGGTCGTAGAAGGGTGGGTACCCGGCCAACATCTCGAAGGTCAAGATACCGAGAGACCACCAATCCACGCTCTTGTTGTACCCCTTCGACGCAACCACCTCCGGCGCAAGATAATCAGGCGTACCACAAAGCGTCCATGTGATGTCGCGGACCTCCTTCGCGAAGCCGAAATCGGTGATCTTGATGTGGCCTTGCCTGTCGAGCAAGAGGTTCTCAGGCTTGAGATCCCGATAAATAATGTTGAGCGAATGCAAATAATCCAACGCCAACGCAACCTCCGCCGCATAAAACTTCGCAACCGGATCCGGAAACCTCTGACTCTTCCTCAATAACGAGAACAACTCCCCACCCTCAATGAAATCCATAACCATGTACAAATTCCTCGAGTCCTGGAACGTTCCCCACAACGTGATGAGAAACGGATGTTTGACGCGTTGGAGCATGGAGCGCTCATCGTTGGTGTGTTCGACTTGTTTCATTTTCACGACTTGTTGTTTTTTGAGCACTTTGATTGCGTAGAAGCGTTTGTTGTGGCGGGATTGGACGAGGTGGACGCGGCCGAAAGAGCCGGTGCCGAGGGTGCGCTGGATGGAGAAGTCGTTGAGAGTGTATTTGCCTTTTGTCGAGCGGACCTGCTGAGCAGCAGCAGCTTGCGGGACGACTTGTTGCTGCTGCTGGGTAGCGGCTTGCTGTGGGACGACGGCCGCCTGCCGAACTGGCTGAGCCGTTTGCTGAGCCGGCACACCACTAACCAACCCCCCCAAATTCGCCTGTCCAAACTGCTGCACGAGACTATTCCCATGCAACTGCTCCAACCGTTCTTGGGTCTGCACCACCTGTCCCACACCGTCGGACACAGGGAGCGGGATGGGTGAGGGTGAGCGCATTTCTACGTCTGCGATAGATTGACGGGGCGCTTCGACGGGTTTGTAGGCCTGTTGTTGTTGTTGCTGAATCTGGGGTTGGGGGACAGAAACGGGCTTTTGTTGTTGTTGAGGAATACCGTACCCCAAAGGCTGCTGTTGCTGCTGCTGAATAACTTGAGGAGCGGGAGGATAGACTTGCTGCGTATGTTTCTGTGCTTGCGCGAGTCGCATTTGCTGATCCACCGTCTGTTGCTGAACCTGCTGAACCGGAACCGGAACCGGGACCTGTTGCTGAGCGACGACGGGTGCCGGAACGTGATGTTGCTGTTGGGAGGTAGGCGTAGATCGCTGAGATGGGAGGGAGGACTGCGTACTCGCACTCGCCGTCGTCGGAGTCTGCGTTAACCCGTGGCCCTGTACTGCAGCCGCTCTCGACGCGTTACCGTTGTTGTTCGTATTGATCGTAGACACTGGACGCTGCTTCGTATTCGTCGTCGTAGTGTTCGTATTCGCTAAAGCGGCAGCTTTCTCAGCTTCCTTCTTCTCCTTGTCTTTCTTGCTGCGGGGCCAGAGTCCCATAGCTATAGAGAGGTAAGAAGTAGTAGTGGTCGGGGATTTCCGCTGGGCTGAAGGGGAGGCTACGTATTAGCTAAGATTTCGCACAGTAGTTTGGGGCCTGTGCTCGTGCTTGTTCGAGGTTGGGGTGTGCCTCGGTGATGCGTACACCGATCTTCGGCAGGCAGCGGGCGGAGACTAAGACGAGAAGGAGGCTGGGGGTGCCGTATGTACGTGTCGGTATGAAGGAGATTTTTTCGCAAGGGGATCAGCCGGGCGAAAATGTCTTCCACGGAGGTTTGTGGGTTTGCAGGATTCGCGTTGACGTCGCGGTACGTTAGTCCGTTTGCCGAGTCTCGGGGTTTTTTCTGCGCTTTGGCCCGGTGTGAGTGGAGTTCGAAGACGAGTGATTGATCTGATCGTTGATGATGAAGATCCGAGTCGTTAGGCAGTCGAACAGTCGAAATTGAAGCCGTTGAAGGTATAGAATTGCTCTTCCTATACGTCTGACGAGGAGGTTGGGTTCGTCGGTTGTGAGATGGAGCCTGGCCCATCCCGCGGATCGTTGCCGTTTCCGGAGTGTAGGCGCGCGATACTTGTCCAGCCTCGCCCGACGACTTGAGAGAGGGAGTACTGCGATTTGGGGCAGAAAGAGATAGGGATATGATAATGGTTATGCTTGTTCTATCGTTTGCTATGGGACTGTCCTTGGGGGGGTGTCATCGTTGTCGCGCGCTCGAGCTTCCGGCCGCTCACACGCACCGGTGCGTCTCGTCCCAGCTGTCCCAACTGAACTATCGCTTTATGTCAAATGCCCGTCTGTAACAGACACATACTCGACTTTCCTTCATCTTTGCATCTTTTGAAAGGATCATTTGAAGTTCACGTGACTCAAAACCTTAACACGCCCGGATCTCAGCATCCTATCAACAAGCTCGAGCTTGAGCTTCGGTTAATCGCCGAGGCGCGGACAGGCGGTGCACACACAGCCCAGTCAATCGTAACCGACACGATGAGCTCCTCAGTGGGGTAACAGTCTTTGATCTGTTTGTACGAATTCGTGATTTTGATTGAAGGAGGGGATGAATTGCGATCAACGGATCAGAATGACGAGGGATCATTCAATTGAGGTTCTGCCAGTTGCGGATACAATGACCCCGTCGGGAGCTGGACCGGCAGTTACTATGGGTGATCAGGATCAGGACGCCGTGAAGGACACAAAGACGACGGAGATCACGGAAATGGAGAGAGACTTCTCGACACCTCTCGAAACACAGCCTCTTGAAGCCGACGCTTCACTGGGAACCCCCGCGACCACCGAACGCACCCACCGCTTCCCCCCCCTCCACGCCCGTCTCCAACGTTACAACCAGACATGGGATCACAGGGTACTCGCCCCAATCGACCGTTTCCTCTCCAAAATCCCCGGTCTGCGCGCCCTTCCGCCTTCGGTGATGCACATCACAATCCTCCTAGTTCTGGTGAACATCGTCGCCTGGGTCATCGCCCTCCTCCTCCTCCGCTCCCATCCTACTCTTCTGGGACCAGCTACGTTGGCCTACACCTTCGGTCTCCGACACGCTTTCGACGCGGATCACATCACCGCCATCGACAACGCAACCCGCAAACTCGTATCTCTTGGACACAAATCCCCAACGACGGTCGGGACCTTCTTCAGTCTGGGACACTCGAGCGTGGTAGTCGTTACGTGTATAGTCGTATCCGCTACCTCCGCCGCATTAGCCGAGAAATGGGGCGACTGGCAAAACGTTGGTGGAATCATCGGCGTGAGTGTTTCGTGCGCCTTCCTCTTCCTCATGGCCGCCGGTAACGCAGTCGTTCTCGTCGCCCTCATCCGCGACCTCCGACGTCTCCGTGCTGGGAGATCAGACAAGAAAGCCCGTATATTCGGTGGCGGACTCCTAACCCGGATCTTTGGACGATTGTTCCGCCTCATCGATCGCCCGTGGAAGATGTACCCTCTCGGCATCCTCTTCGGTCTCGGCTTCGATACTTCGACAGAGATAGCACTCCTCGGAATTGCGTCGATTCAGGCTGCAAAGGGGACGAGTTTATGGTTGTTGCTCGTGTTTCCGATGTTGTTTACGGCGGGGATGTGTCTTATCGACACCGTCGACGGCGCAATGATGTTCGCAGCCTATACTTCACCACACGTCGCGGCTAACCCCATCGCACGGACCTGGTATTCGCTGGTATTGACTGCGATGTCCGTCGCTATCGCCGTTGTGATCGGGGTAATCCAACTCCTCTCACTCATCCTCAATGTCGCGAAACCTGAGGGTCAATTCTGGGATGGCGTGGAGAGGGCGGGAGAATACTACGACGTCATCGGTGGAGCCATCGTTGGAGGATTTGTGCTCGTTGTGGTGGGGAGTATTGTTGTTTGGAAGGTTTGGGGGGAGAAGATTGAGGGGGAGGCGGGGAGGGCTCGGCGGACTATTGAAGGGGAGGGGGCGGACGGAGGTGTGGTGGAGATGGGAGAAGTGGAGAATCAATCTCAGGATGAAGATGAGCGCAAGCCGAAGACAAAGAAGGAGAAGGAGATTACGAGGGAGGTTATTGAGGCGCAGGTGTAAGATATCCCTTTGCAGAATCTACATAATATTGGCATACCACCATTCCTCACAACGCTGCTTGCTGCAAGTGATCCAAGTCCACCAGGCAGAAGCGTGAACGGCAGTATCGTTCTTCTATATTTAGCTATTCACGGCATATACTGCCAAGGCCCCAGCTCGTTTACCTCAGCACACGATGACGTACACACGGGTTCCTACACCTGCCAAGCTGCGCACGCGATGTACGTATCCGTCCTTCTCGTTCATACACAGCCCCTCTCATATTTTTCACTCACATTGAAAAGGCCAAGTAGATGTAAACAGAGCCTGGGAAGACAGAAATATGTCTTCAGCAAATCATCATGACTTGTACGGCCCGGAGCACTTCGAGAATGATGCGACGGGTACGGAGGCGTTGGGTTATGCTGTATGTATATATCCTCGATCGTTCCTCGGAATTTTATGCAGACTTTGGGCAAGTGTAGCTAACAAAAGGGAGTTATAGGTCGCCGTCTCCACATCCACAGTTAACGACTCCAGCCCGCCAGCTAGCACGTCCATCAGCACCAGCTCCAGTACCAGCTCCACCTCAGCCCGCGATCCCTCACCCCCACCTCTAAACACCGCCCCCGCAGACCAACCCATACGTCGCAAAAGCATTCACACAAAACTAGAAAATGCAGTCGGGAAGATACAGCTGAAGGTTGGACGAGCAGTGCACAACAGACATTTGGAGAGTGGTGGGGAGGCAAAGATTGAGAAGGCGGGATTGGAGGCAGAGGTTAGGGGGTTTGAGAGGTAGATAGACACTACTGCACCTACACAAGAAGAAGAAGCGAGTGACCATACACTGGGAGTTGGAACGGTATGAGAGATACAAGCATGGTTCGAACCAAGACTTCCCAAAGTTCATGAATTCACGTCGATCTCGCATCGAATTTCCTGGGATGCACATCTCCTCTCATCTCCTCGCGCGTCCCGTCCCGCGCGCATCCCCACGGCACGTGAACGGGTTGAGTTTGACCGCCAACACTTCTCGCTCACGTCACACCTTGATCTCTTGGCTTCTCCCCCAGCACTATACTTACCTCCTTGCTCCTTTTGTTCAACTTGCGAAGACGGTTGCTTGGGTTTCTGTTTTGCTTCGCTTTTGCGGGTTTGTTTTGGGCATGTCGTTCTCTCAGGTATCCGCAATGGTAAGAATAAAGTTCGTAATGCAGATGCTCTTTCACTACCTCGCCTAAGCGTCCACAGTCCCTTTCTATGGTATATCCTACTCATACATTTCCATGCCCCACTCTTTCCCCCCATCTTACTCCTCCACTTTAGCGTCCGTCCTCACCGCCTTAGACACCATGCCCAAAAACTCCTCCCTATAAGCTCCCGGCTCCTCCGTCATCGTATACCTCCACTTCTTCCCCTCACACCGCCCCCACTCCTGAATCTTCTTGTTAAGTGGGTGTGCGATGTTTTCCATGAGTTGTGGGAACCAGGTGTGTTTTGAGATCATGTAGTCGATGATTGCGAGGTGGTAGATGTATTTGTTGTCAGGGGAGATCAGGGTTGGACGACCACGCTCGTTGTCTTTTTCTTCGGAGGAGGAGGGGGAGTAGGTCGGGGGGAGGGGGGAGCGGGTTAGGAGGAGGGAGTAGTCCACGATGCCGAGGTCTGCCAAGAACTGGGTATCGCGCTCCAATGTCTCTTTGACCCATTTCCAGTCTTCTTCCTTCAACCACACCGTACCATCCTCGATCCCCTCCTCCTCCTCCTCCTTCTCTTCGTCACTCCCAAGCCCAATCGTGTCTTTCTCAGGATGCATGTACCCCCCCGGCTTCAAATCCCAATCCCTCACCTCCTCGACATCCTCACTCAACGCCCGCGCACGCGAGATGAGATCTTCCATGACCATGTAGTTTCCACTACTCAATCCACCGAGATGACCGAGGTAGACTTCGAAGTTGTAGAGGGTGTCGGAACAGCGGATCAGGAGGGAGGAAGGGTGGGATTGAGCGTAGGGGATGTAGGCGGGGAGGAAGGTCGCGAAGAAGAACCTCGTCTCAAACTCGCGGGTGAGGCTCTTCAAAATCCAGTGTGTGTCGTCCATCTTACCCTCGCGCCTCCGACGTTCGGGGTCTTTGTGCGAGGCGGGGGGTCCGGCAAAGAGGAACTCCCCGCCTCCGCCTTTACCGTTCGGTCCCTGTCGGATTGCGGAGGGCTCGAAACAGGCTTTGTATAATTCCTCGTCAATGCCCCATGCCTCACGTACTTCGCGGAAGAGAGCGGGCGCGTTGAGGGTGAGTGGAGGCGCATAGAGTCTGAGCCACTCGAGTGGGTTGAGGGAGATCTGGCGGTATGTCGCCGGTTGTACCAATTCCTTCCCATCATCGCTGGGTTGGGAGAGGGCTGCGGAGAGGGACTTGATCGTCTGTTGAAGCTTGTAGGCGTTGGAGGAGAGGGGGGTGTAGTGAATGAAGGCGGCCAACGCGGCAGCTGAGATGGCTGTTGTCGTGAGGGATGGTGATACCGAGGGAGTTTCGAGCATATTGTGTTGGTGAGGGAATTGCGATTATGGAGAAGAAGAGAGAGGTTTTATTGACGATTCTACGTCGAGCACAGCCTCACTTCCTTACGGCTACGTTTCTGAGCGCAGTCACATCACTGTGCAGATCTTGAGTCCGAGGAAGCGCTTGGGCGTGCGCGCTGACGTTTAGGCGAGATGAGGTCAGATGGGGGCGAGCGCGTTAGCGAGGAATAAGGTTGCGCAGGCGAGTTGGTACCCTACGAGACCCCCAAATTTGAAAGACGAAAGACGAAGGACGAAGGACCAGGGTCGCCGCAGCTGTTCGTCAAACCACCCAATGGATCGCATGGGCCGTCCTGCACATTGCGCAACCTTCCTTTGTTCTTCGGCGCATTACAAGGACACTCCGAGCCAAGGAACCCGCACGGTTACAGAAAGAAGTAAGCAAAGAAAAACAGTTTGGAAATGACGCACGTGTGGGAGGAGAAAAAGACGGTTGATCAGACATGGGACGCGGATCACACAGTACGCGTCGTCGCAAGCGGCCGCGGGATCGAGCGTGCACACCGGTATCCTCGAACTCCGCAACAACCAGTAGTGACAGTAGAAGTGAATCTAGATTAACATTCTCTGTCCACAACTCCGCATCAAATATATAGCTCTGCAATCTCCGCGACATGGGTCCCCCCAGTCTTCGCACACCACTCGTGCGCGCTCCGCAGACAAACAAACCCCCCCAATGACACGCCCACCGCTGCAGCACACAAACAATTTACCAAGTACGTTGCGACACCCTCTACCCTTGTCGACGTCCACAATGGGGAGAATGATGAGAGTTTGACACTTTCTTGGGGTATATGAGCGAGTGAGTCGTCTTGACGGGAGTGGGATGGGTAACAAGAACGACGAGAATAGTAAAAGGATTGATACCGATACGATGCCCAAAACTGCTGTTGCTAGAGAAATGAGTATTGAGAGGCATTCGTCTATGTCGCCGATTACTGGGAACCCTTGGAGACTCGCTGCACCGCCGACGTCCTCCTCTTCGCCACGACCATCGATAAGACGTACGGGGTCTACACCGACATCACGACCCCAATCATCCAGCTCGCAGGCAGCACAGACAGCTGGGTCTGCTGCGAGGCCGATTACCTACAAGTTCATCACAGCACCGACACAACCACCACCAACACCTCCCTCCTCCGCCACCTCCCTAACAGGCTTCGATCTACCCTCCCATGGCCACTCCACATCCTTCACCTCCCGTACCCCCACCGCCGGCACCACTGAGCCGAATCCACTCACAGAGCAGCAAGCACTCCTGAGCCTATTAAAACCAACACGGCAATCCCTCAACCTCGTCGCAGACGTCAGCACACAACTCGGAATCCCACTCCCCTACATCCTCCACCGTCTCGAAATCCAGGGTCCGGGATTGTACGAGGCGCGGGGGGAGAGTTGTACACATTTCGTCGCGTTACCGCAGGGTGGAGGCGAGGTTGGTGGTGTGCTCGTCCCTCTGCATGACTTATACCTCGCGACCGCGATCCCGTCTTTCTCCGCGCACCTCCGTCCAGTCGGGACATACCCCGTCTCTACCACTTTCGCCTCCTTGCCGACACCAGCGACTCGGCCAGTCCTCGCACTCGATGGCTTCCCACCCTCCTGGCGCGAACAATTCGAGGTGTTGTTGAGGTGGGCATACCATAAAGACCCCGAAGGGTTGTATGGGGAGTTGAGGGGGAGGGAGGAGGGGTGGATGAGGGAGTTTGTGATGTGTGCGGGATGGTGTGGGGCCGGGGTTGATGGGCGGTTGGAGGGGGTTGTTAGGTATGTTATGAAATGGGAATAAGTGGAGGCATGGTAAGTAGGGTCGGGGTAGAGATGATACCCGTGATGAAGATATACTTAGGAAGGCGTTTAGGGTGCTTAGTGATACCTTCCAGTTCGTAGTTGTTAACATAATTCAAAATACTCAAGAAATATTCACGCTCCCTCCACCCGTGGTCCTCGCGGTCGCTGTACTTGTCCTCGTGTTCGTCCCCTCCGCAACGACCACTTCTACCAAACTCCCCGTAACCTGTTGCACGACGGTAACCGTCTGTGTACCCGTCAATGTAGTTATGAATGTCACGCCGGCCAACACAGCCTCCACGACTCTCGTCCCACCGTCTGCCGCTGCCACTACCACGTTTTGTGCGTTGTAGCCCGAATCATCGCCTTGACCAGCACCTTGCCCATTGCTTTCGTTAATCTCCACGATACTCCCATTCTCGTTCGAGACGTATACCCCGGAACAAACCCCAGTAGCAGAATACTTCCCTCCAGAAGCCGTCGCTGAGGCAGAACGAGCCTGACAGTACGAAGCCAACGACGTAGCTGACGCAACAACTTCGGAGACTTCGGTCTCGATCCCAGCGACCTCAGCGGTGATGGAGGAGAGAAGGGAGTCAATGTCTATTCCGATGTTCGGATCGAAGGAGGGGAGGTCAAGGGAAGGGATCAGGAGTTGAGCGTAAGTGCGTGCGAAACGCAAGGCGAGGATGAGAGCGAGGAAAGTGAGGTATGTAGGCATAATCATGGCGGAGCGAGAATCAATGAAGTTACTGAGTCTTGGGAAGGAGCAGGGAAGCACATGGAATCGAGTAGAGGTGGTAAGAGAATGGAGGAGATGTCCATGGGGACGGGCGGGCAGAGTTGTCTCGGTCTCGTACGGTTACCCGTTCACGTGCGTGGGAAACATCCCGCGATGCGCGCGCGGCTGGAGGAGATGAGGGGAGGTACTTGCCAGGAGACTTAAAATTGCGGTTTTGATAATAGACAAGGTGCGCCCGTACAGTGTTGGCAAGTTCACTACCTGTACAAATATGTATACATATGTTGATCGTAAGATGCTTATGCGTGTGGGTTCTTTTCTTGAATCTCACGACGGCTTTTGTCGAAAAGAGGGGTCTCCACAACGATCTCAATTGCAATCGATCAACAATCACTCACCGCTTCAACATAGTTGAACCTGTCTTCGTCTCGAATCCCAACATAATAAAGCCTCCAAGATGATATCAAGCTTTCTCTCGGTTCCCGTTTGTCAGGCACACGCATACTCCTCCAAGCCGACATCCAGCTTTGAGGCGGTTCTCCATTCACTCCCCGTTCAGCACGCCCACGCGTAATCGGATTACGCAAGACAAAATCATGAACTCGAGCATGATTCTTGTGCGGCCCCCAGAACTCGTGTATGAGACAAGGTTTGCATAGATAAAAATCAAGGCAGATTGAACAGGCAAAGACGTCGCCTCCAATGTCCCCATGACAGGATCCTGAACAGGAGTAAATGCGGCGGCGTCTTTCTGGGTTCACAGGGAAGAGTACCGCCGCCTTTTCAAACTCGGCCAGCAATTGAGCTTCAACGTTGGGGTGAACATTAGCCCAGCGGTTAGGGAGTTGAAATGAGGATCCAAATGAGATATTCTGGTTGGAAGTGGCGTTGACGCAGCGTGTGCAGAGTGTCAACTTCCCGAACTCTGGAACATCGGCCCCGCGCACAGGTACCCAACATTTATGGCGGATGGGGCACATGCCGCACAGTGCACATGGTACGGCAAAGAAGTACAAACGGTCTGTCGGTGGCAGCAATGCCCCCTCCAAGAGAAAAGATCGTTCCTCTTTCCAGCCCCGGGTCGAACATTCCACGTTGGGTGGGGGTACAATCATAAACGTATGCATACGAGCATGCATGGAGGGTTGATTGTTCCCTCCGCCGAACTCCTTGAAGGCACAATCTTGACACATGTTGAAGAGATCGCACACACGACATATGTACCTTTCGCCAAGATAACGGGACTGCGAGAAAAGCGGGGACTCGAGGCATGTGCTGTGAGTAACAGGTAGGTCATATGCTGCAGTGGCGGCAAGATCGCGGGTGGAGCTTTCAAGATTCAAGCCCGTCTTTCTAATACCGTCGAATTTTGAAGCAGCATTGCGACACGATACTTTTATCTAGCCTGTAATGTTGGGGTAGGACCAGCCAACCCACGGTACGTCTTACCTTCGCGCAGATATAGCCTGAGGCATCTTCGCATGAGGTGGTATTGCAAACCGGAGTTTGCCCTAGGCGCTCCAGTAGGGCAAGTAACAGTATCAAGGTAGGCTAAGCACCAGAGACACAGGGCAAAGAAAGCGAAACTCGACCAAGTCCCAACCACAATTGCAAGTGTAGTAGTAGTAGTACTACAATTGCAAGTGTGCTTATCCTCAATCGCGTGCGCAGCTGGTCTGTGATGCATCGGGTCGGTGCCGCCTGCACGGACAAGCGATAACCCTAAGTATCATGAACGACAGTCTTGAGCTTCTGCAGGAATTCCAATCCACACTTTTCGACTTGACGGGCGTCGGCTAGATTGTATCCTGTATGCCTGAGGATGTACAACAAGCAGTGGCATACAGCACTACGTGTACGTGTTTTCGTGCACTATCCATCCGCACTCTCAGAATGTTGCTGAGTCGGCGCTCGTTAAACTTTGGAAGTGATCGCGAAGCCGGTCCGTTCTGAACATCGCGTATATTGAATCCGGACGACCGCGTGGGATTGGCCACACAGCGGCCCGCGACAGCGTACAACCCTAAACGATGTATTGCCCACCATTTGTATGTCACCGTTCCGGTCTTTAGCATTCATCCTTCGGAAGGATAATTCTGGCATGTCCAACTGGTGCAGCGGCGGCCCATTGTTAGTAAATGCGATCTTAAGCTGTATGCCAGACAAACGGATATGGTAGCATATACCCTCAGAAATCCTCCAACTTCCACACATCATACGCAACCTCCTCATACGGATGCGCCTTCTTCAACTCTCTCACCGCTGCCCGCACCTGCTCCTCACCCTCAATCATCATCTCCACCTTCACCTCCTCCACCGTTTCCGGCTTGCCGACTGCACCAATCGCAGGATTTGCGCCGTCTAGTGGAGTGAACTGACCAACCCCCGGATTCGATGTCCACGAGCAATGCGAATAATTCCCGATTCGACCCGCGCCGGTCGCATGAACTACGCACAGCGTCAGTCGGCCCAAACAATGATTCAACATCGCTATGAACCTGCTGCCTTCACTGCTTCGGCATTCTGTATGGGAACGTAGAACGCAAACTTGTATCGCTGTAATAATGACATCCTGACTCGAAACCGTGTGTATTTTGGCGGTGACTTACAGCTTTATTGTGGCTGTGGAGGCTGAGCGCGGGTCGGCCAAACCGGTAGTTGGCATCCCGGGGTTGTGTTAAGGGAGACGTGTACGACAGCTGGCCAGTGACCTGGGGAGCATACAGCCCTTCTCAACCAACGGTCATTGCAGCAAGGGGATGTCCTCCCCTCTACAGGTCACCGCCAAGTCAGCCGCGACCTCCGCTTCCATTTCAACCGATCAAGCCGTCGCGAAGCAAACTCCACCTCTACCGGCCGATGACAACGACATCTGGGTCGCCGCACAACGCGATGATCTGACCCGCATACAACACCTGCTAGACACCGGTCTCGCTTCAGCCACCTCCTCTGACTCTCAGGGTATCACGCCCCTACATTGGGCCGCAATCAACGACCACCTCCTCGTCTGCAAGTTCCTCCTCCAGAACGGGGCGGATCCGAATGCGCGGGGTGGTGATCTGAGCGCGACGCCGTTACATTGGGCAGCGCGACAAGGGTTGGTATATACCGTGCATTTACTGTTACGACATGGTGCGGATCCGGCACTTCTTGATTCGCAGGGGTTCAACACCCTTCACCTTGCAACGCATTCATCTCATATCATGCTTCTGATATACCTCTTGCATACCTGCCCAACCCTACATATCGATTCGATTGATCCGCAAGGGCATACCGCGTTGATGTGGGCTGCATACCAAGGCGATGAATTGTCCGTCTCCCTCCTCGTTCGATGGGGCGCAGACGTCCGATTACAAGACAAGTCGGGACTTACGGCTTTGCACTGGGCCGTTGTTAAAGGAAACCAGCGCTGCATGAAGTTGATATTGGATGCTGGCGTGGACGTAAACGCACGACAACAAGACGGCAAAACGGCCGCCAAGATGGCAATCGAGATGCGCTGCCAAGAATACTACGAAGACGCACTCAAAGAAGCCGGACGACGACCAGATGGTACCATCAAACATAAACCATTCGGCGAAAAGGTCACCAATAGGATCGTCATGGCCATCCCATTCCCAACGATTTACTTGACACTCCATTCCTTCGCGATTTACCCAATTTATATCGCAATATGGCTCTTTGTAGCCTTCTTCGTTGCCGGCCACCAATTCATCATGCGATTCCTGCTCCGTGCGGACCCGACGAAGGAAGGATACCACCGCACCCCATACCTCGCCGGAATCTTCTCCGGGACTGCCCTACTGGTCATCATATCTTGGCTCACGACCGTCGCGCCTGCAACTTTCGCGACGAACCCCTACCTTAACTTTGCATTTCTCCTCACGACGCTGATCTCCATCTCGACCTTCCTCCGCGCCCTCCTCTCCGATCCCGGATTCATCCCACGTCCCACGTCCAAATCCACCCAACGCGCCGTCATCGAGGAATTAGTCGAACTCGAGTCTTTCGACGGCCGCGCTTTTTGCGGTGTCTGTTTCGTCCGGAGACCGCTACGGAGCAAACACTGCAAACTATGCAACCGGTGCGTGGCACGACATGATCACCATTGTCCGTGGGTCGCGAACTGCGTCGGGGTCAAGACACATCGCGCGTTTTTGATGTATATCATCACCCTTGAGCTCAGTATTCTCCTCTTCATCGGACTCGTCTTTGCATACATCCGCGATCTAATCCCATACACCTCCGAACCATGTCTGTTCCTCCCCGAGGCACTATGTGCACCGCTCCAGCGCGACCCATACACCACGCTGCTGGGGGTGATGAGCTGTTTCCATTTGGTGTGGTTGAGTATGCTGTGTTTCGTGCAGCTGATGCAGGTCGCGAGGGCGATTACGACGGTCGAGAGTTTCAATTTGCATAAGTATGGGTTCATGGGCGGGGCGCCGGTTGGGGGCAGTGTTGCGGGGAAGGTCGCTACGGCATTAGCTACGGGTGCGACGAGTGAGGATGGGGCACAGGTTGGTCCGGAGGGGAGGAACGACGTCGTTGGCACTGATGCTGGTACGGGCGATGGGTGTGAGAGAGAAGGAAGACCCTGTGGACATGAGCGTCGTCGCGGGCCGATTGCGAGGATCCCGAAATCATGCGTTTCGGTTCTGAAACTCCTTGGTGTGGACATGTTCCTCGCAACAGCCCGAGATACCGCTCCCCGTCCCTCTGCCCCTCGAAACCCCTTCTCTCACGGTTTCCGACAGAACTGTTCGGATTTCTGGTGTGACGGGCAAGGAGGATTTCTCGGACTTGGTGTTACGAGAAGTAAGGAGGAAGGTAGGGATGAGGCGTGGGGGATGGTTGGAGGGGAGAGGGTTGACTTGTTTAGGATGTATGATGTCCCGGAGCCGGAGATGAGTGTGAGAAGGGGTGGGAGAGCGGGGAGGAGAGGGAGATGGAAGAGGTATGAAAGGGTGGATGTTGATGATGAAGTTTAGATGAGACTACTATTAAGATTGGTATCAGCCACTGTACCCGTACTTTGCTGGACCCGTGTGAGCTTATAAAAGAACTGAAATTCCTGCTTACATCTGGGTGCTTATCTCCATGAGTCCTGGTTTGCTGTGCACTATGCTGCAATCACACGTATAGATACCTCAATGTCGAAGCACGGTTGCGGCTCCCATATAAATCGACATTCGGTACGGTACAGAAGCTCGTATAAGTAGAGCTAATTCCTCAACACCGCCTCGGGTTACAGAAACGACATTCACAAAGACCGCCGCTGGAGCGTAATCCAAACAATCCCCTTTCACGTCCGAATAGGAACGTGGCTGGCAAGCTTACCCAATTATCAACATATAATTTGTACTCGTAGCGGTGAGATACTCCAGTAGGGGTCTGCCACCTGCTACGACCGATAAGTGCCGCATCGAACATTTCTCCCATGGTAATGTTTGCATATGGTGCATACGAAGGAGGTAAGCGAGTCAGAGGCCGAACAGGTGTCTACGGGTTCAAGGGGCACACTCTCACGGCCCAACAGGGATCCTGCACTGAAGTGGCCAAACAGCAAAAAATACGATGAAGAAAAGAACATTAACACACTTGTTTTTGTTTGAGCCTAGTCGCAGTGAACGGACCCATCGGCGTGAGTGTGGCAAGCAGCGGCGGCAGCAGTGGTGGTGGCAGCCAAGATGGCAGTCACGGAAGCCGTAGCACTGCTAGCCGCGCTGGAGACGGGCTCAGTGGTAGTGCTCTTGCTCTCACCAGAAGCTTCAACATCAATGATACGACTCAACTCATATCCAGGACATCCCTCCCAATTCTCCTCATCAACTATATCCCGACCCCAAGCATCCACAGCAAAGAACTGGAGCGAATGCTGGTTACGAACAGCGTAAGTTCCATTGACCTTGGCAAGGTCAACACAGTCCTCCCAGGGATCAGCGAAATGCGACACCCATCCCTCAAAGATCTTGGGAATGTGGAAGAGACGGTGGAGAAGGTCAGACCCAAAGTAGAAGTTTGCGGAGGAGTTGGCGACGGAATAGCCGAAGCCGCAGAATTGTTCGAGGGGGCGACGGGAGGTGTAGGAGAGTTCGCAAATGACGGTTTCGGAGGTGGCGTTGGAGCCACGCCAGTGTCCGGCCCAGCCTTCTTGGTGGCAGTTGTTGTCAGGGTTGTCGCAGCGGAAGAGGACGTCGGTTTTGTCACTGCACAAGGTACCCATTACTTACTTGATCTCGGGAAGCGGATTGTAGAAGACTTACCCCTCAACAAGACGAGAGAAGGTTCCGATAACGGAAGCCGGATCCCCATTCCCAAAGTACAACTGGTATAAAGTGTCGTTACTCCCATACCTCAACACCCGATCCCTAGCGTGGGAAGCAAGGGCCTTCATGTCGTCTAAGGCTTTACCGATCTGCGTGGCCTGGGTAGCGTTACAGGATTCGTGGATGGTGATGTCATTGGTGCCGTTGTTGTACCATTCGGCGTGGGCGGAGTGGTCGTGTTCGTCGTGGTTGGTGTGATCCGCGCCGAGGACGGCGGAGGCGAGGACGAGGGGGGCAAGGAGGGGAAGGAGGTGCATTGTGTGGGTGGTGGTTGTCGAGGTGTGATCATCAATTCGAGGCAGGCGTACGGGCTCTTTTTATACACGAGGGTCAAACTCTACGAAAAGTTCACATACGCTTCCGGACGCCTCGCCAGACCCCCAAGGTCCCCGTCATCTCCCGCTTCGCTAAAGCATGTCGTGCGTACCCGGCCTTCGCTATGCCTCGGTTATAATAAGCTTATTTTGAGTCTTCTGGGAAGACGATTTGCTAAGGTTTTGAGTGGGATGCAGACTTGTGCGGGTGCGGATTCACGCTAACCACCAAGGTTGTTGGTGCGGAACTTGCAAGGTGCGCATGCAGCTGTTTAAGAGGAGGAGAGAGGAAGATGGTTACTGACGGGCTCAGATTGCGGATGAGATGTTCGGACAGTATCAGATCGAAAACGCTGTAGGTTTGGGGTCAACCTGGTGTCTACTTTGGCGCCGTTCATGGTCGTGGGAGAGGATTGCGAACGATACAAGCCAGACCTATCTGCCAGGTCTTAAGGTCACCCGAACCATATAGCTTACCTGACTTTCCAGGACAGTGTTATTTGATGCCATAATCGACGTCATACTTCCTAGCTGTCAACCGCTCACAGTATTCCCACGGGTGTGCACGGGCGCGGCCCTGCCCGCTCTGTCAGCCAATCATGCGACGCGCATCACGGCATGGAGTCGCGCTCCGTGTCAATGTCGGTGTCGGTGTCGATGACTTTAGAAAAGCGTAATTGGCAACTTAGAAAGCCGACACACCCACTGACTTGGCTGGTTTCCTCCAATGATCGTCGCCTTAAACAGGGCACTCTGGGGATTTCGCTCGAAGGGGATCGATCTGCTAAGGGGTAGCGCTGTCGCAGGCGTCCAACTTTAGCTCCGCCCAACGAAACCCGCAGACCCTGCGCCGCCTCATAAAAAAGTGAGCACCCTCTCTCTTTCTCTTTGCACCTCACCGAGTCTCTCTCTCTCGGCCCCGGTGAATACCATCCCATGGCCGCAACACTCGCGCCCAACACCGACAGGTTCGCCGTCCCCGACTCTGGCTACGCGACCCCCGCCGCCGAGGCCGCAGAGCCCGTCAAGGAGCATGTCGTTCAGCAGGAGAAGTCGGAGGTGCCAAACGTCTACCGCGACACCTACGGCAACGAGTTCATGCTCCCCTCGTTCACCATGAAGCAAATCTACGCTGCAATCCCCGCTCACTGCTTTGAGCGTCCTCTCTGGAAGTCGGCATCCTACGTCGCCCGTGATGCTCTTCAGACCTTGGCCGCGTTCTACGCCGCCTCGCACATCCAGTACATCCCCAATTTCTGGGTTAGGTGTGCCGCGTGGCAGGTTTACGCCTTCGTTCAAGGGTTGACGTGGTTCGGTATCTGGATTTTGGCGCACGAGTGTGGACACGGTGCTTTCCACGCCAACCAGAAGGTTTGCGATGCGTTCGGGTGGGTGTTGCATTCGTTTGTTGGGATGCCGTATAATTCGTGGAAGTGGTCGCATAATAAGCACCACAAGGCGACTGGTAACATCGATCGTGATACGGCGTTCAATCCCCGTGTTTTGCCGCCTGCCAAGAAGGTCAGGGCGGAGAATGAGCCCACGGAGGAGGAGGAGGCGGAGCATGCTGCGCTTCATGAGGATCATCATGAGGAAGGCTTGTTCTCCGAGACCCCGATTTACACGCTCTACAGCCTCGTTTTGCAGCAGTTGTTTGGGTTACCACTTTATCTCGCAAACAACGCCACCGGCCAACCCTATGATCGCTCATTTCCCCTCCGCGTCTCGCACTACAACCCCTGGACTCCAATCTACGGCCCCAACAACCCGCGTTTCTGGGCCGTCGTGTGTTCTGATCTCGGACTCGGGTTGATGGGTCTTGGGTTGTGGTATGCGTCCAAGTTTGTTGGGTGGAGTGGGGTGGCACTCTACTGGTTCGTGCCCTACTTGTGGGTAAACCACTGGTTGGTCATCATCACCTACCTCCAACACACAGACCCAACCCTCCCGCACTACCGCAACAAAGCCTGGACCTTCGAACGTGGCGCAACAGCAACGATCGACCGTGAATTCGGGTTTATCGGACGGAGACTCTTCCATTGCATCATCGAGACACATGTCTTGCATCATTTGGTGAGTCGCATCCCGCATTATCATGCGGAGGAGGCGACGGAGGCGATTAAGGGGGTGATGGGGAGGAGTTATCGGTACGATCCGAGGGGGATGTGGGGGAGTTTGTTCAGGGTTGCGAGGTGGTGTCAGGCTGTGCCGGCGGAGGGGGATGTTGTGTTTTATAAGAACGCCAACGGCCTGAACTACGATGATTCGTATAAGGCGAAGGTGCAGTGAGTGTGTGCTTCGTGGGCATGGAGGTGTGGTGTGTGGGTGGAGGGGTAGAATAAGAGGACTTCAACGTCTCTCGCCGTTGGCATAGATTGTTATCCAGACTTATTTAAGGCATGATGCAATATTGAATCGATTACGCTCTTTGCACATTTGCACATTTTCGTGGCCCTAATACTAGTCCATCAACACTTTATGGCATAAAGTGAGTTTGGTGAGCCACACTGCCAGCCAAACTGGAGGGCACAGCCGCTCAGGCCTACTAATAGTACATAGACGGCCCATGGCATGGGCCGTCCGTTTTGGGCGCAGCTAACCCATTTGTGGAAATGATCGGCGGATGAGGGGACGGCCCATGCCCTCAAGGCGGCCCATGCCCTCAGATTTGCGCGCTGAGCTGCTAAGTCCATACAGCGTACAGCGTGCAGGTACAGGCTACTCCCCCGCTCTAGGGTTAGGGTTAGGGTTAGGGTTAGGGTTAGGGTTAGGGTTAAGGGTTAGGGTTAGGGTTAGGGTTAGGGTTAGGGTTAGGGTTAGGGTTAGGGTTAGGGTTAGGGTTAGGGTTAGGGTTAG